CTTTATAAAGTAGTACTAGTTAATTATCTAAGAAGACGGTACGCTAGCTTATAAGCACTTCGCTAACGTCGCTATATACTCTAAGCTATCTATTAAGCGCTTTCTTTAGCCTAGAAACTTACCTAATTTAAATATAATTAAGCTAGCTTAGTATTAGATAAAGAGGAAGACTTAGTTATATAGAGACTTTAAGAAGAAGCCTAAATTACGTAAGATCTAGTAGTAAACGTAGGCTAAGCTACTATAGGCTACTATCTAATACTAGATTCGTCGAATTATCTACTATATTAAAGAAGTTATCTAGCTTAAAAGAGATAATAAGTATCGTAAAAGTTCGGAGGATCGGCTATATAATAAACGTACGAAAGCGTTTAATAGTCGATAGGTAGGCTTAGAGGTAACTATTAATTAGATTATAGAGAGTATTAGGTAGTAGTAAGTCGAAAATAAAAAGGAAGAAGTAGATAATATAAAAAGAGAATTAAAGAATATTTATACTTATAAAAAGGTAGCTTAAAAACGGACTATAATTAAGAAAGCGCGCCTATCTATTACTACTAGGCTTAGAGCGAATAATAAAGAGTTAGTACTAATATAGAAAGATAATACTAATAAGTAAAAGAAGTTATAACGTATTTAAAAGAAGTAGTAGTATAGGCTAAGAAGTACTACTATATAGGCTCTATAATACCTATAGATATTACTACTAAGTAAGTAGTTAATAGCGTTATAAAGATAAAGTTTAGGTATAGATATAGGCGTTAGAATACGAGTAGGAGTCGAATTCCCTTAAAATGTCTATACTATAAATTTGTGTAATAGTGTTATTAATTTTTGCGTGAATATCTCAGAACGCGCGTGCGCAGACATGAGCACGGGACTAAGCTCCCGGCCCGCTCCCGAGGGGGTGGCAAGGACTTTTGGTACCAACCTCCGTATCCTGCAGCGGTATGATATGCATGCGACGGCCCGATCCTTCTCACAACCACGGACAGCCACCATTCGTGAGTGCCGATTGCACGAAAATCATTAAGCATTCATCGCCGCCGCTTCTCCACCCCTGACCTCTCGCATCAAACATCCTCCTCCTCTACCTCCTGCAGGGCCGCCTGCGATGGTGCATGTGGCCCTAACTTCACTGCCATCTAGATGCCAGAGAGTGTGTAACGAGATGAAAGGCCCCTCATGACCGCCTTATAAAACCCCAGACTCCCCCGCGGCGAGTACATAGGAGCGAAAGACATAAAGAAAGACCACCACGACGAAGCCCGGCACTTCTCCCAATGCCCGACTTCATCTTCACCAACGCCGACTACGACGAAGAAAAAATCAAAGCCTCCAGCCGCCTCGCCCAATCCCAAGCCAGCGACCAGGGCTTCGTCTTCGTCAACTTCGACAATGGCAACAACGAGCGCCAGAAGCAAGTGGCGAAACGGGCCGTGCGATCCCAAGCAACTGCCTACTCCCACCGCGTAGCACCCCGAGGAGCCTCCAAATCGGACCTCAATCTTCGCGTGCAGCGAAGGATAGAAGACGGCGAGTCTTCACGCAGGCCGTCGCTCGCGTCTTCAGGATCTTCCGAGTCCAAGACCAGCCAGATCGTCCGCAAGAGGCCGAAGAATACTCCTTCGCCCGGACCTTCCCCCGTACGTGTCGCGAATATATCTCGCAAGAGGAAACGGCATCGGTTTAAACGGGAGGGTTCTCACGATAGTGTGCGGAGTGACCGGTCGTTGTCTCCTGGTGCTTTTGAGACGTACCTGCCCAACCCTCTTGCCATGGATGCGAGCATGCGTGATCCGTTTGGAACATATCCCGTGCGGTACAGGTCATGGTTTGGCCAGTTGATCAATTTCGTACGTCTCCTTAACCCTCAAGCCTTGAAACACATCTGACAAGCAATCCAGTGGTACAACGTCGTCTTCACCCGCAGCACCCGCGTCCTCAAAGCCACAAGATCCGAACTCGACATGTACACCGCCTGGTCGCGCCGACAAGAACTCAGCGAGCCGGCCCTCTTCTACACAGCGCTCTACCTCGCGAGCGGCATCCCCGTAGCCGAAGGCCTTTTCCCGCTGAAAGCGGCCCTCTGGCTGCGCTACAAAACCGTCGAAGCCATGAAAGAAGCCCTCGCGGACCCGGACCGCGCCATGAGCACGCCCGTGATCCTCGCCGTCGGCCGCATCGCCCTGCACGAGCACATCTACGGCGACCGGGCGCTGGCGCACAAAGTGCACCGGCCGGCGCAGCTGCGCATGGTGACGATGCGCGGCGGCCTGGCGAATATGGGCCTGCCGATGACGACGGTGCAGCTGATTGTTTGGACGGATGCGTTACTTTCTGCGGAGGCGGGCACGCAGCCGTATTTCGCGGATGTGCCTAGGCAGATTGCGATCCGGTCGTATACGCCGCAGGAGGCGATGCATGTGACGAATCATTGCTCGCCGCAGAGGAATGCGCATCCGGGGTATGAGGGGAATAATAAGGCGGAAGCGGCTGAGGAGCCTGCGGAGTGATGAAGATGGGGTATTTCACGAAGATGATGAATGGAAAAGTTGGATAAGATTTCATGTAAGGTCAGTGTTGTTCCATGGTAATGATCTCATGTATCAATATGTACGTGTACGCTCATGAATCCAAAACGCCACCTCTTATCGAGTCCGAGTCGTTAATGTCTTCATCTCTCTACCTCTATCTCACCACCAGGCTGCTTCGTTCCGTTTCTCTCGCAGGTCGGGGTTTTCTGTCTCTAGTCTCTATCGATCAATGAAACCTTCTCATCTCATAATCCTCGGTCTGGCTCCGTGTAATAGGTCGATGGCCAGCCGGGATGTTCGTGATATTGCCGAGAGCACCACTACCGCTGACCTGAGAAGGAAGTTGTGGTGGGCCAGCTGGTCGGAGGTTGCTTTCGTCGGCGTTGAGTCTGGCGGCTTGTGGGCTGATCACGCCAGATCGTGGATCGACGCGGTTGCCCGAGTTCATGCCGTTGCGAGCGTTTTCCTCAGGGATATCCGCCATGCCGTTCTCCATCAGCCGCTCATCGCCCTCGCCTTGGTGGCTTCGACCGAGGAAGCGGTTGCGGTGAAGTGACTGCGAGCTCCGCCAGCGGCTATCTGTTGATCGCCTGGCGAGGTTTCCTGGTGCAAAATGGTTGTCCCTAGCGGTGGAGCGACCTGCGTCTGCGCTGCTCCTCTCTCTCTCGTCTCGAGAGCGCGACCGCTCGCGCGAGGCTTCGATAATATCCATTTGAGCTCGGGCTGGATTGCGGTCCTCGTACACATCACCAGACATGTCTCCTGCTGCCATGGCCTTCATGCCTAAGCTGAAGTCGACGCGCTTCGTCATCTGGGACATGGACTCGCCGCGAGCTCGACCGCCCTTAAGAATGGAGCCGCTGCGCATCCTGGATGGAGGAGGGGCGAGACCATCTTCAGGTGCGACGAAAGGAGGATCTTCTGGGGCGTTATCTGGTCCGTAGCCCATCGGATGGTCAGGCGTACCTCCGTGGCCAGCGCCAGCCATACCAACGTGTGGCACCTGCGAGAGGTACATAGGGAATGTCTCGCGCATGCCAGGCAGACGCATGTATGGTCCTTCGATGCCAAGTTCCTGCATGGTGACCATCATCGCGCAAATGAACTTGTTTCGGCGGGCCAGACGAAGACCTTCGTTTTGCCAGTTAGATTTGTAGAAGAAGACCACGTTCAAGTTCATCGAGTGAACGTCGACGATGTCTCGTAGTTCCGTGAGAATGTTGCCCTGGTATTCGCGGTTCTCCATCTTGACGAACTCGAGGAGCTTCGTTCTCAGGCCATCGATCTGCTCGAGCGTGGTTCCGAACTTGATTGTGATGCTAACAGCCTCGGCGAGACCACCAGATCGTCTTTGGTTCAAGATGAAGAGGGTGTTCAGATAGCTGTTGGGAGCCTGAACAATGTGTCCTTCCATCTTCTTGAATTCAGTGTAAAGCAAGCTTATCTCCTTGACGAAGTAGTCATCGCCTTTGAGTTGGGAACCAGTGTTGCCGTAGATACCCACACGATCGCCGACATCAAACGGGTGTTTGACGAACACGAAAATGACCGACTGAAGGAACTCCTGGGCGGTGGCGCTGAAGAGCCAAGACAGGGCCAGGACCGTGGAGCCAGCCGAAGTGAGGACGCCAGCCGCAGAAGTCGAGATGAGTGAGATGAAGACAAGGATCACAACGACGACCACAACGAACATGAAAACGTCGTCCAGTCGGCCAACGACAGAGTCCAAGTCCTTCAGCGACGCGGTGATTGACTTGCGCTCACGGCCGATCTCCACGCAAACAGCCTCTAGCTCCTCCATTGAGATGTCACCGTTCATGTCCTTGTCAAACATCGTGAAAGCGGCATTGGCCTCGTCGTCGTTCTCGAACGCCGGTCGTAGATCGTCGGCGACAACTGTCTCGGTCTCCTCTCTGGCGAAAGTCCGGTAGAGACGGCGAGCGAGAACTTGTGCTCCAGTGGTCGAGCTCAAGAGAGCCAACACGACTTGCTGAGGGTGTGTACTCTTGATGACCTTCTTCCCAGTGAAGTCGCCTGCTACTTTCCCAGCCACGTCTCCGAACTTCGACAGCGCCTGCTTGCCTGTCTTGGCAGCTTCGGTCAGCATTTGGCCTGGGGTCCTGGCACCAGACGCTGGCTCTCCAGTACGTTGCTCAAACTCGGAATCCTCCATTGCGATCTTGGCCTTGGAAAACGTGTATAACTTTGTGAGCGAGCCGATCTGGAATTTGTTGATTTCGATCCGGTCCGCGTACGTGCGCAAATGGAAGCTGATGGCAATCAATTGAATGATGATCTTCTCCACAAAGTTAAGGATTGCGCCAACGAAGAACGATACGAGCACTTTGTTCATCGTGCCCATCCAGGGAGCGGTGTATGAGTGCGGGTGGTCCCGTTGGTGGTAAGTCATTGTGGGCAGGAAAGATACTTCGATGGCCAACCACCAGAAGAAGATTGTCGCAGGTAGTTCCAGCTGCTTGCCCATATCTCGCCACTTCTTGGCATTGTTCGTGAAGAAACTAGCAACGAGGCCAATGGGAAGTGGTAGACTTTTGGCGAGAAGACGACCTACGCGGTGTGTTAGCTATCGTAGAGCCTGGCAAGACATGAATCCTCAACACTTACCGGCCCACAAGCTTAGCCATACAATCTCCAGCCACACAGAAAACCATAATAAGTATACACCTCCGACAACAGCATTCTTCCATTTCAGTACGCCAAGAAGTAGCGGAATCAGGATAATCAGAGTGACAGGCGCAATATAAGTGAGCCACCGGACCAGAAAATTCGACTGATGGATCTTCTTCAGGAACTTGGCAAATCCCGTGGCAGGGTTCTCGACTGGTTTATAGACCTGAGTCTTCTCGTGGACCGGATTGGTAGCGACATCAAACTCGTCGACATGGTCGTCGCGTTTCCGCGACTTGGATCGGTATGTCTGACTCTCGTTTGTATCGGTCTTACCCAATGCGGCCTCCTCTTCTTCGATCCTCGAGATCTGTCGCTCCACTTTCAGGAGCTCTAGATCGTCGTCGAGTCTGTGAGCCTGCTCACGGGTTTGGGACGCGGACGTAATGCTTCGTAATGGATCGCCAGGCTCGTATTGTGTTTCCACAGTAAGGTGGCTTCCAGCTCGAGGTCGATTCGGCGGCAGATTCTCACGATAGTCCCCAGAGCGACGTTGTTGGTGGTGGATGTCTTGTTCGGCGTCCCCCACTACAGTTCCCTCGTCCGAACTATTATTCCGATGCGAATTGTTGACGTTGTATGAAGGTAGCGACGGTCGCTCGTGACTGGGCCGTCCAGGAGCATCGCCAGGATTGCTCATTTGGTACGAAGGTTGGATATAGGTCGGCTCTGGCCTTTCATCGTTCGGAGTCGTCATGCTGCCGATTGAATGGAGCTCTCCAGCGAACGAGTGATCCGGAGAGTAGTCCAAGAGATGTAGTTAGCGATGAAAGAATGGGTGGGCGGACGGCGGTTCAAGTGTCGTGTGTCGTCCGCCTAACAGTTGTTCGTCCTCGGGCGTGTGGGCGCAGGAGGGTTCACAGGGTGACGTCGGGCAGTTTTTTAGCCTTTGGTGGCTGCAGAAAGCCAAAAGAGCCAAACACGCGCGAATGGATTCCAGTCTCCGCGTGGAGAGTCGAGGAACAAGCAAGGAAACTTGGTGCGTGGAACGAGTGTGGTGGTGGTGATGGAGTGGTGACCAAGCGTTTGCTCCACCTTCTCCCGCAGTCAGAGAGCAGCGTGCTGTTTTGTTACCGGCCCAGCAGAGGGTGACGGCCAGGAGAGACGTTGAGGACAGAAAAATAGAACAGGCAAGCCAAGACGGAAGAGTCGTCGCGATAGGAGCACAGGTGCGCAGGTACGCGCTGAGGTGTGGCGATTCTCACAGCTCCAGGCCAATGATCGCGGCGTCTTTTCGGCTGAAGCTGCTCGATGCCACCGCGGTGATCGTGATGCTCTGCATGGATCTCTTCGCCCTTCGTATTTTTCGAAACGTCGGCTGCACTCCTACCGTCGTGGCGCGTTTGAGACTTTCACAATTCTTCTTGTGCAGCGGCTGCCTTTTCCCTTTTCTCTGTCTTCGATCCTTGTGCCTGCAGAGGATGCAGCCACATCGGCGCCACAGCCGCGGCCGTTGTCGAACGTTGACGCCGCTGGGATGGTCAAGATATGCTCAAGATGCGCCAATGAGCTGTTGGCACGAAAGTTGGGGATACGATACTGCGTACGGTGTTGCCACTGTAACCACAATACGACGACATGAGTCGAGACGTGACGTCCATTGGTAGAAGCGACTTCCACAAGCAATTCTTGCTTCGAAATGCCAGGATGGACGCTGGCAAGAACGGACATAGCACCGCATGGCAGGCACATGGGACACACAACTGCCGTGCCGAACGCTACATGCATTTGAAGCACTCAACCAGAACGCCAGCAGGCATATCCAAGATGCTTCAAGCCTGTGTCAAAATTACCATCACCCTTGCACCGTCTGGACTTGACGACAGACTTCATCACTTGTCCTTCACGTTCAACTTCAGTGTGTGCGTTACTCTTAGCTTCAGTCACAACATGATGTGCACGCTCACTGGACATTTCACTGGCTACTTTACTGCGCGATGTCCCTGGATAGGAGACTAATAAAATTGATGGCAATTACATCTCGTATAATGCGAGGAATAACAGCATAACTAGCGTATTCAAATCAATCTCTTCATCCCTAACGCAAGATACACTCTCACACCTCGTCGTCCCATCGAATTATCCTCAAGGAGGCCCAAACTCCGCCCTCCTCCTCTCCATCCAAAAATACGCCTGCGGACTCCCCAGCATCCGCCCCTGCGCAAGACAATACCCAACCTCCTTCCCCACAACCTCCTCCCTCCCCTCAAGCCGCAACGTATTCGTCCCCTTCGTCCAAATCGAAACCGGAAACTTCTGCTCCCCCTCGGTCTCGAAGTAGACCAGATGACCTTGTTCAAAGAGATCGTCAAACAAGATCTTCTGGAAGTTGGCAGAAGGGGATGCGCAGTGCTTGAGGATCGAGGCGAAGGTTCCGGGGGAGGCGTCCGGGGCGGAGTCGTAGGCGGTCGTCATCATGTTGTCGAGGGTGAGGTCTTGCAAGTTGGGGGATTGTTGGATGAAAGCTAGGAGGTCGTGTTCCCAGACGTGAAAGCCGCGGAGACGGCATTTCTGCAGGTTCAGAAGGTGGTCTTTGGAGACTTGTGCGAGACGCTGGAGCACGACTTCGTCTTTGGCGTCTTCCGGGGTGAGGACGCTGATAGCGAGGTTGAAGTAGTGGAGATCTAGGTCTTCGAGGTTGGTGCAGAGGGAGATGAGTGTTGCGAGCCCGCGGAAGTTGGTTTCTTCGGCTGCCTCTGCTCGCAGTTCTTCGATTGGCCTTTTCGTGGGCGCGATAGACCAATCCACGTTGTCTCCTGGATCTCCCGTCCTTGCTGCATTCTTGTCGGTTTCGTCGATGATACGGTCGGAGAGGCTGATTGAGAGGGACTTGATCGATCGCAGGCATGTCTGGAGGGACGGATCCTCGAAGTCGAGGACACTCAGCTCGTTGGAAGGGATGCTGCAGCGAAGGAAGTTTTCAGGGTTGAAAAGATTGAGCTTCGTCACTTGCAGTCCACTCGCAGCCAACGCAGGCATCGTTGTCTTGAAGGCATCCGTGGCTGCCTGCCAGGTGTACTTCCAACCCATGCCGCTCACAGGACGCTGGTGCTTGTCTGCGTCGTCCCGACACATCGCCACTTCGAGGGACAGTGAACGTAAAGCGCCTTTGCCGTTCGCCAACAAGTTTGTCAAAGCCTCTCCCAGAAGCTTTATGTCTTGACCAGCCTCTCGAAGTTGCCGGTGCTCCTCACATCGTCGATTGATCGTCTCAAGATCACGCTCCGCCTTGGCCAACTCTTCAGCCGAACATCTCTCCTCAGTCGACGCAAAAATAGGCCCATTCCGCTCAACAACAGTTCTCGTCTTCTTTCTCAGAATCGACTCAAGGCCCTTGGGATTGTTGGCGATGCCAATCAGGGTAATATTCTGAACCAGGCATCCTAGCAGGCCAGGCTGAGTGACAGCAACAAATGTCTCGAGCGATGACTTTGTGAGATCGATCGTCTTTGAGCGAAAGAATGATTTGAAATGATCCTGTGTCACCTTTGCTGCGACGAGGCGGCTGGTCAAGCGAAGACTGCAGATATCTGGGAGATCCAATAAGACCACGATACTCTCTACAATCTCGTTGGCCAGGTTGGAGATGTGGGCTGCCATGGTGAAGTGCGAAATCAAAACCACCGTTCCCGAGATGGTGGGTTGTGCACGGCAAAGTGATACAACAAAGGGAAGCAAAACCCCCGGAAAATGTTTGAAGGTGAAGGATGGCTTTTATGTATGGGAGATCTGTACACACAGAGAGCTTACAGACATGTGACTTTTAGGCAGAAGTCGGTCATGTGACTGACTGCCCAACACATCTACAAGAATCCCGCCAATGCCTCCATGAACGCAGCATGGTTCTCCAAGAACGGCAGATGACCAGCCTTGGGTATCGATTGGAACGTCGTGTTTGGAATTCCAAACTTCTGCAACGCCTCGGGGAGCTTGCCGTCACCTTCGCCTGCGATCAAAAGTCCAGGTGTCTTGATGTTTGCTACGTGCGGCTTGAGGTCGTAGTCGCCCAAGGCGGACGTGTTCTGCTCGAAGCCGTCGAAGTTGGCCTGTTGTGCCATCGGTAGTACCTTCTTGGCGTTGGGTGAGTCATGGTTCTCTGGTGTAAACCATCGGTTGACGGTTGCCTTTGCCAGTTCGGCCATTCCTTTGGATTTGGCGAGCTCCACGCGCTCTGCCCATGCTTGACTGTTGGCAGGGCTGGAGGCCACGTTACAATCGCAGGCAACGAACTTCTCCAACAAGTCCGGATGCCTGATGGCGAAGTTGATCGCCGTAACACCGCCCATGCTGACGCCCATTACAGTATAAACCTTGTCCAGATTCAGTCGCTGAAGGAGATACTCCAGATCATCCGCGAGAAGGTCAAAGTTCGTGTGGTTGCTCTTCTCCGTCTGCTGCGAGTAGCCTCGGGAGTTGTATCTCAATACTCTGAATGTCTTGCCGTTGATGCCCTTGATGAGGTCTGTGGCCACTTCGTCCCAGATGTGCAAGTTGGTCATGATCGAGTTCACACAGACAACAATAGGATCCGCCGGATTGCCTTCCAATTGAAACCGCAACTCGGCGCCATCAGTGCAAATAACAGAAGACGGAGGCTCCTCAAGCTTGTCGAAAGTCAAGTGGTAACCCCACGTCCTCGACTCCTTCCACTGGACTTTGCTCATCATCTTCGTTCTCCAGGGCGTGTCCATGGCTGCGCGATGCTCGGATCCATTGAGTCCATTCTTCGCCTGGAAATCATGCACAGCCAAACACTCCACCTGACCAGCAGGCGGCATCCCATTGATCCCTCCCACAACCATCTTGAACCGCCTGGTACGGATCCAGCCCGGGACTTTCGCCATCATATCGGTATGTTCTTCTTCGTACCACTTGTTAAACTCGGCCAGATCAGACTCATTAATCCTCATCGACACCGCGCGAGTCACCTGAGGCGGTCCGTTGAACTCCCCACGAACAGAAACCAGACTGTAGATTTTGCGATCCAGTGACTCGAAAGTGCTCATGATGGCTTTTTCTCGCAGCGATCGCTCCTCCCGCAGCCGGGTGTAAATCCTTTTATCCAGCCATGAAAGATCAGAGACATCGTAGACGGCCGACCATTGCGGCCTCTCGCCGTCGACTGCTTTGTAGCGGTCTCCAGTCTCGATGAACGGCAGCCGAAGTCGCAGGGGCCCGTGTTCGGTATTGTACCAGTCGTGGAAAATGTTCTCGTCCGTGTTCCAGCCCGGCTGGATCGCCACCGCGAGATATCCAGGGCCGTTCATTTTCGAAGATCAGTGTCGTCGATTGTGGTTCAAGTATGGATGCTTAACTCTGCATGTGCATGGCAAGAATTGGAGTTGCTGCAAATACTTACGCCGGCGGTCAGGAGGAGAAGGCGTCCGGAAAGCTAGGTCGGCATTCTACGGCACAGTGTTTACGCAGGAGTTGAGCAGCAGCAGCAGTCTCCTTGATCAGGGGTAAGGTTGCAGGAGGATGCGTTCAGATTGGCACTTCTTCGAGATCAGTCATCTTGCATGCCACCAGATGCAGCTTGGAATCCTGAATGATGATGGCGACTGCCAAGAAAGGTTGGCCGTTCGATGGCGAAGTTGCTGGTGTCGAGGTGATCGGCTTCAACTGCCGAACCCAGACAGCTCGTCACTGCCATCACAGTCGCCCGTTGAAGGTGATTGGGGAGATGCCGATGCCGCCTCACAGCTTCCAAGCAGGCAAACCTCACATAGCACTCGCATAATCAGAGTAAACCGCCAATTCTCCAAACCAGCCTAATCCAGAACAAACAAACATCCAAACCAACCCAAAGCTTCCATACCACCCACCCACCACACAGCAATGTCCGCCCAAGCCTCAGCCTTCTCAACACCGCCAAGCGACAAGGATACGCCCACCCAAGACCGCGGCATCTTCGATCACGAAGCCAACAAGCACCAGAGCCACCACTACCTGCGCATGTACGGCGGACAGGTCGTGCAAGCCGCCATGTGGGGGTTTGGAGCAACTCTCGGTGCAGACGCTGCGAATGCGGCGGTGGGTGAGGTGAAGGTATGTTGTTCTATTCGCTAGAGTACATGGCAAGAGGGTGTGTGCTGACTGGAGGGTGAACAGGAATGGTGGCGGCATTGAGACTCGCTGAAACAGACGAGATTGACGCTTTTTGACCGACTTTCCACGAGGCTATGAGATGTGACTTATGACGAACTGCAAAAGCATGGGATAAGAGACTTATACGAGTATGCTCGAAGGCGTTGCAAGGCGGATACACTGTACGAAGAGCTATGGGAGGGTTTTTGTGATTGCACATACATGCGGCATACATAGAGATGGATATATGTTTGGAACGGCACCGTTTGCTAATGGGGCTGTATACGCTCTCAACTACGCATCGTTGTCGAACACGAGATAGTCTCAACAGGGAACATCAGCTACACGATGCCGGTATATTGCTGCTTCTCATGAGCGGCGCATATCAACGCCTCTCTGCACCACTGCCAGCGCGAATGATCATCTCTCATAACAGACCAGCCCCATGCCACCAGGCACCATCTGTTTATATATCATAGACCAGTGTTGGAAAGGATCTCGCAGGTACAATTCATCATCAACATTCGAGGAAGCCGTTTTTCATTCCACCGTAACAACAATGATAAAAACTTAAGTAGTAGTAGTAGAGAACCTCCCCTAATCGAAGCGCCGGAAGCTGCTCACTCAAGAGTCCGTTTCATTTCATCCTTCCCATTCGCTCATCATCCCCCATCGCCCACCCTCACTGTACTTCTTGATGTATCTCCATTGACCATCGCCGCTGGTTCCGCCTGAGGATGTCTTCGCCCATTAGGCTTCTTCCTCTGTGCCACTTCCGCATGCTGCCCATTAGACCTCACCGCTGAAGAAGTCTCCATGTCTTGGTCCTCCAATTCCCCCTCTGGGATTTGGTCGTTGTCGTCGGCCATCTCTGAGTCAGCCATCTCGGCCTCTGCTGCGGCTGTGGCCGCATTGTGCATTATCGCCTCCTGATTCTCGGCCCATATCCTGCATTCGTCAAGGTCATTGATGTCTGTCGGTCGACTTCGTAGCCACTTCATCCTTGGGCCAGTCTTGGCGATCTCGCTCACCCGGAAGCCGTATATGCGCGGCTCGTAGATGTTGCCGGGCCCTAGACCAGGCGCGAGGTTCTTCGAGGCCACGCCGTTGATCTGATCAGGCTGTTTCAATACTTGTCGGTCCAAGGGTGGCGGTGGTAGGTTTGGTTGTTGTGATGTTAATGAGGATGAGAGCGAGCCTCTTGAGGCTTTGTCCAGGCTGGCACTTTGTCCAACTGCAGTACTGCCGGATAGTGGTGATGACGCGGACATCGAAGTATCGGCCTGCGGTTGAGGCGGCCTTTGGCCCCCAACGTCGAGCTCGGGGAACGTCATGAAGAAGAGGCATCCAAAGGTTGTTCCAAAGAAAGCCCCATCGACGGTCTGAAAACGGCTATTGGGCGGGCTGTACACGTCCAGACAGCTAGGGCAGAACAACTTGACGGTCTCTTGTCCCGGTATGTCTGAGCAGCCCACTGGCAGAACTTTTGCGCCATGGCAAAACACTCGCGGGCAATGTCCGAAGTGGCCCAGCTCATACTTCTCCGCCATCTGCTGTATCCCTGGCCGGCTGGTAATGAACCTCTGGTGTATCAGGCCGTACAGCATCTCTGCCGAACTCTCGATGACGCTCAGATCGCTTGCCATTCGCAGGTGTCTCCTCTCGGCAGCCGCGGCCGCAGCATCTGCAGCCCTTCTGTATCCTCCCCTTGCCAATGCATCGCCATCCTGCATCTCATCTTCATCGTCGTCGTCTTCCTCTTCTTCCTCTTCCTCCTCCTCGCTCGCGTCTTCGGGCTCCACATCCAGTATCATCTCCAGCGCCTCTTTGTACATGGGCACTTGGCTTTGTAGGCCCGTCAGGTTGAAATCATCCTCGATAAAGTCTTCCGACACCTCGGCGAAATACTCGTGGCCGACCAGCGAGCAGAACGCCGAGATCCAGCTCTCGGGCGCTTGACTAGAGGACGACATGTGGTCGTTGTCGCTGTCGAGCTCGTTCAGGGCGACGTGGTGGACGGTGCAAGCTTTCGCAAACGCTGAGCTCAGCCCGCGCTCGTGAAAGTCTGGGCGGACCAGCGCCTCCCCTCGAGGCAGAGTCGGGGAGGAGTCTTGACGGTGGTGCTCGATCGGCGGCGGAGGCGACGAGCCCGACGGTGAGTCGCTTGTGAGCGCTTCGTCGACAAGTCGCTGAGCCACTTTCACGGCCAAGAAGGGGAAATCGGGCGAGAAGGGCTGTATCTCCTCTCACACAGCGTCGATCCAACCGCGATGTGTATGTTGCGGTCGCTGAGGTTGTTGGCGGCGGAATGGCGGCCTTTCAAGTGCGATGCCGGCTCTTGCAAACAGATATTGTCCCGCAGTCCTTCACTTGCGTCTTGCCGCTGCACATGCTCTTCCTAGAATGTCCGTGACTATCGGCAGGGCTCCAATACGGTGTCTAATCGCTCATTCACTCGTTCCAGGGCAGATCGGGCATCGGAAAGGCTGCAGTTGTGAGGTGAAGTTCTCTGTTGGGGTCGTCTCCACCGCTTGCGTTGCGTCGGCGGTCTGGCTGGATGTCGTCGTGCTCCAGCGCAGGGAAGGGCGGGAGAGATAGCCTTGTGCGACGTCTAGGCACGGCGCGGTGAGGTATGGCCAGCGGTCGAATGCGCTGAGGGATGTTTCTCATCAAGCGAACAACAAAGCACACCACCCACGCTCGACGAGGGGCTGACCCCAAGGTTGACCCGGCGCCGTAGATCTGCCTGCGATAGACTTCATCCATCCGATTTCTTTGTTGCGCACACTTCTACACGCTATCAAATAGAATTCATCACATGCAAAAGGTCTCAATAGGAGCGATACTTCATCACACGAGCCAGTATGTACAGTATTCAAGTCCTAGAACAACTCCTTCAGAATGTTCGTCAATCCATCGTCGCCGCCGTACCCCTCCATCCCCTCCGAATGCACGCCCCCGCTCGGGTACGCTCCGTCTTGACTGCCGTTGTTCATGCCAATGCCCTGGTAGCCTCCCGCTGCTTCAAAAAGGCTTGTCAAGTCGTGTACCATGCCTTCGGGGCTGCTGCTCGAACCTGCCGGAGCCGACCAGTTCTGTTGCGGTGTGCCGTTGTACAGTGACAACTCGTCCACGTTGTGACCTGCTAGTCCAGCCATGGCGACAGCAGCAGAACGACTGGACTCGAGATCGTCTTTCGCGGACTTGTTGTTCGACTGCCCGTTGGTCAAATCTTTGACAGGTAGCCCAAGCTTAGGGCCAACTTCCTTCAGCACGCGGATCGTCTTCCACAACCGCTTGCTCACCCAGCTACCCTTACTGAAGCCGCGCACCAGCTCAAGTGCCATGTAGAACTCCTCGCGCACATCGTCAGCAAACAGGGCGGGAGCATGGCTGACGGCCAAGAAGAGCACAGCCAGTGCTGATGTGAGGAAAGCGTTGAACAGGACCTGTTGCGTTCGATACAGGTCAGATGTTTGATTGATGTGCGTCAGCACCCGTACTGTGTCCTTTGCAAGGTTCACGGCATTTTGCGCTTGTTCGCGATTTTGCATGATGGAAGTGGCAGAATGCAGCACTGGTCGATAAATCAGGATTCGCATCTGATTAGCTCGAAGGTACAGTATGATGCGCAGTCGGTGGCCAGCGCGAGATGGTGCTGGTCCGATGGGAGTTGATGCCCTGGCGCCGTCGGTAGGATGCTCGAAGCGGAGATGTGCTGGAATGTTCTTGTGCCATTGGATGATCTGGTAGTCCAAGTAGCTCATGTCGTCGGTGTTGATAGGTACGCCGCCACGAGAAGGCGACATTGGGGCAGCTACAGATTTCCATACTTTGCTGCTAAGAGTCGAGTATTGAATCATGGCGCTGAGGTATGGCGATCTCTCTTCAGGCTTGGGCAGTTGAGGATCAATATCCGAGTCTTGAAGCGCGAATGGCATGCCTGTACCAAAGCTCCAACGGCGATCGAGGACATAGATCGCCCAGAAGAGCAGCACCGTGTCAGAACGCTCCGATTCGTCTTTGATCGCGTCGTAAGTCTCCCGTCGGTGAAGTCCAAGCTCGATGCAGAGCCGGGCTGTAAGGCCTATGATACGCCATGATGTGCCTTCGTTGTCGCGATGGAACTCGTACATTGCCTGTAAACTCGTCAGCTGTGGCATGGGTATCAAATGTTGAGTCAAATACCGTCATTGTAAGTAAACGAATCGCCTTCACACCAACAGCACCAAGAAGCATCGTATCGATCGCCGGCTGTACGTACTCGAACAGGCGTTGACCAAGATCGCTGCGACCACAAGCTTCTACGGTCAAGGCAGTAGCCAGGACAAGCTTCAATATGTTAGTGTCTTCGTCGTCAATCGAATCGGCACCCGGTAGGCCTTGTTGCATGAGCCCCGTTCGATGCGCAGCCTCCATGAAGCGGTATAGCTTGGTCGCATAGTCCACGACTTTGTTAACATCGAGAACTGGGTACATGAGCCCCATTTCGTCCTCATACACCCTGCAAAGCCTCAGGGCCTCTTCCTGTGAGATGCTCCAGATCGGATCTTTCTGTGCATGTATACTTTGCAAGACCTGCATGTTGCTTCCGACCGGAGACCTATCCGGTGTGACTTCTGCTGTGCCGGTTCCCGCTCCTCCACTGCCATTGTTCCCTTCATCGCCCTGACTTGTGATTCCCATGGTCTCCAGACTGCTTTTCGCTACCCCGAAGTTGAACGCGGAGCTTGTAGGCCCTCGAAAGCTATTCTGCTTGCTGTGGGACTGGTTCCGAGGTCGTGGTGCACTCGGAGACAGCATACTCGCGCCTGGCGAAGCGTGTAGATTGGGGTATGACCCGCGATGCGAAGGGTAAGGTGCAGATTGCAGCGATGGATCGATTGGAGTGGGTTGCTGTCCGACGCCCATTCCCTGTCCCATTTGTGCGCGCAATGTATTGAGACCCTCGTAAAGCGCATTTACTTGGTCCTGAAGCATTGCGATCTGGTTCGACATCTCTTTATACTCTTGCGAGTCCTTGAACCCATTGCAGCAGTTCGGCGCATACACGCATTCGAGGTTCAGGTTGCCGCATCGCTGGCAGGGAGTCTGGCCATTGCACTTGATCTTGCGTCGCTTGCACTCATTGCTGGAGAGTCACTGCCGTCAGCTATACTCGCACATCCGCTTGCTTAAGAATCCATACCACGCGATCGAGACGTATCTGTTGCGCCGGGCTCGTTGCTGAGTGCTTCCGCCATCCTCGGCCTTTCTCTTGAGGCCTCCATTCGCGTTGTCGTTGTCTTCGGCAGGCTGCTGCTGGAGCTGATGAGCCAAGCTGGCTATGTTCTGGACGTCCTGGTTCATGACCGCTGTGAGGTATCGAGGGCGGAAAAGAGGCCGTTCAAGTGGGAGAGTAAGCGGAATGTAAGGACAATTGCGGAGCCCTGACTGGAGAAGTGCGGGGACAAATCGAAGCGAGAACGGTTTTGTGGTCACGTGATAGTTCACATTCTTTCGGCATTTCGTTCGCTACATATTTGCAATTTATGGAGATCGTGTTATGGGCGTCTCGGGGATTTCAATGCATGGCATGAGAATTGGAAGCCCAGAAAGCAGCCAGTGATGAGCGATGCAATTTTCATGTAGATTGAGGCCAACCATCCTTCTGGATCAGCGGAACGAGACAGAATGGTGCAAAAGTAGGTGAAATTGTTGTTCTGAAGTCGCACATAAGTGCGATGATCCAGCACTCGACGACTAGCAATCCTCTGTTGTGCTTGGGCAATCTGAGGCCCTTCCACTCACGACTGAGTACTACCAAGTGACTTGCTTGTTGACAGCAAATCACAATCCTCGTCCTTGACCTTGAGATATGGTCCTCGTCGTTGCAGCGGCGTTGGTGATTGTGGTATCGCGGACGTTCGACGCTCAGAGGCTGCTTGCCGCTCCTTTCAGCGAAATGCCCTCGATGTCGCGACTGAGCTGGTGCTCCGTTTGGCCGAATATCGCCCACATGGCCCTCCAAATTTACGGAGACGCCGTGCCATGTGGACGCCACAGTACTTGGGCGTCCCATGGCACGGCGTCTCCGTAAATTCTTCAACCAGCATTCCATTCCTCATGATGCACCGGCAGCTGCTTGTCCTCCTTGCTGCCCAGTCAGCATCCTCTGCCTCAACACCTCCTCCACCATCCGCAGGTTATTCGCCTTGCCATTCACGATATTCTCGAGATCCTTAATACTCTTCCCAAGCTCTTCAATCTTGCCGTTGTAGAACTTCTGCGCATCGCCGGTCGTCTTCTCCACGTAGAAGCCCGTTCCTATGTCCACGAGTACGTGCTCTTCATCCGCGAGTTTGCCAGGTGCGTAGAGGGAGGACGTGAGAGGGACCAGTAGAGGCTTGTCTTCAAACAGGTCAGCATCACCGTATTGCAGATTCCAAACGCCCAATACCTTTTACGCTATTGGCAACTCCATTCTGGATGCTGATGTTACAGTCGCGAAACTTTTGCTGTGCCGTCCGAAGGTTTTGATATGAGTTCGTCAAGTGCTGAACCTCGTCGTCGAGTTGTTTCTTTACTTGTGACAGCTGTTGGACTGGCAGAGTCGCGAGATCGACTGTTGAGACGAGTCAGAACAGTATGCGCGGTTAATTTTGGAGCTTGAGAAACTCACTCTGCTGACCGGCCATGTTGTGTAGATCTGAAGTCTAGTGTTTGTGGTGAGGTTGAGGACGATCTGCGACAGTCACGTGATCGCAAAGTCGCTAAATCTTTCTTCCGACGTCACTCAATGAATTCCGCAGGCCTTGCGGCGTGTACCTTCGATAGTCGGCTTGAAGTCGAGTATATGTATATGTTATCTCCCCGAGGGCGAGAGCGACTAAGCTCATGATTAGAGCTCGAGCTGTCGAAAATACTTGCGACTTAAGGAGATGATCGCTTGTTCCAGTTGGCCGTAGATTTCTTGGGCAGGGGACGGGGTCACGACTTACATCAGACGCGGCATTTAACCTCTTCATGAGATCTCTATAGTGTTTAGGCAGTAGGAATGGAACGCAGTGGGACATCGAAGTATTTGTAAAGACTGTGGTTGCTTTTATCCGTCCGAATACTTCAGAAACATCATTCTGTCCCAATGAAAAAGAGAACAAGGCCACGAGTCCATCAACTGCCAAGGGCAGGAGACATCAGAAAGCCATCGCAAAATCATGCCGACGTCAAGCAGCAGCAAGACGAAGGCCGCGGCAAAGAAAATCGGGAGCGGCCATCAAAAAGACCAGTGGCGACAAGGCGCCTGTTGCACTCCCTCCAAGTCATGAAAAACATCCTCCACCAGCGACTGCCCATGTTGCAGACGCCGCTTCCCCTTCATGCAATTACTTCGAGCAGCTTACTCGGTGGCTTGGGTAGCCTCCAGAGCCTGCGCCCTCTGCTTCCAGAATTCGACTTCTGCCTGTAGATCGGCGATCTGAGTCTCAAGCTCATCACGCTCTTGAACCTTCTTTGCTCGTGACTTACGAGCGGCAGCAGTGTTTCGCGCACGCTTCAAGGCCACTGGGTCACCCTCATCAACAAGAATAGGTGGCAGAGGCTTGTCACGCTTGCGAGCACCGACACCAGCGATCGTAGAGTGCTTGACAACAGGGCTGAAAGGTCTTGGTGACACGTTGGTAGAGCTGCGCTTGCGGTTGCTCTCTCCCCCTGGGTGGACCATGATTGGGTTTGACGATGTGCGCTCCATGGCATGGTCAGTCGTACTTTCGTCGGGGAATAGAGAAAACCAGTTGTTGTCGGCAGTCATGCTGTCAGTGAAAAGAGGAGAAGTCTGATAGTCGTCCGGAGTCTCAAGGAGAGTAGAACCAGGAGTCGTCAGATTCGTAAAAGAAGTCGATGGTGGAACGGAGTCATTGAGCAAATCCTTTGGCGAAATGGTACCAGCCGCCGCCCCATCGTTGATGGCGGTAAAGCTGTTGTCGCCGGTGGGCATGAGCTCGAAGTCATACTTGCCATCGAACGTGAACAGTTCAGTGTCCCCAGCCGCGCTGAGGTCGCCGAATGTTCCGTCGTAGGCAACGTTGATGTCTGAATCCATGGTTAGAGAATGTGATGGCAACGGGGTCGGGTCTGTTTTACCTCCACCACCCATCGCGAAAGATGTAATATCGTTCACTTGCTGATACTGAAAGTCTCCCAGATTGCCGGTAGAGTTTGAGTGGAAAAGAGGAACAGGTGGACGTTGTTGGAAGGGTATCTCCTGGCTATGAGCTGAGTGTAGTTGTCCGTTCGTGTGGAACGCCGCTTGGTCGGCGGTGGTAAACGTGGGAATCAGCGACGAATCGAGCGAGGGAGCCCGACGGGAGGGAGCCTGCTGGAGGTGGGTAGGAGTCGGCTGCTGGAACAAGTCGAAGTCTTGCGTGAACACGGGCTGCGGCGTTTGCCTGGGCGGTGCTGATGGAGGAGGCCATGTTTGCTGTTGTGAAGCCGTTGTGGACGGCGGGTTGGTTTTCACAGGGCGGTAGTCTTGACGACGGGCGCTTTTCTTGTGAAGGTCCGGAGACGCTTCGAAAGTGGAGAGAAAAGTCTGGATCGGTGGTGGTTGTATGGTGACGACGCTTAAGCGGAGACTGCCATGATTCTGGTGTCTCTCGGGTTGTATTGTGTGTGTGTTTGTGTGAGTGAAGGTTGGAGGAAAGAATTTTGAAATGGTGGGGTTTCTGCCTGGCTTTAAACAACGGAACTGCGGCGGGCGGGAAAGGACACTGTGAGTGACTCACAGTCCTGCTGAAACGCTTGGACCGATACTGCTTTAGCGTTTGAGTTTAACGAAACTCTGCTCACGCTCCGTTCTGCTTTCCTTGGGGTTTCAATTTCTCTACAAGTTCTACCCTCTAATTCGATCTCATATTCTTCAAATTGGCATGTTCTTCGATTTTCCGCTTGAAAACATCACAACAATTGTTCCCATCTCCCCTCAGTCGTTCGAGCGCAATCGTCTCATCCAAGCTGATCCGGCTTAGCGTCAAGCCATCGGCCGAGCGTACCGCCCTTCTTTCGGGACACCGACCTTGCACTGCCTGCTGGGCGCGATGTGGGGGGCAAAGATACGACAGGATTGCAGGCCGCCCGTACACAGCATAGGGCGCAAAGGGCCAAGGCGCAGCATCGTTCACCGGTGGAAGTGCATTGCCGTCGGTGGGGTCTCCATTGACTTGAAATTCAATCGGGCCTCTCGGGGGAGTGTGAAGTGGAAAAGAGTCACAAATCTCCCCTCCTGGCGACTGCACAGTAATCGCTGCAAGAGGCGTGAAATGGCACGGTAAGATTTCGTTTTGTGGGGATTCAGCACGGAATGGACACTTCCTGTCTCTACCACATGCCTCTCCATTAATACCTCGTCGCGCCATGACCAAGGCAGTAGTAAGCCATACTGTTCTTGACACCATCTCGCCCGTAAAGACCCGTGGCCTTAAGGCGCTTCGCATTCGCGATGAGAAATGAATGTTCAATACGCGAAATCTTGTTAACCCCGAGCTCCGGTGAGCACCGAGAAGTGATTGACAGGTTTCAGCGTGCTGTTCAGATGATCGTTTTGCGCCTGCAGACCAAATGGAGCCTAAATATTGGAACTTCTATCTCCATCACTATGCTAAGGACTATCAAACTTGAGCTTCGTTCGTGACCTTGGTGGATCTTAGAGATGGAGAGACGATCATGTCGTTGTTCCTTTCACCTCACAGATCGACAAGGCTAGTCACATGCCAGGACCCTGAGGTCGATCTCGGCCTTCACATTTGAAGTCAGAAATTCTGACTCCACAGCTTCACCACCTTCACTTCAGACCATCAGGCTACTGACACGCCTACTATTTGAAAATGGCCGAAGACAACATCTACGACGAGATCGAAATCGAGGTACATCACACACACCCCCTCTCGCGGACACTCACTTCCTCAAAAGAACCCCGCAGCTAACACACTCATCACCAAAAACAGGACATGACCTACGACGAAACGCTCCAAACCTACCACTACCCATGCCCCTGCGGCGACCGCTTCGAGATCAACATCGACGACCTCCGCGACGGCGAAGAGATCGCCGTGTGTCCCAGCTGCAGTCTTCAGATTCGGGTGATTTTCGATGTGGATGATTTGCCGAAGCCGGATGGTGGTGGCGAGAAGGGCAAAGTGCAGGCGGGGACGCAGCAGGTTGTTGCTGCTGCGACGTGAATGAGACGGTGGTGATGATGTGATCAAGTGTTTGAGACTTGTGGAAAGGGGGGAGAAGAGGAGGATATCAGAAAGAGGCGAACGGACCCAGCTGCAGAGTGCCGAAGACATGTAATTGCGAATGTCTTCGTCTTGCTCGTGCTGGGCACTGCAAACCGTGCAGAAAACTGTGGAGTACAAGGCTCAAAGCTGGAAGTCATGCACAGTGCTCGGCCAGCAGCTCATCAGGCACTCTCGCTTGCTGTGGCCAGCAAAGCACGAGCGATGATCATCGCATAGCCGCGCTGCTTGTCAAGCGTCAGTCGCGGCGAATACTGAGCCGATGCCGGGTACGAATCATTGAAAGTGCTGGTAGAAATTGTTGGCTGGGCACAAGGAAAGCGACAGCACATCGGCACTAAAAGGGCATGGAGAAGCTTCATAAGATGTAGCAAGACCGCAGTCATAGAACAGCGAGCACTATGCAAGCCTACCAGCGGGCTCACATACACGTGCCACCATGTCCATCCATAGCCAAATCCCATACCCATGCCTCTCATCTGCTCTCACGGCGCAGGACCACCTGCGAAGTTCCACAATCAGCCGGTACACTCTTCTGCGACAACTTGCGTTCTACTCAGTCGGATCCGTACTGGGAGGGTGTTCTTCGTGGTGTGGGTCGACGACCAAGCCCAATTCTGAAGCCAATAGTGAGGTCAGGGTGCTGCCATCTCGTAGGTATACCCATTCGCCAACTCCTCCGCCCTCTTTCTGGTGCATGCCTTCTCCGACGACCACCCAATCGTAGCGCTTGGGCCCGGACAATGGTGACGAGAGCCAGATTTGCTTGTTCGGAGGCTGCTTGTTGATCACGTAGGTGCCGTTGGGAGGGAAGGTAATCGTCAGTACGCCAGCCTAGATTCTCACTGTCAGTAAATCGCTCATCTGTGAGTCTCTGCTTTGATGAGAGAATAGCTTACGCTGTACTCCACCTCCACATCCTCTCTGCCTTCCGCAAGCTGCTCAGCCTTCTCGTTCAATGTGTTCATGAACTCTTCTGATCGCTCGTGATATTCCTCATCGCTGATCTCAGTTGGCTGCGACGGGCGAGCAGTTTCTGATGGCTCCTCTTTCGGCGGTTGAGGCTCCTCTGTATCTGGCATCAAACCGGCACGTGAGCTTCGCGTCGACGAGATCCATCTTGGTTGTGAGGTCTGCACTCTCACAGCTCCCAGACGAAACGATGGCGAATGGAAACGGCGGGCATTGGATGGTTGGAGAAGGACTCTCGCTCTTGATGCGTTGGTGGCCGTTTGGCGGATCAAGCGGGTTGCGGTGGGCGTGGACATGCTGGGAGGCGTGGCGGATCGATGGATTGAGGGGATCGTGGTCTTGGATGTTTTGTTTCGAACGGGTGTAACAGCCTTACTAATTGGTGGTTGTTGAGCGGTCAGGGAGGAGGGTGCAATGGAGAGTTCCAACGGCAGAGAGGTTTGCGGGGGAAGCTTCAAGCTTCACGAAAGCATGCAGCCACATGGATGCCAAGACATTAACGTCACGCTCAGGGGTGAAGTGAATGTTTCTTCCATTCACTTCGTCGCTTACATTCTATCTTACTTATTCTTCGACTTCTCCGACACTTGTCCCTGTACTGTAACCTTCACTACTGCTCTGATTCCCTCTATTGCCTTCGGAACACTCCCTCTGCTTCTCGCCCTTCACTTTCTTCGACTCACTTCTTACTTAGTCTAACATCGATTCATCGCTTACATTCTACTTTACTTAATCTTTTACTTCTCTGTCACTTGTCCCTTTACTGTTCCCTTCACAACTCCTCTGACTCCTGCTATCACCTTCTAAACACTCCCTTTACTTATTGTCCTTCACTTTCTTTGACTTACTTCTTACTTGGTCCAACATTGAGTTGTCGCCTCCATCATAAGGGGCAGCGGATGCACGCTGTCTATATCGTTAGATCGAAGTGCGCTTGCAACCTCCTTGGACAAGCTTTCAGTAACGAAGTTCCGAGCACAGCACCACGCCTTGAGATCGATCGATGGTATAGCGGATTGAATTATCAAGAAAGCATCGTTTCATTCATGGTCTATCCAGCCTTGGATGATCTCCTGTCGTCGTCACTTCGTTCAAGCCTTGCGCTCAGCACTAACCTCCTGGATATCCTCCACAGCCTCGACCTTCTCCTTATCCGTTCCAAAGTTGTCCACAGCTCCACCCATAGCAAGGGTCATCTCCTTGCCCTTTCTTCCGATCAAATACCATGGCAGCTCGAACACAGCGTCGATGGATTCGAGGCTCTTGCCTGCCAGTTCTGGCAAAAAGAACCACGCCCACGCCAGACCGATCAATGTCACCAGAGAGAAGAACAGCATTGTACCGCTATGCTCCATGCCTATAAACATCGACGGGACCGCCTTGCTGTTTCCATACTGGTTGACGAAGTGGATAGTCATCGCGATCGATCCGCCGATGGCTCGGAGTCGAAGGGGGTAGATTTCAGAGTTGATCAGGTACTGGATCGAGTTCCAGCCCATAGCCCAGCCGAAACCACTCAAGTATATCATGACGATAGCGCCTGTTGCTGCGGATTTCTGGCTCTTGGTCTGAGTCTCCGGGTTGTCGACGCTGGTGTCGATGAAGAGGAAGATGGCCATGTAGAGCATGGAGATGAACTGCAACGTGATCCCGGTCATCAACGAACGCTTTCGGCCGACGAAATCGATGAGGAAGAGGGCGCAGATGAGTGCTGAGACGAATTTGACGACACCGAAGATGGCGGTCTATAAAAGGTCAGTCAAGGGGGAACCACCAAAGTAGCACTGGAGTCTCGAACTTACAGCAAACAGCTTCTCATTCTGTCCAGACTGTCCAACCATCTCGAAGTATTCCGGTGCGTATATAGTGATCGAATTGGCACCACTCCACTGACCAAGCAACTGGGACATAATCGAGAGCATCAGACGGTATCGGTTCGCAGATGAAGACACGAGCTCCTTGAGCACACCAGTCCAATGAGCACCCTGGGTAGCCTCTCGTTCACGATCCAGCTGCTCGTTGATATCCAGAAGCTCCGACTGCACATACCAATGATCTACAGGGAGGTTTCGCAACCGCGAGAGGTTCGACGACGCCTTCTCATGCTTTCCAATCTTGACGAGCCATCTTGGGCTCTCGATCGCGAAGAAGGATGTCGCGAAGATGATGGCGGCGAAGTAGATGTGCAGAAGGTTCGGAACGACCCATTGCATCTCGGACGAGTTGCTGATGTGGATCGAGCAGCCCCAAGAGGCGAAGTATCCCAGCATAATGCCCAGGTACACGCTGCCGGAGAACATACAGACAGCCAGTCCTCGAGTGAACTTTGGGGATACCTCAGCACTAAAAAGCCATGTCAGCCGTCCATCTCGATCAATCCTCGAGACCTCTCAACTCACAGATATGTCGGAGCCACGACAGTGGTCTGGCCAATTCCGAGTCCAGCAATGAATCGACCAGCGTACACCATACCGATGCTGCCATTGGATGCTGAGCCGAGGAAGATTGCTATACCAACCACCCATACTATGCAGAGTTCCCTTGTTGCCCAGAGACGTCCAATCTTGTCTGTGATGAAAAAGGCCAACAAAGCACCTCCAATCGATCCCAGCTGGACCATGGATGTGATATTCGAAAGGAGATCTGCTTGCTGATTTTCGCTCAGAGACGGGTCCTTAAGCCCGAAAAGATTGATGAAACTCTTCTGCGAGGCTGACGTTCCGATGAGACCCTCGTCCAGACCACGGGCAGCGCCCATAAGTCCAAAGACTGCAATCTTGTTAGCCCTCCCAGTCCCCGTTGCTCATTGTCATGCCATGCTCACCAAAAACGCCATACCACAGCTTCCAATTCAAAATCTCTTTGGGAGAGTCATCTTGCCTTTTGAGCCACAGCATCTTGGCTGACAAGGTCGTGGCAGAAGAAGCTCGAACGGCGGTGCCTAGGTGAGAACCTTGGAAAGCTTGTGCAGACAACAACCAAGAGAAAACGTCAAGACAAGAAGAAAGAGAAGCTCTCCTCTGACCAAGCCTCCGTTGCTGCTTGGACGCCGCGGCGCCAGCGGTGCTACTCAAGTACTTATATACGTGACTCAAAACCACTTACGACACAACCGCGGTGGGCAAAGATGCACCGAGAGTGGCACGCGGCGCAAGGCGCGCTGCTAGCTGTTCTCTCCATTCGATTCTCCACGACACTAGTTCCTGCGAACAGGGTACGGGGCAGGTCGTGGAGTGCAGAGACACGCGCAGAGTTGTGGAGAAAACCGGAGGAAGAGGCACAAGACCAAGAGTCCAAGAGTGTTGAATGCTACATGCCAAGGAGGCCAAGATGTTACTACTGAACGCTTGCGGTAGTGATATATCAGAGAGACATGCAGTCAGGCGGAAGGTGTTGTTATGGCTGCTTTGGCCGCCAATCGGTGGTTGCGAAGAGGGCAAGCGTGCCGTCAGGTTGAGCTCCTCCTCGCACGAGGAGCCTGTAGGCCGGACGATGGCCGAGTGTCTGTGTCAGGTTCCACGCCGTCGGCCTGTGATGTGAGAAATTGCCACGAGAGGATTGGCTGGCGGTTTACCGCAATCGGTATCGCACGGCGTTTGCAGGCATGTGTACCACACGTGAAGGTGGAGATTCAACCCCATGGAGAAAGCTTTGCCTCCGCTTGTCGCGTTGCAGGAAGCGTTCCGACAGACGGGTGCAAGAGACGGGTCCGAAAAGAGTTTGGAAGAGTGGATTTTAATCCGTCTGTTAAACGTTCGCTTCCGCCTGCTATCAGCCATGGCGTGAGAATCAGCCACGGCTGAGAGATTATGCGGTGTGCAATCGCCCGACAAGCGAGTACTGAAGTCGCCGTGTCGAGGCTCTTTCGCAATGGACGGCGTTTTCGCTCAGAGCAAGGGCGTCCGTTGGAGAGCCGCTATCCTCTCCTCCAGGATCAGGATTGCAACATGCCAGGTCTATTGGCAGAGGCACAGTCGTCGACAGCGTCGAAGGACATGCCGCCGTAAGCACCCGAATGGTCCTCCTCGAATCCACTCATCCAACAGCAAGTGGACGATAAACTTCAATTGCCAAGTGGACGGCAATAAACACCGAATGTCGCAGTGAAAGTGACCCACCAACGCTGACAATTGCAAGAGCTCTTCTTGGGTCTGGACTCTGCAGTGTAGTCTTTTCTTATCACGCGTCGACCTTCAGGCGTGGTTTACCCACTTTATCCGCTTCCTCATCAAGCGCATTGACTTCGGCCTCAACATACGGGATGCCAGTCTTTCGTCGGGTCTCCTCGGTGATCTGTTCAATCTCTCCAGGAAAGAATACCCTATCAACGCCAGCTGCTTTGTCTGAGTCGACGACTCTCTTGTAGAGATAGTCCATTCGTTCTCTGAAGTCGTCTAGAGATACGAAAAGGTCTGGCTTGATGGCAACGAAGAAATGGCCAACATCTGCTGGTTTGTTACTTGGATCGTAGGGCCCAGTGACGTGTCCAGCAAATGCGCTGCCTGAAAGAACGCCAGAGAACACGTCCATCACTGTTGAGCGAGCTTTGCATTAGCGATGCGATGCGATGGGAATCCTTCTCAACTTACTGATTGATAGACCTGAGCCTTTGGGTCCACCCATTGGCAACATCACGCCTTCCAAGGCCTTGGCTGGGTCATCTGTTTGTCGGCCTTCGCCATCAAGAGCCCAGTCTGTGGGGATCTTTTCTCCTCGTCGTTTGGCTTTGTAGATTTTGCCTCTAGCAGCAACAGATGGTGCCATATCTAAGATGAATGGTTTTTCCTTGCCTCCAGGTGCTCCACATGCAATTGGGCTGACACCCATTAATTTGCTCTTTCCTCCCCACGCTGGCAGTGCTGGTGAGCTGTTGGTGAATACAAGGCTCATCATGCCAGCATCGATAGCCTTCTGAACAATCCAAGCTGGATCAAAAGTCAGCTGCTATCATCTTAATACCTTCTGGAGGTACACTCACCAGACATGCCAAAATGGTTGCTATGCTTCACGCTGACCATTCCAATACCATATGTCCGAGCCATTTCGATGGCTTTACCCATCCCCAGATCGGCCGCCAGAAAGCCGAACCCATTGTGAGCATCGACTTGTCCCACGACCGGAGTGATCTCCTTCCAGGTTGGCGAGGCTTTCGCATCCAGGGCACCTTGCCGTACTCGGGTCATGTAAGATGGGATCCGGTTCACTCCGTGCGTATCAATGCCTCTCAAGTCTGCAGCCACGAGGCATTTAGCCACGATTGCTGCATTTTCGGGTGAAACTCCGTTGCCTTGGAGCACTTCCTCCACGAAGGACTGAGCATCGGCCGGTTTGACATGGACTTTCTGGGCTTCTGCTCCTTCTTGGGCCATGATGAGCTTGTCTTAGGATTGAATTTTGTGTTGTAAATGCCGGACTTGGAATAACCGAGTGATGGTAGGATTTGCAGTCCGTGTCTCCCTTTCGAAGTGGCCTTACTTATATATCGTCGTCGATGATCCGTCCTCGGTCCTACTCATACGCAGTCTGTTATTCTCTCGGCGTAGACTGTTGTTAGACGGTCCAACTTACGGATCCGCGATGTAGATAGTGGTGATGGCAGCGGATCCGAAGTTCTTACAGTGCTCAGCGCTCGTCTACACCCACCGACCTCGGCCAATGCGGTTGCTTGAGGCTGCTAATAATGGGGTTCACTCTATTGGTCTTTGCGATATACCTGAGATCAGGCTTCACACTGAACGAAAGGTCAAGATCTCCATCAAAGCTGACGATATGAATGGTTCGTCCCTGCCCTGCCGTAGCATCCCCCACAAGGGAACCGAGATCGAGTACCGGTATCCGGCAAAGGAATGATGCAGGTCGTATGGCACCACGATCTTGCAGCTGCAGACTCTCAGATCCGCTTCGGGGTCTCGCAAACATTTGCTCAGGGTCGATTTTGATGGACACCTTACCATAATTGATTGTAAATGTCGAGGTGGACGCACATTGTTGTTATTCTTGCGCGATGCTCGTAGGCGCAACAGCCGCAGAGACAGCGGCTCTCTCTTCTGCCACGTCGACCAATCGGGCCTTTCCTCACCAATGACTTCTCACGACCACCGCCTAGTGGTGTGTACATGTAGCCGTCAACCCCCACCCCTCCATCTCCCTCCGCTCCGCAGTCCTGGCATACTCCGCGCGCCCTACAGTGAACCTGAGAACGACGAAGGCATGGCGCGATAGCACAGAGCGCGGAGACCACTCGTTCGCCATCGAGCTCGAGGAGCTTCCACAGGCAGCACTTGCGCCGAAGACTACTACCACACCTACAGCCCTCACACCGGCCTCTACAGACAGTCTCCGGCGCAGGCGCAAGCTTTGCGACCTCCTCGAGCGTGAGATGAAGTTCTCCCACAGCATCCAGTTCAACGCTGTGCCGGACTGGTCTTCAAACTATATCTCCTACTCAAACCTGAAGAAGCTCATATACCAGCTTGAGAAGCAAATTCACCAGAATGGCCAGCCAACCTCTAGCCAGGACCCCGAGTCCTCGCCTTTGCTTACATCCAGCTCCTTGGACGATCCGGACAAGGTCTTCTCGAAGAAGTTGGACGACGAGTTGGAGAAGATCTGCAGCTTCTACCAGCTGAAAGAGCTTGAAATTCTTGGTGAGGTCGATGCCCTGCTGCGAGATGTGGAAGAGTTCGAGGCTGAGCATGCCGCTGGTGAGGACGGCGAAGATGCTCTGCGCAGGCAGAGTGTTTGGGCCAAGGCACGGCAACAGAGCATATTTCGCAGCGTCGCCAAGCGGCGGAAGACCTCAACAATAAGCAGCGGACGAGCAGGTCGTGCACCGGAAGACGACGATGAGAGTGATGACGACGACAACGAGCACACTGCGCTCAATAAAAGTCAGGCTTCGCTGGAACGACGTCCTACAACCCGGAGCAGAGCGTACTCGAACGGTGAAAGGGCAGATGACTTTGGTTCTTCTGAGTTCCGCCGCAGACCAAGCACGGCCTTCAACGACTTTGGGGACGATGCGCTTCAAGCCCTATATGACGAAGGCATAACGCTGAAGAAACGCATTGTGAATCTCTATGTCAACATATGCGAGCTTCGCTCTTTTATTCAACTCAACCAAACCGGCTTCAGCAAGGTTCTCAAGAAGTATGATAAAATCCTTGACAGGAATCTGAAGAGCTCATATGTCGATGCCAAAGTCAAACCCGCCCAGCCGTTCCAACAGAGCTCAATGGACCGTCTGGAAGAAAGCTTGCGGAAGGTTGAGGGATCATATGCTAGTATTGTTACCAAGGGCGATGTGGAGGCCGCACGACGAGAACTGCGTTTGTCCCTGAGAGAGCACGTCGTGTGGGAGCGAAACACCGTCTGGCGAGAGATGATAGGCATCGAAAGAAAAGCTCAAGCCGCCAACTTGGGTATCAGAAACACCATGCTCGGACAGGACAATGACCCCAAGAAAGCAAGGCTGCAGGGTGACGCGGATGATGGGACAATCAAAGAGGTCACTACTCCCATTGGCAAGTACAGATGTCCAAAGTTCTTGGTTTCGGGCACCTTCTGGGTTCTGGTCGCTATCATAGCAGTATTTGCGGTGCTCCTTGCAGTTCCCATTATGGATCGACCTGAGCAACAGAATTGCTTGGCTCTGGTTATATTCGTCAGCTTACTGTGGGCGACGGAGGTAAGAAGGCTCCAACAAAAAACGTCTATTAATCAGTTCTAACCAAACACAGGCAATCCCGCTGTTCGTCACATCACTACTGGTACCGTTCTTGTGCGTGGTCTTGCAAGTTGTTCGAGAGGATGCCAAACCGTACCGTCGACTATCCAGCAAAGAAGCAGCTGGCTACGTCTTTGCATCCATGTGGACACCAGTCATTATGTTACTGCTTGGCGGCTTTACCATTGCTGCAGCCTTGAGCAAGTACAACATCGCCAAAATGATGGCCACCTTTGTGCTGTCTAAGGCTGGGACGAAGCCTAGGACAGTACTGCTGACAAGTATGGGAGTGGCCACATTCGCCAGCATGTGGATCAGCAACGTCGCAGCACCAGTCCTCTGCTTCAGCATTATCCAGCCTATTCTTCGGAATCTTCCTGCTGACAGTGAAATGTCCAAGGCACTGTTATTGGGAATCGCGCTGGCATCGAATATCGGAGGCGCAGCCTCCCCAATTGCGTCTCCGCAGAATCTCATTGCGCTGGAGAACATGGAGCCGCAGCCAGGTTGGGGCACTTGGTTCTTCATTGCACTGCCAGTCTGCATCATCAGCATATTAGCGATCTGGCTGCTTCTGCTGGCTACCTTTAGACCGGGCCGAAATACCACAATCGTACCTATCCGGCCGATGAAGGACAGGTTTACTGGCGTTCAGTGGTTCATCTCACTGGTCACTATCGTGACTATCGTGCTTTGGTGCATCAGCCACCAACTGGAGAGCGTCTTCGGCGATATGGGCGTTATTGCCATAATTCCGCTTGTGTTGTTCTTTGGCACAGGCATTCTGACGAAAGAGGACTTCAACAATTTCTTGTGGACGATTATCATTCTTGCCGCTGGTGGCCTGGCTCTGGGGAAAGCGGTCAACAGCTCTGGATTGCTCAAGACTATCGCGATTTCGATTACAGATGCCGTTGCTGATCTATCCCTGTACGGCGTTACCTGCGCCTTTGCAGCGCTGATTGCAGTCGTGGCTACCTTCATCAGCCATACAGTCGCTGCGTTAATCATCCTTCCCTTGGTGCGTGAGGTTGGAGCTGGCATGGCCGAGCCGCACCCGAACCTCCTTGTCATGGCCTCAGTGCTCATGGCGTCCGCTGCCATGGGTCTGCCAACCAGCGGTTTTCCGAACATGAGTGAGTCTCTCAATCCCCGTTCACGCTTGTCCTGTGCTAACGTATTCGCAGCTGCAATCATGATGGAGGACTCGCAAACAGGGCAAAGGTACCTGCAGGTCAGGCATTTCCTGACACGAGGTGTTCCCGCCAGCATTATCTCGTACGGTATCATCATAAGCGTTGGGTATGGTCTCATGATGGCGGTTGGGTTTTAGACGACAGCCTAGAGAACCTGCTGCGGATATATTTTAGAATGGCGATCGAGCATCGGCATCCGAATAAGAGCAACTCTTGCATCTCAATGTTGCTCCCTGTCCTGCCTTTTCACTCGACTGCATCTTCGATATCCTGAACTGCTGTCTCACGCATCATTCTCGGGATCCTCCTCGCCGTAGTTCTCCTCTTCCTTCTGATCCGCCACTGCACTCTTGCCAGCCTCCGCAGCTTTATCCTCCTCCATTTTCTGCGTCAAGAACGTATTGATCTCACTCTGCATCTCCACCGCCTTTGCACGCAGAGCAGATAAATACGCCGTCTTGTCCTGCACGCTTCCTCCTTCTTTCGGCGGTAACGCAGGCAACTCGAACGAGATCGTCTGCGTGGATGTTGGGGACTTGTAGTTGGCTATAAGCTGCGTGCCGGCCATGGTCGCTCGATTGGGGAGGATGTTGATGGGTAGATGGCTTAAGAACAGGTTTGAGAATTGGTGATGAGGCGGGTACTGACGGCTTTGGACGGATTAGGCCAAGCGGCGGGATTAGCCGAGAGTTTAAGCGAAGCCGTAACTCCATCTTTGTCCGGACTTGTATGGTAACTCCTTTTGCTGTTTTGGATGAACAACACTTCTTGTCGAGCGCTCTCTTTGAAGATCATGAGAACTGACGCCATGCCCATAGACTCAGCCAGAGCTGCATGGCTTAATACCGCTATCGCCGATGGACATAGCATCGTCGACGACCTCGAGAAATGTTGCTACGAGTGAATAGGTCTTTGAAGAAATCAGGCTGAAAGGAGAAGTATAAGTATACCGTGCATTGTTCATCTCGTCAGTTCAATTATCTCAAGCTCGGATCCAGAACTCCTTCTCTGCCCTTTTTCATTGATTGGAATTCAGCATGGCAGAAGCAAACAGCGGGCAGGACCTGGCCAAGACGATGAAAGGTATGTGGTTGTCGCAGATGACCACCAAACCAATATACTTGCTAATACATCGATAGCCCTTGTCCTCAAGACAACATCGGAGCCACCGACCATCCAGACCGTTGAGACTCCTCAACCAACACTGGGAAGTGCTGTGGTTCGCGTGTTGCAGATCAAGGTCATCAGCTATACGCGTGAGGTTATGAGTTAGTCTCCCACTGTGTGTCATCGTAAACATATAGCTAATCCCCTGAGCAGACGGCAAGCGTAACTACCAATTTCCCATGCCACTTATCCCAGGCTTCTCAGCCATCGGTCGAGTTGCAGCTGTTGGAGCAGATGCGACGATGGTCAAGCCTGGCGACTTGGTGTACGTGGACTGTACCACCCGGTCCCGAGACAATCCCTCCGACGTCTTTCTTGCTGGGGTTGCCGATGGATATACTGCAGGCTCGAAGAGGCTCATGAAGGACGTCTGGCGGAACTGGACTTACGCTGAATACTGCAGAGCTCCGTTGGAGAATCTCGCAGTTCTTGACGAGCGACGCTTGTTAGGCCGTCCTGGCGAAGGAGGGCTGGGCTATTCAATCGACGACTTGTCCTTCATATCGACACTCTTGGTTCCATATGGAGGCTTGAGGGACATCGAACTGCAGGCTGGACAAACCATTATCGTGGCTCCTGCTACTGGCCCCTTTGGAGGCGCTGCAGTTCTCGTGGCATTAGCAATGGGTGCGAGAGTCATCGCGATGGGCCGCAACGCTTCGTCTCTTGCCAAACTCAAAGCAACCGTCCCTACGCCCGGACTCGTCGAGACTGTGCAAATCACAGGCGACATCAAAGCTGAAACCGAAGCCCTCGCAAAATTCGGCCAAGCTGACTCATTCTTCGACATTGGACCTCCTGAAGCCTACCAGAGCAGCCATCTCAAGTCAGCAATCCTTTCTCTGCGGCATGGAGCTCGTATCAGCCTGATGGGTGGCTATCGTGAGGACGTGGCCATTCCTCATGTGGTCATCATGCATAAGAATATGCAGTTGCGTGGAAAGTGGATGTATGAGAGGAGTGATATTGCGGATCTGATCAAGTTGGTTGAGCATGGCATATTGAAGGTTGGTGAGGCGGCTGGTTCTCACACGTATGGCCACTTTTCCCTCGAGCAGTACAAGGAGGCTTGGGACCTTGCTGCTGAGCACACTGGTTTGGGGGATCAGATCCTGGTACAGCCATAATGATTATCATCAATCACCGCTCTAGCTGTTATCTCCAGCCAGTTTGGGGTAGCTTTACGAGTTGATCCTGACCCTGACTCATCTCACGAAGCCTCTTGAAACGTGAGCATCTTTTGAAGCCTCCAATCCACTTGCAATGCTTGTTGAAAACGAGAAAGCCCCAAGCTGACTACTTGCCAGGATGAGCACTGTCCAAACAACACCCACACCGCGCACATGGCGACACCAAGACGACACAGGCGACTACGTCATCTCAACATCAACGCAACTCCTGGACCGCGAGTTCATCACAGCCTCCTTCGCAACAGAAGACATGTATTGGGCGAAGCCGCTTGGTTCTGAACAACTGGAGCTGACGTTGAGCCAATCCCTAACCTTTGGCCTGTACAAGTCAACGCCGCTGTCTTCGAGCAAGCGTGACGATTCGCCTTCGTCGCCGAGGACACCTTCCCCAACACTAGAGGCCGAGAAAGACGAGGATCTGGAGCAGATAGGGCTGGCTCGCTTCGTCACGGATCATGTCACGTTTGTGTACATCTCAGACGTGTACATCGTGAGGGATCATCGGGGAAAAGGACTTGGTATGTGTTCTGAAACGAGCAGGATTCGAGCGCTCGTCAAGCCACGAACGAACCCCGACCCGCTGACCTGTAGTCGTTGCAGGACGATTTCTCATGTCTTGTTTCAGGGATGTCCTCAAAGGCATGCCCATGCTGAGGAGGGTGATTTTACTTTCGGGCTCGAAAGTCACGCAGGGCTTCTACGCTCGGGAATTGGGCATGTGGGATACACGTGAGGAAGAGAATCTCGCGAGTATGACCAGAACAGTATACGAGGATTGATCGTCCTAGTTGATGATACATCGTGCAGAAGCACTTTCGATTTGGGGTGATCATGATTAGTGCTGCGAGCCTCGGATGTTGGCCCATGCGAGTTCGGAGCGATGTGGTTTGTCGTCGTCAGCGAATCAGGAAGAAAAGTGTTTGCGGTTTCGGTGCCCTATTCGAACTCAAGCAGCGTCCATATCTTGCAAGAGTGCGAAAGATGATCGGCATGCATGAAGCATCCTAAACATAGGGCTACACATTCAGCGACACGGACCACCGACCTCAACTACCATGCCGCCAGCTCTGCAGCAGAGAAGATGGTGTACTGAGCCAGATGTGGCTCGAAGCCCAGCACTGCTCTGGTGAACAAGTATCGCGTCTGTTGACGAGTTGCATGGATTGCCGTTGTTCGTTGGAGAAGGCAGGCATTTTGCAGGCGCGTGCTGTGCGTGGGAAGTTAGGATGAAGGATCAAGGAAGGATTGGTGATCTTTGATCCTGTCAGCGGCGCCGGGGCGGGCGCAAAGGCAATTGCGGCAAGACCCTCGACGGCGCAAGTGGAAGGATTGTGCGAGGCTCGCCATGCCGAATAGGGGAAGTCGGACAACGTCTGCTGGCACATGAATTCTCGACGACGCATCCTTCGAGCCGCAAGAACTGTCACGTACGGTTACAAGTGGTTTGCTATTCCACATCGACATGCATCGCGGGTCCGTCCGAGCCACACGGCGCCGAAGTCCTTCTTCAGCTGTTGGTGATCGTCGCAAAGTCAACCGCTGACGGCAGCGCTCAGCGCTGCTCAGTCAGACTGCTGAATCGCTGAAGCCAGTCAAAAGGTACCAATTCGGTAAGTCTCAAGGAAACTGGGGCCTGTGGTGCTTACGAGGAACCGTAGAGTTCTGTTGGTGCTGCGTTTCCTGGCCCAATGGAGCATGGTAGAGGCATGGAACCAACGTGGTCTGCCAATCTGCGACTATCGCGATGCATTCCCCGGCTGAAGTGGTAATGTGGTCGTTAAAAGGGCTGTGACCATGTCTTCGTGAGATGACAGACATTTCCGACACTCTTCCTCTTCCTCGACAACAGCTCTCTCTCTCCCGCCTTCATACAAACAGCTGCAACTCATTGCCATCATGCTTGGACCTTGTGCAGTTGTCCCATTTGATGAGGGCGCGTACTGGATAGAGCGCTACGCGGGTCCAAAGGCATACAGAGATTACACTCGGTTCGTACTCGTCTACCATATCCACTCCGCTTCGATTTCTAACAAACCTCCCAGCCAGCCCCACCACAATGTCCATGCCTCAAGGACACCCAGCTCGTCCAAATCGTCTGTCAAGACTTCTACAAGCAGCAATAAATCGACCAAATCGTCAAGATCGTTCTTCGGCAAGAGTTTCTCGAGAGTCTTCTCCAGAAGATCCAGCTACGACAGTGTCGCTTCAGAATGAGTTGAACCACTTCTCACCGGCCACGAGCTTCGACCCAAGGCGTCCGTCGATTATTTTGGATCGAAAGCTCCCGGCCGAGTCGTCGTCGTGTCAGATAAGGCGGCAGCTGCCAACGACAATGTCGATCCCCTGGCTCTAATACACCGGGCCAAAGTCGGTCGACAGGGTCTTCGACGAAGAAAACAAGTTGATTTTTGAGTATTCAGACGCATGATATCAAACATCGGTTGGAGTTGTGTGTGAAGTTTTGCATGAAACAGATACCCCGAGCGAGAGAAGCTCCCTTTCCTGTGTACTTCAAGAGAATGAGCAGTCACAATCAATATATATCTTATATGTTCGCGTTCATCCCCATTGTCTGGCTCTAATCTTATACACATTCCGGGCGGCAGCCGCTGGATCCTGGACTCAAGTCAACCGATCGCGTGAAAGCAGCGGATACGATGAATCCTTCCTCCTTGTTACGTTCAGACTGGAATGTCTATTCCCAATACTCTCGAGCTGTCTAAGCGTTATGAACTACAATCGAGAGCTTGGTCGTGGTGCGAATATAAGAGATGGCAATGCGTTCCACTTTGCGCCGGACGACAATATAGTCATCACAGGTGACTAGTCTACCGTCTGAATGGATTGGTGAATTCCGCGCGGCAGAACACGCCCATACTCCCTCACCAACATACGCATTCCTCAAGACTGCGGACTACCAAGACCTCGTTACTTATTGCACCTTGCTACATGGCTCCCGTTATTTGAGCATTCCAACTACCCTCGCGGCCGCCACCCGGCATGGCTTTCATACGATATACCACAGCTTCCATCTCGTGGCCAACCACTAATTCCTCGCGTCTGTACGACTTAACGGCCTCGTCGCGACTATTTCAGACATGATTGCACGCAGCGTGACGTTACTGCTTCTGCTGTTCAACAACATTGCCTTCGCGCAGAACACCTTCCGATGCGTAAGGAGATAGATACACACCTTTGGCCGAGCAATTCTAATACTTCGCAGCCTCGAGACCACAGGACCGTCGTAACTGATGCCAATGGGGAGCAGTACATGATTGGCTGTGGCGATGATACCTATCCGGCTTCTAATAGGAACTTTCAAGCTGCTAATAGCTTCAACGACTGCTTTGCTACCTGTATGTTCCCAACATTCACGCGACCGAGTCCCAGGGGTAGGGCTAATTGCAGCATCCAGGCTCGGCTTCGCCTACGACCTGTGGAGCATTCACATATGTAGGAGGAAGGAACGGTGTTGGGGGAGGCGTCTGCTACCTCAAGCCGGCACAATATCCTTCTTATTGGCAGGGGAACACTGACACAGCTTTCGTCGGGGCGATCAACATGCGGTACTAGTAAGTCACAATCTCTCAATGCTACTCAGCACGAGCCTTTCATTGACGAATTCGGACTATAGTCGAGGTGCAACGGGGACTACATCGGCCGTAGTGCCCCAAGACTCTGTTTCATGTCCTGCACAAAACGGCAAGGTGATCAGAGATTTATCCGGCGTCGAATATGTTGTTGGTTGCGCTCAGGATACTACAGATGGTTCATTCGCCTCCCAGCAAGTGAATGGGGGCTTCGACGATTGTTTTAACTATTGGTGAGGAGACTGAATACGCCCGTGGTGAGGAAGCTTCCGCTGATTAACCGTAGTTCCAACAATGTGCTCGGTACATGTTACTACTTCACCTTTGTTGGGTACGTACGTCACGAAGGGGGAGAGCGACGTGAAACCTTTTGCTAGGCGTGTGTAGTACGATCAACGCTTACGAAGCTTTGCTCAGGGGCACAACGGACGGAACGGGCGCGGGAACATGTTATTGTCAGTCTTCTCGACCTGAACCAACGGTATCATACACTGACTGGCCTTCCCTCTCAAGTGAAGAACAAAAGTCGGGGAAGCTTCGCCGGCAGCAACAACAACTTCGTTGGTGCGGTTCAATTGGCCCGTTACAACGGCGCCGCAATCACATGGCCTACGACTACGACGACTGTGAGACCCAGACAATCTTGATATGCTAGACATTACGATGGGGAGCTAATGAAGAACAGCCTTCACCGACTCCAAACGTTGTCTCCCTTTCTGCACGCCAGGCGCAGGAGCTGCAGACAGTCTATTACACAGTGAGTCCTGCAACACCCCAGCAGCTCTTTGGAGAAGGTTCCGATTCTAGATGTTGCTTTTCAATCGAAGACTGAGATGTCGTTGTGCCTATCGAATCAGCATGCTGACTTTTTATAGACTGTGCAATACTTTACAGCGACGATTGTGACCAGCTATCCTGTCACGGCCACGTCAGTCTCGACTCGCTTCGTTACTTTTACGTCCAGTATCATTGTTACTGCGACTCAAATCACTACGCTTCCAGGTAGGTCTCTTTTTGTTTCCGGTCCGACAGTGGCCCTTGGCTGACCTCCTACCAGATGTTACCACGACGCTGCAATTGACAACCATCGTGCCTACAACAGTAAGCCTTGAAAGCTCAATATCGGCATTAAACAGGAGAGAGTGAACTGACCTTTGCACTCTCTGCTTTCAGGTCGTGACCACACAAATCTTCACGACTGTTGTCGTTGCGACAACCACATTGCAATTGACCACGGTGATTCCCACCACGGTAAGTCATGCAAAGGACGAAGAGCTCGTTCGAATCAAACGCTGACCCGTTCTCTCCTTTAGGTTGTGACTACCAGGTCAGTAGAAACCCCGACAGGTCTTTGTAAATCAAGAAGCACTTGATAGACTTGGAAAGCGCTTTCACCATTTCGGAGCTGACTCTCTTCCAGATTCGGAAACACTGTCCAAGTCACCACTATCGTCAATACGCAGACCACAACTATTATTCCAGTCGTGACTGTAACGCCGACAACTGTATTTGGCCAAACAATTACAGTCACTCCGAGCTTTGGATAGTGCCGTTCAAACGTGGAATAGGGTTGACGAAGAATGGAATGCAGAAAGGAGAGGGCGGGCGACGTCGATGGCGGCTGGAACTTAATGGTTTGCTTGAAACGACCTCACAAAATGAGTCGATTCTGCAGAGGTGTCATATATTCCACAGCTAACGGCAATAATTTCGCTGTGTATATGTGCCTGAAGTGAATGTTGAAAGAACTCAGAGAAGACGTGTGGTCAAAGTAGTCTCGTGATTTGTGGGGCCGCTCGGCGACTGCCGGCGTTTGCGCTAACAACTAGCGGCATGTGGGGCGCCAGCCAGCCGCTGATCTGCTTTCGAGGTTCCGTGCGTTCAACATTCGCACGTCCAACCTCTTTGTTCAGCAAAGAGGCCCAAGTCCCGCCTTCTCCTCGAACCATTACTCGCGACCGCACCGAAAAGCCGCCGCAACCATGGCCGGCGACGACAAGAAAATCACCGTCAATGGCAGCTCAAATGGCTACAACCCCTCCACGCAAGACAACATCACCATGGCAATGCTCCAAAACGGCGGCGTCAAGCGCATCCAAAGCGGCTTCCAACAACGCCTCGACGAAGCGGGCTGGTCAGAGAATCTGCGCAACTACGTGACGCAACTCTTTCGAAGCGGCGAGGCCCAGACGTACGATGAAGCACTGAGCAAGGTCAAAGAGCATGTTCGTGTGCAGCCTTTGGACGAAGAGGAAAGGGCTGTTGTTACGAATGGGGCTGGTGGGCCGGATTTGGTTATTCCGTCGGAGGTTGCGAAGGATGCGGCGGAGGTCGTGAAGAAGGAGTTGGCGAAGGTGGTGAAGATGGAGACGAAATGAAAGAACACGGTGAAGAGATTTGATTTGGACATACACAGGTCGCTGGTTCTTTCTGCGACGGTCACCGCAACAGGCTGAACGGACGTGCATGCTGTTGGCGATTCAGCGCATTGCAATTTTGCGCACATTGTCAGAAGTTGCGCAGTTGCATGGCTCACCTCTCGAGAGAACCGTACGACGACTTGTCCCGGCTTGGCACAATCGGGACATTGAGCAGATCTTGATGAGGATGACAGGATTGCAGCCAAGAAATGAAAGGTCTTGGCCGCCCTTACGACGGACTCCGTGTCTCATATCACACTGAGCGACCGCCTTTGGGAATGGGAACGGTATTAACATTTCGACGACCACCGACCCACATGCGCCGAGAGATCAGGGCTTCGCCCACCAAGCAGGATCGGAACAAGGCCACGGAGGGTACAAAATAAAGAGACGCATGACGATTATGCAAAGCAAGCAGCACTTTTAGAGGCAGTCACGTCAGCTTGGCGAAGATTTTGTGTTTAGAGTTGACCTGGTAGTGGAATGGATACTTCGAGGGTCATGGACATGATATCAGCGTACGCGCAAGCAGTGTTCCCTCGGTGATGTGGTGGCACCCTAAAGTCCGAACCAAGCCAAGACGGCAGCAACAATCATCCCATGCTGCAGTGTGAGTGCTGGTAGAGAATCGGCCGTACGACGCAACGGGCAATTGCTTGTGCGCGTAGAGAATGCGAAAGTAGTAGTCGGTATGTTACCTATGCTACTGGAGGTACGCCAGTGGGGTGTTAGGGAATAGTCAGCAAAAACAAGCCGTGCATGTGTAGGGCACAGGGCAGGATGATTGCGTAGGCAGTCCAGCCACGCTCACGACAGATGCGTGTATCGCGGAAGACGGCGGCGAGAACGGGCAGCAGAACGAGGTGAATGCAGCAAAAGTGCCGCCGCTAGTAATTATTTCATGGCCGATGTGTGGATGAGGGAGTCGTTCGCCGATCGTCTGAAGACGTCAGAGCGTGGTTAGGGACTAGCGGCGACAGACCTGCAGTGCGTCGCTTCGCACCCCATCGCCCACACATCGTAGCATCACCCAAGCATCCGGCCACCCAAAGACCATGGCTTTGTTCCCTCCCGCCTTGCGTCCGCGGCGATGGTCCTTCAAATATGTCCTCTGCCTCCTCGTCGGATCCTACCTCACCATATGCTTCCTCTTCAACATGCCTCTCTTCTCCTCGCGCCTGCCCCGTTACTCGGGCGAATATGAGGTCGGCGTCGTGGACATTGAGGCCGAATGCGAGCCTCGCCGCTTTAGCGATGCTGTCTTCAAGGACTCCCGCGAGCCGGCATTACAACTAGAGACTGTCCTCTTCTCCCTATATTACCCCTCCGTGCGCGGTGCGAAGTCGCGAGGACCACACCACCCCTGGGTCTCGAAACCGCTCTCCCTGACCGCGGAGGGCTACGCGCGGTTCGCCAAGGTCAACAACTTTCTCACGAATAATGTCTTCACTTTTGCTTTGTGGACCCTTGCGGGAAGTACGACCATCCCTGCGAATGTGGATGTGCCATTGCACGGCACCGTCAAGAACTACCACGAGAACGAAGCCCCTTACCTGGACTATGACTCCGAGCACCCATTAGACGACTATGGCCTGCCGCAGTTTCCAGTCATTGTATTCAGCCACGGCATGGCTTCTAGTCGGACGAGCTATACACAATACTGCGGCGAGCTTGCGTCGCGAGGGTTCATTGTCGCAGCGATCGAACACCGAGATGGATCTGGCCCTGGAACGATGATCACGAAGAATACTACCTCGAAACCCTTCTACCACTTCAACCACGAGATGCTCGACCCGGTTCCTGACATGGCAGACTTCAAGGTTCAGCAGCTGGCTTTGCGCCAGGCCGAAGTGGAAGAGACGGTGCGAGTGTTGGGTATGATCAACAACGGTAGAGGGGCGGAAGTATACAAGAACAACGCTCGTGCTGAGGGTCAAGATCTGGCTGAGTTCAGGGGGAGGTTAATGACGGATAGGATGATCATCGGCGGACACTCATTCGGCGCGACACTTGCGCTTCAGACATTGAAGGATGCACCATCAAAGACCCTCCCTTTCGTGGGAGCCGTGATTCTGGATCCTGGCAAGCACTCTGGACCGCTGAATGACGATATCAATGTCCCAATTGTGGTCGTTCATTCGCAGTCCTGGTCTGCCAAGCACACCATCTTCCACGGCCGACCTCACTTCTCGGTGGTCAAAGACTTGGTGCGCAAGATCATCGACGAGAAGAAGAAGTTCGCATGGTTCACAACTGCCAAGGGCACAACACATCCCTCAGTGACAGACGCGCCGCTCATCGAGCCCCTTCTCCTTTCCTGGACGACCGGCTCCACTATCGACGCGAGAGAAGGAGTACTACAATACGTCAAGATCACGCGGCAATTCATGCACTTCTTGGAAGAGGGCCATCGCCAGAGTATCTTGAAAACAGAGATCACTCACCCAGAGTACGATTCGGAACCGACGATGGAATACCCTCCCACGGTGTCGAAGCACTGGCAGATTCATATGGCGCCTTCGGCAGCGTGTCCCGCGCCTGGATACTGTGGTCTTGATGATCCTGATGACATGGAGGATGATGCCAAGAAGTGAAGGGACAAAAGAAGAGCGATTGAAACTACGCAATACTACTAAAAAGAAACAACCTTGCCATCGCCTGAATGGAGACGTGCTTAGCGACATAGATCCGCGACCACCAAGCGTCGGTCCGTCTCCAGGACTTCAGCTCGAACGACATGGTCATTCGACGGCAACCTTAGAGGACATGTAATGGCCGAAGCGAAAGATAGGAGACGAGGGGGGATGAATGGAGAGAAGATGTGAAATACCGGGTGTACCAGCCTCCCGGGCCATACCCAGCAGCGACAGAGACATGTACAGCAGCGGCTTCAAAAGTTTGTAGTAATAGCATCATAAGCCATAGAGACTTTGTAAATTATTGTCATTCACATCATGACTACATATAATCATCACACTACCTCGTTGTCCGGCTCAAAGTGGACCGCATAAGTTTGTCAGTTCTCCTTTTCTTCAAAAGCAACCATGCTCTTGTCCGCACTTCAGGCCGACTAGACGCCTTGCTCGCAGTGGAGATAAATCCACCCCTTCAAGCAGAACACTCAAGGCGACGAGTACATCACTGAAACGCCTTCTCCTCATACTTCGCCTCCACCTTAGCCTTAAAAACCCCCTCATCCACGCCCTCCTCAAAAACATCCACCTTGGTGCTCGCAAACTTCCGCGCGCTCACCTTCCTCTCAAACAACAGATCCAACTCCGCAAACGTCCGTCCGTGCGGCTCCGGCACGCGGAAGAACGTGTACACGGCGCAGAGGAAGGCGAGCCCCGCCCAGAAGAACCCGGCGAAGTTGCCCCAGTCCCAGGCGGAAGGGTTGATCATGTAGGGGGTGACGATGGAACAGATTATGCCGACTATTATGTAGGCGTTTCGGCCTGGGGAACGGATATGTTGTTAGTCGTATGGATTTTGGAGGGGGAGGGAAAGGGGACATTATGACTTACCCAACACGACGGTTTTGATTTGCAGACGTCTCGTGGAGATTTCGGCTACGAGGGAGTAGCATACAGTTCCAACGGTGAGTTGGTAGACGAGCGCCCAGACAATCATGAGGGAGCCTGTGGCGAGTCCGGATTCAACGCGGTGGGAGTCAGGGACGAGGCCCAGGAAGCCCATGATCAGGAGCATGACTGTGAGGCCGCAGAGGCCGTAGAGGTAGAGGCTGCGGCGGCCTATGCCGAGAGACATGAGACCCCATGCGCCGAAGACTCCAACCCTTGGAACGAGGCTCTGTTAGCATGGTCAGAGGATGAGTGGCGGGGAAAGAACTCACATGTTGATCGCGTATTGCCCAAGGGCGAAAGAGTAACTGTTCTCCTCGCTGACGCCCGCCCCCGTCAAGAAATAGGTCGAATAGTTGGAGAAACTGTTACCTGCCAGGTTTTGCATCGCCCATGCCATGCAGATGATCTCTGTACGACGTAAATCGGTCCCTTTGAAGCAATCCAGGTACGAGGCTCCTTTAGTGATCTTTTTCTCCAAAGCCGTCGTGTGAACCATCATGGCGATCGTCTCGTCGGCGTTGAAGTCCGTCTCGCGGCTGAGAGAGGTGAGGCGAAGAAGGGCCTTTTTGGCATCTTCGAAGCGTTCACGTCGGACGAGCCACCAGGGGGATTCCGGGGCGAAGGCCACGCCGATGAGGAGGGGGACGGGCCACATCCATTGGAGGGCGTACGGGATGCGGTAGGCCCATTCGTCGGTGCGGTTGAGCATGGAGCGGATGACGCCGATGGCGATGCTGGAAGAGAGGGTTAGTAGAGGGATATGATGTGTTGAGGAATGTTGCGTTCTAGGCTGGACTTACAGCTGTCCCAAGCCCCAGCACATGTTGACGTAAGTGGTGAGGTATCCACGCAGCGCGATGGGGCAGACTTCAGAGGCGTAGGTGATGCTCAGAGTTTGAAAGACTCCCCATGGTATTCCGCAAAGGATCTCGCCCACCAGAAGGGTCTCGACATTCGGGGCAGTGAAGAATATGGCGATGAAGCCAATGATAAGGACGAGACAGGTCATTACAGTCTTCCTGTAGCCAAATCGCTCGCTCGCCCAGCCGTTGATGAGGAGACCGATCATTTGGCCGACGTTGGCGCCGTTGCTGAGGCCTGCTTGCCAGGACGCTGGGACTTGGTAGGTGCCATCGTCGGTGAGCACGCCATACTTGCGATTAAACGTGTCGAAGGCGTAGAAATTGTTTATTAGGGCGACCTGAGGAACAATTAGCGAGGTCAACGAGTGGTCTTGTCGTTCCGATCAAAGTGGATTGCATGGTGCCCTCGTCTCTCCGTGTTTCAAGGCGACTGAGCCCTTGATTCGGCTTTAGGCTGCTTAGACACTCCCGGAGCTTTGGAGATGGATTTTCCACTTTGGCGGCGACGACGACGACATCGTAACACTCACTTGATAGCCTGTAGAGGTAGATGCTGTGGCGGCCGATCCCGAGTTCGACTTGTTGGGTGGGTCTTCTTGGGTCGTGACTTCCTCACCTACGCGTGGTATGGCAGCGAGGCAGTAGCACCTCGTGGGTAGGAGCCCACCCCAAATTTCGACCTCACGTCGTCTTTCACGGTGTGAATGTGTTGTAGATAGTGTCGGTATCAAGATGTCGTCGTTCGCTTTCCCCTGCATCCAGACCTTCGCCGATGGAACTGTGTTCCATCTGGCTGACCATACGATCCCGCTCCCGGCTGCCGTCTTTCCCCCGGACTGGGACTCTCCTTCGGCGGCAGACAATTCTGCCTTTGAGGTGCAGCAACCTGCTGCACCTCAAGCCAATGCCGTCGTTGGGGAGGACCAGCCGGTCGAGAGTAGGTCCCGCGTAGCTTGGATGTGGCCAGTGCTTACCGTTTCCAGTGATGGACGAGGACGAGGACGAGGACAAGGAGAACGACGTGCCGGGTATGCTTAGCTTCCTGGACCGGTATATTTGATGCTGACAGTTTGACGAAGCCAGAATCGTGCCTGGGAGGAGGAAGAGGAAGATTGGTAGGATTGCGCTCGACGCTGTCGCCCAATTGCTCGATCTAACGCAGTCAGTAGTGAGCGATAGTGAAGATGAGGAGGAGGAAGAAGAAGAAGAAGAAGAGAAGAAGGAGACGTCAGTCAAAGTAATAGCCCTCATCCACACAAGCAATGCTGACAGTCTCTGCAGGAAGACGAAGACGAAGTTAGTCCAGAAGCTTTGCACGCGCCAGAGGCCAGACAGAGCGGCACCACTGATACCACCGCAGGAAGAAGAAGACCACCAAGGAGGTGACCCCTCCTCCATCACCACCACCACCACCACCACCACCGGCGCAGCCAGCGCCAAAGAAGACTGGGTAATAAGTCGCATCGTTCCTTTGGTGAGAAAGTGTTGACCATGGTGCAGCTCCGCTCTCGCCGAGCTTCGCGCCCGCAAGGGCTTGCAGTGATCATCTTCACCCTTGCTCTCGCGGATGTTGGAACCAAATAAAAAAACAAAAAACAAAAAAAAAGGCGTCTTTTGAGTGTTTAGGCATTCAAAAGGCGCCAATTCCAACTTACAGGTCTCGGCTTCTGTCGTGGCCTCCGCGGATCACTTCGTCTTGGAAACTCGCCCTGATGACGACATCTTCAATGTCGCCTGGAGATTCAGGTCCACGAGAAACCACCTTCACCGTCACCGGCAGCTCGCAAACCACACCCAAATGCAAGCTTCAGCCAAGTCCGAGGTGCCGCGAGGTCAGACAGCACTGAGATCCAACAACGGCCAGCAATATCTCTTCGCGGAACGATGTCAGACGTCGCGCCGAGCAGCATCGACACAAGACGCCAATTCCAATTTACTGCGCCCTCTCCAGTTTGGTATCAGTGACAGATGCTGAGTCCAGTTGGAGAGAACCTCTTGCATTTTGAGCATCAACCCTCAAGAGCGACACGGACCACCGGCGCCAATTCCAACTTAGGGCACCTTCTTGGGCCTCACTACGGCGTGCAGCGTCTGGAGTCAACCATTTCGAGCGGCGAAAAGGACATGCAAGGAGCATGAGCAAGAGGGAGCTGCATTGCCATTTAGGACTGTCATCGGACATATCTGAAAGCGTTTTGGTTAGCAATTGGCCAGGATAAGTGCCATCGGTGAGTGAACAACCTTTCTGAGTGATAACAGTCCCTGTCTAACATCATCTCTTAGATATTGTACAGAAGCTTTCCGGGAAGAGAGCAACATCTGAAGGAGTGATAGTTGAGCAAGATACGACGTGGAGACATGTAGATGCATGGAGGAGGAATTCCCAGGAAAAGAAGAGATGACGTGAAGAGCTTGGATCTGGAAGAGCGGACTGTGGGTACAAACTTGGACGGAGCTTGTGGGGTTGGCTGCTGGCAGGGGCGAAAGTGGCAGGGTGTCCCGACGCTGCCGTTGATCTCGATGCAGCACATTTGGAAAGGCACAGCCAATGGATAACTTCCCTGTTTAAGAACTTACCTACCTCCCAGATGTCGGTCTGAATTCCTACATGCGCATATACGAAGGGCTTCAGATCAGGGAAGCAAACATGGTATGCCACAGAAGCGAGGCAAGACTCCAGCCAAGAAGGAGACGGCTTGGGCAAGACGTCGGAGAAGGTTTTCTGCGAAGTGCTCATGCTTTCGGCCTTCCCATAACGGTACCCTTACCTATTAGGACCTATATCTAGCTCCCACAGTCTGCATAGTGCTCAATAGCCGTGTGCTTATAAATGCAATAGAGCTTACTCTATAACATGCTCTCGTGTTTTGAATATCGACATTGTGCACAGGTCTTGGAAGAGGTTGTTTTCTAAAATCAATTGCTTTCTATTTCTAATCTACACGCTTTTGGAGGTCATAGTACAAATCAAGGAAAGCATCCCAATCGCTAGACATCTTGCCGATGTCTTTTGAAACTCGTGGATGATGACTAAAGCCCAAAAGGTCTGATGAAGTCATCGAAGGTGGTGATAAAGTCCGTGAGGGTGGTAATGAAGTTGTCGAGAGTTGGTGCAGTCGTGGAGGGTGTGAAGTGTCGAGAGTTGTGGAGTCGTTGGGAATTGTGAAGTTGTCGAAAGTTGGTGCAGTCGTCGAGGGTGTGAAGTGTCGGGAGGTGTGGAGTCGTTGAGGGTTGGTGATGGATCTATGGAGGATGTGAAGTGGTTCACAGATTTGCAGTCGTCGAGAGTGGTGGAGTCCTTGAGAATAATTACGAAGTCGGCGTACTGAAAGCTTAAGTCGTCGTCAATTCTCCCACCTTGTACTGGCCCCAAGAGACCTCCGCTGGGAGAGCATCGGGATGCGGCTGGTAGGAGTACAGAATCTGACGGCATCTCGATATGCCTATGCTCTCGATCTTGCGTGTTGGGGTATACGTGCACTTGCGTCCGAAGTAGTAACAAGTCTGGCACTCTCCAGTGCCGTGTTCTGCTTTCTGGCACTTTGCTGCTGCGGTACCAGTACCACCCCCACCCGCTTTGCCGACGAAGCAGGTATCGCAGGCAGTACGGGGCTGTCCCGGTCTGTCGTTTTTAAAGAACGGCTTGCCATCCCACTGTCTGCCGTAATTCTCAAGGCCAAAGCTCTCCAGGCGCTTCTTTGTGCGAGAGTGGTCAATGGTGGGCTGCTTGATGATACCTCCTCCCCGATAGCCTGCCAGCTGGTACTCCTGGCTCCAAGGATCGAAAGTAGCCGTCTTGACCCGCGCAGTCCCAATTCTTGGATGCTGCCATGAGAAGAGCTTATCGAAGCTTTGTTGCTGGAGGTACATTCGCAATGCCATGATTTCCCAAACACGAGACATGGAGGCTGGTACTTTGTCGTCTTTCAGGTTGAAGCCCATTATGTCGTATTGGAGATACTGCCTCCACCACTCGTCTCCATCTTCCTTCTCCCATTCGATGCGCGCTGCGAACTTGTGGAGGTCCTCATCATTCGTCAATCCCAAAACATCAGGCAGACAGCCATAAGCCTGGGGATGGCGGCCGTTCTTCATGATCTCAAACGTCATTGAGACTTTATCCTTGAGGTTGGGGCCATCGTCCTTGGGGTTCTGTACGAATCTGAGATTGTCGCCGGCCTTGTTATTCTTGTCAAGACCAGCAATGCAGATGTATGTGACGTTCTTCTGATTCTTGACGCCTTTTGCCACTGTAGATCGGGTTCGTGTAAACGTATCGCGGTCGCCAGCATCAATGTGGATGTAGAGCAGCCTCTCATAGGTAGCTTGGCTGACGGCTTGCAATGGGGACTGCTTGTTTAGTCAGCTCGAAAGGTTGTTGAAAAGATGTGCCCCCCAGTTGCGATTTCGCAGCACCTTCGTTGCGATCTCGTTCAATTGCATGGCCGCCTCCCTAGTCTCGATCTCGTCTGCCATCACATTCTCGTCGCTGCCCGTGGACTCGGAGGAAGCCACGTCGAAATGGGCATCAAGGACGTCGCTCCGGTAAGTTCGAAGGAGACAGATCATGACATTCTCGGCAACATCGTAGTCCTTGTCGTCGTCTCCTAGCTTCGTACCATCGAATCGAAGGAGCTCGATCGTGACCCTGTACTTAGCATCGCGGGCGGTCCTGTAATGCAGTGAATTGTAGTGGCGATCCTTCGGTGATGTCGTCGAGTATTCGTGCTCAGTATGTCGCACACCAAAATGGCGGATTGTCTTGCCGACGTACCACTTTGGCTTCTGTCCAACATACATCTTCTTGAACCCTGAGTACATCTTGAGATAGAGGCCCTTTCCGCCAGAAGCCCCATTGACTTGCTTGCCGAGACGAACGTAGTCCGGGACGTGCCAGGGGTTCTGAAACTTGAATGCATCCGCCGAACGTGCTGCTTCAGCTGCCTTTGTGAGCTCCCGGCACCAGTCGAGCAGCGCGCCCGGGTTTGGGAACTTCCTGCATATGCAAGCCCCAAGCCAAGCAAGGTTGCCATGGTATTTGGCATCGCAAATGACGTTCAGAAGACGATATGCCATGATGGTGAGGTTGTGTTCATCCTTTCGGAACTGGACACCGTCATCCCAGTTGACGTTGTCGATAGCGGTTTGTATGTCGGCATTGACCTTGGTCTCCCCCCACTTGACTTTCCAATTGACTTCCATGTGATCGGAATGGAGGACTATAGTGGGCTGCCACTCTTGTCTGGGCCGGTTGGGATTCTCCTCGTACCGCCGGGGAAATTTCACGATCACTTCGTTGGTCGCCGCCTTGAAGTGCTCTACCACTCCGACTTCGCCTTTCTTGAACGGGACGCCCTTCAATTTGCCATCACTCTTCAATCGGAAGGGATGTCCCGTTGGGTCCTTCGGGTCCTTGGCCCCAGCACTTGGAGCCATGACGGCGAGAACGGCGAATTTGGCGGGTGCGGCTTCTGAAAGTCCTGACTATGGCGAATTATGCAGTACCGAGATGGGCAAGGGCAGGTGGGAGGCCGAGTCCGCCTTGTGAGAGGAGAAAGTGTGCTGTAAGGCAGGCCTGGCCGACCAAGTCGGTCGCGGCGATGTCTGGAAGCTGTGTTCGGTTGTCTGGTGTTTGGTCGCAGTGTTGGCCAGTGACGTTAGAAGTGTGTGTCGCAGTTATGTGAAGGGGTGGTGTGCTGTGGTCGGAGGGAGGGGTGGAAGCCGAAGCGGTGTTTGGAGGTGGTGTGGAGTGGCAGAAGTCTGGTGGAAGGAAGTGGAGTATTTAAAGAGGAGTCTGCAGACTGCTGGTGAATACAGCAAGCATCTGAATAGGCAGCCACGGGTTCTCTTTGTGCTCGTGAATAGTCTGTGCTCTGCGTGTTTTCGTGCGCCTTTCGAAGCTTGCATGTGAAATCACGTGAAGCTGCGCATGTTTCACACATGCTATGTCGCACATGCTTACGTCTTCGCCAACCTTTACAGCTGTTGCACATGTTGTTTCGATTTATCATATGATCTTCCACGTTCGCTATGCATGTCGAGATTAGTATGGACCATGCGATAGCTTTGGGATACAGCTTGAGTCCCTGGATCAAGGTCATGCTCTGCTCATTGTCCGAGGCTTTTTTGGCATCGATTATCGTTTGCTTCATGCCCTCGGTGGCCTTCAAGTCGTCTTCAGCAGGGAAATGAAGAGGCCCGCCGGCCTTCTCTGAATCATTTCTTGAATCCATGGTGGCAGGTGTATGAGTACGGAAGTGTACGGTTCAAATCCAAGTCAAATTCGGAACAGGAACTAGGAAAATTTATGGATCAAAGCAGGCACTGAACCAGCACAAAGAAGAGGTGACGTTGGTATAGAAAGTGAGAAGGGAAGCAAAACAGCCGATCCCAACCTTTTCAAACAACGTGCGTGAGCGCCGCTAAAGGAAACCACATGGAACATCTCCCATCGCGTGGTCTCGCATCGCATCTTCTCAATCGCCGAGTCTGCACCGTTTCCAGCAGCGCAGAACTCCTTGGAACTTTTCAATTGGTGCTTGGTCGCGGCGTGTGGATAAAGACCAGGAACATTGTTTTCCCCAGACCCACGGCGTATGGGGTAGCGACGCGGAGAAATCTAGATTGTCTGATTCGTTGGCGGGGTGCGATGCCAATGCTTTAGGTCGTATTGGCGGTGTTGGCGTCGTCTGCTTCGAGGAAGCCGTGGTTCTTGCGGCGTCTGTGTCGTTCTTTGGGGGGTCAGGTGAGAGGTGAAGTGAGGAAGAGATTCGCCGACGAATGCTGGAAATGGTGTCGGAGGGAAAAACAAGAGGCCGGGCTTCGGAAGTTTGCCGAACAGATTGGCGGACCGACCGAACGACTTCATCTCCTCTTCCGTTCCCTCTTCTCACACAAAATGGTTCATCGCATCCCGCGGTCTCCAGAGTCTCATGGCTGTCGACAACAGCTCGCATGATATACCAAGTCCATCACGAAATTTATAATCACAGCCTGAAATGCAATTATGCAGTCTAGTATGCACGCATTGTACACTTCCCTCACATAGTAACCAGTAAGTATAGGTGAAAGTATGAGGAGGATGAAGACCACCTGAAGGATAAAAAGCATTGCCATGTCCACGTCTATACCGACTCGTCTATCTCTTCGTACCAACGGCAGCTCGGGTAGAACTACAGACTTACTGGCATATACCATCCCCTGCTCTACCTGTAGCAACTACCACCAATGCCTCCCCCTCCCAAACGAACAGTCCTCATAACAGGCTGCTCAGACGGCAGTCTAGGCGCCCACCTTAGCCTCGCCCTCCACGCCGCCGGCTGGCGCGTCCTCGCCACCGCCCGCAACCCCTCCAAACTCCAAACCGTCCGCTCCGCGAGCATCGAGACCCTAACGCTCGACACACTCTCCCAAGACTCCATCCCAGCCTGCGTCTCCCAAGTCCACGACCTCACGAATGGCTCCCTCGATATGCTCATCAACAACGCCGGCGCGGGCTACTCCATGCCGCTCCTCGATGTCGACCTCTCCAAGACCCGGCATATCTTTGAGCTCAACGTCTTCTCCTTGATCACAGTCACCCGAGCCTTCGTACCTCTGCTCCGAAAGTCGAAGTCAGGCGGCATCATCGTCAACAACACCGCCTGCTCCTCCCTTCCCTGCGCCGCTCTCCCCTTCGCAGGCTCCTACAACGCCTCCAAAGCCGGCGCAGCGAGTCTGACCGAAGTCCTGCGCTTGGAACTCGCGCCGTTCGGTATCCGCGTCATAAACCTCATGACGGGTGCCGTCAAATCCACATTCCACGAGAACGCGCCTCATGTCTCGCTTCCGAAGGACTCGTTGTATAATCCCGCCAAGGAGCGGATCGAGCGAACGATGTCCGGCGCGGATGCCGCTGACGCTGGCGATGATCCGGCGAAGTGGGCGGAGAAAGTCGCTGCGAAGCTTGGGAGGAAGAAGGTCAGTCATTGGGTGTGGCAGGGGAAGTGGACGTTGACGACGTGGGTTTTGAGTTTCTTACCCCTCGGGGTTATGGATGGGGCTGTGAAGGGGATGACGGGGATTGATGTTTTGGAGGAGAAGATTAGGGAGGTGGAGGGTGGTGGGGATAAGAGCAAGGCTTTGTGATGCTTGCTTTTGTGTATGTTTCATTACCTTCGTCGACGCGGAATGTGTGGAATCGTCCTCTCTCCGACTACTAAGAGCCGACCCTGCCCTTAATGGCACTCAGCAATACTTAGACACCTCGTTAGTAACGAGAATAGGTGTCCCACTTTGTGCAAAGGTAGGTTGAATAGGTCACAAAGGTGTATTCATTCATGTTCGTAGAGCAACGGGCGTAACGGCACCATCGGCTTGATTGGCGCCTCTCTCATACTCTTCCTATAGCCAACGCCGCCTTCGATCGATACAAGGCTGCGCATACAGCGTTTAACCACGCCCAGCTGTCGCTCAGTCTATGTGATGACTAACTGACAGGTCATGTTTCGATGTTCGGTATGCCCGAAGGCGTTCTATTACAGCCATTCTATCTCTATACAAGCTATGTCCAGTCATTAGTAGAGTGTTGTCGATGGCGACGATCAATCACTCCAATCCGCGTGGCCTTCCACTTCCACGCTCCTGGGTCCGGTATTTCACATCAGCCGAGCTTGAGCTGTTCGCATGCCGACGACGACTCGCGACTCCATTCGAGTCGACGTTACTCAGGCACGACCAAGTGCCTCCCTCTCTAGTTTTGGTTTTCAATTCCGAGACTCTGAGTTGGTTCACGTCACAGCCCATCCGTCCTTATTCCAACAGTGGTCCAGATCCTTCACCCATTCCTCGATTCTCTCTGGCATCCATCCAGCGGTAGTCGTCTCATCTTCCTGGCCCATCCGAGGTTCTCTGCCAGTCGAGCAACCATCAGGACCAAGCGCATACTGCAGACAATCATCGTTCTCTTCACATCGCTCTCTGCAGTCCTCCAGAGTGATACCTTGGGTATCTGGAGCCGGAACTTCGGGCGTGTTATTCCAGTGGTTTCGCTCTTGGGTGATGTTGGGCATGACGTAGAGCTTGAACGTATCGCGGTGGTGAAGCACGTTGGTCATGTCGTCGCCCCAAAAGCGGAAAGGCAGGCCTCGTTCTCGGTTGTGCTTTTGCTTCGCAAGTACCGATCGAATCCAGGTCTGCTCGAACTGCCAGAAGTCTCGAACTTCGTACGGAGTCAAGTGGTGGTAAGATATGGCGGGCGTACACCAGAGGACGTGATCGGTCTTATGATCCGTCCAGCCCATGGAGAAAGATGGGTTTCCACCTTGGAATTGTGGCCAGCTCCAGGTCAAATCCACTCCAGCATCATGCAATGCCTTCCCCAGCACACAGTCACCAGCCCAATGACCAGCTGTGAAGTCGTGCAGCTCGTTGACCTTTTCATTGTAGATCTCAGCACCCTTCTCCATCGCTGGCTTCGACATAACGAACGCCGACCCTCCATGTGCAAAGACATCGTCGCCAATCATGACTTCGCTGCCGTAATAGAGAGGCTTGTCCGGCTTGAGCTTGGGGAGCCACTGCAGCAAATTCGACCAGACCAGATACGTGTCGGGCTCGACGAACACATACCATTTCTTATCCGGGTACATCTCCAGAGTGCGATTGATCATTGGCAAGAACTTCCATTTGTCGAGTCTCCACCCGGCATTGTCGCTCTTACCAACAGGACCGCTCTCGGCGCTGATCTTTCCAGAAAGCTCGTCGTCGTTGAGGTTCTGCCTGCCAGCTTCCTGGACGTGAAGATAGTGTTTGAAGTCGTCATTTTTCGACTTGATCTCATCCGGGATGTCTCTCAGCACATCGTGAACTTCACGACCATGAAAGTCCTCGGCGAAGTCGGAGAAGATGACGAGATGCGGATAGCATTGGAACTGTGATGAGAGTCAGCAATCGAAGCAAGGTCCCTGCAAGACACGGGATATCAGGAATGCTGGCTATTAATACGCACAGTCGTATTCAAGTGAGCGGGCAATTTATCTTTGATCTCAGTAGCACCCGTCCGCATAACAACCAGAACATCTTCTCCGCCTTTGAGTGACTGACAAGGAATGGCCGACTCATTCAAGCCGATGGCGTGGTGAGGTGGAGAAGGAGAGTGTGTCGGTAGTGGTGAGCCGTGCACAAGGTCCGGCGAAGGTTCCTGTGAAGCTTTCTGCGGCGACTCTTGGCTCGCGTCCTCAGTGGCGGTGGTGATTTGTGGTTGCTGGCCGCCCAAAACAGGCAATTTCCATTTCGACAATGATGGAAAGCTGGAGATGTGAATGACAATGATGAAGGTGAGCGCCAGCGCTACGAAGAGGGCGAATTTAGGCACTCGGCCTATAGTGGCTGAGAGCATGTCATGGGAGACTCTGGGGCGGGCGGGTCGCGCGGATTGGGTCCGAGAGGGAAGTTGAGGAAAGAGACGGCGGTTTTTGGTTTGGTGGCGAAGGAACGGCAACGAAAGAGATGGTGAAGAGTGAGGACGGAGGTGATGAAAGCTGTCGTGGTGTTGCGACGCCCCGCCACGGTACTACGACGACTTGAAGACTCAGCGGCAGATCAGGAGAGCTGGCAGCTCATTGGTCGACGTGGAGCCACCTGCAACCGGGCGCTGATGCGAAGGCGTCAACATCTTCCGTTACATTCACCTATGCAATCATGAAGATGCTGCTGGGAATGGTTATATTTGGAAGAAGCTACAAATCCTCAGGCACTCTGTCGTTGCACAGCATTCGGCATTCACTCTTCACGACTGCCGCTGCCGCCACCCATTAGCGTGAGCTTGATCACATGCAGGTACCGCTTTGCTGGGAGTCGCTCATTCATCACATGCAGTGAAATCTCCTCATCCTGTTCCTCGAAGCTACACGCACCCTCTGGTATCTCTTCAAACATCTGGCACACCGCTGATGCCACCATTCAACTCCTCAAGGATCGAGCCCTCGATGCGAGCTGGTTGTAGCTCGTTCAAGGTCAAATCATCTCATCGACACATCATCAACGCTAGCAGGTGCAGCACGATCTCATCCTGGCCGCAAGAAAGTCTTCGCATCCTCCTCACTGACATCGCTCGCCGAACACTCCGCTTTGGAGATCAGGTACATCTTATTCACCCGCACACGATACCACATTTCCGAACGGTCACCGCCCAATTCACCTCCAAGGACCTTCTTCTTCAGCTCTCTCATGAAGTCGTTGTATGGAGCAGGCTCCTCGTACTCGTTCATCTGCTCTCGCATCACACGTATACCCTCAACAGCACGATCGTATCCGGTATTCCCCATTGAGTGCTTGATCCAGTCAAAGATGATGAACTTCAGCTGCTTGCAAGCGTCGTGCATGTCTTCCAGCCTCACAGTGTCGTCCGAGGCAAGCAGCTGAATGAATTCTGGGATAGCGTTCTTCGGATCAATGCGCTTGGTCTTTCGCTTGGGATCTTGAGCCAACAGTGCTGCGACGTCCAGATCTGAAAGTGGCTTTGGCGCCTCCTTCCTGCTCCACCGCTTGCCTCTTGCCTTGGGCGGCACTTTCTTCACCTCTCCAGCCTTGATGACTCTGTCCAGTTCTGACTGGGCTTGCTCAACCAGCTCATCTGGTGGCTTCGAGTATTTTGTCAAGATGTCGAACACTGCTGGAGGCTCTGCGCCTGGGAAAACGGCGCGGTGCTTGATCACTTGCTGCAGACGATGTAGTGTAGGATTGTATGTCTCGTCCATTGGAGCATATTCTGCTTCCTCTCCTTCGTCGTCTTTTCCGAGCGTCGAAAGGTCCATGCTGTCAACATAGGCGCTCATGGCATCCTGTAGCTCATCGTTGGGCAAGTTTCGGTGTACTTTCAGCTCCTTACCACTGACTGTCAAGACTCGGTCCAGTGGAGGGAACTTGTAATTTCGGATGTCCTCAGCGAAGGGTAGCTCGATCTCATACAGACACTCAAAGTCAGGTTCGATGTTTGGTGCCAGTACGACGATCTTTGGCTGGTTGTTCTCCTTAGGCACAAGCCGTGCAGCAGCGTACGAGTCCAATTCGTAAAGTGCATGGATCAGCGAGGAGAGAGCCATCGAAGCCTTGTCGTTGTGTTTCTGCGAGACAATGACATTCGCTCGGCTCATTTCGAGATATCGTTGGTACTATAAGCTGTCAGCGTATGATCAATTTGCGGCGGTTGCGTAAGATACTTTGCTCTTGTCGACGAAGCCGATAATGTCAAGTCCCGGTGACGTCTCGAATCTGACAACATTCTGGTCACTCTCAGAGATGTGGACCGCTGTCCTCCCATACTCGTAGCCTTTCGACAATTCATCGCGCTGCAGATCTCGCTTGTTGCCGGCGGAGTTCTCGTCATCCACTTGATACGTGTACGTACGTTGAATGTTGGAGAGGCCGTCGCCGTCTTGCCCACCTGCCTCGCCATTTGACAGAGTCGCGGAGCTTTGCGTCACTTCACTAACACCATCACGCACTGCGAATGAGCTTGCTGAGGGTGGCGAAGCTTTCATCGTCTTCGCATATCGCTCCACGTCAATCGTCATAGAGTCTTCGAACAGCTCCGGATTGCCCAGTGTAAGCAGACCCTTGAATGTGGGTGTCGGTTTGACTGCTTTTGTTCGAGGGAGTTGAAGTTCGTCGACGGCTTGCGCAAGTGTTCCGAAGACTCCATCGCAGTCCGCGCACAGCGTACGAAGTATCTCTTCGTGCTCCTCCTTTTCAGCTGGCTTCGATTCTTCCTTGAAGCCATAGTCTGCATCATCAAAATCAACACCAAGGATCACAAGCTCGATGCTGTCCTCCTTGAGCTTCTTGGTAATCTGCGAAAGATCCTCTGTTTGCATAGGTGCCCGCGCATCAGTGATTAGGATAATCTTCCGGACATACTGCAATTTCTTGCACTTCTCTGAGATCATCTGAATGGCGACGATCAGTGCAGATATGGCGTCTCCAGTACTCGTCTTGTTGACAACCAGGTCGTTGCGTAGTCGGCGGACATCCGGCATTAGCATTTGATTCAGTTCCTGGCACACTTTAATATGTTCGTAATCTTCCTCGTCTTCCTGCGGGTTCTTCGTCTCATCGGTTCGCAGTCCAATCACGCCGATATTGGCAGTCTTCCGTCCATTCGCCACTGTCGATGTGATCTTGTCCCACACGTACTCCAGGGCCCAGTCCAAGTTGGTTTGTGTGCGGCCTTGCTTCCGCTCGCCCATAGTACGGCCGACATCGACGATGTACACTGTCGCTTCTTTGCTCGCCATGATGATTTGTGCCGCTCTGTAGGCGGATTGAAGAGGTTGTTCACATTCTTATGTGGTTGATTGATGGAGGGAGGGTCGCTGCGTTTGAGGCAGCAACGCGCTAGTCACCGCGAACGTGCCACGCTAGTGGCTCACATCACGTGTCAGTCGACCCGAAGCGATGTCACTCGCTATATGGATCAATCATTGGACTCATTGGCTCGAACATCAATATTATAGCAGGTGAAAGCCGAATAGACTATCTCAACTCAAGCAGGTATCTATGTTGTATTCCGAATTCATGGGCATTGGATCGCACCTGGCGTGAATGTTGTCCGCCAGCAGTAAGAAATCAATAGCTCCTGTCCCTACGATCGAATGACTGAAGATACTCATTCTAAATGAGCCCTTTTCCAACATTCCCGCACAGCCTCGTCGTGATCAAGCTTGAATACTTCATGAGACTCCTTCTTCAGGTTCGCCTTGAGGGTCTCGGGATCATTTGTGATGCCCTTCTCAGCCAGAACCGACGCAGGCATGCGCAGCGTCTCCATGTGTTTGTTGAGTCTCAGCACGCAATCGACTCTCTCCTGCCTGAACAGCTGCCATCCACGCAGCGCCTTTTGTAATCGCTCGCGGCTCAAGTCGTTGCCGAGCTTGCCCAGGACAGCGGCAAAGCTGTTGATGTCCTCAAAGGCCTGATTGCAACCCTGTCCTGATGATGGTGGTAACGCATGTGCAGCATCCCCGATGATCACCACTCGCCCCTTGGGATTCGAGCCAGTGTTCGCAGAGGTCCAATGCTCTAGCAAGGGAACAGTATATGCAGGCCATACACGCAGCTGCTTGTCCGGTATATCCGAAAGCGCATTCCTGACGACTCGGGGGAACTTCTCTGAGTTCTCGCGAAGAATCGATCGAAGTCGGTTTTTGTCATTGTCGATCGGCGTCCAACGCTCTGCTTCTCTGGGAAAGGGACGCATCACCGTGATCATACACTTGTCGGCACTCTTGGTCTCCGGAGAGGCGACAAAGGCCCCAAGTTGAGGCACGACAATCCCGCCCGGCATCGGAAAACTATTGTTTGGATCATTGTAATTTTTGGAATCCCTTTCCGGTAGGCCGAATTGAGCAGTTGGCACGGCAGCCACGAGAGTAACGAAGCCGCCGTAGATAGGCTTGACATCAGGTGCGATGTATTTTCGAACGGCAGAATGGATTCCATCAGCTCCCACGAGGATAGAAGCGCTGGCGCTACTGCCGTCGTCGAACTGCCATGTGACTTCTTCCTCTGTTTCCGAAACGATGTGGGAGTACTTGCGGTTGAAGTGGATCGGTATCTCGCTTTGGCGTACTTTGTTCAAAAGTTGCCCCAGAAGAGTGTAGCGGTTAATTCGCACCGCGTGCATGCCGTATTTCTCTATGCTTCCGTTCTCGATGTTCTGCAGAATTTCGCCCGTGATACCATTTTGGACGTAGATGTTGTCAAAAGGCCAAGCTTTCTCAAGTAGAGTTTCATAGACGCCAATGGCTTGCAGAGCTTTGAGCCCATTGGGATGAAGCATCAACCCGCCGCCAGTATCGAGAGGTGCATCGCGGCCTTCGTAAAGTGTACATTGTATGTTCTGCTGCTGCAAAGCGAGTGCTAGAGAGAGTCCTGATAGGCCAGCGCCAATGATGGCGACATGGAATTCTGATTTCGACATTGTTCCAGGCAGAGGATGAATGAATGGCTGATGTGGATTGTCAGGAACCAAAAGATGTCATACCTGATATACCATGTCTGCATGCAGTATTGAGTCAAACCATTGAGTCAAGATCTAGAGTCATTCTCACAGCCTTGCCCAGTGATTTGGATAGTCCCAATATACCTGCGAAACTAGCAGCTGCCCTAAGACGTGCATCCTCTTCAGCTGACTCTTCAGCACGCTATGCTCCAAAGTCGTTTGAATGCGCACGGTAGTTTTCGGGCTGAGTAGCTACCGATAGCACTGGGCCTGACACGTCACGGCTCGCTCGGAGCTGAGAGGAGGAGGTCAAGGATAGAGGAGTCAGGGCAGACGTTGAAAGTTCCCAGAACATTTGGAGGAAGATGCGAGGTGGACACGCTAACGCCCATTAATCACGTGCAGGATGTAGTGAAATCTCCGAGATTTGACCGATGCTTGACCTCACCAAACAATCCATCGAATTGACAATAGCAGTGTTGCAAGACCACGAAAGATCCAAGACAGCCAGCGCTCTGTATGGCAATGCAAGGTATCTATACGATAAGATTCCATGTTGTTGCAGCAGAAAGAGAAGTAAACACACCAATGCAAGCTACCTGTCCTTGATGATCTCACCACTCGAGACCCTCCCTCACCTCGGACCTCTTCTTCATGCTTTCATTCTCTAAACACAGATTCCAACCCATCCCAAACCACCGCCACAATGCCCTCCCTCTCCTCCCTCACCGACCCCAAGCCCTACCACATCCTCGTCTACGGCTCCCTCCTCGGAAGCAACTTATGGAACACATTCGGCGCCGGTCCCCTCGCCTATAAAGCACTCCCACGACCATCATTCTCAACGCTCCAACAAGCCATCTTCCCGACCTTCTTCTCATTCCACACCGTTCTACCGCTCGTATTGGCGTTCACATGGCCGGGAGAAAAAATTGTTTCTGCAGGTGGTGTAGTCAGGAAGAATGACGGAGTGTACGGGTTGCTGGAAGGAGAAAATAGATGGATTGCTCTGGCGCCTATAGCTGCGATGTTCGCTACGAGCCTGTTGAATTTGGTGGTTCTGGGTCCGGCGACGACGAAGGTTATGAAGGAGAGGAAACATCAAGGTTGGTTCGACGAATATACAAAGACTTAGGGTGATATGCTGACTATTGGGTAGAAACGAGAGACGGGAAGAGATACTATGATCCAGGCCCAAAGTCGCCAGAGATGCAGAAGCTCAATTCGTCATTCATGAGGCTACACGGTGTCTCGTCGCTTTCTAATCTGGTTGGTTTGGGCGCTCTGCTGGTCTATGGCTTCACGCTGGCCGAGAAGATATAATACACGCCAATGGGCAATCTAGAAACAAGAACCTACAATCTCAAAACAAAGCCGATAAGAGCTCGCGCTTTATCTCGAGTATACCCAAACCTCAGCTCGGAGTTGCAGGCAGCGTCAGCGGTGCTGGTGTTCCAGTCTGCTCGCGCGTGGTAGTCGCCTCGTTGGGACACCAGGTGGACTTGCCATCACAGACCGTGACAGGCCAGACATCCGCGCTTGCACTAGGACCGCAGTAGCACGATAGAGTAGCCGTCGACGATGCTCCACCATCTCTGGCCGTGATGCCTGAGCCGCTGATCTCCCCCATAGCCTCCGTCACCACGTACTGAACAGCTACGATCTTCGTGCACTGAGGAAGTCCGGAAGATGCCGGTGGACCGCAGCCCGTTGCAGTGCTATCAGTGAGATTTGAGGCGAATGTCGGCATCGGTTCGAGCGTGATTTGTGCTGATGCTGCGCAGGCTGGGAAGGAAGTCGAAACGATAGAAGTGGTCGATCCAGTCAACTCACAGCCTGACCAGACCGTGCTTGCTGTTGTAGTACAGGTGGTGGATGGTATGATGGTCGAGCCCGCAATGACCGTGGAGCCCAGAGCGAAGCAGCTGGCCGTCTTATCCGTTACCGTCGTCCTGCTGAAGCAATCCGTGCTGAACACAGACGTAGCACTACCTGTAACATCACAGCCTGACACCATCCTCGATCTTGTTGACCCACAATATGTTGACGTCGAGTTGGCCCCTGTGGCAACTGAGCACAGTTCGGAGATGTGAGTCGCTGTGATCTCATCACAAGAAGTGGTGAAGACCGATGTCTTAGTTGGGCTGACTTCACAACCAGATGCTTGCCTCGTGATGGTGCTTGGGCATTCCGTACGGGTAGTGCTGGCTCCTGTGATGACCTGGCACAATTCGCTGACATGGTCAACAGTAGTGGTCTGGCATCCAGTGCTGGTGACTGTCTTGGTACTCTCCGGCTTGATCGTACATCCAGAGCGAACCTTACTGGCGGTCGACGTGCACGTCTGGGACGACTTCCCGTCTGCGGCCGTTTTCATCGCGCAGAAAACAGTCCTATCCGTGGCACTGGAGATCTTGGTACACTCATGCTCTTCTTCCTCCTTGGGCAGATCGTCACAATTCTCCATGTTCGTATCACAGACCTTCCCCTCTCCGTTCAACATGGAGCCATCGGGAGGATCGCAGAACTCGCACTCGGAATTGTCGTCGTTGCCTCCTTTCTTCTTGCAGCAAGGAAGCTTCAAGAGTCGACAGAACGTCTTCGTGATGAGGTTGCACTTGAGCTTGGGGATGCGGATCATCTTGATGAACCATCCCGCGATTCCTTCGCAGGAGATCCAACCACAGTCTCCTTCGCAGCCCAGGATATCACATGGGTCAGGCGGTGGAGGGAATGTGATGCCGCCGGAGCGAATGGTAAGGGGAGGTGGAGGGCCAGGCGGATCTGGAGCATCGAACCAGATTGGAAAGATGGGTACTGCATGGTCGTCGTCGTCGTCCTGAAGAAACGTCAGTGTATGCCCTTGGAAATACTGTACAAGAGAAGAGTCCATGGCTCACCTTGCCGAAGAGAGGCATCTTGCATGTAGTCGACTTCCAGCAGTATCCCCAGTTTAATTGGCAGCCTTCGCCGCAAAAGTCAACTCCTTCACCGCACTTGTTGTCCTTGCCGCAGCACTTCTTCTTGGGACAGAGCTAGAAGACAGTCAGCCTGAAGAATATAGATTTGAGGAACTGAACTCACGTAATGGTTCTCCGGTCCACACTTTCCATCAGCGTCAGTCTCAGGCCAATGAGGCGGGCAGGTCGACAGTGACGCGGGAGCCGTGATATTGATCAACCCGCCCTGACCACCGAACCAGTTTGGTGCAGCTGTGAATACGTCTGCTTCCTCGGCCTGCATCGGATAGAAGCACACTTTCGAGGTCGTGATGGGTGGAAAAGAAATGGTCGTCATCGTTCGGAAGTCGATGCCATCGCAGTGCTGCTTGCATAGCGAGGTCGTGTATGGCGGCGGAGTCACCACGGTGGGCTTGTCTAGTGTCAGGCAAGGCAAGTCGAGGTTGCAGGGCACTTTGCAAGTTACTGTCGGAGAGGGTGACTTCCATAGGCTTGGGTCGATCTCGCTCAAGACGGTGACGCTCTGGAAAGTAGAGGATGGTGGTCCAGTGCTCGAACCTGTGGGTGGCACAGTGGTTCCAGAAGGCACAGGAGACGATGAGGATGGCGAAGGTGCTTTGCTGCTTCCAGAACTGAATCCAGGGCCCAGAGTTGTCGACGAAGAGGCAGGTTTTGACGAAGAGGTTTCCGAGTTCGTACTCGTAGGGGCGGTAATGATAGGTACGCTTGTCGAGGCAGAGCTCGTGCTTTTGATGCCATGTAAGCTCGAACTCTGACTGTTGCTTTGCGAACTCGATGTTGATGCCAGGCTCTCCGATGTTGTTTGGCTGGTTGCTGACGAAGAGCTCGAACCTAGCCGGGAACTGGTATTTGCCGAACTCGTTGTCAGAGGCCGAGTGCTCGAGGTTTTCGAGATCCTCGAAGATGAGCTGGAGAATGAAGACACATCACTCGTTGTAATTTTCGCAGTCGTACTCGAAGAGACAGCACTCGCCTGGGTCGTGGCCGTCGAATTTACCCCTGAAGTCGAAAGCGAGGTTGTCGAAGAAGTTACTGCTTTCGAAGTAGCTTGTGTGGACGATAAAGTACTCGTTGAGGTTGATGTATTCCGGCTGCTTGTGCTTGGTACCTGGGAAGTAATGCTTGAGCCAGTCTGTAAAGAGGTTGACGATGAGGTTGTTGTGGATCCCAGCGTTGATCCAGTCTGCTGGGAGACCAAGGTGACCGTCACCGCCGGAGGGCAAAATGTGGCCTGGCGTTTGTTGGTGCCGCCTGAGGGAGTCGCTGAGACTGTGTGTCCATCATCGACCAACAAGACATTGGTCACAGCCTGTGTCTTTTCAATCTTCACGCCATTCGAGGTCATGATGACAGTGTTGACTTGAGTAAGCGTGATGACTTGTCGACTGAGTGAGGAGCTTCCTGGGCTGACGGCAGCAGCAGTACCACTAGAGGCTGGCGTGTTGGGTGCTGAAGCCAGGTTCGTGATAGTGACTGTTGCTGGACATTCCTCCTGTGCCGTGGCCAGCCTGAGTACTCCAAGGGCTGGAGCGATCCATTTCGAACGACGCATGGTTGCTTTTAAGTGTGTGTAAGCAGTTCCACAATAGAGATGCACTCTCTAAGAATGATGTGACGGGTGTGTTGTCTTGAAGAAGAGGAAAGCCAGCTGCCAAAGCCCCTGTGGTACTCGAGCCTTTGTGCTCCTTGTATCAACACGTGGCGATGGCTTTACAGCCCCTTGTGATTGCGAATTCCTGCTTGAATAGTCTCTTTTTGAATGTGACGAGGAGGATCAGGGCGTGGACATCTATTCTGGGTAAGCTGAGTCGCCGTCCAGTCCAGACGTTGAAGTGCCGGTGGCTCCACGATAGACTGATGCTGCTAGATATGCTGTCGTCTCACTTTATGATCTGGTGAATATGGTCGTTTGTAGGTCTGAAGATCATGGTGTTAGAGCGGAGGTCGTGTCTGCAAGGAAGGTCATGAAATAAGTAGAAAAGGGGTATTGCCCGTGACAGGTGCCTGTGATCAAGATATGCATTTCGCTCGCATACGAACATGCAACTGGAGAGAGCGCTGCGGCCATTCCTCATCATGAAGCGGCACACCTACTGCTGAGAGGAATACGAACCACCGTGAATGCTACTGCCAGAAGACTGTGCTATTTTCTTCGTCACATGTTGAAAAGCTGTATTAGAGCTCGGCACAGTGACCTGGTCAGATCCTCCCTCAGCGACGTGTGAACTTCTGAACGACTCTTGCGAAGATCTCGTTGCAAGGTTGTTAGTAGGCCTGGCCTGCATCATCCGCGAGTTGAAAGCAACTTCAAAGGGATCCAGAACAGTGGAAGTATGCCGTCCAGAGCGACGATCAATCTGCTACCAGTCAATTGTAGGTCAAGAATTTATCAAACTCTGATGGGCATCGGGTGCTTCGAGGTTGTGATGTTGTTGAAATTTCATGGTAAGAACAACTCAGCTCCTGAAGGTGCAGTCGGTTGACGCTAGCGATTTATTTGGCTCTGCATTACGTCATCGATATCTGGCAAGTGAATCAAAAGCGACATCGATGTCGCTTAAGACGTTACTCGTTTACGACTTGGTGTATCTATCTCAGACTCAGACCTCAGCAGCGTCTGGCACGACTTCAGACAAAAGCGATGACCTGAAAAACTTCGAAGCCAGCACTCCAAGAGTGCACCATCCACAACAATGGTCCTCGAATACCTCTTCTTCTGGAACTACAAAACCGCCGAAAGCAACCAATGGCGTCCTCAACCTGGCCACAACCCAACAAAATACATCGACAATCTACCAGCTCCACTCAAACGTACAGACGTGGAAGCAACAGTTGTCGATGTGGCACCCTTCGTAGCCGGAGTTGGTGGACTCGCTCATATCTCGCAAATCATGGATTTCGGATTCACAGCACGGGCGAGCATCTTTCATAATGTCAAGACCATGACGGCTATGCATCGGACGGTTATCTATTTGACGCCGCTGGTCTTCATGTGTCAAGCTGGCGGCGTTGAGTACAGGAATTTGATCCCGCGGTGGGCGCACGATAGAGAGCTTCGGCGCGATGAAGAGGAAGCGCGAAAGCACGTCGACGTCGGAATGGCGATTGGCGGTGTTAGTTGGATCTCCAGGTTGTTCTTCAAGCTTGGTGCTCGATACTGGGCTCCGATCGACATCATCGCTGGAGGAGCACTGGCCGACCTGCTGCAGAGAGAACATATCAAAGCTCATGGGCTGTAGTGACTTCGAAGAAAAAAGATTCGTCGCTACATACAGACACCAGGCTATCGTTCCTCCTCTCCAATCTCGATAGCCTGTCGCTTGCGTCGACGGAGGAAGGCAACAGTAGGCGGATTGATTACGTCGTTGAAGACCGCTGTGCCATAGACCAGCACGGCAAAGCCGAGAACCTGCAGCCACTTGAAGGACTCCCATCCAAGGCCCAAGCTAACAATCCAGATGAAGAGCGTTCTGCAAGTGTCGATAGTGCTTCGTGCTGTAGCAGAAATTTGTCGAGTGACACTCAGACCAAAGAAGTTGAAGCCACTGTTCGTTCGTTAGCTTGTACATACTCAAACACAGCGATGTCATTTTCACTCACCCGATAGAGATCATAATGAGAAGTGAGGTTATTCCGATGGAGGGATAGTGGAACATCTCGTAGAAGCCTTCACGGGCGTCGAAGTAGCCGCCGCGGCCAGCGTCCGTTCGGCCCACAGCAGCGTGAAGTACGCCTGTAGCGATGAGCGTAACAGTGAAGCCGAAGATGCCTTCCCAACCAACGACTTGCAAGGGGTCCATAGAATACTTCTCCATGATAGACTCCTCAAGCACAAATTGGGTGGCCGTGAATATTTGGGCAGCAGCAATCAGAAAGAAGCCCAGTACGGTCTCGGCTGCCGTGTGGACCTCCAATGATGAGACCTCATCACGAAGTAAGATCGCAACTCTCTTGAAAAGGTCTGTCTTGTCATCTGGTTGAGTGTTGCCTGGGAGTTCCGGCTTGTGCTGCTCCAAGGCGCCTGCAAGACCGACAATAGCGACACCAAGCACGACAACAAACAGGCTTATCCATTTCCAAGCACCAAGATGGCGTCTGAGGAACAAGACGCTGAAAAGGCCTACAAAGAGTACGAGAGCGCCTCTTGTCATCTGGTAGATTGATGCCGCAACGAAGAACAACCCCACGTTCATGAGGGTTGTCCCACAGATGTCGCAGATGGCCGGAGATGCCAGCATGAGTATCTTGACGCCAGTGAGCGGCTGTCGCTGAGCATTGTCTTCTGCATCGGCGAATGGCTTGGCCGTGGAGAGGTTTGTGGGATCTATCAGCGTCTGAGACGAGCTCAGATTGGTGACGCCTTCGTCGTCATCCTCCTCCTCTTCTCCTTGCTCTTCTGAAGCCACGGACTGGTATGTAGTATCGTCGAGCGATAATCTTTGCTTTCGGAGGCGTTTGTATAGGTAGGAGAAGAAGACGACGAGCCAGCATCCGGACTCGCCGACGAACATCTGGAGGGTCTGGAGCACGGGCTGTTCGAATAGCTTAGGGTGATCGGTGTCGCATTTGGCCACGCATTGCATGTCCTGTAATCGTTAGTGATCTTCTACCTGTGCTTCACCTCTTCGGGAGATACATACTTGGTACTTGGTGAGCAGCGTGTTGCATACTCCGGTCAAGAGCATGAAAGCCACCAGCACGGGAACCAGCGCACGCGTCGTCATGATGGCAGCGAGCAAAGATCGACTCGGAAATATGAAATTCGCAGTATCAAGAGAGTATCTGGAGGTGGGAGAACAGAGGGAAGAGAGTCACGGTGTTGGGTTGCTCGTGTGACGTGCTCACATGAAGCTCGTGCCAGCGATAGCGGCTCATTGTCGGCTCATGTCCGCCGAGAGAAGAGAAGGCTGGACGTCGTGACAAAGACCCATACACGTTTACAATAGACTTTTTCGTCAACTCCTCACAGATGCTGCTGATGTGCAGTGTTTAGTGAATATTATACGCAATTGCTATGTCTCCTTCACCTTGCCTGCCGCCGCTCAAGAGCCACTCAGAATCACCATCTTGCGTTTACACGCCGCATGCCAAACCGTCGTCAAAGAGTTCTGGACCGTGTCTAGGATCTGTGCATCAGACTGGACGGCCAGTCCAGGCCCGTACTCGGTCGGATCTGCGAGGTCTGGTTGCATGAACTTGGAGGCGAAGGCCTGTCTCACTCGTTTGTAGGCTGCAATGGTCCCTTGCTGGTCAATCGATGAAGTGAGCCACGCTGGTTGATCTCGGGAAGATCAGCAGTATCTGCCGAAGAAATCGTAACGGTGGCACTTGACACTTGTTCCAGCATGAGTGATGGCGGAACGTGGTCGACTGTCGTGACCGTACAAGAAGGGTTGCTTTTGTGGCTGCCGTGATTGTGCGTTGTCGTACAATCCTATTTGGCATGAGTTTGCGTGCCTGGACGTATTGCATTCTAACACATCGACTCTGTAGTAGATGCGAGGTCTCTGTTCAATCGACTGCTGTTGAAGATTTGACCAAGGTAATCGTTTCTGTTCTGAAACACACACTTGAGAATAAGCCTCCACCGGGATCGATGATCCAGTCAAGCTAAGTATGCTTGTGAGTCGAAAATGTTGCACCAAGGACATGGTTGAGAATCAGAGCTTGGATTGAAGCGATGGATCTTGTTCGCTGCCCTTCAAAAGAGGTTCCAACTGGCGTCGAACATGAGCCGGAATGCCTTCACTCGTGGGTTTGTTGCTCTTGCGTTCGACCCATATCTGTATAAAGCCGCCGACAGCTTTGACCTGGTCCTCGCCTTCTTGGAATACGCCGACTTCATACCTGCGCAGCATCGATTAACAAGCAATCTCGATAGCCAGAGGAAGATCGAACCTACATCACACTACTCTTTCCTAGCTTCACCACTCTAAGGCCAATGTTCAGCATGCCAGGATAGTGAGCAGACCCGAAATAATCGCAGTACGAAGAGCCCACAAGACCAATGTGAGGTGATCCCGATGTGCTGTATCCAGTCTTCTGAATTAAGTACGAGTTGATGATTGAATCAATGAGCACGCCGTAGATCGGATTGTTGAGATGATGGAACATATCATTGTCGTTCCTACACAGTCACCTCTTGTCAGATTGAATCCCCACGACCGTGTTCGTTGGACACCCTCACCATCTCGACCTGTAATCTTCGTGGTACACGTAGTCGCTTCGTGTACGTTTCCGTTTCGATGCCAAATCGAGTCCCAGAGCGCCAGCCATCTTGTCCAAGGAGATGATGAAAACACAATCAAAGAAGATGAGGTTGAAGTAGTAAGGGTGTTGTCGCCGGCGATGTCGTCTCCTGCCGAGGTCCTTCACAAGCGTGAGGCCCGAGCTCCACCGTCAGACGTCACGTCCTCCTCCTAAATGATATCTGGATAGTATTGTTGACAAAACACTACATGCAATGAATGAGTAATCAGTGAGCTATATTGATTGATCTCTGGATCAAAAAGTCCAGAACAGCGGCATCAATTCTCCCAAACGACTTCGAGAACCCTTCCGAGTCCGAAGACCCACCCTCCATACGCCCGTCCTTCCAGATCACCACTTCACTAGTGACGTATTTAGCCGTGCTTCGTCTCCATCGCTGTATCATTCTATTATTTTCATCATCATAATATAGCCCTTGTCCATTGTCAACCAAACAACAATCCATTAACCACCCAAGATGATCGTCCTCCACCACCTTGGGATCTCCCAATCCGAACGCATCACCTGGCTCCTCGAAGAGCTCCAACTCGAATACAAACTGGTCAAGCACACGCGAGCACCAGCCCTGGCACCCGACTCTCTCAAGAATATCCCCGGCAACAACGCCGGCAAGAGCCCCTTCATCGAAGACCCCGATGCTGGAATCACGTTATCCGAGAGCGGTGCCATTACCGACTACATCATCTGGAAATATGGCAATGGCCGCTTGGCATTGAAACCAGACAACAAGAACTTCTCGGAGTATCTGCACTGGAAAGATTTCTCGAACGCGACTTTGCAACCCGCGAGTAAGCCGCCCTCCTCAGCCTGACGACAGCAGAGACTAACCAGGAGCCGCAGTGCTCACCCTCATGTTCCTAAAAGCCGCGCAAATCAGCGAAGAGAACCAAATGCTCGGCTTCGCAAACCAGCGCCTCCACGAAGCCTTGAAGCTGATGGACGACCGATTGAAAGACAGCAAGTGGCTTGCAGGCGACGAGTTCACTGCGGCAGACACCATGAGCGTGTATCCCGTGACTACGCAACGATACTGGGGTCCTCAAGTCAGCTTGAAAGAGTACCCCAACCTGTTACGATGGCTGAAGGACTGCTCGGAGCGTCCGGCGTATCAGAAGGCGATGGAGAAGGGCGATCCTGATATGGTGAGTCTTATTCAGAGGCGATCCAGGCTGCAGCGGATTTGTATTGCTCTTCCTCGGATGCCTTGCAATCAGAAGTTGCTGACACAGTCGCAGAAGTTGTTGATTGGAGCCGAAGCCCCGGGGGAGAGCCTCCTGGCAGCAGGAGGGTCCGAGAGCAGTATCTGGAAGAAGTGAATACAATCACAGTTCTATCTGGACAAGACGCTATGCAATCTACACAAAGAATCATCAACTCATTGGGTATCCAAAGTCTCTGGGTGCTGTACGTCTTGCATTACAATCTCGTCATTTTCGTGAGCCTTTGGCCCTTCTCAAGCTGCCCATGTCAAAATCGCCCTCTGTGGTGCCTGGATCTTGGAAAGGGCTCTCGTTAGCTTGCCTTGATGGAGTTCGAGAAGTGCTCCGGCTTCGCTCTTCCTCTCCAAATATGGAGGCATGCGTCTTCTTCTGCGCTTGGGGAGGAGTTGACAGAACGCTTGGTGCATCTTGGCTAGTCTCTTGACCGAGCATGAAAGAGAATTGGCTTTGCTCAAGTCTTGGTCGAGAAGCGGTTGCTTCACTAGCTCCATCTGTCGCATGCTCTGCGTCTGTGCTTGGGATATTCGATTCTGCGGTTCGTGTCTCTGTGTCTTCTGGAACTGTCGTAGCGGGTCGTGCCTTGTATGATGAGATAGAGGGCTCTGAGAAGTCCTCGAACGTGTCCGGATCTGCAAGCCCTCTCGTATTGTGAGTAAGCGTGAGATCGCTTGTTGTAGTCGATGCAACATCGGGTTCGGTCGAAGGCTTGACCAGAGACCTGCCCTTAGAAGCGCTGTCGGGCGCTGTCTCCTGGAGTTCGCTCGCATCTAGGTCGTCCTTCGCCGGCACATCGTCTTGAGGCAACGACAGGCTTGGCTCTTCAAGGTAGACCTGCACGAATTGCACCTTCGCTATCGCAGTGCTCAGTTTCTCCACTGTCTCGCTCTCCCGAGCGTGGCTTTCGCCCTTCTCGTCCTCTGTCACCAGCTTTTGATACTCCCAAAGCTCATTCACAGTACCAGACAGTAGCTCTGCAAGCCTCTTGTTACGTAACTCAAGGTGCTTCAGCTTTTCGAACGAATGTGCAGTACCCGGCCGACGCCACGGCGGTGTAGATGGGGTTTGGGAATCACGGATCTCCTGGGCCTTTTTGTGGACTTCATCAACTGCGTTTCGAACTGCTTTCCCAATGCCCAGTTTCTCTCCTCGTGCGTAAATATTCTTCGCCGTGTTCTGGAGTATAGCCTCAATGTTTCGTGGTTTCCCAGGAGTTCGAGGCGGCGAGAGTCCGGTCTTTCGTGCGGCATTCAATCCAGAGAAAGTCGTTATGTTCCTCTGCAAAGCTGGAGGTGTCGTAGGTCGACCTGAGGACAGCGGTCTACCTGTGTACTTCAGTACTAGATAGCTGCCCCCCTCCTTGTTCATGTGATTGCGCAAGTAAATTGCATCAAGCCCAAAGGTCTGCGCGGGGAAGTCTTTGTCCTGCTCGGGGTAACGCAACAAGAGACCCAAGGCGCCATTATAGTCAGTGTCTAAAAGGTGCCAACGAATCCGCAGAAGCATTGCCAGGCATATGTGGTCAACAAGCTCAAGGGATGAATCCTCGGCGAAGATGACGTCCCAAAGGGCGAGAACGTTATCGAAGTCAAATTCACGGCCAAAGAGTAGCCGGATCCATCTGATGAGGAAAACCTGGGGAGGAATGTCAAGGCCTTCGAGATGCTTCATGAGTTCAGGGTCAACCTGCGGCAAGAGCTCATTGAAGATGTGGCGACTTCTTGCAGCAATGGATACAGGGCCTTCAGATAGATACTGCAAAGCATAAGCGACGGACACATGTTGAGACTTGGAGACTTACAAAAGTCTTCGCGCTCTGCATCACCTGGCCAAAGATCGCAAATGTGTCGTGCTCGATATGGTCCGCATCAAAGATGGCCTTGATGGTGCTGTCTTCACCCATGGTCTTGCTGCCCTCACCGATATCGATAGCATCGTTCTCGATCGCCCAAAGAATCGGTGCTGCGATCTCGTGCATACCTTGCCTGTAGCCGACATCGGGATTCAGCTTGCAGAATATGAAGAGCACGTCCAGCAGTATTCGCTGCGTTTCAGGCTGCCGGAAATATGGCGTCTCTGGCATACACCGCTCGACATCCTGCAAGATCTCTGCGCGCAATTCTTCATCTTTGTGTACCTGAGCCCATGGAGATGACTTTTATTTCTTAGCTATCGTCAGAGATGATGAAAGAGAGAAGCAGCCGGGCCATGCTCGTACCTCAGCATCCTGGCTCAATGGGTCAAATTGAGCACCGACATCGTCAGGGTTGTCGATGAAGCGGAAGAAGTGTTGTCTGAGAGAGTTGTATGCAGACCTTGAAGCAGCCAGGATACGCAGCCACTCAGAGCTTTCTAGGCTGTCGTCGAAGAGGAGGAATGTCTTCCAGCAGACAGAGCGCAGGCCTGTAGTTGCCGCCGAAGAATTGGACTCCAAGCGGACAGCATCCTTGAGGTCGCGCAGGGAAGAGTATTGCTTCAGCTCTTGCCAGCTTTCTCTGGCCACCTCCAGACTCCGCATCCTACCTGTTGGTTGTGTTGGGGCAATAATGTTGGTCAGGCGTTCGATAGCCGCAATCTGAAGTGGCAGACGCGCGCTTGCGGGCCTTCCCGTGCATCAAGTGACGCCTTGGTCGCGTGGGAAAGATTGAAGAGCGCGATGACATGAAAGCATGATGATTTCAAAGGTTTTGATTGCTGATCTATGTACCCTCGAAGGGGAAGAGGCTTTTGCTCAATGTTGAAGTTCCGCCCAATTCCTCACTCGAACCCGCATATGCTTGCCAGTCTGGTATTCTACGCAATGGCTGACGCCTCCGTCGATGGACTCGCGTTGGATGCCGTTGCAGAGGCATCGGCTTTCACCGCTGCCCAGCTGGTCTCTCTATACCCTCCACGCTCGAAGCTCTTCATCGGCACCAGGCCATAGCGATCAAACATAGCTTTATCCTCATCCCAACCATTGCATTCGGTCGTCAGCATCTTCTCGCCAGTGAAGACTGCATTGGCACCAGCAGAGAAGCAGAGAATCTGCTCAGCCTCACTCATGGTGGTGCGCCCTGCAGCAATGCGAATAATGGTAGCAGGCATGACCAGTCTTGCGGTTGCAATAGTCCGAAGAATGGCGTCGAATGAGATGCGCTTTCGGTTGGGGCTGTCTCCAAGTGGCGTGCCCTTGATAGGAACCAGGGCATTCACGGGGAAAGACTCTGGATGCGCAGGCAGGGTAGAAACGGTATAAATGAGTCCAACATGGTCCTCTGGCTTCTCGCCTAGGCCGAGAATACCTCCAGAGCACACATTGATGCCGGCGTCTCGGACATGCGATAGGGTCTGTAGTCGTTCGTCGTAGCTTCGCGTTGTGATGACAGAGGGATAGTGCTCTCTTGAAGTGTCGACATTGTGGTTGTACGCCGTAAGGCCCGCAGATTTCAGCTCCTCGGCCTGGTTCTGGTCGATCATGCCGAGAGTGACACAGACCTCCATGTCCATTGAACGAATGCCCTCAACCATGGCCTTGACATTCTTCAGACTTGTTTTGCGACCCCGCATATCTCGCCATGCAGCACCCATGCAGAATCGCGTACTTCCGTTGCTCTTTGCTATCCGTGCAGCCTCGAGAACCGAGTCGACCGAGGACATTTTCGTGGCTTTTAAACCAGTGTTGTAACGGGATGATTGGGCACAGTACGAGCAGTCCTCGCTGCAACCGCCCGTCTTGATATTCATCAATGTACACATTTGTACTGCTGACGGGGAATGGAAACGACGGTGGAGGGTGCCCTATTTGCCCGAAGAATGTTAGGGGCTATAAACGAAGTTGACGTTACATTGGACGCACCGATTGGAAGGCCAGCTCCATGAGAGGAGTGTTGTATATCTCGCGAATCTCATCCTTGGTCCAGTCGTAGCGAGGAGTCCTCGCATTGACGGCCTGCCATAGCGCACCTTGGGCTTCTGGTGCCGGAGGAGGGGTAGTTGAGATTGGGGAGAATGTGTCGTTCACGGGTGTTGAAAACGAGCGAGTGCAGGACGAGGCTGAAGCCTGCAGCGAGCGAGCGGTCGCCCGTCTGGACAGAATGGTCAGCGACATTGTGCTTGGGAAGAAGGAGAGCACAGCAAGAGAGGAATGGCTCACCTACAGCTGTGCAGTCAGTGTGTTTTCGGTGGGAGTCTCCTAGCACTCCACACTGACATTGGCGTGGGGAGCTTCCAACTCGGCTTCTCAGCGGTCAAGGGATCGCCAACCAATCATCGCCGTCGGTTTGTACCAGATTGCCATTCTGCCGAAGCACAACACGCCGTTCTCGCGCGTCTTTCATCGACATCAACTTTGCGAGAAGACGACCATCACACCGCGACTCTCAAAGCTGGCCAGGCGTAACGAATGCCAGCAACGTACATGGCCTCTTTACCCTCACCTTTGGACGAAGGAACGAGACGGGAGCAGGGTGCCATGAGTCGACAGCGGAGCAATTGCGATCCATTCTTCATGCCGGAGGCCTTGTGTCGTACCGAACGAGTCCATGTACTCTGTGATATGTCTCAAGCCAGTTCGTTGGCATGAGAGATGGCCAAATTGACGTGGTTCTGAGGCGGATGTGGACGCAAGTCTTACCCTGTTCCAAGATGAGCGACCAAAAAGGAGACACGAAGAAATGAGATCGCAATACGAACTGCACCTGAGCGAGGCCTTCCTTATTCGTGCCCAATATGCTCCCAGTACCAACGCCGCCTCTGCTTATGTGCAGCCGTATGCGCAGTCAGCTCAGGTCTAATTTCAGGAGTCGATATAGCATCCTTCGGCATACCGCGATTCACCCTCGTCCCTTACCGACGGGCTTTGGGCACTGTCTCTGGAGAAGGCCCTGGACTATGTAAAACCAACTATGGCAAAGCAGAGAGGCCATTCACCCTTTTGTCCATAAACAGTGGGACTTTAGTTGTCCGAGACCTGGTATCGCCACCTCCCGTCTTGCAGAGGCAATGAAAGACATGGAGATACGTTTGGTGCAAGCAAATTCATTGACGACACGCTTGAGCTCGTGGCTTCAATATGGCCTCCAGGACAGCGTGGCGCCAGCGCTCTCAGCTCTCGATTCAACGGTGGTCACTCTGCGGCGGGCTTGGAAACAAGTGAAAGGGGATGTGACTTCCAAGCCGGCACTGTAGTTCCGCTCTTGTTGACTTCGCTCTCGCCACTGTCGAAAGAGCAGACTCATGTCGCTGCATGTGCTCGCGAGAGTTGGTCGACTTCGGAGAATGCAGGTCAGCTTGACCAAAGGATTTTTTTGGCGCGTGTGGTTGCGAAGCTGCCCATGCAGTCGGACACCTTTTTCGCATGTCCTTGAACACGCAGCTGAAACAGTGGCTTCAAGGTCTCATGCCCGCGATCCTGTTGTGGACATCCAAGGTTTGATTCAATCCATTACGTTTAACGCCACCACTGACTCTTGCTGCAGTGTAGTATGTACGGAAACCTACCTGGGATTGACTGGAAAACAACATGATATCCTCTTGGCCTACGCGCATGATTATTGACGCAACGCATCCATACTGCGACCCCATGTACCCTTGAGCGAGGCTATTAGGAGGGAGTTGGATCTTGCATGACTTGCAACATCGTCACTCCGCAAACAAGACTTCATCATCCACTCACGAGCGACCTGGAAGCATTTCGTCCACGGAAGTTGAGGTTGGAAGCCTGCAACGTGGAGATCATCAATAAGATCGACATCTGCATCCTCATGCCAAGTGAGACTGCGCTCCGCTATAAAAATCCGACGACATGCCGCATAGAAGGGCTCATTGTCGGCATGGTGGGCCGAGAGTGAGCGACTCATCACCCAGTGCACAGTTTGATATTCCGGGGTCCCTCGCAGTGCAGGCTTATGGAGGATGGTCCCTGTGAAAGCCGATCTACACCAGATTGAGGTGACGATTAGCGTAGGAATCAGGATCTGACCGTAGTGCCAAGGGCCGAGCCTTAATCATGCCCTACGGACATTTGGAACTCCAGCCACGTTCTCGGGTCCTTTGAACCTCACAGATGCTTCTTGACAGGACCTCCCCGGTTGCATCTGACTTACGAACCCTGGAAAACGCTGCTACCCACCTCCAGACTCTCTAGTCTCGACTGCACCGGCGCAAAACCTACTGCTCGGTCTCTGTTGGGCGATAGCACTCCAGGGCTATTTCGCTGGTGGCGAGTAAAGCATGGAACACCACTACTGCTGATGTCGCTCGTAAGGGAGCCATGAACGCGTTCTATGCTTTTCAAAGTGATCTGAATTCATGCCATCCAAACATCAACGAAAGGTCTGGCCAATATACTCCTGATTCTACTCGTGGTGGCGTCGCTTTTCGTATGGCTCTTTACGGAAAAGGGCAGTTTCATTGCCCTCGAGTCGGTACAATAAACCCTACAGCACTTCTTCGTCATGAGGGCTACTTACACATCTGGCGGGTTTAATGATCCATGTCCTCACACTGCAAAGCTTTCCTTCGCCACCTGTCTGCACCAACCAGCTTACGCAACTGGACCCAGAGTGATCTCAAACTGTACGAATGCGGGATCCAAGGTTTATTGGTCTTTCGATATTGACCGCCGCGATTCATCCACATCGCACGTACGGCTGATGAAACTTGGATGCATCTTTGGATCCTCTTGTGCTTATGTTGCGCTGCGTTGGGACAAAGGGGAAATTGTTGGTTGCCGATCTCCTTGGTAGAAAGAAGTCCATGCTGCGGTCTCCAAGGTATAAGTACTGCTTGCGAACCCAGAGTCTCTCTCTTCAGCAGATCATCACAACTCCAGCAGCTTCAGCCAAATCACATCTTTCGTTCCAGACCACTCCTTCCAGAACCCCAACTACAGCAACAATGCAGTTCACCACCATCGCAACTCTGCTCTTCGTCGCCCTCGGCGCTGCTGCTCCCACCGAGCAGTACCTCCCAGAGAAGGGCGATGGCTCTGGCTCCAACCTCTGCTCCAACGACCAAAAGGCCGCCTGCTGCGATGGCAGTGGCACTGGTCTCCTCGGTGGCGTCTTGGGCGGTATCCTCAGCGGCAACTGCGCTCTGACCGTCAGTAAGTCTCACAGCTCGTTCAAGCCCCAAAGCAAAGCTTGTCATCCCTTCTCGTCGGCACCGTCTAATGACATGAAATAGTTGGCGGCTCTTGCACGCAGGGCTCGATTGCTTGCTGCCCTACCTCTGGCCAGACCGTAAGTGTAGCTTGACTTCTATTCGGCCGACGCCAGTGAGTCTAACGTGAACTCAGGGCCTTGTCAACGTCGGCAGCATCTGCGCTCCAATCACTCTCTAGAGAAGAGTGTATGGCTGCGAGCTTGGAGAGGTCTGAACAGAACACTCACGGACAATACGCGTCAGTCCACGTGGCATCAAGTCGATCAAACAGCTGTTCAGCTCTGAATACTACATACCTATATTAATGGTGACACTGCATTGGGGACTGTCATTCAACGATTAGTTTATTGTTAGGTGAATACATTCTTTTGACGATCAAATTTCTCCCACAAGTGATGTTTTGCTAGGCTTGATCCGAAGCCGAGAATTGAAACGATGATGAGTTGACCTTTGTGATGCCCGGAGCGTCAGGGATAGATCTTGACTCGTGGGTGAAGTGAAGTCTCCAAGCCTGGTTATATTTAGCTTCAGCCACTAACGGCTGCGCGCCACGGCCCGATCGTCGCTGCGGCAACGTGAAGCCACAACAAGAGCCTCGATATCTATCGGATACATGCATTCCAGCAATTTTTGATGAGCATTCCGTCGAGGTCGCACAGACATTGCGATGCCGAGCTCACACAACCCCCGCGACTCACCTGCTCGTCGGGAAAGGCGGCGCAGGACTCATCATCGGACAGACAGCAATGGCGAGCTTCTGGGGCGTTACGACCGGGAGCCTGGCAGTCCTAGTCCCACCAAGAGCAGGCCGAGAAGGGACCATCGCGAACGACGCAGTTCAAGAGCACCTGAGTCGGAATACACACAGACTACGACCACTGCACTCTCTTCAGGCCAACTTGCGCAGCTTGATAAGCTCAACCGCAAACTTGGTTGGAACGAGTACGAGGGTATCTCACGACAACAACCCCAGGATGACGACGAGGTGACGAGAGCAGAGCACGATGCAGAACGTGAGCGGGAGCGGGAACAGAGAGAAAGAGACCGGGAGAGACGGCGGCAGGAGCATAGAGAGCGAAAGAGGCGGAGAAGAGAAGAAGAGAGGGTAGCATTGGCGGCTGAAGGAGGCAGCTTGGCGTATGAACATCCAAAATCCAGGCGGAAGGCCGACAGAGACCAGCGAAGAGTGGCCAGTGGTCAATATCTGGAGCGAGGCCGCGGTGCATCAGCATACTACAGCGACAAAGACGACTACAGCGACGACATTAGACGGCGGGTCGGACCTGGAAGCAGCGATCTCGACTACGACGAAGATCAGCAACGTAAGAAGAAACGACGAAAGAAGATATTCATCGGTGTAGGTGTAGTAGTTGTACTGCTCGCCATCATAATACCCGTTGCAGTCGTGTTATCAAACAAAAATCACTCGTCAAGCTCATCATCGAGCGGGGCAGCCGCTGGTGGCGACAACAGCACAGCGCCCTCAAACAGCAATCTTAATGGCATCTCCGAAGACGATATACCAAAAGACGTGCAAGGCACATGGCTGGATCCATTCACCTGGTACGATACAGACGACTTCAATGTCACCTACACTGCTGCTACTGTTGGTGGTCTTACAGTCATGGGGCTGAACAGCACCTGGGATGATAGCAAGAGAGCAAACGATAACGTTCCGCCTCTGAACGAACCATTTCAGTATGGCACCATGCCTGTTCGAGGAGTCAACGTTGGAGGCTGGCTGAGCATCGAGCCTTTCATCACGCCATCTTTCTTCTCCGGATACAGCACGCACGACAACGTTGTGGACGAGTACACTTTGACGCAGAAACTCGGCGCGTCAAACGCCAAGACGACCGTAGAGAAGCACTACTCTTCATTCGTGTCAGAGTCAACATTCGCCGATATACAGGCCGCCGGCTTTGACCACGTACGGATACCATTCTCGTACTGGGCAGTCATCACCTACGACGGAGACCCGTATGTAGCCAACATCTCCTGGAGATACCTGCTTCGAGGCATTGAGTGGGCGCGAAAGTATGGTCTGCGAATCAACTTGGACCTACATGGTGCACCTGGCTCGCAGAATGGGTGGAATCATTCTGGTCGACAAGGCACTATCGGATGGCTGAACGGCACCGATGGCGACTTGAATGGCGATCGTACCATTGATATCCACAAGCAGCTTTCCACCTTCTTCACCCAGCCACGATACAAGAACATCGTCACAATGTACGGTCTGGTCAACGAGCCCCGCATGGTGGAGCTTGATACCAACACAGTCCTCACATGGACTCAGAAAGCAGTCGATGCTGTGCAAGGGAACAACTTCACCGGCATCATCGTGTTTGGCGACGGCTTCATGGGCCTCGACAATTGGCAAGGGAAGCTCCAGAACGACAAGAATCTGTTGCTGGACGTCCATCAGTACGTCATCTTTAACGTCGAGCAGATTGTTCTGAATCACCACGACAAGATCAATTTCGCCTGCGGTGGTTGGACGGCGCAGGCACAACGGTCGCAAAACAAGGCCACTGGTTTTGGTCCGACACTCTGTGGAGAATGGTCTCAGGCTGACACTGACTGTGCTGAGTATCTGAACAACGTTGGGGTAGGTTCACGTTGGGAGGGAACGCTGAACATGGTATCGACGCCCGGTGGGAGCAGTGATGGCAGTGTATTGACACCCACTTGCCCAACGAAGAACAACCCTCGATGCTCTTGCGACGGAGCGAACGCTGATCCTAGCAGCTATTCAGATGACTACAAGCAGTGGCTGCTGATGTTCGCAGAAGCGCAGATGCACTCCTTTGAGCAAGGTTGGGGTTGGTTCTACTGGACGTGGCAAACGGAGAGTGCAACACAGTGGAGTTACAAAGATGCATTGGCGGCCGGAATCATGCCCAAGTCAGCTTATCAGAGGGACTTCAACTGCTCAAGCGACATACCGCAGTTCAGTAATTTGCCGGAGAACTACTGACAAAGGAGTTGTTGGATTTTGAGCGTGCTTGCAAAGCAAGTTATTCATGGATACACACGAAGAAATGAAACGATTTCATGTCGCCATCAGCCCGATTCGGGTCCGAGAGCCCTCGCGACTCTTCGCACAATCGGCGCCGCATACGTTCACGCTGATGTTCTGGTACAGAACTGCGAGCCCTCGGCCGCACATACTTCGAATCCCTAACGAACGATCACTACGCAGGGCAAGGACGGCTGAATAACAACCAACAACGCCGTCAGCTTATGGACGGCATACGAACGTCCTCACTGCATCTGCACCTGCCATTTCTCGCCTTTCACTTGAAGAAGGTCGGTGAACAGGTCACAAGAACAAGGACACGCGGCTTCAAAGATAAGTCTCAAACTTCTGGTTTGCTATGTCGAGCGCCTCCATGACGTTCCCCGCCTCCCCAGACTGCACATCACGAAGGAGACAAGCTTCAAGGCCGTCGATCGCCAAAAGCTTGGCGTGTTGGCCAATGGACCCTCGTCGTGCTATCTTGTACAGTGACTTTCGGGCTAGCAGAGTAGGCTTCAGAAGGAGCGTCATTCTGTTTGGAGAGAGTGCGCGAGGGCGGATACGTCGTTCGCCGCCAGATCCTTTTTCTTTGACTCGGGCCCAGGGTGATGAGAGTAGTCTAGGATGCGTAGTAGGGCCTATGGACCGGTGGGTATATATCTTCGATCTCCTCTTCGTACGATATTACCTACAACATTTGTGGACCAAGGTTCTGGCGGTAACTTTCTTAATATCACCCAGGGGTAGCAACATTCACCCTCCTCGAACCACATACTTGACCACAGTGCCGAAACATTTCACAACATGCAGGACGCCTTCTCTCACGACAACTCCGACCCCGTCGAACGGCGAAGATCTTACGGTCGAGGCGGCTTCGGGAACATGTGTAAGTCTTGGTCCACCGATATCAACACTTTCTCATAGCTAACGACGGTTCAAGATACCCCATCCCAATACAGAGACTTGTTCGTCGTCGCTCCAAAGACCGACGAGGAAGGTGTGTTGCCCCAATTCTCGATTCAGTCGAATCCATCGCTGATAGTGTCGTTTGCAGGTGCATCCAGACGTCGAAGCTCAATATGGTCTCGACGATCGACAAGCACGAGCAGCTCCGGATCGTTCATGGACAAGATCCTACGACGCAGCTCGAAGGCGGAAGAAGCTCGATGATTGATATGAACGAACGGAGTTCAAGGGTTTCACGTCATTGGTCTGGGGTTTTGCGATGTTAAGATGATCCGTAGTGGTCAAATGAGATGGTACCTGAGACAGTGTTTGAGTTGTTTCCGTCGTGAACGGTATCGACAGAGAGTATAAGAACAATCTTGTCAAAGAACGCTTCCATTGCACTCGCCTGAACGCTGCAACCAACTCCGAACATCGAACATTTCTTCAAGTAGCAGCTGCAGAAGCATAAGCACCAGCAAAAGCACCCGCATTCGCAGCGGCGGCATCTCTCGTCAACTTCCCAATTCCCATAGCTATCGCAGCAGCGATATATTGGAAAGTGCTTCCAAGCCTTCCATCTGCGCCTGGGCCCATGAACTCGAATTCCCCTGACAGCCTCGATGAACTGAAACTGCAGACCCATCTCGCAACAACTTCCTCCTCACCAGTCTCGCCACGCCTTGTCAACTTCCAACTCCCGTACGAACTCTCCCATTCGAAGTGCTGCACACCCTGCTCCGTAGGCATCTCCCACTCGACGCGCGGGAGTGTCGATTTCCACCAATGAGTTTTGGTCTTGAGCTCGATACCCTGAGATGGCATTTGGACTTTGAAGTCCTTTACGTGGGTCTTGCATGTTACTAGTGGAGAGGAGTCTTGGTCGGAGGTGCTGTGGATTGTGATGCCGGTGTGCATGGTGTGGGTTGAGATGGCGTTCAAGAGGACGCCTTCAGGGGTGGTGATGTTCAGTGTTGACTTGAAAGTGCCCTTTTTGGTCTTGTGGAGGACCCATTTAGCCGGGAGGCCTCCTCTTGATGCGGTGTTGCTTAGGCTCGAGGATGGGACCGAGTAGACATCTGTTGTGACGTCCTTGTTGGTGGTGTAGAAGTTTGGCGATTTTTCGTCGGCGAGCATTTTGTCGGTGGTCGTTGACTTCTGTGTTGTTCGAACAAAGTATAAAGGTAGGTCAAGAATTGGCTAGCAGAGATATCGATGTAGTGAACCGGTTTGAGTATGCTCCTTCCCTGAAGCACATGGAACGCAGGCTTGATATATATCAATCTGCATTGATCAGACCACGCCAGTGTCTCTTGGCCATGTCCAGTCGTACTCTCATAGCGGACTACGCCATGCTCCAATTCCAACTTTCTGTCCTGAGGCAGTGCTCGCTTCTGGGATATGTGCAGCAGCCAAGCAGCCACACAGCGGCAGCTGAAGAGTACGAGTACGAAACATCTACAGTGACCACTCAGCTCCCAAGATACCACATCACATCATTTCTTGGCTGACTTCAACCCACCTCGTCAAGACCCCTGTATCGAAGTGGTGCAGCACAAAACACTCACTCAGCCTCACGAAGATCATGCGGAATGCTCCCTCCTCTTAGAGCACATATGAAGAAATCTGATCGACATGCCGAGACTTGGTCACAGTCTCAACGCTGCCGAAGCGCCGCTGACGAAACAACCAAGTCCATGTGATGTGATGAGACGTGGGCAGCCATTTGCTGCTCGGTAAAACGACGTGCAAAGCAGCAACTTTCAGGCCACTTTTCTTGCACTGCACCTGCTGGCAAGACCGCCGGGATGGCGACTGAATGTTACTGTTGTCATTGAGGAAGAGAAAGCGGAGGGTGAGGTGTGTGGCTTTGAAAGACGTTTCGCAATAGCAATAGCAAGCAGATTACCATCTGAGTTTTGCAGTAACCCCACTAAACGTCTGTACCTAGGTCGATATCTCTCATCTAACTGGGAACTAGTCTAACTTAATTCATCATTTATGCCGTGATGTGCTTTCCTAGAGTAGCTAAAACAATCTATATTGCCATTATCAATTCAAACTAGACTTTAACGAGATATTTGATGTTATAATCAGGCTCTAAAGTCTAAAGTGTTCATTCGCTCCGTCCAGATCTTTCCCAGACGAACATCACACGCGTTAGTCCAATGCACGCAACAAATGTTCATGCAGGACGCTCCTTTAGCTCGCATCGACGAGACTGATCAAGCCTTGTTCTTCACAGCTACAAAGACGACTCCGTCTGACCGTGCGTTGGCCCCTCACCTCGCCGTTATCACTGCCCAGCTCTCCGGCACCTTTCTTCGTGGTCCACACCCAGGCATCGTGTGCTATCGAAGAAACTTCTTCCATGTTCGAGGCAACATTGTCTTCCAGTCGGCTACCAAGTCACTTCTCGCAGCAACTCCCAGAGGAGACTCGCGCCACATCCATATATCCGCAAGCCTGTCCGCCGTGGAGAGTACAAATGGAGATCAGGTGGCCATAATCGCGCTCCGGAGGGGTGCACAAGAGGCCTCTCCATCGCTTGACACGCAGATTGTCGCGCCAATAGACATGGATGTCGAACCCTCCAGTGGTCTTTCAACTCCAATATCCTTTTCCTGGTCCCGTCTTCAATTCCGAGCAGCTACTGCGAAAGGCGGTCGACGGAAGGAAAAGGCACCGGAGCAGAGCTTCCGACTCCAACTTCATGTGTCTGCTTGGATAGGAGATGCTTCGGAAGTCTTATTGGCTGAGACATGCTCGGCGCCCATCATTGTTCGTGGGCGGTCACCTGGTAACTACACCTCGACCAGCAAGATATCGAAAGATAATGCAGGTCCTGTGGCCCCTTGCGAGAGTTCCTCCCAGCATGCCACGAGCGAGCAGCCCCAAATTGCTCGTGAAAGTGCTGCTCGAGCTATGAGCATCTCAAACCTAGAGATAGACGCAGCAGGTGAACAGCCTCCGGCCTCTACAAGCTACGAGGATTTTCTTGATCTCGGTACTCTGGAGTCTTTGATAGAACCAGCTGGCGCTCCACCCGACCTCTCCGCTGTCCAGCTTGGGCACGATGACAGGTCTCCAGGACTGTTATCAAGCCTCAACTTGACGAATGCAGAGTACCTCGAATGGGTGGATAGCGGCGATTTTATATCGCCTACGTTCACACCTCAAGACTTTCTCCCTTCAACTGACTCCAACGCTGAGCTCCTCTCGACAATTTCTTTCCACCCAGCAGATTTTACCGATGCGAGGACAGATCACCAGCACGACGACCTATTTCCAGATGACACAAGTGAAGAATCATATTCTTATACTTACATTCCTCTAGCAATGGACGATCGCACACCTCCTGTCCAGGCTGTCTATGTGGGTGCCCAGCTCGTGTTCTACGAAGCCGATACTGACTGCCATCCAGCAACCGCATGGGGCACACCATAAAGTCACCTTACCAAAGACACTCAACGGATCAGGCAAGAGATACTTTGGCGAACTAGCCGATTAGTGCAACTGTTCTCTGTACGTCGACCTGCGCCCTTCAGTCATGCGCCACTCCCGGTCAGATACGTTACATTTGTCTGCGACGCAATCGAAAGAACGCCTCCCACTCAAGAACAGTTCGTACTTGCAGAAATCGATCTGGTCTTCTCACATCCTCTCAGCATTGGTCACCATGGGACAAGAACCATTCGGCGTGGGCATAATTGGCTACGGATCTAGCGCCCGAGTTTTTCACATTCCGTTCATCTCCGCATCGCCATTCTTTCGACTACGTGCAATTGTGCAAAGGCAAACTCGAGCCGGACAACCGGATGCTGCGACTGAGTTGCCGGATGTCACACTGTACAGGCGCGTGGATGACTTGTTGCGAGACAAGCAGATTGACGTGGTCATTATCACCACGCCGCCAGCATCACATTATCAGCTAGCTGCCGATGCTCTGAGATCTGGAAAACATGGTATGTTCGAAACGTGCACATCTGCTTTAGTATGATACTGATAACATCTGTAGTGGTCGTGGAGAAGCCGTTCACACCAACGTATGTCGAGGCTGAACAGCTTGTTGAACTGGCAGCCAAGACCAACGCACTACTTACGATCTACCAAAACCGTCGATGGGACTCGGACTTCGTGGCGGTCAGCGACCTAATGGCTCGCGGCGTGCTTGGTCGAGTGGTGGACTTTGAAAGTCATTTCGATCGTTTTCGACCCGAGGCACCAGCGAACACCTGGAAAGCTGATCCCGCCCCTGGCAATGGTGCCATTTACGATCTCGGCACTCATCTTATCGACCAGGTCGTACATCTCTTCGGTATGCCTGCCAGAGTGACTGGATTTGTGTATTCGCAGCGTAGCGCCACAGGCAATCCAACAGATCTCGACGACTCCTTCACCGCGCTTCTCCACTAGGCTGATGGCATGCTTGCGACTATCCGAGCGGGCGTGATGAGTCCGCAGCAGGAGCAGTTGAGATTTTGGGTGCGGGGTGATCGCGGAGCGTTTCGCAAGAATGGATTCGATCCTCAGGAAGCACAATTGAAGAAGGGCTGGAGCCCAAGCGATCCGGGGTTTGGCGAAGAAGCGGATCAGCCCAACCGTGGTGTGATCAGTCTAGCAGTCCCGCAAGATGGTGCTACGACGATGACTGAAAGTGAACATGTGGATGATGTCCCACCTGAGCGAAAAACGTATGCGGAGTTCTACAGGCGACTTGCTCTCGCGATGTGGACGGGCGATGCGACTTTGCTGCCTGTGGCGCCAGACGAAGCTGCCCAGGTCATTCGTCTCGTTGAACTTTTGAAGGAGAGCTCCTCACTTGGACGAACCTTGCGGGTATGAAGCAGATGAGTTCGGTTGGCCCAGGTGGCTTCCTTCATCGTACTTGGGACTCTGCCCAAGCTTGAAGCTTTCTTGTTGTTGTACGGATCTTTTCATCGCGCGAAGAATTGCTCTCAACGGCTTTCCCTATTTTGCTATCATGGATGAGGTCCCACAGCAAGTGCACAACCCGTCAAACTCCCACCACTGATCAGACGAAGTGTACAAGGAGTTGCTGGTGTAATTTCTGCATCAAGGCCTTGAATCAAATGGTTCAGCATCTTCTCACACGACTCCTTGAAGCCGGGTAGTTTTTCGAAGACCGCCCCTGAAACTCCTACCACCCTTTCGCTTCCATCCTGTGGAGTCGTCGAGTCATCGCCGTAAGCAACCAGATAAAGCGCGAAAATGCTCATGGCCATGACACCTGACGCTCTGTGACAGACCGACAATGCAATACATCTCAAGACGTCCAACCACGGGGCCGACTCTCGCACCGACGACTCAAATGCCTCTGAAAACTCCGCCGCCGACACAGACAGGTCTGCCGTCGTATCGCCCACTAAAGTCGACACCAAACTGGACGCCAGCGAGTCTGGCAAAAAGAGTCTTTCCGGTACGCGACCTGCCCAGGAGGGAAAGTAGCAGATGGTCGACACGAAGATTATGCGCACCAACTCTCCAATGTAATAGCCACCGCACATGTACTCGAGCGGTTGCTTACACACCCCGGCTGGCAGGTTTTGGATGAGGGCGTCGTCCCATCTTGTCCGCTGGACGACGTCTACGCCCAGTAGGCTGAGCTCTGTGTTGATGAACACGTGGTCGGTCTTTTGCAAGCCACATTCGCGCGTGTCCTTGTCAGGTCTTGAGGGATCGAGAGTGGCCACGGGCAGTGTTATCGCTGCGTTGAGGCCGGTGCCTAGCACCATCGATATGCGCATGTCGGGATCGTCGAGACGGCCTCGAAGGAGGCCCCCGACCGTATCGTTGACGATCGATTCGAAGGTTAGGCAAACACCCTGAAGACAATTGGTAGCAAGAGTTAGCACACATCCGCTTCTCGAAGGGACGCTGCAAATATGCAATGCAAAGCCTCGCGAGATGGTACCTACCTCTTCTTGGAATGCCTCCACCAGCAAGGTTCCGATGTCATACCGGACCAGGTCGTCGAACACACGGAAGCCCTTGCCACAGCGGACAATGCTAGCTTGGTTCGTCGCCGTTTTTCTAAGAGGTGAACCACGACACGGTGTTAGATAGGTGGCATTGATAATTCTTGAAGGGAGGATAGTAGTCACCGGAAAGGAAAGGACCATGTCAGACAAAGCCTCCAGCACGCAGCTTGCGTCTTCGTCTCCTCAACTTGCAGCGAACCCATCCAAGAGGCCACATTCCTGGCGATCCAGCCGAAGAAATCGCTCCCTGGCAACAACTTCACCTTTTCCGTGATGTTCCATGCTTGCGTCTCCAGGGTCTTCAGGGTGGTCTTGTTGGCCACTTCGTCAGTGTCAGGGGTATGCTGCAAGTCAACGATGGCGCACCGAAGCGTCGAGCCCCCAACTTCGAGACATACGAACTCGCCGGTCGTGGCTTGTGAATTGGCGATCCTTACCCTGGTGGAGGATGGGAACGTTGCTGTTGTGTTGGGCTGGGCGCAGTGTGCTTTGATCTCTTTGGCTAGACGTGCGGATGCGCGAAGGAGGTTTGTGCGGTCAAGCGGTCGCTCTAGTTCTTGCTTTATGGAGGCTAGGTATCGGTGGAGTTTTGCATGGGCGGTGCGCTCTTGGCTACTGTCCGGGAGAGTGCTTGGGTAAGTAGGATGGTTGATGTCGGTTGGTGAGCTGCTGGTGTTGGCCAGGAATATGTTCGGGCTCGCGAAGGGCAGGTCCGCGGCCATTGTGTTTGCTGAAAGGGCTGGGGATGGGCAGCTGTTGAACTTGAAAGGTAGGGAAGGCAACACTATCATGCTATTGTGGGTAAGATATGCGCTGCTGGTCATCGTTTGTGGCTTCAGGGACTACACAAATATTGAAATCGGTGAGCTGGCTGACGGCTACGTTACATCAATCTTCAACGTATGTACAACATGCGCGAAAGCAATGAAGGCGTTTGTCTAAGCATTCTTTAAGCGCTGCAGATGGTTGATATCTGTCTGATCGACAGACTACTACATGCCGTCTATGTCAAGAGTTTTCACGATCTTACTGCAAACCAAACTGCCCATGTGCACCGGCTCTTCTTCACTTCCTCCCGCACACATGAACACGTTTGCCAAACTTCCACACCTCGCTAACTTGCAAAGTCGTGAGTCCTCGTGCGTCTCTTTTCTCAGTCGAAACCACTAAATCTGCATCGGCACCTGGCTCTGTGCTTCCCTTGATCCCTTGAAGTCCTAGCAAAGTCGCAGGAGTTGTAGTGACAGCCCGCAAAGCCTCTGGCACAGAGCATCCAGCCCATCGAAGCAAGTTGTTGACGCAACTCAGAAGGTCAATCGCGCTGGGTAAAGTCAGCATCACCAAAATGGCAACTACCACGGGGAGGAAATTCTCACCTGCCCGCGAGGGTCTTCGTTCCCTCCAGTTGCAAAGTCAGCCCCTGTTTCACAGTCCTTTGCCCATTCGTCCACTCGTATGTGCCGTCTTCCATCCCCATGAACATCACCGCATCTGTGATTAGGATCAGTCCTTCAGGATGAGCATTGTACGCCAGGCGGAGACTAGACGGGTGCAAATGGATGCCGTCTGCGATGATGCCAAAGTATGGACGACCGTCGTCGGCGAGATCTGTTCGTTGGTCAAAGACACGATCCTTGGAGGAGGCGATCAATCCGAAGATCCCTGGCTCTCGATGGTGCAGCTGGTTCATTGCGTTGTACAAGTGGGTCACCGTCTTCGCTCCAGCCTGGACGCCTTTGACCGCCTCAGCGTATGTTGCAGCGGTGTGGCCGATGCTCATGATGATGCCCTGTTCGCTGAAGGTCTTGATGGAGTCAAGAGCGCCAGCACGCTCTGGTGCAAGGGTGATCATTCTCACGTGTCCAGCTGGATTTACTTCAGTTGTGAGAAGGTTCACCTCTCCATATACTCCCTTGAGGAGCTCTGGCTCGCTGGTTTTGTATGCGAGGATGGCTTCTGGACTGTGACAACCCTTTTGCGTGTGTGCAAAGAATGGGCCTTCGCAATGAGCCCCTAAGCTCTCAGCGCCTTTAGAGGGATCTCGATCTGACCCTGTGGGCCTGAGAAACGGCAGCGCCTGTTTTCCCTGTCAATCACCACCCGAACTTCAGGTGCGTCCAACATACGTGATGGTAAGTCTTCGCGAACTGACTTGTCATGGTCGGAAGATAGCTCGTGGTCCCCGTCTCCAGCAATCTCTGGTTAAGGTCGTGGAGTCCTTTCTGGAACTTCTGAGGCGCAGTGACGCAACTAGAGTCTGAGAAATCGAAGCCGAACGCCCCATTGATTTGAATGTCAATGAAGCCGGGGGCCAGGATCTTGCCTTGGAGATCTACAACGTCGACATCCTCGTTGCTGTCAGGATTCGATGGTGGCTCACACACACGACCAGAATCTGTATCGATCCACAAGGTTTCAGAGATCAGTTGGTTGCCTCGCACGATACGTCCGTTGGAAAACCTCGCGAACCGTGGTGATGGTGTTCGCACGCCGGCTTCAGAGTGTAGCAATGGCATTTTTGCGGGTAGTCAAAGATGTGAAGGATATCTCCACGGCTGAATACCATGATGGACGTCTTTGAAAATGTGTGTTTGAATGATTTGGGCTTGGCAGCGTGTCGAGAGATGGGTTACATGGCCCTGCGACGTTGGCCCGTCAGTGGATATGCTGTGGTTAAACTGGCTGAACCCCTGATACACAAGCCAAGTCAAATATAAACACAGAGCCCACAGCGAGATCCACTGAGGCTTTGACTTCAGGTTACTCCACCAAATCCACATCCTTCTAGCAAACACCACCATCCGTCTAGAACCATCACGCGCTCCACCTCCCAACGTCGCAACTCATGCGCGGCATCTACAGCGCACTGGAGGGATTTTGTGATGCCCCGCACAGGCGCCGACGCTGTTGATGCAGATGCGGCCTGGCTAGACCGGCAAGACTCGTCGTGCGAGAGGCAGTCCGATGCAGTAATGACTGACGCTGGATAGTCTTGTGGGAAATGTTTTCATTGTCGGCTTCGATGGGACCGTCTTGAGCCAAGAGCTAAAGGTCTTGATTGAGCAGTACTCGATAGGCGGCATTTTATTGACGTCCAAGAACCTCAAGTGTACGTGCATTGCCCCCTTTCCACGAGCCTCGTTCACATCTCTACCACACATTCTCACCACAGGTTTACAGCTGCTGAGCAGGCGACGGCACTGATCAGTAGTCTGCAGTGGTGCGCATACTCCGCACAGCATCCACGCCCGTTGCTCATCGCATTAGACCAAGAAAACGGCAGCATTGACTCTTTGATCGATGCTACGATCACTCAGTTTCCTTCGGCCATGGGCATGGCTGCCATAGGAAAGCCCGAGCTCACTGGAAAGGTTGCAGAAGCAACAGCATACGAAGTCGGCTGTGTCGGCGTCAACCTCATCCACGGGCCTGTCCTTGATGTGTTGTCCACTTCTCGCCCATCACCGCTGGGAGTACGAGCTTTTAGCGATGACCCGGTCACAGTCCTGACGCATGGTCTCGACACGGTCCGGGGGTTCAATAGGTCATCTATACTGAGCTGCGGCAAACACTTCCCGTCGTATGGAGACGTCGAGTTTCCAGATGGTACCGAATTCAGTCTGCCGTCAGTCGTCGCTAGCGCTGACAACTTACGAAAGAGAGCTTTTGTACCCTTCCGTGCCTGTGCACAAGCAGGTATGGATGCTATCTTGGTCGGTGGTTGTTCCATGGTGGTCGATGGCAGGAACGTAAGCCATGCCTGCTTGGATCACGACCTGGTTTCCAACATCTTGCGGCGAGAGTGCTCTTTTGAGGGGTGCATCATCTCTGATTGTCTTGCCATGGAGGCACTGTGCCATGAAATTGGCACGTCACAAGGCGTCAGTCGAGCCATCCGGGCAGGCTGTGATATGGTGACTGTCTGCCAGTCCAACCAAGCCCAGCTCGAAGCTCTCGTATCCCTCAGACTCGCGGTTCAGGATGGCAGTGTTTCCCGAAATTCCTTAATAGAATCAAACAGCAGGATCAACAAGATGAAAGATCGTTACATGTCGTGGGAACGAGCATTGCATCCGCCGGGAGTCACTGGTCTGGCATCGCGGAGACTGGAGCACCAGACGCTTTCAAGTCGCGCTTTTGAGGGAGCGTTGAGTCTAATCCGCGATCGTAGCAACGGCCTGAATACTCTCAGAAACCTCCCCAAGGATGCACAGGTGCTGCTTCTCACACCCGTCGTTGGGTTGTTTCCTTCGATTGCGACTCGGGAAACGCCAACACAACCTAATGAACGACCAAAGGCCCCACTTGCGCCCGGGGAAGAGACTTTTCAAACATTCGGATCCACGCTGGCCAAGTCTTTGAAGGCCAGATTAGTACACACATCGTACTCCGCCAACGGCCTTCGTCCACTTCACGAGGACCTAATCGAGCGCTCCTCGGCCGTCATAGTTTTTACAACAGATGCTACGCGTAACTCATACCAGTACGCAGTCACCAAACACGTCAACATGCAATGCAAGTATCAAATCTGCGACAACGGACAGCGGAAGGCCCTTGTTGTAGCCGCTCTGAGCTACCCGCACGACTTCCTCGCGGATCACAGTATCGAAACGTACATATGTGCCTATGACTTTACGGAGCCTTCTCTGAGGAATCTCGTCCGTCTGCTAACGGGCAAGCTGTATGCCACAACGATGCCGCCATTGACAACGGCTCGACGGGCTTTGGCCGACTCAGCGACGGACCGAGTGCCGTCACGGAAGACACTGTGGTTAGTCGAAGCATTTGAGGTAGACCGCGATAGAGCAGGATTACAGAAGCTCCTAGAAAATACTTCGCGAACCCAGCTGATTCCCGTGGTGCAGGAGAGGACGTGTTTTGTGGTACGGAATAGCAGCATGAGGACTCTCCTAGGCTTGATGATCATGTCGAGCCAGACATCGAGCGGAGGCCACGCGGGTCAGATAGAAGCGGTTCTAGTCGATCCGGCTCGGGAGGGACTGGGGATCGAGGAGTCGCTGCGTGAGCACGTAAAGGCAGCCGTGGATTCCGGGCTGGGAGAGAGGGACTGACTTGTGGAGGTGAAGTCTTGGTCTCTGAAAGGGTGACATCGTATTGTTGGTCTACCATGTAACCCAAAGCTATGTACACATACGCGAGGCATACAGTGCTGACTGGCTCTCTAGACCATAAAATGGAGGGACTGTCGCGTGATCCTCTACCCACTCTCTCCTGTGGACTTTGCCTTCGGACAGACCGTGCACTATATTGACACTTTGAGGAAGATCCAATGTCTCCCGATCCAGACAAAGATGTCGAAGCGGTAGCGGTGCACTGCGAACAGACCAGTGAATCTCGACCCCCAGCCCCATCCGGTCCACTTTACTATCGAGTCAAGATCGGACCCTTTAGGCTGCCTTACTTCGCCAGTCCGATCGTGCAGCTCCTCTACGTTGCCGTCGTGTTCTTTTTGTAAGCCGTCTTGCCCGACTGGTGCCAAATATCAAGTCGATAAGCTCACTCCTTCAGGTGTCCGGGTCTCTACAATGCCTTGAGCGGGCTGGGAGGTGGTGGACAGCTCGATGCCACCGTAGCAAACAACGCCACGGTCGCGCTCTATTCGACCTTTGCGACGACTGCCTTTTTCTCCGGCACCGTCTGCAATAAGCTCGGCGTCCGTATAACCCTCACGCTCGGGTGTCTTGGGTACGGATCTTGTTTCATTACTCAACAGTAGAGGCTAACGGGCGACTGACAGGTACTCGCTGTACATCGCATCTTTCCTATGCTACAACCACACGAAAAGCGCTGCCTTCGTCATAACCGCCGGCGCCCTCTTAGGCATGAGCGCCGCTGTGATATGGGCAGCCCAAACGGTGATCATGATCTCCTATCCGAAAGAGTCTCAGAAAGGGAAGTACATTGCCATTTTCTGGGCTATTTTCAACGTTGGCGCGGTCATAGGGTCTCTCATACCCCTTGCACAGACCGTGAATAGCGAAGAGAGCGGTGCCGTAGGTGATGCAACGTATAGTGCTTTCCTCGCCCTGACGGCGTTGGGAGCCATTATGGCAATGTTCATCTGCAACGCTAGTAAGGTTGTTCGAACGGATGGGTCGACTATCACGCTCATGCAGCATCCTACGTGGAGGTCAGAGCTTCTTGGTTTGTGGGAGACGTTGCGTACGGACTGGTACATCACGGCGTTGTTCCCCATGTTCTTCGCCTCCAACTGGTTTTATACCTACCAATTCAACGTAAGAAAGCCGCTCATGAAGCAATGAAAACCAAGCAATGATGCAGAACTAACAACACATGGATCGCAGGACGTAAACTTAGCCCGCTTTGATACTCGCACAAGATCCCTGAACTCCTTACTCTACTGGTGCTCCCAGATCTTCGGCGCCTTAGCCTGGGGAGCCTTCCTCGACATGCCTCATCTCAAACGCAAGACTCGCGCGCGTGCAGGCCTCCTCGCCCTGTTCGTCATCACCATGGGCCTATGGGGCGGTGGCTATGCCTTCCAAAGGACCTACGATCGTCAGTCCGCGCCGCAACAACAGCTAGACTGGACTTCCAAGGGCTATGCCGGGCCCGTGATCCTGTACATCTGCTACGGGCTGTTTGACGCAATTTGGCAGACGTAAGTTATGAACAGCAAATTACATGCTATGTTATGGAACATGCGACTAACGTTGTTCTGCGTGTTAGATATATCTACTGGACTTTAGGGGCCATCAGCAACGACAGCCGGAAACTCGCGATCCTCGCAGGCTTCTACAAGAGCCTCCAGTCGGCCGGCGCGGCGATCGTGTATCGGATCGATGCTCTGAAGGTTCCTTATATGAATATCTTTGCGAGCACTTGGGGTTTGTTGGCCGTTGGATTGGTGTTTGCGGCGCCGGTTGTGTGGACCAAGATTGAGAATCATTCCGAGCCTCATGATGAGTCTGAGGGTAAGGGAGGTGTTACTGCAGACGGGACTGCTTCTTGATGAGGCGGGTGGCGTCCAGTGACATTGTTGTTCAGTGATTTTGCGTTCGGGAATCGGGCATGCTCCCAGTCATAGTATGAAAGCTCTCCCTCACGTCATGTTCATTGACAGCGTTGTCACATCTCTGTGAAAGATCCTAAGGCGGTCGACGATTTTTGAAAGGCTACCAACAAGCAGCTGCTCAAGCTACGCAGAAATCTCAGCACATCCAGCCTCCTGGACACTCACATAATCATATACCCTCCATCAACAGGGAGATTCACGCCCGTTATCCATGCAACATCGTCACTGACAAGAAACAACGCAGCCTTTGCCACGTCCCCCGGTGAACCCATGCCTCCAAACGGATGAGCTTTGTTGATCTCAGCAAACTTGTCCGGATCGTTCTGTAGATTCTGCGTCATGATCGTCCGCAAAAAGCCTGGCGCTATCGCATTGCAATGGATTCGATTTGCAGCGTAGTCGAGTGCTACTTGTTTCGTCAACTGAGCGACAGCGCCTTTCGAAGCGGTGTAAGCAGCTTTAAGGGGCACTGTTAGCAAGTGTCGAGCAGTGTAGGTGTCGAGACCAACGAGTGTTATGATATGCTACCAAGCCTTGGACGCTCGCCGTATTGACGATCCACCCGAGATCTTTCCGGCCGGGTAGGGGGTCTTGCTTCAGCATCTGCCGAATGCCGTATTTGCAGCCAAGGAAGACCCCCTTCACATTGATAGCCATGGTCTTGTCCCAGTCCGATTCGGAAAGCTCGTGGATGCCATGGGGCACTGCGTGTGTTGATTCGACTGAGATGCCCGCATTGTTCGCGAGAATATCGAGGCGGCCGTACTTTTTGACGCCTATATGAATGAGCTTGGTTGGTGTTGTAATGCTGAGCAGTCGATCACGAGGCTACTGACATTCTGCCACCGCTTCCTCGACATCTGCAGCATTCGTGACATCGGCCTTGGCGAAGATAGCAGCGTCGTCACCATGAAGGCGTTGCAACTCTTCAACGGTGCTTTCGCCTTCAATTCGATTATTGAAGTCGTCGGCTTTGCCAGTGGTGGCATTGGTCTTGTTCCGTGGCCTGTCGTAAAGATCGACACAGCATATTTTGGCTCCTTCTGCTGCGAATCGAAGACTGATCGCTCTGCCTAGGCCTGACGATGCTCCGGTGACGAGAGCAATACGTCCTGGAATTCTTCCATGTGACATTGCAAGGGTGAAATCTATCGTCGTTTCGATACTGTTCGTCGACCTAGTCTTGCGTTGAGAACCTTTAGCACTCAAATAGAAGATGTTCAATCTTTACAGTCATGCTTTCCTTGCAGAAGCGCAAAGATGTAACGTCAGGTATGCTTTCGGGCAAGTTGCCTCCATGTCTAGGGGGGATCGCGATCATCCTCGACCAGGAGCTCAAGGTCAAGATTGCTGCTTTGGGAAGCTATGGCGGGTGCTGTACTCGTCGAGATCTCCAACTCGATGTTGTATTCGTAACGACGGACTACATCGACAGCGGCTCTTTCAAGGCTGCAGTGGTAATGATATGTCACAAAGAGACACGTAATGGATAGCCAGATGTGCCCCTTTTCTAACGGAGATCTACAAAAACCCGTCATGAGTGCTGTCACTTGCACAGTTGACTGACTGAACGAGATCCCACTATTCTAGGTCATTACCCAGACTGTATGGAGTACTTGAAGATCGCTGAGTGTCGATATGGATTGAACATGTTGACCAAGTCATATACACTCTCATCCTGTCCGTGTCATGAAGGCACCATCCAGCTGACCGAAAAGTTGCATAATAGCTGCTGAACGCCGAAGAACCGATCAAGATGCCGTTACATTTCTGTCGTGTTTGCCATTCGCCGTCGGGAGGTAATGAGTCCACTACGGCAGTCGCCACGAGCTTCCACCGCTGGCATTCTGCAACTGATCGCCGCCTTCAGCAAGACGCAGAGTCTCTTCCAACACGAGCAGGTCTCTCTCCATCATCTCAGCCCAATTCTGGACATGTCCAATCTCATTGACACCTCTAGTGGCCTTATCAACTTCCTTTTGCCACTTCGCGCTCTCTCTGGCAAGAGCGTTCGCTTGCTTTTTCAATTCGGCCTCTTGCTTGTCGATGGCCGCTGCGTTGGTGTGTAGATCAGTCGCCCGACGCTGGAATTTGACATCGTAGTTGGAGCCTGCCGACTCTAGAGATGCCAGGACTGCAGCCCGAGCCTCTGCCTGTGCCCGGGAGCTGTCACTACCCACGGCAGTCGATGATGTAGCTGTCGATGCCATCCTGCTGAGCCAGCCTCGATCAAGTCCTGGTGACGAAGCCCGGCGGAGTCTCCGGTCGATGGGTCTTTGTGAGAAAGCCTGTACTGACTGCGGCGAATGCAAAGCAGCAAACGAACGTCGACGGCAGCGGGAAGAGAGATACATCCTTCAACAGCCCCACGCGCAATCGCCTCTGAGGTGGAGCCTCCTTAGCCTCTCATCTGACTGTCTGGTGGCACGAATCGGCTGGCCTTCTGGCTCTAAGGCAGCGGTCCGCATGGCATCGGTGGGCGAGCATTGTCTCTCACTGGTCCGACAGGTCCCAAGGCGAGCATCGTCAACGGTACGGAGCGGTAGCGCAGTGCGTCGATGCTGTGAGCAGCTGGGCTGACACGTCACGGACTCACGGTGTACCTGCAGTAGTTTTCTAGCTGGACAGTTCGAAGGTCATTTGACAGCAGGTCACGGCCGCGAGAGAAGTCCAGTCGGCGAATTTGTGACTTTGGATACAGTATAGCAAGATCCGGAGATGTAGAATGGTGCGAGAGGCAATGTGTTGGACGACGTAGAGCGATAGTTCCAATGTTTTACTCCTTTACCGATTCGCGGGCGATTCTTCAAGCTGGCGATGTACGCGTCGTGGCGTGGAATCGAGGGGATCCAGCGGACAAGAAGCGTCGGATAGCCCCAAAGTCAGAGGAAGATGAGGCTCAGGTACACGAAGAAGTTTGGAGGGCGAAGATGTCGATTGTTTAGCGTCGTCATGGGCAATAGGCGGTCAAGCGAAGGGGCTAGTACTGGCCAACATGTTCCAGGCCTTCCCTGCGTGAGTGAAGGTGAAGTACCCTAAATCTTGTACCCCAAGACACGCTAAATCTCACGCGCGAGCACTCATCGGCCGACGCCGTTGGCAGGCCTTCTTCTTGTCGTCACGTCTCATACTCCCTCTTGCTGTACTTTTCGTGTGTCGGAAGCAGAGAAGCGACCTGAGGACCGCTTGTTACAAATTGACAGCCTGATGAGCACGGCAAGGCTCTCTTCCCTCGAAGTGAGATGCGCCGAAAAGCTTGCCCTTCGCTTTCTCTCGTTCCCCACCATGGCATTCGAGTAGGACCTGTCCTATGCGGCGATGGCCGACACCTGACATTCGCATTGTTGCAACACAGATAAGCCCCCGCTACCACTCTTCTCTTCTTTCATTCTGCAAGATCCACCTGTTGACAGCTGTTGACAGGGAATACCTGTTTCTTTGCTTTCATTTTCTGCCCTGTTGGACGCATCTTACGCCCAGAGCTCACCCCAGCATGATACCTGACAGCCAATGAACTGCGATACATATAAGACATCTGTATCGACTTCAATCTTTGACAATTTCCAGCATATACGACTATGGCTCCAGGACTGATCGAGCCTCAACCGGCTGTCGATGTCGGCCAACAGCGCTCGCTTGAATCAGTCACCGAGAACTACGATGATACCCTACGATTCTATCTAAACGGCACCAAAGTCGTCCTCGATACTGCCGATCCTGAAGTAACATTACTCGAATACCTCCGAGGCATAGGCTTGACAGGCACCAAGCTTGGGTGTGCAGAAGGTGGATGTGGTGCTTGCACTGTGGTGGTCTCGCAGTACAACCCTACAACAAAGCAGATATACCATGCTTCTGTCAATGCATGCTTGGCTCCACTGGTGTCTGTGGATGGCAAGCATGTCATTACGGTAGAGGGAATAGGGAGTGTTAAGAAGCCACATCCAGCTCAAGAGCGAGTCGCAAAGGGCAATGGCAGCCAGTGCGGATTCTGTACACCTGGCATAGTCATGAGCTTGTATGCTCTACTAAGGAATAAGGATAGCCCCTCCGAGCACGAGGTGGAAGAGGCTTTCGATGGCAATCTCTGCAGATGTACTGGCTACCGTCCCATTCTAGACGCCGCGCAAACGTTCAGTGCACAGAAGGGCTGTGCGAAGTCGACATCCAATGGTGGTGGAGGATGTTGTATGGAGAACGGTACAAATGGGGCGAATGGATGTTGCAAATCGGGGAAGGCAGATGACCACCAGCCCATAAAACGCTTCACGCCACCAGGCTTCATCGAGTACAACCCAGAGACTGAGCTCATCTTTCCACCGGCTCTCCGTAGACACGAATACAGGGCTTTAGCCTTCGGCAACAAGAGAAAACGGTGGTTCCGGCCAGTAACTCTACAGCAGCTACTGGAGATTAAGAGCGCGTACCCCTCAGCAAAGATCATTGGAGGCAGCACCGAGACGCAAATCGAGGTCAAATTCAAGGCCATGCAGTATACAGTCTCGGTCTTCGTTGGAGATATTCCGGAACTGCGACAATACAAGTTCGAAGACGACTACGTGGAGGTTGGAGGCAATGTAACGTTGACAGATCTCGAAGACCTGTCCTTGGAGGCTGCAGCGCACTATGGCGAGAAGAGAGGCCAGCCTTTCACGGCCATCAACAAGCAGATCAAATACTTTGCCGGAAGGCAGATCAGGAATGTCGGAACGCCAGCAGGGAATCTGGCAACCGCTTCGCCAATTTCTGATTTGAATCCCGTCTTCTTGGGAACCAATGCTACAATCGTCGCTCGATCACTCGATAAAGTGACTGAAATACCGATGACGGATTTCTTCAAGGCGTACAGAGTCACCGCACTACCTCCAGACGCCATCATCGCCAGTATCCGGATACCTGTTTTCCAGGAGAAGGGAGAGTACATGCGGGCATACAAGCAAGCGAAGCGGAAAGACGACGACATCGCCATTGTAAACGCCGCGCTTCGAGTCAAACTGGATGAGAAGAACACAGTCCAGAACTCGAGTCTGGTATATGGTGGCATGGCCCCCATCACCATCGGAGCGAAGAAGGCAATGGAGTATCTGGAAGGCAAGCTCTTTACCGACCCGGCCACTCTCGAAGGCGTCATGAATGCTTTAGAGCAGGATTTCGACCTTCGATTCGGCGTACCAGGCGGTATGGCGACATACCGCAAGTCATTGGCGCTGGGCTTCTTCTACAAGTTCTACCACGAAGTGCTCGCAGAGCTGAATCCCGAGGGAACGGAAGTGGATCAAGACTGTCTCGCCGAGATTGAGCGCGAGATCTCCAAGGGCCGGAAAGACCATACCGCCGGGGTGGCATACGAGAAGAAAATCATCGGCAAAGAGCAACCGCACGTAGCTGCCCTGAAGCAGTGCACAGGTGAAGCTCAATATACGGACGACATCCCCGTACAAAAGAACGAACTCTATGGCTGCATGGTCTTGAGCACGAAACCTCATGCGAGACTGCTCAGCGTGGATCCTTCCCCGGCGATGGACATTCCTGGCGTGTTCGACTACGTGGATCACAACGATCTGCCAAATTCGCAGGCGAACTACTGGGGAGCTCCAAACTGCGACGAGACATTCTTCGCCGTTGACGAGGTCTTCACGGCAGGGCAGCCGATCGGTCTGATCCTCGCCACGTCTGCTAAGCTTGCAGAGGCTGGTGCTCGTGCAGTCAAGGTCGAGTATGAGGAACTCCCTGCGATTTTCACCATCGAAGAAGCTATCGAAGCCAACAGCTTTTTCGACCACTACCACTACATCCAGAATGGCGATGTCGACAAGGCGTTCAAAGAAGCCGACCATGTCTTCACTGGCATTGCACGAATGGGAGGCCAAGAGCACTTCTACCTAGAGACCAACGCCTGTGTTGCCGTCCCCAAGCCAGAAGATGGCGAGATGGAAATCTTCAGCTCGACGCAGAACCCCACGGAAACACAGGCTTACGTCGCCCAAGTCACTGGTGTTGCTGCGAATAAGATCGTGAGCAAGGTCAAGCGGCTGGGCGGTGGCTTTGGTGGGAAGGAGACAAGATCAGTCCAGTTGGCAGGCATTTGTGCCGTTGCAGCGAAGAAGACCAAGCGGCCTGTCCGGTGTATGCTGAACCGAGACGAAGACATTGCGACTTCGGGGCAGAGACATCCCTTCCTTGGGCGGTGGAAGGTTGCCGTTAACAAAGATGGTAAAATCCAAGCCCTCGACGCTGATGTCTTCAACAATGGCGGTTGGTCTCAAGATCTCAGCGCTGCTGTTGTCGATCGAGCCCTCAGTCACGTCGATGGCACCTACAAGATTCCCAACGTCTTCGTTCGAGGACGCATCTGCAAGACAAACACCGTCAGCAATACAGCATTCAGGGGATTCGGCGGACCCCAGGGGATGTTCATCGCCGAGTCCTACATGGAAGAAGTCGCCGACCACCTGGGCATGCCCGTCGAGGAGTTCCGCGAGATCAACATGTACAAGCCAGGAGACATGACACACTTCAACCAGGAACTACGAGACTACTACGTGCCCCTCATGTGGAAGCAAATCCGGGAAGAATCCGACTGGGAGCGCCGCAAGCAAGCCGCCGCCGCCTTCAACGCAAAGAACAAATGGAAGAAACGCGGCCTCGCCGTGATCCCGACCAAATTCGGCATCTCCTTCACAGCCCTGTTCCTCAACCAAGCCGGCGCCCTCGTCCACATCTACCACGACGGCTCCGTGCTCGTCGCCCACGGCGGCACCGAAATGGGCCAAGGCCTACACACCAAGATGACCATGATCGCCGCCGAAGCGCTCGGCGTCCCGCAAGACAGCGTCTTCATCTCCGAAACCGCCACCAACACCGTCGCCAACACCTCCTCGACCGCCGCGTCCGCCTCCTCGGACCTCAACGGCTACGCCATCTGGAACGCCTGCGCGCAGCTCAACGAGCGCCTGCAGCCCTACCGCGCGAAACTCGGCGCGGACGCCGCGATGAAGGACCTCGCGCACGCGGCGTACTTCGACCGCGTCAACCTCTCCGCGAACGGGTTCTACAAAACCCCGGACATCGGCTACGTCTGGGGCCCGAACACGGGGCAGATGTTCTTCTACTTCACGCAGGGCGTCGCGGCGGCCGAGGTCGAGATCGACACCCTCACGGGCGACTGGACGTGTCGACGGGCGGATGTCAAAATGGACGTCGGCCGGTCCATCAACCCGGCCATCGACTACGGCCAGATCGAAGGGGCGTTCGTGCAGGGGTTGGGACTCTTCACGATGGAAGAGAGTCTCTGGCACCGCGCGAGCGGGAATCTCTTCACGAAGGGGCCTGGGGCGTATAAAATCCCCGGGTTCAGGGATATTCCGCAGGAGTTTAATGTTAGTTTGTTGAAGGATGTGAATTGGGAGAATTTGCGTAAGTGTTCGAGTCTATCTACACCACCACTAACATTCTTTCTTGACGTGGTGAGTGAGTATGTGGGCTGACGAGTGTGGTTACTAGGTACGATCCAACGTTCCCGCGGAGTCGGCGAACCGCCTCTTTTCCTGGGATCGGCGGTCTTCTTTGCGATTCGGGATGCGCTCAAGGCGGCGCGGAAGCAGTATGGGAAGGAGGATGTTCTCAGTCTGGTGAGTCCTGCTACGGTGGAGAGGATTCGGGTCAGTTGTGCGGATCCGATTCTGGAGAGGGCGAAGGTGGAGGCGAGGGAGGGGGAGAAGAGTTTCTTTATTGCCATTTGAGAGGGTTGACATCTGGATGGGAGTGTATGTAGAGGTTTGGTGGGATCTAAAAGGGGGTCTGTTGTCGAATTGAACGCTTGATGAATCCTCATTGCATATCTTCATGTACATCGACCATCGCATCAACCCAACACCCTCCACAACCGCCCCAAAATCCCCAGCCCGACCACACCCCCCACAGCGAGGACCCCGACCCCAACAACAAAAGTCTTCAAATTCCTCTCCTCCACATGACTCCGACTCGCCCGCTCCTCCCACGCCTCGCCCTGCTCCGTCACAGTCCCATACTCCGGCACATACTTGAAATCAAACGTACTCTCCTTCCCCTTCAACCCATAACTCGTATGCACGATGAGCTGATAGAACACCCGCTTCAGCATCTCAATCTTCTTCTTATCCAGCGATGGGATGGACCGGTATGTGTAGCACCAGAAACAGAAGAAGAGGCATTGTCCGGCCATTAGGCACCAGTAATAGAGGCCTGGTCGGGAGAGGCCGAGTTCGTCCGCGAGGGCGTTGCCGTTCATCCAGCGCGCGCCGGCGATGAGGAAGTCGGCGGAGGCGTACCCCGGGGCCTGGCCTTCGAGGGAGGTGATGATGTTGTTGGCGAGGATTTTGGAAGTTTGGGTCGGTTTGATCTCGTAGAGCAGGAGGGCTTCCATCATTTTTTGGGCTTCGTCAGGAGTCTTGATGTATCCCTCCGGACACCCGATCACGTAGCCGATGTACCTCCACAGGGCGATATAGTCTTCGATTTCTTGCTTTCGGAGGAAGAGGCCTTGGCGAGGCAATGCGATGAAGATCAATGATGCGGAGAATGTGATGATTGTTCCGAGGTTATCCAGGTCGTTGATCGGAATGCCCCATGCCTCGACGTCGTAGTACTCTGGCCTCGAGGCTCGCAGTTTCATGATCCTCTGTCGTACAGCGGCGTGTAATAACCTCACCCGGATTGTCGACGCGAATCCGTCTCCGCCGGGTTGCATGCTCTCCAGGGATTTGGTGCATTGCAGGATATGCTGTGTCGTTTCGAAGAGTCTGCCTCGCGCGACTTTTGTCGAGAACCCACCTGTTCGTGCCAAGGTCTCGACGACTCGTGCGGCGCCCATGCCGCCTAGGAGGCTTTGATATGCGAGACCCGTAAGACATGCTCCCCCGTAGCGGTAGAAGACATCTTGTCCTCGCTCGATCTGTGCCCAGTCTACCCAGTCAGGTACTGTGTGTATATCCCGCCAGAAGCGTTGCAGCAACTCGTCCTTCTCCGCATTGTCTTTCAATATAGCATACAAATCCCGCTGGGGCTTCGGCGGCGAGGCCTCCTCTTTCGGCTGCGACTCGCTATGCAGATTCTCCGGCACAACCGCCTTGAACTGGCTATTATGTCTCGGTAATTCTTTGCTCGCCGGCGGCGAGATCTCGTTCAGTCGATCGAGAACCTGTTCGCCTAGGACGTCGTACGAGTACTTCAAGGGCTCGCATTGTTCGGGCGTGATGTGCTCATCCGTGAGTTCGAAGGTATATCCCCAGCAACTATGTCACTTCTCAGTCAATGTCTGGAGCTACTTCTTGGCTTTTCTTTGGGCATGTGAAAGTACCGACTCTCTTGTGTTTGGCGTTCGACGACGGAATGGGTTCGGCCAGGCCATGTTTTTGAGACTCAAGAAGGAAATACGAGAGATGGTCCAACAGATGTTGTAAAGATCGAGAGGAAAAGACGTTTGCCTGAGGTTGAAGACAAATCAGAGACAAGAGCTCGGTTCGTGGAGATCCATCATGCGGGAAGGGCACGAGGTCGTCGGCGTCATTGATGAGTGGCTCCAACGGCCCACACTCATAGACATTCTTGGTGGGGGACTGCAGGCCATTATTGGGACATCAAGTCGAGCACAAGACGTACTTACAGACAGTCTCGCTGGATGTAAGGTGTACCACATCGCTTGCACAGTTCTTCAAGTCATGGCCAGACGTCACGTCGCGGGGAAAGTCCGTGGAAATCAGCACATGCTGGTCGCGAGCCGAAAGCCAGAACGTCGAGAGCGTCTGGCGACGCCCACGCGTATCAATGGTGTTTGTACAGTCTACTAGTCACACATCCAATGCCACAACGGCATGGACAAGAGAATCATGCCTCGAAGCGCCTCGCTCAAAGAACAGATAAATCCAACAGACTTTCAAGACTTTTACCCCTTCCTCCGCTTTCCCTTACCCTCCTCGTCTTCGTCCCCTGCAACTTCGCGGTTCGTACCACGCCAGTTGCTGATGGTCTGCTCGACGTCCTGAAACATCTCTTTAGTAGAGAGTGCCATTCCGTCTTCGCCAGGGTTGAACATGTACGCGTTGGCAAACATCCGCATGAGCTCCTTCTCCAGCTGTGCGCTGTTCACAATTGCCTTGGGAGGTATTAGGTCCACACTCCGCTCCAGCTCGACCGTCGTAGACGAAGCAGATGGCGTGGCAGATGGTGATTCGGCCGTTGAAGCCGCTGCAATCGCACGAGCACCGGCCGTGATGGCACTGCGGATTGACTTGAGATTCTGAGGTTGCTTGACGATGTCACTGTATCCAGGAGCATCCTTCTCACGCACCTCCTTCGCGAAGTAAGTCCCGTGCTTATGACTCGCGATATCATTCATGACTGCAGACGATATCTTGGCAAAATTGCGAGTAGCCGTTACAGTGGTGCTCCTTGGTGGTGGAGTCGACATCTGCGGATCCTCTGCCTCGGCGGCTGGAGATTCTTGCCGCTTGCGCTTGGCTGGAGGTTGAGCTTGAGACTGTAGAGTTCCTCGTCGCTTCCGAGTCAAGACGCCAGTTGCTGGAGTTGCAGAAGCTGTAGGCGTAGGCTCCGCATCGTCAAGGATGTTGGCAGGCGTTGAAGGCTCTGCTTTGACACCCCCTCTGCTGCTAGGCCGATCGTCTGAGGGTGGGTGCATGCCGGCGACTGTGCTGACGGACTGGCTGCGTGTCGCGGTACGCATGGACTCGTCGGCAGTGGAAGACACCACACTATGGGGGCTTTTGTCTCGAGCATTCGTGCGACGCTTCCTCGACCTTGTCTTCGAGGCGGGTTCTGCCTGCAGTGGTTCCTCGATCGTCGGAGCATCACGGCCACGTGTCGTGCGTGTTGAACGGGTGGGTGACTTTGCGCGTTCCAATGTGGGGCTCAAAGGTTCAATGTCAGGTCGAGGCTTAGGGTCTGGCACCACAAGTGGCGAAGGGCGGTACTCGCTCTTCCACAGCGGCTTGAGTCTAGGACGTGGCGGTGTCGCAAGAGCTGATACAACGTCCGACACCAAACGTGGTGGGAGCTGAGGCCTGGGTGCAGTCGCTGGACCATTGTGACCATGCGGGAAGTACTGTGGAGGCCTCTGTGCGTGCGGTGGCATCTGCTGTGGTCGAATGGCCTGCAGGGGCTTCGTTGGGTCCTGGGAGGCAACCTGAAATGGCGGCAACATGTAGCCTCCTTGGTGTGGTGGGGGCTGCTGGTTTGGATACGGCTGACCATGTGGCATCTGCTGAAGTGGATACGACGTTCGGCGATCCATGTATTGCGGCGGTGGTTGTTGCTGGTAGTACCCTCCTGGATGAGGAGCCAACGGTGTAGTGGGATATCCTCTGGGCGGTCCCTCTCCTGTTGGCGATGGTCCAGATGGCATGCGATGCTGCGGCGGGTGTTGATAATGCTGCTGCTGAGGGGATGAATGATGTTGCTGAGGATGCATAGGACTACCTTGCATGCTGGGCGAACCAGTGTGTGGCACGGGCGCTAATTGCATGCCCTTTGGCGGAGGAAGTATCGGCCGTGGCGAAGATGAAGGTCGCGAGAGTGACTGCTGCACTTGTGGGCTCGACACGGACGTAGACCTTGGATGCGCATGTTGAGGTGGATACGGAGACTGCTGTCCAGCTGGAGGAGAATGGGTGTACGCGCCGTGAGGCATCTGCTGCATTGGCGGGTGAGGATGGCCTGGACCGGGGATCTTTGGAGGGATGCCAAAACGCGGTGACTGGGGCGCCATCTCAGACAACGGAGGGAGCGTGGTGTTGGAAGAAGCTCTGCGGTGACCGCCCGGACTGTCCTGTGGTTCATGGTTCATGACCGATTCAATTTTGGCCTGCGAATACCTCTTCGCATTTGCTTCGCCATCGTTCTGCGGCTGCTTCTGCTGGACAGGCGGAGTCGCCGCTGAAGGAGTCCCTGCCTGAGCCTGATTCTGACGAGCTAGGTCAGGCTGCGTATGTGCACTGGACGAAGGCTTCGGCGAGGGCTTTGGACTTTGGGTCTGAGTCGGCGTCCCTTTTCGAAGTAGCGATTCATCCCATTTGCGCGCATCAATCTCCTCCTTCTGTTGTTTGACCTCGGCGTATTTGGCCTCGTGTGCGCGTAGCTTCTGGACGACATGGTTGCGATAGCGCGTGTACAGTCGTGTGACCAGTTGTGGGATCAAATGTGAATGTTTGGCCGCCTCTTTCACGGTCGGTAGGCTGGGACTGGGAGCCTTGCGTTTTCGCGAGCCGGGCGAAACGTCGCCATTGGTGAGATGGTTGTCGCCATTCACCTGTCGCTCCAAATCTTCCTTGACTTCCTCCTTGAGCAGGTCCAGATACAACTCGCGCAAAGCATCTGGACTCAGACGACCGCTGTCGAAGCTGGGCTCGTTGCTGATCAGGCTGATGCTTTTCAGTTGGTCGGAGATTTTGTTGAAGCTGCTAGGATGGACGCCATCGGCCCTCAGGCCTTGGAAGAGCAGGAGCGATTCGAGGGCCGTGTAGGCGGAATAAGAGGTGGGCATCTGCTCGCGCTGCGGTCGATGGGTCGCGGTCTCGCCAAACCATGATATTTCGCCGACGGAGCCAGAATTAATTAATTTTGGAGCAGCATTGATGGTGCTGGTGGTGTCGCTTGATGGAAAGGCCGACGGTGGCACGTGAAGAGGGAGCGGCGATGGCGTGGTGATGGATGCGGTTGCGCGTGGTGGTCGGTGGTCGTGAATTTGCGACCGACGACGAAGCTCAAGTGACGGCCGCGACAGACAGACAGGGCCAGGACTTTTGCGGCGCCCTCCACAGCCGGCTCTCGCTAGCTTGATGAGCTCTCCCGCAATGTTTGACGGGCGTGTTGATGGATTATCGCCTCTCGACAACTGCGGTGAGCAACAACTGCACGCCTCTTCCACCCATTGCCTTCTCCTTTGTCGCGCCTGTCCGTGTACGACTGCAAGCTGCCCTCGTCGCTCACATTCTTGCGTCACGCCGGCGCTGAGGAGAAGGCGACTTCCTTGCTTGCTTGCACGGTGGTGCCTCTTACTGCTGCTCGGGCCTCCTTAGAACGTTGTCCGGCTTTACTTTGGATCGTCCTTAAAGGCAGATCATTAAATCCACCTCTGCCTTTGACCATCCTCCTGCCACCGCTGCGCGACTTGCTGAACACCCTCCTAAACTTCCACTTGTCGCGCGGACACGTTCTCCTGCATCTACGCGACCGGCGACATCGCATTCCAGCACCGTCATCATGGCCGAGGAGGAGAAACAGAAGTTCAATACTCGGCCAGAGTCGTACGCTCCTACGCAGACCGCCTCAACTCCCCTCACACAATAACTAACTCGCCCTCCAGCACCATTGCGCAAAACTTTGCCGCGGACTTGGACTCGATGTTCGGCCTCAATGCCCCGCCTGGTGTCGACAATCTCTCCCGAACTGTTGAAGAGAAGTGAGCAGGCCCTTGACGCAGTGGCCGAGACATGCCGCTGACCAGCTGCAGGAAGCACACCGTCACCACCGGCGAGCAGCAGCTTCAGGAACTCGAGGCCAAGCTGCGTGAGACCGAAGAGCGACTGGCTCGCGTCTCCAGACAGAACTCGCCCTCGCGGCAGGCCAACACTGCGGTGCCTAGGACTCATCCAGAGAGTAAGCAGGCCGCTGACGGTGCTGCCAAACCAAGTCCACTCGCTCAGAAGCCCACCTATCCCGCCGATAGACCCCCTACCTCCGGCGACAGACCACCCACCGAAAGAGCAGACACTCAGGAGATTGTGCGCAACATACCGGGCGCAATGCCAGAGACACCACAACCACAATACGGAGGAAGCAATGAATACGTCATGGTGGATAGGAACGCCGGACAGGCTCAGCGAGGATATGGCTAGAGGAGACGGCTCTGCGTTGGATGTATGCGCACGCTGAGGAGACCGCAACCACAATCAAAGCCGGCTGCCCAAGAAAGATGTCACGAGACCTTTCTTCAGCTCCTTGCCATGGGAGACTGTATTGTCACTTAGCGCTGTGCTATTTAGCTTCGAGAATGGCTTTGTTGCGCCCAAATTCTCCCACATACATACCCCTGCTTGCTTCCAAAGGGAACGTTACGCTAGCGTGCCGCAACTGCCGGCTCGTGTAACACCAATATACAGCGAGGAGACCATTTACCGAATTCGACAGCAACGAAGTCATCCACTCGAGTCAACAAGAGAGGTACGTTGGCCCGCTGATACTGGCGCTGATCCAGCAGTGTCGTCCGGAAGCAATGAGATACCAGGTAGACCGCAACACTTTCCAATTTACCTGACCGCTCACGTAAGCCGAAGCAAATCCATCCTCATTGCACTTCAATGTGATACGCACAACTGCCGATTTCGTAGACATGGCTCCAATCGACATGTGTCCGCGCATACGCGCATACGACCATATCCGCGAAACGACCCCGCTAATGATGATTGCTTGCCAAAGGCAGGTAAACCCACGACCCTCATCCTGATGGTGCCGATCCGTTGTCAGGGCTGCTAGTCGACTAGTAGTGCCGAGCTGACCTCGAACAGTTTCCTGATTCAACATAGACTTGTTATAAGACATCGCTGCTCCTGCGGATGGCATATATCACTCTGAAAAGTCTGGTGTGTGTCTTCTTCTTCAGCTTGTCCTCGAAGCAGTGTGATCACAGACCATGGCCCAAAGCTCTCCTCACCTCCCTTCAAGCCTTCCAGTATGGCCGTTGCTGCCTTACATCGCAGTAGCATCAGCTATTGCTTTGACGGGATACCTCCTCAGCATTCGATATCGACCAGGCTTACGCCAGGTTCCAGGACCACTACTGGCGTCTTTCTCTGACCTCGACCGCATCATCTCGACAGCCAAGGGCTTGTGTATGAACTACCACCTCAAGCTCCACGAACAATATGGACCTCTCGTAAGGATAGGACCCAAACATGTCTCCATCTCGGACCCATCGTATATCCCGGTCCTGTACGGGATCAACAGCAAATTCTGGAAGACCGACTTTTACATGCCATTTGATGGTGAGATCTCGACTACCATCACATCTGAAAGGCGGACACGACTAAATGCTTTCACGCAGTCAAAACGCCAGCGGGCATGAGACCGACCATCTTCTCCGTCCGTGACGAGCACCGCCATCGTGACATCCGACGACCCATCGCGAACGCCTACGCGCTGAGCACGCTCAAGGAGCTCGAGCCGATGAATGACGCCTGTTCGGAAGTGCTGACGAGGAAGTTCGACAAGTATGTCGGACAGGACATTGATCTTGGCAAGTGGGTGCACGTATGTTCAATGCGCATTCTTGGAGGTGACCGGACAATGCTGATTAATACAAAGTGGTACGCCTTCGATGTCATCACGTCTATTACTTTTTCCAATACGCTGGGCATGATGGAGCAGGAAAAGGATATTGACCGCATTATCGAATCGATTGAGGGTCGTCTTATGTATAACAGCGTCGTTGGGCAAGCGCCGTACCTTCACAGATGGCTTTTTGGGAATGAAATCGGCTTTAGACTGGGGCAATTGATCCCAGCGGTTCGGGTGATGAACTCGTCGAGGTACATCGTTTCGTTTGCGGCGAAGCAACTCGAGCGTTATAACAAGCAGGAGTTCAATACAATCCCGTTGAAGGATATGCTGGATCGATTCAAGCGGTTCAAAGACGAGGAGCAGTTGATCGACGACCCAGCGATGCTGAGCCACGCCGTGAGCAACATGTATGATCCCCCTTTCCCCAACAAGACGAAAGCATTAGAATCAAACTCACACAATCCCCCAGCTTCGCCGGCTCCGACACCACCGCCGCCTCCCTGCGCGCCATCTTCTACTACCTCACCCTCAACAAACCCGCCCACACCAAACTCCTCTCCGAAATCGACACCGCCGACGCCCAAGGCCAGCTCTCGGACCCGGTCACCTTCGCCGAAGCCCAGAACCTGCCTTACTTCCAGGCCGTCATCAAAGAAGCGCTGCGCATGCACCCGGCCGTGGGTCTCCTCCTCGAGCGACTCGTGCCCGAGGGTGGCGCGGAGATTGGCGGCGTGCATCTGCCGGAGGGCACGGTGGTGGGGATTAATCCCTGGGTCGCGGCGAGGGACACAGCGACGTACGGGGCGGATGCGTATGAGTTTCGGCCGGAGCGGTGGTTGGAGGCGGATGAGGGGAGGTTGAAGGTGATGGAGAGGAATTTTTTGGCGGTATGTCTCTCCCCCGTTCATTATCTTATCTCATACATTGTGATCCCCATGACTATACATGTATCGAGTTGCCCTGTTCAATGGCTGATTGTTGGGCATATGTGTAGTTCGGCGGCGGAGCGAGAACTTGTATTGGGAAGAATATTTCCATGCTCGAGATGTCGAAATTGGTCCCGCAGTTGTATCGACGGTTTGATTTTGAGCTGTCGTATCCCGGGAGGGAGTGGACGTTGCATGATTATTGGTTTGTGAAGCAGACGGGTTTGATTTGCAGGGTCAAGCGGAGGGAGAGGGCGTAGAGGAGACTGGAGATGATGTAGATCTACTTACTTCACGGTTCGAGACGCTTGTCTAGTAAGAAGTTCCTTGATCAAATCGAACAACTTGATTGTTATCTGCCTTCGAAACGTATGTCAGAGCCAATGGGTCAACTTTGACGAAATGTGCCCCGAGGATACTATGAGGCTTTTGACGGCCACAAGACATTCCGCTTCTAGAGAAAGTGTTCTTTTACAACAAAATGAATCGAGTAGGAAGGCGTGTGAGTTGGTTACATGTATTGCCGACGAATTGCCAGCAGAAAAAGGGCCAAGCATCGGCAGCAGAAGCTTGCCCTGCGTAGAGCACATGGCTGACTGACGGAATTGGGAAGCACATGCACCCAACATGTGATGATGAGAGGGGAAGCGAAAAAACTTGGAAGCACGCGACATGTAGCTTGTTTGGAGTGCTGCGAATTGCTTTCTCTCTGTGTCTGAACTGTCAAAAGGATATGATGATGCCGCTCATCATGACCAGCTCAATCATTGCAGTCGAAAGTTGGCAGCATCGCGGATTGTGAGGACGTAACCAATTCGCTACTGTACGTGCGTTGGATGGGACTACCATCCCTAGCTGCTTGCTGCTGCTTGGTAGGTACATATCTCCTAGCTCGATCAGCTCAGCAATCACCTCAGCTTGTGATTCACGAGAAAATGCACATCGGCTACCGGAATCATTGTAGCTCGACCGCATCGACCCGATGTGCACCGGCTTCTTGAGATGATTATCCAATGTCTTCCTGATGAAGCTTCCTTCCGTCACGAGGCAACAAGGCTGTAGGTAGGCGGCCGAAGGTATCCCAGGTCCCGGAAATCCGTGAAGATTTCTTCTTTTTGGGACAAAGGAAAGTCAAATGCCGGCGAAAAACGCTTGTGCTCGCTGGCGCGCGGGCCCGAAGTGCCGAATGCGATGCGAAGATGGGACGTGGAGAAGAGTGGAAGATGAGGACGGACGAGCCGGGACGTCACTGTGACGGTAGGTCGGGCATGGTTGTTGACGAGCAAGCGGCTTTTTTGGCAGGGGGCTGGACGTGCTGAACATGCCTCTCAACAACAACAAGGGCGTTGTTGATTGAATGTTTTGTCTGGTTTGGAGCAAGCGACGGGCGCATCTGCAGGCGCCGAGCAGCGGGAGGCAGAGCATAGGGAATAGCTCGTTCTGATATAATCATTGCAGCATCACTTCGTAAGCGAGGCACAGGTCTCGCGCGCGCCTTTGATACGGCGGGCGTCGACAGGCTGGCCAAGCTGAGCCTGGTCGGTGGCAGGGGTTCGCCTTTCAGCTGCCAAAAGCTTGTTGGAGGGGCACCTCGTCTCAATGTCGACTTCATCAAGTTAGGAAGTCCTCGTGAAGTCCTACTGCTCCCCCCCGTTGCTTCCTTCGCACCTCAATCGTCTCGTGCGAAAGACGATCGCTGGTTGCCCGTCCATTCCTCGTGCGCAAACAGACGCTGCCGGCGGGGATCGATCGTGGCGGTTGAAGGACAGCAGCAGAGTTTGGCCTGTCTGATTTGCCGCTTGCGCTGCTGCCCGCGAGCTTCCGGTGCTGCTCTCATCACCACCACCACAGCACAACGAAGACCGTCGACTCTCCCGCCTGCTGTCAGCTGTTGGGCGACTTCTCCGCCTCCCGTGCCTGCCGCTGGCTCTGTGTGTCTAGCCTGAATCCCCCAGGCCCACCGCTGCAACTTCCTGCATCACCTCCTTCGCCGCATCCGCATCCGCGACCCTTACCTTACCTTCGGCCTGAACGCTAACCCGAGGCACGCCGACGACGACAAAAGCTGCACCGTCGCCGCCTCTGCTGCTACTCCCACCTCAGCTTCTGTTGCGCGCTGAGCTTCGTCTGCCGCCATGTCGCTCAAAAAGGCCCTCAACAGCATCAAACCGCGCAGCGGTTCCAACTCCGCTGCCGGCAGCGACAATGAGAGTCCCGCCCCCAAGGGCCACCACCACAAGGACCACGAGCACCGCTCTGGCACTGGCCTGTCCTCCTTGTCCAATGGCATTGGCAACCTGAGCTTCGGACGGCACTCGACCGACTCCGCGAGACGCTCCCTGGACGTCGCATCGCCTTCACCTTCGCGAGCGTCCAAGGAGCACCACCGCTCATCCCACAGCCCTCTAGGCTTCCTCCGCCGCAAGACGCGTCTCGGCTCAGACGACTCCCACTCTTCGACTGAGGATCTGCCATTGAACCGCGAGGGCGAGCCCCTCAGCCGCAACCAGCAGCGCAAGCATGAGCGCCAAGCAGAGAAGGAGAAGCACCGCAAGGAAGCTGAAGCTCGCATGGAAGCAGACCGCAAGCGCAAGGAGGAGATGGAGCGCAAGGCCGCTGAGGAGGAGACGGAAGAGCAGAAGTCAAAGTACGGCACGTTGCCTGTCAACTACTACGCCGGTCAATTGAAGCACGAGGATCACGTAGACCTGCGAGACCTGAAATCCAGCGACGTGGGCAAGGTTGTGCTTTTCAGAGCTCGTCTTCACAATATCCGCAAGCTGAGCGCCCATCTCATGTTTGTGGAGCTTCGCCAGCAAACCCACACCATCCAGGGCATCCTCCACGAGCATGGAAGTGTCTCACAGCACTTTTTGTACTGGGCCGAGCATCTCCACGTCGAATCGATTGTCCGCGTGCGAGCTGTGATCCAAGAGCCAAAGGCCAAGCAGGGCGAGATCATTGGTGTGTCCATCCACAACTTGGAGGTGCACATCCATGAAATGCACGTCGAGGGTACCCCCACCGAACCTCTCCCATTCACCGTGCACGAGGCCGAAGTCAGCAAAGCAGAGACCCAGGCTGAAGGAGATACCCGCCACCGCGTCTCAGACCGAGCTCGTCAGAATAACAGAATCATCGATCTGCGCACCACCACTTCACAAGGTATCTTCCGCGTCCAGTCCGGTGTCTGCCAGGCATTCCGTGCCCACCTTCACTCGCTCGGCTTCCTTGAAATCCACACGCCCAAGCTCCAAGGTGCAGCCTCTGAGTCGGGAGCTAGTGTCTTCAAGGTCGATTACTTTGGCAGGCCTGCGTTTTTGGCTCAGTCGCCCCAGCTTGGCAAGCAGATGTGTATCGCCGCAGATATGAAGCGTGTGTTTGAGATTGGCCCCGTCTTCCGAGCTGAGAACAGCAACACCCACCGACATTTGACGGAGTTCACTGGTCTTGATTTGGAGATGGCCATTGATGAGCACTACCACGAAGTCCTCCGCACCCTCGACAGCACCTTCAAGGCTATCTTCAAGTTTGTGTACGAAAATTACAAGGAAGAGATTGAGGTGGTCAAGCGACAATTCCCTCATGACGACCTTGTCTGGCTTGACGAGACTCCAGTCATCCCATTCGCCGAGGGCATCCGCATGCTCAATGCATCTGGATACCGCGATGAGAATGGAAACGAACTGTCTGAGAATGAAGATATGGGTACACGTGATGAAATCGCGCTCGGTGCGGTGATCAAGGAGAAGTACAAGACCGACTACTACGTCCTGGACAAGTTCCCAACATCCGCACGACCCTTCTATGCCATGCCTGATCCTGACAACGCCGACGTCACGAACTCATTCGACATCTTCCTGAGAGGGCAGGAAATTCTTTCCGGTGGCCAGCGTATTCACGATGCGAACATGCTCGCTGCGAAGATGGAGAAGATGAGAATGGACCCCAAGACACTTGAAGAGTACATGAGCGGTTTCGAATGGGGTGCTCCACCACACGGCGGCGGTGGTATCGGTATGGAGCGTATTCTCATGCTTCTGCTGAAGCTTGGTGACATCCGAAACGCCACGCTCTTCGCACGCGATCCACGGTCTCTGCCCTACAAGCCTCCGGTCAAGCAACTCAGACATCCAGAAGCCAGCACTTTGCACCCTCCATGGATTGGAACCGACCGAGTCACCGCTCACCAGGATCTCCAGCCCATCGAGAAGCTCATTGCCAATTACGGCGATGCTTCCAACACATCCTGGCTCGAGCCCAAGTTCGAGCACTGGCGAGATCCCAACACAGGTGCAGCTGTTGGTTTCGTACCTCATGAGGGGTATGCGATTACTATTGGTGATCCGCTTTGTCACGCCAGCCAGTACGCCAAGACCATTGGCGGATTCTTGCGGTACATCAAGAAAGACCGACATCTCAAGCCCCTGTGGTTGCTCTGCGGTGGTGCGGTGGAGGAAGTGCTCGCAAACAAGTTCGATTGGCGAACTTTGTCTGTGGCTGCTGAACAGCGTCTTGACCCTGGAAACAACCCAGCAGCTCGGGATCCTGAAATTCAGCGGAAGTGCCGCCACGCTGAGAAGGAGGGTGTCAAGACTCACGATATCTTGTATGTTGATGAAATCAATCTTTCGAAGGTATTTTGCTAACTTCTGTTCAGAATCGGCACCACAGTGCCCAAGGACGTCAAGGAGAAGATCGACAAGCGAATCGAAGATTGGCTCAAGAACCGCAAGGGCAAGCAGGTCCATCTGACAGACGTGCACCCTTGGCAAGATGTGGCACACAGGCAATATCATTACACCACCACCAAGGACGGTCAGATCTGTGGTCTGGTCATTCTGGCCCAGCTCTCACCTGATCATGGGTGGCAAGTCAAATTCGCGCTCGACTTCCCGGGTGCTCCATCCGGCGCCATCGAGTTGCTTGTCTTGCACGCCCTGAAGGCTGCGGCAGCGACTGGTGCTACTTCTGTCACGTTCGGTGGTGGTGCCAGCTCGAAGCTCACCCCCGGTCACAACCTGAAGGGTACTCGAGTGAAGGTGCTGGCCAAGGCCTACCACGCCATCGCCACCGAGTTGAAGTTGACGAACAAGAGCGAGTTCCGAGAGAAGCTTGGTGCTCAAGATGATCCAATCTATGGTGAGTTCCTATAGAAAGTTCAGGGTTGTTCGATCAATGGTACTGACATGATGAACTAGTTTGCTACCCACCCCACGGTCTCGGCCCAGGTGGTGTCCGTGCCATTCTGAGCTTCTTCGAGGACGAGGATGACTCTTCGAAACTTGGTTAGTCGCCAGCGCAAAAGAAGACAAAGTGGCCTCTGTGTTGGACAAGTTGATGTATTGATGGGAAAGAACAGAGCATCAGATATGGTGAGAGGGAAGGTGGAAGAGACAGAGAGAGTAATAAGTAACGATGGGGATGATTGAGTGAAAACATCCCGTGGCATGCATGCATCGCGGTGCTACTGTAATTACCGGGATCATTATTGAGGCTTTGAGGCTGCTTGCTGTAGGCCTTGTTGCATTTGAAATGAATTGAACATACCCCCTTTCTTCACAAAAGCATAGGCTTAGTAGACATCGAATTCTTCATTCTCTTTTCGAAGATCTGCAGGGTACGTACACATACGATCCTTGGAGGAGTTTGGTCTGCATCGAGCTGCGTTCCTGGAAGTCAATTCATCCTCTTTGGCAATATTTAACTTACGTTGTTTCTCTGTTCTTTCTTTTCATCAATGCTTTGATACAAATTCCTAACAACACGCTTGAGACTACAACAGCGGAATGCTTAAGCACGGTATTGTACCCTATCCGCATCCGCATCTATTAGTGATAAGAATCCGTTTGATAGCAAGAAACGATTCGTTTTGGGAAATACCCACCGTTGGAGGGCTTCTTTTGGGATGATTCTTGGGATGTATAAGACACGTGGAATTATTTGGTGATGAAGGACAGTTTGAACGCTTGAGTAGGGAGTTGAGGGAGGGGGTGGAGGGGCGGGGTTGGAAGACTGTGAAGGGAGGCCATGCTTGTAGTGAGTTTTATTCTTTCTTTTTCTCTCTTGTTGTTGACTGGTATATTGTACTGACTTATTTCCATGACCCTGTGAGAGTCTCTTCACTCCTTCCACGAGGCTATCCTGGAATTCCTCACCTCACCGAGCACCGACTGAACTTCAATCCCCAATCCCCAACGCCACGCTCCCCAACCCATCCACCAACCCATCCACCTCACTCAGTTACTCCCCGAATTCGGATACCCCCCCTTTCCCAACCGCCTCCGCCGGCCCACCCCTCTGCCCCAGCACGCCCCCCACATCAAACCCCTCCCGCTTCTCCTCCTTAACCTTCTCCCTCGCCCCCGCCTGCTCCGCCTTTTTCCTCTCCAAATCCGTCTCCAACCCCGGTTCCTTCCCAGAAGCCCCCGGATGCCGATCCACGGCGCTCGCGACTTTGCCCTCCCCCGGCGCCCCCATCTGCTCCGCGTCGAGCTCCTGCTCGTCGAAGCTGGACTGTGTGTGGCCTTGGGTTTCTTCGCCGGGCGGCGCGCCGTGGATGCCTCGCGCCATGGAGGTGGGTGTTGCGGAGGAGTAGGGGGTTTGGGTGGTGGGGGTGCGGTGGGCTCTGGAGAGAGATGTTAGTTGGGGTGGACTGGGTGGGTTTTGAGATTGGATAGGTGGTGTTGGGGATGCTTACACGGCGTTGTCGTCGTCGGTCTTTGCGTTTAATTGCGCTCTGGATTTCTCGATGGGCTCTTTGTCCGTTGGGTTGCCTGCTGTTTCGTAGGCTTGGTCGAGGGAGGGCTGCGAGAGCCCGGTTGAGGAGGACATGGTTGTTTGGTTTCGATCAAGAGTGATTGAAATTCTTCAGTTGTGTGTGTCGTTTCAAAGATCAATCTGAGATTCGAGTTGTTGTGCGTTTTGGAATTGGAAAGGATGGTTCAACTGTTTTTCGATTCATTCAATCAATCCAGGCACATCCCACCTTTTTATAAGATGCCCTAGCCCCGCGCTTGTCGTCATCGTGTGCTCATGCATGTGAGAGCTTCACAATGACATCCAAAACGGAGCTATGTTTTGCATAGGGTCATACATATTTCTTATCCACCATTTCATTCACCACATCTTCAGCCTCTCAAACTCAATCTACATGGCAGTCAACCTCTCACGCAATGAGATCCTTGGCAAGGTCTACAAGATGGTGCCTCCCATGCTGGAGAAGTTCCACAAGGGTATGGATGCATTCGAAGCTGCCCCGCCATGTTGGTCGAAATAGTGTCTAATAATATTGGATTTTTTCGTAGGCCAGCTGGGACGGGTAGCGGTCATTGGAGGCAGTGAGGATTATACTGGAGCTCCGTATTTCTCGGCCGCTGCGTCGGTGAGTGAACGATGGTAAAAGAGGCGGTTGTGGATGTGGCGACTGATTTGATCTTCGTAGGCCAAACTAGGAGCTGATATGGTGAGTTGAACAATCAATGAAGCTCACGAAATCACACGCAACCAACACCTCAATAGTCGCATGTCATCTGCGAACCAGGCGCAGGCGCCGTGATCAAAACCTACTCTCCGAACCTCATGGTCCATCCATACATGCGACAACAGAAGAATCTAGGCAAAGACGAAACGATCGACTCCGTCGCGGACCAAGTCATCGCCATGCTCGATCGATTACACGTCGTGGTGATCGGTCCCGGTCTCGGCCGTGATCCAGCAATGCAAGAGACCTGCGCGCGAGTCATCACGGAAGCGAAGAAGAGGAATATCTCTTTCGTACTGGATGCAGATGGATTGTACCTGGCGCAGACGAGACCGGATCTGGTGCAGGGGTACAAGGAGTGTATCCTCACACCTAATGTTGTTGAGTTTGGACGATTGGCTAAGAGCAAGGACATCGATACGAGCAAGGAGGATCCGACCAAGCTGTGCGAGAAGCTGGCGAATGCGTTTGGGGGAGTGACGATCATCCAGAAGGGCAAGGTGGATTACATCTCCAATGGCAAGCAGACGCTCATCTCGGATGGTGAGGGTGGTTTGAAGAGATCTGGCGGACAGGGAGATACGTTGACAGGTTCTCTGGCGACATTGCTGGCGTACAGGAAGGCGTATCTGGACAAAATCTGGGATCACGATGGCGATATGAAGCCCGACGAGCTGCTCACGTACGCTGCGTATGGCGGTTCGGCTATCACGAGGGAGTGCTCGCGACTGGCGTTCAAAGAGAAGGGTCGAAGTTTGCAGGCAGCTGACCTGACGGAGTTCGTCCATACCGCGTTCCTGGATATCATTGGCGAGAAGCCGACGGATGAGGCGAAGCTTTGATCGAAGGTGTAGAGTCGGGTTGTAAGTATAGGTGGTGTCCAAAGCATAGCGAGGCGTTGTCCAGCATTTAGCATACGTATGATGGCATGAACAGAAGACAGGCATAGCATGGCGATGGAAGACTGGCGATGGGCAAAAGCTTCAATTCCTGATGTCGAACACCATTATGCATCGTCTCTCGTTGAAGGAGAAATGCCACCCTGCCACCAACTGGTGACTCTCCAAACTCCTCGCTGTGCAACTCTCGTCTCTATCTGTATCCGGTCTTCGCCCGCTGCTTCAGCCGAAGTGACTTCGTAGTCCCTCGTAAATAGTGAAAATGAGCGCACTGCTCGGCGCACTCCTAGCGACGGTGATGCCACACCCTCGATATAACCCCTTCAAGCCATGTGCTTTGTACAACTCTTTGCCCACATTCAAAAACGTCGGCGTGACGTTCGACAGCTCCCCCGTCTGGATCTTGCTCTTAATCGTGTCGGCTGGGAAGAAGATGAAGTTGTAGCTCATGCCCGCCACGGCGCCCGAGATCATCTGCTGCCAGATCGGGAGGCTGTCGTTCTCGGGATCTTTGAGGCGCTTTTTGAAGTATAAGGATAGTGTCTCGTAGCTGCCGAACCATGCTGCTCCGCCTCCGGTCTCGCGCAGGAGGGTGCCCATTTGCCCGCGCCAGAAACCTGGGATTCCTTCTCGTCGGTAGACTTCTGCGATTACAGCGAAGGGGCTGAGAGATCTGGCGGCGAGGCCGCTTCGGGGTCCTAGGTTTGGGTCGAGGCTGGATTGGAGGGGGACTTGCATGCGGCATTTGACGAGTTCGATGGGCGTGAGGACCATGGAGGTCAGGGCGCCGGATATGGCTCCTGCTGTCACCAAGGCGGGTAAGGGTAATGCCTCGCCGGCGTCCGTTGGGAGGACTGTCGATTGGAGGACGTCTTTGGCGAGACGATATGCCCAGAAGAGACAGGCATTCTCTGCGGCAGCACCAACGAGGGGCGCACTCACGCCGCGGTAGAGGCTGCGGAAACCGTCTTGTTGGATGCTCTGGCGGAAACAGTCGAGAGGCCCGGCATAGCGGAGGGGGAGGTGGTCTGGTTGGGATTGGAGTCGCACTTTGACGGTGTCGAAGGGGTACTCAAAGAGCTTGCTAATTATACCGCCTACAGAGCCGTATGTGATGTCCTTGAGCGCTTCGACACCTTGATTCTTGGTTTGCACGGCGGTTGCGGTTTTTTCTCTCATGGAGGGACCGCCGTCGACATACGGCGGCGCAGTCTTGGACTCCATGGTGGCGCCAGGGCAGGCAGGTATGTATGTTCGGATCTTTCACGTGCCAGACGTGAAGAGAGGAAGTGAGTGTTATCGTGGGAGCATGGTATTGTCAGTCGGGTCGGTGAGTGAATGAAAGCAGGTTCTGGCAAGAAAGGAATTGTCGCCTTTTTCACATGGTACGACGTGACTTCGACGCTAAAGTCAGTAGCCACCGTCTTGGGGGCTCAGAGTGATGCTGTGGTGCATGTGCCGCGATCCAATGGCGGACATGTCATTCCAATTCTTCGAGAGTTGCGTGGTGCTGTTCGGCGCAGAGTTGTTCGCTGGCGTGGGATTTTCTGAGATGTGGGGCGACTCAAGCCGAAACCGAGCTCTTGCGACTTTTTCTGGCCGCTGCCGCGTCTTTTTACGTACCTCTCCACCTGCACCGTTTCCTTGCGCGATATTCGATCGTCCTGTATTACGCGCGGCGAGATTCTTGCCGAGGAGATTGATCATGGCTGTTCAGCAGCAGACGACGGCGGGCATGCGCAAGAACGGCAAGCAGTGGCATGCGCCGAGGAAGGCTTTCCGTCCTGCTGCTGGTCAAACGGCCTATGCCAAGCGAGTTGCGAGAGAGTCTCAGGCTGCTGAGGTGAAGAAGATCGAGAAGGAGATGAAGGCGGAGAGGGAGGACGAGCGACAGGTGAGTGGAAACAGTACGAGTTGGTGTTGAATCTTCTGACGGAAAGATACAGAGACGGATTCAGGCCATCAAGGATAAACGAGCGGCCAAGGAAGAGAAAGAGCGTTTTGAGAAGATGGCCGAGAAGATGCACAAGAAGCGTGTGGAGAGGCTGAAGCGTAGGGAGAAGAGGAACAAGATGTTGAAGTCATGAGCTGGTGGTCGACGAGATTTTACCGATCATCAATCTCGAGTCTTGACAATTAAGATCATATGTGCCGAGCAGCAACAGGCCTCACGAACAGTCGGCTACGGAGAATGGTACCTTACTGCAGTGGAGGGGTCATTCTTGGAGGACTGGACCTGGTCTGCGAAATTGCTCTTGCAAGCTCAACGGATGGACAGTCCCGACATCCGTCGGGCAGGTTGAAAGGAGGTCTACGAACTGCTTACTCTCGCAGACTATCGCCCAAGGACTTTTTCATCAGAACATGAGCTGCGGAAAGTGATGTCTGCGCCTGGGCTGAGCTTCAGCACAGAGACGTGGCGCCGCTGAGGCGTCGAAGAACACGGCCGTGGCGTGGGCGAGGCGACGTTGGAAAGCATGGAAGAATCCATATGCTGTTCCATGCTTTCAGCCTTCCGCCAGGCACGTGGAATGCAGAATTGAATGGTAAAGGGACGGAGAGGAAAGAAGGGTCATGCAACGGTATGGAGACATACTTTGATATGCAGTCTCACCACTGCACTCTCATGCACTTGTCAGACGCGCTCTTCCTTCAGCGATCGAGTACAGCTTTGAAGAATCCAAAAAGAGCTTACTTTGGAAGAACCCAAAAAACTGCATTTTCCTCGTCCACTGACCACGCATCTCGTGAACATGCTCACGCTCCCAAGACTTTGGTGGAAAGCAAAGTGCCTCAAGATACACACGCGCGGCTGACGAAGTGCTCGGTACCCAAGATATGCCACTTCCACCGGGGAGCATCGCAGCTGTTTTCCGGTGCCTCTGAAACCTACATGCACTCCTGCAGATGGCGCCGAACAGCATGCGCAACTAACCAGTCTGTTGAGAAAGCGTGCAGCAGCCGAGTCGACGTTCGAGTGAGACAACGCCGAGCAAGCGTAGAAGCATCCAACACGAGTCTCGAAGCACCGTTGAGCGGCGGGACAGCACGACGTGGACTTTTGTGTACATTTGTATCAATGTCTTGGGTTTACGAGATGTGGCTGCTATGGGATGGGGCTGGCTGGCTGATGAGGCCAGCTCTGGACCACGTGCGGAGAGAATTCGGCGGAAGGTTTTGGCGACGGCACAGCTGCTGTCTGCTTGCTGCACGCACTATTGGGCAATTGCACAGAATTCTCCTTGTTGCTGCAGAAGTCCCATCGACAACATCGTGAGATGTGGTGGTGTGGTTCTTTGTCTTGAGGCGTTTCTGACTTTGGGGCTGTGTGAAGCTCATGACCTGGTGCGAAGACCAGAGTTCGAAGCGACCAGACTGTAACGCTACGATAGACCGTGGCGGGCGTATACCGACGGTCGGGTCAACTCTCTGGGCGAGAGTTCTCGGTCCTCTCTATCCGGACACGCATCTCAAGGCGTGGCTTGTTTCGGCCAGGAGCTTCTCAAAGCAGCAGTCAAGCTCAGCTCGATGCGTTGTCGGGGCATGCGTGTGGCTGTCGAAGAGGCCGAAACGAGACGCCAGCGACCACTTCTCGACTGTCTTGGTCCTGCGGCTGGAGGATCTCGACGTGCAGTAGTAGCCATGCTCTTGGTGAGGTACCATCAGCTGGACGGTCACAGGATGAAGCGAAGACATGATGGTATAACAGCAACACTACGCATTGCATGATTGGGTACCAGACGCAACGTCGACGAGTAAGTTTCTCTTGTCCCTTTGTCGCAACTCGCAAGTCTACTGTGCTAGCGGATCTCTGGCCCAGAGATGTCATTAGACTTTTAGCTTCACGATAGCCTCATGCAATCTAGTCGGTGGGGAGGCCGCAAGGTTTGGCACCAGCTCGCCGATCGACTGCGCGCCCTGGACGGCCATGCCGGTCTCGTGCACGAATATGCGCGCTCCACAAGCCTTCACACCACCTAGACGCACCTCTAATGGCGGTGGTAGCGCGATTCAGACGGCAGCTACTCCCGTGCAGACTTCCCCAACGACTCCCATCCGGCCTTTTGGGATTCCGGAGAGGCTACCCGTCGAATGCACGGATCATGCAATGGGATCAAGGTTCGCGTCTATCTTGCCCATCAGCGTTGGAAGCTCCTCTGATAGCGCCAGTCGTGACCGCTATAGTGCACGTCCCACGGGCCTCGACAAAGGACGCGCTGGGGAAGTTGTTCTTTACACTTCGTCCTCCTCCTGCTGCTGCTCGGCCTCCTCCAACGGACTGACATCTTGTATCTGTTTTCCTTGTGTACTGGACTTGTGCATACCTGACCTCACGAGCTCGATTACCTCCACACGAGTAAGGACTCGTGAAGCCAGCGCTGTCACTACAAATTTATTTTCCTTGACAAGAGTGGATCCAGCGAGGACGACATGGGTCTAGCATCTTTCTTTGCCTTCTTTCGCGGGGACGCGAAACCCAAACCCAACAACACCTCTTCTCCACGACGCCAGAATGCAGTCCCTAGGAAGGGCTGGGCCGACTATGGACGCTCTCAGGATACCAGTACAACAACGACCGCCTTGCCGGCTGCACCCAAGAATACCTTCGCCCCAGATGCTAGGCATAATGATAGGAGCGAGAGGAGTGAGAGGAGGAAGAGTCGAACACCTACCGTACCGCGACCTACGTCTAAGAAGAGCAATCGTCGCAGCTGGTTTGGCGGTAGGCCAGGTCGCGAAGACGATGTACCAGCCGTGCCAAGGCTGGTCAAACACACCACAACCACAGAGGACAGCGTCAGGCCAGGCACAGCGATCACTACCGACACTATCGAGACGCAAGGTAGACGCCATTCGATTGCGCGAAGCCTCAGTCGGAAGAAGTCGTGGTTCAAATCACAAGAGCCTCAGGTCACAGTCGAGGCACTACCGCCAATGCCTGTGACCATCAACCAGCCAACCAAAGCAGCCACATCTACTCTACCGGCCGACCAAAGGCGTAGACGTAACTCGGTCAAGACCATCGAGAGGAGAGGAAGTACGGCCAGCACGGTCAGACCGAAGGTGAAGAAGCGAAGCTCATTCTGGGCGAGCTCGAATCCAGACGATTCGGACTCAGACGTGCCACCAGTACCAGCATTGATCCGCGACGGCACGCCAGATTCCAACAGCAACGCCTCATCCGACGACAATCAACCAGCTCGACGAACCGCCAGAGGGGATGGCATCAAACAGCCTCGCCCCCTGAGCACCGTCAGCACCTCCTCGAGGAAATCATACACCCCCAAATCCGCCGCAAAGGGCTTCCTCAAATCGACCAACGGCGCCTCGGAGGAACAACGCAAGAGCTTCCGACAGTCGTTCCACCTGGAAGATGAGTCCGACCTCGTGTGTCTGACGGAGGAGCAGCGCATCGAGTGGGCGAAGCTCATGAACAACCAGAGCAAGTTCGAGGAGCGACCTGCGACGGAGGTACCGCAGACGAAGGTGAAGAAGAACAATGTGCGGTATTCGAACGCTCAGGCACTGGCGGCTCTTGAGTTTAATGTTCGATAGAACATCCAGCAAGGGCTCTTGAATTTTCAATGTAAAGCGTACTGTTGGCAAAGACCAATGGACGCGATATCTTTATGGATGGAACGAAGGCGTTGGCGCTGGCGCTGGGATTTTGTGCAGGGATAAGGATAGGACTGGACTGGGCTGATTTGGTTGTCTCATTGATGTTAATACTCGATCTCGAGGTATTCGGGTCCAGTAAAGGCATGTGCGGACGAAGCACTATCCTACCACACGTTGTCAAATCATAGATTTCGATCGGTTTATTAGGTGAATGAGAGGAATTCTTCACAGCTTCCCAGTCTGGCCATGTAATTATTCGCGGGAGACATTGCCTCTTGCACACCCACCCTAAGCTGCTCACCACTCCACTCGGCAACGGCTCGTTCTTGGTCGTCTCCTCTCATTCAGCCGAACCAAAGCACCATTTACCCGGCCACTACCCACTCCTCGCTACCACGGCTCCACAACTCCTCCCTCACATGGCCTCCCGAGTTGTTCCCTCGTATGGGGCGTCCACCGGATTAATCAACACCGAGCCTAGAATTCGACCTCACCGCTCTGTATTAACATGGTAGAAACATCAGAAGCAGACAATTGAATCGATCCAAACCCCCCCCCAAAGCCAAAAGTAGAAGGAGCCATGAGCCGAGACAAAACCGCCGACTTCTCAGGCAAAGTCATCGCCCTCACCGGCGGCGCCAGCGGCATAGGTCTCGCGACCTCCCAAACCCTCCTCGCCCGCGGCGCCAACATCGCCATCGGAGACATCGACGCTGCAGCTTTAGACACCGCTCGCAAGACGCTCGTAACAACCCCAGATGATGAAGACCGGATCCTGTTCACGAAACTGGACGTCTCGGATCGAAAATCCGTCGATGGCTGGATCCAGGCTGTGATAGGGAAGTTTGGAAGGCTGGATGGCGCGGCGAATTGTGCGGGGGTTATTGGACGGCATCATGGGACAAGGGGCGTGGAGGAGTTGGAGGATGGGGAGTGGGAGTTGATTATGGGTGTGAATTTGACGGGTAAGAAGAAATGCATCGTTCTGTCCCTGATGAGATCTGTGACCCTTTTTGGGCTGACGACGGTTGTTTTGGCGGGGATAGGAATGATGTACTGCCTCCGAGCCCAACTCCAGAATATGCCTGGACCGGGCAGCATCGTCTGCGTGAGTTCCGTAAGTCCTCCCCCTTCCCTTCCCAACCCAACCCATCCCCTCTCCAAAAACTCACACCCCTCCTCCCCCAAAGGTCCAAGGCTCCCTCGGCTTCGCCAAACACGCCGCCTACGCGGCCAGCAAACACGGCATCCTCGGCCTCGTGCGCAGCGCCGCCAAAGAAGTCGGCTCGCGCAACATTCGCGTCAACGCCGTGACGCCCGGCTCGATCCAGACGCCGTTGATGGACAAGCGGAATGCGCTGGAGGGGGTGGAACAGAGTTATCACGAGACGCCGATTAACCGCGTGGGCGAGCCGGCGGAGGTGGGGAATTTGATTGTGTGGCTGTTGAGTGGAGAGGCGACGTTTGTGACGGGGGCGACGTATGCGGTTGATGGGGGGTGGGCTTGTTGAGTGGTATGGAAGGAAGGAAACGTTTGCAGAGCCGGACGGTTTCCCTTTTTATGCTTGTGGTTGAGCTAGTTTGATGTGACCTTGGTCGTCGTAGACCAGCTCTCTGATTTTTGCGGATCGCAGATTGTTTTCTCCTGAGATGGACGTGTCGTGGTAGCAGAGATACCATTTGCCCCTGAATTCGACGATGGAGTGATGCGTCGTCCAGCCTTGGACTGGCTCCAGAATGCGTCCGGCGTAGGTGAACTAGAATCGTAGACAATCAGCTATGCAACATCTCGAAGGCAGTCACAGAACTCACCGGCCCCATCGGAGAATCCCCCATCGCATAAACGATATAATGCGTATCCCCTACAAAAACCCAAAATCAGCACAAAAACCCCCTTTCCAACAACATCACCAAAAAAACCCGCGAAACCCACCAGTGCTATAACTGAAATAATACTTCCCGCCTCTCTTATGCATCCTACACAACAAAAACATCAACCGTCAGCCACAACCAAACCCTCCTTTTGATCAGAGGATATACGAACCAAGCCGCCTCAAAAAACCTCCGATCATGCCTCCCCGCCCGAATCGGCTTCCCATCGATATCATCGTTGATGATCAAATCCTGCACGCCGCTTTCGAAAGACTTCATATCCTGGCTCAACTTGGCGACTTTTGGCATAAGCGCGTCTTCATCGCGAGAGGCCTCCATCGTCGAGTATGCGTCGGGGTCGAATTGGCCGGTCCGCCAACACTTTCATTCATCATCATCGTCAGCCCCGTCCCCGGTCCCATCCGAACCACCCTGCGAAGATACAACAACGTACCTGCAACTGCCCGCCCCAAATCCCACCGAAATAGAGATACGCCTCCCCATCATCATCCACCAGCACCGCGGGATCAATACTAAAACTCCCCCGGATAGGTTCCCTTTCCGGCGTGAAAGGCCCCTCAGGGGTGTCACTCACCGCGACACCGATGCGGAAAACCCCCTCTCGATCCCGCGCGGGGAAGTAGAAATAATACTTCCCATGCTTGAACGCGCAGTCGGGCGCCTATACACCATCAATTCACCTCGACGCGGGGAAAAGAAATCGACAATACATACCCACAACTGCCTCTCCGCCCAAGGGACATCCTCGACCCCGAACGCCTTGCCATGGACCGTGACCTCCCCACCGATCTCCCCCATCGAGAGGACGTGGTAATCCGCCATGTCGTACTGCGAACCGTTGTCGTCGTCGGGGATGTTCGTGCGTCGATCGTGGGAAGGGTAGATGTAGAGACGGTCGTTGAAGACGCGGCCGCTGGGGTCGGCGAAGAAGTCTTCTGGGACGAGGGTTTTGGAGTCTGTCATTTTTCTTTGATTTTTTCGGTTGGTTGGGTTGTTGTCGTTGTTCTTCGAAGCTGTTGGTGGGGAACGAGGAATGCTTTCGTTCCATGGTCGTCTTTATGTGTCTCGAGTGCCTAGCATTTGTTTAGCCTAATATCCATTCTCGTGAAGTCACTGCTTCGGCTCTGCGATTGGCTCAGAAACGCCTTCACAAGACCAAAGTGGGCAGGTGCGCTTGGATGATTTGTCTGCAGGGCCATATATCAATCAGTAGACGATCGCAACGGGTGCTGTCAAATATGTAACGTTTGGAAGCCGTGAGGCTATACAGATTCTAGATCCCCTCTCCATATTCAAGACTTTTTCCTTTCCTCCCCCCTTTTCCCACCACCCTCGACGCCCTTGGGTAAATCTCTCAGCTGGTAAATGCTGCTGCTGCTCTTTCTCCAAAATGGCCGTCTCTGTCCAGAATGTTACAAATATCTCTTCTCTCTCTCCTTCTTCTCGTCATAGATCCGTTGTCTTTCGTTGCTTCATTGCGTCTATTCACAGATGTCAACAGATAATGCACTGTGAGGTCTCATAACCCCTCTTGTGATGTTCGCGACTCCTCATCGCTTGAAGAACTCTCGGAATTTCGCTGATGGACCTCCTGAGGTCCCGGCAGCTGGCTCACGTTGTAAGCTGAGTTCATATAGATCCTGGGTATCAATGTCAGTATCAATATCATGCTAGAGATGGAGGGTTGCTTACCTCCTCATCCTTGATGAGCTTGACATCGAGGATGAGCTCTCGAACCTGGTCGTTCCCCTTGGGACCACCTAGATTCGTATACGGCATACCCTGCGCCCGCTGCAAGCTGACGATGACATCGCCCATGATCTCAAACTTCTTCCAGTTGATTCGGCCCTCGTTCTCATCCCCGGTGAAAGTTCGATTGCCTTCCTCTGCGGCAGCCAAATCTCGTCGATGAAGAGGGAGATACGGTATACGCTCACTCGAGCTGTTCTCCCACGCCAGGCGGTAAGCAAAGTATGAGCGAGAAGGTGACATGAGAATCTCCAGCTTCATCCAGTCCTTGCCTACCGCCTGCGGTAGAAGTTCTTTCGTGGCGCCTAATCGATGCACGGAAGTAGATTTAACGCCTGCGATGATGGCCCCTAGAGCGTTGTAGTTGTTGAGTTCTCGCAGCTTTCGGGCTACTCGCATGAACTTCTCCAGCATCAATGCCCTGTGCTTAGGCTTGTCCCGAAGAAGGACGTAGTTTGCGACCCAACATGCCAGCTGGTTGAAATGATCAGTCATGCGGTTGACATGTACAACATTTTTGCAAGCAGCCTTCATGTCTTTCGAGAGTGAGATGTTTCTGACCAGGTCTCGTGGACGAATCGATGAGAACATGATCCAGTCCATTCTGGTAAGCTCTCTGGCTATTAGATCGTCGGGAATCTCCATCAAGGCTCGCCATTGCACCTTGCTTAGTGGATTGCGAGGGACTGCTTCCAGGAGTTGGGCCTGTCTCTGAGCCTGCTCGACATGAGCCATCATCTGGTTCGCGAACTTCGGTAGATGGTCTGTTGAACCGTCTTCGTTGATGGTGCTGCCGCTCAGCTCGTGCTCCATGGAAAACATAGGGTCATCAATCAGCGTACTCGCAGTTGAAGACATCGAGTTGCGCGCGTCATCTCCAGAGATTTCCCGCTCTTTGTCGGTAAATGCCCAGTTGGTATCGTCATCTTCTCGCACGTTCTCGATATCAACACTGATCTCTCTCGCCGCAGACGCAAAGATTCGAAGCTCCGCCAGTTTGGATATGAATGTTCGTAGCCGCCGTTTGGTCTTGGGATATGCAAAATCGCCAGGGTACCAGCCCACCCATTGCTCTAGAAGATTGACGTAGCGCAGCTGCGTCTGTGTCTTGAAGATCTGCGGGACACCACCGCGTTCCAGCGCATCAAAACGCTCAACAACGGCCTCCAGTAACTTGCCAGGAGCGGCGAACTTTCGGTACAATGCAAGGAAGATGGCAGCGAATTTGAGGTCTGCTTTCGAAGTGGGTTGTGCAAGTAACCGTTCAACCAGTTCGTCGAATGTAGCACCCTGTTCAGAGAAGCTGCCCGAGGAAGGTGTCGCTCCTGCCAATGCTTGTTGCTCACCGCTCACAGACGAGCGAGAAGACGTCCGTGAGGCCTCGCTCGCAGACTCCTCGATGAAGAATGAACTATTCATCTGATCGTCCTGCGGCACCCGCAGGCGATCGTTGGAGGTGTGGCCAGCTATGGTGGAGTCGTGTCTGTAATGAGATTGGTCTTTGAGGAGTCTGCCGGTGTATTCAGAGCTGGCACGCGAATGTCCCAAAGGCCCAGAATGTCGCGGCGAGACTGGACGGACAGCGCTGGACTGTGCCCTGCGACGGCTTGCCGACGAGCTCCGTAGATGTTCCTCTTGCTGAGAGTTGATGATGTTGTTCAGAATCATAAAAATCCCGCGCTTGTGGCTCTCTGGTCGTATCTCTGATATTTGCAACGTGCCGAGACTCGCGATGGCGTCTTTCGCCCTCTTCTCAACCTGTTCTGGATCAAGCTCACGTTCTGAAGGTGGAGTGTCACACTTGCACGAAACGAGTATCGTTGGTAGGGAAGCTTTAGTGATCGCAGCTGTGTAAGGCAAGCATTGATCAGCACCACTCGCAGAAAGCTTGCATATAGCTTGAATTTTTGCAATGGGGAGATGGTTGTCGGCAAAGTGTAGACTCACTTAGCATTTCAGGCAGCTCATCAACGCTTGCCTTATCCTTGACGTCGTACAATGCCAATGCACCATCAACTCTCGGCATCATCTTATCCTCAATTGTGTCCGGCCAATTGATCGTTTCATCGTCGTCAATATCCAGATCTTCAATCGGCAGCTCGAGCAGTCGTACAAGGTAGAGACTTCCGTCAATGGGGATCTTTCGTTCGGCGACTTGCGAGGGTGGGAGAGAAGGTAGTTCGAGAGCGTTTTGGAGAAATGTCGACTTGCCGACACCTTCGGCGCCGATGACTGCGATGTTGATTTCTGGCAATGGCTCCGAGAGCTGGTAAGGCGAAGGTGCCTGATTAGCGTGTATCCCCGTTTATATGCGCGCCTCGCGATCGAACGCATGTGACGAGCGGACATACCTCTGGGGTCTGAAAAGGGTGGAACTGGCGTATCGCACCTACGACGCCGAGAGTTTCGTCCTCATCCTGGCCGTCGACGTCTATGTTCGGAGACGGAGCAGTGGTGGTAGGGGCAGGAGGGCGGTGTTGGCGGCGCGACTCATCATCGTCGCGGCGTTGCTGCTGCTGGCCCCCCGTCAAGCGGCCCCGGTCAGTGACAAGGGGGGCACTATTAGTTCGTGCTTTGAGGCGAGGCCGCTCGGATGCTGCTGCACGGGCTGCACCTCCATCACCAACACCTCCTCCCGCACCGATATTACTGCCCAACTCGTCCGCATCCGGGTCTGCGTTTGCCGGCCGCAGGCTCCCCCTCCGCAGGCCATCGGCGCGCTGCTGGTAGAGATTTTGGTATTGCGCGAAGCTCTGGCTGCTCTTGGCCTTCTCGCGCCGCTGCTCGAAGCGTTGCGAGTCGTAGGCGGTCTTGCTGGTCCGACGTGAAGATGACTCGCGCCCATGAGACGTCGAGTGGGACATGTCCCGACACAGTCCTCCTCCCCGCTGCTCGCCCCGGGCTGGCCTAGTCGCGTCGAGCTGGTGGTGTCGTGGTGGTGCGGTGGAGGTGGAACTGCTCTCCGGCCGCGGCCATGTCCAGGCGCGCCGGCGTACTCGTATGGGGTGGTGGGAAAGGGAGAGGGCGACGACGGCACGGGTGGTTTGGAGCTGTGTAGGCGATCGCGCAGCAAGCAGAACGGGAGAGGTGCGTCAATGGCGGAGGTTTCTCAATCCCCTCTGCAGCTAAATCCAGCCTTCACAGGCTGATCCTTGTTCGTGACATCCAACTATCAGATCCGCTGGCACACCATCCATATCACTGCCGCTATCACTATAGAAAAAGCATTGAACTCGTTGAGTTCGCATATGCAAGCGCAACACCAGCCGGTGGATTCTACTCGATCGACGGACCACACACACTAAACGATCTATCGATGTTCTGTCATTGGAACAACACTCGCAATGCTGGTGATCATAGAGGAGTCTGTTTTCATAGCCGTACACATTTCCATACCAATCCCGTCATCATCAAAGTGCCGAACTCGCTGGAAGAGCCGCTGTTATCTGCCCTGTTCTACCTGGTCGTCCCTGTGTACGCTTTTGGTGCTACTCATTACATGCCCGCCTGTTGCATTAACGCCTGTACTCCTGCCTCACATCATGTTGCCGGTTCCGGGTGTTCTCGCTCCCATGAAGACTCCTGCCGGATTACTGCTTCCACCATTCTGCTCTGTTGGCTGCGCCTGTCCACCCGTGTCCATGGCTAGATCTAGATTGAGAGGCCACATCTGACTAGCATCCATGGCACCGGTTCCAGTGCCTTGAATGTACGAATCCCACGCACCTGCAAGTCAAGTCAGTCATCATACTATGATATAGGAATGATCGGTATCTTACCCCAGTCGATATCGCCGCCAATGCCCTCCATCCCCATGAAGTTGCCCTGGCTAAGCATCTGTGTCATGGGACTGGCGGCGCCAGATATACCGTTCATACTGCTCACGTCCGGACCCGAGTACTGAGGTGTCAAACCCGTTCTTTCCGTTGCCATCGGCTCGTTGAGAAGACCCGCCATACTTGATGGATACGAGGGCTTTTCAGCCGCCGAAGTCATCTGCGACAGGTTCATGCCAAAGCCAGGTCCAGGTGAGATCCCACCAGACGAAAGCATGCCCAGTGTCATCGCTGCAGATTGCTCTGGCGGAAGATCGTCGGTATTCACATCCGCAACATTGCCATTCGGGAACATGCCAAAGTTCGGGGCACGACCTGGGTAAGAGTTGGCCGCCTGTTGAGCGTAACCAGGATCGTTTCGTTGACGTTCTTGATGTGCTTTGAGCTTCTCAATCATCACTCGAAGGGCCGTGGACGCCTTGTAAGCTTCCATGCTTTGGTCGCGCACCGATTCCCAGATGGTGATGCAGTGCTCCACAGACTGCATCATCTGTTCTCGTCTGCCCTCGTCGTAGAGATCCGACACCAGCGGTGATTGCGGTGAGTTTGCCTTTGGCCCGTTTCTCTCCGCCTCCGCGGTGTGGTACAGGTCTAAGCACACCAGCATGGCTGCTATGAGGAAATCGTGGGTCGTCAAAGAGGAGATGTACCATTTGACGGATCTCAACCGGCCGCCTGGCTGGGACTCTTGGTGGAGGGTGGCTTGATGGGCAAGTAGCTCCATGGATGCATCAATGCAAGTTCGTCGAGAGTACGCATATCTTGGATTCTCCCTCCCTCGCGAGATGAATCGCCTGTGCAGCACGAACAGAGATCGCAAGTATACCATCTCCAAACCAAGTCGCTGCATGATCAGATTCGCCGGATCGCGAGCTGATTCTTGGAACGAGCGCATTTGAAGAAGTGGAGGATGCTGCGATCTGGTCTCTCGAAGTTCGTTGTCAAACTTGAGCGTCTCTTCGTATGAAGGAGGATTCGTCACCGAAGCTGCTCGCTCCACGATGCGGCCAAACAAGAAAGTCATCTTGGCCTTGGTGATCATATAAGACATCGGGGTCGCCTCGAACGTCGGCCGCGACGCTGGAAGAGCCTTCATGTCTTCATAGAGCTCGTCGTCGTATAGATTGCGAGGAGTTTCCGTATCGGCATGATCTGTTTTCACCATAGCTGGAAGGCCAAACTGAAATGAAATCAGCAAATCGCATTGCCGGACAAAAGTCCACACTCGACGCCGCATCTCGCCGTAGAAAGGCGATATGGCTGGATGGGGACCTGGGTCGCGGTGATAGCCCATTCGCATAGCCAACCTCAGACAGAGACTGGTCATCAGCAAGACACCAGGCTCAGCATCTCTGCTGCGCCCGTACTCTGCCTGAACGTGCAAAACCAGCGTCTCCAGTATCTGTGGTGTTGGCTGCGTAATGTCTCCGACTTGCAGACACTGAGCGGTGAGTCTGCGATATTCGTGAGATATTTCCAGGGATCTGCCTCGATACTCTGGCGGCTCGTCTCCCGCTCTGTGATATGATTGCAACGCCAAAGTCATCATGGCGAAGCACATCCCAAGCCAAATGACGGTCGTATCGGTGGGGCTCAGCCAATGTCTGTCGTACTGCTTCTGAAACGATGGACCATGAATGATGTGTACTGAAGGATCGTAGGCGTTGAAGTATCGCGCGATCAATCTATCAGCGTCCGCCTTGGAGGGGAAAGATGCAAGAAGTTCTGCCTTGTCCTTGGGTGGAGCTCCTTGGAGTAAGAACGCGGTGCCAGGGCTTTCGTCCGCTTTCGCAGCCTGTACCTTGGCCATGTGTTGCTTGTAATCCTCCTTGTGGCTCTCGAAGTATTTCTTGACTTCGCTGATCTCACCAAGGATCGCATACCAGTGCGCATCCGAAGCGAAGACCGCCTTGCCATTGTCCATTTTCATGATTCCAATGCCGCGCGATATGCCCTCGACTTCGCTCTCCTCTTCGCCATTCTCGCCCTCTTCCCGTATCATATCCGCACCGCCGACATCCAGTTTGTTGAGGTCGGAGCCTGTGCTCAGGCTGTTGCTCCTACTGCCGTCAATCGCGGCTTGTGCAGCTGCTGTAGACCCAGACTGTCCGCTCGTCATCAACGAAAGGACAAGGCCTTCCAGCCTGTCAATTCGATTCTGCATGTCGTCTGGCGAGGCATTGGCGCCGTTGGCAGCGCCCTTTTTCCGGTTTCCCGGAGTCGCATAGCTACAAGAAGCAGTATCACCTCGTTTGGAACAGTTATCACACGGATGGCCGCGGTTGCACTTCAACTTGCGATGCCTGCAAGGAGCGCAAGAGAGAGGGATTCGGTTGCGCTTTCGCACAACTCTGAACGGTTGCTGACCGTCGGGCGATGCGCCATTGTTGGAAGATGTGGAGGAAGGGGGAGTTGGCTGGTTGGGACTAGGCATGTTGGTGAACTGGCGCTGATGCGCGAGGTCTTGCGTGGCCTTACTGGGGCCCAAGGAGGAAGTCGCCTTTCACAGGCTGAGTCGCGCGCTGATGAAGGCGCGAACGCAGGTGTTGGGTTTGGAGGAGAAGGGCGATTGAAGAATCGGATCCAAACCGAGCACGAGCAGGTGTGCGCGGCTGAAGAGCGGCGGTCAGAGAGATACTTTGTCCGGTCCCGTGAATAGGCAGCGTTGGCAGCGCGCGCGTTGTGCTGGTGGTCGCAAGTGGTCCTCGAGCCTGTGTGTCGGCCTTGTTGCGACCAGGACGATGCGCAGGCGCAAAGAAATGCTGCTGGCGTCTCTGCTTTGAGGCTGGACGAGGGCCGAAGAAGCAGAGGGGCCGATGACGATCTAGGTTACGCCAGTCCGTGCGAAGCGGGAGCTAAAATGCCCACTATTCACCTCGCTCTGCCTCTCCTACTCGTTGCTGTACTGTTCTTGCAACGATACCGCGGCTGCAGCTGTGACTCACAGCAGAGAAACAGGGGAAATATGCGGTATGTCAGCGTGCTAACTGCGAAAAGAGTAGATTGAAGGAGTGTTAGCTTCGTCATTGCGGCGTTAAGACACGGAGTTAAAGGGAAAGAGAACTAGGCGTTCACAAGTCCCATAAGAACGCACGTCCTCCTCCCTGTTCGACATCCAATTGAGATGAACAACTGACATCGTTCTTTGTGGCTGTGTCGACAGTATAAACCGTCGAGATAGGCAAACCCCCCCCCCCCCGATACGAAAGGCGATGCGTAGACATCTGCTCATTTTCTGATCTCGAAGGTAGACGGGCAGATCTTCAGAAAGCAAAGACAGGCTGTGGTCGGTCATCTGAGAGACATCCACAGAAGCGAACGATGCATCAGCTGCGAAGATGCCCAGTTTTCACCAAGCGATAAGACGATGAGGCGACGCGAAGTGCACCTTGGCCGATCTCATCGATGTGAAGGACTCACGCCTGCCATTCGAAGACGTACAACGCTGTCCAAGTACAGGATTGTGTGTAGGGGCACAGTGAGACTCGAGAATGTTCGCCGTCGTGTAAAGCCATGACGGCACTTCTTGACAGTCTGGTAGACAGAGAGTGTTTACGTGTGCTGGCCCATGTGGTCTTTGACATTAGACCCCGCGCCACATGTTGGCCTCTTGAGGCCAGTGAAGACTTCTTATGGCCTCAATATTGAACCAGGATGGTCATAGCTGTGTCTCGAAACCAAGGAGCATTGTGAAGTCACTGTCCGTAGTCGAAGCTCGTATGCAAGTGTCGTTGAAGCAGCCACGCGGCTTCCTTCCGCGTTCGCAGAAGCGAGACGACCTACTGAACACCTCGCCTCTTTGTCGCAACCACCATATTACATCCAGCCCACCTCCTCTCCAACCGCTTAGCTGACAAGCGCAATCATGAAGCGCTTCCTCGCATTACCAGCGCTGTTGCGAAGCGCGGTCCTCCTCGCATCAGCGTCCCAGCATTCATTCAGTCCAAATGACGATCTAGTCAGTCGCAGACTATAGCTCTCCAAGATCGCACGTACTGATATCTGCCTTGCAGCTCGCGTTCCCCCAATACGAGATTCGATTCCAGGATGAGTGGATCTCGGAAGAAGCAGCACAGTCGCGACTGTCAAGTAGCCAGAAGCTCCACGTTCAACACGAGAACGACCGCGATAGTCTACGAGATCCTCCACCTTCGCAAATAGACCATTATCGACAGAACGAAGGCGCGTCAGATGACCGAAGTGATCATGAGGAAGAGCAGGTCGAGTATGAGAACCTGGTTTTGGACGGGCAGAGTTGGCTGTGTAGCGTGCCCAAAGTGAAGAATGCCGCCGAGGGACTGGGAGTGAATGAGACGCAGACACGGGCGGAAGAGGAGAAAGAGCTGGCTCGCGCAACGGATCGTGGATGGGAGCTGCTTTCGGGCATGCAAGACAACTGCGTCTTCTTCATAAGCGGGTGGTGGAGCTATCGCTTCTGCTACAACCAAGGCGTGAAGCAGTTCCATCAGCTGCCACCGAGCAGAGGGGTGCCAGTCTATCCGCCTATGGAAGACCCAGGCGTACCAGGTTTCATGTTGGGGACATATGCCAAACAGCTGGACCACGATGACACGCCTAAGGACGAGGAGTGGGAGGGCGAAGTTGCACTGGAGATGAGCAAAGGTGCTAAGAGGCTGCGGAGCGGACATGGCGAGCTGGTGGAGAGGGGTGAGACTAGATATCTTGTCCAGAAGCTGGGAGGTGGGACGGTATGCGATTTGACTGGCAAGGAGAGGAAGGTTGAGGTTCAAGTATGGACGTGGAAGATGTGAAAGCCCACAGGCTACTGCTGACCGTGTTATAGTTTCATTGCAACCCTCAGTCGTCCGATCGAATCTCTTTGATCAAGGAAACCAGCACATGCGCCTATCTCATGGTCATCCAGACGCCCCGTCTTTGCAACGACGTTGCCTTCCTCCCACCACAAAAGGATCAAGCAAATCCCGTCAAATGCTCACCAGTCTTGCGCGCAGACGAAGTCGAAGAGTACGAACGAGACCTCAAAGCCCTTCGAGCCGCCGAAAACGACGCCAAAGTCTGGGAGGCAAACGCAGAAGCAGCAGCCGCCCTGGGCGGAACTGGCTACGAACCACTGCAATTACCAGTCGGCGACATCTTCGTCGGAGAACACAGGCTCGTGCCCGAAGGTAAAAAACTAGAGAAGTCCTCCATCGTTGGCGGCACGGGCAAAGAGACTTATATTGACACAGTGGCTTCTTCAGACGGTCGGGTGTTGGGCAAGGAGGATCTGGAGAAATTGGGCTTGGGCGATCCGAAGGCGGTGGAGAAGCTTAAGAAGGAGCTTGAGAAGATCGCGCAGGGCCAGAATTGGAAGTTGGATGTTATTGATACGCCACGTGGGCGGGAGTATCGTGGGATTATTGGGGATGAGGATGAGGAGAAAGAGGGGAAGGGGGAGAAGGGCTCGAGTGAGAAGAAGTATGGTAAGGATAAGGTCGAGGGTAAGGAGAAGAAAGAGAGTAAGAAGGCAGAGAAGGCAGAGAAGGGGGGAAAGCCCGAGCAAGAAGAAGGCAGCGAGGAAGAGTACTACAAAGAAGAGCTGTAGTCGGCTTGATCTTCTTCGCATATTACTGCTTCTTACCGTGCCACTTTCAATTCTTCTTCCCACAAGCGAGATCGTGTAATGCGTTGGAAAGAACCCGTTGTCTCGACAGAACTACTTCCAGGGACCTACAAGCGTCGCACAACAGCGCTGTCAACCGGTGGTCGCCGCCGTCAAGCTATCGATCGGATCGACAGCAAAGTCGAACAAGTTTCACGCTGATTGCACTGGTGCATATTCAAACCCTTCTATCCCACCTTAATGATGCTGTTCAATGGCACTTCGTGTGCAACCCTAACAGCAAGCAAACAACCACACCTCGGATCCGACGTCGAACAACGGATCCAGTGGTTCAAGCGGGAAAGGCGAAGCAAGAACGTAACAGCAATCTGGTATACGGAACATGTCCACCACGCAGGCCGCTCATGGCTCGCACACGGATCTGTCTCAATCAACGAACACGACGAGAGCGGGGCGGAACTCGTTAGTCGCTCGTCCGAAATTACCCATTGTCCTTTTTGCCTTTTCCCGTCGGCTGCTGCTGCTTGCTTTGTCGTCGAGCGGTGTGTGCCGTGTGTGGGTGCGGTTGCTGTACCATGGGTGGCCGTGACATTTTCGGGTGGCCCTTTCCTGGCGTGACATCCGTCGGGTACGTGCGGGTTGGCTTTGCTATGGCCCGAGAGGTTTTCTTGGGTCCGTGGGGAGGGGAGGGGAGGGGTCCTTTGGGCGGATGGTTGGCTGGAGGGTTGGGGTCTTGAGACGTTCGAGCACGCGGGTTTCCCGTGAGAGGTGAACGTGTTGTCGAGTCGTTGAGGCACGCGTGAGGCGTGCGAGGGTGAGTGCTTTCAACGTGGCTGGCACAATGTGTCTGTTTCAGAAGAGATCGCGCCGTCACCTGCGGTTTGCGAATATTCTCGTGAGTTTTATGATAGCAGCAGTTGATCTTACGCTCACACACCCGGTCCTCCGAGTCATCGCGATGCTGGAAAGCTTTGTGGTGTGTTGTGTGGTTCAAGGCTCGCTGGAGCCGCGTACAGTATCCAAGGAGATGCAACAGCTGGCGAGCGACGGGCAAAGTCCTGACCATTGGAGGAGTTGGCCAGATGACAGCATACACTTCTGTTCGCTCTTCTCAAGCTGCAAGTCTTTGACAGACATCAACAACACCATGAGAAGCGTTGGTTCATGTCGTCCGCCTCGAGATGCTGTCTTCGTGCTAGAAGAGGTTATAGCTGCAACGACATGTCTGCACCCTGTAAAGTCGGAAGGTGGACAGTCTATTGCCCTTTCTTGTCTCGAAAGACGACTTCTGCACAGCTCGTTGAATCGCAGAAACATCCACACTTGCCAAAGCGAGCAGCGTGCGTAGTCTTCATTAGATCTGATCTCCCCTGTGCCTCATCTTAAGTCTTTCCCCTATAGGCAAATCCAGAAACAAGGCCAGGAGGGTCGTACTTCAAGCAAGGGACTGAAGTCCCTCAAACAATGAGATGCAGCTGCAGTGTCGTCTCCCAGGTGTCTGTATAAAAATCTCCGAATGGGACAGATGGTGTCAGACATCTGGTCTCACTGACGGTGCATCTTGAGACGCCCAGCTCACACAGCAGGCGCGACATTCATGTTGCACAGGATGTCGAGTGCAGATGTTTGTGGAGGCCTTCTCATCTCGTCACGTCCGCAGAGTGGAAGGAGCGCCCATCTGTCGGCGGAATCTCGGCCACGCTAGCGACGCTTGGACATTCGCTCCCCTGTCCAACATCATGGATCCTTCTCTTTGCACAGATGGAATGCCGCACATGTTATTAGCGACCACACGATGATACCAGCAATCGAGCCCGTGATCACCACGGCTTTGATCTTCGGTGGCTGCTGCACCAATGTCTTCGCTCTCGAGGCGATTGTCAAGTGAGACGATTCTGCAGACCTCACACGCATCGCTGACACATTACCCAGACTTGAATCGAGCAGTGGTATGTTGTGCTCTATCTCACCGCGGAGGGAGGTCAAGCTCATTGAACGCCAGGCTTGATCATTACCTTGACGCAGTTCGTGTTGACGACTGGTCTTGCTTATCTGACGCAATTCGAACCTGGTGCGCCGTTGACAGTGCGTCCGACCAAGGTGCCGATTTCAAGATGGGCATTTATCGCGTTCATGTTCTTCAGCATCAACATGCTGAATAACTGGGCGTTTGCCTATAACATCAGTGTTCCGGTGCACATCATTTTACGCAGCTTTGGCAGCGTCACGACTATGATTGCAGGGGCTCTTCGAGGCAAACATTACAGCCCATTGCAAATCTTCAGCGTCGTGCTTCTCACATGCGGCGTCCTCATCAGCGCGTGGGCTGATTCAGAGAGCAAGGTGAGCCATCACGAAAGCTTCGCGACCTTTGTACTGACTTTACCTGCAGGGCAAGTCAATGTCCGTTGGAAGCAGTGCCTCGACATGGGAATTCGCCCAAGGTCTGGGGATTCTGCTCATAGCCCAGTTTTTCTCTGCATTCCAAGGTGCATACACAGAAGACACGTACGCGATGTACAAGGCAAGCTGGACAGAGAATCTGTTTTACTCGCACGTCCTCAGCTTGCCACTCTTCGTACCTCTTGCTGGCACACTCCGAGACCAGTATCGGAAGCTTGCAGCAACGCCACACGTCAACGTGCGACAATATTTGGCGGACGACCTGGGAGGAAAGGGCTCCCTCGCTGCTGGGGACAACGTTCTCGAACTTCTTTGTGCATCGGTTGAAACAATGCCTCAGGGCCTTTTGTTCTTGCTCACGAATGCCGTGACCCAACTGGCGTGCATATCGGGGGTCAACCTGCTCTCCGCCAAGTCTTCTGCGGTCACTGTGACGATAGTGTTGAATATTCGCAAGCTGGTGTCTTTCATCATGAGCACGCTCCTGTTTGGACACCAGCTGAATGCGAAGATGGTAATCGGGTCGGCTTTGGTGTTTGGAAGCGGAGCATTATATGGGTGGGAGACCAGTTGGCGGATTCCTCAGCAAAGGAAGAAGGCCAGAGAAGCGGCGAATGGAGCGGTGTCGTCAAAAGAGAAGAAATAGACACATAAACTCCATCGACAGCCTTTTGACATCCGGGATCATGCCATCACTTTTCTCGCGATAATGGCGGAAACGTGATGTTCCACCATGCGGGAAACACTCATGCTGCCATCCTTGTGCATGGCCGTCGTGGCTTTCGGATGTCTGCATCGTTTTTGCCTTCTGGAATGATGGCATCGGGCGGAGACTCGAGTGATTACATTTCACTCGCACCACATGGACAACGACAGGTCCAGGCCGGCAGCCACCGTCAACGCTCGCAAGTTCGCGATGAACAGGCACAGGTGGCATCAACAACAGCCGCCTATAGGAGCCGATATGAGATTGACGTGACTCGACACCAACGAGGCAAAGAGCATGACAATCAGGTTGGGTGCATTTCCGTTGACCTGCTGCTGGCTAGCATGCTGCATGTCTGGCATTAAAATTTCGCGCCATATGTATGTCGATCAATACCGTGGCCATGGTTACTATCCACGAGTGCTATGGCACGTGCAGAAGAGAGGTGTGCAATCAGCCGTTTCTAAAACATCGCGTAAGACGTTGCTTGAAGTGATGGAGATATGTGAGTGGCAAGCGAGCCTATCGGTCTCCGGCAACAGATTGCGTGATGCCCGTTCAGAAGGTTTTGGACAGTCGTACAGGCACTTTCCCAGCTACCGGGGTCTTGCAGACGGCGCGTACAGCAGCAGTCGTTCTTTGTGCGCCTGTCTGGTCGACGAAGACACAGAAGCCGCACGGGGACGAGTGTTCTGCCCGGCTGCAACCACCACGATTCTCGTCATTTCGTTCACCAAACAAGCAGGGTCCGCGGAGTCAGCAGCAGGTTTTCTGGGCTGAGGGGCTGATCCGAAAAGGGATCTCCACAGGATCTTCCCTCCACAGCGCGAGCCATGACCAGACATCGGGAAAGCGTGAGAGACGCTACGGCGGCGGATCTTATTCACCTTAGCGGATGGGTCGAAAGTGGTGCAACCGACGACCGGGCGGCCAGGCCTGCCGATTTGCTGGAGGTCCTTTCCAAATCGTGGATATTCACGTGCCCTGGCCCTCGACAAGCCAGCGCCTCGCTGAGCTCGCATGGTCGGATGAAGGACCTTCCCCATCTGGTCATGCAGCGAAGCCTCAGCGGCGGTTGACTCGTGGTACAAGTGCGATGAGGCTGCCGGGCGCTCAGCTGATTTGTTTGGAGTTTGACGAGCTGGGCGCAGACGATGAGTAGGAGTGGCGAAGGGAAAGCGACAGGGACAAGAGGTGGTAATGTGGGCAGCGAAATTGGGCCGTTATCTTAGTTGCGCTCCCCCTTGTGAGATTCCTGTGCGACACCCGAAGCGAACGGCGACTTCCGCGGTCTGCTATTGCAATTTCTGGCGTGGCTCCTCGACATATCGGAGGACGCGACGGCGACAAAGCCTCCAGCGCAGGGCGAGCGAGATTACTATTGCTGCTGCGCTCTGCGCTATACGCAACGGCGAGGTGTTGGAGCCATGGCATGGCGTGGCCCTGTCGTTGCTGGCAGGCGGGTTTGCGGGACGATTGGATCCCTGCGCTGAATGCGGGCGAAGATGTGCAGATCCTTGAAATCTCGTCCACGTGTGAATAACTCGTTAGCAGCGTCGATCAGTGCTTGCGATTGGAGATGCCGCCCCCAAACCTGCAATCCCACGCCGACGTCCAAGCTGCGGCGGCGGCGTGGTAGTAGTCGTATGTAGTGGACGGAGCCGCTGCGAGGATGCTCGTGGCATTGCTCTGTCGTTCCTCCCCCGTCGTCACCACCACCACCCATTGACAACCACCCACCCCTCCGTCGCCCCATATCATCCATCGCACGGCGCGGCGTCTCCTCGCAAGTGACACACTGCCGTCTGGCTTGACAGCAGCGGGCAGGCAGGCAGGCAGGGTCGCACCGAGACACAGATCGGGGGACGGCTCCAAACTCATGCAAGGCACTGGTCGACAGAGACTGGCCCGGCACAACGCGAGCAGCGTGCGATCATCGACGTGCGAACTCAGTCGCTAGGGCGGCAGCGTATCGCAGACGTGCGTTGCACACCTCGTTGCGCCCGAAGCCGGGTTGTCGCTGCTTCTGAGTTCTGCGTGCTGCGCTGCGTGCTCCAAGGTTGACGGTTGAGTTTGCCAGCGCTGGGCCAGAGTTACAGTAGCAACTCTAGCGAGCGGCAGCACCAACCACGCTCTGCTCGCCACCCGCCAGCCATTCATTGATCCATTCGTCTGGCGACGGCAGCATCATCATCACCAGCAGCAGCACCTCGCCAGCTGGACGTCCGCGCCCACCGATACCACGGCCAAACGACCAACGTCTGCCGCACGCAAGCAGCTGTTCCGGACCCCAACCAGCCAGCGTCTGAACCTGAACCTGAACCTGATCTGAGCCCCAGCGATCATCCGCTTACACACCGACCGCACACGTGCCTCCACCACTCGACACTCGACTCGGCGGCGCGTGGCACTCCCGAGCGACTCGACTGTCCACTCTCTCCAGCTGCTGCAGTCTGTCTGCAGTCCGCCGTACCTCTCCGCCCGTACCTCACTCCAATATCTCCACCAGCGCGCTGCCCTGTCTGTCTGTCTGGACCGCCCGTTGACTGACTGACCGGCCGCCCGCGCCAGTGTTACGCTCGCCCACTCCCTCTCTGCCGTCGCGACTCGCCCACCCACCCACACGCACACCACGACCGCTGCCCACCCCTCCCCAACGCTCCCGGAGACCTGGCTCCCGTCCCAGACATCGTCGCCGCCGTCGCTGCGACTCGTGCTGCCCGCTCCGCGAACGCCTGCAGCCCCTTCCGCTTCGAGCCATATCCTGACGTCCCTGTGCGAGTGGCCCCACGAGAGCCCTCGCTGTGCGCGCTGGGAACCGACCTCCCTTCTCGTGCGCTCATCAACGACGCTGTCCGCTTCCCTTGCACTCCATTCCCACCCACACGTACGTTTATTCTCCGACCAGAGGTGCACATTGCGATCCCGCACCGCACCACGCTGCGTATCTGAAGCTAACGCGGAACGCATAGCAGCACCAGCAGCATCCTCGTCCGCTCGCCTTCTTCGCCCCCGACCTTGACACGCCTGTGCCATTCTTCCAATCCCGCTGTACGGCTTGCTTCTTCTGCTGCCCTGCCTGCGCGCGCGATCTGCACCAGCCATTGCGCGACTAAAGCCATCGTCGCCGCTCGGCACTTGCCTTTGCACGCTTCAGCTCACCTCTCGCTGTCGCCTCACGACCACCACCGCCGCCGCCGCCGCCGTCGGCCTTGCTGTACTCGCCGCCGACCCATCCTGAGGGAGAGCACAACCATTTGGTGCCACCATGGCGTCCCATCCTACCGCCCAGCAACAGCAACAGCAGGCTCACCTGCCCTCCATCAGCAGCCTCACCAATGGCTTGCCGCCGTCCGCTCCCATCTCGCCCGACCAGCAATCCGCCACTGACTCAACGCGAGACTCTGGCACCTGGCCGCAGCCGCACAACAGCAAGCGTGAGTCGTCTCCACTGCCTCCAGCATTCCAATGCCTTGCTCCAGTGGCCTAGGCCCACTACCTGACTGTGAAACACCTTCATGTCTAGCCTAGCATTCCATCCAAAGCCACTGTCTCCATTGTACTCGAGTCCGGCTCTTCTGCGAACACCTCGCACTCGCTGCCATCCCCCCAAGCACAACATGCTGACCACCAGGCGAACAGACAACTCAGCCAACAGCGGGCTGCAAGTGCACACGTTGTTGAACCCTGACGATTCGCCTTCTAGACACTCAGTACCAAGCACACCGCAGTCTGCCCGAGTCCCCAACTCTGCTCAATCTGCTGGTAGCGCTCTGCCGTCCATCAACCAAGGCTTCCAGGACGGATCTAACCGGGACAGCTACAACAGCCTGGGACGCGAACTCAACCGCGACAGCAGCTACAGCGCAAGTAGCTACAACCGCGACAGCCTAGGACGCGAACTCAACCGAGACAGTAGAGACCTAGCTCCACAACTCGACTCGCGGCGGAGCAGCGTTGACAGTCGCATGCACCAGGGCTTGAACAACCTCTACATCAATGGGCCAGCATCGCCATACGAAAGCGCAAACACATCGCAGGTGTCATTAGCTGCCAGTCTTCGTCGACCCAATGGCCAAACTCCACTATCACCGCTCAGCTCGCGAGCGGGTCCTCGACAGAACCAAGCACCTCGAATCGCCCCTCCCATCATGCCAGTTGGACGAGGCCCTGGCGTTCCTGACCCTACTGCTGCAAAGCCAACCCAAGGTTTCGCATGGGCTTTCCCAGACAGCGCGATTCCAGAGGAGGAACGGCGAGGATCAGATAGCGGAGAGTCAAGTCTTGACCAAGGCATCTCGAGACAGAACAGCTTTGCTGCATCCTCGGTGCGCAGCAGCATCTTCTCAACTGATTCTCAGATGCCCACCGGGCAGAGGAGGTTCGACGAAGGTAAGTGTGGTTACACTCTTGTTCATGAAACAACGCTGACCTTGATTCAGACTCAGCCACTACCCACCATCACACGATGCAGCATCGAACCATTCAGAGCCTCCAGAATGAAGGCCTCCCCGCGCAAGGGGTAGGCAATTACAGCCGAACTCCAGAACTTCGCGTCAGCCACAAATTAGCCGAGAGGAAGCGAAGGAGCGAGATGAAGGATCTGTTTGAAGAGCTCAACAAGGCAGTACCCTCGAATGGTGGTACAAAGGCTAGCAAGTGGGAGATACTCACGAAGGGTATGTTCGATCAGGAAGCCTTTTCCAGGAGCCATGCTGACACGTAACAGCCATCGAATATATCCGCAGCACCCAGCTTAACGAACGCAACCTTCACTCGGAAGTTCAACGCCTGCAAAGAGATTCGGATTACGGCCGCGAAGCGCACAAGGAGAATGAAATGCTCAAGACGGAGGTTCAGGTTATGCACCAACATCTGCGACGACTTGATCCGCAGGCGCCCCATGTCTATGGCCACTTCACGTCCCAGCTCAGTCAACAACAATCGCAATCGCAGACGAACGGGGCGTCTGGCATTTCACTGCCCCCACTCAACCCAGGACAGAGCAATGGACAAGGACCAGCGCCTTTTGGCCAAGTTCCCGCAGCCGGAGCTATGACGGGTGTTGAGTACGGCTACGGAAGATAGCAACATCTGGCGCCATAAGTCAACACTACGTTGCACGAAAGAAGGGGATACACTGTTGAATTTGGAGGATCGGAAAGCTGGGGATCTCACAATACGTCCTCGTGTGCGGGTTCGTTCTCGACAAGTGTCTCCGGCAAGGCGTCTTGACTCTTAAAGCTCTATACCATATTTGCGGATTGCTTTTACGGAGGGGGATGGGAAGGTGTCGGAAGAAAGCAGCATTTCGGAGTTGAATGGTTTGTGCTGGAGGTTGCTCACGCTTCGTCCGCCCGGCAAGGATGGCTTTATGAAAAGATGGCGGACCGACAGCACAGCAGCACTTCTGACTGCACCCGGCGGCGATCTTGGGCGTTTTTACATGGCTGCATCGATTTCCAGATCAAAGAGAGGGAGGGACTATGGCTGTGACATATGTATCTTAACTTAGCATTTGCGAGGGGAAAGGCGACCCCGATGTTGCTCGAATGAGACTATTATTGGTGATTGACATATGTTCCATCTCTACGAGGCATTGTCCTAGCCAGGAGCATTCGCTCTGGGCTTGGTGGTCATAGAGGCGAATGAGATGTCGCTTTCTTCCTGTCCGAACGACACAACCTTCGTCCACTACCATCACACGACATGAGCTACAATCGTCACTTTTGTCTCGTTGAATGTCGTCACTCGTTTTCGTTTGCATGTGCTAGCAAGATCCCGAGGCGATCGACGCTGGGGTGAAGTTGAGCCTCAGAATTGGGGCTGTCTGCCTGAGGCATACATTCTGACGATAGCACCTCACCTGCTCAACGCATTCTACCACCGCCGACATTACTTCCTCGAACAAGCAACAAACCTATACGACACGCCGATTTTGGCTAGAACGCTCATTTTACCTATGTAGCAGCTGGTCATGACTGCGCCGCAAAGCAAGAAGCCGGACGAGCCCGTGGGCAACGACTCGATGGACTCGGACAACGAAACGGCCTCGAGGACATCTGCCGACGTACAGCGCCACGATCGCGACACTATTGAAACTGAAGAGGAGGCTGAGAGGTCGTTGGCGGGAGACCCAGAGAAGACGCAAGATGTAGGCGGGTTGGCGCATATCTTTCGGCGGGACGGAAACGAAGGCGATCATAAACGGAGTCGGCGGCGACAACGGAAGGCGGGACGGCGCTCTAGGGGAGGTAATGATGAGAGTGAGCTGTTGTATAAGGTCGAGGAGGGTGGTCGTTCTTCTAGTGCGGAGAGCAGTGCCAACTCTAGTGAGGCGGATTTGGGGAGGATTAGACAAGTGCATGCGAAGCGGAAGGTGGGTTGGACAAAGTAACAATGCAATGGATAAGTCTGCTAATAGGGCGAATCAGTCATCCAAGTGCTCGCGTGTGAGCAGATTTGCTGCTATCTTTGTTGGAATCACGGTGGCCTTCCTTGCCCTGCTCTTTGGCGCATACAAGGCGACTCGCTCCACCGAGACCGTCGAAGAGACGAAGCCGACCACTATTGCGAAGACAATGTCCAACGGTACGCATGAGTTCGCACCTACGACAATCCTTATCTCCCTAGATGGCTTCAGAGCGGACTTCCTACACCGAGGACTCACCCCTACACTTGGATCGTTCATCAAACAAGGCGTATCGCCGAAGTACATGAACCCCTCCTTCCCGAGCTTGACCTTTCCCAATCACTTCACTCTCGTCACTGGAATGCACCCAGAGAGCCATGGCATTGTGGGCAATACTTTCTGGGACCCGATCATGGCACAAGGCTTCACCTACCATGACCCGACCAAGAGCATGAAGCCCGAGTATTGGAATGCTGAACCCATCTGGGAGACGGCTGAACTTCAAGATGTGCGCTCAGCCATTCATATGTGGCCTGGCTCGGAGGCTCACATCGGCACGAAGGAGCCGGCATTCGTCGACAAGTACAAGGGAGATGAGAAGCTTGAGAACAAGGTCGCTCGCGTGCTTGGCTGGCTTGACCTGCCTGGACCGAACGACCCTGGTGCTTCAGCGGAGACTCCACGACCGCAGCTGATCTTGAAATATGTTCCAAATGTCGATTCGGACGGCCATGCGTATGGTCCTAACTCTACCTATATCAGGTCTACCATAGCTGAGGTGGATGGTGTGCTGGGGGCGTTGTTCAGTGGATTGGAGGAGAGAAATTTGACCAATATCGTCAACGTTGTGGTGGTGTCAGATCATGGCATGGCGACCACATCCAATCAACGACTGATTCAGCTCGAAGACCTGCTCGATCCAGACCTTATCGAACACATCGATGGCTGGCCATTGTACGGCCTCCGACCGAAAGACCAGTCTAAGGAACAGCTTGAGAAGCTCTACCAGGAGCTGCTCTCGAAAGCCGACCTACCCCAGTACAAAGGCAGTTTCGACGTCTATCTGCGAGACAAGAACATGCCCGAGCGTTACCACTTCACCAAGAACAACCGCATCGCCCCTCTTTGGATCGTTCCCAATCCAGGCTGGGCCGTGGTCACGAAGGGCGAGTTCAACATCGAAGACGCCCTGTCCAAGGACGAAGACTACAACCCTCGCGGTCTGCACGGATACGACAACGAGAACCCGCTCATGCGCGCCATCTTTATCGCCAGAGGTCCGGCATTCCCTCACGCTGAAGGCAGCCAGGTCGTCCCATTTCAAAACATCGAGGTCTACAACATCATCTGCGATTCCCTCGGCATCGAGCCGAAACCTAATAATGGAACGATCCGACTTCCGTTCAAGACGATCGGTCTGCACGATCCGAACGAACATCCTGACATCCCCGATGATCCACCAGATGTCGATTTCGGAGCACAGCTACTCCCTCCTGACTTACCTGGCGTCGAGAATCTCCCCCCGCCAACTATACAAGGTTCTGACCCGCCCCCGGCCGCAGAAAATGGCCAAGACGAAGCCTTCAACCCAACACCATCGAACGACCGACCCGTCGTGGAAGACGGCGAATCCCAAGACGAGCAGGATAAATCCTGGGTTGAGTGGATCAACGGTAAATTGAAAGACGTCAAGGTCTGGGCGACGGGGCTATTTGGTGGGACGAAGGAGGATCCTCAAGAGGCGGAGGAGACGCGGCATGGTGAGGATTGGTAGAGATTGATGGGGTGGGGGATTGTATGAGTTGTGAGGTTTGTCGCTGGACTAGGTGGTTGTAGGATTGATACCCTGTTTTGTCTTTGCTGGCGTTTTTATCTTTCTTTGGCGATTGTGGGCTTTATTGTTATGATGAGATGACTAGAATGCTATGATAGAAAAGCCATTGTTATGACCTGGCACCACGGGTTTTACTTGAATTGTGAGAGTGTCCCTCCTTTGATGGTCTGCCGTAGGGTGAGTAGGGGTGAACTTTCACAATCTTCCGTGTAGCATTACGAACTCTTGGACTATCACTATTCGAGACTCGAGCTCCCAAAAACAATCACATGTCTCGTGCCGACCATCCACTGTACCCATCGCTATTTCCCCTCACTCCCCCTTCGGATAATCCGTACTGAAAGACAGTTCCTTCTGCTCATCCAACAACCTCAACGTCTCCTCACACTTCCCCCTAATCACCGCCTGCGCATCACTCCCCAACACAAGCCTCACCGGGACCTTCTTCCCAGCACCCGCCAAAACATCCACAATCACCTTACACCCCTTCTCCACATCCCCGGGCTGGTTATTATCCGTCTTCTCCAACGCCCTCCGTACATCGCCCACGGCCGTGTCGTCGTAATCCTCAATCCGCTTCTGGGTCGAGAACCTCGCGCCGGGGTTGAGGAACCCGCTGCGGAAGTAGCCTGGTTCGATGGAGATGACGTGGATGTTGAAGGGGGAGACTTCTTCGCGCAGGGATTCGGTGAAGCCGGTTATGGCCCATTTTGTTGCGCAGTAGATTCCTGCGGCTGGGCTGCCGCGCCAGGAGCCTAGGCTGCCGAAGTGCGCGATTGTGCCGGATTTTTGGGCGCGGAGGTGCGGGAGGACGGCGCGGGTTAGGTTGATTACGCCGAAGACGTTGACGTTGAATTGGTCGTAGGTTTCTTGGTGGCTGAGAGTCGGGGTTAGTTGGGTGTGTTTGAGAATGGAGTGTGGTGACATACGTTGCTTCTTCAATTGCTCCCTCCAAGATGTAGCCCGCAGGGTTGATGAGTATGTCAATTCTGCCGTACACTTGCTGAGCTTTGTCGACAATTGGTTTCAGTTCTTCGAGGGGATGGGTGACGTCCAAATCGAAGGTGACAGCTCCCTTGTCTTTCAAGTCGGAGATTTTGGACGAGTTGCGGGCAGTGGCGATGACTTTGTGGCCTTGCTTGAGAGCTTCCAACGCGATACCCTTGCCGAAGCCGCTCGATGCAGCGCCGACGAAGAAGACGAGTGGTGCCATTGCGATGGTTGCTGCTTTCAAGATTGGTGATTGTTGGTTGAGTGGAGGAAGAAGAAGAAGAAGTTCGAGGACCAGTGGTTGGAATTTGAAACCTTTTTGTGCTGAGTGCTCTTGCCGTCGTCGACTTTGCTTTCCGGAGAAAACAGGGTCTATTCGATCTTAATGCCGTCGTTGAGTCGGATTCGAATGCTCGTCTGTACTTTTGTAGCACTCCATCGGCCGCCTCTGTCCGCAAGCCGCACGCCGAGAGCTGTGGAAGCTTGGCAGCAATCCCTACGAGGCTAGAGCTTACGATGAAGGAGGCACGACAGCTTCGGTTACAGCAGCAGCAGGTGCTGTTCGAAAGGCGACTTCCCTGGGCAGTCGAAAGCTCGCGCAGAACATCCTCTTCTTTGGAGCCACGTCTCTGACGTCGTAGATTTCGACGCCACCGTCTTCGATTTTGCCGGGTTCCATTTCGTGCTGCAGCTGGCGTGATAGCTCCTCGCAGATTTTGAAGCCTTCTTCAATGTTTTCGTCGCTCTTGGTGCTGAAGCAGTAGCAGTGGATGAGTGGTAGATCCAAGTCTTTTGGTAGGTGATGCAGTACTTCTGGAGGGTACAGACCAATGAAGCTAGGGAGGAAAGTGATCGCAGTGGCCGGTAGATTGAGCACAAAGTGCTGAAATGTCTTTGGCTCTTTTAAAGTCTTGATGACTTCAGGCTTCGCGTCGGGTTCTTTTCTGGACGGCCTGCTCAAAACGTCCACACTCCGATTGCTTTGCGCTAGCTCAGCGACAGCCGTCCGAATGAATTTTCTACCATCCTCGTTGAATGGTTGGACGTAGTCCTGCACCTTGTTACGGGTGATGGCATCCTTCATGCTGGCGTAGCTGTCCGGGTTGAGATCGTTGGCCCATACGAAGATCTTTTTCTTTCCGGCTGGGACAGCAAAGGGACCAATGCCTGCCATGACATCGCAGACAGCCTCGCCTTCTTGGAAAAGGGCAACAAGGCGACGATGCTCCGTGTTGAGGCGACTATTCCAGTAGACCTTGCTGTAGTCGAACTTGAACGTGCAGTTCTCTTCAGATATGGTCACGTTTAGATCGTCAGGACCTGCCAAGACCTCGTATTTAAATGTTCGGTATTCGCTCTCTTCGCCTACGTCGTCGACTTTGTTGATTACGGTGCGAACGCCCGGATTCTTGTCCATGAGGATCTCGGCGATGAGGTTCTTATACTTCAAGTACTCGTCGCGGAGATTGAGATGTGCCACATGCCCGACTTGGGAGAAACCGGAGGGAATCTCACCCTGATCGTCCTCGGGCAGAATCGCAGAAATGATGTCGTGATAGGTCCAGTAGCCGTAGTCGAGCTTCAAATGAAATGGGATGACAGCGATAAGCTCCTGTTCAACCAACTCGGTCACTGTTGGCGAATGGGGCCAAGGACTACTCGCACCGTTGAGCTGCGATCCATTGTTGCCCGCATCATGGGCTGATCTCACCTCAGGGCGCAGCAAGATACATTTTTTCCCTTGTCCTGCGCGCTCAGCGTCTGGATCTGGGTGAACGCTGCCAAGCCTCTCCTGAGCGAGGGCGTCCTTGCTGCGCTCGAGGGCTGACCGACACTTGGAGATGTTCTTGTTGTCAAACACTCGAGCGGCCTTGAGTTCGACGGTCCGCTGGAAGAACGATCGATCCAGCGTACGCATCAGTCGATTGACAGGCGGCCGCCACATGTCATCGGCCATCAAGCGCGAATCTGTCGAAATTGGAGGAGGTGCTTTGAGCTATCTTGTCCGCAAAGTACTTTTCATCCAGGATGTGGTCTGCTCATCTCGTTTCGCATCGATATTGAGTCATGGGATGGACGATGTAATTTTCACGTGCAAGAGTTGGGCAGCGGCTTCTGCAGGGGCAGTTTCTCGGCTTCGCGGCTGTGGCCGAGCCAGGATGCGCGTGTTCGTCAACCCGTTGCGACTTGGAAAACACATCCGTCCAAAACAACAATCCCACCGCCGCTCTGCTGCTTCTCGCTCGCCTGGACCGAGGACCACATCGATCGACCGCCGGCCTGGCGGTGTCTATCCGCGACAGCCCATGAAGTGACGAACGACACACCTGCAACGCGCAACACGCTCTCATCATGGCGTCCGCCGGCGGCGGTAATATCAAGGTCGTCGTGCGAGTGCGGCCCTTCAACTCGCGCGAGCTCGATCGCAAGGCAAAATGTATCGTGTCTATGAAAGACACCCAAACCGTCCTGATACCCCCGCCGCCTGATGGAAAGAACAAGCCTGTCAAGGCCGCCCTCGAGGGCAATAAGACCTTCGCCTTCGATCGATCGTACTGGTCCTTCAATCGCCAAGATGGCCATTTTGCTGGGCAAGAGGATGTCTTCACAGACTTGGGCAAACCGTTGTTGGATAATGCGTTTCAAGGCTACAACAACTGTATCTTTGCCTATGGCCAGACCGGTTCAGGGAAGAGTTACAGCATGATGGGTTATGGCAAGGAAGAGGGTGTCATTCCGCGAATCTGTAGAGACATGTTTGAGCGGATCGAAGGGATTGTGAGTCAGGACAAGAACATGGGCGCTACCGTAGAAGTCTCGTACCTGGAGATCTACAATGAACGAGTTCGTGATTTGTTGAACCCCAGCAATAAGGGCAATCTCAAAGTCAGAGAGCATCCTTCAACGGGCCCGTATGTCGAGGATCTGGCCAAGCTGGTTGTGAGGAGCTTCACCGAGATCGAGCACTTGATGGACGAGGGCAACAAGGCACGAACGGTTGCAGCGACCAACATGAACGAAACCTCTTCCCGATCCCACGCCGTCTTCACCCTCACCCTGACACAAAAGAGGCATGATGTCGAAACAAATATGGATACAGAGAAGGTGGCGAAGATCAGTCTCGTCGATCTGGCTGGTTCAGAGCGTGCGACAAGTACGGGTGCGACAGGCGCCAGGTTGAAAGAAGGAGCTGAGATCAATCGTTCTCTGTCCACACTAGGTCGTGTCATTGCGGCACTTGCAGATATGAGCACCGCCAAAGCGAAAGCCAAAGGCATGCAAGTGCCGTACCGAGACTCTGTCTTGACCTGGTTGCTGAAAGACAGTCTGGGTGGAAACAGTCTGACTGCCATGATTGCAGCAATATCTCCAGCAGACATAAACTTCGAAGAGACGTTGTCTACTCTGAGGTATGCCGATTCTGCAAAACGAATCAAGAACCACGCAGTTGTGAACGAAGATCCAAACGCCCGTATGATCCGCGAACTGAAGGAAGAACTGGCGCAACTGCGCTCGAAGCTATCATCCGGTGGTACGGTTGCAGAAGAGCAGTACAGCGCAGACACGCCTCTGGAGAAGCAAATCGTCAGCTTTACGCAGTCCGACGGGACGGTCAGGAAAGTATCCAAACTGGAGATTCAGGAGCAGCTGTCTCAGTCGGAGAAGCTGTACAAGGACCTCAATCAGACATGGGAGGAGAAGCTTGCGACGACGGAGCAAATCCACAAGGAACGAGAAGCTGCTTTGGAGGAACTTGGTATCAGCATCGAGAAGGGCTTTGTCGGATTGAGCACTCCGAAGAAAATGCCGCATCTGGTCAATCTGAGTGATGACCCATTGCTTGCCGAATGTCTCATCTACAACCTCAAGCCAGGAACGACAACGGTTGGAAATGTCGAAACGAACGGCGACGAGGCGGACAGCGATGCCAATGGCAGATCGACTGTTGATATCAGACTGAATGGGTCGAAGATCCTGCACGATCACTGCACCTTTGAAAACGTTGACGGCGTCGTCACAGTTGTTCCAAAAGATGGTGCTGCTGTCATGGTCAACGGCATTCGAATTGAATCGCCCAAGCGATTACGATCTGGATATCGCGTCATCTTGGGAGACTTCCACATTTTCCGTTTCAACCACCCGCAGGAAGCCCGCGAGGAGCGAGCAGAGCAGGGTAGTCTGCTCAAGTACTCTGTCACTGCAGATCAGCTCGAGTCGCCTTCAAGAAGACCAGGCCACGAGCGAAATGAGAGCACTGTGAGTCGCGCTTTCTCCGACTTTGACGGCGACATTAGCAGCCCCGGCACGCAGTCGCCTGCACCTTGGCGGACGGATGGCCGAGATACAGACTGGGCCTTCGCGCGTCGGGAAGCTGTGTCGTCTACTCTTGGACCTGATCAGAAAATCTCCGAGCTGAGTGACGATCAACTTGACGTACTGTTCGAAGACTTGCAACGTGTTCGTGCCGTACGCAAAGCCAGACCCGAAAGCAAAATTTTTGACACCAATGGAGGTGACACCGACACTGAGTCAGTCTCTTCGCATCCCGTACGTGAGAAGTATCTCAGCAACGGCACATTGGACAACTTCAGCCTCGACACTGCACTCACGATTCCATCCACCCCGCAACAGTCTGAAGACGACGAACGGCTGAAACAAGTCCGAGATGATTTGCAAGATCAGTTGGAAAAGCAGAAAGATGATTACCAGCAGAAGCTGCAAAGCGCGGAGGACGGCCCCATCGAGATTGAAGAGCTTCGAACTGAGAAGCTCAAGATGGAGGCATCTTTACAGGAGATGAAGGAACAGATGCAGAAGCAACTCAAGGATCAGAAAACTCAGTTCGAGCGCCAGATCAAGGCTCTGAAAGCGCCTCCTAAACCGCGCCGCAAGAGCAAGAGCAAACTGGACCTCAGTGAGCGCGAGATCTTCTTTGCGAAGCATGTTCTGGATCATTGGAGACACCATCGATACGTCGCCATGGCTGCGACCGCACTGAAGAACGCCTCGACTCTTAAAGAAGCCCAGGTCATGAGCCAACAAATGGAGCGCAGCGTCGTCTTTCAATTCACCGTGGTCGATGTCGGGCACACACTGGCTTCGTCTTATGATCTGGTTCTGAATGGCGTCTCAGCTGAAGAGACCAATGACCCTGACCTGGAGGAATGTGTGAAGCCTTGTCTGGCCGTACGTGTCATTGACTTTGCACATACGGTCATCCATCTCTGGTCCATCGAGAAGCTCCACAAACGTGTGAAGGCGATGCGTCAAATGATGCAGTACCTCGACCGGCCCGAGTACATGCAGCACTTCAGTGTGAGCAATCCATTTGAAGAAGACTGTATGCCGGAATACACTCGCATCGGCGATGCCGACATCCCACTGGCGGCCGTGTTCGAGTGTAGAGTCCAAGACTTCACTCTCGATGTCTATTCTCCTTACACCTGCAGCATTGTCGGTGTGGTTCATCTTTCGCTGGAGCCAAGTTCAGCTGAAGCTCCTAGCAGCACGCTGAAGTTCAACGTGGTCATGCACGAGCTTATTGGCTTCGCCGAGCGAGAAGGCACCAACGTACACGCCCAACTCTTCATCCCTGGCATTTCCGAAGAAGGGGGAGCAACGACAACATCACTGATCAGCGGCTTTGGTGAGGGCTCTGTCCGCTTCGAAAGTGTACACAGCATGAGCTTGCCGTTGACAGCACCGCATGACGCCAGTTTGAGGGTGAGCATCTTTGCCCTGGTCACTTCCATGCACCTCGACAAGCTTCTTAGTTGGGATGACATGCGAGATGCATCCAAAGCAGCCGGTGTCCGCCCAAGGATGAGACGAAATCAGTCACGGATCCCAGAACACGAGTACTACAGCGACGAGCGCCATGACGTCTTTGCGAGAGTTCAAGTACTGGAGATCGACGAAGACGGGAACTACCAGCCGGTGGAAGTAGTTCAGAACGACACACTCGATCAAGGTGCATATCAGTTACACCAGGGTCTCCAAAGGCGTGTTGTGTTGAGCCTCGTGCACAGCTCGGGCGACAGCCTGCCTTGGAAAGACGTCGATCGCCTCCAAGCCTGCGCGGTTCGCCTGCTTGACAGCTCTGGCAAAGTGTCTGATGCTGACAGCAATCAACCTGACGTGCCATTGCCGTTGATATCGCCTCCGATCATCCGCAACAACGAAGATGGAACCACGAATGTTAAAATGACTGGACAATGGGATTCCAGCGCGCATAGCTCGTTGCTCTTGGATCGACCAACTCTGGATCGCAATCGCGTGCAGTTGACACTCAAATGGCAGGTCCACTCACCCCGTGTGACAGCGCCAATGAAGTTCAGCTTCGACATCTCTGTGCAGACACGGCCACGGACGTGGTTCCGACAGAATTCGCTTCTGGGGCAACTCTTCAATGCGCAGCGTGTTGTTCATTCTACGGCATCCAACTACACCGTGACTTTGAAGCCTGGTGCGGCAAAGCGCGCTGGCGACCTGTGGCGAATGGACACGACTGGGGAATACATCTCGGGCGAAGAGATGCTCTCGAGCTGGGCCCCAAGAGGCGTTTCACTCGTTCGAGACTTCATGAACTTGCGCAAACAGCAGCGTCGAGTTGCTGAAATCGAATCTGCAAGAGGCATTCTCAGCTTTGGAGCCCTTTCTCCTCCGATCAAAGCACAGCATCCGTCTGATGAGGCACTGAATGAACAACAGCAAACACTTTTGAAGAAGATGCTCGTTCTGTGGCAGACTGGCCCTTCTGCGGGTGAGATCATGTTGCTGCGGTCGAACACTGAATCACCAGAACTCGGCGCGGCCTTCGCAAATGGTACAACCAATGGCGACGACGAGACACCTTTGGCAGCAGTCATCGAATCAAACACCAAGTCGGCCACGGTCTTGAAAGCAGGCTGGCTACTATGCCCCGACGCTTCAGGCACGCACTGGATCAAGACATACGTGGAGCTACGTCGACCCTATCTCCACCTGTACAGCAAAGAAGGGGACGAAATCAACGCCATCAACCTCACCAACTCTCGCATCGATGCGGAGCCTGAGGTCGCCAAACTTCTTCAACGACCCAACGTTCGAATGGAAGTTTGGGCAGTGTACTCGACCAAAGCCTGGCTCTTTGCCTGTAGGAACGACAAGGAGCGAGGAGAATGGATCTGGGCCGTCGACCGCTCTTACGTGAGTAGTGGAGGCAGGACGCCCGATGAAGAATATTAAGTATGAGAAAGAGAGAAAGCCACTGAACGAGAGGCTTTCTGTTGGATGTTTCTAGGGGACGGCAGATCTTGTTTATCAGAGGCAGGATGCTTGCATAATATGATTGCTCCGGCGCGGGTTGTTGCACAGAGAGATGGGAAGATGTTTTGCCCTTGAGATACCCATCGCGCTGGCTGGGAACGTTGTTTGATTCCCCCCGCGATAGTTTCTGCATCTTTTAGATAGATGAGAGAGAGAGAAGACGATGTAGTCTGGCTTTATCCAATACTCTTATGAAAGAGGGTGCGTCTCGTACGTACGTCCACGGTCGTACGTGCGAACACCGCAGATTCCATGTTGAGTCAACGTGGATGTCGTTGACGTCTCCGCTTTTTTTCTTGGGCCGGCCTCGGCAGCGATGTTGCGATCACCTTCATGCACGACGAGTTGTAGGGCGGGAGAACAGTACAGCTTGGTTCAAAGGATACGGCTGTCCAAGTGTATTAATCACTGAGTAAAAGGTCTCTATCACAGGCGTTTAGGACCCGGCCTTCCACCTCGGACTTTTACAAGACCTGTCCTTCGATTTCCAGCCCAAGGGTCCAATTCAACCACCATATCAAACAACAAATGCCTTGAAGCATATCAAAAGGAAAGAAAAAGTAAAGGCCGCCAAAATCGAATCACACAACATCACCCATGCCCTCCACCACCTCCCCCTCCCCCTGGCTCCGCCAATACGGCGCCCTCAAAGAATATCAATGGCGCCTCACCACCGACAAGCCCAACAACACCACCCAAGTCTTCACGCGGCCCCTGGGCCTCGCAGAATCCTCCTTCGACTCCGACGGACGGTATTACGAAGGCCGCGCGGACATGAACGTCCTGCTCACCCTCGAGATAAAATCCCACCTCTCGGATGAAGATTTCCGGGAAAGGATCCTTTTGGCGTGGACGAGGTTGAGGGGGTTGCATACGCTGTTGCAGGCGAGGACGTTTCAGAAGAGGGAGGAGGGGTTTGCGCCGGATGGGAGGTTTTTTGCTGTCGATGTGCATGGGAGTGTTGGGAAGGCGATCGAGGATGCTGGGAAGCGGTTGGTGTTTGTGGGGGATCATTACCCGGCCGGAGTGGAAGTGGAGGATTTCTATCGGCATGTGATGAATGTCCGGAGGGTGGTGGATGCGGAGGTCGCACTGGCGAAGGTGTTTGTTTTGCCTGTTGAAGAAGATCAAGGTGCGGACGGAAGGGGGACATTGAAGTTTCTGTTCGTGATAGGACATCAGATCTCGGATGGCCTGAGCTCGTACGTGTGGATGCGGGATTTCGTCAGGATCTTGAATGAGGAGACGGATGTGCTCAGGGAACGATTGAAAGCCTCGCTTCAGCCTGACGATATGCTCCGCCGACTGCCTCTCCCCCAGGAGGCCCTCTACCCACCCATCCCAGGCTCTCCCGCGCGCCAGCGCTGGTTCTGGGCCATCACGCAAATCCTCCGACACGTGCGTAAACCACTTCCCATCGGCTTCGACAACCCCCTGAAACGAACCCACCCCCGAAAAGAAGCCATCCCCTTATCCCCAACCTACAACCGCATCCTGGACTACACCCTTCCCCCCCTCCTAAACACCTACCCCCTATTCGTGCACATCTCCGCGCAGAACACCACCCGCCTACACCACCTCTGCAAATCCGTACACGCCAGCCTCGGCGCCGGAATCTACGCCCTCGCCGCCGCCGTCGCCATAGAACTCCACGAACAGCGCCATCCACACATCCCCCTCGCACACCGCCAAGCCTTCATCACAGCCTTCCCCCTCAACCCCCGCGCCTTCTTCAACCACCACAACGACCCGGACAGCATGATGCTCGCCTTCAGCGACGGCGTCGCCCTCCCCTTCCTATCCGCCTCCCTCCCCCTCGCCGGCCGCATCAAACTCCTGGCCCGCCAAGCCCAGCGCCAACTCGCGAGTTACCAGAAACGCGCCAAACCCCAAGGCCACGACGCCGCGAGACAGTACCTCACCTCTCGAGGCGCGGGCCTCGTGCTGGCGAACCAGTACCTCCTAAGTCTCGAACGCGCCAACGCGAACCTCCCTCCTGACCTTCGCAAGGAAGTCAACCTCCAAGGCATGTACCCCGCCCGTCCGAACCCCACGATGCAGACGCACGGCGTCTCGTCGGTGGGGAATCGAGAAGCGCTGATTAGTTCCGGGATCGGGGATCTCGAGGACGCAAGGAAGGACTTCGTGGTGGATTTCAGGGATCTGACGGCGAGTGTGCGGCCAAGGGAGGGGGAGTTTCTCGTGGGGATTGGGGGCACGAGGGAGGGGTTGTTCTGTACGCCTTCGATGGATGCGAATGCGTTGGATCCGGTGTGGATTGAGAGGTGGAAGGGGAGGTTTGAGGGGGCGTTGGATGAGGTTGGGGATGGTGAGGATAGTGGTGGTAGTGGGAACAGTCAAGCAAAGCTTTAATACACGTTGTAGAATTTCTGCTTGCACGACAGGTGCTTCTCGTCTTTTCCTTCCTTCCTTCCTTCTTCAAATTGATAAATTGGTTAAGCCTTCTTCTTCAACAAAACAAGATGGACGCTTCGTCAAAGGGTCGTGATCAAGGAGTGTAAGAACGTTACACACTAATAAAACAAACACAAAACAACAACAACAACAAGCTTAAAACTAAAACAGAACAAGAAAACCAAAAAAGCTAGAAGCCTTCATCATCGTCGCTTTCGACGTCAAACATCCCCTGCCAGACGAAACACTCCGCAGGAAGGTCTGTGCCAACCCGAGGCGTTTCCCTCAGCTTCTTGGTGATGAAGGCTCCCAGAAGAGCAATAACAGCCAACGCAGTCCAGAGCGAGCCGTTGACCGCCAACATCGAATGGTCGTAGGAGAGGTAGTAGCTGATTCCGGCGAGGCCGACAGCGAGAGCTTTGGGGAGCTCGGAGATGGAGACGACTCCGATGAGGGTTCCGGTGGAGGAAGCGTCAGGGGTAGCTGACATAACCAGTAGCAACACCAACACGTGCGCTGCTCCAGCAAGAGTGGTTTTCGCCAGGACGGCCATGGTGCTGACGATGGCGGAGAGAATGGGCGAGGATCCGGTCGCGTGAACGGCCAGGGCCACGGTGGGGATAACGACATACAGAGCGGGAAAGACGAATGAGATCCTTCGGTACAAAGGTAGGAGTCCGACGCGGCTGACAAGATATGGGATGAAGTGCATTATTCGAAGGGCGGCGACGACCTTCACAACGAGCAGAACCGGCTGCAGCCATGAGCATGGGACTCCCATGCCGGCGTTGTGGGTGTCGGTGTGGCCGACGTGTTGGAGCATGACTTCGAATGTCGAAGCGTGCAGGGAAAGGAAGGAGAAGGAGGCCAGCAGAATCAGCACTGCGGGTGCTGTGAGCATCTGTCCGATGCTAATCCGAGATGGACGTGGAATGGCGGCATCGTCGTTCAGGGCTTCGATGATGCTGATCGCAAGGGATTCCTGCGAATCGGTCGAGTCTCGCTCGGGTTGTTGGCCTAGGAAAGCTGCTTTCTCGCAGTCGATCTCGTCATCCTGGCCGAACGATTTCTTCTCGTTTTGAGGAAGCGTCTCGTCCAGGAGGATGATCTCTGCAATCGTAATGGATAGAACAAGAAGTGAACAGGCCATTTGGCCTCCAAGTCCGGGGTATCTGGCAAAGATGCCTTCAAAGTGATCTTGCGCGTAGTGTCGAATGGTGTTGGTGAGAAGCGGTCCGAGTTGGCCACAAACTGCCACCATAGGCAGTCGAGCCACAATCTTGGTCCTTGAGCTGTTGCCTGTCCTTCATATTAGCACATCCACCTCCTCACTCAACCCATCCACACATACCATGCGTCGAATCCGCCAACATGGCCAACCCCGAAACCGTCACCGCCGCACTAATCGCACCCGCAATATACCGCAACACACAAAACGCCGTGAAATTGGTCGCGAACCCCATAGAAATACAACACGCAGACATGCCCAAAAGCCCCACCAGCGCAACCTTCCTCCTGCCCAAACGATCCGCAACCAACCCCCAAACGATCCCGCTCGCACTTCCAAAGTAGTACGCGCACTGCAAGATGCTGCGCAAGAAGGACGTGTTCATGGTAAGACAGGCGGTGGCGGAGGGGAGGAGGATGTTGATCTGCGAGGAGAGGGACGAGGCCATGATTGCTTCGGCGAGGAAGAGGAGGTAGATCAGGGTGAGGTTGCGGCGTTGGCGGGAGGTCATGGGTTCTTGCTGCTCCTCCTCTTCAAACTGCGGCCGCTTCTCGGTATATGCTTCCTCCATCTTTTCCATATCGCGGACAGGAATCAGGCTCCTGCTTCGGCTGTGGAATCCAAACATGGTGATGAGATGTGATTTGATTCAGGAAAATCGTTTCGGTCAAAGGATCGATAGTTTCGCTCTTTCAATTCGAGCGAGAAAGGTAGTATTCGAGGGAGTGTGGTGAGAACCGCGTCCGGCGCGAAAAGGCTCTCGTGGAGTAGTCGAAGGGAGTGTACGACGAAGTGTAACAACGAAGGCGAGTGAATGTGTCGAGAGATAGCGAACCCTGTCAAACGGGCATGTGGTACAGAAAAGAGTGACAAGAAGACGAAGAAGACGAAACGGTCTTCCTCCCACACGAACAAACACGCTGGCAGAGCGTGGTGAAACGTCTCGTCGCAGCAGACGGAGAGGAGGATGGACTCACCTTGGGACGAGGAGGAGGTGGTCCTGCGTCTGAGGTCCAAGCACCCGCGCTCACCATTTAGAGTTGGCGCTTAGGGGGCCGGTGGCCATTCAGGGTGCGCGAAAGGCTGATCCACACAGGAACAGGCTTGGGCCATGTTTCGACCTTCGTCTCAGGCGCTTCGAGTCGCGATAACGTTGATAGAGACAACATCACCTCTCTCTTTCTTCTTCACCTCTTCAATCAATCTTCCAGTGAGGCCGCTTGCCACAGGTGTTGTGAAACGGCTTTATGCCTTTGCCCTCACCCTCGCCGGACCACAACGGAATCCCCATCCAAAATTCGCCATCTAGGATCGACGAGGCAGTGCCGACGGATCTTGAATAGCCTCCAACGGTCAGGGTGCATCTTCTCCGCGATAGAAACAACATCATCCCAGTACACTGCATGTGACGACATCTCCCTATCATTAATAGTAAGTCCTGTTCTATAGGTCTTGCCTCCCATGTAAGCTCTTCCTCTCAGGTCTCGAAATGATGACAACGCGTGAATCCATCCCCAATTCCACGACCATCACCGGTCCCTCGTCCCATCATATACAAGCTTCATCATGACTGCATAGGTAAGATCCCAGGGTCTCTTCGACCCCTGAGCTTCGACATCCAAAGAACGCTCGACAACCACCTTCGAAGATCCATACTTTACGGTGTTCGAAGGTCGCCGCAGTCGACTCGCCCGTGGAGCACGTCCTGTAACTCTGGGAGGAAGACTGTCAATATCGAGTTTCTCAATCAAGCTTTTTGATGAGGTATAGAATGTAGATATGATATAACAGGCTAAATGTGTTATAGTCTCTCACCGCTGCTTGTCGCGATTCATCAAGATGAGCCCCAGATATGCAATGAGGCGATAGACGACACCAATGCTGAAGAGCATTCTGGTTCGATGTTAACGAAATGCCACAAGGACGTGAAGAGGAACAACTCACGCAATATCCATCCCGTACTGTCCAAGTGTGTATCCGGTGGACTTAGCAGCCAGATCCGTTATGTACAGGTACTTCATCGGAAGCACATTTTGGCTGAAGTACGCTTCGGTGAACCAGACGCCAGGCGACAATCGCCAGAACCATCTACAGCAAAGGTCAATACTGCACCAGACATGGTAGATGTATCATCACTCACTCCATATGCCAACTCTTGACTTTAGCCAACGGCGGTGCAACACCTCCCAGCACTCCAATGATAAGGGAGGCCAGTACAGCCAGCAGAGGTCCATCTTCCCGCTTGACCAGCATGCTGACAATACTCGCGAGTCCGTAGATGCACCAGAAGTACATCAAATTGGCGGCGTACATCTCCTGGAAGCTGATCAAAGGCGTCGCCAGTACGCCCAGAAACACAGTGAAGTGCCAGCTGCTGAGTGCGATTCGCAGGAAAGTCGACAGGAGCTTGCCAACGTAGTATGCGGAGCGCGAGTGGCCGGAAGCCGTCTCTCGCCAGTACATCAGTTTCTCCTCGCCAAAGACCCAGAAGCCTGGTGCAGATGCCGCAAGTCCAATGGCCATGGCACCCAGAAGACCGATCTGTGGCGTGCTGTTGTAATCGATGGCGCTACTGAGGAGAGTGAACGGTTGATGGTACAGGCCCTGGAAGAGATGGCCATTCGAAGCAAACGCGGAGAGGCCGATGATCATACCAGCAAGGCCACCGACGCCAATCTCGAAGAGGAACGATACCTGATTGCGGAGCTGTTGTGTTGCGGCGCGTTTCCAGCAGTAGTATACTTGTGCGAGCCAACTAGCTCCCCTCAGCTTCATCGTGCGTCGTAGAGCCTCTTCTTGCTCTGCTGTGGAGTTCAAGCTCTGATTGCTGATGCGACGACTCTTCTCGGACTGTGTACTGGCCAACGAGAGGTGCTTGTTCTGCGTCTTCATGTACTGCGAGCCTGCCTTCCAAGCCTCAATCAGAAAACCCACCTCTCCTTGCTCACACTTCGTCGCAGACATGCAATACTCTGCACCGTCTCCAGTGATGATGTCGATGAGAGCATCGGCAGGGTTGGCCTTTTGGGGAAATGCGTATCCTAGCCCTTCAAAGTACGTTTGCACGGCTTCGGTTGGGCCACTGTACACTGAACGGCCTTCCGCGAGGAGCAAGACTTGATCGAATCCTTGGAAGATGCGCTCTCTGGGTTGATGAACGATGGCGATAGTCGTTACGCCCAATCTGCTGATGGCTCGTAGCAACTTCATGATGCTGGCTGCACTCGTTGCATCTAGTCCACTGGTGGGCTCGTCCAAAAAGATGGCCATCGGCGCTGCTGCCAACTCCATGCCAATGTTGACTCGTTTTCGCTGGCCTCCAGATATCACTGGTCGAGTTGCATCGCCGACGCGAGAGTGCTGGACATGTGTGAGCTGGAGAGACGCGATGAGTGAATCGACATGTTCCTGGATCTCTCTGTCCCTCCACTTCTGTGGTAGTCGCGCATGGGCCGAGTGGAGGATGTTCTCCCTGACGGTCAACTCAGGAAACACAATGTCGTCTTGAGGAACGTAGCCGATGAGCTTCTTGTACTTGCTCATGTCCTGGCGATGGCCATTGATCTTGATCGTGCCATTGGTGGCATGTGTCTTTCCCATGAGAACGTTCACGAAGGTGCTTTTGCCAGCTCCTGAGCCACCCATGATGCCCCAGCAGCTACCTCTTGGCATTGTACCCGTGATGTCTGTGAGAATCTTTTTGCCGCCCTTTGCGCAAAAAGAAAGGTTCTCGAAATCGAAGCTCAAGCCGATGCAAGATGTCTCGACAGCCTTGCTCATCGAACGAATGAAACGCTGCATATTAGGACTGTTCTGCAACTCGTTTTCCACGTCCTCATCGTACAGAGTTGAGACGTTATCGTCATCTGCGTATCCGTCGTAGTGATCGACTCTGGCGTTGGCTCTTCGCGGGTTTGTGGATGGGTTCGTGGATGGAGGTCTTGATGAGTCGCTGGATCCTGCGCTCGATATGGATGGAGATTGTGTTCTGCCCGGCGTGGCGGTGCCAGGTGATCCTGGCGTTTGCAACAGTATCGTCTGAGACCTCTCCTCTGGAACCGGAGTCGTGGACTTCGCTGAGCGGTTTCTTCGCCGTCTTTGAACACAGAAGATAATGATCACCACGAATACGAAGGTGAGATCGATGATGACTGTCAGGTAAAGTGGCAGGACATTGAGCTGCCGCACGCTCTTCGCGGGACAGATTGCGGCGTAGGTACAGTTGAATGGCTCGAAAGAACCACTGGGACAGAAGGTTCCCTTTGGACAGGGGAGTTGTTGCTTTCCGCCTGGAGGGCAGTAAAAGCCATTAGCGCATACTTTTGGCTCCAAAGTGCCTTGCGGGTCGCACGTCCTTCTAGAAGCGCGCATGACAGCACATTCTTCGGTCGGGTGACAGTACTGCGGAGGGAATTCGTTTGAGGACTTGGGGCCTATCGAGAGTCAGAACAAGCCATTGCTCACAATGGCCATTGGACCAAGCTTACAGTGAAATCCAAGCGCGCAGGTATCGTTCGTGCCCAATGCTATCGGCAAAGCTCCCACTCTATAACAGCCCCGTTGCGAAGAATTGAGCGTGTATGCCGTGACATTGAACTCTTTCGTAGACATGTTAGCGAACGGAGAGTCTTGAAAAGCGGGATTGCTCAAGGCACTTGTGGCAGCAGCTCGTGCTTGCGTTAAGCTTGCTGGAATCGACATGGTGGTCATCCCATAATCTGGAATTGTCGCAGTGGTCGTCATGATGGGCTAGTAATGATTGGCAAGCGCTCTCTCTGAGACGAGGATTGCCACGAATGGTTGTGTGGTTGTGGTGTTGCACCGGGTCCTGGCCGAACTGGAATTGCTGTGTGGTATGCCCCTCAAATGCAAGCAAACAGACAGGCCGGCAGGCACTCTTGTTTGATCTTGTAGTACTGAACTGCAGGCACAGTCTCTTTTCTTGGAGGCTGAAGGAAAGAATGAGGAGACGCACAGAGCAGTAGCGAAGGAGGTCCCGCTGCGACCAGGCAGGAATCGATTACAAGTAGAAACAGAGAAAACATAAGAGCCCCGTGTGTGAGTGTGTGGATACTTGCCTCTTGGAAAATCCGGTAGCGACTGTGGTGTAGAAATCCCCACCTGGCCGCAGTCGAACAAGCAGCGAGGATGTAATCATGGCAGATAGCGTGTACCGACACATTGCGAACAGGCCGCTCGTACCACACGAGGCCATTGCAGTGGTCGAGCTCAGCCATCTTGGTCTGTGAGTAGTCCATATTGCTCTGCCGGTGAAGAGAAAGGATGCGCTATCTTCGCTGCCCTCGTCGCCATTGCCGAATCGGTTCGTCCTAGCATTTCAGCAGCCTAGGCAGAGGAGCGATGTGGAGATATGAACGATCTGCAAAGCACTGCCTCGCGCTGGTGTTGTACGTGCTAGGCTGCGGTGTTGGTAGGAGGAAGTAGTGAAGACAAGGGCTGCGATCCTGTGTGCATTGAAGTTCGTCATGCTCCGCAGAGCCGCAAGCCGCAGCCGAATCCTTGCATGAGGCCAGGCGACTGTACGAGGCAAAAGTATAAAGGATGTAGGGCAGTCGAATGCAATAAACTCTTCGTTCGGGTACGAATTTTTGTGCATAATACGTTTCACTGCGTAGTCGACAACGAGGAATTGGGCGGAGGTTGAAGCCAGAGCCCTGCCAGCCAGCAAACACTCCCATAAACCAGTCTCAAGCCCATGTGCAAGGGTCACACATATTTCCAGCCCGTCGAGCAATTGACATCATTCAGGCACTACATGTCAATGGGTTCTTCTCGGGTGTATTCGCTAATATGTACAAAATCTGTGACGCCTGCGCTATCCCATACACTGCATGCCGCACCGCCTCCTGTTATCAATCCCTCTAGTACTTTCGTGCGAATGGCGGAATGGCCTTGCACTCTTCCTCGTCCAACGTGTTCATCACGACCTTCCTGTAGCCGAGCTCGGTCTTCTCGTGTGGCTTCTTCTGCCACGTCAAAGTGTGCTTCATCCAGTTCTTGTCGTCTCGGTCAGGGAAGTCTTCGCGTGCGTGAGCTCCTCGGGATTCCTTGCGGTTGGCAGCAGCTTCAGCAGTCTGGACGGCGCAAGTCAAGAGGTTGCGAAGCTCGAGAGTCTCCACAAGATCGCTGTTCCAGATCATGCTGCGGTCCTTGGTTCCTACCTGGTGGAACTGCTTGTCCACTTCGTTGATCCTATCATATATGTCAGCACCAGAGCACAGCAGCGCCCATAATGGTTGAACTCACTTCTTTACACCTTCGTCGAGGGATTCCTGGGTTCTAAAGACGGATACATCTGACTGCATGACCTTCTGCATAGCAGATCTGATCTCCGCAGTGCTCTTCGGTCCGTCCGCAGTCCGGACATGGTCTACCATGGAGATGGCATCGGCACCAGCATCGCCGGACATCTGTGGGTGTGGCTTGTTGGGCGAGAAGTTGTCGCGGATAGTATGGCTGACGGCACGACCGAAAACGATGAGATCAAGAAGAGAGTTGGCTCCAAGACGGTTTGCACCATGGACAGAGACACAAGCAGCCTCACCACAAGCGAACAGACCTGGAACAACCTTGTCGTTACCCTGCTCATCAACGGTGAGCACTTCACCAGTGTACTTGGTTGGGATACCACCCATGTTGTAGTGGACAGTGGGCAGGACTGGAATTGGCTGCTTGGTAACATCGACACCAGCGAAAATGGAGGCAGTCTCAGAGATACCGGGCAGACGTTCGTGGAGGATCTCCGGTGGCAAGTGCGACAGCTGGAGGTAGATATGGTCCTTATCTGGGCCAACACCGCGTCCGTCACGGATCTCCATGGTCATGCTTCGGCTGACAACGTCTCTGGAGGCCAAATCCTTTGCGGTTGGTGCATAACGCTCCATGAATCGCTCACCCTCGCTATTGAGGAGGTAGCCACCCTCACCACGAGAACCCTCGGTGATCAAGCAGCCAGCACCGTAGATACCAGTTGGGTGGAACTGCACAAACTCCAGATCCTGGTTTGGAAGACCCGCACGGGCGACCATAGCCATACCATCACCCGTACATGTGTGCGCAGACGTACAAGAGAAGTATGCACGGCCGTAGCCACCAGTAGCCAGAACAGTGTGGTGCGCGCGGAAACGGTGGAGAGTTCCGTCCTCCTGGTTGTAGGCAATGACACCCTTGCACTCGCCATCCTCCATGATCAGGTCGATCGCGAAGAACTCGATGAAGTAGTTGGTGTTGTGTCTAAGAGATTGGCCGTATAGAGTGTGGAGAAGAGCGTGGCCAGTTCGGTCGGCGGCGGCACAGCATCTGTAGGCTTGCCCACCCTTTCCAAATTCTCTTGATTGACCACCGAAAGCGCGTTGGTAGATCTTGCCCTCGTCCGTTCGCGAGAATGGGCAGCCATAGTTTTCGAGCTCGTAGACAGACGCAGGAGCCTCTCTTGTCATGTAGTGAATGGCATCTTGGTCACCCAGCCAGTCTGAACCCTTGACAGTATCGTACATGTGCCATCTCCAATCGTCCTCGTGCATGTTTCCTAACGCGGCGTTGATGCCACCCTGAGCGGCGACTGTGTGTGATCTCGTGGGGAAAAGCTTCGATATGCACGCCGTGTTGAATCCTGCCTCTGCCAGACCGAAGGCCGCTCGCAGGCCGGAACCTCCAGCACCGACGACGAGTGCATCGTACTCATGATCAATGACTGGGTATTTGTGTCCAATTGCCCCCGATGCTTCCTTGGCTCGTAGGGGCTGGGTACCCGTGATTATGCGGTTGTTTCGCGCGGTGCAGGCGAAGTTGCGAGTGGTGCGGCGGGAGATACTGCGGGCAGCAGACTGCCTCAAGCCGGCGGAGAACATGGTGGTGGCCGTCAGAACTCCGATCCGATGCAAAGTGGCAGGGAGCGTAGATGGTAGAGGCAGTGGGCAAGGAGGAAGGGCAGAAAGTGCATCGATGAGTTCACGATTCGAAGCCACTGGAGCTTGTTTGGCGTTTGCCCATTTGCCCACGAGCAGAAGCCGCTGCCGCAGAGGCCAGCCGATCGAGGTCGGCAGAGTACGGATCCTCCCATCCAATCACGTTGCCGCTGATTATTGCCTCGATCTCTAGGTGCCTCGGCGGTTTCCCTGGAGTCAATCTTCAATCTTGTGACTGCCGCACAGCAACACTTCACCTCATCTGCCGACCACAACATCGATTGTATTCCCGCGCGTGCATCTTCGTATTGCTACTCAGTGTAAACACACACTGCCACGGGGTCAATGGATATCATCGAGATCAGGCTGCTCAACAGGTCCTCAAACCCAAAAGCTCATCATCAGAGACCGGGAACGATTCAGGACTTGCCAAGGATCAAAACAGTGCCAGCAAGATTTACATGCGGTCTCCACGTATCTGTGTGAATAGCATCAACGACACGCAGCCTGGTCGGCAAGGACACTGAGCGGGCTTTCAAAATTGACTGCTCGGCAAAACTCCGAGAGCAACCCTCATATTGACTCTCTATGTCAGTGAAAATACATGTATATCTGTTTCCACCTGTCGGCCTGACTTCTGTCGATTCACTGATCACTGCAGGAAGGCGTACATCGACGTGAAACGACTCCAAATCGAGTTGCGCGACTGCACATGTATCTATCCGCTTCAGACAAGGCAACACTGACCAAAGGGAGTGGCAACTGCAAACAGAGGTAAACATGTCCCTGACCGTTTCCTTCATGTTATCCATCTCTCCTGTGATCCGAAAGAAGACGAGAAACAGGGCATGCTGTCTGCCACATAATCCCAACCAGGTTCTGCGTATACTCGTTTGGCAGCCATCATGATCAGATTCGAAGTCATCTTCACGGCTTTGCTGCTTGCCACGAGGCTAACGCTTGTCCTCGGTGCCTTACCCCAATGCCTGGTCAGTTTCATTCCCTCGCCGTCACCATTCCATGGAAGACTAACAGCGAATAGAGCGCCTGCAGTACGATCTCCGCGACACCATGTACGCCCGATTCACTTCCAGCACTCATTAGCTGCCTGAACGACCACTGCTCTTTCAACAATACGCTCTCAACATACGCCGTGGCCCTTTCGCCGAAGATCGAATACTCGTGCCAACAATCCTATGTCCCAGGCGATGATACACCGACCACAGTTCTGAAGATGACGGGCCAGGGACAATGCATGACCAGTCCTTACGACTTTCGATCTTTCGTCACGAGTGCTGGAAACAATCCATGGGCTTCGGGAGTCTGCCGCATCTTCGTCTACCCTGAGGCAGACTGTGCCGGTCACCCAGAAGATCTCGCATTGATGCTGCACAGCGAGGGCTGTACGTTTCAAAGTGGCAGAAGCGCGAGGCTTGACTGTGGTGAAAGCTCCGATCTTTCAGGTAATGAGCCTGCACTCTCGAATCAAACAGTCTGCTAATGGACTCAGTCTCACGTCGCTACGTCGAGCAAATGTGCCTCCTACGGCCTTCGAACGGAAACAACGACACTACGGTCCCGCAGACAGAATGCAATCCCGCCCCCGTTTCCCTTCCATCAAATTCGCTTTCGCAATCGTATTCGCCATTGGTGATCAGTTCGGTTCAGCCTTTGGACTCCCCATCAACATGGATTTTGCCGTCAGGCATGCCTATTTCGCACCCGAATTCCACCTCGAGGGTCAACGCAACATCCAGGCTTATTTCCAGCTCGCCAACGGAAACTGCCATGGCCTATCTTGGTGGTGCGGTGAAGGAGAGCAAGGATGCTACAATCGCTGCCATGTTCGCACTGATTGCGGCATTCATCTTGCTTTGATACTCGCTGGATTCGAGACCAAATGGATGAGCAACGGCAGCTTTGGCTAACTCCCTTTCGTATTGGGCTATGGTGGCGTAACGAATCGTATACTATGGGATTGAGCAGATCATTACACAGCACAATCAAGCTTCTCGCTCGTCTCCTAGCTTCGCATGGCATGCCGCATCCTGCTCGCGTGGAGACTTGATTCGGGATGCAGCTTGCTCTCAGCTCGCTGATGACAACATTGTAGGAGCAGGATTAACATTGAAGCCTAATCCGAAACATCTATGCATGTTATGGAGTTTCGTCGCACTTAAGTCTAACTCCTTATACATACCATCGACCTTGACTACTGTCCTCAAGACGCCCCAAAACAGGCCGCCTTAATCTTCTAACTTGAGCTATCTTATCACGACTCCCCAAGACCACCCAAGGACACAAGGATATTTCCTACTGCTAATAGAACGACCATGTCGGAATCCCTATATTCCACCCTCGAGACCACAGCCAAGAGCTTCGTCAAATCCTGCAACCCGACGCAACCTGGCGGCAACACCGTCGACAGCGCCCTCATCCTCTCGCACACCATCCCCACATTCGGTTCGTAACACAAACCCAACTGCTATGAAATTCGCAAGACTAATCCAAGAGTTTCATCATGACAGTCATGGACTACGGCCACTCGCACTTCGTCTCCACCTTCCCACCCCTCCAGAAAGCCCTCTCGGGCCCCGAATGGCAGCAACACATGCTCGGCATGACATCCAACCTGCGGACCTGGGACATCCAGATCACGGATCTGGTGGTGGACGAGGGGCGGAAGAAGGCGGTGGTGCGAGGGGATTTCCATATGTTCGTCAAGGGGTACGAGGATGCGGTTGTCAATGAGATTATTTTGATGTTGAGGATGGAGGGGAGTGGGGGGAAGGTGGAGGGGTGTACGGAGTTTATTGATGCGGTTGCGGGGCAGGAGTTGGGGAGGAGGATGGCGACGGTTGGGAAGTAGATTTTGGGAGAGGGGGTTCGGGTCTTGGGGAGGATTTGCTGGTTTGGATGGATTGGATTGGAGTTTTGGACCATCCCATCTCACCGCTGCTAGACATGAACTTGTATCGCTTCACTCCTTCGTTGTGTGCCTGCCAGTCGTGCTTGTGTGCTGAAAACAGCTCGAAGGCCGGTGCTGGTATTCTTGGGAAGATGCCGAGGGGAAGGACGTAGAACTCGTCTGCGTCGTCTGTTGGAAGGGAATAGATGGGGCTGCAAATATCAGTTGCTGCAGACCATGGCCAGGTCTAGAATGGCATACCTGCTACAATTCCCACAAAACGACCTGGGCGTCATCTTGCCACTCCCCGTATTGCTGTCTTCGTACGTTTTCAGAAACCCCTTGGGATCAGAGACTCGCACATTTTCCTGCTCGATGACCATATTGTTCGATCCAGCACAGCCGCTGAATTTTCTGCAGTTGCTGCAAAAGCATTGGTGTCCATTGCGTTCTTCGAAGAGCTTGGGCTTGTTGATGATGGTGACTTTGATGTTGCCGCAGAGGCATTCTCCGGGCAATTCTCCTACGAAGGACTTGATGTCGAAGGCTTTGGGATCGCCTGCGTAAGTTGACATTGTGCGATAAATGGCGAAGGCTGTGTTGGATGAATGAGAGGGATTCAAATTGAACAAATGCAAGGCTGAAGTTCTTATCGCGTTCGCATTCCGTCGGGCCTTGTATTATAGCGAGCATGTGCGGTCCGTGCGTAAACTAGGCGGTATGTAAGTGAAGTCTAGAACGCACCTAGTAATCAAGAATAATTGCTCTATGCAGCCATCGCAACTGTATTCTGTGCTGACTCTCCGTTGCCACTCTCCAAGCGACTCACACCTTCTCTGCCTCGCTCAAACGCATCGTCACTGTCATTGAAATTAGTCCTCCTCAATATCGATCAAGATACGGGCTGTGAAAGTCCACAGGATAACTCCATGATGTTGTCGATTTGGTCTTCTGGCGTTCGACCCCATCCACACTCGGTTGCGATCTCGAACTCCGAAACGAATTTGCTCGCTGCGTCGATTCGTTTCCTGGTACCCCCTTCGTCGTCGTACTGAACAAGCCCGAGAACTAGATCCGTGTTATTCTCCTTCAACTTCGGCACCAGATCGGACAGCGGGGCAAGAAATGCCTCCAGAGTTTCCATGGTGCTCACAGGGACTGGTAAGTGGAACCAGTTGATCTTGTGAGAGGACTTCTCGAATAAACGTAGACCTCGATCGACTACGGCTCTTAGAGAGGTTGGCTCGAACCAATGCTGGTGGTTCATGTCACCACTCGGAAGGACGTCAGCCCTGGGATCTGCGGGTCTGATATGGGGTTACCACCTTTCACACTTACTAGCAGTTGTGGATACCAAGTTCGACGTCTTGGTCGACGTGTTCGATCATTCGAAGGAGGTATTCTGTCACATAGTCTTTGACGTTGAATTTGTCTTTGAACCACGGCGTGAGATAAGCGCCTTCCCAGAAAGCAGTATCGACGGCGAGATCTGAGACGGTCTGGTCAGAGATGTTGTCGTGGTGCGCGTCACGGCGAGGTATCCCGTCTTCCTAACGTACCAAGCTGGATGGCTAGATCCTCGTGTGGGATCTTATCTTGCAAGACACGAAGCGCTCGAAAGAGAGCTTCTTCGTAGATGGGATATACTTTTGGTTGAAAGGCTGCTTCAACGAAGACAGAGACGACGCTCGCGACACTGAAAAACGTCAGCAAAGGCCTACCGGGCTAGATGTTGCGAGCAACGAACGAGGGTATTCCGACCTGGAACTTCACTCCTTGAGGTATGACTCCCTCATCGCGTAATCTTTTAAAGACAGCATAACTCTCGATCGCTGCATCATCGTAGCCAGTCTCGATACCAGCTTTCTTCAATTGCTCAATGCCTTCGTCGACCTCCTCGTCCGTAAACACTCTCTTTGCACTTTCGGTATTATCTTCAAAAGACACCATCATCTGCGGCGCAACCTTGAACAGGTAGTACTGCCATAATGTAAAGTAGTTTCGACTGCCAGTCTCGCCATCAGGGACACGCTTCAGTCTTCCGGGAAGGCCAGTGCAGACTCTCCTCATGGCAGACTCTGCGTCTGGGGCTTGGATACTGCCAATGAGGTGAACACCCTTGATAGTCGCCATGGTGGTATATCGATTGGATAGTGGCACAGATCTTGCATATGTTGTGGATGCAAGAAGATCATTGTGCGACTTCGCATAATCCTCAATCCTGGAATGTGGACCCGCCTCCTCTGCAGAACGTCTCGCGAGCGCAGCACGTCGGCACCGAGGATCACCGCTCGCGACAAAGACGACTGCAGCGACATCTTCGTCTCTCCAGACCCTTCAGCACAGCTACCGGTCTTCGATTAGGCGAGCTGCCTGCAAGTCTAATGCTCATCCTACCTTAGTCTGCCGTGGCATATGCAAGCCTTCCTGGCCTTTTCAATCGTTCCCGCCAATCGAGCTCCGGTAGATCTTGTGCACTGAAAGTCGGTCATCGTGTCCGTAGCGTGTGTGTAGAGTTGTTTCGTGGAGAAACAGAAGAACAAAGTTCGAGGCCAACCGAACGGCGCGTCGTCCGTCTGTTCTGGGCCATGACCGCTCACCGCGAATCTCTTTGCTTGGGTAGGTGGTCGTGTGCATGTCGTTGCCGAGATTGCCTGCCATCTCACAGCTTCGCTGTGTAGCCAGTGAGGAGGCGTGCCGTTGCGCTGGTAAGTCGGCTCATCATGACTCCACTTGCGTGGTAAGAGGACAATGTTCCACCAGCCGGACACTTCCACAGTCATTCGTGACACCATGGAGGCTGATGAGCATGAGCACGACTCTACCTTTGGCGGCGATAGGTAAGTTCACGGATGGGGAAGACGTCAGTCGCGATTGAAAGCTGACCAAAAGTCTTCATCAGAGCCTCCCTCGCCAGCTCATCCACAACCCTCACGTCCTCAGTAACACGATACCAATTCGAACACGGCCGACGCTACCATGCCTACAAAGCAGGCTCATATCACTTTCCCAACGACGAGATGGAGTTGAACCGGATGGACATTGAGCATCACAATCAAAAGCTACAGCTAGATGGCAAGTTACATCTATGTCCTCTCGAGGATCCGAAAGAGGTATTAGATCTGGGCACGGGCACGGGAATATGGTGTATAGACATGGCGGATGAGTATCCCGAGTGTGAGGTGTTGGGCATAGACCTTTCGCCTGTGCAACCGAACTGGGTGCCGCCGAACTGTAAATTCGATGTCGATGACTTCGAGCAGGAATGGTATGTCGACTGTCCTGGCAACGTAGGAGCATTGGCGTACTAAGCGTTCACAGGACATACGGCGACACCAGATTCGACCTCATCCACGGCCGATTCCTCATGGGCTCAGTCGCCTCCCACGCAGATCTCTATAAAAAGGTCTACAATGCCCTCAAACCCGGTGCTTGGTTTGAAATTGTTGAAATGGAGTGTGGGACGTTCAGCGACGACGGCACGGTAGCTGCAGACTCACCGAGCAATCAGTGGTGGGGTCAGTTGGAAGAGGCATTCGAGAAGATCGGGAAGCCCATTCCAAAGATCGATGCTTTCCCTGAGCTGCTAGAGGACGCTGGATTTACCAATGTCAAGTCGAAAATGGTGAAACGACCTGTGAATGACTGGCCGAAGGATCCCAGGATGAAGGAAATTGGGCGGTATTCTTGTCTGAACTTTCTCGAGGGCCTGGAGGGATTCACCATGGCACCGTTCACGCGTGTTCTGGGCTGGTCGCCGCAAGAGGCCCAGATACTGATTGCCAAGGTCAGGAAAGAGACCGTCACGAGGAAATATCATGGGTGGCAGAAAGGGTGAGTTTGATCTTCGATATTATTTCCAGTTCTTCGCTAACTTACAGCAGCGTCGTCTGCTATGGGCAAAAGCCTCTATCGTAAGATGAACGCCCCTGGAACGAGTCCACGAACTTCATGACAATTCACGTAATGACGACCTTGTACAATTCTCAGCCTGGTCGCCACCACCTCTACCTCACCGCAAGCCGGACTTTTGCATTGTACTCTGGACGTAATCTTGCGATCTGGAAAGCAAGCCTGCGATGAGCTGAGGATTCCACGCGATATACGCTGCGACCGCAGCACCCCCAGCGTAAATTGTCCAGTAAAAGGCGCCGTACATCATCATTCCAAAGTAGATCTTCTGCATCGCTCCGGTCTCGTTAAGCTTTGGGAACTCCTCGTTCGGCACAGCGACTTCCAAAAATTTACATAGCGGGTCCCAGCCCTCTCGAACATCATACACCAGCAGCTGATCTTTAGGAATGAGTTTCTGGACATGAGCGTTGTGCTTGTCGTAAAGGTCCGCATCGAAACCACCGTGTTTCTGTTCACAAAGCCGATGTGCGTCTTGTACGTTGTCATCCGTCCGGCGCAGGAATTTTACAGGCCAAATGAGGAAGCGAAAGACGTATCGACCAAAGTCCCGGCGAGTGTGCCAGCCCGCCGCGTCCATTATGCTCTTCCACCAGCCATTCTTCCCATCTGGTCGTGTGGTGAGGATGTATTTGGCATTGGGATAAGCAGCGTAGACCTCATCAGGCAGAAAGCAGAGGGGGTTGTCTGTGCTGGAGCGGTATCCTTTCATTAAATCGCGGAGACGTGCGCTGAGGGCTGGATCGCCAGCCTGCCATGTTCGGTTGAGGAGCTTCTTGTTGAGTTGTATAAATGCTTCTCTCCGGGGAAGACTGCGGAATGCGTCGACGCCCTTTCAATGATTAGTCCCTCATGGGAAGTGGATGGCGATTGTTTGTACCTGATGTGAAGGACCAAATCCGAGCTTGGTCAGAGCGAGTTGCAAGGACGTCGTGCCAGTCCGGGAAAGGCCCAGTGCGATGACTTCCAGGTTAACATTTGGGTCGAGTGTCGTATTCCCCAGATCGCCGTGTGCAGCGACATCGATCCCGAACGCTCGGTGCAGTGCGTTTTTCGTCGATGACATGATGTTGCTGGACGGAGTCGAGATTTACTAGTTTGGGGTTGAGGCTCAGCTTTAAATGGTTCAGTAGTCAGACAGGTGTGCAGTTCGCTTGAAACGGTGGAGTGCTTATGTCACGGCGATGATGATGAGGATTCCAGTTGACGATAGGGCAGCTCGTCTATCCTCCAAATGCACCAAAGACGGTCGTCTGTTTCGGGTAGCCGCTCTCGAGCTGAGTTCGGGGCTAGTGAGCGACAGCCCTGGTTCTCTCCAGTTTTCATCAGCCTGAGTGCGGATATATCTTCAGACTACCACCTCGCTGTTGCAGTTGAAGCTGGTACATGTCGAGGAAATTCTGCTCTACAAGATTCCCCAGGCATGATGTCGACCATCATTTTCGTCTGTCTCACACCAGAGAGATCCGAGGACTGAGCAGAAGAGACGATCCGAACCACTTCATCAAAGACTTCGTTTCGATGACTTGTGCTCGACGCGGTGATCTCTCACTCTTTGGTGTGGCGAATAGATGCTATCATGCCCTGGTGGCAATTGTCTGCGTTTGGTTTGCAACCAAGAAAACGCGCCTTGTTGCTAGTTGGCAGGCTTGGTGCCAGGGGGAAACTTTGTGACATGCGGAAAATGTGCCTGACAGACGTCAAGTAGTGACGTTTCACCTCAACGCGTAACAGCAAAGACAGCTGGACGCGGTGTATGTCACGCCAATGCAGCCTCAGGCGTCACATGTCAGTCAAGGCCTTGGTGGTGCTGAGAGTTGACAGCTTGGCAAGGCGGAGATGATTAAGCTCGTTCCCCACCGGCGTCGATCCGGCGGGCGGAGGGAGCCGGCGGGAGTGGGATGATGAGGGTATGGTCGCAGCGCAAACCGCGACGCCAGCGTGAGATCAGCAAGGACCGGACCTCGATACACGTATTAGCATTGCGAGGAATCTAGTCAGCACACAGTCTTCGTTGCGCCGACACCATCACTTGTTGCAGCTCACATTGCGACTCTGGGCGACCGCAGCTCTGCCGTGACTCTGCTTCGCCTCCATTTCTGCCCAGGTGCTGTCTCATGGGCAGGCGCTAACTAAACGACCGCGGTACTGCGTCATCTGCCCTGCGATTGCTGCAACAGAGGTCAACGTGTATACATAGCGCCTGACCGCACCTGGGTCGCCGCGTGTTATTGCGGGTATTTGACAGCATCTCCGTCCTCCTCATGGCCCTGAGATAACCTATTCTCTTACACACTCGCTGAGACCCCGCGTTCGTTGCTCCACTCTGGCAGTACTTCCACGATCCAAGCATTTCAGACGCCCACGATGGCGGCCGTACCCAATGGCAAGCCCAGAGAAGAGGCACCGCCGCAGATAGAGGTCACTCCCGACATGCCCCCGCCGAAGAGAGCTGAGACAGTCTTTGTTGACGCGCCAGAGGAGCAGGAAGAGCAAGAGATCCAGGAACAAGCCCTTCGGCAACGGCTGCAGCGAAATCCTCACTCCACGGCCACCATGGAGTCTGCGATATCCCAACCCCCGCCGGGCTCGATTCTTACAGGCAAACAAGAGCATTACCTCAAGCGCGAGCTCATATCCCACCAGACACAGTGGGAGATCCGCGAGCTATCACATCCCACCGCCCTCCAGCGATTTGGGGCTCCCTTCCGCTCAGACAAGGGCGAGGTTCCGCCAGAGGAATCAGAACTGCCATTGCTACGATACATCTTCGTCCACCATGTACGAAACTTTCCATTCCTCAATCAGGCCAAGGAGAAGGAGTTCTGGCAGGATAAGCTGCAGACCTTCTTGGAAAGCTTTGCAACAAAACACATCTCTTCAGCGGAGGATCGGCTGGAGCAGACCAAAAGAGCAAAGTTGGCTCAGAAAGCTACGAAGCTCGTGGAGCTGATGATGGTTTCTGGAATACCCACAGCTTCAGGATATGAAGAGCGCATACGCTTCTCCGAAATGGAGGTGGTTGAAAGAGGCGCGAACGAAAGTGGCCTTGTCGTCAACATGCCAGAAGGACACATGATTAACGGCTGGGACGTCAACGTTGCTGGTGTTCGCTTGATCAGCGTCAAGAGGCATGTGCGGCATCATAAGCATGCAGAGTTCTTACTGCGGGTGAAGCGTAACGATGAGGGTGAGATATACGTCGCCAGGAGATTCGGCGACTTCTCTCGAATGCACAAAAAGCTGCGCTTAGAGCTGCCTGGCAAAGTCCTGCCACCACTCCCTAGGAAGAACAAGGCACAGTCGATCTACAGCGGTCGGGACGATGATGACACTGACAGTCTCTCCTCCATATCCACCCAGGGCACAATCGCTCCAACCCCAGACACCCCCGAACAAGGCGGTGGCTTCCGCGCCTACCTCTCTTCATGGACTGGTAGCAGTACACCAAGCAGCAGACATAGCCGCAACGCATCTCGAGTATCGCTGGCCGCTCCCTCTCCTCGCCCATCGGTCGAATCGTCCAGAGAGCTTACTACGAGTTCAGCTCCAGAGCCTATTGCCGACACAGTCTTGCACAGAGAAGAACAACGAGTCTCGCTCAGGGCATTCCTGCGCAACTTTCTTCAAAATGAAGCAATTGCCAACTCAAAAGCGATGCATGACTTCTTGGCGGAAGACCCTATCAAACCGACCGACGAAGAGAAATATGACATTGAACGAAGGAAGCACATGGACGAGAAACGTCTGGAAGAGCAGCGACAATTCTTCGAGATCGCGAGACAACGTGCAAGAGAGCTGGACGTGCATATGGAGAAGTTCAGACGCAGCGTTGTCGAGAGCAACGGACTGCGAAATCTGTTTGCCGAGATCAAGAGGAAGGAGAAGATCGCAGACCTGGATCCTGAGTACAAGAAATTTGCCGAATGGCTTCGGATAGAGGTCGCTGCGACACTGTACCACCTGTTCCTCGCCGAAGACAACTCTCCAGAGCTTTTTGCCCAATTCAAGCGGATACATAGCTTGGTCCCGTACACGGCCTTGAAGCAGGTCATTCGGTTCACGAATCCGGCCGCGGTCATGGCCAGCGTCCTTGACATCTTCATGGCTCAACCTCTTGGAACGAAGTCGCTGCTCCAACGAATCTTCGGTCTTGCTGTGGGTGACGGCATTCGGACTCTGCAAAAGTCAATAGACAGCCTGACCACAAAGATCGATGAGCCAGACTATACGGTGAAGATCAAGAACTATATCGAAGCTGACGAGGACATCAAAGAAACAGTGAAGTTAAGCGCCAAGGAGGAGCAAGTGGATCTGCTTATCAAGGTCCTTCAGAGTGACGAGATCGAGCCTGAGTTGTCAAGTGAACAGATTGGCAGAGCTTTCAATGCCTACGTGGCTTGGGACAATGCCGTTGAGAATGTTGACGAAGAAATGCGCCAAGGCGCAGAGCTGTTTGCACGATTGAAGCAGCTCCTGAAGCTTCATACTCGACAAAGGGACAAGCGGATGATGCTGGAAATGGTGGAAGAGTCGAACACATTACGACTGTTCCGCGATCTCTTCACCATCTTCTACGAACCACTTGTGCGCGTGTACAAGAGTGCGAACGTGTACAACAGCGTCACAGACTTTGCACGCTTCGCAGACGACGCTATCCAAACGATCGAGAAGGCGCAGCGTCAAGACGTCTCTGCGGATCCCAACCAAACCGTCCAGAGCTTCATCGACCTCTGCGAAAGACACGAAGAAGACCTGTACAAGTTCATCCACGAAGTCCACATGCACGACAACGGCCTCTTCGACAAGCTGATGATCTGGATCGAAGGCATTCTCGACTTCCTCCGCAATGGCCCCAAGGGTGGCAAGCTGGACATGAACGCCCTCTTCCAAGGCGCACTAGAAATGAAACAAGTCGATCGGGACATCGTCTTGCAAGAGATCAACAGCCTGATCAAATGGCAAACGGCCCGCAAGCGATGGCACTCAGACAAGACCCGCCAGAAGATGGCTTCCGGTGGTCAAGAATCCGACGCAGTAGCCGGTCTGTCAGCTACCTTCAAGCCGGACGACTTCGGCCTGAACCCAATGGACTTACAAGACCTGAACATGGACGACGACGACGACGAGTTCTCCGAATCCGGCGACGAGGAAGAAGCCGACCCCATCGCCGCCGAACGCAAACGTCGCCAGAAGCGACAGGATATGCTGAAGCGGACGGCGGGCGAGCCGCTCAAGCCAGACATCTCCGAGGTGCATAAGATGATGCCGCAGTTCGTGGCGATGTTGCGCATGGTGTTGGCGGAGTAGAGCTCTGCTTGAGTGATCCCCAAAAAGCTATCGTGTTGTGGTGTGGGAATGAGCGAGTGAGTGAATTCACGGGCGTTTTGGGGGTTTCTGGGTAGATGGAAAGGACTACTACAATTTCATGCACCTAATCGGTTGCGTGGCTGCTGATGTTTGATGCTGATGCTGAGTTGATGATTATTAGAGGTACGCGTAGACTATTAGACTGCTGAACTGCTGCAAAGCTGTTGTGACGCGCGTGGTACCCTTTCGAAGTTCGTGTCATTCTGTTCCTGCGCCTCCGAGATCTCGCCCGGACGCCTGATACTCCTCCTTCAGACGACCGATGTTTCCTGACGCCACTGATTTCTCCTCTCCAACCCTTCGTGAATTAATACCAACCATGTCCATCATCGCCCGACTTCTTATTGCTCGGGTTCAAACTAATCAACCTCTGCCCCGGAATCGCGCCGCTGACCTGCGACTCAAAGATCCCTCCTACAGCTCTCCTGCCCACATTACTGAAACTGTCATATCCAGCGGCATTGACGCCGTGGATCGCAGCCCATTCGGGAGAGGTATACGGACTACTCCCATCGCCTAGATCGCTCCATCTCGTGACGACTAGGGCATGTTTGAAGGGGTTGACTTTGTCGTTTGTGTCTTCGATCATCTGCACTTCGACCAGGTACTCTGTCGGACACTCGGGGCATCGCCTCGCAGGGCGGCACTCATCGCAGCCGCGCACGATGAAGTCTGGACGTGCGGCGGAGGCGGATAATTTGAAGCTTCGCTGAATCTGTTTATGGTATGGATCCGGGGGAGCGGGGACATGGGACATCATGCATTTGCAGATTTTCATCAAATCGCCGTCCTTCCAGTGCGCGCAGACGGAGAAGAAGGGCGTGTATTCTTCGCGGTCGTAGAGGATGTGGCGTTCGGCGGTTTCGGTGAGGTCTTTGGCGGGTGGGGTGTAGACTTGAGAGACGACGCGCATGAGAAGGCGGTCGTCGTGGACAAGGAAGCGGGAGCGGTGTTTCCAGTCGCTGTCTTTGCATTTCCAGCGCCTGGCGAGAGTCGTGTGGTCGATTCCGTAGCTTGGGTGGTGGCGAGATGCGCGGAGGGCGAGTTGGACGAAGTAGTACGGTAGGTAGCGGCCATGGGTGATGCGCATGCGTGGAAGCACGGAGTTCTTGACGTTGGGGCAGTCGAAAACTGGGAACTTGAAGAATTCGATCTTGAGGGCCTCTTTGCCGGGTGTCAGGCGTCGGTGATATTTGCCACAGGGGAAACAGAGTAGATGTCTGGGATGTTTGTGGTCGAATTGATGGAGGAAGGCAATCTTGTGATGTTTGTTGTCTGGCTCATCGAGGGCGGCGAAGGGGGAGAATCCGAGGAGCTTCTTGTAGAGTGTTTTGGTGGAGTAGGCCAAATTCGCGGCATCAACGGGCTCCATGAAACTGGCAATTCGCTCCCACAGCTCGTCTGGCAGTGACGCTATTCTGGCTTCGTCTTTCTCTGAGCGAGGTCTTTCCACCATTTTCTGAGGATCCGTCGAAGAGAAGTACGGGTCCCGCAGCTGTTCTTTCATATATGGCTTATCGAGAAGGGAGTCAAAAGAGTCATGATGGGCCAGTCGATGCATCATATCGCCATGGTCTTTTTCAGTCTTTGAGTACTTCCTGGAAGAGGCGAGCGTAGTAGCATCGCTGAATGAAGGTCCATAGTCAATGCGCTCTCCCAACTCATTGGCCTCTACAGCTGGAGCCGCTGTGGCCGGTCTTCGATTTCTCTTCTGGAGCTTCGCGGATTCCTTCTTATCCTTCTTGTCAATGGCAGCCTGGGTGTATTGCTTGTCGGACCTGAGCTTCTTGGCGATCTTAAGCGCGATCTTCGCGTGCCAGGTGTTGATGTCTGCCGGCTGTGTCAACTCCATGGCTGTGGCGGAATTCCAATTCTCAATTCTCAATCAACGTCCAGCGGTGAAAAGAGATACTCTAGCAGTGATGAAGGACTATCTAAGCCATTGGAGTCTGCGGGGCACAGAGCTCTTAGGAGTGATATGGAAGTTGGCGGATATGCATGTGAGCCTTCAAAAGAAACACGGCGATCTCCTGGCGTGTTGTTTCGGAAGATGAGGGATGACGTTGCGGGCGCCAGTAGATTCCTTAGTCATCGCCGCCTCAGGCCGTCGGCGTAGCGGTCAGCCAACCACCTTATTACCTTGTCAACCTCACCTCTCAATGCTCGATATCATTCTCGATGAAGAGCAGCGCACAGCAGCTCTGTGCAAGCCATTCCCGTCGTCTTCCGCAATGGCACAGTCACGGCCAGGCTGAGGCAGTTCAACGTGGAACGAAGCGAATAGGGTGTTAAGAGCGTTGGAGCATTGAGGCTGAGAAGCTTTCGGAAATACACATAAAACTCATCAAGATCGTTCGTCCATCCATTTCATCAGGGGTATCTCATCGCATCTAACAAAAGACTCGCTCTCTCGCTGTGCTCTCCGCCTCCAAAGTAATCACTCCCATCACATGCCTGATCTGTCAGCCTGCATCAGTTGTACTTCGGCCTCGAAACGCGACGGCGTCCACCAACGATGCAGTCGAAACACCAGACAATGCTCGCCAGTAGCATCAAGCCGGTCGCGATCCAGGTCAGAATCATGAACTTGTTCCCCTGCTGAGCGCTCACGCCAATGTCATCGCCATACCTGTTGATCACAGAAGCTCCCTTAACCGCTATGGCCGTAGCGATGGCACTGGCAATGCCTATGACCAGGAATGCAAGCCAATCCACCATGACGTTGAGCAGAGCGCTCAGACGTCCGTCGGAGAAGATGCTGACAACGGCCAGGATCAAGGCGATTCCGATGAAGCCGATAGCGATGCAGTACAGCACGAAGGTCGCCTTTGCTGCGACCTGCAATGCTCTTATTCCATTGGTGATGTCTTCAGGCCAGTCCAGATCGTTGACCAGATTGACAACTCCGTCCCCAACGCTATTGTTCAGCTCTTTCTGGATGATCTGCTGCGGGTCGAAGTTGTACATCGCCGTGCGGTTTGAGCACTCGGTGACATTCTTGTGAATCTGCGACTTCGAGACCGTGCTGTTTGGAGTCGCGCCTGGAACGTAGAAGCCCTCACAGTAGTTCATCAGATGCGCCGAGTAGAAGTCGTGGATGCCGAGGTCTTGCGCTACATCGTTTATGCCTTCCTCGATCTCATCCTGGATGGAGTCTCCGATGTTGTCGATGATTCTGCGAAGAATGGTCAGCACGTGCACATTATCCGAGCATCGGTCCCAACATACGAAGTTACGGCATTATCTGATGATGATGAGTCCGAATTGTCGAACACATCATATCCAATGCGTGAAGTGTTCAGAGTGAGCACAGCATAATCCTCCAATAAACCCTTCCGCGACCCGGCAAAGAGACACAGAAATGTGAGAATGAAGGACGCGGTAATGAATACCACTGGTATTAATGCCGAAAAACGCATGGTTGATAGTGCGATGGTGTCTCCAGTAGGTCGTAAGTGGTATGCAGGTATCCGAGCCAGGAAACGGGTACAGTCGCGCAGGTGACGAAGCAAGAATTGGAATGTGGAACTCACGACCAGTTTATAATTTGGCTGCTGTGCGACTCACAGCCATCACTGCGTCACGATTCAACGGACGAGCGTTTTTAGGACCCAAGCAAAGAAAAGGCGATCGTGAAGCAAGATTGACACAGCTCGACTCGTCGTTGTTCCTTGCTGTATGACATGGAACCAAACAAAACGCGAACCAGAGCGTCGGCTAAACAACCAGGGGCAGCAAACCGGCTTGAACACGCATTTGCAGGCGTATGATTGGTTTGCCCAGACCTCACCTGGTCGAATCTCAAACATCTCGCATAGCATCGACCACATGACTTCAAGCTTTTCGAGATGGAAAATACGCACAGGGAACAAAGCTTTAGGGAACCACAACTTTTCATGCAGACTAGGTACTTCTAGAAGAGGTTCTTCAGCACATCTTCTGTGATCCTCAACACCGGCTCACCAATGGAAGTCATCAAGGACTTCTCAGGATGTGAGGACTTGCCAGGCTTCGGGGAAGCACTTCCTCACCGCTTGCCTCGTTGCCCAGCACGCTCTCGGTCCTCGCGACGGTGCTTGTGCTTAGGAGGTGCTGCATCGCTACCCACACTGCTGCCGTCATATGCCTCGAGGCTGACGCTACGTTCATGCTCGATTGTGTACGGTCCAAGTCCGTCCTCTCGTCGACGCCTGGCTGCTGCGATGAGCTTCTCGCGCGAAGGAGATTCACTTTGTGCTCGAGCCAGCATCCGCATGTCCACCGGAAGAGTAATTGGCGCAGTGGCCGTCTCGGTATCTCCAGAAGGCCGGCGACCTCGAGGCTCTGGCCTCATAGGGCCGCCCTGTTCCTCCCTCCGATACTTGGTCTGCGGTGGGTATCTCGCAGCTTGTTCAGTATGGTAGTCGTACTCTTCGACGGCGACACGACCTGGAGCGCCACCTCTCCGCCCGTATGCAAAGTCAATCACCCCCTCCGGACCTTTCTCCTTCACCTGGCCCTGGCGGTGATCTCGTACCGAACTTGCATCGCTCCCTGGAGGTGTCGGTGAGATCGCCACTTTGTTAGCGAAACGTACTCGACTAGAGACATCGCTTGGCCGCCGTGCTCCTATGTTCTTTCGATTTGCCGACGGTGCTTCTGAAATCGTCGGGTCTGCTGCTGCTGCTTTGCGACGGTGCAAATACTCTGAATCCTCCCTATAGTATATGCCATCTCTCTCGCTCCGGAGATAGGTTGCTTCGTCGGCAGGCTGTACTGTGCGGAGTTTGTAGTAGTACTCACTGTCTTCGTTGTCGTTTCGCATTGCGCTTTTTGTAGGTCTGGAAGTGTGGGATGAAGGTGAGGGCATGGGGACTGGCGGGTTCAAGCCATCAGGTGGGTACGGCAATTCGACGTCTTGAGTGCGCTGCTGAGCCTTCTGCTTGCCCTGGATCTGCGCCAGCCCATCCACGCCCGAATCACGGCGGTCGTATTCCATCGTGATTCGCTCTTCATGGCGGTTCTTTGGATATTCAGGACGTCTGGAAGTTCTCGAATAGTCCAGTCCTGATTCCGCCACCTCTACTTCGCGCTCGTAAATCTGAGTCTTTGGTTGCGGGGGTTCGTAGTCTACCCAGTGGCTGGTTTTCGTCTGCTTGTGCTGCACATTGGCGTTGTGTACTTGCTTCTGCTTGGCTTGCAACACCTCTGCACCGCTGCTATCCCCTGCACCCCATTGCGGCTGTCCAGAGCACCTCAAGAACGTTGTGTCTTGCTCGTAGATCGACTTTGTGGTTTCTTGCGCTGGCCATCGGGTCTTGTCCGACGAAGTATCAGAAGGAAGTGGTGGCCTCGCGGGTTTCGAGGATGGAAAATCATCCACTTGCCGTCTCGCCCCACTCCTACGTGTGATATGGATCTCCTCCTCACGATCTTTGCTCTTTGACCTGACCCTGTATTCCCTTTCCCTCATAGCATATGCTGGTTGACTCTGCTTTTCAACTGCTTCCTTCTTCCAGGGCATCTCTTCTTTGATATCCCGCTGTGCCTCAATACGACGTTCGACAGGTACGACAGGCACGCGTTCCACGGGTACCATTCGACCATGCGCATAAGCATCGCCGTGTGCGTCCATGCTACGCTCCGCTCGCCGATAGCGCTCAACTTCGTCCCTTGCAAGCCTCTGAATTTGGCTCTCTGTCCATTCCGGTTTCGAAGCATCGCTCACTGCATAAGAGCTTCGGACTTCAAGTTCAACTCTTGCCTTTGGCGCCGTGGTCTTCTTGTGTTCAATATGCCGAGAAACAGATTCTTCGGAGATCGATGGCTCTTTGGGGGCACTCTGTTTGACATGGCGAATCTCGTATCGTGTGTGCCTTGAACTGTGGGCCGACTTCTCGCTGATCGAGTCAATTGCATCCTGTGCTGTTGACTTGACGTCGGGCTTCGGCACGTAGATGAATGTTGGCTCTGGAGGCTGTGCTTTTGGGGGATCTGGCGTTGGTAGATGTGCCATTTGCGGAGGGGCTGTTGGTGGAGGTGGATGAATTGGAGGTGGCGGAACCGCGACAAGAATGTGCCGGTAGATGTACTCTTTCTTACGTGGAGGCGATTGCTCTGCCGGGGGTGGCTCAAGCTCTCTCCACTCAACCTCATCTAGGTCATAGTTGACACGTCTCGATCTCGCTGCACGAGCAGGCAGGTAGTCCTCATCAACCACGAGACTTTTGACTCCTATCTTTGGTCCATGGCTCTCATGGTGCTCCACCACGTCCACCAATGATTTTGACTCGTCCACAGAAGTGACGCGACATCGTCTACAGATGCCAGGTGGTGGCGGCACGCCATCGATTGGGATCGGATGCTCACGATGATAGCGCGCACTTCGAGGACGAAGGCAGATGCGGCAAACGTGATAGACCACAAGGGAGGAAGAGATGTCTGACGTTCTCCTCGTCCTGATGTACTCCCGCCGCTCATCCGTGCCGTCTCCAGGGATTGGTGGATATTTCTTCCGTCCAAGGTCGTCGGTACCCCTGGTGGAGGATCCAGCATCGGCTGTCGCCTCCTTCGACATGTAGAACTCGGGTAATGGTGGGGGCGGAATGCTCATGTAGGTGTTATGTGGTGGGATCGCCATATTTCTGAATGAATGACTGCGACATCGAGTTTGTCCTGGTGAGGGAAGAGGTGGTGTCGTGTGAGCTGAGGAGGAAGTCGAACTTCAGAACGGCGATGATGTCGCGGTCGGAAGTGGCAGGTGTGCGTGCTTGGCTGGGCGACAAAAGTGGAAGGCGCGTTTGTGATGGACACAAATGAAGCTGTTCATTGAGTTGAGTTGCTTTGATTGCGCGATTTCGCAGGCGCATTGGCCGCTCGCTAAGCATTCATTTTAGGTTGCCAAGACTCACCTGAAGTGAATGAATTCGTCGCGTTGTCACATGCTCCAAGCAAACTGGCTTTCCTCTCACCTTCACACTTTCACGCATCTCCTAGTCTTGCAGCACCGCGGTAACACCTCACCTCTACGTGGACATCGCGATTGAAAGGACGTAGCCCACCTTTAAGCCATGTTGACCAGTCCTCCGTATGCAAAGTCTCACACATGCCCGATTTCCATTGCTTCCACTTCATTTCATTCACTCTCCTATCACGTACGTGCAGCCTTCTTTACCCATCCATACCTCATGTCGCCGTCCTGCATCAACATCTACCCTCGCCCCTGCGCCAAACGTCTCTTTCGTAGGTTTTGCATCGTCTGGATACGTTATCGTAAGCTCGCCACGAAGAATGAGATGTGTCGTCAAGCCAGAGTGCTTGTGGGGTGGATAGTAGGCGTTTCTTGGAGGACCGATCAGCGTGCGTCGATGGCGCAGTGACATTGGGCGGACATACGGTCCATCAGTCCAGGTGAAGATATGCAAGAAGCCCCACGAGGCGACGTCGCGCTCAGCATCTGCACGAGACTTCATGGCTCTACGCGTCGTTCAGTCGGCAGGAGACGCTGCGGTCATCGAGAGAATGTGTCCGCGGAAGAGAAGACGTGCAGTCAGTCAGTCAGTCAGTCAGGAGCTCGGCTGCATGCTCGCGTCATCACAGCCACCCACGTTTCTTCGCATTCGTATGGGCTTCTTCAGGTGCGTCGCGACGATAACCATTCAGGCTGCGCAGCAAGTGGTGCTCTCCAGGCACAACCATTCTTGTAGGCGTGCCATCGCGTAGTATTTGCGCTCCGTCGGCCAAACAATGGCTTCAGCTGCGCCGCGGCGGTGAGCTTCAGCTGGGCTGTGCCTTTGTACGCTCGCTGATCACAGCAAAACGTGGTTGCTGCTTCTTCTGCTGCTTCTTTCATAAATCGAAGTACCTGGTAACCTTCATTGCGGTCGCCTCCCTCATGCTTTTCGCAGCTGACGACACCCACCATGGACACCAAGCCCGGCCTCACTGACCGCGTCAAGCACTACGCCAAGCAGGCTTTCGAACAGGACCCGAAGGGCTATCAATCATTCGAAAAGTATCTCGAGAACCTTCAAAAGCCGGAGTCTTCAGCTGCACTGCCGTTAGAGGCAGACACCAGCCACCCGTTGGCCCATTACTTCATCTCCAGTTCCCACAACACGTATCTGTCGGGGAACCAGCTCTGGGGCAAGTCCACGGCCGATTCCTACAAGAATGTCCTCAAACGCGCATGTCGGTGCATAGAGATCGATCTCTGGGATGGGGGATCCCCGTCATCTTCAGAAGCTGAGGAGGCTAGCAATACCGAGGACCGCGATGTGAAGAACCTTGGTGGCCTTCTCAAAAAGGGCCTCAGTCGTCTACGATCTCGTTCCAATCCACAGAGAGCAGACACCGATCTTGCTACTGCGGATGATAAGCTTATGCCCACCCCTTGGCGCACCAATTCGAGCAGAGACGAACCAGTTGTGTATCATGGCTACACCGCAACCAAGGAGATGCCATTTCGCAAGGTGTGCGAGGCAGTCCGCGACTACGCCTTTAGCAGGAGCGACCTACCTTTGATCGTGTCCCTTGAGGTCCACTGCCATCCCCCGCAGCAGGAGATCGTTGTCGAGCTCATCAACGACTATTGGGGTGCTTACCTCCAACGCATGCCGAAGGATTTCTCGGATTCGACGCCAATGCCAACGTTAGAGAGCCTGAAGAACACCATCTTGGTGAAGGTGAAGTACTCAACACCCGAGAAAGCCAAAGCCAAAGCCGATCCCAACAAGTCGCCTTCAAAGAATGGCAACGATAAAGACTCTAGTGGAGACGAAGATGCTGCCGAGGCAGTGAAGAAAGGCAAGATCATCGAAAGTCTGAGCAACTTGGGCGTCTTCACGCGTGCGTTCCACTTTGACAGCTTTGATCAAGAAGCCGCAGCGATCCCCACGCACGTATTCTCGTTGGGCGAAAGCAAGCTGCTAGAGGCTTGCGAGAAGCAACCGAAGAAGCTCTTTGAGCATAACTTACATCACTTGATGCGAGCGTACCCCAAGGGTAGCCGACTTCGATCATCGAACCTCGATCCGGTGCCATTCTGGCGTTTTGGCATCCAAATGGTAAGAAGGATACTTTTTCGAAGATTCTTCACGTATACTGACTGCTCCCAGGTTGCCTTGAACTTCCAAACGGTGCGAAGATATATATTCAAGTCCAGACAAAGGCATACAGAGGCTGACCATAGGTACAGATGAACGCTGCAATGATGCTCAATGCAGCACAATTTGAGGGCACGGGAGGATGGGTTCTCAAGCCCAAGGGTTATCTGCCAGTCGAAGGCCAGCAGCCAGCCCCGAATCGAATCGCACTAGATGTCAAGGTCAGACTTCTGGCTGCCCAAGGTCTCGGTCGCGAAGATGACATACCAAGCGTATACGTCAAGTGTGAGCTGCACGTCGAGAGCAAAGCCGAGGCGGAGGACGGACAGATCCCTCGCGGTGGGAAGAACAAGGGAGGAGAATACAAAAGGCGCTCGACGTTGCGGCATAGTCGAGACCCTGACTTTGGAGGCGACTGTAAGTCATATGGAGTGTGTGCAGCTTTACGCGAAGCACTGAAAAAACTGACCCACTGTGCCGTAGGTTTGGAGTTTTCTGGAGTGCAGCAAGTGGTCCCTGAATTGAGCTTCCTACGGTAAGTCCTTCTCTTGTGTCAGAATGTCACACACGAGCGAGAACGCAACTCCGATCATTGGCGCATCTCTCGCACCACGACTGCTTACTGCCTCTGTCGGGACCAAGTCAGCAGGGTGTTGCACTATCGTGTCTGCCTTCGACTGGTCCTTGACGCTCGCTCGAGCTTGATCGTGTTTTGCGCAGTGTCGGGATGTTGCCGTGGCATGGCAACACAGCGAAAACGTTAAGGGCCCCATGTGGACTTGTCTACGATCATGTAGCGCTCAGAGACCTGAAGTCAAAGCACAGCGTCTCCCGGCCATGTGGATGCCGGCGCTCGTGCCCGGCACTAGTCGAGCCCGAGTACACCGCTGCCGACATTGGATTGAGCACCTTGAGTCGCACGGCATGGGACAATCCTGGGGATCGCAGTCTTCCGCAAAGCCATATTGCGCTAAAGTTCGATTACGGTCTGGGGCACGTGCGCTGACTTTTTCTGCTAGATTCAAAGTGATGGACGATGCCTTGGCGCAAAAAGATCGCTTGCTTGGATGGGCTGCTTATCGAATCGATCGGTTGCCGCGAGGCCAAGTCCTCGTTCATCTTCGGGGAGAAGATTCCAAGGTCAATGGCGGCAAGCTGCTTCTGGATATACAAGTCAAAACTGCCTGAGTCCGAAACAGGGCGATCTCGCAAAGAGATCCATTAGATCTCACTTCCTGGTGAATCCTGCATCAACATGGGGCGGGCGAGATCGCAGCCGAACATCGATACTGGCCACCGCTGTCGATCTGCGCTGGATCAGGCCCCGTGTAAAATGGCGGTGGGTCTCGGTACGGCATCGGCATCTCCTCTGATTTAACTTGAGAGCTTGAAATGGAGAACCCTATTCGGAAAATAGCGTCATTCGACACAGTCTCTTGGGAATCCCATGTGACTTGAAGGGTTTCATGCCGTGCGTATGGAGCAACACCGAAGTTGGGAAAGCGTATTTCGCTGGAGCAAGATGTTATGATCTTGTTACTTTTCCTGACCGAAACGCAGGTTGCACCAAAACGGAGGTGATGTGGGCGCTTGTGTTGCCGTTCAGGAGACGGGTCCGATTGCTTCTCACTTGGAATGCGCGTTCGCAGATCACTCTCGGTGGTCGTTGCTTGGAGTTACACGAGAGAAGCGCTGAGACCGCGATTTGGACCTGTCAGGTGGTGGTCAGGACTCAGCGCAGGTTACCCAGACTCCCCACACCAGCGGCTGCCAGCGATAAGTGAGCCGGGCATGAGCATCATGCGACTAGCAATTATTGAGATAACGAGTCAGACTGGGATGAGCATCTGTACAAGGATCAGCCTGATCACACGCTCTGTCCACGAGTGGGCGCAGCGTCTGCGTCGTCATCATCGACCTTTTCCTCAGAAGAGATGGTGAGCAGAGATATAGGTTCACCTTCCACCCTTCCGAGCAGGCTGGCAGGGATCATGCGTTCGCCCGTCGAGGATCTGCCAGCCGAAAGCGCTACCACAGCCACTACTGCAGAAGCAACTCGGGCAGTAAATTCATACCAGTCGCAAACCTCGCTGCGCTCGTATCAGAATGCACCCGCGCACATACTCAGGAGATCATACTTGTTGCTTGATATGTCACGAACCGCACGCTGTGCCCGCTTGTGATCAGAAATGACCAACGGCAGTCATGGACGGATCCCGGCGTGCTCACCCCTGTTTACGTGGAACCGCGATGACCATGATCGCGCCCATGATGTTTTGCAATGGCTCTGGCTTTCCCTCTCAGCGACGGGACCCAGCAGCAAGTGCGCACGGCAGCACGGCATGATATGGCACGACCCGCCCTCGAGCACACCGATTTGGCAAGCTGCTGCCATCTTCCGCTGTCAAATCCTCATGATCCTTCAATTGAGTTTGATTCTCGGGCAGCGTTTTCGTCGGGACCTGAAGTCCAGATGACCTGGCCCCGAGAGAATTTGCGCCCTGATAACATGTCGTAACTTCTCACTTCGGAAACCCACCTCAACCCCATGTTCCATATCGCCGTCATCTTTGGACGGTCGGTCACTTGCATCAGCAGATGCAGACCCCCGGCTGGACTTTTCGTTCGTGCTAGCGTAACAGTCTAACAAGAGACGTGAACCAGGTAGCGGTCTCAAGCACAGTACGAATCCTAACAATGATATCCAGGTCACTGCATATTAGCTCTCTCACAGCCCTGCTTGCCCCCGGGAGGACACAGCAGTAGTATCGGCCACGAACCGCCCCAATGCCTGCCCACCGCTACCTGGTCGTAGAAACATCAGTCCAACTCACAGGGTAGGGTATAAAGACTCGTCCGCCACATGGCTCATGGCAGAATCGCCACAAACTTCTGTCATTTCCGCCCGCCATAATTTCCTCAGCCTACGCTTTCTTTTGCGAAAAGATCAAACTCTCAAGCACAACTCCTTCCACAGCTCACTACTCATCAACCAACACACCACACTCCACCCTCGAAGATGTCGTACAGCCCCGAGCAACACGCAATCCTGCTCAGTCTGGGTATCGAGCAGCTGCCCGCTGTGCTGTGCTCGCCTCAAGACGATGAGGTCGAGCTCGAGCTGGCACAGACATTCACAGACACCCCGCCGATCCGGAGAATGCCAGTGCGTTGTGGACAGTGTTGAGCGACTTGATGACCTACTAACTTTCGTCAACAGGTACCAGGCAAGCGGTGTCCCGACTGTCTGAACCGTGGGCAGGTAGTCTGGGTCATTCCTGGCAAGAAGTGCCAGAAGTGCGGCAGAGAAGTCAACTGAGCGCCAATACCACCCCTACACGACACGCCGACCGATCTCCAACGGTCACACCAGATCGATATACGCCTGCCTCGATGTAGCAAAAGCAAAGTATCGGCGAAAAATGATCCCACATGACTAGAAGCACGGCCTTCTGCTTTCCTTCCCCAGGGCGCCGGGCCTTCTTTCGCAAAGAGATGGCATGACGTCCAAAAAGTTTTTGTATGGGTAGCCGGGAGGGACATCAGCAAGCGACACATCATCAACAGCTGGATTCTGTTTCACGCGAGTAGCAAGCGTAATCCTGTAGTATATGCATGGAAACGAGAAATATTACACATGGCCTGACATGTGGTTGGGCTCAAGGATACCAACGTTGGTGTGCACTTTCTTTTATCTCTGTTGTCCAGTCAGAGTTCAAGCTTCGCCGCAGGAGAGTGATCGAGGGAAGTGATCGAGCATAGTCCTGCAGATTTGTGGCTTCGGAAGGACCGCGCCGTCCATTTGCACAGGGATCACTCTGCCCTCCATCCTCACAGCCGTGTGTAGCGAGCAGGTAGCGAGCGCCGGGAGAGACGCTGGAAGGCCTCTGATTCGGCACTACTGAGTCGTGGTCGAGCTGCGCGTCACTGCCGAGCTGGAAGCATGGGACGGGCATTGAACCTGCAATGATCCTGGACGTGATCGGTAAGCCGCATGGCACTTCGATCAAGTGACTCGTCTCTCTCTGTTGACGTCTGGCGGAGCGATCGCTTCTGGGTGATAAGTGGGCACGTTGCTTTGTGAACCTTGCTCAGAGTCACCAGAAGCCGACAGGCTGCAGCTTTTGATCAGATTCGCCCAATGCTCTCCTGTTGATGTTGTTTCGCGGGAGTCCAGTCGTAATCACCGCGCGCAGCACATCGTACTCGTTGCAAACGACGACAACTTCGTACAGTGAGAGTGCATTGCCGCCCAAGCGTTTCAAATGTGACGCCCGTATAACGGAGTGCCTTCTTCCGTGCTCCTTTGCCGAGTCGGCGAGTCAATCCAACGACTGGTCCCGAGTATCCAACAGTCCGGTTGCTGTCAGCCGGCACCGTGCAGTAGAGCCGGCGGTGAGAGGGTGTACTGTGTCCGCGCGTAAAAATGAAGATTTGCAAAGGAGGTTGGGCAGCATTCACCGAGAGACGTTCAACTTAGCCTAAACTCTAAATCACTGTCACATGACTGCCAACGCAGCTCAAGGGCAATCCACCAACACAATGAACGTCAAGATAGAGGTTTGAAATGTACAATTTGATTGAGAAGTTAACATATCATCAACTCCATCACCGATACTCGTCCTCTTCCACGACGCCGCCGAAAAGATCATGCCGAAGATAGCCACCGACCCAGAGCAAGTCACGAAGGAGGAAGCGAACTTGCTTCACAGCCGTGAGCAGCTTGCCTTTGGAAACACCGGCAAAGGCGGAGTCGCATTGCAAGCACAGAGCTTGACTGCTGAGAACAAGAAAAAGGTACCGTCTGATGTTTTCCGTGGGGTCTGGTGATTCATGATCAATACCTGAGTATTTGCATGGTAATGGCGTGAGCGAATGAGCATTAGAGCACGACATGTACCCATAGAAGTAAGTACGTGTAGCCTCTGGATCTCTCACGGATAGGCAAGTTGAAGTATCAATCCTCACTTGCAACAGACGAATAGTCGAGGTGAGTAGTTCGATCTTCAAAAATGGGCTCATAGTCAACCAGATTCATGCCATGTCCGGTCTTGATGCGGACGAGTGGATCATCGCGCAAATCAGGCATCCTGGGGGTATGACGAAGGAGATATCTCTTCATCCAAGTCTCATACACTCGATCACAATCCGTGCTGTAGCTGAGGAAGCAGACATTCGTTTCGTCGTCGAGTTCCTCCTGTGGTAGACCAGGGCCATAATGCCAAAGTCCCTGAATGTAGACGTGATCCAATTGGAGCGCCCCGGGAATGCCTTCTAGCAGTAACGGTACGTCTTGCACAAACATATGTCGAAGTTCAAGAGACTTCAACGTGCTTGCATGAAGCTTCAAGAAGGGAAGCAACTTGCATGATGGAATGTTGACCTTGAGCGCCAGATGCTCAATCTTGGGCCATACCACAGTGTTCTGCGAGAAGAAGCCGATCTGATCCGTGTAGAGACGATTGCCCCCTGGCCAGTTTCCGCTGAAGTCCTCAAGGTACTCGAACCAGAAGCGAAGAGAGCGTAACTGCTTGGCCACGTAGAGGAATTCTGAGAAGTCCGCCAGAATCCCACCGAAGTGCTCCCAGTCAAAAGGCGCCTCGACGTACAAAGACAGATCTGTTAGGTTTGCGAATGCAGTCCGTATCTTCGGCTTGACTGCATTGCTGTAACACAATGGCACAGGCTGAGCCCAGCCGTCGTGACCGAGGGGCCTCATGAAGTAGAAGTTCTTGCAGACCAGCTGGAGCTGCAACTTGGTGATAGGTCGCAGTCCGCGAGATACGCGTTCACCCATGGCCTCAAGCAATGCAAGTGCTGCTCGTGCATCTACACCGCTATCGAGGGAGTCAACGAGAATGAACGGTTGCGCATGGTTGCGCTTCTTCCATTGGTCTGGGCCAACGAGGCAGCGCTCTGTAAGTCTTCTCCAAATCGGCCACTAGTTCGCATCGATATTTCCAGCGGTCGTCCGAATGGCGCTGACTTCTGTTAGATTTCGAAGGCTAAGAAAACAATCCTGAAACTTCTGGCCTTGTTGTGAATGATCCCAATCTTGCTGCTCCTGCACAAGGTCTTTGTACGCTTGACATTCAGCGTCCACATCGTTCTTGTAATGATACAAGTGGCCAAACCTAGCATCTACTTCCCGCTCCCAATCGGCACGCGTGTATGCTGGCAGCACGTCGCAATAGAATGTGAGTTTCTTGACATGCTTTGCTAGCGACGACGAAGCCAGACACTCTAGTTTCGACAGAGAATGATCGAACAGTCCCATGTAGAAATGCTCAAAAACCAGCGGTGTACTGATGGCATGCCACTTGTTGTTTAGTAGTCGCGATGTTTTGAGCGATGTGAAGTCGCAGCGTTCAGCGATGCATGCCAACAGCTCGTTCGGAAGTTCGTCCATTTGGTGGGTTTAGATGTCACGACTCCTAATTCTTGTCGACGTGCGCGGTCGCGCGATGTTGAGGGCACACAGGAGTCTCTGCCGTCAAGCCTGCCTGGGAAGTTGTATGGTGAAGCGACAAGCCGCATTTTATACTCAGAGAGGGCCAGGCGCCAGTGAAACAGAGTCGAAATAAGGTAGCGGCGGCTAGCAGTTTCAGGCTTGGCGTCGAAACGTTAATTGCAGATTCATTCACTCACCACAGGGTCCATGCGATTGCGAGGGACCGCGCTTTCAAGTACATTTCATACATTGGGCTATCGTTGATGCACGCCCATAACAAGGTCTACCACTATCTTGACAGTGCGATGTCGTCAATCCGCAGTATCATCTTCACCGTCTCGCTCGCCAACTCGAAAGCGCTTGTGCTGACGAGCAGCGGTTGCATGACACCCTCTCCGGCGCCACTCTTCTCCTCTCCTCCCATGACACCCACGCCGCCACGCTTTATGCTGACCCCGACGTTCGCTTCTCCCTTCGCGTGTCTGGCTCGAAGTTCTGTGACGACCTTGATGCTGTTGAGGCCGGCATTCTCTGCCAACGTGACCGGGACGACTTCGAGGGCGTCTGAGAATGCTTTGAAACAAACGCTATCTGGATAGGGCGATGTCAATGCGTCTTGTGACAGTTGAGTCGATACAGCCATCTCTGGAGCGCCACCACCTGGCAGCAGAGCCCTCTTCTTCACCAAGCAGCGTACGACGCACATGGCATCGTGCAAACTGCGCTCGGCTTCGTCGAGAATGAGTGGGTTGGCGCCGCGGGCCACGATCGACACTGTACGTGGGGCGCTCGCATTGGTATGCTTGACCCCGGACACCTTCGTGTAGCGGGACCCCAAGCTCGAAATCTCCTCGACAAGATCCGCAGAGCCCAGCTTGTCCTCCGTGAACGAGTCAATGTCCGCAATGGGTTTGCAGCCAGTCGATTTGCAGATGAACTCGACTTCGTCTCTCTCGACGTCCTTGATGCACATGATGCCAAGCTTGTACAGGAAGTGTAAGCTCAGGTCGTTGACAGCGTCTCTGAGAATGCTCTTCTGGATGAGAAGAACGTTGCACTTCGCCTTCTTGATCTTCTTGACCATGTTCAGAAGGTACGTCCGCTCTTCCTTCAAGATCTTGTCCATCTGTCGATAGTCGTTCACGACGATCTGATTCTCCATGTCTGGCTTCGGTGGGCTGAGCTGGAACTGGATGAGACCAATCTTGGCCTTCTCTATCCGTGTGGGCCCTCCCGCGCTCTTCACTGCTTGCTGGCTGAGAACCAGACCGTCTACCATCTCTGAATCGTCGATAACACCGCCTGCCTTCTTCAGGATCCGTACGTTGCGTAAGTCGACGTTCTGGGCGTTGCTGGGGTTGATGGTTCGCAGCACGGCGTCGACAGCCATGGGTGCGAGCTTCGGTTCTTGCGCTACGATTTTGGAGGATAGAGAGGTAGAGGCGGCTTTGAGGAGAGTTTGTCGATCTGCGAGGTTGATAGGCACGGAGATGTCTTCCAGTATTTGCACAGCACGTGCTGCTGCTCGTTGGAAGCTCTCACTGATGATGGTCGGGTGGATGCCTTTTGCAAGCAGCTTCTCGGATGCTCCCAGCAGGCTACCGGCAATGACAACGACTGAAGTCGTACCGTCTCCAGCCTCGATATCTTGCGCATTTGCCAAATCTACCAGCATCTTTGCGGCGGGATGCATCACGCTCATGTCCTTGAGCATGGTGTTGCCGTCGTTGGTGATGATGGTCTCGCCCTTGCCCGTCTGAATCATCTTGTCCATACCACGGGGACCTAGCGACGTTCTTATGGCATCTGCCACTGCTCGAGCGGCTGTGATGTTGGCTTCTCTGACAGCTTGTGGTTTGGCCTTGTCCTTGAAGGCATTGTTGCCTGCATTTGAAGGCGCTCCTTGCGCCATGTTGCCCGTCTCTTCTCAAATCAGATGCGAGTCGTCTGTTGAAGGTTTGGTGAGCGTGTATCGAGTTGAGATGGAGTTGATTATGTTGGTCGTGCCGATATCTCGTGCTTCAAACGCGGTTGTCGATTTTCTGAAAACGCGCTTGCCTTCTTCGCAGCTCCAGTTGTGCCTGAGGCAGCCCTGCAGCTCCCCGGTCGTCACTCCCGCCGCCTGCTGGCAACACTCACTCGATCATCAACCAACAACTCCAAACACCGTCCATCTCCAACAACAACACTTCGCCGATCTCCAGCCTCACGACTCACCTCAAACATCACCTTTTAGCGACGCGATAACCTCACATCCACTCGGCACGCCGCCGCGAATCTCAACCACCACCTCCGACTTCAGTCGCCATGCCTTCGGCACAGGGCCAGAACTGGGAGAAGTACCAGAAGACCTTCGCCGACGACGAGCAGGAAGAGAAGAAGATCACACCTCTATCAGACGAGTATGCAACGTCTTTTGTGATGATTTCGGCAGCACGTGGCTAACTGCTTGATAGGGACATCCAAGTCCTCAAGACCTACAACTCCGCCCCATATGCATCAGCGCTTAAACAGCTCGAGAAGTCCATCAAGGACAAACAGACTTCAGTCAACGAAAAGATCGGCGTAAAAGAATCAGATACTGGACTTGCGCCGCCTCATCTCTGGGACATTGCAGCAGACAAGCAACGCATGCAGGAAGAGCAGCCTCTACAAGTCGCGCGATGCACCAAAATCATCCCCGATGAGAGGGACACCGAGAAGAGCAAGTATGTCATCAACGTCAAGCAGATCGCCAAGTTTGTGGTCAACTTGGGCGAGCGCGTCAGCCCTACGGACATCGAAGAGGGCATGCGAGTGGGAGTGGACCGAAACAAATACCAGATCATGCTGCCTCTTCCACCCAAGATCGACCCCAGTGTCACAATGATGACAGTTGAAGATAAGCCGGACGTCACATACGGAGATGTCGGAGGTTGCAAAGAGCAGATTGAGAAGCTGCGAGAGGTTGTCGAGATGCCTTTACTTTCACCAGAGCGATTCGTCAACCTCGGTATCGACCCGCCCAAGGGAGCACTACTCTATGGCCCTCCTGGTACAGGAAAGACGCTGTGCGCGAGAGCAGTTGCAAACAGGACAGACGCTACCTTCATTAGAGTCATCGGTTCTGAGCTGGTGCAGAAGTATGTCGGTGAGGGTGCTCGTATGGTTCGCGAGCTCTTCGAGATGGCACGGACAAAGAAGGCTTGTATCATCTTCTTCGACGAGATTGATGCAGTGGGAGGTGCCCGGTTCGACGATGGCGCAGGTGGTGACAACGAAGTCCAGCGGACTATGCTGGAACTCATCACACAGCTTGACGGTTTCGACAGCAGAGGCAACATCAAGGTCATGTTCGCCACAAACAGACCAAGCACTCTGGATCCAGCTCTGATGCGACCCGGACGTATTGACAGGAAGATTGAATTCGCTCTGCCTGACATGGAGGGTCGCGCCAACATCCTCAGAATTCACGCCAAGTCCATGTCAGTTGAGCGCGACATTCGATGGGAGCTGATCTCGCGTCTCTGCCCCAACTCTACAGGTGCTGAATTGCGCTCTGTGGCAACCGAGGCCGGCATGTTCGCCATCCGAGCGAGGAGAAAGGTTGCCAGCGAGAAGGACTTCCTGAGTGCTGTGGAGAAGGTCATTCGTGGTGGACTCAAGTTCAACTCTACCGCTGCGTACGCGCAGTACAACTAGCGGCATGGCTCTCACGATATGCATTTTGCAGCGAGGCGTTTGTTTTACTAGACGGAAAGCTCGTTAGAAGAGCTGTGTATCATACGCATTACCTCGAACAGAGATGGTGCTTCACGTCACGGGGCTTCCACGTTGCACAACCAGACACGTCTGCTCACCGGACGCGATACCCTGCTACCAATCATACAAAATTCTACTTGATATCGCGTTACTTCGGAGTACGGCGACGTCCTACGTGGGCAGGATAATCATTGGTGAGCTGACTGCATGATGGCCTGAGGCACTCCATGCTTCGAAATCAAAGGCCGACCTCACTTCATCCCGCGGCTTGTCACGGGTCAATGCAAGCCTCGTGCCATGGATTTGGACTCTTTCTTCGTTGTCTCGTTGCCAGCTTCCCAGCTTACCTTGCAGCAGTCCCTGCGCCATTCAACTCCTCGTGACCATTTGCGTTGTTCGCACCAGGCAAACACCTGCCGTTCCATCTTCCTTGCCGCGGCATAATGCAAGATACTGCAGCCAGTCTCATGCCCACGCGCCTGGTGGGTTGGCCATCCCCTGTCGCTTGATCGCATATCCCCGTCTACCGGCATGTACTTGCTCCCCCAGGACGACGCCCCGTTGCTCCTTCACGCCTTCAATGGATACATTTGAACATTTGGAATCGGTCCGGTACACGTTCCCCGAGTCACACGAGCGGTCTCTCAGCCAATCCCGGTGGACGTGGTCGAACCAGGCGCTTCAAACGGGTTGTCAACTCCAAGGCGTCCTATCGCGGGCTCTTAGAATACACAGCCTTACCGCTCGGTGCTGCATCCGCCGTGAGCTTATAAGCTGGAGAGCTCATGCTCCCCACCAAACCATCGAGGCATGCGCTTGCTCGAGTGGGCCATCAAATCCCCGTCCAACCCAATCTAATGCACCTGGCCTCCCGGAACGATGTCGCGTGCGTCCGAGACTGCATTGTGCGCTCGTTGACCGGTTGTAGGGAATCGTATGCAGCAGGATGATGCAACTCTCTGGAGCTTGATGCGGTGACGCGGTGCGACAATGCCAGCAATCAAAAGCTGAGCTCTGTCCTCGTCCTCTCCCACGCTGCTCTCTTCTTTTCTCCACGCAACTCCTTGACAACTTGAGAACACGATCTCCATTGAGAATCGGTCAATACTTCGGCACGAACAGCTCCTCATCAACTTCAATTAGCGCGGCGCTTGGTGTGGTCAACTGCTTTCACGACTGTCAACGAGGACAGCCAACCAATAACGAGATACCCAACTGTACACTACTGAGTAAGTTGAACATCGTCTCCGCAATGTTCATCAGACCCACAGTCTGGCTTTCAACAGCCTTTCTTGCCCGCTACTCTGCAGTACCACCATCATGCTAGTCACTGTACACCACCGCTCAACGACAACACTACAGATCTGGCTGATCTCTCACAGGTGTTAATGGACCGAGACGAAAACACGAATCACGACAGGCTCATCAACAATCATAATGAATTCGACAGACAGTATGAAAACCTTACGCCAGACATGCCAGCCACGGTTGACCGCCGTGCGCCTCAACTCAATGAGGCCAACGACAGCTCCCACTGCAGCTGTCCCTGCGCTCGCGGTGCTGCCAACGGCGATGGCAACGAAGCCGGGGGAGATGTGGGCGCCGCCATGGACTTGAACCGCACCCTGAACGGCGAATACGAGGTTGCCGCCAGCGACACTTCGTCCGACTATGGCGACGAAGCCACGAAACACGACGAAGGCGTCGAAGAGCACCTCATCGAAGTGGGCGACTTCGGCCTCATTCCCCTCAATCAAATCATGCGCTCCTTGGCCCAGCACCACCGCTGCACCTGCCACCACGGAATCGGCATCGGCATCCTCCCCCACGAAGATGACTACCCCTACACCACCTTCAACTCACCCGCCGCATCTGGCCTCCTCACGCCAGGGGATTCCGCCTCCATGATCGTCGAAGCCAGCAGCGGCAGCAGCAGCGATCAGAGCATGGCCTCTTCGCAGGTCTTGAGCATCTCCTCGCGCGGGTCATCTCTGCTCGAGGCTATGGGAGGAGCGTTTGCTCCGGTCCCCATTTTCCGGCCTCTGTCTTTAACGCCTGAGTTTCCGATCATGTATCGCATTGACATCGACATCTCGGAGGTGGACTTTACCGAGTTTGACATGTGGTAGGGTAATGGCAGAGCCCGAACCTTACTACAGCAGCCTGCTGTGAGATGATTTACCGGACGACCAACTTCTCCTTTGTTTGGAGTGGATGATGGCTTATGATGATAACGACTCTTCTTCTTTGGCGTTTGGGTCTTCGGTAAAGGATCTTCAAGCTCGCGAGGCTATGTTGCACGTGGCGAGGGTGTCTCTATAATTCGAGACGTTAACTTATGATACCCGATGACCTTCATCACGATAATGGGCAACAAAGGCGCGCACGGAATGGGTTGTGTTGTATTCTTACACATGTAGTAGCTATCTACAATTCTCTTTACCACAGTACCATTACGCCCGACGCCTCGCTAAACTTCCATCTTTATCTGTACATTTCAATCATCAACAATGTCGTCGTCCTCGAGCACGAGCTTATCAACACGAGGCTCTACGGGTATGGAAACGGCTTCGAAGACTGCGTTTTGCTTGCTCGGGATCCGCTGTTTCTTCGGACTGGTCGAGACTGTTCCAGCCTCAGCGTCTGGTCGATCAGTAGACCACTGCTCAACATTGGCACCGGGTTCCTGACTTTCTTCTGGTTCAGTCTCTTCATCATCCGGTATGACGGCACCGGAGATGCGTGTGACCTCGAGCAGTCGATCCACCATATTCCTCGAAGCTCTTGAAGGCTTTGACGAGCCCAAAATGTGCGTCATGTACGGCAATCGATCCATGAGGAGCTCGTTCTTCGCTTCGGTCGATAGTTGAGGTTGAATCGGGTCCTCGGCTCCATCTGTCGACTGTGCCGTTGACTTGAAGTTGCTGTTTTGTTTCCAACTTTCTACCCCAGAACCCGAAACCGACGATCCGCCTGAAGGTTTTGTTCCTCCTGTCTCGCCAGCCTGTGATATCTGGCCTGCCAAGAGACCTATCTTGCCCTCGATTTCCTCCTTTTTTCTCCAGAGTCGTAGTGACGTTGGATAGAACATCTGGTGTGCATCTCGACGATTGCCGCTGACAGCGGTGCTTCGATGAACAGGATGAGGCAGGCTGAACAACATTCCTCTCACAGCGACTTGGAAGCACATCTCATCTTGCCGCAGGCTGTCAGTAGTTGATCCGGAGAACGCGCGAGTGCCGAATGAGAAGCGATCTAGTGACAAGAGGTCTGAATCCGAGAGATTCTCCATGCAGCCTAGTAGGCTGTCAAGTGTCTCTTCCGCTCCTGAGCAAGAACATGACAGCGCATAGTTCTCATGCAGAGCCGCAAGAAAAGTCTGAGTGTCGGTCCCCAGCTCATCAATGAGGGTATCTGCATCCGTCTCTGCGACTTTGCTGCGGCGATGTTGAGGAAGCCAAGCAGGAGGTTGAGCAACGCTCGGACCCTCTAAGCGTTTGTTGTAGACGACCTTGCCAACCGAATGGAATATGCCAAGGCTGCTCTCGCGGTTGGAGATCAGCTTCAGAGCCTCCTCCTCAGCCTTCGTCATGGGTGCTTGTGTCTTCGATTGCTTCGTTTTGGTGAAGGCCACTTTGCTTGACCAAGTATCTCCATTATCCCCACGCAAGCATATGAACTCCAGTGAGGACACGGCACTTCGGATATCACCAGTCTCGGCCAAGTGTTTCAAGACTTGTGGACCTGGAGTCCTTCGTCTCCCTGATTTGCGCGCCTCCTTGACTACAATGGTCTCGAGAGCTTTGATCAAGAATGTAGGCGCGACGGCATTGAACTCGATCACATTCACGTATGGATTCGTGATGAGTTCAGGTCCAAGCAGACGGTGAGCAGTGAAGCTGTCTGCGGCTGCCGTATTGGTCGATAGTAGAGTCTCTGAGATGATCATGACAACCGGAGTCGGCACCGATTCGTTTGCTAGCGGCGATGCTACATATTGCGATATCGTCGATCGGAAAGACTGCAGAGTGCTGGACGTTCTCGAAAACGTGTTCGGAAACTCCTCTATAAGTAACACCTGCGGGCTTTGTGTCGACTTTTCATTAGGTCCAGCAGGGCGATGGTCGACGCCCGAGGATTTTGCTTCTGAATTGGCAGACAATACAAGGCTACCAGATGCTCCTGCTCGGCCCACGAGTTCCTCAAAGCGAGAGGCCGTCGATGTGAAAGACTCGGAGCTCGCTTCTAAACCGGATGTGTCTTTCCACTCCACAACTTCCAGACCCAGATCCTTCGCAAGCAGCTGAACAGTCGTAGTCTTGCCGGTGCCGGCAGCGCCTTTCAATACCAGGACCTTCTGCCGCTTCCCTCGCAAAGTCGCCTCCAGCCAGTTCCGGACGTCCGCTACTTTTCGCTTATGAACAGCCAGCTCGGACAGGTCATTTGGTGCAAATTGATCGGTCCACGGTCGTTTATCGCTGTTCAATACGGTCAGAGATGGTACTCGATCCCCACTGCTGGTTTTCCGGAACTTCTGTGATGCAGCAGGAGCCAGACTGGCATTATGATCGGAAGTCTGCGTCTTTGGAAACTTTCGTTTTCGCATCGCAAGTGCCGTGCTGGATCCCTTGGACAGAGGAGTCGTCGATTCATCATGGTGGCTGTTCTCCCCGTCCGTATCATCGTGGATGGCCTCTACATCTTCATGTAGAGTGAACAGTTTCTCCGGGCTAGCAGAAGGCTGAGATGTTTGCTGCCGCTGGGTCGCATTGTTGAAGAAGGAGTAAATGGGCTTTGCCGCAGGCTTTGGCAGCTCTTTGGTGCTGTTCTTGACCTTTGGCTTTGACTTTTGAGGCGAATCTTGGGCAGCAGTACTTCTCGAGGATCCAGAAGCTTTCGTTTGCCCTTTTCTGACAGACTTGAGCTTGCCTGTGGACCGTTTCTGAGGTTTCGGAGAGTCTTGCTCGATTTCCTCCGGGTGAGTCTCGTTCTCGTTCTCGTCCTCATCGTCGGAGATGGTAGCCACCTTGCGCCTCGATGCTCGCGGACCCATGCCGCCTTGGTGGCTGCGTCGAATGGACAAGCTCTATCTTCATGGATGACTTCCGGCCAGATGTTGTTGGGAGATTGTGACTTCAAGACCATTGCCTCGACGGGATGAGGTCCGGCGGGTGCCTTCGATCAGAGTCACGTGATAGCGTGTCAGAACGGCCCGCCAGTCGCGTCCCAATCTCTTGTCGTCATCATCTGTCGCCCAACTTTCAATGTTCGATTTGAACATGAACGTACACCTCCACAATGCTGACATTAGAGCCCGATTGAGGCAATGTCGAAGAGGAACCGCACCCTTGACAGCTTCTTTGGCGCACCTGCAAGCAAGAAGCTGAAGCCTGAAGAAGTCGTCACGAATAAAGGCGAAGAAGAAGAGGCAACTCACCTCTCGAACGAGGTCTCCAGTCACTCTACGTACCCATTCCCGCTGCCAGATCTGCCGCCAGATATTCGCGAAACGTTGAACTTTGTGCCGGCCTCGGATGGGCAAACGATCAATGACCGCCCAGATTTGGATCTCCTCTACTTCCAGCCGTACATTCCCAAGGAGATCGTTCGGGAGCTCTATGAATTCTTCAGGCGCGAGTTGTTCTTCTACCGAGTAAAGTACACAATAAAACGTGGACCGACAGAGACACAAATCAACACGCCTCGGTTCACGACTGTCTTTGGCCTGGACGAGACCGCGCGCTTCGATGAGAATGGCACAGTCATAGACGCTGCCAATGGGACACCTTTGCCGAAGGGTAGTTACAAGTGCAATCCACGACCGATCCCACGATGCTTAGAAGTGCTCAGAGAACTCACACAGAACGCAACGGGCTGTACGTTCAACTTCGCGCTGGTCAACTACTATTCGAGCGGTAACGACAGCATCTCATACCACAGCGACGATGAACGTTTTCTAGGTGTCGATCCGGCCATTGCGTCGTTCTCGCTAGGTGCGAAAAGAGACTTCCTTCTCAAACATAAACCCACGCCGGGCAAGCATGAATCTGAAAGCAAACCCATGAAGTTCACGTTGGCTTCGGGAGATATGGTCTTGATGAGAGGCAAAACACAAAGCAATTGGCTGCACAGTATTCCGAAGAGGAAGGGGGGTGATGCTGACAAAGGAAGAATCAACATCACACTTAGAAGAGCTATGGTAAAAGGAGGCACAGAGAACTACTATAGGTACAATGTTGGCGAAGGCGAGGTGTACAAATGGCATCCAGAGAAGCGCGAGATGATGCCCTGGACGCCTTGATGAGACAAGGCTCTGGACTTCGACATATGTTATTTTGGTCATAGCGCCAATTCCCACCAGCATACTCCGCGAGCGATACGAACCCCAGGTCATGAGGACTATTTGTTTGAGATGTGCATGCGGCACCATTGCTAAAGCCATCGAATCCAGGCGCCACTTTGTTGTTGGACATCCCGCTCATGAACGACGTACGAACCGTTCGTCGCTCTACTATGAGACTGACACCTCCCTGATCAAGCTAGAAGCTACCACCCTCACTACACACCGTTGCCAGCATCATCATATGCCACTTGCCACTTTCCTAATGCAGAGACATTCCAACCCTCCACAATCTGGACTGATGAAGTAGCGGATAACCAGGTTGAAGCGGCCTTCTGAACAGAGGCAAGATTTGTTCTGACACAGCTGATCTCCACTGATGTTGAGTCCTCTCGAATCGCGGCGCGGAGAATGTGGCGGGCAGACAATCTGCAGGTGGCTGGGATGTTCGATTGATTCGAACGAGGTTGCCAAATTGATGCTCTCCGCAGACACCATACCGGATTCGGAAGGCACGAAGAGTTTGGCTATCTTGATGAAGTGTCTTGATGCACTTCAAGCTCAGAGCTACTGCAATCTTGTTCCTGAGCTATTGTCTTGGTCGGCTAGAGCTCGAAGTCATTTTCCCTTTATCTTGCACCAGGCGGTTCGTTCTCCTCTTTCACCACACCCTTTTGGGCAAGGCCACCGCCATCTGCAGCGATAACTCACAGACACTCAAGAACGCTACCACTATCCAAGTCCTGCGACTGGTGCAAACCATCTCGCGTGTTTGCACGCGACCACCCTGCGAGCAGTCAGATGGCCAAACCCACCCGTACAACATCGTCATTGGCGTTGTACGACCGTCATCTTGCCAATTCTTGGGCGTTCTCGTGCCATGGAGCATACCTCTTTATGGAAGGAGACATGCAGGTCCTTTTTGCAATCGATAAAGCTGTGGGTATAGTGGGAACGAGACATACTTGAAAAGCTGGGTCCCCGATACTGGCGTCGAGCAGCTGCTTAGCTTCGTTCATACCACGGTGGGTAAGATGTTGTTGAGTTCTCTCTTCGTTGCTGGGGCCTTTTTGGCATCCTCGTCTGCTTCGCCGGTCACCAACCCACTCATCGTTCATGAAAAAAGAAGCAACATTCCGCATGGATGGGTTAAGCGATACAGCGTGGATGGAGGTGCCATTCTGCCAATGCGCATTGCTCTTACGCAGAGCAATCTGGACCAAGCACACGAGTGGTTGATGGAAGTTTCCAGCCCAGACTCTTTGGGATATGGCAAGCATTGGAGTGCCGACAAGATTGCCAATGCTTTCGCGCCAAGGTAATATTTTCACACATGCAAGACATACACTTGTCTTGGCTCACCACAAGTATAGCGAAGAACACGTCCATGCGGTCAAGACCTGGCTTTTATCGGCAGGCATTACTACAGAACGCATTGCAAAGTCACGGAGCATGGGATGGTTGACCTTTGATGCCACAATCGACGAGGCTGAGAAGCTGCTGGATACCAAGTACCATGTTTACGAACATGAAGAGACCGGACAGCCACACATTGCTTGTGAAGAGTACAAGATCCCAGCGTCGTTGAAAGACAAGATCGATTTCGTCTATCCTTCTGTGCACTTCGATGTAAAGCTGAAAATCCGACAAGAATCCGATAGCCAGCTAGAAAATAGGAAGTTTGGCCCAGGCCATTGGCAGCCATGGAACCCCAAGAATCCTGGCGGAGGTTCTCTTCCTAAGTGGAATCACTGGTGGCTGCCACATTCCAGTCAGTAGATTTCCAATCTCGATGCAGACTGAGCATTGCGACTGACACTGACGCTCCCAGGCATCATCAAGGATCTCCAAAACTGTGATCAGCAGATAACTCCATGGTGCTTGCGCTATCTCTACAAGTTCGGACCCGGAAACTCCAAGAACCCCAAGAACAGCTACGGCATCGTCGAGTACACGCCCCAGGCGTATGTACCTTCCGATTTGGACCTGTTCTTCAAGAACTTCAGCACGAAGCAAGTCGGCGCACGTCCTACCCTTCAATCGATAGATGGCGGCTATTCCCAGCAGTCGCAAATGTCGTTCAACTACAATGGCGAATCTGATCTTGATCTCGAGTATGCTATGTCCCTAGTGTACCCCCAGAGCGTTACACTCTACCAAGTACGAAAAGCTTCCAGGCAGCCTTCGACAAACCCTTGCTAATGCTAGGCAGGTCGGCGATAATACCGAAGGTGCTTCATTCAACGACTTCCTCGATGCGCTTGACAGCAGCTACTGCGCAGGAGATGATCCAACCCAAGACGCCGCCTATCCTGATCCATACTGCCCCACTCAATCTCAGGTATGTTTCACAAGCTTGAGGCTCTCCTTTTCGAAGGCCCTCCAACATATTCGCTGACAGTGCCTCAGGACTGCTACAAGGGACCAAAGGATTGCGGTGGCTTTGCAGCGACAAAAGTCATTAGCACGAGCTATGCTTACAACGAGCATGACTTGACGCCCGCATATGAGCAGCGGCAGTGCAATGAGTACAGTGAGTTCACCATGCGACAGTCAATCTTCTGCAGACAGAGGCTAATCGCGTGCTCTTCTTTAGTGAAACTGGGCCTCATGGGTGTCTCTGTCCTTTACAGCAGTGGCGACTATGGCGTGGCTGGTAATGGTGGACAGTGCATCGATGGCGCAGGACCAGATGCGCCATATATTAACGGTACATTGGGTGGAAGATTCAACCCATCGTTCCCAGGCACCTGTCCATACATTACAAGCGTGGGCGCCACCCAGATCAAGCCGGGAACCAACATAGTGACGTCGAGGACCCAGCCAGAGCAAGCCTGCGAGACAGTCATTTATTCCGGGGGCGGTTTCAGCAATGTGTTCAGCCTCCCAAGCTATCAAGCAAACGCAGTACAAACCTGGTTCAGGGAGCACCCTCCGCCCTACGGATCCGACAAGTTCAACAACTCGCAGAAGACACGAGGCTTCCCTGACATCTCAGCCAACGGAGCGAACTATGTCGTAGCTGTGGATGGCAACTTTACTCTGGTCTACGGCACTTCTGCCTCTTCACCAACGCTTGGGTCCATCTTGACCCTGATCAATGAGGCGAGGTATAATGCTGGAAAGAGCTCCATTGGCTTCATCAATCCTGTGGCGTACGCCCATCCGGAGGCGTTCAACGACATCACGGAGGGAGGCAACCAGGGGTGTAACACTCCTGGGTTCTCGGCGGCGACAGGATGGGATCCAGTGACTGGATTGGGGACACCGAATTTCCCTCGTCTGAGAGATGTCTTTCTTAGGATGTGATGGCCCGTCGGAAAGAGCACGTGAGAGAGACATTACGAGACACGACTGGCACTTACAGAGTGCACATTTTGGCGAGGCCGTCAGTCAGTGTGGACTTTCTGCTAACGAAATGATGAAGCGAATCAATGAACGAGGATCTAGCGATCGTTGACAAAGATAATTGCAACATCAAAGTCAATGCCTACCTCCTACGAGTGACCAAGATGTATCGCTGCGAGGTGAGCAATGGCCGAAGTAATCTCCATCGACCCCAATGTCCTTGGACTTTGGCCGTACCAATTGCGCAAAGCAGCCTCGTTCAGTTTTGACTGGAGACTGCATCCTTGCCAAACTCCCCCGTATAACACATTGATTAATGACGTCGCGGTTTGTGCGGTCAAGCTCGCATTGACGAGCAGTGGAGCTTCAGATCTATTGCATGGACCTCAGAGAGGTTTGAGAGATGGTCGTACGAGATGGCGGAACCATTGGTCTTTTCGTCTGCACAGACCGGTATCGACGAGCCGGTGGTCTGTCGTGCCAATGGCTATATGTTTTTGATGTGGATTCCGTTCGTGATTGGTGCAATACCTCGGACAATGTTCCATTCGAATGGCAATGCCTCACGCTGGCATTGTTGCCGCTACAAATTTAGAAGAAGTACGCGGCGGCCAAGCAGACCCAGTGCTCGTGACGCGGCCTTGGCGCGGCAACCACGTGCCTCTCCCCTTCGGCAGCGTCGTAGCCGAGGGGGAAATTCTAATTCGACGTCGCCTTTCACCGTCACCTTTGACACGTAGCCTACGCTTTCACACGGATACGCGCTTCAGTCTTGGAGGAGCACTCAGGGGAGCTTGGCCATTGTTTGCCGTTGCTGTGTCTGGCGCTTCGTCGTCTGGCGGGTGGGTGCGAGTGGCACGGCCGGTTTCACCCTTGCGCGTCTCCAGAAGCATCTGCGTTTCACCACGATTTCATCTCAACAAGGCTGCAGCAACCCACGATCCAGCGGTGCAGTGTGCTCAGCTTATGTGAGTCTGCGAGGTTGTGATGGCTGCTGCATTCGAGACGGTGGTCGGCTTGGCCTGGCCGTCGTCCATTCCAGTGGTTGCTTGCGGCTGCTGGGAGTAACACGAGATGACGAAGCCGGTCCACTCCCGGCGTGAAAGACGCTCCTGGAACTGTCGCAGCGCTGCGCACTACAACGCAAACAAGACTCCACCGCTGTGGTCGCGGCCGCTAGCGGTGTTGCCGGCGTGTACCTGCAGAAGGATTGGGTGTCATTTACAGCGCGGCTCTGGAGATGGATGGCGCGCTGGATTGGGAGGGAGACTCGAGCACAAAGAGCCTTGCCACCAGGCTTGCGTATATGTTCTCCGTCGTGACGTGGGTTTCATTTCACATTCCTCCTTCACTTTGTTTGCTCTTCGCAACACCTGTGCCGCCCTCTGATTCTTCGTCGCTTCCACCCGTGAACGTGCGTCAGAACTGCCACTCGCTTCTTGCTTCTCTCGACTTCTTCGGCTCAACCAGTACCTTGACTTTCGCTCAAACACCGCACTGCAGACGACACCGACTCTTCACTCGACAATCATGCGATTCCAAACCTCAGCAGCTGCCGCCCTTGCGGTCGTAATTCCCTCCGCGTTTGCTCAGACCTCGACCGACTGCAACCCGACCGAGAAGACCTGTCCAAATGATACCGGCCTTAGTTCCTCTTCATACACCGCCGACTTCACCTCAGGCTCCAGCGCCAATGCGTCTTGGTCCGCCGCCGCATACACGAACATCGACTACTCCAGCGACAATGGAGCGACCTTCACCATCGCCAAGTCAGGACAGGCTCCTACCATCGAGACCGACTTCTACATCTTTGGTGGCAGAGTCGATGTTACTATGAAAGCGGCGAGCGGAACTGGCATTGTCTCTTCGATTGTGCTCGAGTCCGACGACCTTGACGAGATTGACTGGGAGTTCATTGGTGGTAGCAACAGTAAGTGATCAGATCAAAGAGGCTATTGAAACAAAACGACATAAGCTAACCGATTATCTCTACAGACGAGGTGCAGAGCAACTTCTACGGCAAGGGCAACACAACCTCCTACCAGCGTGCCGAATACCACCCCATCTCCGATACCCAAGGTACATGGCACACTTACTCCGTCGATTGGAACAAGGACCGCATCGAGTGGATCATCGACGGTACCACTGTTCGTACTCTTCCTTACTCCAACGACATCACGGTCTACGGCAAGAACTACCCCCAGACTCCTATGCGCATCAAGGTATGTCGTACACTTCTTCATGGGTATGTGAGCATGACTGACCTCTGAATAGCTTGGCAACTGGGCTGGTGGCGACAGCGATTCCGAGGGCACTGTCGAATGGGCCGGAGGGAAGACTGACTTCAGCCAAGGCCCATTCAACATGTACGTGAAGAAGGTCGAGGTCACCAACTACAACCCCGCCTGCGAGTACAAGTTTGGTGATAAGACTGGTTCGTGGGACAGCATCGACATCATCACCTCTGGTGACGGATGCACTGCCAGCGGCTCCTCGAGCTCCGCCACTGGCTCTGCCTCTGCCTCTGCATCCGCTTCAGCCTCTGGTTCTTCTGCCTCTGGCTCTGCCTCTACCACTGCGTCTGGATCTGCACCCACGACCGACTCCGCCTCCACGACCGCAACCACAGCACCTTCGTCGAGCCATAGTGTGGACGACGTTTCGAACACTGATGTTGCCGTCTCGAAGACCGTTACCGGATCTGCAGCACCATCCGCATACGGAACCGGCTTCAGCACCGGTGTTACGTCTCAGCCGACGGGAGGTGTTAACGGCACCACCGGCTCATCGAGCACCAACACCGTGTCTGGTCCATCCTCAACCTCGAGCGGCATCGAGAGTTCGACTGGTGGCGCTTCTTCCAACGGCGTCATCTCCGGCAGCTCGCTGCTCGGCGTGGCTCTTGCTGCTTTCATGCTTTGAAACTTTTCATGTGTAAATTAGAGAGGATTGCGATGGGGTTTTGAAGACTTGTTTTCGTTTTCACGGGGCAATGCGAATGTTATGAGACGGATACCCCCATGGTTTTTGAAAAGGACAGAGATTCGAGACAGAAGTAATGGATAGAGGGCTACGTCGACAGCACCATGAATGATGTTCACTTAAGATTGTGACCAGTACAGAGTCAGTCTTCAGCTTGTTATGTCTCATGTGATGTCCAAGTTTTACTTCTTGCCTATTTGCACTTCAAATGGTGTGGTTATCACGTTGGTCGTAGAGCTTCCTTCCTCGTGATCCCGCTCCTGCCTATTTTGGCATGTATCACGTGACGTTGCGATCAGGTAAAAAGATTTCCAGTCAAAACTAGGTGAAGAGAGTAGAGGAAGAAATAGTTTGCATTGAAATCACATCGCTTGCTGCTAGGTCCTAGGGTTACTACGCGGTCACCTACACTCGAAAATTAAGTCGTGAAGAGCAAACGCTGCATGTGAAAGCCAAGACCAGCTGGGGAGCTTCAGTCTGGGGCGCAACACGATGATGTGACAACTGATACCACATGTGAGGCGAGAATGATGTGAGAAGTGAAAGTTGAAGTAAACCCACAAGTGAACGTGCAAATGAAGTCCCAAGTGAATCCCAATGTGAAACTCGCGCTCCTTCCTATCCCGTCACTCATAGCCCAAACAGACCCTCACTAGCCTAGCAACGGACCCTCACTGCAAACGCCGTCCGCCCCGCCCCGCCTCACTTCCAAGCTCACGTCTCCGCTCACCTCCCCCATCACTCCCACGCTCACTTCGTTCTTTACTTCCGCCATCACTTCAACGCTCACCATGGATTCGGACTGGCCCTTCGCATCGAGACTCCACCACACCAGCCTCCCGGAGGAGCGCCGCCCCGGCTTCCGGGAGCAGGTCGAGAGCCTCCAGGGGGCGAGGCAGTACCAATGGGAGCTGCAGTCGGCGTGGGCGCGTCTGGCCGCCCGAACTCCCCTCGCGGAGGAGGAGGTCAAGGAGCAGAAGAACGCCGTCAAGTACGCATGATCCCACACACCTCTCCCGCAACACCTTACTAACCATCGCGATAACGCAGGCTCTGCCTCAAGGAGATCAACCAGATCTCCGACGACATCAAGAAGGAGGAGGCCCACCTGGCCGCAATGGAGGACGGGCGCGAGCCCGCCGAGGAGATCCTCTGGGCGCGATCGAAGCACTGGGAGATCCCCGAGGACCTGCGGCCCAAGCCGGTAAGCATCATCTATCTGCCAGTGGAGTTCTGGGCCCAGCGGGCGGAGGCGTCGCGAGCGCGAGAAGCAGCGGCGTATGCGAGGACGCTGCGCGGGAGGGTGAGGGCGGGGTTGAGAGTGGTCGGCGGCGTGTTTTCGAGGGAGGCGTGGGTGCAAGTTTTTCGGCGTGGCGAGCAGGAGAGCAACGACAGCGACCGCAGCAGCAGCAAGAGAGAGATGGACCCGCGAGAAGCGAGACTCCCCGTCAAGTTGACGCTACCGAGCGCGACGACCGCGACGGACTGCTCGGCGACGGTGCCGGCAACGCTGTCGATTCCGGAAGCGCGGTTTCCCCAGACGCAGCAATTAACACCCTCGTGGCATGACTCTTATCGAACGCTGTCGCCTTCGACGAGCGAGGACTCGGGGCCGCCAGCTTCGCTGATGATGGATGAGACGATGCTGGAACCGGAATCGCCTCCTGAGCCAGAGTCTCTACACGCAACATCCGCCAAAATGGACATTTCCCTCCCGCTGAGGTACGCCAAGTATCGTGGACTCGTAGGCCTGAAGAAGAACAGAAAGCTCGAACAGGTCGGAAAGGGCAAGGGAAATATGCCGGAGATCGAGGAAGAGAGCGAGGATGAAGAGCAGACGAAGATACCGGAGATCGAGGAGGAGTCAGAGGGTGAAGAGCAGACACAGGATTACTATCAGATTCTGTGGGCGGACTTCGGAGAAGGTGGGTTCTCGGACTCAGCAGAGAGATTTATGCGAGGGACGATGGAACTCCCGCGCATGCAGACGCCAGGCTGGGGCTTGCACACCCAGCGACTCAAGGACATCGGCAAGGGAAAGAAGAACGTCAGATTCGACGTTGAGGATGATGATGAAGAGGCGCCAGCTCCAAAGGATATTGAAGCCGACAATGAGTCGCACAATGAAGACGACGATGAGGACAAAGAGAACGAACCTGAAGTGAACGTACCCAAAGAGGAAGAGGACGGCCCCTACCGCTCCATCTTCGACGACCTCCCTCCCGACTCCTTCGAAGGCTCCATCCCAGAGCACATGACCCGCGGCCAGATCTTGATGCCGCTAGAAGGCGAATACATCTACAACGGCGAACCCGACTCCGGAGAAGAAGACGACAACGAGTTCGAAGACCAGCAGCAGCAGATCTACGACGGCGATATCGACTCGGACGAAGAGGATGATTACGGCTTTTTTGATGAGTCGGATCTCACCTACGAGCCGTCGGTGCATAGCAGCCTGGTTGTCGAGGTTGATGAGGATTCGGAGGGGAACTGGGAGACGGAGTCTGAGTTTGATGGCGAGGAAGAGGATCCGCCTAGAAACGCAAATCAGGGTGTCCGTGAGAGAGCGCGCGGGAATGCGCAACAGCACGCAGCTGAACAGGCATCCGCGAACGCACTATTGAATGCGATTGAAGACACAGTCGACCACGATTCCGAAGCGAGTTGGGTATCCGATTCTGAGGACGCGGAAGAGAACGTACCAGAGACCGCACCTGAGGATGCGCCTGAGTACGATTCCGAGGATCTGTACGCATGTTCGAACTGACCTCTAGCTTTTACCTTGACATCGCAGTTCCTCCAGCAGCAGCGAAGACAGCAGCAGCAGAGCAGAGCAGCGAGAGCCCAGAACCAAACACGAGCGAGCAAGCGAGCAGACCAAGCAGACCGAACCGAACCGAACCGAACGAGAGTCCCGAAAGCGGACCAGCACAAGCGAATTTCTTTTGTATCGATGGGTTGAAGTTTGATGGGAGGCGTTCTGGATCAGAAGAGAGAGATACCCAGGCTTGACGACGCAGGCGCTTGGAGAGATCAGAGGTGATGAGACTTGGGATGGACTTCTTTGGCGTTTACGGGTTTGGGGTTTTTGTAATACTGGCGATTGTAATGGCTGATGAGGCGTATGAACTGGAATCGTGGATTGGGACTCGGTACGAATGGGTCGTTGCGTTGATGAAAGACGAGAGTCCCCAGAGTATTGGAATGGAATGGACCATGCATTGAGACTGAACCACTCCCACCTTCCCCCACATTCTCTTTCTGTACATGCCCCTCATCCCATCCATGCCTTCACATCACCAGCACACCGCCTATCTCATCTCCCTCAAAAAGTTGTCCTCCTTAATCTTACTCCTCCTCTTCTCCCTCATCGCCTTCGTCAACTCACTCCTCGCCAATCCCGCCTCCTTCGCCCCCTGCAACGTCCCATCCCCACCAGGCAAATCAACACTCTGCTCATACAAAGGAATTTTCGGCGCCATCGACTCCGGATCCTGGAGTTGTTTCTTCCTCAAAGCCTTCGCTGCTATCCGTCGCTGTTTCTTGGATTTCGCTGGGCACCGCGACGTCAGTAACATTTCAACATCACATTACTCTTCTATGTTGAGAAACTTACAGAACAGATCTCCCTCCGCGTCTGTGCCTTTGCTTCCTGTTGCGTCACTTTTAATCGCCAACACCGTCCATAGCCAAGCGGGGTACTCGCTATCCTCCAACGCGACAGGATCCTGCTTGTTCTTCATAAAATTCAAGCCCTTGAGCACAGTTCCCGCCGGCACGCTCGATTGGATTGTCGCCGCTGCTTTGCTCTGTTTCGGGTTGATTGGGAGATCTTGCTTGTCAGGTGAGGGTGATAAGGGCGTGCTGAAGGGCTGGGCGGCCGAGGTCGAGGTCGCGGCGGGTACATCGTTCGGTCTGGGATTCGTCGCTGTGGTTGTGTTGGCAGTGACTGCTTGCGCTGGCTGTGGGGAGGATGTCGAGAACGATCGAGGTTGACGTGATGAAGGTTTCCGCCTCGCCAGGCGTTGCAAACAGCGTTGACAGATCATTTTGGCCAATGGTGCTGGTGTAGTTGCATTGGCTGATGAAGTGAGGTCTGCTCAAGAGAAGGGAGTCGGAGTTCGCGTCCAAATCGGGCCGTGCAATCACGTGAACTCCTCCCACGAGACCTCACTCTGATTGAACTACTAGCATATGATGCATGATCGAGATAATTCGAATGAGCCGCAGTTGTTCCATTCTCGTCTACATGTAATACTGATACAGCTCCATACTCCCTTTCTTCGCTAGACCGCTAGAAGCACATCGCAGCCGGCTGCAGGGGGTATAACGAGTGGTGTCCATATATGCAGCGCCTTTACGCCTGTCTGCGTGAGCATGTTATCCTCCTGTCTGAATCAATTTGCAAGACCCAACGCTGCGTAACGTCATCAACAGAAAAGCTGCCATTAAGATGGCGACGGTGTGGTATCTCAATCTTTGCCCCTCCCTGGATGTTGTCCCATTGCGCTTCCAGAATCGCTTGCTTGCCAATGACATAGGAAATGGGTAAAATAAAGAGAGCATAATACAGCATGCTCCCTTGGTAATGGCCACGCGGTCTTTCGGGTATAGGTCCGCGAGCCCAGGAAAAGAATCGAAGCTTTGCACAAGGTGATGATCGCGGTCACGCACACGATCATCCATCGTCATCGTCCTCATCGGCATCCTCGTCAGAGTTCTTGTGCTTTGTGCTCGGGGTGCCGTTGTTGTTTCCGCCGCTCATGTCACCTGCTTTCCGCTTAGCACTTCCACTGCCATTGACGGCAGTGCCATTTTCACCTTTCAAGTCCGGCACTCCATCTAGACTTCCTCCATTCCTGGCCTCCATCGCAGCCACTTCCTCGGCCGTCAAGAATCGACCACCTGGACCTCTTGGCCTACGCATAGCATGGTTGTGTCTGGACTCGTGCAAGTACGGCTTCCTGCCCTTGCTCGTAAGCCGAAGAGCCTCCTCCAGCTTCTGTCTTGCCATGCGCCTCTTAAGTATCCGATGGAATTGCTTCGCGTTGACGTAGAGGGGAGATTCCTCGTTTGCGCCCGCGACCGGGACTTCGGGGGACTGTTGCGGTTGTTGGGGAGGCTGAGCTTGAGGTGCTTGTGGTTGGGTGGGAGGGCGCATGGGAGGCTGTCCTGGCTGGTTCGCGACAGCAGGGCTGTTAACCGAAGACATTCTCCTCTGTCCTGGCATCTGTCCTTGCTGCAGCTGTTGGATGTTGTTCGCCATGGGTTGTGCTGGCGGCATGTTCATCTGCGTCGCCATGGTGCTGGGCACGTTCATCTGATTTTGGCGAGGCGACTGTGGGCTTGGACGCGGCAGGTTTCCGTCCGTCTTGACCTGTTGCATACGCGGCGAGGTCTGTGGCAGAGAGCCTGGCATGGACGAATCAGGCATCGAGTATGCTGGATATCCAGAGGCGGCGGCCGTGGCCATGGCCGCGGCTTGTGACGGAGAGACTCCATACTGCGGTTGCATGCCATAGGCAGGACTATATCCCATCTGCGACATCATCTGATGTTGTTGCATTTGCGGCGCCTGTTGGTGCTGGCCGTAGTTTGGAGGTTGTTGGGTCTGCATGACGGGACTGGCGTGGGCTTGCTGTGGACCTGTATGTGCGTGCGGGTAGGCGGATGGTTGCTGTGTATGATACTGCGCGTATGAGTCCATGATCAGAGGAGGAGAGCGGCGAAGGGCTAATCAAGGTTCCGGGGTCGAGAGCGGCGCGAGGTGATGGCAGCGGCGCGCGACGAGCTAGAGGTGAAGACGCGATGAGGTGTCAGCCTGTGTTGTCGCTGCCCAAATGCGCGGTGCAGCTATGCTCTGGCTGGCGACAGCAGCAGCAGCGGCGGCGACGCAGACTCCCTGCAGGCGCGCAGGCAACGGGCAGTGTCGAGCGGGCCTTTCCGGAGATCCGCTGCCGACGTGCTGGGCCTGGCGAACGAACAGATGCTGAAGAGGCGGTGCACGATCGGTCGAGGACGAGTGAGAGGTGAGGAGCGGCGGCGTACCTCGTTACTGGCCACAGGCTACACAACAGCGCAGTGCGGCGGAGGGAAGGCGACGGGGACTAGAGAGCTGCGCCAAACGTTAGCGACGGTTCCTAGGCTCAAATACAGGCACGGCCGGCGACAATTGGTGACGCGGTGCAAGAGGAGCGGGTAGAGGAGTGAGCTGCATGCCTTCCCGCGCGATGCCAGCGCATAACCTCCAATCGAGGATATGCGCCAGCGCATGCGACGAAGCTTTTCGCCCGCTCGCTCGCACCGCCACATGTGACAGCGCAGCAGCATCGCTGGTGACAGTCGCGTGGCCGGTCCCACGGCGCAGAGCACGACGGGAGCAGCAGCAGCAGCAGTCGCAGTCGCAGCTGTGAGCGCGGAGCTGTCGCGAAAGCTTTGCTGGGGCGGCGCTGGCTGCTGCTTGCTTGCGGTGCGTTGTGCGATGCGACGAGGACGCGCGATGATGTTTTGGCAGCGGTGGAAGAAGGATATGGGCGCGACGGGCTTACCTGTTGCAGTGGTGGATGGCAGCGTGTTCCTTGTCGTTGGATCTGCAGCAGCGTTAGCATGTCGCCGTGTGGTCAATGGCCGTCGCGGCGCGCCATGCGTCAGACTGGTCGGCGGCGGCGGCAGCAGCGAGGGCGCAGGCGACGGCCATCACGTTACTGTCACAGGCGGGCAGTAACAGTGAGGAGGGCATGGAGGGATGCGCACCGACGAGTAGTGATCTCTGTCTTCAGACACGCGACGCCCCGCGTGTCGGTCGCAGCGAGCCAGTAGGCAAGTCGAGGGAAAAGATGTTGTTGATTGGGCGAAAGCAGAACACCAGCCAGTCAAATGCTGGGGAGCTTCCATCTCTTAAACGCTGCCTCGTCATGCTGCGGCCTTGGCAGGCGCTAGCGCTCAGAGCAGACGAGCGCCCGCTGCAAAACACGATGCGCGCGAGATATCTCGGTGAGCAGAATAGTCAACACGACTGCCCCTTACACAGCATCCTGCGCCGCTTGTGTGCATACTTGCATATGCCTCACTACTTTACATGCAGTAGATACTCACATTCGCTCCGCCAGCAGCACCGCTCCGGAACTCTGTCACCACTCCACGAGGCTGGCAGGCATCCCACTCTTCCATCGCATCCTCCCGCCTGCGCCATCGACACCGATTTCACCCGGCGAATGAAACGCGCAGCGGCTCAACTTCAACTGTCGTCCGTCCCTGACTCTCGCATTTGCTTGTTCTAGCGACATCTTGCTCGTTCACTCTCTTGTTGCGCCCTCACGTCAGCTTTCGTGATTCCCCGGCTCTACACTCACGCCACGCCGCACATCAAAGGGCATCCCAGCGGCTACGGAGGCCTGTCCGGGGCGTCTTGCTTCGACGATTTGCTGCCTTGCTCATGGCGACTGCAACTGTGACCGGGTCCGACTGATCGTCCCGTGCAAGGGTGCTATAACTTCACCTGCCACAACAATTCGGTCGAAATGCCCAAAATGCTCTCGTTACATCCTCTCAGCCCTTGTACTTCACCTGTGCAACGTCGCTTAGCAGCCTCGTGTGCGTGGAGGCACATGGTTGTTCTCTGCTTCTCGGCGTTTCGCCTTGTTGGTGACGTGCCTTGCTGCCGGCAGATGTTCACCCCAGCCGCCATGAAACATCTGAAGCGTCCAATCACGGCGGGGAGATGAGCTTCTGGTCTGTGAGAGGGCGCACGGCTCCCAGTCTTCACGCAAGGCACACATGTGTTTGGATCATCCGGTGCCATGGCTCATCAAGTAAATGTGGAGGCTTAGTGCGATTCGCTTCGAGTGATGAGACGCTCTTACCTGCTGGCGAGCACGTGGTGTGTGAGTTGAGGAAATGTCCTGGAAAGAGATCTGGCCAGCCGTAGACGTTCACGGAGGTACGCTCACATGTTGCTCCTCTACATCCTCTGCTCCTGTCTTCGCACGGCGGGTGGCAGCTTTCCATTCAGCAGCAACCGCTTCGGGACCGGATTCGACATGTCCATTCAACATAGCCGCAGCAATGTTCATCAAGGAGCAAGAGAGAGTCGCTCGCGCAGAGCGGTCCATTGAGCGAAGCATGCGAGGTGTCTTCTCTCGACCTCCTCTCAGGAGCCCGAGAACCCTACCGCACTGGTGTCCAGTATGAAAGAGCAGGTCATGATGAATATCCGTATGAGGTCCTTTCGGTCCAAGGGAGGAAAAGCGATCTTCGATGTGGTGACGCCTTACGAAAGCCTCGCATCGATGCCTCGATGAAGCTGATGTGCAAAAAGAACATCGCCGACTCCTAGGTGATGGGAAGCCCTCACTACGCCCTACTCTCCACCTGACATTTCAGCGAGGCTCCATTACATAACGACCTTAACGCCTATATCCGACTTTAGATGCACACCTTCCCCGCCAACTTCTCTGGTTCGAGTTGGAAACTGGTGTCGTCCTGTCAGGCAAGTCCTGGTCGCGTGCGAGAAAGGTAGGTGCTGGCAAGGGTGAATACTAAGCGCTGGAGCTCTGCCTACCTTCCGAATTACTAATGAGCCATTGAAACAAATACATCCAAGTTTCCTGTCTATCACTTCCTCATCTTCAAAACCCTCGACACTTCACAGCAACCGCAAAGGAACTCACAATCAAACATGTCCGGCATTAAGGTCGTCTTTGGCTGCGGGGGCGTCAACCCAGGACGAGGTTTTAGCACCGAAGAAGCAGTGAAGGAAGCTTTCGACATCTTGGTTCGTCACCTGTCAACCTCTCTTGAATAACATCTTCTGAAGCTGACAATAATTCCAGGAGAAAGGCGGCTGCACCATCCTCGACACCGCCCGTCTCTACGGCCAGTCCGAAGAAATCCTAGGCAAAGCAGGCGCCGTCAAGCGCTTCACCGTCGACACCAAGACGAAAGGCGGCTTCACACCCGGTGGCGCTACCAAAGCCAACATCGAGGCGGAGGCAAAGCAGAGCAAGGATCTTCTAGGCGGCCCAGTCGACATCTACTACATCCACGCCCCGGACGCCAACACGCCGCTGGACGACACGCTCTCCGGCATCAACGAGATCTACAAATCCGGCTTCTTCAGGCGCTTCGGTCTGTCCAACTACAAAGCCGAGGATGTCCAGAAGGTGTACGATCACTGCAAGGCGAAAGGATACGTGCTGCCGACAGCGTACCAGGGCAATTACAATGCTATCGCCCGCAAACAGGAGACGCTCCTCTTCCCCACCCTGCGCAAGCTGGGCATCGCCTTCTACGCATACTCCCCCCTCGCGGGCGGGTTCTTGACCAAGACCAAGGAGCAAATCAAAGAAGGCGCAGGGCGCTTCAACACCTCGTCAGACCCAGGCATGTACACGGATATGTACTCCAGACCAAGCCTCCTCGAAGCTCTCGCCGATTGGCACGCGATCGCCAAGGAGGAAGGCGTCACGACCGCGGATCTGGCGTACCGCTGGGTTAAGTACAACTCGCCGCTGAAGCCTGAGCAGGGCGACGCCATCATCATCGGGGCGAGAGACCATGCGCAGTTGAAGCAGACGCTGGACTCGATCAATGGGGGGCCTTTGAGCGAGAAGGCGGTGAAGAAGATTGATGAGATGTGGAAGAAGATTGAGCAGGATGCGCCGCTTGATAACTATCATCGTTAGGTCAACTACTGGGTTGCTATCCATCCTTGGCGGTGGCCTTTAGCCTCTCGAGAATGTACTCTCCAGCTTTGACAGGCGGGTACTTCGATGGGTTGTCTGCGGTAATGCAGCTGGGAAGAGTCTGCTTTAAGATCAGCATCCCTGTATACCAATGAAGCATTACGAGACCACTCACCTCAACAGTCTGATCATAATTAATGCTGAAAAAGAACGGTATGCTATACCGCTCATTCGTCGTCCGATTCACAACCCTGTGCACAGTCGACCTGCCAATGATAAGTCCCCAATTCCCAACACAAGCGTGAAGACGACTCACCGATAAACCCCATTCGTCCACCTCATCAAAAAATCCGCCACATTAATCACAAAACTCTCCTCCACCGCCGGCGCCGGCACCCACACATTCTCCGGCGACAGAATCTCCAACCCGGACGCCGTCGAGCACAGCAGAATCGTAAAACACTCGTAGTCCGAATGCGCCCCGAGCCCAATCTCCTTGTCCTTCTGATTCGGATCTAAAGGCTGCGGGTCCTTGGCGGGAGGGTAGTAGAGCAGACGGGCGATGCCGCCGGGGTGCGTCGTCATGGCGTCGAAGTAGTTCTCAGGCAGATCGAGGGAGAGGGCGAAGAGGCGGAAGAGGTGGCGGGCGAGTTGGAGGACTTCGGCGTAGTATTGCTTCACGGCGTCGTAGAAACCCGGGAGGTCTGCTTCGGCGGGCCAGACGTTGCCGTTGACGTCCTCGCCGTCCAGCTCGCGGTACTGGCCATCGCCGCCGGTGGGGTCTAAGCCGGCTTCGTAGCCCCAGTTGAAGCCTTCTTTTGTTTCAGGAGCGGCGTTTTCGGCACTCCAGTCTCCCGGGTTGACGTAAGTGTAATCGGCTGGTTCCCAACCGCGGAAGTACTTGCTGTTCTTGACGTGCAGGCTCTCCTTCTTGGGCCGGGGGAGTTCCTTGGTGAAGCGTTTCGCGGCGTTGATGATGGCTTGTCGTGCTTCTTTTGGAACGCCGTGGCCGGTAATGTGGAAGAAGCCTGAGTTGGTGCATGCGTCTCGGATTTGTGCTGCTACGGCTTTGCGGTCGGAGATGTTGGATGAGAAGGAGGGTGCGATGTTGATATCTGGGACGGTAAATGGTCTTGCTAGTTTTGCATCGTGGCCATTGGCTAGTCGCTCGTTGAGATATGCTTGAGCTGCTTGACGGGCCTCGCTGTGGGTGGCCGAGGGAGCTGCTGCTGCGGCAGCCATGGCGAGTTGTGTTGAGTGAGAATGTCAGCTTGTTAGAGGAACTGTTTGTAGGATGTAGTGGGTATGGGGCTTTGATAAAGTAGCTCGCCTGGACAAGTTCCAATTGCAAATTCTGATAGGCGGGGGCGGCGTCCTCCGCTCAGCATTGCCAAGGCAAAGTCATCAAGGAGACATGGAACTGGAAAGGTGAATATGACCTGATCAACAAAGGGAATGATTCTTGATTCGACCGCTCTTTCTCAAATGTCTAATATGTACAAGCTGGGCTGCACGTTCCTCGAGCTCGTCCCGCTGCTGGTGTTTCGATCACGTGATTGCGTCTACGATGACTTCTGAGAGACAATGCCTATAGTATTGTTAGAGGACGATGCCAGATGAGTTTACCGAATATAACTTACGCTCCACGTCAGAAACGCTCTGCTTGAGGATCTGGTCAAGAACCTTGGGGTCCGAGAGCTGCTTGTCGATCTTGGCAATGATGGAGTCGGCCAACTCCTTCTGCTGTCTGGCCTTGACCTGACCCTCGTAACGGACCCATGAGTCGAGAACAGACTTGGCTTCGGAAGCAAGGGCAGCCTTCTGCTCCATCTCGTAGGCCTGGGCCTCGAGTTGAGCAGTCTCCTGTTCGAAAGTTAGCTTGTTTACTACCGGATTATTTCGTCTCAACATGCCTTGGAGACGGCGAAAAGGTTCTTGGTGACATCAATGACACCGCTGAGATCCTCAACGCTGTTGATACGGGCCTTGACAGCGCTGGTGTGGTCCTCCCGGGCAGCGTTGAGAATGTTCTTCATCTTGTCATGCTGACCCTGGGCAAACTCCTTGTACATTGGGCCGGCATATGTGTAGACTGCCCAGTAGATGGTCAGGAGGGAGAGTGCGACGATTGACTCCTCGTTGACGACGTAGAGCTCGTTGCTAATAGCAGCCACTGAGAGACCGGCTCCGGCAGAGAGAATGGCGGTCTTGGAGGCAATGCTGTTGCCAGGGAGCGCATCGAGGATGGAGTTGGCGGCACTCTTTGGGTCCTTCTGGGGAACACCGGTCTGCTGACGAGGAGTAGAGGTCGCGAAGGTGGTGACGGCTGGGAGAGTATTGCGGATAGGGAGGGTCGGACGAACGCGAGCGGCGCCTACGGAGGGTCAGTCAGAGGCTCAATGGCGCCTCAGATACACGGAAGCAGATCAAACGTACTCAATGCGCCCTTTGCCAATCGCGACGCCATAGTGAGTGGTGGTTGAGAGAGGAGATGAGCTGGTGTTGCTGCGCTACGTCGAGGTCTTCAGGTTCCGAGCTTGTCCAAAGCGGGAACACCCGCTCCTCGCTTTCGAGATTTTGAAGATCCGCGCTTGACTTCGACGTCGACTTTACTGCAACAACCACACGCACACGATGCCCGGCCTAATAGCGAGCGACGACGCCGGTCGCAAGAGAAAAAGAGTTAGCACTCGGGGTGCATCCAAAGAAGCGAAATCGCGCAAAGCCCCAAAGCCCACGAACGACGACGACCCTCAGTCCAAGATTCTGCTGTTGGAAGAGCAGATCTTACAATCACGAGAGAACTACAACAATATTGTCGAGCTGCAGAAGATAGTCGACCATGCGGACAAGAAACCCAAAACTGCCACCATCGCTGCCGTGGCATTATGTCGAGTCTTCTGTCGATTGATTGCTGGAGAGTCTTTGGTCAAGCAGGCTGGCGCATCGGAGGGTGATTCGCAGGTTGTACAATGGTTGAGGGCAAGATTAGATGATTATTTGAATCGTTTGACTTCCTGGATTGGGAGCCCGGATGCGACCAAGGAGAGTACCGCTCTCACACTGCTTATGCGAATCGTGAAAGAGGAGGCCACGAACAGCGACAAGGGTGATCGAGCGTGGCGCCACGAGAAGTCTGCTTTTGTCGCTGTGGTCAGCAGGTTACTGCAAGAGACTGAGGCGGAGGGAGCGAGGCAAGAGTTTGTGGAGAAGTTCGTGGAAGAACACCACGATGTTCGTTTCTACACTTTCGTCGCTGTTAAGCAGATACTCCAGGACGTACACTCTGGTCGACAGGAGGTCGCGACAAACGCAATCGACCTACTGATACAAATCGAAGGAGTACCTGAGTCGGACGATCAACTCGAGGACTGGTACGGCAGCACGCCACAAGGACAGAAGAACCAACTCCTTTCGTTGACAGCACACCGAAAAGTTGCAAGGCAAGCATGGCTCTCGATCTTCCGCTCGACACTATCCCAAGAAAGTCGCAAGAAGATGCTCAGTGTTGCAACTGGACATATACTCCCGTGGTTTGCTGGACACATCGAACTGCTCACAGACTTCTTGACCGACTCGTTCAACCAAGGTGGCGCGATGTCATTGCTCGCTCTATCCGGTATCTTCAAACTCATGACGCAGAAGAACATCGATTATGCAGACTTCTATACGAAGCTCTACAGCTTGCTGGATGAGGACTTGCTGCACAGCAAGCATAGGAGCCGATTCTTCCGCATGTTCGAAACGTTCATGACCTCCTCACATTTGCCAGCTGCGATGGTTGCGAGCTTTATCAAGAGACTATCGAGATTATCTTTACAGGCTCCACCCGGCGCAATTGTCTGGGTCGTCCCTTGGACGTACAACATGCTTAAACAACATCCTCCTTGCACGTTCATGCTGCATCGAACGTACCATCCCGCTCATGCAATTTATGCAACCCATCCAAACTACGAGGACCAAGGCATGGACGATCCATTCGACATGAAGCAGAAGGATCCAATGGTCACTGGTGCCATCGACTCTTCGCTGTGGGAGCTGGAAACACTTCAGAGCCACTACCACCCAAACGTGGCCACTCTGGCCAAGATAATGGGCGAGCAGTTCACAAAGAAGGACTACCAGCTCGAGGACTTTCTCGACCATACGTCCCAGACTCTGATCGATGCTGAGTTGGGCAAAGAGGTGAAGAAGCCGCCTGTCGTAGAGTGGGAGTTACCCAAGAGGATTGTGACGACGGAAGATGGGGGAATGAATGACATCGGCAAGTCCTTACAAACTGCCATAGACAATATGTAGATGTTCACAGTTTTGGAAAATGTCTACAGAAATACTGCCTTCTCCACTGCCTCACGTGCTGAACTTGCCTTCAATTGCCGTCCAATTGCCGACGGAGCTTGAAGCTCCTCCAAAGCGTAGGTCCATCTCACATTCAACCTCACAAATCCAACCCTCATGCCCATTGCAACCACCGTCACCGCAATGGGTATCTTCCAAAAGACAATCGCTGCGACCGGCTGGACGACATTGGGAGCTGCTGCTGGTTATGTGGCCTGGACGCGCAAGAGCAAAATCGTGGATGTACCGCCAACAGACTACCTCTTCAACCACACCTTATATGCTCGCTACAACCCAAACAATGCGCCCGTAACACAGGATCTCTGCGTGAGAAAAGTGCCACTGGACAAGATCCGCCCGGAGCTTTTGGAGCACGAGGGCAAGCTGGTCGAGGCGTTCAGTGCTGGCCTTTGGAGCGGATTGGGTGAGTGATACACATTCGCGTCCAGACGAAAGGCATCGTACTAATGAAGAATGCTTTAGGCTACGCATACCAAAGACGCTACCTTGAAAAGAAGTACCGCGCCGACGAAGTCACCCGCGACCACCTCTGGGACCAACAAGACCTCAAATCCAGCACCTACGACGTCGGCACCAAGATCACAGACCACTTCGAGGTCGTCTCGAAAACGCCCACATCCATCATCGTGCGCTGCGGAGACTCACCTCGGATACAGGACGTAAGAGCTTCGGATGGGCTGTTTGAGATGCAGGCGGAGATTAAGAAAGATGAAGGTGTGGCGGAGTTTGGGTTGAAGAGTATTTTCTACAATGGCCTCGCGCAACCTGATAAAGAAGGCAAGCCTCCTGCGGCGCCCATGTCGACGTGGATCCAGTGGTTGCATCAGCAGTATGATAAGGTGTTGATGGAGACGGCCATTACGAATTGTACGAAGTAGAGACAGTCATCTTTCTCTCTCTGGGTATGTACGGTGTGTACAGCTTGTGGTATAATATACAGATCTCAGTCGAGGAATCGGGCATCATCGTCATACTGGAAAGTCATCTTCTCGTTCTGGGATTCGTCGGTCCGGCGCAGGACCTCGAGGGCGGCTTCGCGGATTTTGGACTTCGTTGTATCTGAGATGCGGTTCCAGATCTCTTCAGCCGACTCCTTGAAAGCGGGCAGTCCAGGCTCTTGCTTGCTCCCCGTGGCCATTCGGGACACTGTATGCGACCTCGCAATCTCTTCTTTGGGCGTTTTGATGTGGCTCTTGGCCTCGGTGATGGCGTCCCAGTCGGTTATGATGATCGGGAGACTGACGAAGTTTTTTGCGAGGATGTCCATGGTGTCGACGAAAGCTCGGACGTTGAGCAGAGCCAGGGATGGAGTCTGCCCTTCTCGGTAGTAGACATGCTTTTGTATCGATGGTCGCACTGTTTCCGGCGATGCTTGTGATGCCGAGTCTGGACTTCGAGCTTGCAACGAACAAAGAGCTGTTCGCTTGCACCTACCTTCCATTGTTTACAATTGTCTTGTCTTCACTTCTGGACAACACTCTTCCATCGACGGTGTCTGCGACTGGCTGATGTTGTAGGGAATACAGGCTTGTTCGCCGAAAGTCCCCAACAACAAAGCCTTATCAACACAACGTCGGCTGCAAGCAACGAAGCACTGCACTGGGCTTAGAAGACGTAGTAGACATGACAAGGTTGTCGAGCTGTTTCAACAACAAACTCCCACGCAAAGGTATCGTGGAGAGCAGATGCACTAATGCAAGGGCATGCCGTCATGGAATCTGATACCTTGCCCAACACAGTAAGAACGATCCAGGGACCGATCTGACACAGATCTGGGATCGATGGACCACTTCCTATTCGCTACATCAACCCATATTCATCGTGATGTCACGTTCATCATTCACTCCATCTTGCTCGTCAAATCGATGACGAGCTGGCTGGGAGATGCCTCTCGCGGAGGAGCGTGTCGTGTTCGTGACGTGGTTCGGAGTTGGAGCCATTGGAGTGGTATATTTAGTAGGTGTTTGATTCTCTTTACGTCGTAGCGAGACATACTTCTCGTCTATTGTCAGGACTTCGCATTTCAATCTTTTTCACAATGCCGCCCAAGGACAAGTACACCGACCCTGAACTTCGCGATGAAGTCAAGGAAGAACTCAAGCAGTCCGAGAAGGGCGGTGCGCCAGGCCAATGGTCTGCTGGCAAGGCTGTGAGTCCTAAGCAACTACATTGTCACCAGACAAGGCTAACAGTGTTTACTAGCAAATGATGGCCTCTGAGTACAAAAAACGCGGAGGCGACTACACAACCGACAAATCCCAAAAGGACGAGTCGCAACAAAACCTCTCCAACTGGGGCGACGAGGAGTGGCAAACCAAGGAAGGCTCCGGACACGCGAAGAAGGAAGATGGGACGGAGAAACGGTATCTGCCTAAGAAGGCGTGGGAACAGATGAGTGAGAAGGAGAAGGAGGAGACGGATCGGAAGAAGCAGGAGGAGAGTAAGGAGGGGAAGCAGTATGTTGAGAATACCGGGAAGGCGAAGGAGAGTCGGAAGAAGGCTAGTAAGGGGAAGGGGAATGGGGCGGAGAATGGGGATGGTGAAGACGAGGATCAGGATGAGGAAGACGATGACGATGACGATGACGATGAAGAGCTAGATGCTGCTGCCAAGGATGATGAGGACGAAGAAGAGTTCATCGATGACGGCGAGGCCAACGACGAGGACGACGAGGAAGACGAAGACGTCGAAGCCGAAGGCGAAGCCGACGCCGACGAGGGCGAAGACGACGCCAAACCCGGCGAAAAACGCAAACCCAAAAAGCAACAACCCAACGGCACGCCCAAGAAACAAAAATCCTCCTCCAACTCCAACTCCAACAAATCCAACGGCAAAACCATCGGCTCCAAACACATGGACGCCACCGAACCCGCGCCTCGCGGCTCCGCAGATCGTCTCCCCAAGAAAGGCCAGCACATCCAATGGAAGGCCATGCCGGGGTACGTCGATGGAGAGGTTGTCGAGGTTCTCACGCAAGGCAAGAATGTTGATGGGAAGTCTGTCAAGGCGTCCAAGGAGGATCCGAAGATTGTGTTGAAGTCGAGTTCGAGTGGGAAGATTTGTGTGCATAAGCCGGAGGCGTGTTTTTTTGAGGATTGAGATGTTGTGTGGATGGATGGAGGAGAGATGTAGAGTCTGTAGTGTACTGTGTTCTTGTAATATGGTTGAAGTGTTGTACAATATCAGATCTCTCAATATTGTGGTCGTAATTCCTTTTGTCCCTCGCGACATCACTTGGGGTTGGAAAAAAAAAAGCAATCCAGGGACGTTGACTCTGTGATCGCCACGTATTGTTGGTATTCTCACGCTTTGTTCCAACGCTTTCATAAAGTATATATATTAATCATTACAATCTCATGACAATCATGCCGTGTTCATGAGACTTGTCTCATTCCTCTTTCGTCTCCTTGCTCTCGCCATTCCCACTGTTGTTGCTTTCATCACTAACCCCTCGACTCTCCTCATCCCGGCGCTTGTCCTGCATGATATCAGGGGCGGGTGCAAACTTCGACTTGGCTCGGATGGATTTGCCCTTGTAGTAGAAGAGGAAGGGCATGGGGATGAAGAGCGCAGATAAGCACCCGAGGAACGTCATGCCCCAGTTGATGCCGATGCCTAGGGATCGTGTCAGTATGTCGACGTGCTGATGTTGTAATACTTAGGGAAGTGGGCTCACCATCAAACATGTAGGTTGCAAAGAGGGGAAAGACGGCGCCGAAGATGGATCTCATGAAGGTGTTTGCGGCCACGGCTGAGGCGGCGAACATCAAGTAGGCATCGATGATGTAGTTGAGGCAAGATAAGAAGACGGTGTAAATGCCGAATCCCAAGCAGAGACCGGCGAGCGTGGGAACGATCCAGGGGATGCTGTTTGTGAAGCCTGTCCAGCCGAACCAGAAGAGGCCGATCGTGAAGACAATGCCGCCGAACTGTGAGACTCAAATTAGCATGGGAGTATGTGATAGCATCAACAAGAAGCACAACTCACCATCATAATGGGCATTCTCCACTCTGGAACGGGGATGTTGTTGTTGGCAGCCAGCTTCCTCGCATATTTCGGCACGTCGATGCAAACAACGACAATAGCGATGGCGACTCCAACAATCATTCCGAAGTAAGGCAAGCCAGACACTCCCAGAGGCATGCCGTAGATGCGTTGGAAGACGATACCGTATGCCGTCAAATTCAGATACAGGATTCCGTAGAGCAGACTCATGTATAACGTGACCAGGAGAACGATAGGCTCGGTGAACAAGATCCTCAGAGGACGCATCAAGTTCTTGGTCGCCAGCTCCTTGAAGTCGACTTCTACTTCTTCCTGCTTGGCGTGGATTCCCCAGTTCCTGGTGGCCCTTCGAAGCTCCGCGGCTTTCGAGACCAGGATGACGGGGCCGTATGTCTCCTCCTGGAAGAGTAGTGCGGCCACTGCAGCTGCGAAACCCATGAATGCAGGGATGTAGGCTATACGCCGCTATTAGCATCCTACCGAGATTGTGCGTACATGACAAACTTACCACACCATCGCCAGCCTAGGTACGACTTGGCAATGAAGCCTCCCTATCTTGCGGTCAGTGTCTTGCGCGAGACTTCTCGTGAGGGAAACCACTGACAATGAAGGGAGCCATAAGCGGTCCCATGATGATCATGCCAGCGAACAGAGCCACAGCCAGACCACGGTATTGGTTATTGTACATGTCAGCGAAGACAGCAGCTACGAGCGTGAGTGGAGCGGAGCCGAAGAAGCCTACAACCGGGAATAAATTAGCGACTGCTCAAAACCCCTACGATCGAACGATTTGAAAGTGCGGTGCTCACCTGCGAAGAATCGGCATATTATGAGGGTTTGGTAGTCCTTCGCTACAGCCTGGAAATTGAAAAATCTCGTCAGTATCAACATCTTCGCCAACAGCCTTTGCTCTTCCACATACCACTCCGATGTTGAAGACACCAAATCCGAAAGCGGCAATGATGATTGGCAATCGTCGACCGTAAAGCTCACTCATGGGGGCAAAGATGATGGGGCCGAACGCATAGCCAAGAACGACTGTGGAAGTCATGTCAGCACTCAAAGTCCACCAGATCGCGTGTCCTGAACTAACAAAGCGATGTCGCCAACGTCACAACTTCTGCACCTTTGTGGAAGTGTCGCTCGATCTGCGAAATTGGTGAGCACGGAACGTTCGGGTGTCAAATGCTGGTCACTGACATATGAGTTTGCAGCAGACAAGATACTGGATGCGAAAGTGGCTGCCAGAGAGTCGAAAATGAGAATGGCAGAAATGATCAACTTCTTCTTAAGAGGCCAATTCTGAGCGTGCCGCAGGTCCTCGTGTCCATCGAATTCGACCACGTACTCTTCTCTGTCGGGGAGGGGCGGTGGGTACGGCTTGTTTCCGCCGAAAGATGGTAAAGGTGTGCCATCACTGGTCGTAACTTTCGTGCTACCGACTGTTTGCGAGTGCTGAAGACGGTCTAGTTGTTCTTAGTTCTCGACTCGTATTGTACGCTTCCAATCTACTCACGATCCTGCATTCGCTTCACTGCCGTGGGATGCCGGTCGAGGTAATGCATAAACTCATCCTCAAATCTTGTCGATGCCCTTGTAGCCACAGACGGTCGGTGACTTGCGTTGACGGCTCCAGTGCGTATTGACGAGCTTGATGAGGACGACACCGATTCGGCGCGTTCTGCTTGTTCTGTTCCTGCATTCTGCGTGTTCGTTCTCAGAGCTTCTGCCCGGCTCTGTCGGCGAGCCTCTAGCGGTCCATATTCCTTCTCGAATGTGTTGTTTGGGTCGTAGTCGTGGAATTGTTGCGGATCCGCATCGCGCTCGGCGTTCACAATGTCCTCGTCTTCGGTATTCATCTTGGTGGAATGCTCAAGCTGCCTCGAACAAGCTCAACGACGTCTGCTCGAGGATGGCGTGTGTATCAAGATCCTTCAATTCAGCTCTTCCCGTCCCTGCGTCTTCTGCCAAATCGAAAGCTGGGGTCAAAACAATGGGAAAAGGTCAGGAAAGCAACCCAGAGTTGAAAGTCTACCGCACGCCTACGCTCGCAAATGTGCGCCGTCCAATGGCTCTTATTAACAGAGCGCCAACTAGCTGACTCTGCATACATGTACCGTTTCGAGCTTCAAGCCTCTCGCCGGCGGATGACATAGAGTTTCACTCTACGTCACGGAGGGATTGAGCGAGCCGACGGAAACGTGCGGGCACGTACGGGCGTTGGACTGAGTGGGAGAAGCGCGTGCGCGAAATGGAGATACCTACGCAAGACGGAGACAAGCAGCCGCGCGGTCGTAGGGTTGCGGTCGGTCAGGATTGCGACTCTGTCGCCGAAGACCCTCATCGACTTGAAGGGCCCATCGAGGGCAGAGCCTCTCAGGCGTCGGGCGGGTAGCTTCGCTCACTCATCAAACATATCATCAGCTCCTACGAGAAGGACCTCGCTCGTCCAGACGGGCAGCCGCAAAAGCATAACGCCGGCAGCGGCTGAGACCTCGCTCTCCGTTGGATCGCAGTCGTTGGGGCAACTCGACCTACTAATATTCGAGCGAATCAATGGCAGTGTTTCTTGGCCCCTCTCTGGCACCAGGCGGTACGGCCGACCACAGCCTGTTTGGGCCATCGAAACGCAAGGTAGAGCCACGTCTTTGAACCTCGCGAAATCGTGGTTATTGTTTTCTGCGTCTGACAGTATAGGAACAGTACCAAATTGACGTTCCTGAACGGTATTGGCACGTGTCGTTCGTCCGTCCGGTTGGTTGTTGTGTTGTCGTCCGCGGCAACAGGAAAAAATTGGCCAAAGCCCGATGCGTCAGCGCTCAGTCATCTCGCTACAAAACTCCTCCATCACAGAAACCTCTCTCCCTCTGCACTAGTCCACGCATCTTCGGGCTATAAGGGGTCGTTTCATATTTCTGTACGGTCTCGGCCAACAGCCAAATACGGACTGAGCCGGGAGTCCACGGATAATGATCTGCCACGGTAATCAAGTTACCATGAAGAGAAAAACTCCCTACTCACTACTCAGGCTCAGTCAGATCACGTCGGGCGTACCTTACCATTTGCGTGCATAACAGAGTATCTGAACAGCTGGGTGACTAACGTTTCAGCTGCCCGTACAGCACGCTATTATCAAGACATGTCTGTGGTCGCATCCTTGCCTAAACGGGCCTAAGAGATCCTGCATGTGAGTGAATGTCAACGCGAAACCGATCCTGGATAATGCTCTATCAATTCCTCTGCCAAGTTCCTTGCTTCATACTTGGTTCTGCTAATCTATACGACAGTCCGAAGGTCTCGTACTCGCGCTCAACACGGCTACCAAGCTGGAGACTACTTCCTCCCAAAGGCCACAATCGATGTGCCATGCAGAGTTCCCGGCAAGGTAGGTGCAAACTCCTTGACTTTCGCCAGCATGATATTCCTCAGCCTCTGCCTCTCTTCCTCCGAGTAGTCCTTTGTCAAAGCAATCATGTGCGGCATCTACAGAAAGAAACCTCAAAGTCAGCACTCATATCAACCCCTTCTTACCCAAGAAAACAAACTCACCTTCGTGGTCAACAAGTCCAAGAAAGGCCCATACTCCTCCAGCGTCATCTCCACGCCCACCTCAGCACTCTCCACGTCCCTAAACCCAGCCTTCTCCAACTCCCCCTTGACCCCATCCGTCTCCATCCACACCTTCGGAATCCCCTCCATCGCCTTCGTCTCCGGCCGGATCTCCTCCACCAAACTCATAACATCCAACCACTGGGACCCCTTCCACGAAGACAACGCCAGCACACCATCTTTCGCCAGCACGCGCTTACTCTCGCTCAGACACTTCTGCGGATCCGGCGTCATGAAATAGACCCAACCCGCCGTGACGTGCGAGCGAGAGTCATCCGGGATCCCCTTCAGCTCCTGGGCATCTAGTACAGACGTCTCCACGCGCTTCCAGAGCGACTCCGGATCCGCGTCGACTTGCTCCTTCTTCTTGTTATCCACCTGCTCGATCATCGCCGGCGAGAAATCCGACGCACTCAGCACGCACTCGCTCGGGATCTTCGAGCCATAGTCTTCGATGACACGCGATATGATCGGTCCGGGGCCCGTGCCGTCTGCCCACGAAGAAGGCTGTTAGCCAGCCATGCTTTCTGCCTGCTGTCTCACATAAGGGGTGCTATGCTTCACACTTACTGTCGTGAACTCCTGTGGCGGTCGAGAAGGAGCGGAGTTCGTTGAGACGAGAGAGGAGCGCGCCGATGGGTTTGGCGCTGATGGTGACGGTGAGTTGCTGGTAGATTTTGGCCATTTCGGTCCAATCGGCACCGGTCTCTAGTGCTGATGATTAGTCTCTGTATGTGGCTATGTAATAGGTGAGGAAAGATCCATACGGTCCTGAATCTTTGGATTTGTTGTAGATGCCATCTTTCGATTGTTGGCCGCTGGACTTGTTGGTAGATGATTCAGAATCGTTCGAAGTCGTCTCAAGGGACTTGCTATCAATTTCATGCAGACTTTTAGAGTACGATGAGCAAGTCGACTGTTTATTCTAGTATTGACATATAAGAAAGCTGAGGGCTTGCAGCGCGGAGGCCATGAATTAAAGCTGAGCTGCCGGAGAGATTTGGTCTTCAGCAGCAACGTACTTCGGCAACTTTCGCCCCTGACATTCTCTCTACGCGAGGCTCACGAAACGCTCGCATGTGGAAGTCGCCGCGTTTAGTCACGGATGTGTGCGTGGTATGTCCGCCGATACGCTGCCTCGAGGGATGATAGGGCTAAGAGATCATGACTTGGTGGTGGACTTGGTCCAGGACACTTAAAACGCAATGACGAGCAATTCAGAAAGATCTCATGTTCCCAAGTCGATTTTGCTTTCTTCCCATATGGCTAAACAATATACACTGAGCACAGCGCCCCATGCTGTAGCTGTTTACCCAGCCTGAGGTAGGCTCATTCCATCGAACACACCCTTTAAACGTATTCCATTCTCCTCTTCTTAATAGTTCAGCTCGCCTGTTCCTTCTCCCTTATCGGCGTCCAGGTCTTCGTAACTGCGTAGACTACGCCCAACCACCGCCTCGTTGGGACCCATGGTAGCAGTACCGCCTTCCATCATTCCCATCATGCCAGGTCGTCCGCCGCTCATCGAGGGCATTCGGCCTCTGCCATTTCGTTGATAAGGCCCGGGCATTCGATATCCACCGTTCATGCCGTAGCTTCGGCCGTTGTTGCGCATGGGTCCAACTCCGACCATTGGTGGTTGACCACCCCACATGCCTGGAATTGCAACGGGCTGGCCTTGCGGGAATATCGGTGTCATGCCCGGGGGTTGGCCGCCTGTCATGCCAGGTGGCATCGAGAAGCCTATTGGGAATTGCTGGTTAAGCTGGAAGCCGCGCGGAGTGCCGGTGGGGACGTGGTTGTTCAGTGGGAAATGTCCGTTCGAGTTGGCATCGCTCCTGCTAGGAGCAATGTGAGCTGGATCAAGCACATACGTGTTGACCAGCTCCACTTCCGAACGCACACGCTCGTACCAGTCAGCATGGCGCTTCTCGACGTGCTTGCGCCAGAAGTCAACTCCCTTGAAGAGCTTTGTGCATTCGGGGACCTTGCAGCGAAACTTATTCACGTCTTCTTGCGACACAAACTGACACACGTTGTTAGCTGCGGCCAAATGAAGTCGCACTGAATTTTTACTAACCTTGCTCAGCTCTTTCTCGACGCCCTCTTCCAATGGTGTGCCACCCAACTTGCGCAGATTAACGTTGTCAGGTTCCAGAATCTGGAGCACCTTCTCTTCGAAGGTCTTGACCCAGTTGTAAGCCCGCTGAAGTTGCTGTGTGGTTTTGGTGTTCGGCTTCATCAACGACTTCTTCTCCTCGACCGGGCTTTCTGGTTCCATGGCTTCCTCCGTGTCCTCAGTCTTGATATCTGTCCCCTTCTTCCTCAGTGGGAATGCCTCACCTGAAGCACTTGCCCGAGCAGTCTCCTTTGCAGCCGAGGTAAGACTGGCACGAGGACGACGCAAATGCCCACCTGGACACTTGCGCTGCAGCTCATGCACCGAGTCGGACTCGAAGACGCAGAAGAAGCAGAAGTTGTAGACTCTGCGCAGATACTCGACAAGCAAGTCGAGTTTCTTTTTCTTGATCAAGAGCTCTTCGTCGTCGGTCTCGTCTTCATCGACCACGCCTTCCTCCTCCTCGCCTTCTTCAGCCTCAGCATCCATCGCATCTGGGTCCTTTGCGGGATGCGAAGGCTCCACTGCTTTCAACAAGCCACGTTCAGACAGGTCGTGAACTCGCTCTTCGATCTTGGCAACACCAAAGAACTCGTCGCCAAGTTCGTTGTCAAGCTTGCGGACGAGTCTCGTGGCGAGTTCGAGGTCGCGAGCCACGCGCTCAGGGGCAGAAAACAGATCCCACAAAGCCTTCTTCCTGGGCGCATCTGGTGGGCGATGCACACCGCAGTGCACTGTAAAGTTTCCACGCTCGGGATCCTCTATCGTCTTGCCATTTATCTTTTCGAGCGCTTTCTCGCTCGTACTCAACAGTCCACTTGGCAAATCGGATTTCAGAGCCTCGCCTTCTTCTCCTTCTTCGCCGTCTTCACCTCGAGAAATAGTCATTTCCTGGTCGTTTTGCTCTGGCTCTGAGCTGAGGATAATCCAGCCCATGCGATGACACTTCTTCAGTGGATTGGGGTCGGATAGAGAGAGATGCTTGAAACCTCCCTCCTCATCGCCCAGATGCTCCTTTGCGAAAGACTCAAACTTGTCGCGTGTCACGGTAGGTGCAATCGTCTTAATCAACAGGGTAGGCTGCGTAGCGGCAGGGTCACGCAAATCGCCTCCTTTGGATGGGAGTAAATCTCCAACACCTAGCACCTCCGCCGCAGCCGAAGTTTCTCCCTCCTCGCGTTCAAGAATGCCACCCAGGCCGTTGGACTCGGACTTGTAAATGCCCTCGAGAGTGAACTCGTCGAAGACACCAGTCGTCAGATCAGATTCCCACTGCGCGAACAAGCCCTTGCGATACTCCATCAGCTTGCGCCTGAACGGTTCCCGGACTTCAGGGACATAGCGTTCCCGGAACCAGTCTTCGTTCTTGTGCAAACGGACGAACGTCTGCGCCTGAGACTTCTGCAGATTCTCCTTGTACTGGTCGTATGCAGCTTGTATCTTGGGTCTCTCAGCCTCACGATCCTCTCGCGACTCGCGCTCACCTCTCATCCGTGGTGGCGGACGTCCGGTCTTCAAGCGCTCCTTTTCCTCTTTCACACGCTGCTCTACACGCCACCATTCTGCAAACCACGTAAACCCAACCTGGAAGTCGAGTTTCATCGGATCAGGAAGGGGGTTGACAGTGATTGGAGGCTGATCCTGACCCGGCACATAGCGATCGATGGCCTGAGGTGACGACCGTCGCCGTTGATGGGGTTCATCGCGCCCACGAGAATACGCGTAGTCATCTCGAACTCGGTCGGGCTGGTATCGGTCGATCTGGGCGGGCGAGCGGGAACGCCTTCGGTCACGATCGGTTCCGCGTCGACGATCTGCGCGCGTTAGTAGTGGAAGAGTGTCCGTCCAGTATTGCGACCCACCTGGTGAGCGACGTCTATCACGGTATGCCTCGGCAGATCGATAGTCGTCCCGCTCGCGCACAGGCCTTGAGCCTGTCATCAGGTCAGGACTGCGGGCATCGTCGTAGTCGTCCATGGCGGGCAAATCGAGGAGGCTGGGGTTGTGGTCTCCGGCAGGTGATTGTTTACGGCGGCTCCATCAAGCACAACGAGCAAACGGACGGGCCGTCAGTTCAAGGCGCAGATATATTGTGTTGTGTTGAGGTCTTGCTGTATCGATGTGGTGCCGTCGAGATACTCAGCCGCGAGTCGGCGCGGGAGGGCGATTGACTGTGTACCAGGCGGGCATAGTTAGGTAAGCTCAATCAAAGAAGAAGTAGAAGGTGAGGAACAAGAAGGGCGTGGCAGAATACAATGGCACAAGAGGGGCAGGGCAATGGGGAGGTCGAGAGGGCGAGCTGCAACGGGCTCGCAACAGGGCGGCGGGAGAAACGAAGGTGGGCATGGCGGCGGCGGGTGGGGCGCGGAGAGCGACTCCGCAACAAGAGGAATGAAAGGGGCCATACGAACAATAAGGATGGGCGCGCGTGAGGGCGACGCTGCTGGCGGGAGACGGGGCAGCTGAGAGGTGAAAGGACGACGGCGAGGTCGAGCAGCTGGCCCTGGGGTGGAGTGGAAACGGCGCTAGCGAGCTGCTCGGTCCGCCTCCACTCGGCGGAGATCCACACGTGGTCTGCCAATGGCTTCGACTCCGATGTCAGAACAAGAAAGATACAAAGCGTCTGTAGGTACAGCATCAGTCAAATCTTGAATTAATTGCTGATTGAGATATTTAGCACCATGACGACCTACATCCCCTCCCTCACCCTCCCGGCGTTCGTCTTCGAACAGCCCGCCGCGGCCATCCTCCTCCCCATAGCTGCTGGTACAGCAGTCGGTTTCTCCATCTCGCCCAAGGAGACTCAGAAGACATATCTTGATCTGCGCCAACCACCTCTCAGACCACCACCATGGGTATTCGGCCCAGTGTGGACTGCGTTATATGGAGCGATGGGATATGCGGCATATCGTGCTTGGACAACTGGCATGAATAGCTTCGACGCGAAGAAGGTCGTTCTTGCAAAGGTGGGACAATTGATGGCAGCGCTCTCTCATGGCTATCAACTGACTCTTGATAGCACGGCGCAACACTTTACACTATCCAGCTTGCCCTGAACCTGATCTGGACGCCCCTCTTCTTCGGCTTCAAGCGTCCCATCGAAGCTTCTGTCGACATCGTTGCGTTGACGGGTGTTACTGGATACCTGGCCTACATCTGGGGTCAGGTCGACGAGGTTTCTGGGTGGTTTCTGGCACCATACCTCGCATGGCTTGGCTTCGCCAACTATCTGTGCATCGGAGCTGGTTACCTCAACGGCTGGTCTTTTACCGACAAGGAGAAATCGCTGTCTGAAAAGCCAAAGAACAACTGAAGAGCAGACGAAAGCCTTTCGATTCGGTGACTGTATGAATGGGACAATAGCTAGGCGTTGCTGGTTCGATACCTCACTCTGTACAGGCTGTAATGAATCCAAACATCACACCACGATTAGCTTGGCCGTACTCATGGTCTCTGTTCCAGCCAACGACATCCAGGTTCTTGCTGCGGACTAATCTCATGAGAAGACATGGCGGCGCAAATGCGGAGATGGGCCAGAGTAGCAAGCAAACATTCACACATCATGTCACTAAGCATCTGGAGTGGCTGCATCTGTGACACCTCAAGGCGTCGTCCAATGCAACACCAAGAGGTCTGTTTTAAGGACGCAGCTGTCAAAAAGGGTACTTTCCAGCCCGTACGACTTGCCACGCAATCGTCGATGTCCCAGCAGAGCACAGTCGAGGCGATGCAGAATTGACTTGAAACGTCCATCGCTACAATGTAAGTGGTAACAGAACAAAAGAACCAGCATGCTAACCTCGCAGCGACGGGGAAAAGCGGCTGGTTTTGATGCAAGTGGTCCCATTTGCCTGAATGAACCATCCCGGTGCATTGTCCATTCATGCACTGGGGCTGAAACGGACGCAATGCGTATTGGCCCGATACATCGACCATGTCGGCTTCAAGTATCTAGGCCTGCACCTTGCCGTCGCTGTTCATGCAGCAGGAACAGTGTGATAAGTGACAGGACGCACATCGACTGCGGCGGCCTCATCGATGCACCACCACGGCGCAGCGAGCATCAGAAACGTGCCTCAGCATGGATCAATAATTAGCAAGAGGCCGCCCTTTGCGGGGCATTGATGCGCAGCAGACAGTGGGCAGATGCACTTCGTAGTACGAAGGGCGAAGGTGTGAAGCTGCATCACAGGCGGCCTCCCGCGACTCCATCGACCGCTCATTGGCCCTTCTCAGCGCGCCCCATGCAAGCACTGCAAGCCTAGCGACAGTGGTCGGACAGTTGCCTTCGTCTTACAGTCGATACGGTCATACACTTCACTTTGTGTGCAATGCGAACCCGCCGACCTTGCGAAGTCTCCACGAAGCCTCACTTCCCTCTTCGTCATGCGCACCGGCATAAACTCTCGTCTTGAAGCGGTCCGGTCCTGACCATTCTCCTTCCCAGATCCCAGCCTTCAGCCTGTCGACTTTCTGTTTCACTTTCGGCCCCAAGTCCTCTGCCATCGTTTCCTAGTATGAGGACACCGACTTAGAGAGAGGTCATATATCTATTGGGCTCGGCTTCCTTCGCTTCTCAAGCCTCACCATCCCCGGCCTCACATTCACTGGCTGGCAGTGTCGAAAGGTAATTCTACATCACACTCCATTGAGACAACAACCTACGATTGAAGTGGCAGTTCAATCTGAACCCACGATGCCTGGCGCGACGGCTTGCGGCTGGTGGAGTGACTTGTTTGGAGTACATGGCTGACCGGTCGCAGGGTATTCAGCCCAACATGGCTCAATTCGGCAGCGATGGCTACAACTATTATTCGGGCCAGGTAAATATTCTTTCTCCAGAGTTCACGGGGCATTGGATATCTGACATCGCATCGCAGGGCTTTCAAGGCTTCGACCCAAACCTCATGCCAGACTTCAACAATATGGCGGCGCAGCAGCAGCCTTTCACGCATAGGGCTTCCGACCCGCTGGCATATATGCACATGCAGTACAACGAGCTTGCCCGTGCGGGTCGGGATATGCCAGTTCACCACCTCACCAAGCCTGAAGACAATATGCCATGGAATGGCCAATTTCGGGATGGCGTGCAGCAACAACATCAGCAGTTTGATCCGCGTGCGTGGCAAGGCAACGTAAACGAGCGAGGGGCGAAAACCGAGCCCGTGCCAAATCAACAGACCTATATCGGACGGATTGGCTCTCAAAAAAGCTCTGATGTTTCCGATTCAGCCTACGCGTCCTTGCCCACGTCCAGCGTACCTGTGGAGAACTACAATTCGAACAAGCAAGAACTAGAGCAGGACTTCCAATCGCCCTGCTTCGACACACTCAAATCTGAACACGGCAGCGAGGTTCATCTAGCAATCAGTGCACCGGATCCGCCTCGAAGTGTCAAGTCCGAGGGACATCACTTGACGAGAGACAGCAGGAGAAGGGTACAACTGGTACCATGTTCGTGGTGTGGTAAACAACCCAAAAATCTCTCAGACGCAAAGTATGTAACTGGCAGCTATGACACCGTGGTACAAGGCATATCCATTGACAAATGAAACAGGAAGCACTCGCTCACGCACGTCAAACCCCATCTTTGCGAAGAACCAAATTGCGAGCGCACAAAGGGGTTTGCTACGATTAACGATCTGGAACGACACAAGAAGAGTGTACACAGTCTTCTGCCGTCTGTTGGTTCGGCGGCAGGTTATATCTGCGCGGCGTGCCCGGTGCCTGACGGTGGTAGCCAAAGGAAGTTTTGGCCTCGAAGGGATAACTTCAAGGCGCATATCAAGCGCAAGCATCCCAAATACCACGAAGGCCAGCTGATTGAGGCGTAAGTATTGTAAGGCTTGCTCTATCACTCATCGCTAACTTGAAAACAGATCAAAACACGATAGGAGACCAGACGACGCTCGTACAGTAGAAGAAGACAACAAGTCCGTTCGCTCAGCGATGCAATCTTCCCGTCGTTCACAAGGCGACTACAACGAGCCTCAAAAATACCAGATGTCCCCTAACCTATCTCGTACTATCCCTGATCAGCCTGACTTCGGGAACAACATCTTTCCGGACTCTGCCATCGACATGCAACAGGACAACTTCGCTGGTATGGGCGAGCATGCTACAGACTCGAGTATGACTTTTCCACAATATTCTATGGGCTCAACAGATTCAACTGCTGCTGATGGGTTTGATCTACTTTCCAACAACAACAGCAGCAGCTGTAGTGGCTTTAGCATGTCGACATCGCCGTCCAAGAAACCGAAACTCAACCGAGAGACACTCCCATACAGACACAACCCCAATCCCGTCTTCCAGATCACGGGCCCGGAGCACAGCACAGTATCTTTTGCTAGCAATACGCAATCTACAGCAGCATCGTCCACCGTCCAGGGCGAATTCAAATGCCCCAAATGCGACAAAGTCAAGCGACGGGACTGCGATCTGAAGTAAGCCTTCACACCCATCATATCACGTTTCCTACTAACACTACCCTCTTCCTCCAGAAAACACATGAAACGCCACACGCGCCCCTACGGCTGCACATTCCCCTCGTGCCACAAGAAATTCGGCTCCCGCAACGACTGGAAACGCCACGAAAGCTCCCAGCACTTCCTCCACGAAATGTACAAATGCGAAGCCCCCCGCCACGACGGCACGCCCTGCACCCGTCGCCCGTTCCGCGATATCGAAGCTCTGAAGAAACATCTCCGCGGCGACGATCACCGTCTGCAGTGCACCGACGACGAGATCCTCGCAGAGTGCAAACGATACCTTCTCGGTCGCGAGGGTCATGAGAGGTTCTGGTGCGGCTTCTGCCAGCGCCTCGTGTCGCAAGAGAAGGCTCTGCAGAATGCTTGGGACGCGCGGTTCAAGCATATCGGGGATCACTTCGATAAGGAGGGCAAGGATAGTGGGGATTGGGTGTGTATTGAGGAGAATAAAGCGAAGAGGTTCATCGTTCCGGTGGAGGATGGGAAGGGGAATGGGAAGAGGAGGGGGAGTTATCGGAAGGATGGGGAGCAAGAGGAGGAGGCGGAGTTGCCGGTTTTCAATCCGACGGGTGGGAGTGGGTTTGGGGGGATGGGGGAGTATGAGCGGGGATTTGTTGGGTTTGTTGGGGAGCGTCAAGGGCTGAAGAGGAAGTGTTCGGCTATGGAGCTTGATGCGGATGGGGAGAGTGATTATGAGATGAATTGAACATGACTGGCAGATTGGTTTCTGATGTATCAAGGCCTTGGTGTAGAATGTTCTCCTGGAGAAGGGGCGAGGTGACGGCCGCGGAGATTGAAGTGTTCCATACTGTGCGATTAAGATGCTACCTATGTTATCTTGAAGTACATCGATACTGACCATAGTCCTGTTGATCGTAAGCGCATACCAGTCCGCAAGAACCACACTATCCCCTCCATCCACACTCTCTCCCTCAATATGCCCTCATCGTGCTTTTCGTCGTCCACGTCCCAGTACTCGTATCCAGCACCGTAGGCACCTCAGTACTCAAAGCCACACTCCCATTGACCGCACTCAAACTCTTCGTCAACGTCGGCAAACCCCCCAGAATAGCACTATTATCCTCGGCCTCGACACTGACATACAACGCCTGCTCCTCCACAATCGGATCCGTCTGCCCCTCCCCAAACAGACTCCCCTCATCACTCGTCCCAGAAGCACTGTCCTCCCCAGCCTTGAGCAGAGCCAAAAGACTAAAATGTCCCCCGACCACAGGCCTCGCGAGGAATTGTACGACGTCCGGCGAGCTCGGCCAGGAACCCGTTCCAATTGTTTCGTGGAGATCCGTCAACGGGAGGTTGGTCGACGTATTATTTAGCCAGTACGCCAATGAATTGACGAAGAGCCTCCGCGTGGAAGGGGAGCAGGTGGCGGCCGTCCACATCTCCCAGTCGCTCTTGATGTAGCTGTGTCTGCTGTCCAGGGGCACGCCGTATATCTGGGAGACGGTTGGGTAGAATTTGCTTTGCATGTCGTAGATTTCGTCGGGGATGAGGCCGAGGTTGAGGAGTTTGTCGGGGTAGGTGTTGTATAGCAGGCCCCAGGATGAGCGGAGTTGGTAGGCTAGGAGGGTATGTGTTCCTGAGGGGTCGATTGCGTATTCGGTCCATCGTTGGAAGTAGGTTGTTGTGATGTTTTCGTAGATATCGGCGGCGGTGGTTCTCCCAACTACTTCGCTGATTAGAGATATTGCTTTCAGGCCGATGATGCCTTTGATTGCGAGGTTGGTTTGGTTTGTGAGTGTGCCTGCGAAGTCGTCGATGCTTAGCTGGCTTTTGGGGATGAGGGAGTAGTCAATGAGGTATGTTGCCCATTGCTGCATGATTGGGAAGTGTGCCTCGAGAAAATGGGCGTTACCGCTGAACTTGTAATAAGCGTATGACATGATGAGCATATTGCCACACTCTTCCACTGGCATCGGCTCGTCGTCTCCAGCGATATGGCCTGTGCCGTTGGGAAAGGCTGTTCCAAGGTCGTGTATAGCCTAGCTATTGGGGTAGAAGCCAGCTTCTTGATTGAGGTAGAGAGGCTCGACCAAGAATCTGATCAACTCTGGGTACGTGTAGAGGAAGAAGGGCATCGCGGGATACATTACGTCGATTGTGTTCATGTTGCCATTGCTAGAGATTTCTTTCTGGAACATAAAGGGCTCGCTTTGATGCGTTGAGAAAGACTCGTTGCATGTAGGAGGTGGCGGTGCGGTGAGAATGTATGCGCCCATGACCTGGCGAGCTGACAAAGCTACGATGGCGTAGTAGCTGTCCGCCTCCGAGATGTCAGGTACCGCGATGCCAGAGGAGTTGTTCGCGTCCAGGAAGCCATACGCCGTGGCAGGATCGAACGTGTAATCCTGTCCAAATTGATCGGTGGCATTCACCGGCTCTCTTGTAACATTTGCGGAAGGAGGGTTGCCATCAGGGAAATGGAGAACGGCTGTGTTGTCTTGGTAGTAACGATCCACATCCTCCCGAAGCTGAGCCTCAAATGCTGAGCCTTTGGCAGAAGCAGTCGCAAAGTCCGCGTAGTGGAAGTTGACCATCTGAAGCATACCGCCATAGCAACCCATCCACCATGGCTCAAGCTTGGAGAGACCATTTGTGCCCAGATACTGCGCTGTGGGACTTTGCATGCTTCCGACTGTATAGAGTACACTGCCGTTGTATCTGAGATCCATATCATGGGCAAAGGCGAAGACAGGCTCCCGGTCAGTCGAGCTGCGAAACGTCTGATCTGCCAGGCGTGAGAGCGTATTGTTCGTCAGATAACGATCCCTCAGATCCACACTGTATCCCGACTGCCATGTGAAGACATGTCCAGTACCAGACGTGCTGGTGTACGTGAATGTACCCCATAGTGGAAAGTCTTTTTCACTCTCGCCCGCGAAGACCTGTTCGTCGGGAGCGATCTGCGCTATCCAGCTGATCAACGCGTGTGCAGGGGTAACATTACTTGGTGATCCAGTGATATTGCAATCGAAGCAGTTGGGTTCGATCGCCCAGTTCAGATTGTATTCTCCATCTGGATCGATCCATGCACCGTTGACGTCGGATTAGAACTTTACCGAGTGTGCTTGGCCATCCAACGTGTGGAACTCGGTGTACAGGTAGCTTAGAGGGATGCTCGTACGGCAGAGGTCTTGGGGGATGACGGGGGAGAAGAAACAGGCGGTAAGTTCGACCGGTCCAGCAATGAAGGTGAAGTTGCTCCACTGACTATCGTAGTTGACTTTAGTCGGCAGTGCTCTGGACAGGTTCGCTCGAGCTGGGAAAGCTTGGAAACCATTCCCCAGGTACTCATAGCTGACATTGTCCACGGTGATAATGCCTTCCCAACCCAGACCTTCCCCATTGAAGAATATTATGTTGTCAAGAGTCCCCAGTCCCCTCGTAGTCGTCCAAGCGTTTGTGTACGGTGATCTCACCGCGAGCGGAATTGCCGGCGGCTTGGCTGGAGAGTAAATTGGAATACCATCGGTAGGACCAGATATAATTTGGGTCCTGGTGAAACGTGTAAAGAGCAGGTATATATGCAAGATCGCGAGCGTAGCCATGGGACGTTATTCTCCGCGAGTACTGCAGGCAGGAGGAAGTTCTCGAAAGACGTGCTTTCTGAATGTACACAGGAGATATTTGAAGCAGCACTCACCTTCACCGACATCTCGAATGCCAGTCGTACGCGACAAGAACTGTCAATGCTGCAGTTCAGTCCATGTTGACGATGTGACGAAGCATGCTGTCAAGCAGCCACAGAAAGCGCCTCCGTCTACACAAGGGCCTCTTCAGCAGAAGAAACGGGGACGAAACGCACAGCTCCCTGACAGATATAACTTGCAGTGGGAATCAAAGGGCGGACAACTGCAGCGTCACCAGACGAGCAGGAGTTGTACAGTTGTACGAGTGTTGAGGTACGGAATTCAAACGAGAATGGGCCGCAGTCGACGCGTGACGTTGGAAGAGAGTTCTTGGCAGCTGCAACGGCCAATCAATATTTAGGTAACGATCAATGAACTCTAATGCGGGGCCCGAGTCCGACGTCAGTTTCACTTTCACATGCCGCCGCTGACCTCGGTCTATCAGCTGCATCGCTCTGCCGCGTGCCAGCAGCCGCAGACTCATTCTCATTCCCTTCACGCCTCTGCCATCTTGAAATCGTGCAGTCTCTTTCACCACTTCCCAATACCGACACTTATGAACAGATCAGTCCAGTAAAATCCCACCCCCGTGTCGCCAGTCGACACCCACCACCCCCCGCCATGGCCGACACGTACAAGCAGCTGCAGGTAATGCTCCATTAGCTACGGGGCAATATGGAATGCTGAGACAGTAGCACCCAGGCCTCCTTTGAGCGCATCATTCTCGACCCCAAGTACAAACAGCCCCTCATCCTCCTCAAAGCCATCCGCAATGGCGCCGTCTATGGCACAAAAGTGCGCTTCCCCCACGCGCTGGTCATGATCTTCCTCTTCCGGTCCGGCACCATCCAAGAGAAGGTCAAGATGGTCTTCAGAGCAACGCGGCAACACGCCATGAACCTCGCCAAGTTCGCCCTCCTATACAAGAGCAGCATGCTGGCGTTGCGCAACGTCAACGGGAAAGAGCAGCCCATACACAGCTTCCTCGCGGGGCTCTTCGGCGGATACTGGGTCTTTGGCCAGTCGTCGAGTAGCGTCAACCAGCAGATCGTCATCTACGTGTTTGCGCGCGTGGTGCTGGCGTTGGCCAAGCTGGCAGTCCAGCCACCCGGAGACAACGCGCTCGTGGGCAGCCATTACGGAGGCCACGGCGGTATCGGGGTCTTCAAACTGTCCGAGGACCAAGTCAAGACGATACAAAAATATGCCTGGCCCGCGTTCGCCAGTATCAGCTGGGCCGGCGTCATGTGGTTGTTCGAGGGATACCCCGAAACACTGCAGCCCAGTCTGCGCAGCAGCATGACTTATATGTACGTCGACGTCTCGTTCAGTCCTGTTTTTGAGCAGAAAGAGCGGAACCCTACGCTTCGTCATCCCCGTACACATACTACTGACACAGGAGCTGACGAGCAATCTTCCCTTCTCCGTAGATATGCCAACTCGGAAAAATGGGACTCGTCGAGGAATTTCCTCTGGCACAACAAATGATCATCGAGAGACACCTTATTCTATTCACCCTCCTTCCTGCATAGCGCGGCTTTTTTTTGTATTTGGGCCATGTCACGACTTGTCAGGAGGATATGCAAGCTGTACATGTAGCATGCGTTTTGTGTTTTTGAACGGCCGTTGGATATCACGAGCGAGATGAACAACAGAGAGAGAACACGGATGAACCGCTGACGTGAGCGATTACAGCTTCGCGAACTCAAACTATTGGAATAGTCTGGACACGTACATCTGGCAGTACAGTCAGGTTCCACTGCCGTCACCACCGATCCCTGGAGCGGCGCCGTAGAAGCTGAGCAGCAGCCTGATTTAACGACGTGATAGACTAGACGGGCTAGACGGGCGTTTCAGGGAAGGTTGCAATGTTTACCAAGCGGACGCTGGGGGTGGTACACTTGTTTGGTTTGACAGGGCAGTGGAGATAGAACGAGTACTAGGAATGCACTCAGGGGCTTCGAATGTGTTTCGATTGATTCTTTCGAACCCTCGTCGTTCTCTTTACGCGGCTAAAGTGAAGGGCTTACAGCCATCCTCTCTCTACGGTCAGAAGCGACCAAGCTCACGATGGCAGCTCGAGTTGTTGATATGCCTAGAGCCTCTCTCCGTTTGGACGAGAACGCCCCTACCAACCAGCGTGACCACCCGTGTTCTGGAGACCAGGGTCACCAGCGAAGTGCTCCTCTGTATTGTTTTCGCCCCATCCACCGCCCCCACCTCCACCTCCGCCAGCATTGTTGTTGTCGCCCCATCCGTCGTCGCCGCCTCCCGCGTTGTTGTTATTACCCCATCCGCCCCCACCGCCTCTGCTCGACTTCTTCTCATCTGCACCCCATGCATCTCCGCCGCCACCTCCGTTATTGTTGTTGCCGCCCCAGCCACCTTGATTGTCGTTCTTGTTCTGAGTTCCTCCCCACTGACTGGCAGAATCGCTCGGCTTGACCTCATCGTTCCCACCATCCGCCCAGCCACCACCACCACCTCCTCCACCAGCCTTCTTACCCCAAGCATCATCTTTCTTCGACGCAGCTCTCGAAGCCGGCTTAGCAGAGCCTCTCCCACCCCCCGTCATCCTCATCTTCATCATATTCGCCACCAACTCATCCTTCGGCATATTCATCAACCCCTCCTTCTCCGCCTCCACAATCGCCCTCGGCACATCCCCCATATCAACCTTCCGCTTCAGAATCTTCTCCAGCGCCGCTTTGCTCCGGTACTTGAACGTGAAGATCGCGTAAGGCTTCTGCATCGTGTCCAGGTACTCCGGTCGATACGTCTGATGGGTGTAGTTGGCGCCCCGGCCGGCTTGCACGCCGTAGTTGACGCTGCTGGCTTTTCCGGACATGGCGACGGGGGGTGCGAGGGCGGGATATACGTATGGCTCGCGGGGTTTGGCGCGTGGTTTTGCGGCGTCGTCTTGGGTTTTGTCCCAGTCGGCCCAGTAGGGTTTGATGACGGGTTCGCAGATCGTGGACGCATCGCCTTTGGGGTTTCGTCGGCGGGAGGGGTGATTGCTGGCGGCTTTCGAGCCTCCCCAGCCGTCGTTGTTGTTCTGTGCATTCGACTTGTTGTCGTTTTGTGCTCCCCAACCGTCACCACCGCCGCCTCCACCGCCGTTGTTCCAAGTTTGGACTTTACTCTTGGCTGATTGGGACTTGTTTCCATCATCGCCGCCACCGCCCCAGTTGTCGCCTGCCCCATTATTGTCGTTGTTGTTCGTCCAACCTTGAATCTGGGTCTTACTTCGCGAGCGATTGTTGTCCGAGTGTTTTGAGGCGCTTTGCTGGCCCCAAGCATCGTTGCCTTTATTGTCATCCTGGTTGTTGTCGCCCCATGCATCTCTATTCGACCTGTTCGATTTGGCATCATGCCAGCCGCCACCATTGTTACTCTGCTGATCGTTGTCCCAGTTGTTGTTGCCTTGGTTTTTCTCGCGCGCTGCGTCTGCCTGTCGGTCGAGCTCGTCCACAGGCGCTCCTGGTGCCCATCCACCGTTGCCTTGGTTGTTGTTGTTCCAGGAACTTTGCCGGTTTTGATTTTGTTGACGACCACCTCTCTGCATTTGAGCTCTCTTCATGGCAGACAGACGTCCACCAGTCTCGCCTTGACCAACTTCTTGCCAGCCCTGATCTTGTCCAGCGCTCGGATGGCCGCTTTGCGCATTGGGAGATGGAACACTGTACTGCTGAAGCCGTGGATCGCGCCAATGTTGAAATTGCGGATGGCTCATTGGAACGAGCCTCCTCTCCAATACCACGTAGTCTCGTGCGAAGTTCCACTCAGCCTCAGACATCCGATTCATTCGAGTGACAAGCGAGGACCACAAAGCATTGCTTTCATCTTGCAGAGTACTCAACGCCTGCTCCTTCGCACGCGCAGCCTTCACAGCCACCAGGTGTACTTCCGGATCGTGACGGTTCACTTGTGCCTCCTGTTGCAACTGACCGAGCTTTTGGGTCTCCTCGAATTGCAGACGCAACACTACATCGATTTGTTGACAAAGCTCTTGGATGAAATTGAATCCTTCTGGAACTGGATTGTGTCTGTTTCGAGGAGTCAGCTGCGCACTAGGTGGATAGACGAATCTCTCCATCGGCGGTGGCGGCGGCGGCGGCGGCTCGGGCATCTGCTGAGGGAGTCTTGGATCAAATCTACGCCTCTGATGAAAATCGTAACCCCCCATTGGCGATACGACTGGATAATGACCTGCGGCTGTCCGGGGACGTGGATCGTGGTAAGCATCTCCATACTCGTTCAGTGGGGGCGCTCTGTCAGCGCGTCCACCATGCACAGTGTAAGGTCTTGGCTCGAGACGATCGTCTCTGTATGTCCTGCCATCGTATTAGTACACTGTCCCCGTGCGCAGCTGAGATTATGTCTCACCGGTAGTCAGGCAAGGGCCTTGGATCTCTGTCATAACGTGGAGTATACGCTGGGTAGCCAGGACGGTCGCCGGCACCATCGAAGAGACCAAACATACCACCGAAGCTGTCCCCGGCTTCGGCTTCTTTCTTGGACGGAGCTTTCAAAGGTGCTTTTGAAGGGGCCTTCGAGGGCGCCTTGGAAGCCGCCTTTTCGGCAGGGTCTGCTTTGTAGAGAGTAGCTGAAGGGATTGGTTGAGGTCCAATGGGTGCTCCAGCTGTGTCCGTCAAATATTCTGTGCTGCCATCGACACGGCCACCTTTACAGCGAAGGAGGACAACCTCGATGGTGCCGACATTCTTGGTGAAGTTCGCATTGACATTCGGTGCCATGTCCGCATTTGCTAACAGTGTGAGCGTGAGCGTGCCTTGTTGAAGATTGTGAGTGCATCTTACCTGTTCCGAGATTGGAGAAAGTCCATTCTCGAGCAATAAACTGGCCCTCAGATGTCTTCTCCTCCCTCTGGCGTAGTTTGAAGTCCACTTCATACTCGCTGGTGCTCATTCCAGGACATGGAGTCTGGAGCTTTTGGCGGTTGCGGTTACACTGGTATTGGCCGTCGATGAAGAGATAAGCCGCCAGCCCGGGTGCGATGTATCCGTTGCTCGTGATGTGGACTTGGAATGGTATGTCGGACTCAGGCACCGCCACAAATGCCTCGACGCCGCCATCGGTGTAGCGATGACCGTACTCCTTGAGTTTGGTGTTGCTGGGACCCAGCTCGAGGGAGCAGGTCACCTGTTTGAGCGTAGGCATGATAGCCCGATGGTGTGTCGCTTGTAGTGGTGTGGTCTCTTAATGGGTCATGGTGCCGAGTTGGTTGGCAAGTGGAAGCAGCAAGAAGTGGAAAGTTGCTGGCGGGTGGGAAATATTGAAGTGGAATTGTGGCAGCGTTTGCGATGCGGGACACATACAAACAAACGTGCCGATTGATTCACTTACTAGGGAAGGCACATGTTTCTGCATCCCATTCAGGTCGCGCTCTTTCCCGATTTAGCACACGCGTTCAGGAGTATGTCGCCTTCAGGTCTTTAGCCATACCTCACCTGGGTACAGACTTGCTTCTATCTTCCATTTAGATGGACTTTCTCTCCAAGACCTTGTTGGCGCAGTTGACAATGAGATGAGAACGGACTTGATGGAAATAGGCCTAGATGATGCGATGCGTCTGTGCTCGAGAAGACTTTGGCCGGCGGATTCGCGCCTACGATCCTCTCTCCTAACAAAGACTCTCGCCATTTGCAACAAGATGGCCATGATACGGGACGGAAAAAAAGAGGTGACGATGAAGAAGTGCTACAACGCACCGGCAGGACAGCGGCAATGTGTCAGACAGACGCTGTGGCCCACTGACTCCGTCACATGCCAGCCACTTGCGTGGACCCTGACGAGCTTTGCAGAGCAGCTGCAGCTGCCAACGCGAGAGCTTCCACCCACGACGAGACGCGGTATGCGCTGCTGCTGCTGCTGAGTTCCGCCTTTGTCATACACCAGGTCGCAATCTATCTGTTATTTTTCCTACGCAAACCTCCTTTGTGATAGATCTCCTACGTGACAGACACGGTCATGCTACCATCCGCTGCGAGTCGACTCTAATATTGGACCACTGCCAACCAGCGCCAGAGAACCCGCTTCTGCCAACACGAAATACCCACGGGTACTACCAAGATGATGCAGCGCAGCCCCATACCGCCCTCGTTCCCCCCGCACCACATAACACATGGCGAGGATTCGGACGACAGTGAAGATCTCGACGCTGCCGTCTCGTCTGGACACGACGGCAGCGAGGTTGATGTGCGGGACCACGTTCACGAATCTGAGGGCCTTGTGAGAAGAGCATCGAAAGATTTGGAGGGTGATAAAGAAATTGCAGCGTTGAATGTCACAGCAGCAGAGGACGCAGAGCCGCAGGGAATGCTGGCAAGAGACAAGCAACGGCGCACTACACATTACAACTATCAACTAGAGAAGCAAATGTCCCACGTAGAAGCCAAGCAGTTCTACCAGCAGCAGCGGCAGAATACGGCAGACGATCAAGGAGGCAATACGGCCATGTCGAGTCCCGTCTTGCGTGCCAAACCCTTTTCGCAACTTGGGCAAGATTCTTTCCCACGTTCTGGCAGTGTGCACAGCAGACATAGCTTCATCAAGGAACCCGGCTTTCGATCCGCTCTTCCAGTAGGTCTCAGCGATCCAAACAAGGACCCAAACAGCTCCACCATCCAATCACCCAGCATCGGCAGATTCGACAACATCAACGGTGTGCAACCCGCAGGCAATGGCACAGAGGATCCACTTCTCGCTGCAGACAGAGCTGCAAGGGCCCACGCTCTCCACCCTGGCCTTCCTCACGAGTCTAAGCCTCTTCTCGAGCAAGAAGGCATTCATGGAGCAGGAGCCGGCGTTGGGATGGACGCTGTCAACGAATCCAGCGTGACCACCGAGCTCAACGCCATCTATTCGAACATCCAAAAGATTCTGGATCTACGGCATAAGTACATGAGGTTGTCGTTGCAAGGCCCGCACGACAATCCACGAGATGACCCTGGATGGAACCTGTATCCTCCACCGCCGGAGCCGGTCTGGTATGAGAACAAGGAGCGTGGCTACCAGAAAGGGGACGAGGATGGAAAAGATTCTGCCAGGACACCAACGACACCGAAGAAACCGCAACGTAAGATGGGTCAAGACATCGGTGAAGACTTCGATTTCGATGAATGTCTACCACTTCCTGAAGCGGCCGAAATGACATACAAGCTTGACTCCAAAGGCGTGTACCAGGTGTACGAGACGGCGCAATCTGTAGAACTGGGCGAACCTATAGTGCACATCCCTGACATCAGAGAGTTCTACATGGACCTCGACAGCATTCTCGGCATCGGCTCAGACGGGCCAAGCAAATCGTTTGCATACCGCCGACTTCAGTACCTGGAAGGAAAGTTCAATCTGTACGTCTTGTTGAACGAGTACCAGGAGATTGCAGACACCAAAGCTGTACCGCATCGTGACTTTTACAATGTCCGAAAGGTGGATACTCACGTCCACCATTCTGCCTGCATGAACCAGAAGCATCTCTTGCGATTCATCAAGAGCAAGATGAAGAAGTCGCCGGACGAGGTTGTCCTCTTTAGAGATGGCAAATTTCTCACACTAAAGGAAGTGTTCGAGAGTATCAACTTGACCGCCTACGATCTCAGCATCGACACGTTGGACATGCATGCTCACACCGATTCGTTCCATCGCTTCGACAAGTTCAATCTCAAGTACAATCCTGTCGGAGAGAGCAGACTCAGAACTATATTCCTGAAGACGGACAATCACATCAAGGGCCGATACCTGGCTGAGATCACCAGAGAGGTCATGTCAGACCTGGAGAGCAGCAAGTACCAGATGGTTGAATGGCGCATCAGTATCTACGGACGATCAATGGACGAATGGGACAAGCTAGCCGCCTGGGTCGTCGACAACAAGCTGTACTCGCCCAATGTACGATGGTTGATTCAGGTTCCGAGACTGTACGATGTCTATAAAGCGTCCAGTCTCATGGATAAGTTCGAAGAGGTGATCAGGAACGTCTTCCAGCCGCTGTTCGAAGTCACTCAAGACCCAAGCAGCCATCCAAAGCTGCATGTCTTCCTACAGAGAGTGATCGGGTTTGACTCGGTGGACGACGAGAGCAAGAGCGAACGGCGAATCTACCGCAAATTTCCCCTGCCCAAAGATTGGGACACAAAACAGAATCCACCTTACAGCTACTGGATCTACTACCTCTTCGCCAACATTGCTTCCCTCAATGTTTGGCGAAAGCAGCGGGCCTTCAACACCTTTGTGCTACGTCCGCATTGCGGTGAAGCAGGTGATACTGATCACTTGGCTGCGGCGGTCTTGTGTTGCCACAGCATCAGTCACGGACTGCTCTTACGCAAGGTACCTCTGTTGCAGTACATCTTCTATCTTGAGCAGATCGGTGTCGCCATGAGCCCTTTGAGCAACAATGCCCTGTTCCTAGCCTACGAACGGAACCCATTCTTGCAGTACTTCCGACGTGGTCTCAACGTCAGCTTATCGACCGACGATCCGCTACAATTCGCATTTACGAAGGAGCCCCTGATCGAGGAATATGCCGTCGCAGCACAGATCTACAAACTTTCTGCCGTTGACATGTGCGAACTGGCAAAGCATTCCGTCATCCAATCCGGATTCGAGCACACGATGAAGCAGCGATGGTTGGGTAACAACTACTATCTGTCAGGAGTTGCTGGCAATGACATGGCCAAAGTAAACGTACCCAACATTCGCGAGGCCTTCCGTCATGAAACGTGGTTGCAGGAGATGGCCATGATCGATCGATACACCAATGCACCAGCGGCAAACCGTCTCAGCACCAATGCTCTGGCCCCAGGCGGCTACTCTGCAAGCACCACTGCGGTACCGCCTAGCCCGACCGCGAGCATGAAGACGAACCCTTCGGCTACGAACCCAATGCACGGTGTCGATTCGACCAACTTCCGCCCTGGATCGAGCAACTACCAAAACCCGAACATTGCCGCCACACCGCAAGCCTACCAGGCTAGTGCACAAGCTGCCCGTCTTTCGACAACCCTGTCCCAGCTTGACCTCGCGCAGCAAGATGGAGCATCGACGAACTATGCCTCCAGAGTCCACACCTTGCGTGAGCAGCCCTCGAGATCGTCCAACTTAATACACAACTCGCCCATCACCTACGACAACCCCAACGCCGTCTACCCTCCTCTCCCACAAGCCGCCACGGCCACCGCACCAGACCACCCTTACGGCAGTACTCTCCACGGCGCCGAGCCCAAGATGTTCCCGGGTGTCTTCAGCAGACGTAGGAAGTCTTCAATCGCCCGGCCATCGAGCTTAGCCATGACGAGCATGAACGGAGAGGACGGGTCCGAGGCGCTGGAACGTAGTACGGGAAGTCTGTCGAGGTCACAAGGGGAGGATGCGTTGATGATGGCGGGGGAAAGAATGGAGCGGAAGGACGTCATTGAGGAAGCCGCAGCCGAGAGCGAGGATGAGTGAATGAAGGTAGAGATATCGGTAGAGCAGCAAGACGAATTGGATTACCTACCTACCCACCCGCCATGAAAGCCCCCAACGCCTCCCTCAACCTATCCATCCCCACCTCCCTCGCTAGTTCCAACACAACCCCCCTCCGCCCATTCCCCGGCGCCTCATCCCTCTTCACCTCAACCCTCCCCTCAGGCCCCACAACCAACGCCTCCGGCCACCTCTCCCAACCCTTCCCCTCCTCCTTCCCATTAACAAACCCCACCACCCTCCTCGCAAACCCCATCCCCTGCTCCCTCTGCTCCTCCCCAAGAACCTCCTCGAGATTCATCAACACCCACATCAAATCCTGGATATGGCCCGCTTCGCCTTTCCAGCTTCCTTCCCAAGCACTCGGTTCGTTGAAGCGGTACACATTCACCGGGAGGGATTCCGCCAGACGCTGCGCGAGGTAGTGAGTGGGTGCGTAGAAAATATATATCCGTGCAAATCTCTAGGATGGCGTGGAGGGCTTTTTCTTCGTCGGGCGTGGTGGTGGGGTGGAGGTCGTATGCTTGTAGGAGTTTCCAGGCGGCGGAGGAGGGTAAGGAGGATTTTATGGATTCGCAGAAATCTTTGGCGATGTCGTTTTTGCGAGACGTGAGGGCGAGGGAGCGGATATTGCCGTCGAACTGGCAGTCTCCTATCAGGGCGCTTTGGCACCACGCCAGAGCTGGGAGGGCGAGGGAGCCGTCCGCGAGAGAGGAGAATGTCAGGGTGGGGGGTATGAGGTCGTCGTCGAGGACGGCGGAGTCTTGCACGCCGGCGTGGAAGCACGTCGTGCAGAGGGCGAGGGGGTCCATGGTTAGGAGGGCGGGGATTCGTTCTTTGGGAGGGGTGGAGGCGAGGTTGAGGGCTTGGAGGGCTTTGGTGTAGTTTTCTTCTGCGGATGCGAGGGAGGCGGGGGGTTGGGAGAGGTAGGAGCCTGACATGAGGATGAAGCGGGTGAAGAGGCGTTCTGAGGCGTGGAGGTGGTAGGTTACTGAGACGGCGCCAGCGCTCTGGCCCATGAGTGTTACGTTGGATGGATCGCCGCCGAAGCCGGAGATGTGCTTTTGGATCCATTGGAGCGCGGTGCGTTGGTCGCCGAGGCCGTTGTTGGGTTTGTAGCCTGCTTCGCGGAGTTCTTTGGAGGTTAGGAAGCCGGGGGCTGAGAGGCGGTAGCTACAAGATGGTCGTCAGTCAGAATGGGGGACCTGCGTGTTGTTCTGTACGTACCCGATCGACACTGCGATTATTGCCATGTCGCTTTCTGCAGACAACTCCACCAGACGGGTCATATCGTACTGGGGCACCGATGGTGAGCCAACGCTGAACCCGCCGCCATGTATGAAGACAAGAACAGGCAGCTTTTGGTCCTTCTTCAAAGTTGACGGAGCGGTGATGTTGAGATTGAGACACTCCCTGTCCGACACTTTCACCAGACTTCGATCGTAGTCCAGCTTGTGCTGGATGAACGCAAACTCGGCCTCGGGCCCAGGGGCGAAACAAGGAGGTTGCGGTCTGGAAAGTGTCAGAAAGATGGCGACATTCTGAGCATGTCTCGTTTCCTTCTCACCCCGGTTTTGTACAATCGACGTTCTCAGCGCCTTGGTAATGTTTGATCTCCGGAGAGGCGAAATGGTCCTTTAGCGTAGCATACTGGAGGCCAAGGAAACGATTGATGCCCGAATCACTTTGTGTGCCTATGAGCTCGCCTATGGCTGCATGTGAAAGGGTAGTCTTCTTCGCCATATTCAAAGATTCTCAGGAATTCGGGTGCGTTCGCTTCATTTCGTCTCGACGTGATGTACGCACCATCTTTATAATGCTCCCGTGGTTGCGAGGCGTCCTCGAAACGGACGTCGGTGCTGTACCATGCCGCAGCAATGAATCTCAGCCTGGCGGATTTCGGGTCTCCTTACCACTTCTCGAATCCTGTGCGAGTGCCATCGTTTATAGATGGCAACAGCTTGCGTACGCTGTTCCCGACAGTCACCGGGGTCTGACGTGGCGCCTTGTTCGACAGGATTGAAAGTGTTGCGCGTGGGGTATTCCATCTGTCCAGTCTACGACAATGAGATGATTCGGACTTTAGTGTGAAGTCGAATCCGAGTGTTCCTGGCACGTGACCTAGTCGGAAAGTATTCTTCTCTCACTCTCCAGTTCGTCCCTCCCAAACTCACCTCTCGTTGTCGTGACCAAGATCTGATAGATTGCGGAATCAGCGCAGAGGATGTTTGTTGTACAGGGATATATACAAAAATTTTGCTTGGCGAAGAGACGCATGGGTATCTTCAACGAGCTTTTGGAACTGCAGGTGTCTCTAGGGTTTACGGACCGGACAGGTCGTGTCTCGGTCTCTCATGACAACATGGATACCTCTTCTGATGTCTCATCTTCGCTCCGCATCTTGCTCTCTGTTTCCCGCGCATTACTTCCTCGACGTCTATGGGTTCTCCTGGGCAACCTTGGTAAGGTACTTTTCGAGGTCGAACTTGGGGTCGTCAGGGTTCGTTATTACTGACAAAGTGTCTCGTTAGCAAGAGTCCTTTGATTTCTTTAATCAACTCTTTCCATGAGGAACCTCGATGTCCCAACCACCTCTTTACTGCCTCATGCTGCCCCGGATCAGACTTACTGCCATCGCCTCTCTTCGGTTGAGTCTTCTCTGCAAACTTCGCCTTGGCCTCATCAATGAGCTTCTGTTTCCGCTCGTATTCGGCCTTGAGTTCGGCAACCCTGTCTCTCGAGCTGATGGCTTGCTGGTGTGAGAAACCGTAGAAAACGCCGAAGACGAGAGCTCCCCACCGGAGGACCTGAGTGTAGACATTAAATCAGCTTTTGAGATCTTTCATCCAGCGCGTGATTGCCAATGGCTTGGATGGAGGGTGTCGGAAGGGAGAGAGCGTACATTCACCCCCGTGGAGGCCATTGCGCAATATGTGGATGCCGGAGGCTTTTTGTCGAGGATTGACCAGCGAATGAGGCTCGCTCTATGCGTTCAGACGAGCGAGGGCGGCGTTGAGGGAGGGAGCGGCGGTGCAATGGGGGGTCAGGGTGGATTGAAGATGGCAGATCCAATGTTGGGCGCTGTGCTCTGAGCTTTTGCGGCTTGATCCGAGCTCCGGCGACGCTCGCTCAGGGACCGACCGACAGCACCTCCAAACACGTGCACGCGATCCAGCAGTAAATACAACACCATCCGTACGTCGTCCTCATCTGCTGGATTTGACGCGAGAAATGTCGTCAATTCAGGCCAGAAAAGATGAGATCCTCGCAAAGAAGGTGAAGCTCGCAGAGCTCAAGCGACAACGTGAATTGCGCCAGAAGGAGTTCACCACCAACAGGCAGAGCCTGGACGCCTCAGAGGTACTATAAACACGGGTCGCTACAGACTGCGCAGCACTAATTGACTGATAGTTGGTAGCGCCCTCGCCGCGAAACTCCAGTGCCACGAAACGCGAAGACATCGAATCTCTCATCTCGTCGTTGGTCGATCGACCCTTATCCACGACTCCTGGAACGCCCACTGGCAAGAAGCGAATAAGCGGGCCAGACTCTTCAGACGATGCCGGCACTCCTCCTATCCACAGATATCAAGACGCTTCGACCGATACTCAAACACTGTCTTTCACTGAACTGACAACAGTGTACGAGATACCCGTGGAGTCCAAGCCTGAGGTGATATCCTACAGCAAGGGTGTACAGACAACAGAGCCATGGGAACCTCCGCAAGAGAGCGGAGAATCATCAGATGCGGCAGATGGTGTTTCGCGCAGTCCTTCAAGAAGACGGAGGAAGCTGAGTCAAAGGGAGCGTGAATTGGAAGAGGAGGAGATCAGGCAGAAGTTGAGACAAGAAATTGAGGAGGAACTCAAAGCTTTACAGCTGGAGGACAAAGTTGAACCAGAGAAAGAAAGGTTTCCAGCGAGAGCGTTGGCGCCGGAGGAATTGAGTGCCGTCACAAGCAGCAATGATTTCTTGGACTTTGTGGAGCGAAGTAGCAAGGTAATCGAACGAGCCCTGGACGAGGAATACGATGTTCTGGCCGACTATGCCCTGGATTCGAGAGACGTAGAAGACGACGATGAATACGTCGGGAGACGAGGGAGGCGGGTGAAGGAAGTCGCACAATTCGATCTGGACGATGTTATGGGGACCAAACGAATGATCAGCGACATCGACTTCAGCCCAAAGTTCCCGGAGCTATTTTGCACAGCATACACGAAATCACAACGATCGCCTCACACGCCTCCTGGTCTACTGAACGTCTGGAATATGCACTTGAAAGGACGACCGGAATACAGCTTGCACGCAACTTCAGACTTGCTATCCTGTCAGTTCCACCCACATCATCCGTCACTCATCCTTGGCGGGACGTACAGTGGCCAGCTCTGCCTCTGGGACACCCGTGCTCGCAACCAACGAACAGGCGAACCTGTGCAGAAGACGCCCTTGACTGGCGGTCGAACAGGCCATGCCCATCCTGTGTACAGCCTAGCTGTGGTCGGTACACAAAATGCCAGCTCCGTCGTCTCTGTCAGCACCGACGGCGTTGTCTGCGCATGGAGCACCGACATTCTCACCCAACCACAAGAATACCTCGAAATGCACTCTCCAAACCCATCAGCCTACAAGACCGACGACGTGGCACCCACCTGCATCTCCTTTCCAGCCTCAGATCCTACCTACTTCCTCGCAGGAACAGAGCAGGGATCGATATATCCTGTCCACCGCTATGACCGCGCAGGTGCCAAATCAGGCGTTGACGTGCGGACCAGCTATCTTGGCCACGAAGCCCCTGTCACCGGCATCGACTTCCACCCCGCGCGAGGCAAGATCGATCTTGGTGACCTCTTCGTTAGTTGCGGTCTCGACTGGACGGTAAAGGTGTGGCGCGCTCGTCCACCGTCGACCAATACCAGCACTATTTCTGGACAGGCCGAAGTTATCAAGCCCTTGCTAGAGATCCAGCGAGAGGACAGTGTTTACGATGCCAAGTGGTCGCCCACAAAGCCTGGTATCTTTGGCTGCGTCGATGGAGGTGGGCGATTGGACATCTACGATATCAATGCCAGCTCTGAGGTTCCCGTCGGTGGTGCTCGGCCGAGCAATCAGGAGAAGGACGTGTACGCTCTGAAGAGCCTGAACAAGCTTGCGTGGGAGAAGACGCAAGGACGCCACGTTGCGGTTGGAGGCCTAGACGGCGTGACGACAGTATTTGAGGTTGGAAGTGAGTTGGGAGGTGTAGATACCAAGAGTGAAGCGTGGGTTGGCGTGAAGAAGTGGGTCGGCAGGCAGACGAAGACGAAGGTGGAGGTTTAGATACCCCTTGTTGTTGTTGCGTATATCACGTCTGTATCATGAATCGTTCAATCTTCTCAATCCGTCGTCATCTTCATCTTCTTCGGCGGATGCTCTACCGATCCATTCAACTCCTTCCCCTGCAATACAGCCTGTGCCAACTTCTCAACCCTCCTAACCGCCTCCTCCCCAATCTGATAATGCACCACCAACCGTCCCCCCCTCAGCCTCAACCCAGCCTTCTCCCCCTCCTCAATAAACCTGTCCGCCGAAATCCCCGCAGCCTGGAGATCAAACCACACCATATTCGTCTCGACAGGATTCGTCGTCTGGCCACCATACCTCTCCCACACGCGCGCAACCTTCCTCGCCCGCTCATGACTTGCCTTCAAAACCCCGCCCAGGAACTGATCCTCCACCGCCACCCTCGCGGCGGCCGTCAACACCCCCAACTGCCTCGTCCCGCCGCCCAGCATCTTCCGTATCCACCGCGCTCGTTCGCGGAACTCTCTCTTGCCCACCACCATACTCCCGATCGGCGCCCCGAGGCCTTTGGAGAAACACAGCGAGATCGAATCGAAGCACGCACAGTAGTCTCGCAGACTCCCCGCCCCAGCCGCCACGACTTCCCAGAGACGCGCGCCGTCCAAGTGCACCAGGATCCCGTTGGCTGTAGCCCAGTCTTTGATCCGCCGGCATTCGTCCAGCGGCATCACCACCCCGGCCAGCGTATTCTCCAGACTTATAAGCTTGGTAGGACAACCGTGGATATCGCTCCTCAAATCGCACTTTTCCTGAATTTCCTCGAGAGTGATATACCGCCCATTGCCCGGCACGATCGGCCTCGTCATCGCGCCGCTGAGGACCGCCGCGCCGCCCGCCTCGTACTCGAGGATATGGCTCCTGTGGTCGGCGACGATGCTGTGCGGGGGGCCTTGGAGGTGTGTGCGGATCGCGACCTGGTTGCCCATGGTGCCGGACATGACGAAGAGGGCGGCGTCTTTGCCTGTGAGGTCGCTGATGAAGGACTCGAAGTTGTTGGTCGTGGGGTCTTCTTGGAAGACGTCGTCGGCGAGGGTCGTGGCTGCTATGGCGGAGAGCATGCGGGTGGTGGGGGTGGTGATTGTGTCGCCTTGAGGTTTTGGTTAATCGGAGTTCTTTCTTGGAGGTTTTGGTGGGAGAGGTTTACTTCGAAAGTCGAAGGCACTGGGTCCTGGAGACGACCAGGCGTTGATGGCTGTGCCGGAGCCATTGAGTAGGTGTTGGGCTTCTGCCTCGATCTTGTCTTGCTGGAGACCTGTGGACATGTTGCGGAGGGCAGCTGGGAGAGCTGTTTTGGAGAGTGATGACAGAGGAGAATGTGAGGGTGAAGGAAGACAGCTGCTACTTATCCTTCGCAGGTACAGCGATCTAAGAGGGATCATGGACCGCCTGTCATCTTACAGTAGTGGAGTTGAGATATGGGTGGGTGCAGGGCGTGCTACGGAGTGCAGTCGGCGTTGTTTACGCCGGGGGCGATATCGCAATCGTTTAGACTTTGATTAAGAATCCTTCTAACGATTTACTTGACTTCTCATCTACTTCACGTCTAATCCCAGAACCGACTTCACCACCTTCACCAGAGCGGCATTGGCGTCCTCACGCACTGAGCGACTCCTCCAGCAGACCGTCCTGTCCGGTCGAGCGAGCACACACCCATCTTCATCTATCTCCCTCCTCCTCTCCCAATCGCCATACACATCTATCCACTCTTGGCCAAAACCAATGCTGTAAACATTGATCTTAACACCAATATATCTGCAAACCTCCACCGCAGCCTGTTTCCACACGTCACCTCCAATGCCAGTCAATAGACAAAAAGCTCCATGCCCAGCCAGGTCAATCGTGCTAATAGGGGCTTCCACAGGACACTTCTTGTTCAGCCAAGCATGCGGCAGTCTCGATCCCGGATACGTCGAGATCTGGTACTCCAGCACGGCATCCTTGGGCGGCGGTGGACGCTGCTCGGTCTCGTCTTTGAGATACACAGCACCGGAATCGTACCTCTGGTTCATCTCAATGCCGATACCACCAAACTCATGCGCGGTATCAGCAACGGCTTCCTGCAGCCTCTTTCTCCTCGCTTTCCCTGCTTCTGTTGCAGCTGATAGCTCGGCATGTTGGCGTTTCCGTTCTTCGAGATCCTCGGGGAGTACGCCTAGTGCGTCCCATACTGGCACGTGTTCTCGAAATGAGTCGTTGGCTCGTTTGATGATACCTGCTCCGATGGGTTGTCTTTCATGAGAGAACGAATCGAGCAAGCTGGGTCCAGCGAGTCCTCGTTCTACGTAGGCCAGTTTCCAGGCGAGATTCCAGGAATCTTGAAGGCAAGTGTTCGATCCTAGACCGTTGAACGGACTGCAAAGAGCGTTAGGTCGCATCTAAGCTCGGTATGAAAGGAGAAACAACTCACGGGTGTCGATGCACAGCGTCTCCCAAGCAGAAAATATTGCCATCACTATACTTCTCCGCCACAATCTCATTCACATACCACTTCGCCACATCCAGAATCTTCACCGGAATCGAATCGTCACCAATCATCTCTCGCATCCGCTTGACGTACTCCTCTTCGCTCGGCCGGACAGCAAAATCCGTAAAGCTGGGATGCGGGAACATGATAAACATCCACTCGTGCCATGTCTTGACCATCCGCGCGATACCTGACCAGCCCCAGCCAGGGTGTTCGATTTCCGGCGTGAAGACCCAGTGGAGATTACCCTTCCGATGCTCCATATGCTTTGAGAGATCCGCATCGACCAAAACATTGAGCGCAAGGCCCTGACCAGGCTCCTTGATCAAAGGAAGATCCAGCTGCTTCATGACTTTGCCCCAAAAAACAAGGTCAGCAAAATTCCCATATCGTCAACAACCAAAAAAAGAAACCGATCCAAACACTCACCCCGACTCCTCGCCCCATCACACCCAAACAAATACTTGGACCGCACGCGATACGTCTGCCCCGTGAGATTATCCCTCACCGTCGAAACAACCTTTCCATCCTTCCCCTCCTCCCTTTCGAACCCCTCAAACGTCGAATCAAACCTCACCTTCCACCCATTCGCCGTCGCGTACTTGACCAACACGGGCTCCAGCAACGTCTGCGGCAGATCCACGTGTCGACACGGACTCGCGGCGTCGTAGTCGCCTTTTCGATGGGGTTGGTTGCCCCAGGAATGGATCCGAGCGTACCTAGAAGAAAAACATAATATCATCAGGACCCAACTTCAACGGTCACACTATAACTTCAATGTCATCATTGATAGAAAAAGAAACATACTCCTCCCCAGCCATACTCCGACACCACCTCGTATGCATCATATTCTCCCCGGGCGTCGCATGTCTCCGCACTTCCTCCTCGAGCCCCAGATCCCGCAGACACTCCAACGCTGCCGCATTCGTGATGTGCGCGCGAGGCTCCTTGGCGGTGCCCGGGGCCGCTGAGATGATCAGTCCCGTGAGGTTGTAGGAGGCGAGGAAGCAGCCCAGCGAGGCGCCGGCGGGGCCGGCGCCGATTATGAGGAAGGTTGTCGAGATTTCGTTGGGGTGTTGTTGTTGGTCTGAGGTGTTGTTGGTTGATGGCATTTTTCTTTTCTTTTCCTGCTTCGACGATGGGCTTGGGGATGACTTTGCATATGCAGGCAAGCGAGCGAGCAGCTTATATCTCGATTCGACTCGATCCGTTTCCTGAACAGTGCCTTTTCCCTGGGTCCAGTAGTATATTATTTTGGCTTAGGACATTGCTTATTGAAACTGATTAATGCACCCTCTCACCCAGCTTCCGTCCCATGTGCCGAAGGTGGGGCTGAGAGGAGATGCCAATGCAGGAACTACAGGAACTAGGTCCGCATGGCATGGGGTCTTTGCGTAATTGAACGAGGTTGTGCCATTTTTGGGGGGCGTTTAGGGAGATTTGAGATCCGGGTGGCTCAAGTGAAAGGCAGAAGGTGAAGATATAAGATATCACCTCGTCTGCATGTTGGACGTCGTTAAAGCTAGAATATAAGACAACCAACTCCACCCAATGCCACTCCCTCGATGCAATATTTCTACAACACACTATCTAACAATCCTTCAAATCAATCCCACCCCTCTCCCTGACCACCTCCCGGGTCAACTTCATCAAATTCTCCGCCAGCTGATAATTCTGAGCCAGCTCATTTCCAGGCTCCGGAGCGGCCGGAGGACAAATATACTGCCCAGAGTCCCTCGTGACCGTCGACGCGTACAGCGTGGAAAGAGCGCCATCAAACTGCGTTTTCTTGAACAGCTCCAGACCCGCAGACATCAGATACCCGGCTAGAGGATAAGGCTCGTGGATGTCGTTGGTCGACATTTTGGTTGATACAACGCCTGGGTGGGTTGCGTTCGCGAGCAAGTTGGGATGTTGCTTGGTGACGTGGTTGGCGAGGTACTTGCTGTAGAGGATAGCGGCGAGCTTTGATCGGCCGTATTGTCCGTTGGGACCAAGGTCCTGATTCAGTTCATCCAGGCTTTCGAACTTGGTGTCTTTGGGTGCGCCTTGATGAGCGTTCGACGCAAGACTGGTGATCCGAACGGTGTCACCACCATCTGCCGTCTTCTTCAACAGGTCGAGCAGGTTCGAGGTCAAGATCGCGTGGCCCATGTGGTTGAGAGCCATGTGACGGTCAACTCCATAATAAGTGAGTTGGTATGTCATGATCCCTCGCCCGGCGTTGTTGATCAGGATATCCAGACGGTCTGTAGAGTTCTGAATCTCTTTGGCGACGTCCAAAACTCGATCCCAGTCGCTCAGGTCACACTGGATCCATTTGACGCGACCCGCCTTGTCTTCGCCTAGTTCCTTTGATACTGCGTCTTTCGCCCCGTCGACGACGTCCTTCGAGACCGATAGGATGTAGACTTTGGAGATGTTCTTCGAGAGTAGGGTGTGTGAGCAGCCATAGCCGATTCCTAGTATCATTAGCAATTGCTCCGTGCTTCACTCGTAAAGATCACATACCTTCACTTCCACCTGTAATAACAGCGACCTTTCCAGTCTGATCCGGAACATCCTCCAACGAGAACCTAGTATCTGCTGGTGCCAACTTATGAGCAGCGCCACCGAAGTTCTCCGACAAAGTCGTCTGCGCTGCCTTCACTGCTGAGCTCATCTTGGAAGTATTGAATCTCCTGACTGATGTGACTGATGTGGAATTCAATTTGTGAAAAGAAGCTCTCAAACAAACAATGGGAAATCTTTGTATCATTCTTACCCTTGTATGATCTTGTAGATGGAAGTTACACGGTGTGAAGATATGAGAAAAGGTGCCTTGTAGTGAACAGATCATTTGAACGTCACGAAAGTGGTGATGTCAGTATTGTCTGTCGAGTGTAAGAAACGTTCTCTGATGAGACCGCATCTTGCAACTTTGATGAGAGTCTCGCTGTCTTGGGTCTGTCTAATATTATTACAGCTAAATACATTATTTAAACTCTAGCATTAGCTAATATAACACCACTTAATCCACCTACAGTAAACATAAACACAAATCCTAATGCAAATAACATTGAAGGAGTTAAATGTAATGATCTACTATAGCAAGTAGCTAATCAACTAAATATTTTAATTCCTGTAGGAACTGCAATTATTAATGTTGCAGCAGTAAAATAAGCTCTTGTGTCTACATCTAAACCTACTGAGTACATGTGATGACTTCAAACCACAAAACCTAATACTCCTTAAATTATATGTAATTGAAATCTCAATAACTTTAAGTTATAATATTTAAAAGATATTATTAGTAATTAATTATTTAATAATATTATATAGAAATGATACAAGCGTCGTCATCTGTGGTAATTTGAAAGGCGGGCGGGCTCGATGGTCGACCGCGTCCTGTCTTGGTACCTGCTCACGGAGTTGAAGGCCGATCATCGAGACAATCAGCCTGAGATGATAGTAGTGTAGAGGTAGAAGAAAGGAAAGAACCTCAAGAACGTTCCTCCCTTTCTCTCGCCACGCTAGCCAAATCCAGCCTTGCCATCGATATGGACTGGATGTATAATCGATCTTAGAACCGCAAGAACGTTTCAACAGAGAAGCCATGGCTGTCTATGATCGATATGTGTCATGCCTAGCAATCGCCATTTCGACAGTACGCAAAAGTCATGCCATTCGTTAAGCAGCTTCGATTCGATGAACGTTTTGCCCAAGCAACGGACATCGCCATGAGCAACCACCAATGTAAAGGAACGAAAAAAAATTAAGAGAGACACATGTAACAATTCCTCAGAGCCACATGCAGTAGACCCAAACAAAAACAAATCGATCTTCATCGAAACAAAACTTCAAAAAATGTCAGAGTGAGTGAAATCACTCTCGGCTTGCAGTTGCATCGGCCGGGACTGGATCGATTATCAGGACACAATTTTAACTTTTCAGAGTGTAGTGGTGTTACTCACATCGAACCCGGGGCTCGTCGAAAGTGCTTGAGAAGCGACTGGCAACGACGACTGAATCGATGTTAGTCGATGTACACGGCCCAGGAGGCTGATGATGATGCTCACATTTTACCACTAAACCACCAATGCGTTCCTGATTGGATGACTACTGACAGCAAATTCAAATTATAAAGCTCCATCCTCAAAATGGACCCACAAGAGCTTGCTCAAGGCCAATGGCAGCAATGGCAGGAGTGGTGAACCGGCGTTGCTTCGGGGCGACAGAAACGACGACGACGACGAGGGCAACAGCAGACTCTACAGCGTACCAATGTAGCACGTCTATCAGCAGCCTCAATCGATTCTCCAACAACGGCATCGACGTTCGAAAGGCTTTCACAACCCCCGGGTATTCATTCTCTCTCCACGATAAACTCGACCATGAAACAAACCCTCAGCAGCGTAAGCACGTTTCAGAACTACCTGTCTGTATGCCCAGAGTCCGAAGAAGTACGAAGGACCAATTCTTCGGAACAGGATGCAAGCTTCATCCTCAAAGATTGCAGACGCTCCGAACATCCGAACCCGAGGCCACAATAAGCAAGAAGATATTGCCGCCTCGTCAGACCTCCAGTCATGAAACCAAGTGACGCTATCGTCGTCCGCCAGCGAAGACAATACTGAAGACTTAGCCGCCGACAATGCCACATGCAACCGAGCAAGTCGGGACCGTCGCCAGAAATCGCTCTACTCGGGCAAAGTAGGGAAGAGGGAAGATAGTATGCACGGCATGAAGACCGCAAGCCAAGAAGGAGAGGCGAGAACACCATCTTCTCAGCCCAGACCATTGCCACACAGCAAATGCCGCAACCGAGCGTAACACAGCAGCATACAGCTCCCATATTACGTGCATTGCAAAGCCAGAAGGGCCCTGCCCTGATTGATAGGAGGGTATGTCTTGGTAGTTTGCTGGATATCCTTGCTTGCAGCAGTAGTGTGGGCGATTGATAGAGGACGGATGAGAGTGGCCCAGCCTCATCGCTGCGTTATGCTCTCCATCTTCGCCAAGGAAGATACGCACCCTGGCACTCACTTGCAGCGCGGGATACATATGTATGTGCGCTGGGGTAAGCTCGTGCGGAGAAGGGAGACGCATCGATCCAGCAAAGACGGTCTGTTTGGGGAGAGTGATCCACAATCACGATGCGACACGTAAGATATGTGGTGAGGATGGTTGTAGAACATGTTTTTGAGGTATTGGAGTCTCTTTCGGCTGTCAGCGGCCCGTCGATGTGCTCCAGGTTGAGCGGCATAGGAGGGAGAAGGACCGGTTTGCACGCATTCTCGGGCCCGCAGAAGGCTGCATAGTGGAGCTGTTGACAACTTAGACTGCTCAACATTGGAATCCATTAGCAATTTGCGAACAAGACGGCAAGGGTCGAGTCGTCAGCGTCTTGTGCGTGGATTCCTGACAGGGCAAACTTTCTCTCGTACCCTCTCGTTTGGATATTAGGATCTTTCTGTTGAGCGCAGTAAGAGATAGATGTCTGGCACAGCAATCACATGCCAACGAGGACTGCGGAGGTTGTGCGTGCGGCTGCGACAATGACAGGCGCCAGTCACGCCATCCTAGCAGGAATCTAGCGCCCCAAGTATGCATGATTGGATCCCGTATTGAAAGGTCTTGTTGTAGTTCTCATCAACGATCCTGGAGCTGTTGACTGTGTTGTTCCTTGGGGCAGAGTCCGAATGCAGCAGGTAGCTTGGTGAGCTGAGAGATATGGCCGAAGTGCTTTCCTCTATCTTCGTATCAGTACATGACTTCAACCACGCAATGAGAGTGTATGGATTGCGATAAGTGAAGCACCTCCCGCCTATCGGCATGGCGACATTGTTGAGAGGATTTCCACTGCTGAGGTACTTCCTGCGAGGATTTCATCATCAGCAACGTGCTCTGAACCATGGGTGTGGCGTATCGCCAGTGTCGACAGTTCGCAGGGATGCAGAGCCTTCTGCACGGCGAGAAAGTGTGTTGACGGTTGAGGCTGGCGACGATGCCTGCGAATCTGCAGTTCGCCGCGAGGCTCGAGCGTGGCATCACATTGGCTGCTCCACAGGTGTGGAGGAGGGTCGTGTCGCAGAGAGATGCACCAATTGCGCAGGCGATGCGAGGCGTGTGGAGACGATGGGATGTTTGGAGAATTATGGAGCAAAAGCTCGCGCGATGTTGGGGAGCGGTTTGGTGGAGCTGGAGAGTGGGTAGTGTCCAAACTTAGTAGACCGTCGTGAGAAGGAGACGGTCGATGGCTCGATGACGGGTGGTGAGCGCTCGATCTCCTACATCTACAGACGCTTCGCCATCGAGACATCGCGAGGCGCGAGGAGTGGCAGAAGCGTTGAGCAAGTACGTATATAAGCCTTGTCGCGCGCCTGCTGCATGGGCAGACTAGCTGCAGCTGGGCCTGCAAAATCGGTCCGTCCAAAGGATTGCAGGGCAGTCGATGCAGCAGCAACCATGGCGACGACGGCTCTGGCAGCCGTGTCGACGCAGCCGCAGAACTGGAGCAGCTTATCGAGACCGTGGGGTGTCGTGGTGCGTGGAGCGTGGAGCGTGATTGCTGGGTTGGTTGGCGAGCGCTGCAGTCTGGGACCGCGAGGCCTGCCCTGCCATCCGAGGTTACCGTGTTTGCGAGTCGGCCAAGCGCTCGGCGGGGAGTGTGCAGCAGAGCAAAGCACAGGTACCGCAAGCGGATGCTCAGACGGGCAGCGAGGAATTTGAGAGTAGCCACAGTCGCTACGACTTGATGTAAAAGTAGCGGTAGGCGGGAGATGATGGCGGCGGTCCCTGAGATCAGGATGCGTGGCAGCGCGGCAAGAACTGGAAGGAGTAGTCACTGCTGGTGGTGGTCAGTAGTGGTGGTGCACGGAGCAGCGTGTCATCATCCTGCTCTTCTCCACGGCCGATCGCATTCCCTGCTTTGGCCCAGGCCCAGCGCCCTGTCAGAGCCTGCACCGTCTCCACACTCGCCAATTCTCTCGCCGCAGGCCCCATCAATCCACCCGTCCATCCACCAAGCAGTCAGTCGTCAATGCCTCTGCCTGCAGCCATGCCCGTCGCCGCGCTGTGCAAAACAACCGCCCACCCCGAACTGGACTGATTGATTGATTGACGGATTGATTGATTGCGTGCGCTTCGTGCCACTCGCCACGCCTATCGCCCAGACCCTCCGCAACCCCGCAGCACCAGAACCAGCACAAGCACCACCCCCCGCCAGACAGAAACATCGACATCCGCTGCACCTCTCGCCAGGCTGCGGCGGGAAGTTAGTTCTAGGTCACGGTCTTCCCCGACCGCAGACCCCTTCACCTTACACGCTGGTGCAGCCAAGGAACACCTGAGTTGCCCTCAACTCTGTTGCCCACTCCCGCATTCTAATCTCTACTGCTTCGTACTCTGGCTCGCGCACAGTCAGCAACCACTTCTCTCCCTCTCCCACGCCCGTTGTTGACCATCTGCCCTCCCACCACTGGCCTGTCTTTATCGCCTTCGAGCGCTCGACAAACACGACGATAACGAGTGTTTCGTTCTGGAAACCCGGCGGTACGGTGCGGATACTGGCCGACACCCCATATCCTCCAAAACTGCGGTCTCCGGACAGGAAGTGAAGGCCACCCTCACGACACTCGCTTGCTTTGGATATCGCACTCACTGCACATGGTGTGACCGCCCGTCATGACCGAAGTGCTGCAAGTCCCCCGACAGCCGGACGGTCAATCATACTACCAATCCGCTGGGATACGCCGCTCTCCGCCCACGTCATCTTCACTATTCCTCGACACTTCGCCGCTTCCGTCTAGTCCAAAGACCATTGCTACCCCTCATGCCGAACACCAAGAACGACCGAGTGGCAAGACGCCGTCATCGCTACCACCCTCTGCCGCGAGTTCGTTCGAGACGATTTCGAGTGCCTCGTCACGAGATTCCACCTTGGACAGCTTCGACTCGTCGGTAGAGAGCACCCTCTCCCTCGACACCGACCTCGATTTCCCCAACTACGACGATGTTCCCTTCGGCGGTGGTCATGGCTCGAGAGGAGGCGTCCCTCCATCATCTCCAGCCTTTGGTGAAGATTCGAGCGAAGGACTGCCAGAATCGACGAGCACAGACACAACTCAGTCCGATTCGCCGTTACCCACACCTACCGTGAATGATGACACTGCTGTGAGGAATGATCCATCAAGGCAAGTGGACTTCCTGAGCCATGAGTGGAGGGAAGAAGATATATGGGCATCCTGGAGGCATATCGTGTCCCAGAGAAAGACTATATACGGCGAAAGGTCGAGGTAAGTTATCATATACGTATGCTTTACTACCGAATATCGATCTGACCATTGAACAGGCTCGAGAATGCCAGCTGGAGGTCATGGGCGAAATGCAAGCATAACCTTCGCACTGTCTCGCCCGAGAGACTGAATTGGTACGTAATCGAATGTGTGGTCAGATCTCACAGCGAATTCTAACATTAAGAGCAGGCTCAAAGAATCCGATGTGACATGGCTGTACGGCCCATTGAAGACGGCATCATCATATCCGATCACGCAAAACGTGTCGGAGCCGGACTCACAAATCTCCAAAAACAACTCTTTTGTCAACAAGAAGCCAATTCTGAAAAAGCGAAGTGTCTCTGAAGTCATGCTTCAAAAGTCCTTGTCCACTTCTTCGTTGGTCAAGCAAGCAGCATCAGCTGTTCAAGCCCAGGGACGATCAGGCCGAAGATCTGGCGCCAACTCGGACGTCGTGGATTCTAAACTGCAATCGGAGACCCCTAGTAGGGACCAGGTTGACTACTTTACGAGCAGAAGTACGAGCAGCGGTGGAACACCTTGCGAAGCTCAGGAGAAGCGGCACATCCGATTCGACGATCGAGTGGAGCAATGTATCGCTGTAGACTGCAAGGATACTGGCTTGGACGAAGAGGAAGATAGCGAGGAGGAGACGGAAGACCGAGGCCATCATTCCAACTCCGATTCCAGCAGCGACGAGGGAGTTGTGATGATGAAGAGGAAAAAGACGCCTAGCCGAAAGAAGGCGAAATCAGACCGAAGCAGGAGTAGTTCTACGAGCGGCCGCAAGACCATCGAGACTCTCCCATCGACGACGCTCAAATATCGTACTGACAGCCCAGATGTAACCGAAGAGGCACAACACCACACATTCGGCAGATCCTGGAACACTGGAAACTTGAGCCCAAGTCCATCACAGGAAACTCTCAGGCCTACGCATCCGTCGAGTAATTTCCTCCTGCCAGAAGATGAAGATGACGAAGAAGAAATCGATTCAGATTCATCTTGGTCCTTTGGAGCTGCCAATCCCAAGTCATCTCTTGGAGCGTCTACTCGAACTGGTAGAGATGGCGGCCCCAGCAGCCGCAATCGCAGCAGCACTCCAGGCCCCAATTCTTCCGACTATGAGATGGAGGGCATGAGGAGAACGTCCAGTGGCATGTTCATGCCGTACGACGAGGACGAGGACGATGCGGTGGCTGCAGGCCTCTTTGGACGAGTCAGCGAGACTTTTAATACGGCACGAGACATTGCCCACGTCATCTGGAACGTTGGCTGGCGAAAATGAGCGGAAATACGTCCTCAACATTGACATCAACCACCGCAGGTCGGCTGGAATACTCGATTTACCTCAGATATCACTCCATCACGACACGACACGACATGAAAGTATGGATTAGTGTACCTTCGCAACTGGACAAGAGTATGAGCCTTGTTCAGTAGTGTATTATCTGTTGATGATCAGGGCGGGTCGCAGAAGACTGGAAGACCCAGCACGGCTAGAGCGGCGACGCTGAAACGAAACGACGTTACGCACACACGATGGTGTACATGAATGGGTCTACACTTGATTTGGTTCTGGAGCGAAAAGCAAGGTGTTGGGGCTCATAGATGGGTGGGCTTCATCTTGGACTTTGTTACGATGATACTCGAAACGGCGCCGTGAGTTGGAATTATGGTGGTGGTGGTGGCTACTGTAGCGACTACCTACCTACAATTATAATTATACGCCGCCCATCGCAGCATGTCGACTGCGAGTGATGATATATTCTGATTTCTTCATTGAGTGATATATATTGACCCCGTTTCCGCGATTGGCCGGCTTACGAGGCATCTGAACATGCTTCTCACGCAGCGTGCAGCCCCGAGTACGTTCAGCACCGGTTCGTGTGCAGCTGCACATCGACGTAAGGCAACCTTGGAAGCTCTCACAGCCTCCCACGCTGATTGAGGATTGCCGGTCAACTCTGGCTCGGTCTCGAATGCCTCATGCACGTGGCTGATCCTTGGCCGGGAACGACGAGAGAGCATTGGAATCGAGACTGGAGACTCCACCGCCCCGGCATCATCCACCTCACTTCTTCGTTCCAAGTTACTCTACTGTCCAGGCGACAGGTTTAACAATTTTCTCTCTTCAATTCTCTGTACTTATCTTGTCGACTTGACTATTATCTCGATCCATCACCTCGGGAGCTGGCATGTCGGCACGAGTCGTGGTCGAAGCATTAGCAGCAGCAGCAGCAGCACGGTGGCCTCGGCGATCTACCCTCCTCCTCCTGCCGCCCGTGATCCGGGCATCATATCGACTCGCTTGGCTTTTGCGATACCAGCTTTCGTTGCGATAGACTATGTTTCGCCACTTCCGGCTCCTCCTCTCCATCGTCGTCTTCATCTTCATCTGCAAGATCTCGCAGCATTTGAGTGAGAAGGGAACGTTTCATATATAGAATATCAACACCACTACCCGCAGACGACTCCGGCCGCGCGATCGCTATCCACACCTCGGCGAGAAGAGAAGAGAGGAGAGAAGAAGACATGGACGAACCCCCGGACGTCGCAACCCTCGTCGCCGGCCTCTCAGCGGAAAGCGAGAGCGCACGCAAATACGCAGTCTTCAAACTCAAGGGCCTGCTGGGCGACCCTTCGTTCGCGGATGCATTTATCCAGGCGGACGGACTGCCGCCGCTGCGGCAGGCGGTGCTGAGCACGTCGGGCAACACGCAGGCGTATGCGTTGGGGAGTTTGGATGCGCTGCTGGAGCTGGATATGGGGTGGGAGTGTTGCGATGAGATGGTTTTGGAGAAGGTGAATTGCAACATCATTACGAGGCTTGTATGTTTTTGTGTGTGGAATTGACGATTATATTACTGTAGGCACTCTCCCTCGCCATCTCCCATCCGCTCGTCAACATCGTCCGCAACGCCCTGACCCTCATCGTGCTCGTCGTCTCGAGACCTTTAGCCGCTGGACAGCAAGATGGGGAAGAGCCGGTGTTTGGGTTCCGGGCGTTGAAGCCTGCGCTGGAGAACAATCCGGGGTTTCTGGAGTCTTTGGTGCAGAGGTTGAGTGCGTCGGATCATACGCTCTGCGCCAATGCCTTGCAATTGGTCAATGCTCTTATGAGGGATGCGGTGGTGAATGGCGGAGAGCAGGAATGGCCCAAGTTCATCAAGAGACTGCAAGATCTGGGTGTGATTGGGGGAGTGGGCATGCTGATGCGCGGGGATGCGGCTGGCGATGTGGACAGTCCTCTGTCATCGGCTATTATCGAGTTTCAGAACTTGACCAAGATGTTGTTGAGGAAGTGGAGGGATGTGATGGTGAATATGGAACTACCGGAACATAAACGGGCCTTGAAGACGATCCATCTCTTGAGTAATCCGGATCCATATATCCCGCCGCAAGGCGTGAATGGAGCCAAAGTCAGGAAACACCACCCGGAGAAATGGCGACGGCTAGGATTCGAGACGGAAAGTCCAGCCTGGGAGTTCGACGAGACGGGATATCTGGGTATGATGGACCTGGTCGAATACTGCCGCCGAAACGAAGACATCTATCAAAAGATCCTCCTCGAGCAATTCGTCCTCCCCCGAGAACACCGCTGCCCGTTGGCACGAGCAAGCCTGAGCGTCACGCTCATTCTCTACGAACACTTCGAAATCGACGACGGCACCGCCTCTCCCGACCAGCCCTCCTACCGGAATAGCATGTACGAGCGCGCAACTCAACAATCCGTCGATAAGCTGTACAATCCCCTCCTCCTCCAATGGGGCCGTCTGCACACGTCCGCGCTAAACGCCTTCCTCCGCCTCTGGAAAGACGCGGGCGCGGAGCAGGAAGATTTCTACAAGATCGAAGAAGTCGTGCGGATTCTCGTCGAGCGGATCGTGGGGTCCGCGGGGAGGAAGACGGACGTGGGGAAAGTGGAGGAGAAGTTGCGGGTCGTGAGTCTGGAGACCGCGCGGCGGTGGCAGATGGAGAATCTCAACGATGTGTATCAGGATGCGTGGGGCCCGCATCTGGTCGAGGTGAGGGAGCAGTTACATCTCGAGAGTCTGCAGTTCATGAAGGAGCAGCGGATTCGGTGCTTGTTGAAGGGGAGTTGGTTCCCCACGTCCACGGGCAGCAAAAATGATGAGGGCGGTACTGCTGCGTGGCGTTATGTGAGGCTGAGCCATAATCGGCGCTGGCTGCATTATCAAAACTATCCCTCTAGCAGGAGGAAGACTGGCGCTGAAGAAGTCCCTCTGGCGGAGTTGGCGGAGCGCATCGATTTGCATGCCGTCACGTCGGTGGATAGTAACGTCTCGGCGGCCGAGGCGGCGCCTCTCGCGATGCAGATGTTGCAGAACGGGAACGACAGTACAGAGACGCTGAAAGAGTCTGCGAGGGAAACATCCAATAATACGAACGGCAATGCCACGACGACGAAGATTACCATCTTGGGCACCTCGCCCAAAACGAAAGGTTCTGCTGCGGCGGCGGAAGATGCAGACGAACGCGTCCTCCTCGAACTCTTCCCGCCGACGTCCCCCTTGGCGTCGGAATGGCTCGACGGCCTCCTCATGCTGCTGAACCAGCAGCCCATTACGAAGGATACGACGTCGCTGATTGAGATGATGGAGGACTGGGGCGTGAGGTTGCGGATGCTGAATTTGAGGTGGGAGGATGTGGATTGGGAGGCTTTGGAGATGAGTGTTAAGGGGGATTTGGGGGGTGGGGGTGGTTCTGATGGTGTAGGGGGGAGGGAGGTGCCGAGTCGGGAGGGGGTTGATGAGCCTTATTGGTTTGCGTTGCCGGATGAGGTGGGGGGTTGAGGTGAGATGGGGATGAGGTGTAGAGATGGGGTGGATGTAGAGGAGTGATTGGATAGATGATGAGAGAAAGATGTGTGGAGATGTGTTGGATATACTTCCTCTGTAGAGAGTGAAGATTTGATAGATGATGACGACGACGACGACGTCTTCATGTTGGTTTAATCTGTTCCTTCAATTCCTTCGACGAGGTCGTGACGATTCGTTGGATTCATTGCTTGCACAGAACTGGAGCAACGAGTTCCGTACTGTACCGGTACCGTACCTGTGCGCTTGGAACAAATGGAACTTCCTCGCGGAGTCGCTCCGTTTCAAAAATGGAATCGAAGGAGTGATGAGAAGAAAAAAAGTCGTCGTCGTCGGATCGAGAGCTTTGACAAGGGAAGGGAACATCATCCACTCACACATTCTCGGGAGTTCATCATCTTCATCTGATGAATCTGAGTCTGAGAAGAATGAGGATAATCCCAACCTCTCATCATCATGCACCAAACACCTGTCAACAACGTGGCCGATTCTCAATCCGAATCATCAATCAGCCTGGGGTCAGGGCTACTACTGGGGTCAGACAAGACAGACACAGGGGCAACAAGCAGTATTCTTGTAAAATGTACGCTGGGATACAAGGGGTATCGGAAATTTGGCTTCTGTCAACTGTCGTTCTTCGAAGGTGTTTTGCCGATAGGAGGGAGGTAGGGGTGTTGAAATTCGGCGAAATGGTGACTGGCTGGTTGGATGTCAGCAGCAGCGTTTGCTGTTTGATGTTCTTGTTGTTGCTGATGAAGTTCGTAACTTTGAGAGTGAAACCGCAGGGGTTTGTGGAACAGCAGCAGTGGCGAGATAGGGAGAGGAATGGGCATCGTCGTCGTTTGTTAGTGGCGCTTGGGCCCGTTTGCCGTCGTCCGTTGTTGGCACCCGTTCGCTACCAGAGCGAGCATGTCAGCCGGAAAGGGATATCGGTAGGTTTGGGGGCGATGGAGTGGGATATGCGGGTTTGTTCACCAACATCCGCCACGGCTAGCAGGTTTAGTAGGTGTTTGCTGAATTGTTTCTTCCTTGCCCGCCAACAGGAGGTTGGAGAGCATTCGGTAAAGGTTGCTTTTGTGACGATCTCGGATTCTGATGTGGATGAGTAACGGTTCGGCGATTAATTTAGACAGTCGTTCGTTGCCTGTCAACAAACGGATGCGCAGCTTTGTGCACTCTGTTATGCTTTCACCGTTTGCCGCGGAACGTCTGGTCCCTGCATCCGGAGCGTGAGGAAAATGGCCGAGAGCCATGTGGCAGGCGACCGAGCGCCATGTGTCTTTGATAACCATTGATTGCAAGCAGTTGAATGGTTCTCGTCGTCACCATCTGATACAGACCCGAACAGATGCGAGGGGTGAGTAGAAGTTTGTTTGACGACCTGAGCATCAGCCCGGAAGAATGTTGTCCCTCTCCATCTCCCGCCTCAAGATAGTCAACAAGGATTGAAGGCGGAGGAGGCGTCTATGGCGCTTACTATCGTGATAAGAGGCGAAGCTGTGCAGAAGATCTGCGCGTGTGGTGGTTAGCGGGCGCGAATGCACAAGCCAGGAGTTCTTTTTAGAGCCATGATGTTCAGCTAAAAAGACGGACCGCCGACGCCTCGTACATAGTGTGTCGGTTGGCCGGCGAGGTGGTCCCGCGCCTTGGTCCTCAAAAGGACAGCTCTGCGATTGACATGCACACGGTGCTGTTGATATGGGCAAGACAGAGGGGGTACTCGCGTAGACACCCCGGTAGATGAGAGTTACACATGCCATCTCGCGTATTGATGAGGCCGAACTATGGGCGTCTGGGCATTGGCAGGTGGTGCTGAAAGGGGCAGTTCGCAGCAGGATGAACCCTACGACGTCAACTCGGCGTTGGTGAGCGAGGCCCGCAGGATTACGCTATGTGCGAGACCAGAAGCTTTGTCAGTTGTAACGTGCTCACGGGATTGCTGGTGTTGGTGTTTGATGTGCCGCGGCGAGTCACGATGGTGCATGAGCAGATGTCGCCAGTGTTTCGCACAGTGTCGCGGCAGACGAGCAGCGGGCGATGCGCTGGCCTGCTGGCAAACCGCCAGACCGCCTGTGATGTGCGCGGGCATGTCGTTGTCGAAGACGTCGTCGTGGCTTGGGGGATGCTCATGGGTGATGCACCGCTAGCAGGGGACCCTTGGCACGCGCTTTTCTCAGGCACGACGTTGCGCTAGTTAATTCAGATCTACAAGGATAGGCGGTTTGGCGACGCGCGCTAGGCCCGTTCCTCTCGACCTCCCATGAGCTGAATGGTTGCACGAGCAGCCGCCCAGTCGCCCACCACCACCAGCTGTGGCTCCGTACCGCATGGCCGTCGTCGCATGGGCGGAGCACCACTACCGAGACGAGAGCGTGCGGCCGGTGGCGTCAGCTGCCAGTCCGCCCTTGATGAGTGCAGCAGCCCGATGGAGATGGCGACGAGAGCGGACGCATCGCCAGGAGGCAGTGGTCGGAAGACGAGGATGCCAGTCTGCTAGAGGATACAGCGTCAGCGCGAGTGAAACTCAGGCGAGGGCGGGCAGCGGAGGGGGCCATCTGGCGGCGCCTGTGCCTGGCAAAGCGAGGGCACGAGAGCATGGATGGAGTGGAATGCCGAGCGGCAGCAGCTGCTGACAGGCAGAGGAGGGGAGGAGGATGAAGAGGGAGCCCGTTCGTGTCCTGTATCCGGCGAAGCGTGCTACTGTAACGTCGCCGGCGGCCGCTCTGTCTCCTGCACGCGCAGCACGAGAGTTGGAAAGTCTGAGCATCCTTCCACACAAGCCAGCCCTGTCTGCCATCGCGGCTGGGGGCTGCTCTCTAATAATATTATCAGGGAAACGTGGTACTGTATGGCCTGCGTCTTCACTCCTGTCGTTGCTGCTGCTCTCTTCCACCTGCACTGCGTCGTCGATGCTGCCGTCGCCCGCGTTCTGTAACACGCTCGCCTCGATGCGCCGGACATGAGCTCTGCCATTCCACGGCGCTGGATCTAAAGCAACATCTCGCGGCGCACCTTCCACGCCTGGCCCCTTCTCATCTGCAAGGCATTTCAATCCCAGCAATGCGCAACCCTGCCGCCGCCGACCCAGAACTCGGGTTTCTTCAATCCACCTCTCCTCCATCACCCCGTCAGAGCGAGTCGTGTGTCCGTCGCCAGTCTCCGCGACGCCTCTCTGCCGACCACCAACGACCTATAACCCGCGACGGCCCAGCGTCCACCTCCAGGCCTCGCTCCAAATCACGAACCGCCCAAGCCAACATGGTCACACCGGAGGAGTATGAGTCGCTGCCCCCTTCAATCCAGTAAGTCGATCTTGCATCTGATATCACTACCTCGCATCACACCCGACCGCCACCGCCACCACTTTCGACGGCTATGAGTTTGGGGAAAGAACGATCTGATCTGGCATGACCAAAAGCGTGACCACGACCCATGATCATTTCGTCTGTTCGAGACACGAGCATGCGCTGTTGTCTTCAACTTGAAACCACTAATGCTGCTGTCATCCATCTTGGCCACATGGTCACGATCACGATTGATATTGTCCAGATCCAATGCTGACTATCTTCCAGAAAGAAGTACTTCTCTTCAGTCGAACGCCTTCGCATCGCTCAAGAATCCGCGGTGCAAAAGCGAAAGAAGCAGCTGCCCGAGAAGGAACACCGTCTACCGCCCAAGCCCTCAATGGATTCAATGCGACCAAAGACCGCTCACAGCTTCAAGCCCTCAGCACTTCCTCATCAGCCACGGAAGTCGTTCGCTCGTCCGGTCCGTACGGAAGCTGACGTGGACGAAGAACAAGCTTTACGTTTTCTGGCACTACCTGACAAGGTCAAGCGTTCGCACTTCACCACAGAGGAGCTGATACTCCTCACCGAAAGTTCAGAGCGAGCGCTGGGCTCCCCGTCGCTGGCGAACGATGATGGCTTCTCCCGTCGCTCTACCTTGGACCGGAACGGAAGCATCGCATCCTCGCATTGCAAGTCATTTGTATCCGAGGGATACATGGAGGATATGGAGAAGGACTGGTTTGAGATGGAGACGGAGTCGGTCGACAGCTATGAGCACTCCAACGGAACAACCACCGACTTTGAGATGCTCAAAATGTTCGCGAAGAGACGGCAAGGTTCCGTGTGCTCCTCGTACAGTGCACTTCCTCCAATTCCTGCGAGTAAGGAGTTCGGATCTTCGCCCGAATTGCGAAGGAAGTCCTTTTCCCGCAAGCGTGCGATATCTCTGGCTCCAATACCACTTCCACCGCCTACTCTGATGCCGGCGGTGCCACCGCTACCCTCACCCAACACAATAATCAACTTCAGCAAACCGGTCCAATCCCCAATCGCTACGCCGACCGAGACTCCTCCGCCAGCAACGAAGTACTACAAAGACTCACAAGCACGACAGAAGCTTCGAGAGTTTTTGGCTTCTCCTGAGAAGTTCGACGAGGCATTGGAGTTTGGCTTCCCGAGCGAGCGTGGCATCGACCAGCGTTCCACGTCCGTCGCCTCTGCGCCCGAACCGACTCTCGAGAGCGACGTTGATAATCTATCAATTACCGACAGTAAAGACGACGAGGAGGAAGCATCGTCCAGATCACCCAAAACACCATCCCTAGTCAACGACGGCTTTCACGCGAACGCGACTCCTCACTCGTCTCTCGATTCTGGCGTCGCTCTACCTTTCACACCAGGCAAAGCCAGCTTTCGAAGTCTCTCGCCGGATATTGCAGGGCGTGAGATGACACTGCGCATGACTCTGACCCGCCCGGATTTGCGTGCACCCGAGCGGGAATTGTACGCTTTCCAGAGGAAGGAGGTGTCAGGGGTGGAGGTTGCAGACAGTGACCCTTTGGCACTGGCAACACTACCCGTCTGCGACGACCATACTGGAGCTCACGGCGCTTTTGCCGTGACACGATCTCACAAAGGAGGATTCAAGAAGGTGTGGAAGAACCTGCGCGGCCGCTAGAAGGGGAATTCGATGCATTTCCTTGATCATGTGCTCATATGTTTTGAAGCGTTCCAGCATTGCTTTATCCACATTTTGCTCAGCGGTTTTGGGGGAAAGGAGGGGAGGTCTATTGTGACCGCCAAGCTGCAGATTTGAATCTACAGGTGTACACTGTAAAACAACGCATACAAATGTCTGATGAAGTTCAGACAAGCTCTGGCCATGCTCTCACAAGTTTCCAACCAGTGTCATGCTAAAGATTAGCGTTTCCGATTCCTAGATTGTGTCACATGTCTCAAGCCTGTTTCGTCATACCGACCTCCAAGCTCTGAGGCACTTTCAAACAACCAATTCCAGGATTCCCCCTCGTGACATTCCGCGACAACTCACTTCGTCTACTCAAACATCCGAATCGCAGCTACCTTGGCTATCCCGACCTCTTCACACTGCGACATTAACGGCTATCACAATCCACATCTGCCTAAACCCCTCTTCGAACGAATATGGCCTCGGCGGTGAGCTTGAAAGAGCTCGAGGACGACCCACGCCTCTTCCTATACACATCCCTCACGGCCGGCTCGTCGCACATCATCACCGCCACGTCGCGCATGGAAACGATCCTCAAAGCAAACAAGATCCCCTTCCAAGCCATCGACACCGCAACAGACGAGAAAGCACGAAGACTATGGCAGCGGAGAGGAGGCCAGAAGAAGCTTCCAGGCTTGGTGAAGGAGGGATACGTGATTGGTGTATGTGCAGGCAAGAGTCGGGCAAGAGTAGAAGCGGAAGGCTAACATAAGCACTAGGATCTGGCAGAAGTGGAAGAGTGGAATGAGTTTGGCGAGCTCAAGGAGAACATTGGCCCTGTGCCTGCGAATAATGCTGCTCCGGCGGGAGGTCAGACGGGGGTGAACATTGCGCCGCCGCTGTCTGTCAATCCTACGGCTACGCAGGGTACTGCGAAAGTGAGCCAGCCTCCTGTGAACAAGGCGCCGCCGCCGCTGTTGGACGACTCCAAGGCGAGACCTATTGCATTACCTGGAGCAGCAGAGATCGCAGCACGCAATCAACCTACGTCGCCGAGTAACTTCGAGGCGATCAACGCTGAGACGATGACTTCGTCGCCTGAGGAGAAGAAGCAGAGTGTTGAGCAAGCGAAGGAGAAATTGAACGCTCCCGCTGCAGGCATCGATCATCTCTCAGCCCCAGCATCAAGATTACAATCTGGCACAGCGACTCCAGCGCAGACAGAAGAGCCCTCCAGTGACGCCCCCAAAACAGCTACGGAGAAACACCGAGGAAGTGATATTATCGAGGCGCCCTCAGAGGAGATCAGGAAGATCGAGACTGAGAACTCGCTGAAGGAGGAAGATGGCGAAGAAGGTGACACGCTGGCTGCCACTAAGGGGGTTGAAGGTCTGAAGGTAGGCGATGAGACGGCGAAGCCTCAAGAGCAGAGTGCCAAAGAGGGTGCAGATGCAGGCAAGACGGTGGAGGATTGATGGAACATGACACAGGTATACCCACGGAATTTGATACTTTGATCCAGTAATGACTATGCAAAAAACACCTTGGAAATGACTGCCCTTTGCTTTCACATGTTCTGATATGTCGAAGTGAATTGAAGCCGAGCATTAAAGTTCGGCTAGTGCGCGATGACGCTGGGCCCTGATCGGCAGTCAACGTTCGTTTCATCAAAGCAGCCCAGCCACTTCACTTGTTCTTGGAATGAGGAAACTCACCACCTCACACCACATTCACAAAAATGCGCTCTTCTTCACCGACATGAAGCCCACCACGCCACAGAGCCCAATCCCAGCTTAAACCCTCCCAACAACAAACATCCACAACACCACCCTCCCCTCCTCAAACCATGCAACGCGGCGGCCGCCATCGCGGCGGAAGCAACAACTATCGAGGTCGAGGTCGCGGCAGAGGCGCCGGCAGCATCCAACCCCTCCGCGGGCTCTTCGCCTCCAATATCTGGCACTGCGACTGCAGCCCACGCCTGCCCGCCGAACACTTCAAAGTGAAAAAAGAAGGACGGAACCAAGGACGGTGGTTCTACACCTGTCAGAATCGGAATAAAGGGCCACCCGGTAGTGGGGAGAAGAACAAGGGGGGTTGTGATTTTTTCTTGTGGGATGAGGATGCGCGGTTGAGGGAGGAGGGGAGTGTTATTGGGAATGGGAGGGAGAGGGAGAGGGAGGGGCAGGAGGGGTGGGATGCGGGGAGGGGTGGTGGGAAGGGGTTGTTTTCTGATGCTGCTTCTTCGGGGAAGAGTCGTGGTGGGCAGGTTGTTGTGAGGGAGGACTCTGATACGGACGTTTCGCCTTCGCCGACGCCTACCCCTGTTGCGAATGTGAGGAAGAAGCGGAATGCACGGGATGCGAGTTTGGATAACGATGACGAGGAGGAGGATTTCGGGTTGCAGCCTGATGAAGAGCAGGAATTGGCGAAGTTGGATACCTCGTCATTTGAGACCCCGCAGAAAGTGCAGAAGACTGGCGTCTACGCCACGCCGGCGACGACTGTGCGCAAGACGAGTCGCAAGCTGCCCTGGGCCGATGAGGTCGTCGAGCCTGTGAGTCCCCCGACGTCGACGAGAAAGACGGTTGTGGACTACTTCACCACTCCATCGAAACCACCCGCGAAAGCAGTCACATTCGAAGAACCCCCGACTTCCAGCAACGCAACAATAACAACCAGCAGCAGCATCATCCAAACCCCCGCCGACTCCACCACCACCCCAGCCCACCCATCCTCCCCCTCCCCCTCCTCCCGATACAAAGACGCCCTCCTCGACCCGGCCGACTCCTCCAGCTCCCTAACAAGCGAAGTCCTCGCCGAGCTCTCCGCCCTCGTCCCCAACATCCCCCGCGAGAAACTCTCCACCCTCCGCGGTATCCTCTCGAAACACGACCTCAAGACGCAGGGCGTCACGAAGGGGAGGGATATCTCGCGGCTGGCGCTCAAGGCGAAAGGGGCGAAGATTGCGGAGCTGGAGGCGAGGATTGCGAGTTTGGAGGCGGAGAGGGAGGTGGATCGGAGTTTGATTGCGGGGTTGAGGTGGAGGAGGGGGGTTGGACGGGATGAGGAGGAGGGGGATGAGGATGGGGAGAGTCAGCTTTGAATTTGGTTTGTGTGTGTGGAGGAGGAAAAGAAAGGGAAGAGGATGATTGTTTGATGATACTTTTGAGCGTGCGCGATACCCACTTTGAGATTGTTACTTCCCAACGAACCCGATCGAGTTTTGTAGTACTAGCATTTAGTGAACTTGACGAATGACATGAATGACCATGTTGAAGTAGTGCTTGCAGCGAGTACATGAAGTAATCTGCGCAAAACAACACGAAGTATTTTGAATATACAATCCAACAAGAACCGAAAAATCCTCTCGATCCTTTTCCTTCCTCTCTATCAATCCATCTCATCCCATACAATCAATAGTAACAAGCAAGCAAGCAACATGTCTTTCCCATCCAAGCATGTGCTGGGTATCTCTTCTTCCCGAAAATCCAAAAATCACACATCAAAATCCAAGAAATAACAATCCATCCATCGACAAAGGTCATCGGCAGTCATCGTACATTCCACACAGCCGACCCATCAATTCATCCCTCTCATCCCCCATCTCTCCTCTCTTCTCTTCATCCATCAGTGTTTGTTTTTCGCAATCAAAATTGCTGATAATACAACCCCGGCGGCGCCGAGACGGTATGCTGCATCATCGGCGCCGCAACTAACTCATTCGAGAACGACAAGCCAGCATTATCGATAGACGTGGGGTATCTCATGTTATTGTTGTTGTCAAACCCCGTCGAATGAGCTTGCTGATGAGGCAGATATGCATCCTGAAACCCCAGCGTCTGCGCGGCGGCGAGCTGGTCGTCGAGATCGAGGTCGAGGTCCAGGGCAAGGTCGTCCATCGTTTCTGTTGGCATTGTCGTGCTCGTCGAGGATGATTCGAGGGGCAATGAATGCCCAAAGGCCTGATCGCTTGAGACTTCGACTTCTTTCAACCATCCGTTCGCTTTCAACCACTCAATCGGCGGCCAGTCGCCTCCGGCTTTCCCTGCTCGAGACTCCCTCTCCTCACCCCTGGCCTTCCGGCCCCGCTTCCTCGGACAGAAATGAGCCCTGCGCAGATGAGCTGCCGCGTTGTAGTACACGTTGTACTGCTTCTGCTGCTTGCACTGCTTGCAGATGCCCAGGGGTTTGGCGGGCCACCACTCCGTGCGGGTGGTCGGTTCGGTGCAGATCCAGACTTTGCGGCATTCGGCGTGCGCGCGGTCCCAGTGGCGGCGGAGTTCGTGCTCGCCGCGGAAGCCATGGGGGAATTCTTCGCACATGTTGCAGTAGAGTTTGGGGTGCGAGGGGCGGGTGTAGGGGGCTTTGGAGATGGGTTCTTTGGGCTTGGTGGTGGTGTGGTTGGGTTTGGAGGAGCGGTTGTTGCTGGCGTTGGGCGTGCTGGACTCTCTCTTCAGGGGTGCTGATTTGGGGCCGTCGGGGAGACTCTTGGGTGCGATGTTTTGTCTGGCGTTCTCGATGTGCTTGCGGCGACGTTCGTTGGCTTTGAATTCGGACGAGGATGAACTCGAGTTGCTTTCTTGAGAGTCGCTGCGCACCATGTCTTGGGCGTGGTGGTGATGGTGTTGGTGAGCAAAGGCAAACCCATTGCCGTCGATGGCGTACTGTTGACCGCCAGCATGATCAACAGCAGCAGCATCAGAAAAATCTTGACCAACAGTACTAACAAAAGGAAAGTCCGGGGTACAACCTAAGCCATAGCCCACATTGCTCAGCAAATGCGAGGCACTACCATCTTGCAAGCCGATCATAGTAGGCTGGTGACTACTAGGCGGCTTCTCAGTAGCAGACGATACGAAAGAACCATCAAGATCATCGACAGAAAAGAGATCAGAGGCAGTGGAGAAGGAAGACTCAACGCGCATCATGTCGAAAGCATCAATCACCGACGCACTGGTCACACTACTCTGTCGGCTCATCGCCTCACTCGACGTGAGGGAGCTTGGTGACAGGTGAGTCGTCGACGACATACTCGTACTTGGCGATACGTTGTCATGTGCCGACGGCACGCACAAATTTGGAGCATAAGAAGAGCGGCCGACCGTCGACGAGGTTTGTAGACCTGCTCCGACTCGGGCCTTCTTATGTGCAAATTGTGTTGCAGTGGAGCACATGGGGTCGGTGAGGGGATCGCTCGAAAGCTTGGAGCAATACTCGGCGGGTTCAAAGACTTGAACGTCGTCGAGGTGAGGCTGCGATGGTACTGTGGTACCCGCAGGCGTCGAATACTGCCAAGGTGTCGTCGTGCTGCCGTAGGTGTAGCTCGTCGAGAAGTCCATGTCGACGTGGTGGAAGTCGCGCTTGCCGTTGCCGTTGTTGCTCGCGTACAGCGGGTGAGTCGATGTCGGCGCCGAGTGGTAGCCACCGTGAGAGCCGTTCGTCGAGCCCATGCGGGCCATGGCTACTGGAGCCATGTCGTGTTGGAGGTCGAAGGTGGGGAGAGACCCGTCCAGATGTCGAGGTTCCTGCCATGATCAGTTACAGCTAACGGGCCAGACTACCAAGAAAACGAAAGCTCCTACTGATGGCCCGAAGTTCCCGGCATCGTCGGCCAGTGCCAGACCAGTGCCAGCCAGGTCCTTTTGTACGCTTCGAGGGGTGCCCGAGTCGAAGGAGGGGTGGTGCTGGTGGTGGTGTATTGAGTGGCCCGCAGACCAGGGCGCATACGTTGATTGCCAGAGTGTCGGGTCTTCCAGGTCCAGCGGCCCGATGGTCGAGTTGTCGGAGCTGTGGTAAGACATGTTAAGGCACGTGCAGTGAGTGAGGCTGCAGACGGCGAGATTGATGAGGTGCGTGGCGAGGTGAGGTTGGCGGGTTGGCGGCGAGTATGTCTAAGTGATGCACCCAATGAGTAGGCGGTGGGTGTGTACGTTTGAGGATGAAAGGCTTTGCAAGAGCAGCAATAGTGATGAGTGAGGCGGGCGAGGCCAACGAAGAGGGAAACAGGAGGCTCTTAATGTATGCCTCGACGGTTTGCTGTGATGGTGCTGCATCCAACAACTCAGTAGCATGGGGGTACGTTGCATGCCAGCTTGTCCATCAAGAGCACGCCGGGATACGGGTGGACAAAAGCGCCAAGACGGGGAAGAAATGATGAGGCTGCCAATCAATTCCCATCAAAGTCCCGCCGTCAGCTCCACCCGCGCTAGGGCCCGTCGAGCCGAGCTGTCTATAGGCTCGATCTGCCATGGACATATGCACCTGCCGCTCGTCCTCACGTTGCCTTCACGCGAACGTCGTCCCATCGCCCGCATAGTGCTGACCGCGACGCCTTCTGCTCGCCTGAGGCATGATCTTCCCATACCGTCAGAAAAGAGGTGTTGATGGAGAGATCGGCATGGGTCTAGAGCCACGAGCGCCGTTGCACTGGCCGGCCCTGATCGGCGGGCAAGATGACGCTAGGCACGACAATCTTGGTGAGACGTCGCGCGCTCGACATCATCTGTGCAAGGACGACTTTTTAAAAACCTCAATGCGCTAGGCCCAGTGCAACACGAGCGTGAAAATTGCTGCTAAGAAGCCTCACCAGCATACCGTGGTGAAACAAACATCACCTCCCGCGAAGGATACCCCACGAAGGATCCAAGGCCTGCGAAGGCAACTTGATGAGAAGAAAACTCTCCCGAACCTGTCCCGTGAACGCAAAAAGGCAAATAGATTGCGGAAACAACATCCTCGAATTACTACACACACACAACTACAGAATCGTCGACGCCGTCGCGACCAACCGTCTCATCTTGGCCACTGGATTCCGCGTCTTGCGAGTCGACAGCCCTCTGCTAATGCCAGGCTTTTTCGGTGCTGCCACAGGTGCAAACCAGGCTGAGCCTGCATCGATCTCTTCCACATCGTCATCCCATTCGAACCCTTGCCCGCCCGCCCCGATTTGGCTGCTGTGCACGCTGGCGCTATCCTTTCCAAACCGGCTGCTGTGCGTGCTCGTTGCGTAACTCGTGCTGTCCCGCCCCCGTCGGCTGCTCTGAACACTCGACGCGTAGCTGGCGCTGTCTCGACCTTTCCTATGCGATGGCTGAAGTACGGCATCCAACATGCTCTCTTCTGGTGCTGGGAGAAGGGGGAGACTCCCTTCCCGGTCCTTGCCTATCGTAAGAGAGTCTTTCTGTTCATTCACAGGCATGGAGCCCGCGGAGCTTCTGGACAATCGAGCGATGCCTCGAGCTCGTAATGTTTCTTCATTTTCCACCGGCGGTGCAATCACTTCAGGCATGGGGAGGACGACAGTCGGCACGGGGGCCGGTGGTGGCTTGCTCGCTGCTGTCTCGATAATATCCTTGGCAATCACCACTTCGACAGGACTGGCAACTGGCTGTTCGTTTGGCGGCGTGCTGAAACGTTCTAAATCCGTTTCGTACTCCATCTCCTCGATTTCATCCAATTCCGACTCCACCAGCGATAATCGATCCCCGTCGAAACTGACCATCTCGAAACCGAACTCGTCAAAAAATTCGCAAATGTCGTCGACCACCATATCGTCGCTTCTTCGTCGGGGGATGGCCAACGCGTGCTGGTAGACTTGATCGATTGCTTCCTGAAAAGGCTCAAGACTCGCAACAGAATTCTTCCTCGGCATGATCTGAGGCGTCGGCAGCTTGATGGGTCCGTGGATGTATAACGTCGGTTGCCACGCGGTGAGCTCTGGCGGTGTCACGGTGATGATGGAGCCTCCTCTTAAATGTATCTGCGTCGCCACAGGCGTCGACACACCTGAGGGCAGTGGCGAATTCTCACCTGCCGCTGAATCCTCGGGGATTGCTGCCAGCCTCGTGGGAGAGAGCTGTTCAGACTCTTTTCTGAACCAACCTCCACCACCACCATCATTTGCGTCGACATTAACATCACTCTCCGAGATCTGGGAGAGAGGACTCCCCGTCGAACCACCCGATTTACGATTGCGCGTCCTGGACCGGGGTGTAGTCGGAGATGTGTTGTAGAGTTCCGTGGGCGTCGTAGTGATGCTGCTGGGGGTCGTTGGTAAGTCTTTCTCGATGAAACTGAGGCGCGGCGGTAGGTTGATACGAAAGCTCAATTCGGACGGTGGCCTTTTCGGCTTCTTGTTCTTGCCGTAAATGATCTCTTCCACGGGAAAGAAGCCAGCGTCCAAGAGCATGCTCATCGTCTCCCCTTTTCTTCGCTTCTTCCACCTCGTCGGCGCTGATGGCGGCGCGATGGGTCTCTCGGCCTTGACGATTGAATCTGGCCGTTTCGTTCGCTTTCTATCTTCCGCCTCGAGCAGTGCCGCGCGCATATGAGCGGCGGTGGTCATTCGCTGCGAATCCAAGGACCGAGTCGCAGAAAGCTTTCTAGCATGTCGCGACTTCGTCGGACTGCACGCACTCCCACTGCCCCTGAACACCGCACTCTTCGCCACCTTTAACGATGAAAAACTATTCGCGCGATACAAACTAGGCGGCGCCGTTGAAGACCGTACAAGAGACCCAGGGTCTATGGAAGAAGCCGTTGTGGAAAGCGACGATGTCGACGGCCCGGAATCCCTCTTCGCCCTCGCCTTCATGCTCGCCAACGCCGCATTGAACGTCGCGTCCGTGAGCGCGGCATGCTGTCTCGAAGGCGCCTTTGGTGCTGTCTTGGTCGACGACGATGACGCCACTGATAAGATCGATCCAGACACACTCCTTTCGACGAGAGGTTTCGCGGACGGCGGCGTCGCAGGCTTGTCGAATGACATATCGCTGAACAACGGCCTAGGACTCAACGAACTCTGCGATTCCTCCCTGTGCAGAGTCACAACTTGTCTCAAAGGCGACTTATCCGGAATCGGTGGCAGAGGCGGCGACTCGTCCACCCTCAGCGGGCGCGAGGTAGGGACCCGCCCATGTTTCGGTGGTTCGGGCGGTGGGGGGAGGAAGAGCTCACTCGGTGGTCGAGGGGGTCGTTTGGGGGTTGCTGGAGCTCGTCGGGGTTCTTCGAAGACGGGCAGCGTTCGTCTTGCGGCGCTGCTATCTGGTCGTGGACTCCCAATCGCGCGGCGATCGATGCCTCCTCCTCGCTCGTGCGGGGCGAGGGGTGGTGGTGTTCGGGGAGGAGGCGTGTGTGGAGGGGAGCTGTGCAGCATTGCTATGGCCTGGTGGTGTCGGCGATTTCGTTGCGTGGATGTCGCATTTTGCTGTTCCTCGCGGGTGGAGGATGACGAGTTGGTTCTTTGATCTCCCGTCCCACCTGCTGAAGACGACTCTGGCCGCCCTCTCTGCGCAGCGAGTCGTCGATCGACTTCCTCTCGGGAGAGTCTTATTGGCGGCGGAGGAACAAACATCGTACAGACGCTCTCTCAGCGATATCTCAGCATGTCGACACGATACTCTCTTCTCTTTGGACCCGAGTGTGGTAGAAAGAAGACGCTCGGCTTCCAGACCGCATGGACACCACGACGACCTTCTTTGTCTCGCCATGGCGACTTTGTCCCGGGCAAGCTTTGGCGAAGCACAAAGGAAGCATTGCTTCTGGGTTGGGGTTGGGGAATCTGGGACGTTGGGTAGCCAAGCATTCCTCATCAAACACCCGCATCCGGGCGGAAAGGGAGGGAAAAGTGCACGAAAAGTGAGCGGGCAAGGGAATGATTTGTGGAAGGTAGGTAGTGCAGAAAGCTGAACGAAACATTCGGTGGTATCTCGAAGTCGTTTCATGAGGCTGTACAGACTGTTGCTCAAGTTGCGTAACGTTCTGGCAAGACGCTCCCTTCACCAAGTAAATCACTCCCTCTCTCGCCCAAAAAAACATCCCTTCAAAAACTCCAACAACATCCACCCACGCCATCCATCACTTCTCAATACGGCACCTGACAACAATGCCACTGTCGACACGTCTTACACCACACCTTATCATCCACATCCCTCCTCACGCGCTCCTGCTCATGCTCATGTTCCTCATCTCCCAAAATCGGCAACCCCGTCTGCCTCTCAGCTACAGGTTTGATAACAGTCGTCGTAATCGTCTCCGGCTGGCCTTCAATCGTCTCTGTCAATGTTGTGCCTGGGAGTGTGACGACTTCGCCTTCAATCGTCTCCGTCAACGTTGTGCCTGGAATCGTAACAGTTTGGAAAGTTGCAATGGTCTCCAGGCGCAGACTATGGATCGTCGTCGGCGTGATGTTGGCGACAATAGTGGGCACGAGTTTCGTGACGAGTTTCTCAACTGTCAGGTTGAAGAGCCTGGTAATGGTGCTGGGATCTTTGGGTTTAGGACTGATTGTTTTCGTGGTCGTCGTCGGCACCGTTTTGACGCTCTTCTCCGTGATGGTTTCTCGGAGGGTCTTTTCGATGGTGATTTTGGTCGGTCGGATGACTGTGATGTTGGTCGGTTGGATGACCGTCGCCCAGCGCGTGGTGATGCCGGCGGGGATAGGGTTTCTGAACATCTCGTCTTTTTCATAGACGGTGATGGTGCGTGCGGGGAGTGGGTCTTCTTTCTCGTACACGGTGATAGTTTCTGTATGAGTGGCCTTGCCATCTTTCGCGGACGTCGAGACGAATGCATCCCAGTGCATACGTTCAGAGTCGACAGCACCGGGGTAGGGCGACTTCTTCTTGTTCTTGTTCTTCTTGTTGGCTGGCTCGGGCTCAGGCCACGGCACATCCGATTGCTCGAAGCCGCGGTTTTGCTCACGTTCCCAGCCGCCGTAGTTGTTCATTCCTCTCCTCTGTCGCTCCAGCTGTTCCAACGCCCACGGGGGAACGTCAAAGCCATGTTCACCGGCTTCGTACCACTCGAAGGGTTCGGGTTCAGACGGTGCTGGGTAGAGTCTCCAAACAAGCGCGAGGATGACCACGAATGCGAGGACTTTCGCCCCGTGATCCCACACAAAGTTGCCGATTCTGTGCCACCAGAAGGAGATTTGGTCGGTCCAGTAGTTGTATCGAAGCCGGAGATAGCGGTCGTATGCCGCCGCGTTGACTTGCTCGGGTGCTTCTCTCGCGCGCTGTCTTGCGGCTTGTACTCTTGGATGCTGTGGGAGGGCAGTGAACCAATGCCACGCCGCTCGTCCACGCCACACCCACAGCGCGTATAGCACGCAGAAAAGCGTGATGGCGATGAAACTCCACCAGACGAACCAGTCCAAAATTCTTCCCAGGAATCCCCGTTGCTGCACCTGCTGACCAGGGTACTGGCCAGCAGCATGCTGCAACGGTCGACCACCTCTTCCCGGGGATGTCTGCGCTGCTGCGCCGGAGGTGAACGCCTGCTTTTCTCTTAGCCGCTTGCCATATGCTTCCCGGTAGATATCCTCCATGGCTGCGCTGGAGCGGCTCGTCGAGTGAAAGTAGCGCGCGAATCTTACCAGGAAGAATACCAAGGCCATCATCGCCAGCGATGTCTGGGCCAGGGAGCGCCGAATGTGAAGCATTGGCGCGCGCTTTGTTCTCTCGTCTCGTCTTTGTGGTATACTCTTCTTTTGGGGTGAACTTTGAGTGCTGGATTCCGGATCCGGCTCGGATTGCTCGAACAATGGGAGATTAAAGCGCGAAGCGAAGAGAAGAGTGTGTGAGAAAGGGCACAGGACGAAGGTAAGAAAGCGCTGTTGTTGAGGGTGAAAAGAAGAGCGTGAAGATCGTTTGGAAGGAAAGTAGAGATGAAATGCTTCCTATTGACCGCCATTGATAGTATTGTTTGGGTGAAAATGTGGGTCCCATTGAGGGTTGGTATTGTCCTGAACAGGTGAGGTTGTTATTTCAAGGACTTCACGCGACCAGGATGCGCTTCAAACGCACGAACGACCAATGAAAAGCGAGCAATGCGAATAGCATCGTTCTCTCGAGTAGACGAGACGTCTTCGATGAAGGAATGGCTCATACGGTTGCGTGGACGCTTGTGTTTCGGGGGGGGGATGCGACGTCTTCATCTTGGAATCACGACTTCACGTCCTAGTTCACCGCAGGCACTGTAAGAGTATTACCTGAAATACATCAGTCATTGCGCAAAGATGTGCAGCGCATACTTACCGCCATCGGGATACAATATCTGCTCGTTGTAAAATACGCCACCCTTCCCAGCGAGAAACAGTATCTAAGGTGCCTTAGTCAAAGATAGTAAGGGTCTTTCAGATTTGTTGCTTACAGTCGCGCCCATGTCGCTATCTTCGCCCTTTCTCCCAGCTGGGTTATACGATCGCATGTCCAGTTCAGATTTGTTCTTGTCGTCACTCGACCCCGCAGTCATCTCACTTGAAGCTGTCAGTGGGCGGCGCTGGAACGTCAAGATGAAACACTGACCTAGGGAATACTCCAGGCGCAATGACGTTGACGCGGACTTTGACATCCTTAAACGTCGTGGCAAGCATACGACTGAGATGAGTGAAAGCAGCTTTGGAGGAGGCATATGAAGGTTGTCCGTTCGATGAACCCTTCATCGCACCAGATATGGAGCTCACGTTCACCACCGACGAGGAGTAGCCGGGCGTCACTTTGCCTCCCTTTGCGAGCAGCGGCACAAAAGCCACTGACAGAACGAATTAGCACTGCTGGAAGACACTTCAGACCGCAAACCACCACTCACTACTCATGAAGTATTGACCAGCTACGTTCGTTTGAAAGGTGTCTGCCCACTGCTGGTCCTCAGAGCGCAGAAAGTGCTCGGAGATCGCTTCGGGTGAGGACATGTCTGGCGTTCCGTTCTTTGCTGAGAACACGTTAGAAGTCGCGATCAGCCTCAACTTCACTCGACCTACAAAACATGGTGTTCACATCGCGAGCAATGCCGGCATTGTTAACCAGAAGCTGGATTCCTTGAGGTTCCTTTTGCTCCATCTCTTTGGCCAACCTGATGCATCCCTCCTTCTTGCTCACGTCACCAACGATACTGTGAAGGCTACCTGGGCCAGTGTTGTATTGCTTCACCGTTTCGGCTAGGGTCTCCTCTCGCCGTCCAGTAATGTACACCTTTGCCCCATTGGCCACAAGCGCTTGAGAGATCACTGGCATAACAGTCAGAACAGATATGGTAATGCAGGCACATTTTTCAATTGATTCGTCTGAACAACTGTCGTCAATTAGACGTACTTAGACCAATGCCTGTGCCGCCACCTGTGACCAGAGCCGTGACATGGGAGACGTCAAAGAGGCCCGAAGCCTTCATGTTATCGTTGTTAGCCATTCCTATATTATATTAGCCAGAGCATTAACCATACAATTGGAGTACTTGCCTGTGCCGTAAGTGCGTCCCACAATGCTGAGCTTGGAACGAGCGAAAGAACACACAGCCGGCTTCCGCAAGAGAGAAGGGCCACGTGAGAAGAGACGAAGCATTATGGCGGTAAGCGGTAATGTGATGTAAAGAGAGATGAATCCACAAGAGATGTTTAAGATGTTCCTTCTTCTACATTACCCTCCATGACGTCTAGATGTCAAGACGTGGATTAACCCCTTTCTGCGCTCGTGCTCGAGACGGTCGATTGCTTGTGCGGACATCGGAGACCAGTACTCAGAAATAGAGCAGTGGCAGCTCTATCATGCTTCCACGCGCCAGGTGATCGCATGTGGATCGCGTTTCTTCACATGTGAGCGCTGTTTGCAGCAAAGTGAAGTGAAGTGAATCGGGGCTAAAGCACGGGCCAGCCAATGACGTGGCTGCTTGGTGATCCTTCCGGACGCTGCCGAGTCGACTTCACCTGCACCTCTTGCCATCCTTCCACCAGAGGCTGAGCATCCAGCCTCAACAACAAGCCTCAACAACACAGACCTTCGCATCGCCGGCGACATCGACCACAGCTCATCTGCTGGACGGACTCCCCTAATCAACCGAAACAGCACATCACGGCAGATCAGCTACACAGGCTTCAACATGGGCCGCGACATCGCCATCTCAGGCTGGTCTGAGGAATGGCTCAACCGCACCCTCCCCGAACTCAAGTGCGAGACCACGCTGGTCGTGTACGCGATAACCCTCACCTCTCTTTTCATCGGCATCCGCGCTCTCCTCCGCGTCCGGCGCACTCGTAAAGACCTCGAGGCGAATCCATCCAACCGCGTCGCAATCCTCTCCGGCTGCGATAAGCGCATGGCAAAGACGACCAAGACCATCTTCTGCTTCGCCCACATCTTCTTCTTCCACTCTCTGGCGCTCTGGTTCACGGATGCTGCCATCGGCGTGTTGGCCATCTACCAGGACGTCGACTCGCACCCGGGGGAGTACACCGCGCCGGTCTGGATTGATCTGGCCATCCAGGTCGTGACCATGTTGGCCGTCTTCACGGCTGTCTTCATCGCGTTCCCTATGCTTCAGCTCATCGGCGTATCGCATTTGGTTAAGAAGAGCGTACGCAAGGGCAGCGAGGCTCCCATGTCGGCCTACATCACCGAAGGCCGCATTATCAGCACCCACCTGGCTCAACTCTGGATGATGACCGGCTTCTGCATCGTCTCCTGGTGGCCCGTCATGGAAAGCTCAATGCTGCGCATCGTAATCTTGGAAGCAGTCTTTGGTTCTGGAATTGCCTGGCTGTCGACGAGCTTCATATTCAACTTCCGCACCGATGCGCTCTATAAGATGGAAATGGAGGTTCTGCAACAGCACCAGCGACCCGTCGGTGTGTGCCAGCATGTTGTGCATTACGGCAAGCAGGTCGCGGCTTCATTCGAAGATGAGAAGTCGCAATTGCTTCCGAAATACGAGCAAGCTGCGCAGGATGAGAAGACTGGACTTTGAAATGAGGTGATTGGAGATGACAGAAGACCTGGGGCGTTGGACACTAAACATGGACTTTTCTCGTTGGAGCGCTGAGGCACAAGGTACACATCGATACACGATGCGTTTGCAAGGCGTTTTTGGATTTCTGGGATTTCAGGGCTGTTGGAACGGTTTCACATGGTCATGGGTTGGTCTTTGGAGCACATTGTTCTGGCGCACGATGCATAGGCACAGTACATGCCTTTGTGGCATTCTCGTAGTTTCTTTGACCTTAGCTACCTATTCAAGGCTCGCCAAGTAGTTATTCGAAAAGAGTGACTAAAGCTAATTCCTTCCCGACTCATGTCTTGACCCTCTCAATGATCACTCGAGAACTCGAGATTTCAAAGAGTGGGTGACCGAGCTGTAGCGCGTGAAACAGCAACGCAGCAATCTAAAGCATTCTGGACTGTACGCAGGCAATGTATACTACACGCAGCGTGCGCGACCGGTGAGGTGTCTTGAGGCATTGCTCGAACTGTTCCACTTGAGCGGACGAGTTGCTGCTGGAGGAGGCGGTCCCCGATCACGTTTGAACCTGCTCGTACTTCCCGAAGCCCTGCTGTCCAGAGAGCGACAGCGACGCAAGCGATCTTGCTTCCTCGTGCCGTCCTCATTGGCTGTGATGTGGAAGCCGTGGTATGTCCGTCTGGCGGTTGGGCGCAGAAAGTCCGTCTTACGCTCCTTTGATGCCTTCCATTTCGCTACACCGGTCGTTGTAAAACGGTTCCTTGATATCGCATGGGTCCTAGCAAGCATGAACTGTGTCGTAGCAATGCCTGAGAGTCGCGAGCCAATCAGTCATAGCCACCGACACCCAGCTGACTTGCAAAAGCGGTGCTAACGCTACGAGCATCCTCATCTTCGAGTGTAGAGCGGTTCCGGCCGGCGCCAATTGGTGGCTGAGGAGGTCCTTGGCCTTCGACGTAGCGACGAAGCTTGTCGGACTGGGAGAGCGACGCCTGCTTGTTGAGATCGTTGATGCTCAGACCAGCAAGACTGACACCACCTTGACCAGGCTTGACAGAGCCGTTCGTAGTAACATCAGTCACCTCGCTCGCGGCAACGCTATCACCAGCAACACTCTCTGGTGGTGGATGATGAGACCTGTCGCCACCCATAGGGCCGTTGCGTTGCATACCAGGGAGTGTTGGCCACGCCTCCTGGAATCCTTGGAACATCGGCGGATACTGACTTGGGAGAGCGGCACCGCCAAGGGCGGACGAATGCACAGAAGAGACGTCGTCTGGAATGTAGCCAACGATACTGCCGTTATCGGCGCCTGGCGGGCCTCCACCACGGCCGTTCATGCGGCTGCCGGTGACAGCAGCCATGTGGTTGGCGTGTTGGTAGGCCATTTGGTGACGTTGAGGTCCACGATAGGAGGTCTTGGGGCGGCTGAATTGGAGTAGCGACACTTGGAGGTTGTTGAGTGGACCCTCAACCAGGCAGTTCCGCTCCTTGAAGTGCAGCAAGAGATAGTGCCAGAGCGGGTGCTTGCTGAGGACCTTGGGGTTGCCCAGAATGACCAAGCCGTACTTGGCACGAGTGAGGGCGACATTGAGACGGCGTGGATCGCTCAAGAAACCGATGCCCTGGTGATCGTTGCTACGGACGCAAGACAAGACGATAAAGTCCTTCTCTCGACCTTGGAAAGCGTCAACCGAGGCGACTTCGATCTCTTTGTAGTGCTCCTTCTTGAAAGTTCCCGTCTGCTGCATGCTCTGGACGACATACGAGCGTTGACCTTCGTATGGGGTGATGATACCGATCGCACCTGGGCTGACGCCAGCCTTGAAGAAGCGAGTGACAATCTTCTCAACATTCTGAGCTTCAGTTCGATTGAGGTAGGACGTTCCAGAAGCGCTGATCTCTTCGTTGCCCAAGTTGGACCAGAACATCATTGGCGAATCAGCGACTGGCCACGGGAAGTCGACATCCTTTCTGAGACGCTGCTGCATGGTGATACCGTTCTGCAGAGAGCCTTCGTAGAACATGTTGGAGGGGAACTCCGACAGACAAGGATGCATACGGTATTGAACCTGCAAGCGGATTGGTGCGCAACCAAGGATGACAAGACGCTCGAAGAGAGACTGATTCAGACCTGCTTTGGCAGCCTTCTTGTTCATGATGACAGGACCCAGCTGAGAGTGATCTCCAACGAGGACAACCTGCTTGCAGCCGAGTACAAGAGGGATCATGCATTCTGGCTCGGCGGATTGTGTGCTCTCGTCGATCAAGACGGTCCGGAACTTGAGTTTGGCGAGTCTTGGGTCTCCGGCACCAACGCAAGTGCAGCAAATGACATCTGCGTTCTGCAGAATTTCGCGCTCGGCGGCACGAGTAAGAGTCTTGAACTTCTTTTCGTCTTGACTAGAGAGTTCGCCAAGCTCAGCCTTAAGCTGATTGAGTTTGGCCAGTTCCACGTTGGTGTCGTTCATCTGCACTTGTCTGTGCAGAGACAGAAACCCGACATTCGACTCCACGTCCTCCCTGGATTTCGCCGTGACTCGGACGACTTTAAGCCCAGTCAGGTGGATGCGCTCGCAGAGCTGATCGACGGCGACGTTGGATGGAGCGCAGACAAGCACCTGACCGCCGTTCATCTTCGACAGGTGGTAGATGATCGTAGCAGACGTCACAGTCTTGCCAGTACCGGGTGGACCTTGGATCAAGCTGAGAGGCTTTTGAAGGACAGACTTCACGGCTTGGATCTGAGAGCTGTTGAGGTCAGGCAGGTTCGGAACACTGAACTTGCGAGGCATCTGCACTTTCATAGGCGCAGCTGCAACCTCATGACCGAGGAGTCTGTGGAAAATGTATCCCGAAACAGACATCTCGTCGATGGCGAACGTCTTCATGGCGTGCTGCATGCGGTCGAAGGACGTGGCCTTCCAGACGTAGTCGGCGGTGAAGTTGTGGGTGCACTCGGTAGGAACAGACTTGTGGTCGCCTCTAGCTCGCAACTCGATCGTCACTTCGTCGCTCTGGTTGTTTGGAATCTTAATCACATAGCCAACGCCTTCCCAGTGTGGTCTCAGCTCGCCAGTGTATCGCAAACGCATCTCGTCGCCAACAGCTAGCTTGACATCGCCAAGCTCGAGCTTTGGAAGGACGAAAGAGGCAAGATGCTTGTTGTTGAGACCAAAGTCCCAGCGCACAATGAGGTTGTCCTGGCTTTGCGCTTCCTTCAGCTTGCGGTCGTAGTCGGCTTCGATCTTGACAAGCGGGCCGAAGACGTTCTGATATTGGAAAGCGTCGTCGTAGCGCATCAGCACTGGTGCAGGTTCGTCGTCGATGCCCGCGCTCTTCTCAAGATCCTGAACAGTGGCGCTGCTGTTGTCTTTCCACATCTCCTCCAATTTGGCAATGACTTGAGGTGGCAAATGGCGCGCACGCATCTGTTCCTGGTCTGTTGGCTGGTTCACGAGCCACGGTAGGAACGATCGGTCCTCAATCAATGGCTGCCACTTCGAGGTGTCCCAGTTCATGTCCTTGCTGCTGGGCATTGCGGCGCACGGCTGACGGCAGAGAAGCACAACAACGGTGTCGCTCTTGGCTGGAATAAAGCCCAGAAGGAACACGTTCTTGGTACCGCAGTTGTAGCATTCTAGAGTGGTGTCTCCCAGTGGTGACGAGGGGTGAAGCTGAACTTCCTTGTGCCGTGCGCGGACCAAGTGGTTGATGATATGGCTGGACGACGTGTTACCGCGCGCCGAGCAGAACCACTTGGAGCATGACAGGCACTTCACGACCGAGCCTGGGTTGTGGATGCCACAGTAAGCGCAGGCATGAGCGGGCAATTCGACCTCCTCTTGTTCCTGAGCCGGTTGCGGTTGGCCGTTGGCGCCATTTGCAGTATGACTGGCAAGTGATTCGAGGTCGTCGTCGTCGTATACGTCCGTCTCGTCATCGTCGCCCACGCGCCTCCTACGAGGGCCGCCGTTCAGGTTGCCGCGGCCATACTCGCTGTCGAGGGCGCTCTCAGCTGCGTCGAGGGTAGAGATGTCGTCGCCTTCGTTGATCGCGGAGGCCGAGTCGCCAACCAGGTGATTGCCGACATTGGTAAAGGTGCCCTCCATGGCCGTGGCGGGGTTTCGGAGGTGGTGGTGAGGATGGAGGGAGGGGGTCGAGGAGATGAGGTTGAGTGGCGGCGAGCGTCGCCAGGTGGAATCGCACTCAACCTCGAGCAGTCGGCGGCGGATGGAGCGTCAAAACAGCCTTTCGGCGGTGTTCAGACGCAGCCTCGTGCTTGGAGAAGAAAAGGTGAAGGCGAGATGCAATCGGCAGAGGTAAATGCAGGGAAGCCGAACCCTCTTCACGCGTGTGCCTGAGGCCAGCTTGGCGCCGTCTTAAATTTCAAGACCTCCGCCTCTTCACCACTATTTGCCCTACACAGGCAAACACGCCATGATCCGACGACAGGCCCGCCAGCGGAGAGATTATCTCTACCGTCGCGCGCTCACTCTACGCGACGCTGAAATCGCCGAAAAACGTGCAAAACTCAAGTCGTCCCTGGCCTCTGGCAAGCCGCTCGATCCTAGCATCGCAAACGACAAGCAGCTTCGGCAGGACTACAAGTATGACGAGTCGAGGGCGGATCGAACCAACGAGGAAGAGCTGGAGTTGGACGACGAGTACAGCTACTTGTCAGGCGTGGTAGACCCACGAGTTCTTGTCACGACCTCTCGCGACCCCAGCAGCCGACTGGCCTCGTTCGCAAAAGAGATTCGACTTCTACTCCCGACCAGTATCCGACTCAACCGGGGAAACCTCATCTTACCGAACCTTACCTCCAGTGCCAAATCCAGCGGCCTCTCAGATCTGATATTGCTGCACGAGCATCGAGGCACACCAACCGCCATGACCGTATCCCACTTCCCCCATGGCCCTACGGCTTCATTCAGTCTTCACAACGTCGTTCTTCGACACGATATCCCGAACGCATCTCGTGGTACCGTCAGCGAGAGCTATCCGCATCTGATTTTCGAGGGCTTTCAGACAGCATTGGGGAAGCGAGTGGTCAAGATTTTGCAGCATCTGTTCCCACCACGGGAAGGAGGAGCGAAGTTGGGCTCAAGAGTGGTCACATTCAAGAACATCGAGGACAGCATCGAGGTACGGCATCATGTGTTTGTCAAGACAGGATATCAGAGTGTGGAGTTGGCAGAGGTTGGGCCTCGCATGACGATGCGCCTGTTCGAGATCAGGCAAGGCACGGCCGAGAATAAGGATGGAGATGTCGAGTGGCACATGAATCAATACATGAGGACTGCGAAGAAGAAGGATTACTTGTAAACAAACGTTGAGCATGAAACGGAAGGGAGCCCGGCTGTACGTTTTTCACATGCACGCTGGCAAAGTGACTGCGGGATGAATTGGGGCCTCACTTGAGTGTGCGCTACACTGCTTCACGCCGTGTTGGACCAAGCGCAGTTTCACATGCCGCCAAGAGATTTGACCCTCCTTCCTATCTCAGGGTCAAACGGTGCAAACCTCGAACTTCAGCAACACACGATACCAAACCGGACACACCAAAATCGGGTCGCACCAAACACCACGAATGGCTCCCACGCCTATGCTCACATCCTGCGAAATGGGTAAAAGGCGTCGCGGTCCGGCCGATCAATCCATCCACTAACTCACCTTGCAGATGAAACTCAGTTACCACTCACGGCTGCCTCGAAGGCGTTTGCAACCACCGAATTGCTTGAAGACATCCTTCTGTACTTACCCAACAAAACACTCTCCAAATTGAAACAAGTCTCTCGCCACTGGAAAGCCACCATCGAAGGCTCACAGGCCATTCGAAAGCAGCTGTTCTTGAAGTCGGGCGACTTCGATACCTTCAGACTCGGTGGCGTCTTTCATCCCAGCCTTCTAGTTCCAGGAGGCACGGTGGCATTGCTGAATCCGATGCTTGAGCCGTATTCCGACGAGTTAGAGCGGCTTCCTCGAGCAAAACGTGGCGCTTGGCAGAGGACATTAGCCACTCAGCCGGCCACGACAGAGCTCAAGGTCACTATTTTTATGGATCCAAGGTCGATGTCATCAACTTCGCTCGTCAGGGCCGTCAAGAACGATCGAGGCGTGACGATCAAGGACGTCGCGGATTGGGTCAGGACGTTCTGCGAGCATATGAGTCGTCACCGAATGGACATCCACATGTACTTGAGTGACAGAGCGGGATTGATGGGCTGAAACTCTCAACTTTGCGGAGTGGAATGGCTTCACGGACTTGTCATGGCCGGGGCTATTGTGGAAGTGCTCATCGGAGGAAAGGAGGGCACGGGAGTTCTATGCGTGGAGACTGTAACGAGGTCTACTTAACGATAGCCCCTAGCTTACTTCAATTCTGATCCGTCTGCAACAACACTACCCACCCAACGTCCCAACAGGATACGCCGCAGGAATATTGCCGCGGTTGGGCGTGACAGTAGGCACAGCAGTATAAGACTTCACCGGCACAACTTCCTTGGCCCAACTCGGCGTCCTCCTTATCCTCCCCAAACTCTGCCATTGATAGGCAATCTGCAACAACTTCTCCTCTGTCCATGGCCGTCCAAGTATCTCCATGCCAATTGGCACCCCTTGCGGCGCAGTAGCAGTAGCATTCGAGAACCCTACTGGGACCGTGACAACAGGGCTCCCCGTCAGGGCTGCTAGTATTCCATTTCTGCCAGATTGTGAGGCAGATCCGATCTCGACGACGAGATTCTGTTGCTCGGGATAGATCAGGGCATCGAGCTTGTTCGCCGTGAAAGTCTCCGCGAGAGCGAGGGTCAGATTCGCGATGCCTTGTTTAACGGAATTGTAGCCGCCGTTACGTCCTGTGGTGTTTGAGGTCGAGGACACCAGTGATGTGTTGACGTATTCATATTGGCTTGGAATGACCAAGTAGTCATGGCCTGAGTAGAGCTCGTTCAGTGTTGACGGGTGTTGGCCACCGAGTGACGGCCGTTCCAGGTAGGCATCCATCGACTCTCTGTATTCGAAGCGTTGGGTGTCGAGTGAAGCCAGGGCCGTGGAGTTGTAGAGGGGACTGGTGATGGACACGATCGTGGCACCTGCTCCCCTGAGCTTTGCGACTGTCCGAGCCATTGCATTGTTCACTGGGTCGTTTTCAGCTGATGGTGTCCTGTTGAAGAAGCCTTCCACGAGCCTGTTGAAAATTAGCAAGCACCTGAAATGGCCGACTGTGTACCTCACCCCAAGCGAAGGCCCTTCAAGGACCCTTCAGTCAAGCCTGACATATAGTTCGTCCCATACGTTCCAGCAGGCACAAGCGCAGTCGTGTTGTCGTCTGCATCAAATCCAACACTCGCCATGACCATCAAAGCCGTGGCAACATCCTCGACGCTTCGTGCAATCGGCCCAATAACGTCTTGCGTGTACGAGATGGGAATGATACCAGAACGACCAATCAGCCCACGCGTAGGTCTGCAACTGAACAAGCTGTTGGCGCTGGCAGGTGATCTGAGTGAATTCACTGTATCAGTGCCAGTCCCCCAGACGCAGAAGCTTGAAGCCACCGCGGCGCCAGTGCCACCAGAACTACCGCCGGGTGTTCGGGTGCTATCGTATGGATTGACAGTCTGTCCACCGAGCGATGACACGCTGAGACCTTCCAGAGCCAGCTCGTGGAGATTGGCCTTTCCCAAGATGATGGCGCCGGCTTTCTTCAAGGTCGCCACCACGGGAGCATCCTTACTTGGCTGTGATCTCGCAAGTGCCAAGTTGGCTCCGGTCGTTGGAATTTCAGCGGTATCGTAGTTGTCCTTTAGTAGAATGGGAATGCAGAATAGTGGTCCGTAAGAGCCATTGTTCGATCTAAGCTTGGCGTCCTGTTGGTCTGCAGTGGTGAGCGCGTTTGGGTTCAACGAGATAATCGCATTCGTATGGTTGTTCAACAGATCGATCCTGGACAGGAAGCTCGAGACAACTTCACGGCATGTGGTGAGGCCGGTATCGAGGGAGTGATGAGTAGAGGCAATAGTCGCTTCTCTTGGATCGAAGCCATTCGATGCCGATGCCACAGCTACCGAAAGTAGGCTCGAAAGGACTGTTCCAAACCTGTACATCATGGGCGCAGAGTTAAATCTAGACTTGGGGAAAATACTGAAAGAGCAGCTTGGATATTGATGTTTAGAATTTGGCCGGGAAGTCTTCGCCGATGTCATTGGCCGTAGCGAGAGCGGCGGACAGATACGTAGCCGAGAGAGGTTGGCAATGCAGTGTGTCGTGAACTGCGCGACATGGCCGAGATTGTTCTTTGCGTGTATGTGTAGAAGATATCGTCGTTTAGACGCTGAGCAATCGACCGAGCCACAGCTGAACGGATCTCTAGCTGACATAGCTTCCCGCCTCTCCTCCAGCCGATGCCCTCATCGTGCCGCTCGAATTGAAACGTATGGCATTGTCAATCATCCCTCAATTTCCAGAGTGACAAAGGTCTGGAGGGTACTCCGGATTGCTCAGACAGCTTACGAGCAACAGAGATCGTTTCACTTTGAGCGGAACAAGGAAACTAGATCTTCAATGCCGCCAAAGTTGTCCGTCATCTGTTCGACGACGATGTTGCTTCCGATATGCCTTGCTGAGTTGCCCGTACGCCAACTACTCAAGTGGAGGAATAATTGGCGGGCTCAGCGAGACCTCGTTTGCCTGGCCATTCTTCGTGGGCGAATGCAAGTGATCTCGCTCCTCGACTGCGCCTTGCTCTAGGAGTTTGCTAGAGCCTGTGAACAAAGCTTCCTTTGCATGGCCGATTATTCTGAGGCCAGCGCCATTCAGAAGTCAACACAGATTCCAGTCGGAGGTTGATCGCATCTGGGCCCTCAGCCAGCGGTACCAGTCATGCCCTGTTCCACACCTTGAGCACCTTCCAAACTCTCCAGTCCCTTCTCATGAATGACATCTGTGTCCAGCTCTTCCATAACTTGTATCACCGTGCCCAGCGAGTCGAAGAACCCATTGACTGCGACTCTAAGCATTCGGTTTGTAGTCGCGCTGTACTCCGTCTTTAGGATCGTCGGTTCCATCTCCGCCTCCACTTCTTTCTGTCCATTCTCCAGGGAGCCTACAGGTCCTGATGTAGACGGCTCCTGTATCGGCTGTGTAGGCGCCGCGTTGACAACCAGCGATGCTTTGAAGGTGTCTCCTTGGACGGCCGTCGCGCTATCGGGTAACGACTTGACGAGAGAGAATGACCTCGTCACCAACTTCGACAGCTCAGGATCGACGGAAAGGGTTTGAGCAGCAGCCTTGGCCAGACGATGGCTTGGGAACGGGACGTAAACTGTTCTTTCAGAGTGTTAGTGACGTAGAGTCATTCGCCATTAGACGGTTGACATCTTACAGCGAGCAAGGAAAGTCGCTGTCCGAGGTTGTAGCCATGACGAACTCTGCGTGCAATCTGCAGCTGTTGTACGTGTAGACGAGCAAAGTGATTCGCAGACCGAGAGCTGCACTGCACGTAAGAGCAACAGCAACAAGAAGCACGTGAAAAAGATGCGAAACCAGGGAAGCAGATAAACTTTCAGTGGCGCCAAAGTGAATCTGCCCCCCGCATCGCGCTAGCGGTCACAATGGCGATCGCAGTTGCCTCAATGACGCTGTCGAGAGTAATGGAATGTCACATGCCGAGAGAGACACGAGGGTTGTTTGGCCGCGGATGACCTTGCCAACTTCTACACTAAGGTATGATCTCTAGCAACAACCTCATCTAACGATTCCAAAGCTTACCAGAATCAAACAATACCGTACAGTCAAACAACGACGAAAATGGCGTCAACTTCACCATCCGAATTCCTCACCTTCTACCGTCGCCTCGCCTCTTCATCAACACTTCGATACAGCACCGTCTCCAGAACGACCGCTCGGCCCTTCAGCTCGTCGATACGCCATTTAGAGAAGCAAAATGATCTAGGAGGTCCTGACCAGAAAAAGAGCCACGCACTGGAGAAGGAACACGAGCCAAACGTGCAAACCGAACAGACGAAGAAGGGCAGAGAGTGAGTGTTTAATACTTTGAGGAGAGGTCTGAGGAGCAGGCTCGCTGATATGTACTGGCTCGTAGGCACCGTGCCAACGATACGGGTGGAGCTGCAACGACTCAGAAAGATCCCAATAATGCGGCGAAGAAGGCGAAGGAGGAGTTCCCTGAAGCTCCAACCACCATCGGGTTCCAGGATGAGCGAGGCGGTAAAGGCCATTAGAGAGAAACTGGCCAAAGGCCCGCATCAGTATGGCGTTCAGAGGAGGCATTCTTGGGCGTATGAGTCTTCGAATGTGGAAAAGGGTTTACTGCAAGAAGTGTTGTAAAAGTATCAGCTGGCTCGAATTCATATACAGAAAATAAACTTTTACCAACCCATCCGCCGAGACTGGCGCAAGAGCGTCAAGTCTTCAGAAATAGAAGCCCATACCACACTTTCGTCCCAATCCATTTCCTCCCCCTTTCTCCCACCGCACCACATCGAATCATCTCTTCACTCATAACAACCTCCCTCACCTCCCCTACAATCTCCATTCCCACACTCTTCGCAGCCTCAACGGTCTCTTCAACGCCATGGATATGACTAGTCCCCCTCATCCGCACGCCTTCGTCATTGTCAAACCCTGCTACCGACTTGACTCCCATTTCAGGATGCATGTTGGTGACGAGGCCGAATTCACCCGGTTTGAGGAGCTTGCTCACGCATGTCCAATATGTCGACATGGGGATATGTTCGAGAACTAAAGTTGAGACTAGGCCGTCGAAGGAGCCGAGCGCTTCTTGGGGTAGCTTGTCGGGCTGAAGGAAATCGACTTGCTGGAACTTGGGTGATGGAGTGGTCATGCCGCTTTGCTTGCTCATCGATTCGTGTTTCGCTCGTGCTCCATCCAGCATTGCTTCACTGCCATCCCATGCCTCAATCGTGGGTGTTCGTTTCCAGTCTTGCAGCAGGAGCTTGGAAGTCGTGCGTCCCGTTCCACAGCCGAAGTCGAGAAGCTTGGGGCCGATATCTGCACGTAAAGATTGTTCAATATTTCGAGCGAGCTGCGGTATCAATTCCTTCGTCTGGATATCATCCACGGCCTGCAGAAAGTTCCCATCTGTGTCGTAGGTTGTGCTAAATTGACACGTCAGTTGTCGCTTCGCTCGAGAGCAAGATCAACGCACGCCCATTGTGTGTATAGCTCCGATGTTGTCAATTCTTTCGTTACTCGAGCAGGCGTAGTTTCAGGACGTTGATTCTCTTTTCCTGATGACCCAGACGTGGCTGTTTCTGTCGAAGAGAATGATCGTTGGATGTCCACAAGGGATGCGTCGAAGGAGTGTTGGAGAGAAGGCGTAGTCATCCTTTCAAATAGAGTATCTCTGCTCCCAATGCTTCTGTCTTTGTTTGTTTTGCGACTCGAGCTTCAATCCAATGCCGGGTAGGGACCTACGACAATATCAGTAAAAGTGCATCAAGGTGGTACAACCTTAATCTCCGCTTCAGTGAGTCATGCCATGCAACTCCGACGGCTCTGCGCCCGGTACCACGAAATCTTTGATAAGAGCAAAACAGAGAAAGGCGCTACAGTAGGACGTATAACGTGAGAGGAAACTTCGTCGATTGAGCTGCCGGGTATTCTTCGACCAGCTAACAGGATGCCACTACGCGCCTCGCTATGCAACAATCCCTAATAGTACAGTTCGGTGACTCGATTCCGGTGGTCCACAAGATTCTCGTGCTTCGACAGTAACTCTTGCAATGGATTGTGCTTCCAGCCGAAAGCCTCGTCCAAAATCAGACCCGCGTAGGCAAAAACGCTGGCGTCGAACAAGCCTGGATACTTTTGGCCGAAGAACCATTGATCCTGTCCCAGTGAATCCGCTAGTGTTTGAAAAGCTTCTTCGGCGTCGTTCAATAAGTCCAAAGCCGATAGGACATTGCTGCCTGCTGATTTCTCGAGCTCTAATGCAGCGGCTGAGCGGAGTTGGTGTGCGATGGCCTTTTGTACCAATGGTTGAGAGGAGCATGGGGCGATATAGAGTCTTTTAACTAGCGGTGAGTTTCGTGGCTCCAGATAAAGCTGGTAGAGCTATGTTGTTCCGTCAGTCATCCACATCCACGTTCGCTGCAGGTTCTCTCGTTCTTACCCAAGCTTTCCGTATCCGATTGTCCAGCAACGATGCATACGCCTCATATCTGATGTCCGCAGACTCTTCCACGCTATTGACCGTCTTTTGCGAAACAAGCCACTTCTTTAGCTTATTACTTGGAATCGGGTCGAGAGCATTGATTGTTTCAGGAGTGGAGACGGCAGGTTGGAGGAAAGGTAGCATCCCGCTGGGCGAGGCATGGTTGGATGATGGCACCGTTCGAAATGGGATATCGAAGAATCTCAGATACGTCTTTGGGCACAATCAGCATCTGCTCTATGTTGAGTATACGTTGGATTTGCTCTTAACGGACCTGCCACTTCAGACAACCAGGATTGAAGCTTGGACGGCCATCAATCGCATCTTTCTCATTCGTAAAGACATGAAGAACATGCTGATTTCTCGTCTTCGGTGCTCTTTCTGGCAGCTCGTTCGCATCGTAGGTCACGAGAGGGAATTGGTCGAAGATGCGCTTTAAGGGAGCTGGCAACGCGAAGATGCTGCGCCCAGGTGTCGTAGCTCTTGATGGCGCATTGTCGGCGGGCTGTTTGCTCGTATCACGGCGCTTGTCATCGTCGGGCATTGCTCTCCATCGCGTGCGTTCGAAGAGCAGCGAACTTTTGAAAGCGAGACCAAGTGCTCGTTTGGAGTACGAGAGAAACGCGGAATTCGGCCGCGAAGTTTGCCTCAGGACTTCACCTCCTCGTATACGTGTAGTCGGTCGGGAGAAACACGATGAACAAGGTCTATGAATAATTTGGACAGCATTCATCAATCTGTGGGCCTCGTTGGGAACCACAAGAGTTGCCGTCTGTAGCTGGGCGAGAAGTCTTTGCCATTCTCGAGTCCAAACCTAACAACACAACTCCATGAAACCCCCGACCCACACAGACTTTTTTGTGAGCCTTTCGGCCTGGTCGTCTCTCTACAGCACCTTTTCTGTATGTACCACGCCCATGCTAGGAGCCCCCATCATATGCAACATGCTTCACTCCATCTAATGCTTTCGTATCGTCGTCGTCTCATGCAATCGCGTTGGCGCCAGTGCTTGGGACAAGGCTGCCTTCAATTTTCCTCTTCAATGGTATGTAAGTCATTTGTTGAAAACGTGCCGAGCAAGGCAGGAGTTGAGCTTACCTTTGCTTCGGTTTTCTCCTCATCGGTCGGATTTGTCTTTTGGAAATCCGCCTTGTGTGGAGAGTGACCTGCCGTACGTCCAATAGACATACCGACGCGGACCTGCAAGTCATGTGAATACCACAATTCTGTCACGCAAGGGAAGGATACTTCTCGTGGCTTACCAGCGTCTCCAGAGCGCCATTACTGTTCGCGACCAAATCTTCGTCGAACTTCATGACGCCTGGTTCGAACAAGACCAAGAGTGTTGAACCTCCAAACTTGAAATATCCAAGTTCTTCTGCTCTCTTGACCTTCTCGCCTTTCTTACGTGTAATGACAGTAGAGCCGACCATCATGGCGCCCACACAGATGACCATGACTCGTCCGTGGCACTCGGAGTCGATTGGTACGCACACGCGGATGTTTTCGCCATACACGTCGAGTGCCGAACGAATGGCCATCGGGTTAACTGTGTAATACTCACCCTCGATCAACTTCGGCTCGCCCATGACGCCATCCACTGGGATGTGGAAGCGATGATAATCCTGAGGCGCCAGGCGGAAGATGCCAAGCGCACCATTCTGGAACTTCTTCGCGTCCTGTGGGTAGGCGTCGCCAAGCAGACGTGCAATGCTGAACTCGCGGCCTTTGACCCAGATGCGCTGGGCATCTTCGAGACGGTTGAACACGACCGAGCGGCAATCGGCGGGACTCACGATAACATTCGGGTCGTTAGGCGCGGAGCAAGGTCGAGCGTCCGGCTTCAACTCGCGGTAGAAGAACTCGTTGAAAGTCTTGAATTTGTCGGTCGGTAGCAGAACCTCATCCATATCCAGTTGATGGAAGTTGATGAAGCCCGGGATTTGTGATGCGGAGGCAGGGTCGTCAAACTTGCGCCCCTGTTTAAGCGACAGGGAGCGAAGCAACTTGCGAGCTACATGTCGTCAGCAATTCCATTTCGTCATATGAAAGCGGTTGACGACGGAGGGATGAAGTGAGAGGGGCAGTCTCGACCTGAGTATATAACTCTCGGACGAGGCTGAGAGTCGACTAATCCGTGTCAGTATGCTTGGGAGGAAGCATTGCATACCCCTTTTCTTTTCCATTTCCCTACTTTTGAGGCCTTTGTAGAGCAGACGAATGCCCAGTCGAACATAGACACTCATCCGCTCTTCGTTGATCATGCCTGTGCGTCGGTCTTGAACAAGGATGTTGGCACTGTTGGCACCAAGCTTGTAACCGCCGTAGGATACCTGCAAAACGATCCCATTAGCATGTTGCATTGATTCAAGAGACACCGTCTTTTCACCGACCTTCGTGAGAACCTTGGAGTACCACTTTCGTTGGGCTTGGGAACTGGTGACAAAGCCAGCCATGACGAGATTGTTGACGGCTCGCCAGTCGCTACTTGCACATGTTGCGATGTGCGTGATGATATCAGCATCAGTCGTCCTACGACCTCTCACCAGCCTGGGCTGGTGGCAGATGGGACACTCATGAATCTCGACAACATGCTCCTCTTTCGCGTCCGGATCTTCGTTCAATTCTTGGTCCACGTCCATGTCAAAGGCACCTTCATCTCCGGTCAAGAGGTCACCTTGTTCTCCAGCTTCGCCGAGGTCACTGACTTCCAGAGCCGGTATGTTGCTGTTCAGTTGGACGTTGGGTGACGGTGTAGTGCTCTGTAGGTATGGAGTCCCAGCTGCGGGGCTTTGGCTTGGGGAACTGTTGGGAACAGATGATAAATCGGCGGTCGAGGTGGAGGGATTGTCGCTACCACGGACGAGCTTCGCGAGTGGATTTGTCGAGTGATGATATTGAGTCTTCATCAGTTGCTCTTCCAGACAAATGACTGCCTGGTCCATAGTCAAGATATCCTCTCCATTGACATCCCTCCAGCGTTTGAAGAACCCTTCAATAGTACTGTTGTGAAGTGTACTACCAAGAGTATCGAGCATAGTGACGAGCTCGATCTTGTCAATCTTTCCACTGTCGTCGGCATCATACTGGCGTAAAAGCACCCGCCAGAACTGTTGACGTAACGCTCTGTAAGGAAGGTACTTGGCGCGAAGGTACAAGACCGGATTATGCTTGTCCTCCCATCGTTGTTTGTTCTTCAACTCTAGCGGTACTTCGAACGAGTTCATGCCCGCTTCATCTGCTGGGTTCAGCGGATCATGCTCCTCGAGGCCGCTGATGCTGTTCGTGCTCGGCATGCTAGTAGGAGCAGGTCGCGTACGATCAAACAGGGTGGTCTCTGACAAGCCCTGCACCATCTGAGGTCGTGGGGACGCTTGCAAGTTGTTGTTGCTTGTCGATTGGGTCAGTTTCGTGAGATTGGAGGCTGAATTGCTCTTGCTGAGCTTGCCCAAGTTGTTCTGGCTGGAAGTCCTCGATAACGGGTTTCTGAATCGCTTTTTCCTGGGCTCGCCGTCATGAGTTACGTTGTCTGGGTCGGGTAGTCTGTAAAGGCCAGTCTCAGGGTCGGCTTCTGGAGCAAGCGCAGTGATCTTCTCGAGGGACAAATTCGCTGTACCGACGAAGTCGTTGCCCGAGAACTTGTCCCTGTCCACGACCGCGAAGTAGAGGCTAAAGTTTGTTTCGTGCTTTTGAACTTGGAAGACCAGCTTCTCATCGTATACGGGGTTCAAGTTGTGGTTCACAACTCGAGTACGATACGTCTTCCGGCCAAGAGAAGTCACGACAAAAGGATCCATATCAAATGTGGTCTTGGTCATATTCTTCTCTGGCGGCAGATCCGTGATTTTCTTCACCTCCAGAAACAGCACTCCAGCAACGTCTGACGTGCCACCGAACTCGTATGCCCTCAACTTCGTCTTGCGCTTTAGACGCCTGAGCTTGCGGCGGCGTCTGTGTCTCTGCTTCTCTTCTGGAGTTCCAGCAGGTGTCCGTGTCCCATCATCAGTCTCGTCGGATGGCTCTTTCTCATCATCCTCTTCCACGTCGTCTAGTTCACCACTGCCTATTCTCCTCAGCATTTCCTCATCTTCATCGTCGTCATCGTCCTCGCCAGGTTCGGAGACGATACCGGTGAACTTCTGCATAACTTGAGCGGCAGTCGCTGCGGGGTTGAGCGGATCGGTGAGGGTGAATTGAAGCAAGACTTCACCAGACACATTGGTATCCTTCTTCTTGCGTCGGCCACTGCGCCTGCTCTCCAGCTTGACCCACTTTGGTTCTGGTGTTGTGTTTCCATTTGCAAAGACGTCTTCCAGCACCACATCAAACTCCCCCATGTAGTCCTTCTTGAAGCGGTCCTTGTCCCAGCAAACGGCTTCCAGCAAGGCGGAATCGGGGGAGACGATTGGGAATTCGAACGTCTGGTTCCATTCTGGGCTCAGAGTGCGGTTGACCACGCTGGTTGCTTGTTTGGCGTCGCCCAAAGTGAGGACTAAGAATGGATCAGAGGTGCCTGATTTGTCCTTGGGTGCCAGATTGCGGCCCTTGAGCACCTTCACAGTCAAAGCGAGGCCCATGCCCTTGTGGTCACCGCGCAGCTCGCCGGGCGACCTCGATGCGGTGGACATGGTACTGATGTTGTTGCTGCTCGTTGTTCGTCTGGGACTTTCGGGGCGGCTCTGGGGGCCGGAGCTGGGTGACGAAGGGCCAGATTTGGAGAGGTCGCTGCTTTTCACTCTCGTCAGGGACAGGTGGTGCGGGAAGTGAGGGCGAGGCCCCATTATAGTGAATGCTTGTTGGGTCTTGGCCGCCTCAGCCTCGTGTGTGACGTCGGGTTCGTTTGTCCTTCAATCGATCCCCAAACAACGCCGTCGACGAATGAGCTGAGGCGAGGCCGCCAAGCTGCCAGGCACAAGACACCGCTGCGAGACGCGTATGGAAGCGAATGCGCAGAACAGCAAAGGGAGGTTGTCTCGAGGCCAAGGAATCACAAGGCCGGCGAGCACGGAAAGGAAGAGGCGTCGGTTTGTGCTGGAGAGGGAGGGGCAACGCAGCAGCAGCAGCGAGTCAATGGCTGAAAGAAGCCGCCAAACGAGTCGTGTTCGCAGCCACGACAAACCAGCCTCACCTCATAGACTGAACAAACTGCACATGCTCGTTCGGCGGCTTCTGTGGCCTTTGTAAATACCGCACACCAGCTGGGAGCGATCACCGCCGCGCTGGGAGCAGGGTTGTGGCCATCAACTCAACTCCCACCTGCTGCTTGTCTTCAGGCACCGCGGACGCTTCTCGCCTGCCCGCCCGATCTCTTGCAGCGCATTGTGCAGTGGTCCGGTGGGGCTCTGTCACGCACACGAAGCCTCCCACTCTCGCCAACAGAATCCCATCCAGCAAAAGGTTACTGTTGCATAAAACGATTGGCCATGTGTACGCCTTCATCCGACTCTCCTGCTGACCGCCCGCAGTGAAGAATACGCCTCTCATCTGCAGATTCGACCCCTATCCGTGCTGGATTGATATCACGAGATTGAAACTGCTGTGAGACACGATCTTGACAGCAGGGCATCTCTGTCAAATAAGATGCTACCATGAGACCTCGTTGACAACACGGCGTCCAACTTTGCTGCTCAAGAATAAGTACAATACTTTCCCTTCTCCCGGCAAGAAGCAGTCTTCGGCCAGCCAAAGACCACCGTGGATCCAGGCAGCCTTCGATAGGTTCATTCTCGACAGTAGATGGCGGACCGTCCAGTCCTCATGATAACAATGTCATCCGATCGTTCAGCTCGGAGTGATGGTTTCGAGACGCCAGACAGAGACAGCCAGGCCTTTACGAACATGTTCTCCATCAGTGTTTCGTTGAAAGTCGAAAAGACCAACTGCCGCGAATTTCCAAATGGCCCCCAAATCCAGTCCGCGGACAAAGGCGGTAAGCAGGCTAAGTACCGAAAGGGGAGCATTTAGCTACGATTCCCTCTCCGCTGCTCAGCCAATGCGTATGTAAGGGTTGAATAAGGAAAGTACTACTTCTCTTCCATTCTCTATCCTTCAAAAGGTTTCTCTCTTCTCTCTTGCGAACGTATAAATATCGATCATTCGACTCTCATGAAGCTGCTTCTCTCAATTTTTGTGAGCATAGCAGCAATCGGTATCGCCATCTACCAGCAAGAAGTCATCTCCGGATTTATGCGCGGAACTGTGCTACGAAACACGACGATCAACAACCTGACCAAAAATCTGAACCTGGGAAAACGAGTGCTTGGACGAAGCCCATTCCAGAATAGTCCAGCTGATAGCCTGACGAAAACCTCGACTTCGAATACCAAGAACATCACCACAATGGCCAACAACACGAACTTCGTTGGACTGCCTGTCATTCCCCCGAACGATCCAAGTCTTAATGCGAAAGATCCAAAGCCAAGGAGTATCCGTCAACTTTTTGAGGCTAGGGAGCAAGCAGAGGGCGCGGGAGCTACAGTTCGCAGAACCATCGGTACACCGAAACTGAGGAACTTCACGCCGTTCTTGATGATGGACAACTTCGATGTTGCGATTGGAGGTACGTACAGAGCGTTCTCATGATTTGCGGAAATCATTGGATGAAGACTGACACCGTCCTGTTCACAGCGGGTTTCCCAGACCACCCACACAGGGGCCAAGAGACAATCACGTACTTATTGAAGGGAGGTGTCGATCACGAAGACTTCGCTGGAAACAAAGGCACTCTCTACAGTGGCGACCTGCAATTCATGACTGCAGGCCGTGGGATTGTGCATGCAGAGTAAGTCCTGGAGCCCCTATCTCGAAACGTCTTCGCGGATACTGACCAGTTCAACAGAATGCCTCACGACAACGGCGACGGAAGCTCTAACAACGGAATACAACTTTGGGTCGACCTGCCTAAAGACCTCAAATCGTGCGAACCCAGATACCGCGACCTCCGAGCGAACGAAATCCCCATCGCCAAAACCGACGACGGCCTCGTCACAGTCAAAGTCATCTCCGGCCAAAGCCTCGGCGTAGACAGTCTCCAAGAACTCGCCTACACCCCAGTCTGGTTCCTCGACGTGGAGATCAAGCCAGGTGGTAAGCTCGTGCAGCCTCTGCCAGCCGGCTGGAACTCGTTCGCATATACCCTGGAGGGCACGACGACGTGGGACACCGGTGCTACATCTCAGGAGGTGCCTAAGTATCACAACACAGTGTTTGAGCAGAAGGGCGATCAAGTCATTGCCTCGGTGCCGGCGGATGCGAAGGAAAACGCGAGGTTCGTTCTTGTGGCGGGTATGCCGCTTGATCAGCCGATTGTTCAGTATGGTGAGTGTCCCCCAGCACCTTTTGATGTTATCGCGGGCAGCGACTGACATTTTGGAAAATAGGTCCATTCGTTTTGACGGACCCGAGTCAAGTGAGGCAGGCCATGATGGACTATAGCACCTACTCGAATGGATTCGAGAGGGCAAATGGATGGGAGAGTGAGATTGGAAAAACAATGGCTTAGGCATATGCTGAATAAAGCCGTCCTTGACGCCTGAACATGTGAAATTGCAATTGAGCGAGGCGCTGGTGTATGTAGCTTTAGGATCTTCTCAATAGAACGAGTTTACGGCATCGATCCCCCTCATTTCCTGCCAGGCCATGCCATTCTCTCCATCATTCAAGCCTCTACCTCCTGCCAGGTCGTGGGACGCTGCCTAGAATGGCAGTAAGGCTCGGCGCGCCCCTCGAATTCCCTCTGAACCCTGGGCATCACTCTCCAGTCGCCTCGCCGGCACAGCTCCCAACTTGCAGGCGAACTAGAATCTGTGGGGTATGCCAATGCTAGTGTGATGTCGTCTTCGAGGCTGTCTCTGGAGAGGGCTGCGCCGGGCTTTCTCCTTTCCGATCTATGAGACCAGTGATATGCTATCGCTATAGTAGCGATCTGACATCTTTGACCCATGAGCTGAACACAGTGGTATCTTTTCTTTGGTCCTTGCATCTCTCTGGGATATTTTCCAGTCCAGATTGGCGTCTTCGGTCTTTGCGCGTAGACGAGCTTCCTGGTATGTGGGTGTTGAGTTGCTTGTCACCATTCCCTTCAAGGTGTTTCTCCGCCTTCATTGTGTAGTCGAGATCGCTTCGCATTCAACGGCTGGACGATGACCTCTGAGGGCTTCGGTCGTTCTTCGTTCTTGAAGCCCATGATCTGTCCAACAATGCCTCCCGGTCTAGGAACTGGACATTCCCTCTTTGGCTTGCCATTGACCATCGAACCATCGTCGGACACTTCGATCTCTTGTGTATCTTCGTTGCCGTTCGCGACCTCCTTCCGCTTCCTTCGATACCTCTTCCCATCCGCAGTCTCAAAGCTGTGCGCGAATTGCCGTCTGTCGGCCGGGCATGGCAGTAAATGTGGTGCTCCCACGACAAGAAACGAGATGGCCAGTGTTGCAGTAAAGAGGGTGCTCGTCGATCGTGACCGAGGGTGAAGGTGATGCATGGCGGCGACTGTGCTGCTGGAGCAGGTAGGGGTGTTGCTGGACGGACAAAGTCTTCGATGCAATGAAGCCGCAGGAGACATTTCCATCCAATCCCGTCGCTCCTTCTTCGAAGCTTACCGTGCAGCATTTTGACATCTGCACCACGACTTTTGATCCCCCGCCTCGCCGCAGCGCAGCGACATTCACTTTCTCTCTGAAGTTCGAAGTCACGAAAGCTTCCAGACGATTTCACCACACCACACCACTACAACAACAGCGACTGCTCGACGGACCGACGATATCGCGGAAACAACGCCATCACTCCGACCTTCTCGAAGAGTCGCATCGCCGATATGGCTGAGGTCGCCCACGCGACACCTCTGCCGATAGGCGCATCTGAAACTCCAGCAGAAACAGCAGAGCGAGCAGCACAGGAAGTGAAGCGATCAGCGAAGAGAACGCGCGAAGTCTTCGCAGCAGACTTTGCACAGCCTGCGGCTCTGCTCAAGCCTCCACAACCAGCAGTCGCACCCCAAGACCCGTCGCCTTACGAACGAGCACAGAAAGCCAGTGTCGCAGCACGGATACGAAGCGAATATGCAGATGTCAAGGAGTTGCCTGCTGCGCTAGCACAGAAACAGGCCAATGCGGCGGCAGGACTAGCAGCGAGGAGGAAGAAGCCCAAGACGGAGGAGCAGGCGAGTGACCCACAGATGGCCAAGATGATTGAGGATGCGTCCACGTCGAGGCAACAACAAGCGCAGACCAACGGCACATCCATGGCACTCACGAGGATAAAAGGCTCAGCTGCTGAGAAACTCCCGCCAAATGCCAACGGCCCTACACCGCAGCGAAACACACACTCTACGAGCTTGGTTCGGAGAGATACTGTAAGACAGCAAAAGCCAGAATGGCATCCGCCTTGGAAGCTTTTTCGTGTCATTTCTGGGCATTTGGGTTGGGTGCGTTCACTTGCGATGGAGCCTGGGAACGAGTGGTTTGCATCAGGTGCTGGAGACCGAACTATCAAGATCTGGGATCTGGCAACCGGCACTCTCAAACTCACTCTCACAGGTCACATCTCTTCTGTACGAGGACTTGCCGTCAGCCCTCGACATCCATACCTTTTCAGCTGCGGTGAGGATAAGATGGTCAAGTGCTGGGATCTTGAAACAAACAAGGTCATTCGACACTACCATGGCCACTTGTCAGGCGTTTACACTTTGAGCTTGCATCCAACCCTGGATGTGCTGTGTACCGGAGGACGAGACGGTGTGGTGCGAGTCTGGGACATGCGAACCCGATCGAATATTCATGTGTTGTCAGGACACAAGCAGACTGTCTCCAGCATCGTCACCCAAGCTACAGATCCACAGGTCATCTCCAGCAGTCTGGATAGCACCGTACGCATGTACGATCTCGCTGCGGGCAAGACCATGGGCGTACTCACTCATCACAAGAAGGGCGTGCGGTCTCTCGTGACGCATCCCACGGAGTACACCTTCGCATCGGCTTCACCAGGACAGATCAAGCAATGGCTTTGCCCTAAGGGAGAGTTCATGATGAACTTTGAAGGCCACAACAGCGTCATCAACTCGCTCGCCGTTAACGAAGAGAACGTGCTGTTCAGTGGTGGTGACAACGGCAGCGTAGCATTCTGGGACTGGAAGACTGGCCACAGATTTCAGTACGAGGACAGCGTCGCGCAGCCAGGTTCTCTAGATGCGGAAGCTGGCATCATGACCAGCACCTTCGATATGACTGGTCTGCGATTGATCACAGGAGAGGCGGATAAGACGATCAAGGTGTGGAAGCAGGATGAGAATGCCACGGAGGAGACACATCCTCTCGACTGGCGGCCTACGCTAGGCAGACAGAAATTTTGAAAAGCTTTGTCCAGTAGATACCCAAGATGCAATTCGAGGTTGTTCTTCAACTACCGAATCCTAGTCCTCGACTTTCCTCATCTTCTCGTAGCGCTCCTCGAATATCCTCCTCGACCACGCCGAGCCTTACTCGTCCGACCCGATCTCCATGTCGGCTTTCCACTCCAATGATACCTGCTTCAGAAAGCTCCATTGCCACTGCCCCGAGGCCGAGCACTCTCGCCGCCTTATCGATCTCTTTCTTTGCAGCAGGTCGACCACGCTTTGACGGCGTGCTGATTACTCCCACTCCCAGCTCTTCCTCCGGCTGCTGCTCAAGCGTCGGGCCAGGCGTTAAAAGGTATGTATCGACGTTCTTGTTCTGCGCCATGATACCAATTCGACGAGCCTCATCCACGACGTCGGCTAAGGTCGATTCAGTGATTCCAGTCCGGCGTAGTCGAGAGAGCAAAGCCGCGAGGAAGATCTTGCTTGCTAGAGGCAGTGAGCGGAGATGGGCTGCTAGTGGAGTCGAAGTGGCTTCGTTGATTGCGCGTTTGATCGTCCCAATCGTGACGATGCCAGCCTTCGAAGCGAGAGTGGACGTCTTTCCTGGAGTCTTGCTAGGAGTTCCAGGAGCCAGGTTTTCTTTACCTGGATCTTGCTGTGATGACTCCTGCTCCGCGATTTCCACGGCTCGTCGACAGATGTCTAGTGCACGTCGTGCGTCTCCTGAGACCGCGGCGACTTTTCGACTTGCAAACTGTACAGCGTCTGGTTCCACGATGACTTTGCCCACGCCTTCTAGTCGGCTTTGAATGATGGTCATCAGCTGGGTGTGACTGTAGCCTGGGAATGTTATCCGCGTCAAGCCCAGTCGACTTGAGATCTTGTTGGACAAAGTCCGTTCTGGTAAGTCCATGGTGTTGGCGACTGCTAGCACGATCAAACGCGAGTGTCGAAGTTGCGGCCAATTGAAGAAGTTGTACATGACTCCTTGATTCCTCGTTACCAGTTGATCCAGCTCGTCCATCAGCACAACACAGGGTACTCGTCTGGGACTGGGTGTGGTAAACTCCCGCTCCAGCAGTTCCAAAGCATGCGCAGAGCTGACTCTGTCGCCCTTCAGTGCTTCCCACAACAAGCTGTACGATTGGTGAGGATCCGTGACTTTCATCCCGTTGATCTCCACGAAGTAAAAGTCGTCCAGCTGCTCTTCAGCCACGGCCGTCTGGAGGTTGGCTACAACCTCGCGCACCGTGGCCGTCTTTCCAGTGCCAGGGGTCCCAGATATGTAAATGCAAGCTCCCGTCCCTGCGGTGATTGCAGCTTCCAAATGTGAGTGCACAGTGTCGAACTCGTTCTCTCGGCAAGGCAAAGCGTGCGGTACAGCGGAGACATGCAGAGTAGACCGCGCGATTTGATACGGCGAGGACTGCATCTGCGAAGGGGATAGCATTCTTGTCCCGAGAGGCGTGAACTCCAATGGCTTCTTGGTGATGATCTTGCGTCCACTCGGGGTAGTGAACTTCCTCGGCGTGAGCTGCTTTGCTTTCGAGGGCGTCGGTGTTGCAGAATTGAGCTTCCTCCTCTTCTTCGGTGTCTCAGGCTCGTCGAACTCATCGTCGTCCATGACAAAGTCATCCAGATCTTTCGTTTTGGTTGCAGCTCTCCTGCGTCTCGTCTTCACCGTCTGCGATTCCAGCAGCTCTACCAAGTTGTCCATATCCTCCCGACCTTTGTACACATCTTCCCACTTGAACTCTTCTGTGTACGTAGCGGTCCTGGTGTTGACACCGCGTCTGCACACGAATGTCTTGCCATGTCCTTTGGATGACCTCGGAACCTTACCGCTGGGATACGAGCGATCAAACTCCTCTTTGGAGAGGACATTTGCCTTGCCGTTGATCGTGGCGAGTGCATTCTGGTCGAAGTTCGATGTAAGATATAGCTCGTTCTCGAGGAAGTCTGTTCGCTTCTTCTTGCTCCTGATCTCTTTCTCCGACGAGAGCCACAGCATACTCGCTTGTTTCTCAATGATTGTGTCTCCATCTTCGTCCTCGTTTTCTCCCTCTAGAAATTCGTAGAGGATGGCGACCCATGCTTCATTGCTCGCCGGCGCTTTTAACAACACTGTATCGCCCAAGTAGCACTCGAACGTCCCCATGCGAGCGCCGCAAATCTTCGTCGACTTTTTGTCCTCGTAGATCCATTCCCACGGCAGATCCTCGAGTCCCAGCTCATCGTCAGAGTCTTCGCGTACGACTCCACCTCCGGACAGGTAGTGCCTGGCTTTTTCAATCTTCGTTCGGAGTCGTTTGGGAGGCATCGTGGTGGTTTGAAGAGTCGAGGGTGAGTTTGACTCGGGCGTTGAGGTCGACGCGAAACGCGTCGCGAGACGCGCTGACCCGTGATCAATTTAGGGCTCAATGCGGGATCCCGGCGCTGATCGTGCCCTGCTCTTCACTTCACCTCCTCGCCTACTCTTTCACTTTGAGTTCCTGCTTCACCATCAAGCGCGTGTGTTATTGGTAGAACATTCGACACACGGCGACTGTAGCCATCGTGAATGAGTGAGGAAGTGGCAATAATGTTCAAGTTAAGTGATAGTCTTTATTCTCTGGAAACACGAATCGACAGCACCCCCAACTTGTTGGTGACTGTCCTGGTTCCTGTAGTGATTCGAGGGAAGGCGCTGGATCACTTTCGCACCTTCCACAAGTCGCTGTGCTTGCCGCTTTCTGAATTGCTTTTCTTAGCGTCCTTCTTGTCCGCGCACAATCTTGAGAACAACACACTCCCATCAACCTCAACTTCTTCCCGCGCACTCCACGCCTGCGAGAACCATGGACGACTACGAGCTGGAGAGAGCGCGGGCATGGGATGATTCCATCCCGGACCCGCCTGATGCAGAAGCACAAAACAAGTTCGAGTGGCAAGATGTCGACAACTCGAAGAAGAAGAAGCGCGGGAAGCAACCAGTGCGACCTGTGCAGCGCGCTCCGAACACGCCGCAACCAACCGATCAACCCCCTCGCACCTCTCGACCAGCACCTCCCGCCCCAGTTCCATGGTCCGGAGGCGACACTAATCGTCCTCGTTGGCCACAACGAGCTCCTCCTCGGGCCACCACGAGATGGCGGCAACAACCCAAAGCGCAACCTGTCCTAAGACAGCGACAGCGACTTCAACCAAGGCCTCTCATAGACCACGCTGAAAGCGAGGCCACCTTGCTGTGGCGTGACCGTAAGCCACCAGCTTGCACGGTCCGCATCCCAGACTACATTGTCTACTCGGATCGCCTCCACAACCCAACGCCGACTTATGAGAAGCTGGCGGCCGAGGTTGGCACTTTCATCTACAGCGAAGATTTTGGTAGCGGCAATGCTACTCTCGAGTTCAAGATCTGGGGCGACCCATCCAAAGCAGCTGAGGCTAAACGTGCGGTCATGACCTGGATCGACATCAATGTCAAGGATCAGAAAGCTCCAGGGTCATCGAAGTTTCCCAGAGTCGTCTCACTTACTCCAAAATTGAGAGAGAGGGCAGAGAGGAACTGGGCGAGGAGTTTGAAGCGCAATACTTTCCGGCAAGCTCCCCCCTCGAACATGCCGTTCGAATGCATTGGCAGCTTTCATTGGCCCATTGACGAGTTCCGTCCGGAGGAGACGTTCGGTATAAGCCTCGAGGCCTTGGACCCTATTAGAATGGATGCCAGTTGTTACGTCACCTTCGACCGCGATCGACGTGCCTTTCAGGTCTATGGCAAGGTCTCAGACGTACAGTCAGCCCTTTCCCGTCTCCGAAAGACCTTCTTCCAATTTTGTGCTAGACAGATCAGCCCTGTTCGTACATATCTCCACCACAGCTCTGCGGAAACCTTTACCCATGTTTACCTGGAGGACTTTCACCTGGCCAATAGCGAGACGCCGAAGAAGTCTCCCCGTGGTGAGGGGTGTCTCAAGGATGAGAAGAAATTGGACTCCGCTCAGGTCCAAGCCAAGCTCAATATCTCGCGCCTGCGTCTGACAATGTCAAACGCGCTCCATCATCTTCACTACCTACGAGCCCATCTGCAGCTGCGTCTTCGATTGGGGATGTTCTATCTGGAAAGCTACCAAGAGCCGCACGGTGGAATGTACGCGATGAGTGAGTATGAAAACATGACGAGTGCGTCACAATTCAGAGGCACCACCAGTGAAGAGTAAGTACATCAGCATCAAGTGAAAGCTACAGAGCTAACGATTATACTTCCAGGCTCGGTGGCCGCTACATCGAAGGCAGGCTCCTCAAATTGGTCCAGAGTTGGAGCGCCATGATCTCTCCGCAAGAGGCTATGGTCGAAGATCTGTCTGAAGTGAGGCCCAGCTACTCCGTCGAATTTGTCTTCGATGAAGAGAGTAAAGGAGACATCAATCTGTCGATGGTCTGGAAGGAGTCGGATCTCGACGAGAGTGGCAAGTTGCAGTTCACGGAGCCGACCAAGCAGTGGACACGTCTCGATCGATTCGACGGTGGCGTGAACAAACTCATCGACACAAGCCTGACGGACCTGAGCAGCGGTCTGGCCTGGCAATTCGACCTAACATCCGTTGGCCCCGAGGACGAATCGAAGATATCTGTGGAATACCGCTCGTTCCCGGACAGAGTCAGACTGGACCCTAGCGGTGTCTTGCTGCCCCTGTCCCAAAAGGCCTTCGTGAGATACAACCCGTTCGCCAGACTGAAGTCCGTTCGGCAAATCGTTAGATACCACTACATGATCATCGGCACCGACTACACACTGCAAATCTCCAACATCCAGGACCGCACCATCAACTCGGACAAGACGGAGACGGTGCTCGAGCCACGCTGGAGCCTCGAGGTCTTCCGCGTGGAGTGGGACACGATGTTTGGGAAGAACCACAGTCTAGGCATCGGTACCAAGGCGGACTGGGACGATGATATCGAGGAGTGGTTCCAGAAGGATTGGGGTTCGGAGAATGATGGGTTCCAGAGTTTGATGGAGAAGTTGCAGGAGATTGAGAAGAGGGTGAGGGATGCGGCTGCTGAGGAGGATGAGGGATCGATGGACTGAGATGGCTTTGAAGGCATGAACATGAGCTGTGGGCGACGTGGTATGCTGTTGGTTGCTCGCTCTGGCGAGAAGTCACCCCCCTGTATTGCGCATTGAAAGGAGCGGCTTTGCTCGTTGATAGCGCAGGGCAGCACGGTCACAGATGAGAAAGAAATGACACAAGAGATGGATTTTCTACTTCATCCATACCGGTTCAGATAAAGTCTACCTGTACCAATTGCTTTGCAAGCCAGTCCTGATGGTTGTAGCATTCGGGGCCTGAGGTACCCTCGCATCATTCAAGTTGCTCCCACCTCGATGCCATGTCATGCTTGATCCGTTGACCCTCGTCACGCCACCAGTACCGTTACTGCGAGGCCCAGTGGGCTGGTTTGTCCTTGGACTGTTGTCCGGTTGATCATTGTTCGACGACCGAGCCCACGCCGACGCAGCAAGAGATTGAGCCGGCGTCTGGATACCCAGTCCAACCCCCGTATTCCTCTCAATCAAAGGATTCGACGGACGATTCTCGTTCGCGAAAACACCACCACCACGGTTCGGAGGATTCATAGCCCTGGGTGCCGTGGGTGCGTGCGTGGCCGGAGCCTTGCCGTTATGACCCTTCCCATCGTTCTACAACGGGAGGTGCAATTCAGAGGCCAGCACGAGGCGGAGGTCGTATACGCCTGTTGCTTCGACGCGTAACTTGGGGTTGTTTCGGGCGGCGGGGGCGAGGTCCATGATGATGAAGCGGGTGGCCACCAGTCCTGCGTTGCCGTAAATTTGGATGAATTTGCTGACGAAAGTCGGTTGCAGCATCCACTCGAGCATCGTGAGGTGGTCCTTCTTCAGGTCTTCGCGTGGGACGTTGACTATACGTGCCACGGTTTCCCAGAAGATGCGGTTGGGGGCGGGATTGACTCTGCCTGTTGGGAACTGTCGGAGCGTGATCGCTGCGAATCCAGCCGCGAGTGCGCCGAAGTTCTTGACGTGTTTTGGTAGACTGCGTAGTGGCACTCCGAAGAGGCGAGGACAGTTGCGGTGATAGGGTGCCCACATGATGTCAATGAGTGGCCGGCCATCGATCAGGTATTTGGGGTTGGAGAAGACCAAGGCCACCGCAATGCCCAAAGCGTCCGCGGCGTCGCCTTTCTCGGTGGACAATGATCCAACTTCTGCGTCCATCTGCCGGATTATGAACTTGCAGAAGATGTGAAGCATGTAGACCAGGATCACGGGTCCCTCGATGGGCTGAACCGGTGTCGGATTGTACATGAACTGCGTGATGTCCGTCGTCTGTTTGATTGCCAAAGACTGGTCAATATGGTACATGACATTTTGGATCTGTCAATAAGTCAGCAAAACCCGGAGCTAATCAGTATCATCGCGTACCTTGTCCTTGTTCCCCTTCTTGTTGATTCTGTTGATCTGACCAATGTTCTTTCTGATTTCACCCTCCACATTCTCCACCGATATCTTGAACTGCTGGTTGGCCTTCATTGCTGTCTGTATATTCGTGCGAAGGACTTTGAGGCGCTGGTGGATCGCCAGATACTCTTCGTGGACTCTCTGGCGCTCGTCGACGTTTGAGCTGACAGAGCTGGCTGCCGGCTGGGCTGGTGTTCCGTTGACAGTTGTTGATCCAGGCTGGGCTCGAGACTGCTGAGGTTGTTGGGCTTGTTGGGACTGCTGAGGTTGCTGAGACTGTCCTTGCTGCTGCTGGGCCTGAGCTGCTTGCTCGGCGGATGCCTTATCCTTTGCCTCCTTTTCAGCCGCAGCCTTTTCTCTCTCAGCCTTCAGTCGCGCCTCCTCAGCGTCTTTCTTCTTTTGCTCGGCAGCTTTGCGCGCAGCCTCTTCCTCTTGCTGGCGCTTCAATGCCGCCTGGCGTTCTTCTTCTTTCTTCCGCTCAGCCTCTTTCCGCTTTTCCTCCTCTTCAGCAATCTTTCTTTGCGTTTCTTCAAGCTTGCGCCTCTCCTCTTCGAGCTTGCGGTGTTCTTCCTGTTGCTGGCGAAGTCGCTTCTGCTGTTGTTCCAGCTGGATTCGCTCCACACACTCTCGTGCGCTTTTTTGCACCAGCTCATGCTTCTCCAGCGCCCTGTCCAACCCTTCGAGGTGCTTCTGCTTCTGTTCGCGCGCTCGCTCGTCCAACAGTTTCTGATACGACTTCTCGGTGTCGATGTGCAGGCGACTCATCTCCTCGCAGTATCCATCGATCTCATGCGTGCTGTGGCTATGCGTGCGCGAGCGATGGAGGCCATTGATGCGGTTGCGGACCGGACTCGACCTGGAGTGGTCCGAACGTCGGAATGGTGAACTCATGACGGAGCGAGTGTTGCGAGTATCGGTAGAATCCCTTTGTAATGGTCCTGTCCGAGAGGCTATCGAGGTTGCTGCCAGAATGAACAAGAGTCAGCGCACCGAGACCATCTGTCGCTTGCGATGCTGTTCATTCTCGCACTCCGGCAGGTCGTGTCAGTGGCGAGCATGTGACGAGCATGTGCTGTGTCAATCAACAACATCAAGAAGCGAGCGAAGAGTGGCTTTTCTGAACGCGCTCACGCGCCTAAGCTTAGCGTCTCGGCCCGAACCTTACTTTGGAATCATCACGTGTCAGATCTTGCAGTCTCTTCTGCTTCTTCTGCTCGTCACAATATTGCATTTGTATCGTAACTCGCCTGTGATGTGCAGTGTCCTGCTGATACATCTGAGAACGAATTCTATGACTGCCGCCGATGAGAAACTTGTCAGCGAGCATCACTGGACCAGCTCACATCGGATCGAACATTGCAAGATCATCTAACAACGAGGAGGCAGAGTTCAATGTTGTTTGACATGGCGGAGATACTCGCTTGGCCTGCTTCAACATATCCTCCAGGGGAAGATAAATGGCCATCTACCCTCAGTGTTTGGAATGTCCCATAGTGGAACCGCCATGTCTCCGACTTTTCACAACCGACTGCGCTGCTAATTGTAGATGGCTTGGAAGTAATGGGGCCACTTTGACCGGGACCAGGAGGGTACCGCACATGCAACGTGGTACGGATAATAGGATAATTGCAATGCTCTTCCGTGCCCTCTTCACAGGGAGCCAATCGCTAACCCGAAATGCCTACGGAGTTCGTATGTGCGGCCGTGGTGGCTGGAAGAGCAGACATTGGAGTGACGAACAGCTGCTTCGTCTGCTGAGGTCTGGTGATGGACTGCAGCAACCAGCGCCGCTTGGCGCGCCTTTCCGCGGGCGGTTGCCAGGTTAGGCGCCCGTGGGAGCGCGGTTTAATGCAGCAAAACCGGCGGATGCTCAAACGATGTTGGCGAAGCGTGCATGACGTCGGAATTCGCTCATAGAACTGGAAACGAGCTGCTAACCCAGGACGTGTTTCGAGCGAACTGCTGTGAAGTCGCGACGTGGGACGGCGTGGAAAGGCCGTGCTGTGCTGCAACACCTCAGATCTTGAACGAGCGTCGTTGTACCTGTGTACCCATCCGCATATCGCTTGTCTACAGGCATGGCAGGAAATGAGCCTCGCGAAGGAGGGCCTGCTCGTGCAAGGTTCTGGTGTGGGGAAAGCTCTAGGAAGGTAGTTCGTGAAAACAGCGGGACCGGCGTTGATCGTGGCTGGAGACGCCAGCAAGATCTCTTGGGAGCCGCGCGATCTGGCAGATGCATTTCTTGTCACAATCAGACCACCACCCCATCGCCGTGTGCGGCAGGGCCGTGGACTGCTGCTCCAGAGAGTGTTTGCCGTGAGAGATAGAGTAGATGGAGCAAAAGCCATCCCGCCGGAGCGTCGTCCTGCCAGGCGTTTTGGCCGCCATCGCGGTGCCCAGGTGCTTTTGATGGATGCATGACGTGCCGCAAGTCTAAACCAGCACCTGCCACACCGATGCTATGAGTGGGCAGCGTGGTGATGTGGTTCGAGCTCGAAGCTGTGACCCAAACCCAGACGCCCCGCTTTGCCTGCCTTTACAATAGGCTTCTTTCTCCTCTCTTCTACATCACCACCACCCGTGAACCTCTTTCTCCTTCATCCTGTTCACAATACCTCGACACACACTGAACAACCCCCTCAATCAGCAGCCATGATCGTCGACCCCGTTGCGGCGTTTAAGACGCACCCGACCGTGCCATTGTCATCGCCCACCAGCGTTGCTCCAGGTAGGCATCGATGACGACAATCATCACCGAGCAAATACTAACAGCTCACAGTGCCAACCGTCGTTCCAAGCCTGCCTGAGTACCAAGATGCCACCGACACTGGCGAGCGCACCCTTTGGTGAGTCTCACAGCCTTCAGAAACAACCCATCGTCGAGAGCCTCACCTCGTCAACAAACACGCCGACTTGGGAAGACTACTGCAAAGATGGGGATACACTGGCTACATGAACAGCTAGCTAACGGCATACTCAGGGTCGTCTTCGTTGTCATGGTCGTTGCATCGATCGTCTTCACCGGCCTCTCATGGAACGTCCCAGTTGTAAGCTCTTCCGTGCGTCCCGTTCAGTTCAGGCAACAAGGCTCACATACTCGCAGTCCAAGCGCCTCTACCACATCATCACCACCTTGATTACCATCATTGCCGCCCTGTCTTACTTTGCCATGGCCAGTGGCCACGGTATCGGCTACCACCACGTCGTGATCCGTGACTCCCACAAGCATGTCCCAGACACCGAGCACGACCTCTACCGCCAGGTCTACTGGGCCCGTTACGTGGACTGGACTTTGACCACTCCTCTTCTGCTCCTCGACCTGACCCTCCTTGCTGGCGTTAACGGCGGCAACATCCTCATTACCATCATTGCCGACATCGTCATGGTCCTCACCGGCCTCTTCGCTGCTTTCGGCACTGAGGGCACTCCACAGAAGTGGGGCTGGTACGCCATTGCTTGCATTGCCTACCTCGTCATTGTCTGGCAGCTCGTCTACCACGGCCGCGCCGCTGCTGTGGCCAAGGGCGGCAAGGTTGGCAACTTCTTTGCTGCCATTGGAGGTTTCACCCTCATCATCTGGACGATCTACCCAATGTAAGTTTTCAAGACGAAATGTATGACAAGAAGAGACCTAACGACATCATAGCATCTGGGGTATTGCTGATGGCAGCCGCCACATGAACGTTGACGAGGAGATCATTGCCTACGCTGTGCTCGACATCCTCGCCAAGCCAATCTTCGGTGCCTGGCTCCTGTTCACCCATGTGAGCATGCCAGAGACCAACGTTGACCTCGGTGGCTTCTGGTCCCACGGCATCACCGGCGAGGGCCAGATCCGCGTTGGTGACGACGACGAGGGTGCTTAAATGCCTTCACCTCACCACCAACCTCCACGGCACTGCCATGAGGACACGACAATCAACCTTTGACCACATCGATCTGGATTCACAGAAGCGAAAGCCACGCAGGCTCGAGACTGCGGCGAATGGGGAGTTGGAGCTGGTTGACACGAGTGCATATCTTAATGAAAAACGCGATGTCTCTACGTGAGCACGAATCGGAATAGCAGACATCAAACTGAATAACCTTCTGGCGAAAGTCAAGCCATGTTGCTGACGAGCATCCAATGGCATTGTATATTAGGGGCGTAGTTAATGCATAATCGAGCGTTCGGGTTATCGAACTACGCTATGTCTTCGTCTCACGTCACTTACCCAGCTCCGTGTGCTTCGCCTCGACTCGCCATCAGCTGAACATCAGCACAGGTCATGTGTGCCATGTTCTCCGCTTCTTGTCGTGTCGATCCTGCAACTGAGCGCATGCATCCGGCTGCCGCGCCAACGTGAGTGATGAGGGGCAGCCGCAGCTTTCACCAAGCTTCGAGGAATGCCATGCACATGCCGCAGGGATGCAGCTTCACCATTGGTTGCGGAAGTGAGCGACAACAGACACAGGAGGCCAGTGTGAAACGTCACATTGAAACGACCAAGGCTTGCCATCCTCACACCTTGTTCCGCCGGCTCTGCTGCGCAACAAGTCAATCAGTTACCAGAAAAGCACCTCATTCACGATGGCAGACCAGCAGCAAGATGAAGCAGGCGTGGATGCCACATCGCCGAACCCACTCCAACGCCGCAACAGTCTCGAGAAGCACTTGCAGACTCGACCGGATGAGCAGGACCTCAAGAACAGGCACATTCTGCTGGATACCACCGCAGCGCCGGCGTTGCAGGCAAAGCAAGCAGAGTTAGAGAGGCAGCGGATCACGGATAATCTCAAGAAGGTGCAGTTCAGCAGTAATGCTCTCCATCACTAGTGTACTAACCATGCGATCAGGGCCTGGCCAACCGTCCTGAAAAGTCAGCACTTGTGGAGAAGAATGTCCTGCCAGACTCCAATGCTGCGCCTGCTCTCCAAGAGAAACAGAAAGACCTCGAGAGAAATATGCGAGCGGATACCCTCGACAAAGCACTGCAGCATCGGCCAGAGCGTGAGGCTCTAATCGACAAGAACATCTTGCCTGATTCGACTGCTGCACCAGCATTGCAAGAGAAGCAGAAGGAGCTGGAGAAGCATATGAGGGCAGACAGTCTGGACAAGGCGCTACAGAGTCGTCCTGACAGAGAGAAACTGGTGGACGAGGGGATCCTGAAGGACGGCGAGTGAGTGAGTGGACGTCGTTCATCCAGTCGGCCCGTGGCAGAAGTACAATCAATGGTAAGCTAGCAGAATTCGTTGCTGTCGTCGACGCCTAGTTCTTGAACTTTGGCTAATGTCTGTCCCTTGCCAAGAGCTTGAGAAAGAAGGGCGACATTCTGCGAGCACAAAAGGAGAAATGCATCCCCAGTGTGGCGTTTTCGGTACAGGGTGGTCGGTTTCATGGTGGTGGCAGAGGGGGTTCACGTTGCAGTGAGAGGTGGATATTTCTCGTTTAAAGTTGAAATGGTCCACCAGGAGAATACGTGTCGTGTGCCAGGCCATTTGTCAAACTGCAGTCGCCGCCACCGGGCTCCGGGGGTGGTTTGCCATCTCGTAGGAGAAGACAAGAACAGCGAACTGTCCTTTAAATGAGGATATGTAGTGAGTCTAACAAAGTAGCGAAAATTTCCCCAATGAACAGACACGAGGACCAGTTCACGTGACACAGTGCAAGACCATGTGCTCGCGTAGAACCGTTGCGACGACGTTAAGCCCAGCAGCGTTAGAAGCATCGTCGTAAATAGCACAAGCCATGTAATGAGCGTGATCGCCGGCGTCACGGCGGTTCCAGAATTGCGTGCTGCTGCTGCTGCTGTTACAGGCGTGGTCGAGTGCTACGCAACAGCACGCGTCGTCGCTGCGAAGACAATCAATCGAGTGCGAGTTCTAGAGCGCTCAACTGTGCCCCGGCGTGCGTGTGGTTCGGCTTCACACACACCGACTCTGGCGCAAAAGCAGACTTGCGCTGCAGGGTCTGTTGTGCGAGGCCTCGGCGTGGGAGCGACAACGCTGGCTCTGTTTCAGGATTCATTCAGTTCTAATTTTGGCTACTGCGGGCATCCATCCACTGTGCTGTGCTGCTTCGACGCTTGCTTGCCTTTCACTCACCCAACATTCACTCGCACACACACTGCACCTCACCAGCCTCGCCGTACAACCGCCTGCTCCTTTGGCCTCGACCGCTTCTGGATCATCCTTCTTCTTCTCACCTCTGCACCGCTAGCGAGCAGCAGACGACCCATTGCCTCCGGCACTTTGTGCGACGCCCACGGCCTTCCTTTGTCAGCGATCCGACACGATCAATAGAGGCGCATTTGGCCGTCTGCAAGAGACTGAACACGTCCACCACCCACGCCCGACTTCACTTCGCCCGCCAAACGCGCCGCTTCCTTGTACAGTCGACCGAGCGCATCGCATAGAGCAGCTGCTGTCTCGGACGCATTACCGCCAAAGCGCCCCAGTGCCAGCTAGATTTGTGGCCGCTTTGGGACACAAACCCATACCCAGGACTCGAACAAGACCAAGGCGCGCTACAGAAGCTACAGACGCCTGGTCAGGTTGTGAAAGGCGGAAACAAGGCTGTTGGATTGTCTCAGAGCTGGTTCTGTGTTCGGTAAGTCCGCCACTGCTGTTTGCGAGGGCTGCGGGAGGGTCTGGCTGGCAGTCACGACTCTCCCGCATACCGGTCGACGACCCTCATTTCACGCTCGCTCCGTTCGCCTCTTATATCAGCAGCGCAATCGACCGTGGCCATACGTCTGGTAATGCTGATTGGTAGACAGTCAGAATCGCTCAGCGCCACAGGCAGCTCTCTCATTGGCTGCACTCGATTAAGCCCAGCGTCCCGCCTTTGGATCGTCGCTCTCAGCTGGGCCTCAGAATCGAGAGCCCGCAGTCTAGTCGCCAGACCTTCGAGAGCGTCTATCTGCATGTCATAGCAGCCCGCACGCCCATTCACGAACCGCCTCTTACTCCTCCTTCGCGCCCACGCGACGATGTGTTGAGGGTGTGCTAAGAAAAGCATCCCACCTCACTTCTTCCAGGATTATTTTACGTTCCCTCCCAGTCGACCCGCGACCCCAGAGGCGCATCGCCGCGCTCTGTGTATCATTTGGCGCCCTCGAGATCTGGCATCTCTCCACTCGTAGCCCTTCCTGGCGAAGGCTTTTCGGTACGTCCATCTCTTTATTGCGCAAGAGTGTACTCGAGACAATGGCCATGCGGTCACTGCATCGTTGGCTTACCATCCTCGTGCCCGCCTGTTTACACGAACGCAAGCGCCATTGATTCTTTCATGTGCAAATCGATGGCCAGTCGTGTCTGTAGTCTTGTCTTGTCTCTATCTGCTGAGGCCTTTCTGCCTCCCAACTTTTTATCGTTCTCTTGACTTGAGATGTCTGGAAAACTGACATGGCTTCGTCCAGATCGTTAATAGCCAATTGGCAACACGAAAGTCCACGCACTCATACCCACGATACAAGTCAACAAAGATCAGATGGCCGGTTCTGGCAAAGAGGAAGACTGACCGGCTCTTCGCCAACCGCATCTCCATTCTCCTTCCGCTCTATGTTTTCTCCTCCGTCATCAGCAAACATGTCGCAAACAGACGACGAAATCAAACAATTACCCCAATCTGCGACGACCACTTCGCAGAAGACTCTGCAGCCGGCACACGACTATGAACAGGTGTTTCGAAAATTCCACCAGCACACCTTGAGCGATTCGTCCAATACGTTAGGCTCAAACGAATCGTCACCTACAACTACGATATCGACTGTGGACGACTCGAGTGCCACTGAGCCTTCACCTGGATCCTCGCCCGAATCACCACCTCCATCAACATTCGCAGTTGGCATGCTACGGCCACGAACAGCAGACGACAGCAGGTCTCCCTACTTCGAACTCCAAAAGCAGCCACCGCCTAGGAAAGGTCGGAATTTGAAAAATCTTGCTGTCAATACGTCTAGGCATACGGCCAGGGCCGCATCGACAACAAGCCTACCCATTCATGGACCTTCAGACGACAAGTCCACTATACTCTCCCCATCTTTTGTAAAACCACCTACTCCACCGCGGCGAAAACCAAGTAATTTGGGTCTTACCATCCTCACGCCTGGAGGTGCCAAACCACCCCCGCAAGAAGTCAGGCTAGCAATTCCCCCAACCCCTGGATTCAGCAGGCCAGGCACGTTACGACATTTCCAATCATCCCCATCTTTGCCCCTGGTACCTGGCCTCGGTCTACCGCACAGCAACCAACTCATACAGCAACAAAGAACACTAGACACGATATTCTCGCCCATCGAACCCAAAGAGTCGCCCCAGGAAGAGGAGGAAGACGAGCAGAACTTTGACATTCCGCTGTCGAAAGAGGAAAAGCCTGAAGCTTATCCCGATGGACCGATATGTGTCTACGACCCGAATATCGACCTCTACCTGGAGCCCACAGCAGAGCAGGCCAGACAATACGATGTCATCATGAATGTAGCAAGTGAGGTACGGAATCCATTCACAGCACATCATGAACCGGCTCCGGTGGAACCTGATGTCCGCATTGACGGCGGAGGCGGCATTCAGTATGCTCCCAAGCGGACACGCCTTGCCATTCAAACCCAGGATGGTAAGCCAAGCAATATTGAGAGTTCTCCAACGACCCCAAAAGCGACCCCACTGGAGACCACTTTCCCCAAGCCTAATCTACTCGCAAAGGACCCAGAGTACATCCACATTCCATGGGAACACAACAGCGACATCGTCCCAGACTTGCTACGCCTGGTCAAGCTCATAGACGAGAAGGTCATCGAGGGCAAACGTGTTCTCGTCCATTGCCAGTGTGGTGTGAGCAGATCAGCGAGTCTTGTCGTTGCTTATGGTCTCTACAAGAACCCGTCGATGAGCGTGCAAGAAGCTTACGATGCTGTGAAGAAGAGAAGCAAATGGATAGGTCCAAACATGAACTTGATCATGCAACTTCAGGAGTTCCGATCCAGCCTTGCTCGAGGTGGCCTGCTCCCAGGAAACCGTGGACTCAGCCCCCTGACACCCAGCTCAGCGTTGAGTGAATGGAACGGACCATTCTCGAACAAGCCCTCCCCACTGGCGACAAGAGAACCACTCTCGGCTGTCGAGCCACCGTCTGCGAGTGCGCGGAGTCCTGCTGATGACGCAGTCGTCAGCCCTGGACCATCTTCGGCTCCTTCTGGCTTCGTCTGGCCTCCAAATGACAAACAACGCGGACTCTCGCTCGACCCAGCCAAGCCTACTACCGCGTATGTGGATCCGTCTGGACATGTTGTCCCTGTCTTGAAAGTTATCGAGGCGGATAAAGTGCCTTCACGAAAACCTCTTGCGGAGGAGAAGAGACCTTCAACCTCAGCAGAAACTCAACTATCATCTCCACGTACGGCTGAATTCGCCATGACACCATTACAGCCTTCGAGGGAGGCTGATCCTGCAGACACCTTTGGACTGATGTCGCCCACTTCAACCGAGTTCGCTGCCAATCCGTTCGACCGATCAGCTCTTCTGGCATCACTCGGGATGGGGTCCATGCGAGCAGACGAGGAGACACCAAGACGATCACTCTCCCTTCGGAATCGAGAGAGGCCTCAACCGAACGGTGTCGACGGCCAGCGACTGCAACCCGAGGGTGGCCGCAAACTCCGACCAAAGCTCTCATCTCCCACACTACGCGAACAACAACAGCTTCAGAGCTTGCAGGCCAAGATCGAAGCCACGCTTCCCGTACGAAACCACCACTCTGCACAGCTCAGGCCAGACGACGACGCACCTCTAATGTCACCCCGTGCAACGGAATTCACTTCCAACCCGTTTGCACTTTCCCTTTCCATACCTTCAAATCCACCGCAGGACACCACATCGGGACCACCTCGAACACCCGATGCGGATCCTCGCAGTCCAGCTCACAAGAGCCAAAGTCCGATTGTTCGGAACATCTTCGACGTATTATGACAGCAAACAAGGAACCGTCTGAGGGCAACCCGGGACAGGGCACCGGGGCCTTTGACACACTTTAATCTTTCGATTCTTGCAAACCCCACATCGGTTGCATTTTGTGCGATGCATGGGAAACGGGAGGAAAAGCTACATGGGAGTTTTTGGCGTTTTCGGGGTCTGGCTGATTGAAAGAGGCTGGATGGGTTGGGTGTTTGTTGTTTTGTTGTTTTTTGGCCTGATGGAAATTATACCCACTTTTTTGGCGCACGACTGCAGCAGCATTTGCATTGCAGGAGTGATTCATGTGGGCATGTGGGTTAGTTATGAGTAGGATGGGTAGGGTAGGGAGAGGGAGGTCTTGGAGACGACGGCCTGGGTGCTGTAAGATAGTTAGGGGCTGAAATTTCCAGATCTTTGTGAAGCTCACGAACAGACTTTGTTTCTATGGTTCCACATCTTGCGTTCTTGAACTGAAGCCGATTGCCGAGTACAATGACAAGACGTGGAAATCACATGTACCATCCTGTCGCGAGAAGATGCACGGGCAAATGCACGGACGTGGAGAGGTTTGACTTCACCTCTCACCTCTTTTTCGGCATGCTGTCTACTGTGACAACCTAGGAGGGCGCTGGCAGCCCTTGAATTGCATCTGCTTAGAGGATGTAATCATGCACACCGGGGAGAGATTTATTTGTTCGGTCACTTACTCCTTTACTTACTGCTTTACTTGCTGCTTTACTTGCTGCTTGACTTGCTGCTTTACTTGCTTACTTACTTACTTCTTCACTTGCTTACTCACTTACCTACTCCTTTACCCCTTCACTTACGCCTTTACTTACTCCTTTACTTACTTACTCACTTACTCACGATGCTAAAATCGACGAGGAAGGCATGAACAACGCTCGATGAAGTAAGTCGGAAGGTTGGATTGCCTATCGGTTCTAAACATCGGACGATCGAATATCGTCGTGTACTAAAAGGCACAGAAGAGATGGTAATCAAAGCTAGGGGCCGAGCAACCTTGGAGATCCCTAGGGTCGATGAGCAGTATGATCGATCGTCTGGCGTGGCACGGCTCATGCATTTGTCGGATTTAGTCGGAATATCCGTTGCTGGGGAGGCGGTCGTGTGGCTTCTGCTTTCGTTTAAGGCCGGGTGCTAGAAGTCGAAGTCGAGTTTGGTGCTTACGCAGACTTGGGTGCGATACTGCAATATACCATGTTGTATCTCTTCACGCCCGTGCGTTCACTCTCAGGCTCTAAGAGATTCGCTTGTTGGATTCAGAGTCTGCTAACACACTTCAGAACAGTCAATGTCAAGCACTTCATCGTCGGAGTCTAAGACTGATTGTTGCTCGGACTTTTCAGCCAGTAGAGAAGAAAATATTGTCGATATTGGCGACCAATCGCACCGTCATGTGCTTCATCCAGCGAAGGCTTGCTGTCTCCCACGTATTGATTGCCGCCCTCTTCACGGTGGTGGGTCGACGGCGTTTCATTTTCCATGACCTAGCGATCAGAGGCTAATCCTCTATAGCGTCCCCGAACTTACTAACATCTGTTGCATATGCGTGCCCTCGAGCTTCATATGACTTCTCGAACTCGCTCTTCAAGTTGTTCTCAATTTCGTTGAAAATCGAGATAAGTATGACATGTGACAATTGGCATCGTCCGCACAGGCCCAAGTATAGCCTTCCGAACGTCATCTCTTGTTCGAGCATGTTGTCTTTCGACTTCTCCTCGATGTGAACCGAAAGGAAATTTTCGAAGCTCATTGGTTCAAAGCTCGGTACGCTAGCGGCTGCCTGCATCATATCGTCCGCGAGAATGCATGTGAACCAATGAGAAGATGGTGAGACTCTTGCGTGCGTTCTTGGAGTGACTTCAAGACTTGGATGTTTGAAGAGATGGATCACAGGATAACGGAAGGCGTCACAGGAGGCGCGATGCAGCCTTCGTGGTATCGAAATCCCGGAGACGCACCTTCCTCGTTGGTACTTTTAAAGACTACATGTCGTTATTTCAGCTGAAGCCTTGACTCATCTCCGTGCTGAACAGACTACACTTCACCTTGAACTCAAGTCGGTGGCACAGTCCTAGGACTCTGGTGTGGGAATCTATGTCGAAAGTCAAGGTCAGAATAATTTGCGTCTCCGACACTGTAAGCGATTGTATGCCTGGAGTCCACTTCGTCAGCTCACTTCTCTTTCCAGCACAATCACTCACCGCGTGAAGGATATAAACTGCCCAAGGGAGACGTCTTGATCCATGCTGGAGACTTCACAAACCAAGGCAGCCTCGCAGAAGTGAAGAAAGCAGTCGACTGGATTTCGAAGGCTGATTTCGAGGCGAAAGTGATCGTAGCAGGTACGATATTCCACACCATTGTTCTCGGAAAAGGAAAGCAGAGAATTACCCTGACATCTGGTGCTTAGGAAACCATGACTTATCTTTAGACCCCGATTACGCATTGAAGCACAAGAGCGGCTGGGGTGTAGTACCCGCAGACGTCGAGGCCTGCAGGAACCTCGTGGTTGCTAATGATAATTTCGTTTACCTGCAGCACGCGAGCGCAGTGATACCGTTGCCTTCCAAAAGCACGCATCTTCGTATCTTCGGTTCGCCGTATTCGCCAGACCGAGGACGACAAAATTGGGCGTTCCAGTACGAAGAGAATGCCGCGGAGTCAATTTGGAACGCGGTGCCGGAAGAAGTCGACATTTTGGTCACTCACACGCCTCCCAGGGGACTTCTGGATGCGTCGAAACATTGGGAAGAAGGCGGTTGTCCGGCATTGAAGAGCGCCTTGTTGAGAGTACGGCCGTTGGTACACGTCTTTGGGCACTGCCACGAAGGCAGAGGAGCGACGGTTGTACAGCACATCAATCGTAGTGACAATCCCACGCCATCGATTACGTGGGACGATCCTGGATCGCAAAGCAACAAGCAGAGCCTCTTGAATCTAAGCCGCAAAGGACTTGACTTGCGCTCGGGTGAGCAGACTGCGCTGGTAAATGCGAGTATTATGGCGACGTCATTCCATCGAGGCTCAAAAGCGTTCAACAAGCCAGTTGTTGTCGACATCGAGATCCCACTGCGAGATGCAAGAACAGCGAGCGGAAATGCGGAAGCAGCTGGTGTGGAATGAGGCTAGCGTTGATGCATCATTACGAGATGTCGTTGAACAGGAACGCAGTTGGTTTTTTCGACGGTTGGCTGCCCTGCATAGCAATCGGATGCGATCGTTAAACACATCAGGTCGTTCGGGGTAAATCTGTAGGACATCAAATGCCCAATCCGGCAATTTAGTGTCAATCTCTGCGTAACATTGCACCGAAGAGCCTCCAAGGCTGGGCAAACTGGGTCGGTGGAGTGTTTGTTGCACCTGACGACATCATCACAAGTGCAGGAGTAACAACCACGAACCGAACCACGAGGGAGCACTGGTAGTGATGTACAGTACAACGCAGCAGTGCAGAGATGGATCGCTCGTGACTGGTGGTGGTGAATGGCAGATGCCCAAAAGACACGGCTGGTGAAGCCCCGCACCAGTTGATGGCCTTGGATGCCTGTCGATTGATTGTCTTGATTCAGATTGCTGGATCACATGGCCAGCAGGTGCAAGGTGAAACGACAGCTGCTGAGCTCATGTCCAGTCACTCGGGCGGTTAGGGATGGCCGCGAAGATTCGCCGTCTTTGTGCCATGGAAGCAGAATGGAAGCAGCGCGACAGAGGCAACGATTGCTGCTCGGCTGGGTTGCTGCTGCTGTGTTGCCTGGAGACGGAGCGAGTCGTATGCGGCCTGCCTATGCGATGCACTGTGATGTTCACAGCTGATGGCGCGTGGAACGTGGTGGTAGACCGCTTCGATTCGCCCGTCAGCCGCTCAAGGCTTTTGGCAGACCACAGCCGTGGTGTTGTCTCTTGCGGGCTGACTTTATTGTCACGACGAATGCGTCGCTGGGGCCCATGTCGCTCGAAGGCTGTTGGCTGTTGCGACACCTATTGGAAGCGGTCCCGCGGTGTTGTCCAATTGGCGAGGGTCGAGACGGTGGGAGTGCAGTAGCCTGGATTGAGGCATTTCTTAGGTGCAGCTCCAGCGCAGCAGGTGGAATGGGAGAGCCCGCGGGCTGGCAGCGCGCAGTGTTGCTGGCGACGTGGGCGAGACGGTGGGCGCATTCATCAGGTGCCTCGCTCGCCACTGCAGCGTGAAGTGTGCGAAGACAGACGGTGGTTTGGCTGCTTTTGCGTCGGCGACAGTCACAATTTTGCTTTTTCGCCACGACTTTTATTCCGGCCTGTTCTGCTGTCTTCCAAGGGCCGCCTTGTTCGAGCTTCGCACTCTCGTCCGGCCTGCCCGACACCGCTCTGCGCTCATTACTACTGCCCATCTCACGCAACGGCACGCGCAGTCGCATGCTGCTGTGCTCGTCTCTGTCACGCTGTGCAGCCGAAGCCGTCGCAAAGACGTACAAATCCATCGCGCGGGCAGCGTTGATTACTACAGACTTTCGACGACCGCCCAGCACCGCGCTGCCACGCTCTTCCGGCCTGCCTGACTGACGTCGCCGCCCGGGATCCCCAGGGTCTGTCATCCGGTCTGCCAGCGAGTCTATGCGAACGCCGTGCATCTCCTGTTGATCTTGCACTCTTGCGATTCTGGCCTACCGGAGAGGCGCAGCGTCTGCAGCTGAGATCCGATATATGGATGAGGCTGACCGTGGTCGCCGCCAACTCTCCACTACAACCACCTCACCGTCGCCACGGCGCCCTCTGACATTGCGCCATACCACTCCGGTCTGCTGACCGGTCATGGACTCACCTCTACCAGCAGACCCGTATGCCGCCTTAGGGCTGTCCAAGGACTGTAGTGCGGCCGACATCAAGAAAAAGTATCGCCAACTGGCCCTCAAGTAAGTCGTGAATGCCCAAACAATACTCCAAAAATCATCACTGACATCCCTCTTGGCATCACCCGGATAAAGTTTCTGATCCAGCGGCGAAAGAAGAGGCTTCAAACCTTTTCTCAGCCATCGCTGGCGCATACGAGATCCTCTCAGATGAAGTTCGAAGAGGACGTTACGATGCGGCGGTCAAGTTGGCCGAGTTGAGGCGGGAGGCCATGGAGAGTCGCGGTGGAAGTGGTGCACGTGCGGCAGAAACGACATCATCACCGTACAAGGAGTCAACGTCAAGGCCGGGTTACGCCAGCCGTGCATCAGAACGAGCGGCGCCACGCTATGAGACCGAGGAACGCCGACCATCATACGCCACCAAGGGAGACTACTTCGATCAGCCACCGCGGGCTACCGCTCGTAAAGAGCCTGAGTATGAGCGACCGTCAAGAAAACCGACCCACGATTCGAAGGACAAGTCATCACGTTCGGCGAAAGAGAGCAAGGAAAGCGAGCGGGAACGAAGGAAAGACAAGACCCGCAAAGCCGAGCGAGATACCAGGAGGGATCGAGACCGCAAGTACGCGGCCTACGCTGAACAAGCGTCAGAAAGCGACTCAGATGAGGTTGCGAGATGGCAGCGAAAGCTGCGCGAAGAAGAAGAAGTGCGAAGAGCAAAGGAGGATGAACGAAGGGCTGCGAAAGATTACTACGAGAAGGCCTACAAACAGCAGCAAGAAGCGGATGAGGGGGCGTACCACGATGAGCGTGCGCGCAAGATGTTCGCCGCCAGTGCTCAAGCACAAGACTACATTCGCTCATCTCGCGCTCGACCCAGGCCGGACTCAGAACGCCGTCCATCACCACAGCGCATGGGATCGTCAAAAGACAAGTACGAGTACGTGAGGCGTAACGATGGAAGGCCATCCGCTGTGCGACGTGGCTCTGAACGACCGAAGACTACAGGACGTGACACCGAATCGTCGCGAAAGACTAACACCAGAGAACCTGAGCGTCGTTCAAGTGCTGAGAAGGTGGACGAACCCCGCCGGCCACCTACACTGAACCAGACAAGGTCATCACCCGCCGATATCCACATTCCTACCGACAAGCCACGCTCGCAGTCGCTTCAAGTGGATGCAGACACTACTCCGATTCCCCAAGTCAAGCGAGCCGAGACCATGCCATATGGCATGCGTCGTGAGAACACTGCCCCGACCAAAGGTTCTGGCTTGAGGCAAACTGAATTCAACGAAGGTCTTGCCACACCCGCGACGACACCCGAGTATAACGGGCCATCCAACGCCAACTCCACCAAGTACAGCTATGGCCGACAATACGCTGACGACATGGAGTATGCTACCCCCGACGGATACAAGACAGAAGTCCGAGAACCTCGTGACCGCGAACCACGGGAACGTGAACGCGACACCCGCGACCGCGAGCAAGCCCGCAATAGTCGTCCGACTTTTGCTCGCAAGATGACTCGAAGCCCTTCGCCTGTCAAGGAAACCCGCGAGAGCCGTGAGCCAGTCGAGAGCCGAGAAAAGGCTCGCACCAGCTCTGCACGATACCAAACTTCACCACAGCCACCGCCACTGAATACGCGCACCACCAGCTACGTGTACGGTGGACCTGGTCAAGGTGTTGAGGCCTACGATCGATCTCGTCCTAATAGTGGCCGGGGAACAAGTCCACGAGACGCGCCATACCTTTATGGTGAAGTTCGGTCAGGTGAAGCGCGGCCAGCCTCAGGCTCACCGCGTCAAAAATATGGGCCTTACTCACCGCCAGATGAGGGCGTTCGCTACGGACGGACTATCCGACCGGAAGACATCAAGTTTCAGACTGGAAACTACAACTACAAACGAGGTAGTGGCGACCGGCCAAATGTGAGCCGCCATGGTTCTGGCAACCCGGTCTATGCAACTGCTCGCGCGTAGTTCAAATTGGCATGTTCAACACATTGGTAGGAGTTCGGGGACAACACGGAACGGCATTGTACGGACAACATCAGCATTTTTTCTTGGAGAGGATGATTCACGAAACTACGACACTGTAAATATCCACGTCACACACGCCTGACTGGGAAAACCGCATTTGGGAAGGCTGTGTCAAACGCCACTCGCTGGGGGAAAAGGATTTCTTCTCAAGGTACTTGTTGGAATGACAAGAATTCTCTCGACTCGAGAGCTTGGTCATGCGTCCACGAATGGGGATGACGATTCTGCTAAATAGAGATATTCAGTAACGATTGTAATGAAGACGATTCCTGGACACTCAAGATCTGCTACCCTTCTCCTGCATCTTTCTCCTACCCTCGCATGAAGCCCTCATCTCTCCGATCTCCAGGGGAACCACGCCCTTGATCGTGCCCTCGGTTGCTTAGACTGCTCACGAGTTTTGGGGATGGATGTACAACTCGGAGCGGAAGGAAGGGGGTCGTTTGTCATTCACCGCTCTTGGGCCGCACATGCAGCTCTTGGGCTTCTTCGCTTGCACGACTCGGCGGCATTACTTTCACGAAGTCTCCGATCCGGCTATACGGTTCTTTCTCGCGAAACACACGACTACCATCGTCGTTCCGATTCAAGGGGAAGATTATTCTCCATTACTGGCTGGCCAACTAGCCGGTCTGAAGTGCGAACAGGAGCGTGGTCGCTATTGAAGGATCGGAGAAAGAATGGTTCTATGCGTCCTACTTTGAGCGCAACGCCGAGCATTGACGGAACGGATGGTGTCGTCGTTTCGCGTGTGATCTCACGAGAGATGAGGTACCGTAAGTGACAGCGGTGCCAAACTGGGGGCCATTGGCGAACATGACGTCTGCTTGAAAGTGGGATGCCTGAGCTTCGACTTCATCAGCCCAAGTCTCACCACAACTACTCTCACATGTCGCGTTACCTCGCACAAACAACATCACTGAAGCATCTAGCCACATCTCCCTCGTTCCATCCTCACGTAAGTCGTACCATTTCTCTCGGCCATCCGCCAAGATTGTTAACGTCCTCCAAAAACACAGCCACGATACCTCCGGGCCTGCAGATTCCGACCTCACATCTGGACTCACCACGCAACCCGCGGTCTCGCCACCACCGTCGTCGCCGCCAACATGGCTGAGCAACAACAACCCGCCAAGAAGCAGCGCACCCATCCCCCTTACGAACTCCTCTACCACCCGGGCATCCCCGGCCGGGGCGAATTCGTGCGCCTCGCCTTCGAAGTCGCCGGCGTGCCGTACGCCGACATCGCCAACGAGGACAAAGACGGAGGCGGGTACAGCACCGTGCAAGAGATTTGCATGAACAAGAATACGACCAGCGACGACGGGACGAACCCGCCGATTTTCTCGCCGCCGGCGTTGAGGGTCCCTGGTGCGGGGAGGGATGGCAAGGCGGTGGTGATTTCGCAGACGCCGAATATTTTGTCGTATTTGGGGGGGAGGTTGGGGTTGGTGCCTGAGGAGGGGGAGGAGGGGAGGTTCTATGTGCAGCAGATTGCGTTGACGGCGTTGGATTTGAATGATGAGGTGCATGATACTCATCATCCTATTGCGGTTATGAAATATTATGAGGAGCAGAAGGAGGAGGCTCTGAAGAAGGCGGAGGATGTGAGGGAGAATCGGATACCGAAGTACTTGTCGTACTTTGAGCGGCAGTTGCAGTGGAATAGGGAGGTGGGCAAGGGGAAGTTTCTCGTCGGTGACAAGATCACGTACGCGGATACGACAGTCTGGCAGGTGTTGGATGGGATTTCGTTTGCCTTTCCGAACGAGATTGAGATGAGGAGGAAGGAGTTCAAGGAACTGTTCCAGTTCTATGATGATCTGAAGGAAGAGAAGGGGATCAAGGAGTATCTGGCGAGTGAGAGGAGGCTGCCGTACTCGATGGGTATCTTTAGACACTATCCGGAGCTGGATCGCCAGTGAGGCAGATCGCTCTGTAATGATAAATGAAAGTCGCTGTTGACCTCTCATCATGCTCTGAACTCATGCGGTCGCTCGCTGTCCAATCTGCCAACTAACCAAATCTTCCCTCACATCCATCTCTTCTAGCTCCCCGGCAAGCTTACGGTTCGCTCGGCTCTTGTGAGATTGCCGGGAGAAGTTGCGTCTATGTCCTGCTCTTTCACTGGCCGCCTTGGAGGTCATTGAGCTGTCTCTCGAAGGAACATCTGCGTCTGGGTTTGGAGTTGAAGTCCCCGAGCCAGGCTGGCTACCATGGCCACGCGTTACAGGTCTGCCGCTCTTTCCCCAGCCATCACCTCCAGAGAAGATGTCTTCAATGCATTCATCCGCCCGCAGCTCGCCAGGCTGACTAGCCCAAAATGCAGCTAATGTCTGTCGATATAGATCTTGTACCTCGCCCATCTCTTTATTCGTGGTGCTGAAATCCGGTATGGGAGGCCCATCAACACTAGCATCAGCCGTCGACCCAACACCGTGCGGCGTAGAAGCCGGCTCCGAAGAAGAAATAATTCCCGCAATACCCCCAAAGACCGGCGCAGTCCTCAACTGCGGGGCAACATAATCCCTCGTCCCCTCAATATGCCGCATATGAATCCCAATCTTCAGCGTGCTGTTGATCTTGCTATCCTGCATCAGATATCGCCTCACGATCCCCTTCTCCGCCTCAGGAGAAATCGGCGACTGCAGTTCAGAATTCTCGCAGTACTCCGCAAGATTCAACTTGACATGTCCCAGCACGATCCTCTCCCCTCTACCCCCAGCGCTGTATTCTTGCACGACCTCGAAGTGCACGCTGCATTCGTGCAGCATCCCGCCTTTGCCGACCGTCAGACGCACTTGTGTAGTTTTCTCGTAGTCATACTGCACGCGGTGGTCTTTGATCGGGCACTTGTTCGTGCGCCCGCGGTGTTCGGCGGCCGTGGAGGCGGGGAGGTGCCATTTTACGAGCGAGGTGCCGGAGACGAGGGGCACGTTGTTCAGGTCGACGATGCGGAGGGTGACTTCGAAGCGCACGCGGCGCGATTTGGAGACGAAGGCGCTGGACATTGCTGTCCGCGCGTAAAGGGGTGGGGTTTAGCGGGGAAGTGAGGGCATTGTGGTCGTGGGTTGACAGTGAGGATGACGAAGTTCGGTGGTTGTGCACGTGGCGGAATTCGTCGGATGCAGCAGATCGTTTTTGCCGTTTGGGGGTGTGGCAGGGATCAGGGGTCGGAATGTCGGCCTGCATAAGCGTAACGGCTTCGCGACTTCAGGTCTTCTGAGTGTCCTATATCAACTGCACGTGTGATGCCTCTTGCCAGCAATTGTTGTTTGCAAAGATATTTGCCGTGAAGATCAGTTGGGCGCTACCTTCATGATCGCGTCACAGCATTATAATATGTCTTCTGCCCTATAGCTCAACTACTTTCCCACCTGACCCCTCAGTCTTGCAGCTCATAGCTCGCCCTCGAGCTATCCTCACACTCTCCTCCTCAAGCCAGGACCTTCGTATCTCAACAATGCATCCATATAGGTTGGTTTAATTCGAACTTACTCAGTCATGAGATCCAAAACTACTTGCTGGGTGCTGTATTTCTTCCTGTATCTCTTTCTCGGTAGCTTTATGTTGCTCCAGGTGATCCATATCGAAGTCAACTGACTTTTAGCGTGGCTGCCATTCGAAGCGCAATTGTGGTATGACCCCGCCGTGTGACGGATAGGCGAAGTTAAATCGATGGCGGGGCTTCATCTTTCACGTTCATATCACTTGCACTCCAGCTTACACTTACTTTCCACCTCAACCTCGCACCACTTGCACTTGAACTCTCAGCACTGATCCATTCGCCATGCCGCCGACGAAAGCAAGCCAGGGCAAAGGCAAGATCACATGGAATGGCGAGTTGAAGTCCTGTCTACATATCATGCACACGGATTTCGATCTACACCGCACGCAGCGAGTACAGATCTTCAACATCGTCTTCAAGCGATACTTAACCAGCTGTGGCCTCGCCGAAGGTGCGGAAAGCAATACAATCGAGAGCCAATACCATGAGAGAAAAAAGCCAACGGCACGAGATTGGCCATCGGTATGCCAGCCGCCTGCCACCGCTCGAGACATCGAAGCGAGAGAAGCATTGAGGACACGCATTCGGGAGGCGCTGTCGACATTGCAGTCACAATATCGACCTGCAACCGCCACTGAGGCGGACCAAGGCCCATCAGTTGCACCTCAATCGAGTGCTCCGGTTGAGAGCGCTGCAACGCCTGTCAGATCGTCGAGATTTCGCGCAGCTGTTGCTCAAGCTACGTATCACCCACCAACAACTCCTCAACCGACCACGTTAGCAAGCGCTTTCGCGGTAATCCCAAGAGTTGCGACGAAGCGTAGAGCTACACTTGCTACACCTGCTGCTGCTGCTAAACAGAAGGCATCTACCTCACGATCGCCAAAAGTCGCCCACTACAAGAAGGATGGCACCAAATTCATGAAGTCACCGCATACCACAGTCCACCAGCGTCCCGATAAGGTCTCTGAATGGGCTGCCCATCCACCACTGTCTGGTCTTCTGTTTCGGTAAGTGCCAAATTTATGTTGCGGAGAAACCATGACTGACTGTGGCAGGTACTGGGAGGAAGACCCGATGTGCGATCGAGATTCGAGCGAAGGATTTTGGTCCCGGAAATACCATAAGTCGGATGTACTCGACTACGTCCCGCCCGGGAGTAATTCGGTCATGAATGACATCTTCAAAGTAAGCTGGACTACCATATATCGAATGGCTTGGATGCTGACTGCCTCTTCTCCTTAGCATCTGAACAGTAAGTGAGAAAGAGTCAGCAGAAAACAAGACACTAATTTGTCGAAGAGAAACCAGTGGATTCTCCATTCATTTCGACATCCTCGTCGCTCCTTTGGATCATCTCTGAAAAGCTCCTTAAAGGATTGAAAGACGGCAACACTTCTGGAAGACTGACCATTATCGATGCCACTGCATTGAAGAAAGAAACCGTGTTCTACGTGAATCCGGTAGGGCTTTTGCTACGCCTGTGAAATCGACTGCGTCAGCTGATATCTTTGCTCAGTTTCATAGGGCCATCAAAAAAACCTATGCATTCACAGACGGAGCATGGAGATACGCTGGCACCAACGAGGTATGTCTTCTCATCAGATTAATACATGTACTCGGCTGATTTGTTGTCTGTAGTACCTTGTGTGGCGAGACATACCTCGTCGCGCCATCTTGCACACCTTCAACTCCCGAGACCTACTTCAACTTTCCGCCAGCAGCCAATCTGTACACGCTGCACTGCGACTGGAAGTCCTGGACCAACCACGCACGAGCTTAGTTGGTGGGAAAGTACCAATGCTGCGAAGTGGCAACGTCCAGCTAAACGCAGACATCGTCGTCGGATTGACCAAGCTATGCAAGTTCTTTGGGTTGGATGCGCACTCGTCCATGGAACACATTTCACACATGTAAGTCACCGGTGACTGCACGAGAGATCATGACTGACAAAATTAGTGTGAGCGATGTTGTCCAAGGATGGGTTCTCCAGGTCGAACGCCGTGAGCGTCATGAGTGGGATCAGCTTGCCACGATCTTCGCAGAGAACATTGCAAAGCGCAGCACCGCACCCGTCTCCGTCACGGAGAAAGACTGCATGAAGATGGCCTTCCTCAACGGCGTCTCATGGGGAGATGGTCCAATCAACGCCAGACACTCGGCCGAGCTGATTGCCAGAAAGGATCGAAAGGCGAAGGCGAAAGGCCTAGCTGAGCCCGACAAGATCGTCCTCCAGCAGTACGAAGCCTCACGGCTGCAGGTTGTTTCATACCAGCTGAGGGAGAAGCAACGTCTTGAAAAGCACCATGAGCAGAGACCTTCTCTTCTTGCCGGGCCCGAGGACGGTCATGACGATGAAGACGAAATGGACATGGTGGACGAGGACGTGGGACTGGAGATTGAGGAGGATGTGGAGCCCACCACGCCGATGCAGGTGGACGAAGATGAACAGATCACGTACGACGACGATTACGACGATGAGCTTATGGCGTGAGGGAGGACTCGGATTGGTAAGGATCGATTGTGGGTTACATATGGCGGCATTGCGTTGCAGGCGTTCAGGCGTGATTCAGGCGATGTAATGGAGACAAGTGAGATAGAGACTGCAATGATACCAAATGGCTGCTTTTGCCTCAGTTCATTGACGCTATTGATACACGCTACCCAATTGTCCTGTATTTCTTCGCCTCTAATTCACAACCTAGTCGTAGCGAGGACCATCGTCGTGAGCAGCAGGAGTCTACCATCAGTTAGCAAAGGTTCAAAAACGTCTTCTGAATTAATCAACTCACCTCTGCTGAGTATGGACCTGGCGTCTCTGGGAAGCCACCTGGGGTATTATACGCAGCTGGCGTCTGATACTGCCCGCCCTTCCAGGCTCCGGGCGTTGGCTGATCGAAGTTCCCACCGGGCGTTGGTGCTGAGTCCTGGAAGCCTGGAGTTGGGGCGGCGTCCATTCCAGTGTACGCAGGTGTCTTTGAACCGCCGCCGAGATAGGCTGGTGTTCGACCTCCGCCTGCATTTGGGTTCCAGGTGCTCATCTGTACGAAGTTAGCCAAAATGCAAGCACAGTTCGACGTCGACGACACTTACACCACCGCCGCCGCCGCCGCCACCACCCCAAACGCTACCGCCTCCGTATGCTGTGGCCGACCCGCCATACGCAGTCTGACCACCTCCGTACGATGTGGCGCCGCCATAAGCTGGCGTCCTCGCCCCGCTGTCTTGCTTCCACGTAGGAGTACGTCCACCAAGGCCGCCAGCGCCAAGGTAAGCTGGAGTGCGACCGCCTGCACCAGGAGGAGGCCCGCCGAATCCTCGCCCAGGAGTCTGGCCACCCATTGGACCGCCACGACCAGGCGGGCCTGAAGGACGACCGCTACCAAACAGACTGGCATCCGGAGCTATGACATTTCCAGTCGATGGATCAATCACTGCCAACTTGTCCTTGCGGACGGGCAACTTCTTGTTCTTGGCGTGAAGCTCAACCGTGGCCATATCGTCAGTCGAATCCTTGACGATCCCGATCATGCCCTTTTGAGGGCCCATTCGGACTCTGACCGTTCTGCCAATTAGTCTGTCGCGACCCTTCTGCTGTGGCGGAGGCATAGGGGCTGGAGCGCCGCCGTTCGGTCCTCGCAGTGCGGTGTTCATCTTGGTGAGATCGGTACCGACTCGACCGCCCTTAGCAGCCGAAATCTCCACGTTGTTACACCGAGCAACCCACACGCCTGCGTTGTCTCTCGACTCTCGACTCTGCGCGAAGAGGAAGTTGCGGTGAATGTGCAGGACAGGACCAGACTTGCCCTCACCACCGTACTCCTTCACTCCATCGCCGACCTTGATTTCTTGACCGAGCCTATCAGCAGCAGACCCAGCGTCTCTACGGCGTTCGATCTTGTTTGAGATGTTGGTTGGAAGAAGTGTTCGTACGCCGCCAAGCTGATCCATCACCCGCAAGCTTTCCCGATCGACTTTGATAACACAGCCAACGGTAGATGCATCGAGCTGGACAAGGTCGAACAGGTCGTACTTGCTGGCTCCCACAACGCCGCCACTATCAGTCGCCTCTCGCAAGTCTTTCGAAAACACGCTGATCTCTTGTTGATTGCTGTCAGTCAGGATGGTGATGCGATTATCCTTAGTTTTCACGACCATTCCGACTTCGTCTTGGTACTTGCTGCCTCCAATGACCTTGACATGGTCACCTTCCTTGAAGAGCTTGCGCAGATCTCGCATGGGCGCTTCGACGGTCTGACCACGCAAAGGACCGTCGTCGACACGGATTCGAACGACTTCGCCATAGACCTCTGTTGCTCGACCGATCAAGCCCATCTGTTCACCACGGAAAATCTCAACCTTGTCTCCAGGTAAGTAGTCCGCGCCAGCGTTGGTCTTCAGCGTTGCTGCGAGCGCAGCAAGGTCGAGGTTCTCAGTACCGTCTTCTGCTCCAGCTGCGAATCTGGTCACTTCTTCCAGAGTCGGGTTCACATTCTCGGTTTGCAGGGCACTAATCCTCACTCGCTCCAAGAGGAACCCATCCTTGTACTCCTTTCCTTGATAGTTGTAATGGTTCTTGCTAAGACCACCCGTGCTGGTCAAGTACTTGGAGTGCCTCTTCTTCGCCTCGGTCTCGCTAAACAGTCTGGCAGGTGGTCTGGCGCCGAGTGGCTTCTGTATCCTCTTTCGCTTCACGCCTCCCTGACCATCAGGCTCCACGAGAGGGGCGTTGGCGTCCTCATTCAGACCGTAGTCAAGTCGTGGAACAACCTTGAGATCGACCTCTGTCCCGTTTGGCTCAATGTCTTCGATCTGAGCAAGGTCGCCAGAGTATAGCCCACGCTTGTAGCGTACGTACATGCCTGCTTCGAGTTGCTTGGTCTTTCGTGTACGGAGCAAATCGGGCATTTCCTCCACTGGGATCATCTGAGGCTTGGTGCCGAAAAAGATGTGCGTGATGCCCTCCAGAGCAGGTAGGATATCGTCCTGACGTGCTGCCTCAACGTACAGGCTGCCACCCATGGGTCCGCTGCGCTCGAAGGCTGAGAATATCTGCACCGGTTCGCGACTCTTAGATCGCTCGACTATGCGGTGCTGAATGGCGAAGATGATCTCACGTTCTTTGCCTGGTCGACACTTCAGCCGCCAGATGCGTGGGTCATTAACACCAGGCATGAGCAGCTTCTGTGGGACAATGGCAGAACCGGCACCACCAGCACGCGCTTGCCGACCGTATCTCTCTTTGAGCCTTGCAGCGGTCTCTTCTACGTCCATAGCCTCCTGTCGCTCTCGTTGGCGATCAAGCTCACGATGCATGCGGTCGTCGCGATCTGCTCCCGGGGGCAGCTCTTGAAGATCGTCTGGGTGCATTTCTTCGCCGGGCATGTCATCTTCCTCCTCTGGCTCCTCTTCGTCGTCCTCGTCGACTTCGGCTTCAACATCAATGAACTGATTGCGTCTCCTCTTTCTCCGCTTCCGAGAGGGCTGTTCCTCGTCTTCGTCCTCTTCGTCCTCTTCCTCGTCCTCTTCTTCGTCGGCACCTTGCGCTTCCTCCTCTCCCTCAGCTTCACCCTCCTCATCGTCGCCGTCGGCGGCGTTCACGCCATCTCCGTCTTCCTCTTTGAGGTCATCGTCGTCTTTGGGCGCAGATCGGGCGCGCGGCCGCTCTGACGATGGCTCATCTTCATCCTCGTCGGCTTCGACGTTCGGCTTCGCGTCGGCTTCATCGTCGCTGCCTACTTCTGGTTGAGGGTTAAAGTCGTCCTCCTCCTCCTCGTCAGGGAACTCTTGGTCGAGGAAGTTGGCGCTCATGGTGGCCGATGTGTTGGATGCGGGTTTGATGATGTGTTGATGAGAATCTGGCGGACGAGGGGAATGGTGACGGTGGTGCAGTCGGAGAGGTCAGAGGTGCAGGAATGTTGGAATGCAGGACAGAGGGCGCGATGTTTAAAGATGGAGGTTCGCGGGCAGGCGGGTAGAGCCGAAAGTCTAATGATGCGCAGCTCGTGAACAAAGCGCGGCGCTCTCTTCACGTATCCATCCACTTTCATTTCTACTTCCGCTATTCCAACCAGGACAAAGACTTCACTTCCAGCTATCGGCTGCCGCTATCTCGAATCTGTGTCATGTGATGGCCAGGCACATATTGACGGCCTGACGGTAGGCGATGCACCGGCAGGCTGTGAGATGCGAAGTGTTTGTACCTCGTGCTTCGCCTCACCGGTGAGTGAGGGTAAAAGGCTGCACCATCCGCAACAATTCATCTTTCGCTCCTTGCCTTGTATTCCTTTCATATCGCTCATCTTAGTTTTTGACATGGAAGACCATCGACTTGGCGAGAAGAAAAGCATACCTGTGGGCGATGATCCAGCAGACCCTCCGCCTACCTATGAGGAGTCTCAGGAAAGGCCGGCAGACTGGACGCTGACAGATGATAAGAATGGTCACAGCCGATCTCTTCCATGGACCAACGGCATCTGGCAAAAGCTACAGGAAACAGCTGGCTCAAGTTCACAACGAAACATCCTTGTCCGCCCATCGAAGCCGCTCATACTACTTACTGCCGACCCTCGAGCTGTCCTTTGTAGATGCGGAAGGAAGGTCGATACTACTATATCGTCGCCCGGCTTGGAGCCTGGTTCGGTTCGTTGCATCTGCAGCTACGTGGTAGCAGGAGATGGTAGCTCTCATTACCAGCCTTCCGTACTATTATGTCCTGGCAACGGCTGTGGACGTCGCGTTGATTGGCTTCGGGATATCTCGAGCTTTCGCACTTGCAAGTGTGGACAGCGATTCTCGAGCCAGGGGATTCCGCTTTTCATGAACTTGGGCAGATTGAACGCGAAGGATATCAGGTGCCCTTGTGGTGAGGTGAACGACACAAGCGAACGTTGTAGGGTCGTGCACAAGGACGCTTGTAGTTACGAGTATGTTCACGGTTAATATTCGAGACATACACGCTGACTGAGTCGTTCAGATACTGGTTGCCATTGGGGACCGTCAGATGCAATTGCGGCCGCATCGTAAGCGAAGATGGAACTGTCACACTAGGATATCCGAACACATGCTGTAAACGCAGCTAAATGAGCATGGCATTTCTTTCGAGACCTCCTTTTCCTTCCTCCTACACAATCCTGTACGATGACATAAGCGAATGGCGCGGTCAACTTCGACTTGGCCGCTTGCCCGGCCTCATTTTCTGTCACTAACAGATCTGCCAATGTTTTTGTTTTTCACGCCGAGCAATCCTACCGAAAATGTCAATCACAAAGCAATCTGCGCTTCCACCGTGGGCTCAGCCGCAACAGAATGAGAGAAAGCGTCGTTATCTCGACTGGCTCCCGATAGTTGCTGTGCTTGCCTTAGGTGCTCTATGGCTCTTCAAGTCAAGTATAACAGAATCTTTCAACGCTCGTTGCTCAGGCACAGACCCAGAGATATCACTGAAGCTTGAGAAACACCCAAGCCTTCCTCTCAAGGACATCCCAAAACACCTTCGATCGTTCCAGGATTGCTCGATCAAGAACCTCCAGGCCAACCTCAGTTTCTTGGACACCGCACATCCATTACCAGTTGCCGAGTTCGTGCACCGCCGGGATAGATTGGCGCAAGCACTCGTGGAGGATGGTCTCGATGCTTTCCTGGTGGAGCCTGGCTATACGTTCAGTTACTATGCAAATGTGAGCATATTTCAGCAGCAGCAAGGGGTACATGGAATCTGACGGACTATAGGTCACCCAGCCAGACTGGGAGGTTTGGGAGCCTGAGGAACGACCTTTCTTGATGGTCGTGCAGCCACAGTCTCATGGCAGCACGTACAAAGCCAAGACCACGTTCCTCGTCCCGTCATTTGAAGCAGAGCGCGCAAGACTGCTCAATATGCCATTCGAAAGCGAGATCGAGCTTGTAACATACGAGGAGCACTGGAATCCTTACACGACACTCCTGTCCTCTTCCATATTTTCCACCGCCAAAACAGCACCTAAAGTCATGGTCGATGAAGAAATGCGAGATTTCATTTCTCGTGGCCTGGCTGACAATGGCTTCAACGTACATGGTCTCAACGGCGAAGTCGAAAGGGTGAGAGAGACAAAGTCCGAAGCTGAGATCGGCATCCTTCGTGCTGTGAACACTGGAACCGTGGAGTCAGTGAGAGCAATGCGGAAGTGCATGAAGCCTGGCCTCACTGAGGACGAAGTTATGTGGGTACTCGACAATACCATGCGCTCTGCTGGGATGGATCCCTTCTTTGACATCGTCCTCTTCGACGAGGATGCATCAAACCCACATGGCGGTACTGATGGATCGAAAATCTTGGAGAAAGAGACAATGGTGCTGATCGATGTTGGATCGCATCTGTTCGGCTACTCGAGCGACATTTGTCGAAGCTTCTTCCCGCCCTTCTTCGAGAAGCCAGAATCCGACCACGACTACGAAGCCTTGAGCTCGGAATTAAAGGAAAAGCTCTACGTATGGGATGTCGTATTGGAAGCTCAGACCGCCTCACTTCACGCTCTGCACGAGAATGGGACCTGTGCTTCGGTGGATTTGGCTGCGAGAGGTGTCATCGAGGATGCTGGCTACGGCGACGCCTTCACTCATAGGGTCGGCCATGGTATCGGTATCAAAGCCCATGAGTCGCCATATCTCAACAAGGGCAATGTCGACACGAAGTTGAAGGCAGGCATGACTTTCACGTCTGAGCCTGGGATCTATCTGGTGGACAAGTTTGGTGTGAGGCATGAGGATATCCTGTTGGTGAGAGAGAATGGATTGCCGGATCTTTTGACTGGACAAAGAGCGCAGGGCCCATGGGATCCGTAGATTGCAGTGCTGTAGTGAGAGCAAGACATCTAATCGTCCCTAATGTGCTGTTCTGATTGGGTCCATGTCACGTGAACTTGTGTCGAGCCCGCTTCACGCGTCGACTTCACGCGCCGAATTTCAAAGTCTCTGTCCTTCCCTTCACCAGTACGAAGACCCGGCTATAACTACTATGAAGAAGCGACGTACGTTTTGCCATCTCGTGACACGGCGAGATGGTTTCCAAGGTACTCTGCGTGGCTGAAAAGCCTTCCATCGCCAAAGCCGTCGCGAATCACTTGGCTGGTCAAGCTGTGCAAGCGGTATGTATATGTGCACATGAACTGACACTTCTCCGCTCTAACATGACATCAGCGCAATGTTCAAGGCGAAACGTATACCAAAAACTATGTCTTCCAGTACAACTTCCCCACCTGGGGTCCTTGCGAAGTGACCATGACATCTGTCAGAGGCCATCTCATGGAAAATGACTTCGAAGCTCAGTACAAGAACTGGAATAACTCGGACCCGGTCGTACTATTTGAGGCTCGTATAAGCACTTTTGTCAAAGAAGACAACAGGGGAATCGCACAGAACATCGAGAGACAGGCCCGGTACAGCCAATACCTCTACATCTGGACCGACTGTGACCGAGAAGGCGAGCACATTGGAAGTGAAATTCGCGATATTGCGTGCAAGTCGAATCAACAGCTTCGCGCGCCAGGACGAGTAGTTCGGGCTCGATTTTCCAATATCGAGAGAGCTCATATCATCAGTGCGGCGGGAAGCCCGATACCACTGGATGAAGCTCAGGCGAACGCGGTCTCATCGAGACAGGAGCTGGACCTTCGAATCGGTGCTTGCTTTACACGAAACTTGACACTGACACTCAGGGACATGGTGAGAGCACATGGCGACAATCGCATTATAAGTTACGGGGGCTGTCAATTTCCTACACTAGGCTTTGTGGTGGAACGATATTTCCGAGCACGGAATTTCAAGCCAGAGACCTTCTGGAGCATCAAAGTCATGCGTCAGAAAGACGACATCAAGGTCAACTTCAGCTGGGCGCGCAATCATCTGTTCGACCGCATGATGGTGGTGATCCTATTCGAGCGATGCTTGACCGCCCGGACCGCATCTGTCACGAAAGTGCAGACCAAACCGACCAGCAAATGGAAGCCACTCCCATTGACCACAGTTGAGCTCCAGAAATGTGGTAGCAGATTCCTCCGCATGGACAGCCACCGCGTCATGACTATCGCAGAGAGCCTGTACCAACGGGGCTTCCTCAGCTATCCTCGAACAGAGACCGACCAGTTCGACCGTGGCATGAATTTGCAGTCCCTGGTCCAGAAGCAGACGCAGAGTCAAGCCTGGGGCCAGTTCGCCCAAGGACTGGTGAACGGCGGGTTTTCCTGGCCAAGAAACGGGCGTAATAATGACAAAGCTCATCCGCCAATCCATCCTGTCAACTTTGTAGCTCCCAATGTTCTGAACGCAGAGGAGCAACGAGTGTACGAGTTTGTCGCTCGACGCTTTTTGGCGTGCTGCAGTGAAGATGCCAGAGGGAGCAAGACCGAGATTCAGATCCAGTATGGTCCAGAGGTATTCACTACATCTGGCCTGACGGTGCTGGAGCGGAATTACCTCGACGTATACCCTTACGACAAATGGACGAGCAGCCAGCAGCTACCCGATTTTCGAGAGGGTGAGGTCTTCGTGCCGACTGAAGCTCGCATCCACGAAGGAAAGACGAGTCCGCCTGGCTATTTGACCGAACCTGAGCTCATTGCGCTGATGGATGCCAATGGAATTGGCACTGATGCCACGATGGCGGAGCACATTCTCACAATCAAGACGCGAGAATATGTTGAGGCGAGGCCTCGAGCCCGTCAACCACGTAACGAGGGCGACGAAGAGTCTGATGCTGAAGATGAACCCGTTGATCAGCCTGCTTCACGCGGAGGACGGGGCCGTGGGCGTGGAAGAGGCCGCGCAGGACGTGGTGGTCGTGGCGGCGGCAATGCACGCGGAGGCGGCACTACGACTGGAGTCCAAGAGTTCATTCCGACTACGCTTGGTGTTGCTCTGATCGAGGGTTACGAGAACATGGGCTTCGAGATAAGCCTGGCCAAGCCTTTCCTGCGCAAGGAGGTACGTATGCTTGAGAATTTTGACGAAGGTCCATTTGCTGACCCTTGATTAGATGGAGCTCAAGATGAAGGCCATCTGCGAAGGCCGAAAGACTCGTGCTGAAGTCGTTGCGGAAACGGTCGAACAGTATCGAGCTGTGTATGTTCGAACGCAACAACGGCTTGGTATGCTCCGAGCAGTAAGTATGCCTACGTTCAAGTTGGTGTTGCTGTCGCTGACCGAGACTTGACAGGCTGTGCAGAAGTATGTGCAAAGGCCGGGTTGAGCGCTTGCTGTCGAGTTCGGGCTACGGCTGCTGCTCCTCTTCTTCAGTGATTGATACGTTCTCGGTACGACCCTTGTCGGTGGCCTCTGTATCGACAGAATCCGAGAAGATGTCCGGAAGCATCCACCAGGTAAAGACAGGCTTCGCCAGATCCAAAGATGTGTTGAGGGAGCCGCCCAGGAGAATGTCCCTCTGCAAGAACTCCCTTACGTGGTTGGCCCATAGAAGCCTCCTCTGCTGTTGCTTCTTTCTGAACCATTCAGAGCTGAAGTGCAGCGGCGCTCCACAAGAAATGACCCCAGCGAATCCATGGTTGCCCTGGGATAGAAATGCAACGGACTGACACAGAGATGTAGCGCACTCGTCGATCGAGGCATTGAGCATGGCCTCTTGATCTTGGTGAACTGCCGCGAGCAGGGGATACGGATACAAGCAAGCGACATCCGCTATCGCTTGCCGGAGGAGCAGGAGGGATGTCCATATGTATATATGGCTCGTGGCGCTCACAAAGGAAGAAAACTCGATAGCGACCGGAAACACATCAGCCAGTCCGCCGCAGCGATCGTAGAAAGAGGTGTGTGTCGAAGTCGGCACACGCTTGTGAGGGATGAAATCGCCACCAGACCACCGATCCGCCTCGATTAGCCAATTCTTCAGACCCAAATCAAGCTCCATCATATCATTCAACATGACCACGATCTCCGCTTCGGGCGGTTCAGGCGAAGCACATAGTTGATCTGCTTTCTCCAAAGCCGCACCAGTCTTCAGAGCCATATTAGTCGCGTGAAAGGCAAGGCTATCGTGGTTCTGCTTCGCAGCTGCGATCCACTCCGGCGTTGCGAGATATGAAGCCTTTCGATTCAGGAAACTCGTCGCCACTTCCACCATCCGGATATTCTGCAACAGCGCATGCGCAAACGGCGTGACAAAAGATTTCGGACCGCGGACCTGCAGAATGCGTTGGAAAGGTCCCGTATGTCCACGCCAGCCTTTGCCGTTCTGACTGATGACCGAGTCTACCCGCAGAGAAGGCTGTTAGCCATGATCCCTGTATGTCTCGCTCTGAGGGTGCTATCCTTCATACTTACACATCTCACAATGACCCAGGGTATAGCTCGCTCCAAGAACACAATCGTCCAGCGCCGCATTGGGCTGGCTAATCGCCGCCTGCGTGTGTCTCAACGCAGCGATATGCCTCGTCCGGCCCTCCAGCAGCAGTCGTTCATCCCGATACCTCACCCCCAGATGAATAAGGCACAGCGCATCCCGCGAAGCGTTCATGGCATCCGACTGCGGCGCCAGCCACTGGAAGACGTGCAGGAAGGCTTTCGAGGAGGTCATGACGCCCATGGACCAGTACGAGGAGACGAAGCTTTGCTTCAGCTGCGCCCATTCTAGTTGAGGGCTTTTGAGGCCGGAGACGTCGGCCATGGCTTGCCAGAAGATGAGTTCGTGTTGGAGGCGGAGGGAGTGGTCGTGGCTTGGAGGGGTTTTGGGAGGGATACACCCGGGACAGGTGGGGATGTTGAAGGGACATTTGTGGTTGGTCTTCTGCTCTTCGAGGCGTGGGTTGGAGAGGGTGTGGTTTTTGGGTGGAGACGATTCGAGGGGTGTAGATCGGAGTGTGAGGGCCATTTTTACATTATTCGGGTCCTCTCCAATATGGAAATTCTTCTTCTGGATTCCTTTCTCTCAGTCGTCTGGTATGTTGGCTTCGGAAGGCGTCTCTGGTCCATAATGAGAGCAATATCGTCCCCAGACAACCCTGTCTCACCGATGGGCCTACGGGACAAGTCAAGAAGGATGTAAGAAGTGTAGTACTCAGAGGTCTGATATTTGGGGCGGTAGTAGCGTCTAGCTTTAGGGCCAGCTGAACGGCATGCAGGTCTAAATCTAGGGTCATGCCTAGTAGGTTCGTAAGCGAGGCCCATCACTCAGCAGAGTATTTGATTTCAGCTCTGGAGACGCAGGAGACGGTTGGTCACTTGAATGAAGCTTCAAAGGACCCAGGCGTATTAGAGGGCCAGCTGACTGGACGTTCTGGCTTCGGGCAAAACGTTCTTCCTATAGTTAAGAGGACGTCAATGATGGAAGTATTAGCGTTATTAGCTGTGCCGAACGCTCCTCATATTTGCGACTGTGTACGAGCACCTTGATACTTCGACGTCCTGCAGTCAACGCAGACTATCAGACGGCATTGTTCACAGTCCCACGCTTGATCTTCCTCCTTCACTACGACTCCACCCTTCGATCTTCGACGCAGGCTCTCCTTTCGTCGAGGCATGGGTTTGATCGACCTAGAGCAGTGGTTACACTCTAGGTAGTCCAGGTTGCCGTGATCGAGGTCGTCATCTGGGTCGCGGAACTTGACGAAGTAGTGACTGCAGCTCCAAACCTGGTTCATGGGTTCCTCCTCCGGCTCTTCCCCGAAGTCTTCTCCAGATTGTTCCCATCGCGCGTCACCTCCAGCATCGAGGTTTGTGGGAACGATTGGAGGGTCCTGGCGTTGTTGTATGGGCAATTGTAGAGTTGCTCCGCTGGCAGACTCATGAACGGTGGGTTGAGCTCCTTCGACAAATCCACTGTCCTCATCTTTCTCGACTTCTTCACCGTCGCCCTCATCGTCGTCTTCAGCCATGTCGTCTTCATCCTCATCATCTAGCTCGCCGTTGCCTTCTTCAGCGCAATCACCAAGGCATTGGTCAAGGCTCTTAGTGCACCGCCAACACCAGTGCGCACCACACGTGCACTGCATATGGGAGCAGCCGTACATCCTCCTGACTCCCTGCTTGCAGCGAGGGCATTGCTTGTAGCCAAACTGCTCAAGCATGGCTAATTCGTAGCTGTCTCGATCCGATGTATCACACGGCTTTCCAGTATGCTCGACCTGTTTGCAGCCAGTGCAGATCGCCACATGGCACTTCGGGCATGGGAAGAAATTGCGAGACTCTGGGGAGACGAGGCTGTGCGCGTCTTTATGCGATGTTCCGTTTCCTGAGCCAGCCGAGATACGTTCGATGAAAAAGGCGAAGAGTCCGTTAGCGGCGTGAGTGACAGGATGACCATCCCCGTTATACCGTTTGGCGTTTTCAACCAGCAGAACAACATCATTGGCCAGATGAGACATCGAAGAGTATGATCGGGTGTCGTTTTTGCGCTTGATATCTGCCAGGCTGATTGGATTGGCCACAGCCTCTCGAAAGCCGGGCAAAGTGTCCATGTTGAGATTGCCGCGGAAGAAGCGTGCAAACGGAGTCGAGTCGAGCAGTCGTAAGAGATTCGATATCGTTTCATGGATAGGGGTCTGTGGCGGCGCAGCTGCCTGCTTGGAGGGTGGTATCAGCCTGGACATCATTAGCTCGTATGTCACCTATCATCCGCCAATCTCTCGCACGACTAAGCTCTGAATCGTGCTTTCGGTTGCTTAGACTCCTCGCGAGCAGTGGGGATGAACCGAGCGGAGTGAATTGCTCACCTTTCAGGTATGAACGCCGAGCATGTCGGCACAGGGCAATAAGTCTTCTCATTGCAGAGCCACTCCTCCAACATCTCCCGATACCGTGCTGCTTTGTCTGCATCAAAGCTTGGAAGGAGCGTATACAACTGTATCAAGCAACAGCATCTGGGAGGGAACAGCGATGGCGAGTCGAGAGCATTGAGGAAATACTCGTGTAAGCACTGATAGCAGTAGTTGGCGTCGCAGCGGCGGCAAGCTCGTATAAGATGGTCGTCTTTATTTGTACTACCACAAAGCACGCAGGGACGTGGAACTGGAGGTGCTGGTGCTGAAGGTGGAGCTTGAGCCGGTGGGAGCGCAGGCGCAGGCGCAGGTGTGGTCGTCGTCGCCGGCGGTGGTGCTGGGGGTGGCTCCGTTGGAGGAGGAGCGTCGGATACTTCTCGCCTTGCCGTCTGAAAACCGAAGAAATGCGACATGATCTCTCGCAAAAAGTAGTGTGCACAAGTATTCGTGTTCCGTCGTCGGCGGCAGAGTTCCTGTAGTCGTGGTGGGGATGGAGAGTTGGGGGATCCGTGGAAGTGGTCAAGGTTGGCAGGAGCACCAGTCATATGGCAAGAGCGTCAGTCATAATGGATGCCTAAGTCAACAAGCGCGTCACGACATCGAGTGAAGGACGTGGACATGTGAATGACAATGAGAAGACTTCGACAAACGCAGTTGTGTCGAGTTGCTCGCATGCAACTATCCGCATTGTGCGTAACGCACTCTTTTCGCATGTGGGCCGTCGATCGAGACGACATCTGCCAGCCAATGTCCTGGACTGCCATTGCCTCGCTGCGTTCGCCGCAAGTATGTTCACGAGTACCAGGGTCGATGTACGCGTGAGTAGAGGATAGGAAGGAGAACGAGGAGTCAGAGCAACGACAGCGAGCGGTGTTGAATTTCGACCGGTGTCAAAAGTAGGGGTAGAGTCCATGCCGCTGCTGATCTGATGAGGACTATTCTTCTCCATCATCAACATCACCATGAGCAATTTCAACTCCGCTAGTACACTTGCCATTGTGTCTCCGCCGCGGTTCACGCATCTGCTCAATCGAAGCCGTTGAGCTCTTCGTTGTGCGTGTTGACGCGCTGCCATGGCTGCCGCGACTTTTGGGAGTGGACACCTCCAACCACGCCATATACAAGAGTCATGGCGAACGGTGAAGCTATATCATCGCGCCAAACTCTACGACTTGCATGTCAAGACATAGAAACGTTTGATCTGATCAAGATGACATCCAGCAGTGCACAATTGGACCATGTTGTCATTCTCCTTCCACACGAAGATGTCGTAAACCCGCCTGAATGGCTCACGAAGCACTTCACCATCAGCCCGGGTGGACGCCACGCCGATGGCAAGACGGAGAACAAACTCATACTCTTGTCCGACGGAAGTTACCTGGAGCTGATTGCATTCACCTCAGAAGATGCTCGAAAGGGCCACTGGTGGGACAAACCCTATGGAGTCGTCGACTTTGCTCTCACAACCCCAGATGAGAAGTTCCCCGAGCTGTCCTCCATCAAAGACAGGTTGGCCAAGACCGACACGGGCATCTCGTATCAGGACCCAAAAGCAGGCGGTCGACTCCGCCCCGACGGTGTTGAGTTGCAGTGGCGAGTGACCTTCCCCATCAATTGCAACAGGGGAGAAGCGCCATTCTGGTGTCACGATGTGACTCCAAGAGAACGTCGAGTTCCATACACGGACGACAACACCTCTCACCCATCAGGGGTTCTCGGCCTGGCTGGCGTGGAGCTGAAGACATCTTCACATGCACGTCTCAGCACTGCTACCGCTGCCATATTGGACAGCAATCTAGAACAGAATGGTCAATATGGCGTCGGTGTGCCACAGAAAGTACCCACGGCCAAGCAGCCATCCATTAGGATCCAGTCGGCAAATGGAGATGGTAAAGATCTTAGCCTCACGCTGGTCTTACAGACCACCCAAAAACTGCCACCGATTATCCAGAAGATCGGAGGCGGCACTGTCTCGATTGTGTTTGAGCAGCCAAATTAGGGGATGTGAAGTGGACACAGGGCAGAAGACGGAGAGTAGTAGTGGAGCTTTACCTGTCTGCGACGAGGGGCCACGCTTGGATCTAGTCAGTAGAAAGCGATATCCTTACAGGAAGTGTTACCTCAAACCTGCTACACCCGCCGTATCTTGTATCTCGGATAAGTGTCACATGAGGCCGGTCCGACAGACCGGGCCACGGGACACCCTCCAGGGCGAGACCGGCAGCGAGTCTGTACAACCCTAGTGCGTCCAGATCTCCGTCGTTCAGATGGGTGGCACCGTTGAGCAGGGCGACGCTCCACCTTTGGCAGCTGTCAGCCTGCAATCAATCCGTATCACGGGTCTCTGATCCAGCCAGGGTGGTCTGGCGGCTCTGGTCACCGACGTCCAGGTCACATGCCCTGTTCGGCAGTGTCGCGGTACACAAAGGGGATCGAGAGTGGGACAGTGCATGGCGCCTGTAGACGCGCGTCGACATCATCGGCGGTAGAAAAGTGGAATTTCTGGTGTGGAAATTCAGAACGTGTGCGACAAACACCTTCACCTTGTTGTCCATCTCACATCGACTTCCTAGCTTCCCGGTCCCCTTCTGGACAGGTGATGGAGGTGGTGAGACTAGTTCCGTGGACGTGGTGGCACGTACCGGATGCAGTTGGAACGCAATTGTCTTTCCATCGATACAAGAACTGCAATTGTGGGTATCTTATTACAAGGAAATTTTCTTCATCCATATGCCCTCCAGCTAAATCGTCGGCGACGTCCAACCAAGAGCGAGCGCATCTTCGAGGCATGCGTGACCAGACAGCGAGTGTGAATGCTGCCCCGTCCCATGCCCTCATTCCTGCCGTCCAAACGCCAGTGAGATGCCCGATGATATAATGTACAGTGGTATTTTTCTCTCCAAAAAGGCAGATTGCTCTGCAGAAAGCCCAGTAGTCTACCCAAAAATGCCCAATGCCAGTTGTGTCGCCACCCTTTCCCATCTACCCAACGCCAGTTCAAAGTGTGTTCAAGTTTCGTAAATGAGGTGCAGGTGGTCGGTTGGTGGACGACGTCGATTAGGTGGATGGTGTCGCGGTAGGTGCGAGGGTTGCGATGAGAGCGAGGGTGTCGAAGAAGCGCGGGTGGTGGTGACCGAAATATCAAAAAAAGGTAGCGAAGATGCTGCAAACGCTCCGGGTATTATGCATGCAACGAAAGGCGATGAACGCGGTAATCAAGTCGAAGTCGTGGAAGTGCGAGAGGTGAGGTGAAGGTGGTAGTAGGTGTGGTGCCGGCCAGCTCGTAGCTCCTGCAGGGTAGCTGCACGGTAAATTCGGAGCTTGTTGGAAAAAGTTGGCTGGCGGGTGGGTGCGCTCTCGTCAATCGCATCTCGCAGACGATTGACGCGCAGAAGAGAGGGAGGATGCATCCAGGACGGCGGCATGGCTCCTATCGCCTCTTCGGCTTCGGAGGCTTGGGCTTTGGGGTTCTGCTGGAGGTCAGGATGGCGCTCTCGTTGGTGGGAGAGGTGCAGTAGCTTACCCGGTGGTGTCGTATGCGCCGCGTCCCATGTTCATGACAGCGAAGTCTTCTCTGACAATCATTTGTACGGAGGCTGGAAGGAGGTCAGCGACTGCCGGCGACTGGAGCACGCTTTATACGGCATCGGCGGGCGGAATGCTGTCGCACAAGGGGACCGGGATTGACTCACTCTCGCAAGGGCAGCGAGGGCCTGGCAGGTGGATATGTGTTCACGTCGGACAAGCGACGAATAACGGGGAGGGGGGCTTGTCGGCTGTCGCAGCGCCTGCGGTGAGGGACGGGGTTGTATCAAAGGCGAGCGCTGGAATGTATTTGCAACGTGTGCGCTGGTGGAGGCCTCGGTGGCCTGGTGGGCGTGCGGAAAGGAGTCGGCGGCGCGACGAGGCAGACGATCGCGACGACAAGGTAGGTGAGTGGAGATGGAGCTGCTGGTAGTGGTGGTAGTGGTAGTTGGCTGCAAAGGAGTGACGACGGTCGGACTGAAATACTAGAGAACAAGATCAAACGACCAGGACGTGCTGGGAATCAATATTTTTTCGAAGCGCCCCTGTCCAGGCGTGCCAGGACACAATCGAGACAGACAATCTCCTTCCTCTCATGACGACTGTTTGCCCGGACGCCAACTCGAAACAAGCTCCCCCTGCAACTCAGGAGTACCCGGCGAGATCTGCACGCTGTGCCTGCAGTAGTATCAACTTAGTTTGACGGCACTGTTAGCCCGCTCCAGCCGTATTTTTGGCACGGCTCTGGCATCACTTCCTGACACACCACCACCACGCCTCTCACTCCGCGCCCGGCGCATGAGACAGGGCGCCCGCCGCCGCCGCCGCCCAGCACCTCGTCGCAGTGGCGAGATGGCGGTCCCACGCCGCCGCCCTGCGAGCCCTCACAAACCGGCGCCCGTCCCGATTGAGCGCAGCAAACGCATCCGATATTCTAGCACTGTTCTAGCGGTACGGAAGCCCTCTCCCGGCTCGCCTCACCCGATCGCAGGGCGCTAGCTGGTATGTAGGCAGATGGTCCCAGTGATACGGGACCTGGAAGCTTGTTCCTCTGACTTGGGCACCGTGGACAGCCGTCGTGGCCAAATTCTCCGTCCACAGCCACTAATCACCATCGCGCAGCCTCGTGGCCTGACTGTTTGGTTATCCACACGCCCACTTGTCCCCGAACACCTACTCGCCCGCCCGTGACTCTCGCATTGGAGTGTGAAGCGCTAACGTTCCTGTCGGCTTGAAAGGAAGCGGTGCCGTAGTGGCCCTTGCTGACGAACCTACGCCTTTAGACCCTGGTACTCCCTACTTCCCAAGAAACCGTCGCAATGTCGGTACATACACACAGGTGCCGCCTGTGCGGTATGCCTTTTCGCCTGGTCAGAGGCGCGCGGTGCTTCCTCGCCTCTCGGCGGCTCACGCCCACACCGAGGCCACGACCGAACAGCGAACACGATCGTCACAAACCAAACCCGCGAGAGGTGTCCCAGAAAGTACCTGCATCGCGGCACCACGGTTTGGCTGTCAGAGTCAAACCGTTGCAATCCACCCCTGCTCGCGTGGTGTCACTGATTGCCTGGATCCTGGGACGGCCCATCTATCTTGCATCCGCCGCGGCTGCGAACGCCTGCAGCCCACTCCACAGCGATTGTTTGTCGCGAAATCGACTTATCACGTTGAGAACAAAGCAGCAAACGTCGCACGCGAGCGTCGCGGAAACACACATTCTCGTTTTTTGACAGATCTGTGTTTCAATGCGACCAGCCCTCTGATTGCCCTTACCGGTCTTTGTCGTCGGAGGCGAGCCGGCTCACACTGTACAGAGCAACATATCCTTGCTGGTCTCTGGCAGGGTATCCCGTTCGCAGACGTAAGGCGCTCGATTTCTTCCAAACGGCAAACTTTTTCTCGGACTTTCGATTCAGAAACGCTGCTGGCATGGACCTGCGCCGTTGTCGCGGCACGTGGGCCGCGAAGTCGAATGTCGCGCACTTACCACCTCATACGCAACCTGCTCAGTGTGTGAGTGGTGCCCATTGTCACGCTCAAAGTGGACCGTCTATCCCCAATACTCTCGAGCTGGCTAGGCATTCTGAGATACGATCAGGAGCTTGGTCGCTGCAAAACCCGGAGGGATAACAATGCCATGTGTTCCGCTTTGAGCGGGACGACGAGGGTGCGAGATAAGTAAGTAAGTGCGCTGCGCGGTCCGTAAAATACCCAGAGACATTGCCAATAAGATGATCCTTAACCGATCTCAGGGATTCGCTTCGAAGCTGGAGAAGAACTTGTTAGTCTCGTATGGGGAATCAAGGGCCAGAGATCCACAACATGCGATTTCCTGGTGGCAGGTACAGACGGTGAGAAAGCCGTCATCTTCAAAATGTCGGCTTGAGAATTTACCATTGACTAGCAGGGTCACAAGGGTGACATGTCGAGCACTAGCACACTCCTCGCTTTCGTTTGTATCAGCCCTCAGATCTTGCAGAACACCATCCTAGATATCAGCTATCTATGCTGACGTTTGCTAGACAGCACGGCCTCCATTTTACAGGAGCAGAGAATTCGCCGAATGTTTGTGGAAGCATCTTCCTGTCAACCTACTGAATGTCGAGGCTCAACCGGCCGACTACCCGGCACCTAAATGGTATCAGGTCACCAGAGCATCAGGTTTGTTTCTCAATGGTATGATATCTTGAGTCCGGATGATGGGATGCTCGTACGGTTTCTTCACGGAAACAAGAATTTGCCAACTTGGCGACACACTAATGCAACTGATGTCAGTCCAATACAGGTCTGAATGACTCGTTGAAGGATAGGACACTCAAAGCTGTGATCCAACGGCACGAGAATTGGAAGAGCCGACTTCGGTAGTCCTCCAGCGCCGTTCAACGAACATTACGCCGAGCGTTGAGTGTTGTCAATTGATGGAATTTAGACAAGCTTCGAGAGTCAGTTGAGAAGCTACGCCTGGAAGACCGACGTGCAAGTTTTCTTGATCGATGCCCGGCGTGAAAGCTGAAACAGCATGTACTCTTCTCTCATGAGAAGATCTCGAAGCTGGCGCACCTCAGCTTCGCGAATGACCTTCAATTAAGATACGCCTCCTCTTCCCAGCTTTGTGCAGACAGCCATTCAATTCCTCAAGGCTGTGTCTTCGCCTCTTTGGATGTATCGTCTCCAAAACGGACAGTATCTTTTCCATCGTTTCCAGAACACATTGCTCGAAATTGCAGCGCGAGTTCCCCAACAAGAGATCACCCAAGCCAGATAGCTACGAGGACAGCCAGGTTGGTGCGAACTTTTAGAGCAACTTATCTCTCTGCAGCGATTGGCCAGCGATCGAGTCGTCCAAGGATATACTCGTCTTTCGACGTACAAGCGTACGTCCTCCCTATAACACAGACCATTCAGAAGCCGGGACGCAAAGCACATCGTCACTCCATTCCAACTTCTTCGCTGGCTCACATCAAGTTCAACTCCTGAATACACACTTGCGACAGTCGCCAGGTCCAGCAAGAGTCTTTGCGACAGCTTCGCATTTCAGACCATACCTGCCGATACGATGGCGACAATGCTCTTCTGTCACCTTGGCATCTCGATGATTTACCGACCGGCAGGTATCGACTACGGGGAACTGAGTGCCCAGCTGTCGATACCTAGCCAAAAGGTTTAGATGCCGGTATGCCGATAAGGCAGCAGGCAGATCCATGACTCTGGACGTTTCGACTACAGCTGCTGAAGTGTGAGCGTGACTTGCAGGCCACGAGACTTTGCGAACTTCCTGGTACGGAGTTCGGTCCGCTCCAGATAGTCGGCCACGATTTCTCTTCACGTTGACTTCGTGTGGCTGGATGCAAGACTGGTCGTTGGGTCGCTCAGTCCATGGTACGGAATTGGGGAACGGTCGTAGTCTTGTCACGAGCCAAGATGAGCGGAATTCCAATTCCACGTCGCGACAAAACGCTCCAGGTGTCAGAATGGTGGTCGATACCGGCTCCTTATATCCCGCCAACTTGACAAATCCATGCAACTTGTAGGGCTTGGGTCGAGAAAGTCTAATGTCACCTCCCCAGCCATCCGATCGTTCCGAGTAAGTTGACTTTATCACTTGCTTCGTGGTCGTGTGCCAGACTTGCGACGTCGTTGTATGCAGAGTGATCATGTTCGGGTTTCAAAAGAACAGAGGTGAAGCTGGGCTGCGGGCCGAGAGTTTGCATCGACTGTGGGAGTGTGGAGTTCTGTGGAGAACGACATCCTCGGCTTCGAACTTTCGCGGCTCTACTCACTTCACCTTGCGACATGACATGTAGATGTCAACCAAGTACCTCCAGAAACGTAAGTGGTTGTTCTCTCCTTACGTTCCTATCAGTCTCAATATGAAGGCTATACACAAACCACAATTCGTAGAAGACGTAGCTACGCTGCGACCGACAGAAGTCCCAACTCCTCAACCGAAAGGCGACCAATACCTTGTTCGCGTCACGCACTGCAGTCCTCAGCATGCCGACATACTCCACGCGAAAGGCAAACACCAGAACAATACCAAGCGAGGCTGGTGTCATCCCCCCTTCAACCTCGGCTACGACTTCGCTGGCGTGGTTCAATCTGTCCCTTCGCTAGGGAGCAAGAGCGGATCGAAAAAGGGCGATAGAGTCTTCGGCGCTGGCATTGGCGCTTTCGCAGAGTATGTCTGCGTTCCCGAAGGTGCGATTCGTAGGATACCAGAGAAGTTGACGTCGGAGACTGCTGTTGCCATGTCTGGCCAGGCAGTGAGTTACGCTTCGGTCGTGCACATCACGAAAGTCCAACCTGGTGAGACTGTGCTCGTCAGCGGGGCTAGTGGTGGGCTGGGGAGTGTCTGCTGCATGGCGGCTAAGGCTGTGGGGGCCAAGGTCATTGCACTTGCAGGTGATGAGGAGAAGGCGAAGCATATGAGGAGGGATATGAACGTGGATCTCGTGCTTGTGATGAAGGACGATTGGATCCAAAAAGTCATGGACTTCACGAAAGGCGTGGGTGCGGAAGTGTGCTTGGATAATACGGGCATGGTTAACGACGCGATCCGATGTCTGGCGTACTTTGGGCGTATTTGCATATTGGGTTTCGCGGCGCGGAAGGGTGTGATGGAGGAGGTCAAGATGAATAAGCTGCTACTCAAGAGTATCACTGTTGTCGGGTATAGATTTGGTGAGAGTGGGAGAAGATATCCCGAAACCCTGGAAGAAATCTGGCGAGGATATTTATCGATGCTGGAGACTGGGAAGTTACAGCCTCTCTTGTATGGCAAGTATGAAGGCCTTGAGGATATCGGCAGGGCTTTGAAGGATCTGGAAGATCGCAAGGTATATGGCAAGATTGTTGTCAAGGTTGCTGATTTACCTGCGGGAAGTAGACTTACCTGAATACATGTAGCATACGATGTGCATCCTGCTCAAAACTTCCATCCATCTGCCATCCTCGGGAGCTGTCGGAGCTATCTGCGTGACGAGTAATAGCTTGGTTATTTTAAATGTCGGGAGGACGATGGTGCTGCCATCTATCCTACTTTGAAAGGAGCGACGATGATAGATCGTTCATATTCACTTACATGTTGGCCAGCTCAAGCTGTGGCCTGTGTGGGTCATGTGGGTCTAACCGCCGCTAAAATAGCGTACCCGTCTTGCTTCTGCTTGGCTCTCCTGAGAGACGCCAGCGACACGCGACTGCATCTGTCTTTCACTTGACACAATCATCCCTAAAATCGCAATGTCGATATAATGCATCGCGGCGTGCTCAAAGCGCACGTCGACCTAATGAGGACTTCTGGACGCGCAATAACCTGAGAAGATGGCACATCTTCGCTTCCTGACAGGGATTCGTTCGACTACCGGCATTTACACTATACGAAACTCAGGGCGGGCACGGATACTGGCAACGCCATTCGTACAGCGACGATATCAAGGATTGCCAATTGGTCCCCAATTACCTGGTCAGCAAGACGAGGACGCGGACGATCAACCAAAATCCTCCAGCAAGAAAGATGGCAAAAAGGAAGGATTCACCTGGGGGCCTACCCTCTTCAAGATGTTCGAGGCCGCTCTCACTACCTTTGCGTCAGTCGCCATATTAGGCGCCGTGGGTTATGGCTACACTCGATACTACAAGTATATGGTCCTCGAGAAGATTGAGAATGCCTTCAAGCCGGGTGATCCAGTGCTCGACCTCGCCGCGACTAGCAAGCAAGGCACGGCAACTGGTGGCACGATTCTTTTGGACGAGGACAAGCAGCGCGAGCATTGGGTTCTCCGAGAGGAACAAGACCTCATCGACTCAATCGTTTCCGGACGGACTAGAGGCCAGTACCATCTACTTGTAGGCGAGAAGGGAACCGGCAAATCCAGCATGCTCATTGATGCCATGGCCAAGATTAATGGTGAAGGCTGTGCGATGTTCGATGCCCACGCCGATCCAGAGATCTTTCGCATTCGACTAGGCAAGGCGCTGGATTTTGAATATCACGAAGACAACATCGGCTCTCTGTTCTCCATTCGAGGACCACGGGACGCTGGTGCAATACTCGACATTGAACGAGCGTTCAACAAGCTGGAGAAAGTCGCCATGGCCCGACGAGAGAGGGTCGGTCGGCCGATCATCCTCATCTTCAACTCGATGCATCTTCTACGAGACGACGATATTGGTAAAGACCTGCTTGAGCTCATTCAACAGCGCGCAGAGCAATGGGCTGCGAGCAACCTTGCCACGGTGATCTTCAACTCGGACGATTACTGGATCTACGAGCGGCTCAAACAATATGCGACGAGGATGAACGTGATTCGAATTTTGGACCTCAACAAGGACAAATCGATTGCCGCGTTGCGGAACTATCGAAACCGGTACCGTGGTGAAAATCCCGATTCTTCGTTGCTGGAGCAGGTCTACGACAAAGTCGGCGGTCGGATGTCGTACTTGACCCGAGTGGCAAAGTCTCCAGATATGATGAAGACAGCTGAAGATATCTGTCATATGGAAAAGGTATGTGATAGCCCTCGTCGTTCCATCCGATCCACCCACTGTGGACCGTGCGTCACAATTGCCATCCCATGGTTGACGAAGCCCATTGTCAAGGAAGCTAACATTTTGCAGACCTGGTTTCTCAATCAATGCTGGATCCTAGGGCAAGGAATGGACGACGATGTCATGGACCAACAGAAATACGCCTCTGCTGCGATGGTCCTGGCCAAGGCACTCGTTGACCAAGAGAAGGAGATGGAAAAGACCTATGATCCGGACCGAGGTCACATATTACCAGAGATTCCTCTGCACCAGGCACGAGAGATCATGACGAGAGCTGATTTCATTCAAGTAAGATCATACTAAGAGCACTGCGGGTGGCTTACCATGCTGACCTGGTCCCATAGAGCTATGATACCATCAACATCTTTGCGATTGACAGCAAGGCCATGGTCCGTGCAGACTCCGTTCCCATGATGAACGCATTCAGAGAAGTCTGCGCAGAGGAAGGCTTCGATCAGTTCTTGGAGGATACGTTGGATCGCATCAGCGCCATCGAATCGCTTGGACGCACGCGGGAGTTGACGATCAAGGACCTCTGGGACAAGGGCAAGTATAGAATCAAGATCGAGGATGCACGTGGAAGAGGGACTGGGGGCTTGACGTTTGAAGTGGAGAAGCCTGAGAGTGATGAAGACGATGACTAGTTGGGAGGAGTAGGAGGTTTTATCAGATACCCCTTGATCGACTTCATTCTTCTGTGAGGAAGCCATACATCAGCGCCTCTTCCTTCTTGACAATACCCCGCGTAACGATGACCCGATTCCTCCAGAAGGAGTCACGCGCTGATGCCGTGGACTCGTATTCAAGATGGGCGCCGATTGCACAAAAGTAGCATGCGAGCGTTCGGCGTCGTCCTCAGTATGAGGGCCACTCTCGTGTAGCCAACACTGCCGAATATGTGCCTTCGAGAGATGATTCCAGCAAGGTACAGTCGAATCTGATCCTGTGCCGTCTCCGCGAAGTGTGCGAGCCACCAAGCCCACGATCAGACCCCCCCTGGGCTGGTCAGACTCAGCACAGCGGGGATTAATTCTGTTTCTCCAGCAGAGGGATCGCATCGGCGCAACTTAATTAGCAGTCGTATTCGCCCTTCGAGCGAGTAGATCAAACTCGGGCATACGTTCGTAAAGCGTGCATCACATCGAGGCTCACTTCAACTGGCAGAATTCTTCCCCTTCGACTTTGGTCTATGCTCCTCCTCAGCCGTCATCTCAGTCCTCTCAGTAGACGAACTCCACAAACTCCTACTCTCCCCTTCCACCCCCCTCATAGCCTCCGCAACAACAGCCAGCTTCGCAACAACATCCTTCACCCCACTATCCACCTTCTTGAAATACGCCTCATTAGCCGCCCGCCGTTCACTAGCCAGCTTGATATCCGCCGCAGTCTCATCCTCCAACTGACTCCTCCCGCTCCGACTCGTGACATCGCTCCTCACACTCGTGCTCTCATCCGACAGCGCCGTAGATGTACTCGCCGCGGTATCCGCCCTCTGTCGCCGTGAATGCGCGCTCGACCTATCCAAGGCGATATCCTCTGCACCCTTGAACCGATTGATGTTCAGTTCCAGGTCCTCCGCCGCATCCGCTTGTCTCTCGTTCCCTCGTCCCCATGCTCTTGCGAGCTCAACCTGTGCTCGTCGTAGGTCGTCCAGAGCAGCAGCATGGCTCTCGCCAAAGACGTGTGTGGAGCTCTGAGCCGTCAATTCCACTTCGTTCAGTGTACTCTGCATCTCTTTCCATTTCGCCTCGACAGCCTTCTCACTGGCCTTCTTGAGAGGGGGCAGATTGCTGCTCGGGTTCGGAGCATCGCCATCGCCGGTATTGGTCTCTGCATCGGGGTGGTAGGGACGCGAGAGCGCGGATTTCTGGCGATTGAGCGTATCCCTTGTCTTGTTCAGAGTCGAGTCGTGCGTTGCGGTCCGGGCGATGGAGAGCTGTGAGGCATTGCGAGATGGTGGGCCGACGAAGAGCGTCGGCGCTGGCAATCGATTCGGTTTGGTGTTGGCTGTGGGCGATGGTTTGTTGTTGCTAGTAAGTGTACTTGCGTTGCTTGACATTTTGGGTTCTGGGAGTTGTATTGCTACATGATTGTGTGAAGAACAGCAAGAAGTCAAGGTGAAGTGAGGTGGGCAGGAAGCCCCCACTACCTCCACGCCGAGGATTCATGTGAAGTTTGCTGGGCGGAACGATGGAACATTGTACAGAGAAGAGTTGTTCTGCGATTTGGTCACCGCTCATGCCAGTCAAGCCGGCGGTGATATTCTATACTACAATCTTCAAATGCAATGTCGAACCTCAAGCCGAGGATTGCTGTACAGCTGAAGGACACACCCTTCCTTTCCTTCCGATGTCTTCCCTTCCCATATCACATTTGAATGACCCATGAACGCCCTCGCTATGCAACGGCCGTTCCCGGTGTCGGTCGTCAGGTGCTCGTCGTCGACAAGCGCCTGTTGATCGTACATTGACGTCGTTCTCCATCCACAGCGAACAGCCTAGGTTAGCCACAAGCTTTCTTTCGGCTGTAGATCACAGCCTCATGTGCCCCGTCCAGTCGCAGTCCTGGAGGGTAGATGCAATCCTGCACCCACACCGTCTTTGCCATCGTATGTTTAGAAGGTCCTGTCTCGCGAGGAGGCTTGGCTGTAGTCCACGCGCAGTTGACGACCATACACCTCCTTCCTTTCCAGATGCTCTTTCGCCTGCTGGGCGCTTTCGACATCGATGAAGTCTGCGTGAGCGAAGCCTCGGGGTTGGCCAGTTCGGCGATCGATGGCGACACGGACGTCAAGAACGTTGCGAATCTCGCGGAAGAGATCTGTTAAAGCATTAGCACAACTTGTCAAATGTGGCAGGCCTTCTGGACATACCGTTCAAATCTCTGTCGCTCATCTGGTATGACATGTTGCCAATGAAGAGTGTCTTGCTAGGAGGATTCGGGTCGCGTGCTGCGCGCTGGTTACGAGGTTCGCGGCGAACGTGATACTGGACAGCCATGCGTCTGCCCTGGAACACCTTCTGATCAAGTTCACGCACAGCTCGATCAGCTGCATCCTGAGTGGCGAGTTCGACATAAGCGAAGCCCTTGCTGTTGCCCCTGCTGTCTGTGACAACTCTGCTATTGGTAACATCTCCATACTTTGAAAATTCAGCCTCGAGTTGTGGTGCGGTAACTTCAAAGAAGAGGTTTCCAATGTAGAGGATCCTGCTAGGTTTTGCGTCTCGTTGGGTTGCTCCAAATGAAGCTCCGGACTCGCGTGACGGGAAAGTAGCATTGGAAGCAGCGCTGGCAGCATTTGATACCAACTCGGATGCTCTGGCGGTAACGTCCTGCGCTGTCTGTGCAGCACTGCTTGCCGCTTGCTGGGCTTTCGATGCCGTCTCTTCGACAGTCTGTTGTGCCATTTGTGCAGTCTCCTGCGCGGCCTCAACAACATCGGGGGTAGCAATGCTCTCCTCCTTGATTTCTTTCTGCTCTTCTGCGGAAGGCTCTGTAGTGACAGTCTCGCCGCTCGTCTCTGCCTCTGCTGGACTGACTTCCTTCTTCTGCTCCTCGTCTGCAAGCCATCTCCAAGATTGGTGGAATGATCGATTGAGCGCAAGCTTCTGTGATCTGACTGTTGAGATTCGCGTTGGAGCCGGTCTGAGGGTCGATAGCTGTCGTGCTGGCTGTGTAAAGACTGCTCGCGCAGCCACGCGTCGCAAGGCGAACATTGTGGCACCTCGAATCGGAAAGTTCGTCGACTGAGCAGTAGTGATGAATGCGAGATGGCGACGTCAAGTTCGATCAACTGCGGGAGGAAGAAGAGATGTGTGTGCGGCGAAAAGAGATGGTCACGATTGCATTTTCTCCAAAAGATCAATCAAGGAAGTTTTCCAAAAAGGTACCACGACTTTTGAGCATGATTCGGGCTCGCCCCTGACCTCACCTCGTGTGGGCGATTTCTCTTTACCACAGCATCAACGCAGGCATTTGTTGACCAGAAAAGAGTATAGCCCTATACGGAGATTCTGGAAATCCACCATGGTCAATCGATTTAATTCATGCCGATTCAAAGTCAAGAAAGGGTTGTAGTAACACACAAAAGCTGATGACATACACCACCACCTCATCGAACCCAAACATCGCGAAGATAGACCCATCCTTGACCCGATTTCCACGCTTGTCGCTGCATAAATCATCAAATTACACGCAAACCTAGAGCAACAGGGTATCGCACGAAACACGCATCATCAATGCCGAATACCAAATCTCCCAATCGCTCTGGAAAACCTCGATGCTGAGCTTGAAGTCGTGGTCGAAGTCATGCCACTCGTGGAGACACTGGCATGGGACAAGGTGCTGTCTCTCCTTGGAATGGACCTCTTGAGCGCGATATAGTCCCTCATCCTCGGCGGAGGGTGGACTTCCTCGATCATCGCGCCTTTGCTGAGAAGCAGCCTTACCATGCTCTCCCGATGAGCAGTAGGCGCTCTCGAAGCTGCGAAGTACAGCGCATTTCGAGACATGGAATCGGTGGCGTTGACATCTGACTCTGAGTACCTGCCATGGTCCAAGAGTGCAGTCGCCTGTTCGAGCTTCTCAGACTCAGCGCAATGATGCAGTGCCGTCTTACCAGCTCGATCCACGGAATCCTTCAAGTCTGGTGCCAGCTCGAGAAGCAAGTCTATCATCTCCCGGCTGGACTTGTGCACAGCGTAGTGGAGAAGGCTCCATTCGTCGACGCCCTTGGTCTGCAGTGTTGTTTCATCCCACTGGAAGAAGACTTCGACCATGGAGGTATGCCCAGCTATAACAGCTCTGACCACTGGAGCTTCGCCTTTCCTATCTCTGGGCTCGACGTCGGCGTCATGATGCAGTAGACATCTGGCCATATCGTTTAGGCCGTTGCTCGCCGCGTAGTGCAGAGCAGTCAGCCCACGCTTGTTCGCAGTGTTGACGTCTACTTGATACTCTGGACCGAGCAGCTTATGCACCGTGCTCTCATCCGACTTCTCGACGGCATGCATCAGAAACGTCTTGCCCTTGGAACACAAGCGCTCGAGATTCAGGTCCGATGCCAGCATATTGTGGACCTGTTCAGAATCGCCAGACTTGATTGCCTCCACAAGTATGTCATGCTTGTCGACAACATCAAAGTCCGGTTGCGGTCTTGTGTGGGTCGAGATTCTCCGCAAGCTGTCGCTGGCTGCAGAAGAGCCGGGCCGCTCAACGAGAAGCTTCCTCAGACCACTGGCCTCGACCGTCTTGTCCCGGGTTTCCAGGATACGTGCGAACAGTTCGATGCAGTCTCTCTGCTGCTCCACCTCTTCAGCAGCTTGATCGCTGGTATCACTGGACTTCCACTGCTTGTTGAATGCCTTCATGGCATGGTTCTCGGCCTTCTCGATGTCATTAGCACTTTGGGCAAGTGCCATTCCAGCATTGTTCATGTATCTGTCGTAATATATGGAAGCAAGAAGATAATGCTGCCTCGCCTGAGCCAGAGGTGGTTGCTCCTTGGATGCGATACTGCCATTCGTGGTTGCCACTGACGACGATCGCTCTCTCAGCAGCTGGTGCACCGTGGAGACCGCCTCACTCCATTTCTATCAAGGTGTCAGCAAATGTTCGTTCGTTGCACAGGCAGCACGACCATAACCCAAAGGCTGCGCACTACAATGCTGGAGCCGCGGGAGATAACTAGGTCGAAGACAGTTCTTTGACTTACCCTCTGTTTTTGGTACAGGAAAGCCAGCTCCTCCTGCATCTGCGCGCGATCTTCAAAAGGAACGCCATAGTGTGACTCTCGAGTCTCTGAGTTGCGAATGGCACGATGGAGATTGAATTCTGCTTGGTTGAACTGCTCTGCATCTCGCTTCTCTGCAGCTTGCTCTGCGTACGCTTTGATGTGCGTGTTCAGCATGTCCAGCGGCCAGACGCTCTCATCATCGTCGTCCTCATCATCGTTTTGTAACGAATCGGCGACCAAGGCGTGGCCTGTAAAAGCAGGATCAGCACTGATTGGCACAGATACCTGCCCTGTCGACGGAGTAGCAAGCGCCTCTGGAGGAGTAGAGACAGCAAATGGACTGGCGCTCGTTTGCTCAGCGTCCACGCGTTTGATCCTCTCGGACCTGTCATCTGGAAAGTACTCGGAGGTGTAGTGCTCGTGAATGTCTTCTGCGGTTCGAAGGCACTGCGACAGACTGTCCAGAGCGTCCTCGTTTGGTGGAGTCGGATCTGCGGATGAAGCCTGCTGTCTGTTCTTGAGGGCCCACTCATGGTGCCGATGCATCATCTGCTTCTGGATTCTGTTGCCCTCCTCGACCTCAGCCCCCAACCGCTCGATGGCCTGCAAGAGTTCATTGTGGTTGTTTTCGATGACAGCGCCGGTCCTGGTTTGATCGAAAAGTTGTAGCACAGCAAGCTCCGTGGATAAGACGTGGACTCGGGCTTCAAGTTCGTCGTTGATCCGAGTGATCGATGGTTGACGCAAGGCGATGCGCCACTTGTCCAGGACCGATCTTTTCACTTGATTGTCGAACCCTCCGACTCGTTGTTGGAGTTGATTTACGGTACGTGTGCATGCCTGAACAGAGCCTCTGATCGTTTCCGCAACTTGGGCGCTGACCTGCGCATGACTGCCTGAGGAGGCATCGTGGTCGTCCCTATCTTGCAGCACTGCCTTGACGCTATTGAGGACAGAGTCCAATCGTGTCATTCGTTCCCAGAGCTCAAAGGCGATCTTGTCGGCATCTTTTACTTTCTTGAGGAACTTGCCAGCCTCATACGTGACTTTCAGCAAGTCGAAGACTGCGGCGACGGTTTGCAGTTCTGCCATGGGAGCTTCAATCCACTTTCTGGATCCATGAGGTGGGTATCAAAGCACTGCCAGCGATAGCAGGCTGTGGGAAAGTACACTATAACCAATCCAGTCACACGCGACTGTGTCACTTGACTGCATGCTCCGAGTCTTCCCTGGGCGGCCTCTTTCGCGAAGGAAGCTGGACAGAACTCCGCCACCATGGCTTGAAGATGATCATCGTATTTTGCCCGACTGGCGACATCCCCGGCCAATCCCACACTTCCCCCGTCCAATCACCCCGCAAAATCGCTTGTCTTGCAGCTGCACGGGAGGGATCTTGATCCTACGAGGCATCTGAGGCCACGAACTCCTCTTCTGGTCGTTAGACCAATGAGTCTGGGCTGCAGCAGAATCATGAGGCTGAGTGTCGTGCACAGGATCTTTGCGGAACTCGACCGGCTTCATGGCGAGCTGCACAAAAGGTGAGGCGGCATAGCCTTGTCCTGCACGAGACAAAGAAATTGTTATCGTGATGCAGCTGCGCCTGCGTTGGCGGTAGTTGGCAATATACTGCGCTGCGTGGGATTGTGAAACTGCAAATACCGCGGCAACTCCAGGCAGCCTTGGAGTTCTACAATCGACTCGATTTGATGTCACATGAGTGTTCTTGTATTCGACTATCTCTGCCTGTATCAACTTGTAAGTCATGGAGGCCGATGAAGTACATCAAGTGAATGGGCCTCGAAGACGCTTTGTCGAATCCGATGAAGAGGTAACTATAACGTGCTGGGATACAGAACAATCACTCACTGTAAAGTAGTCCAATTTCGAGACAGACTCGATCGTCGATGCTCCTTGGCGAGCACACATATTCGAAGACAACGACCAGAGGCTGTAGGTCAACGTTCAATGTCTGATCTGAACAGAGCTGACCATGCTCAAGGATCGATAATCCTTTGGCAAACGTTCACCATATCGAGCGTGAGATCAAGAGCTTCGTCAAAGATCATGGCTTCCAGCAGCAGGAAAGCCTCTTCGTCAAGGTATGTTCAATCATCGCCTTCCATTCGAAGATCAGCACTCTACTGGTACAGCCTTGGGCAACTATGATGGAACATTCTGACGACATGAACAGGCAGGACAGATTCTTCGAGACCCTGAGGCGTGGCGAGCTGTCCCGAACCTGACCGACGAAGAAAAGGAGGCCCTGGAGAAGGAGAATCGCAAAGGCTTCTGGAAACAGCCCAAAGAGCTGCGAGTGACTATCATCACTCTCTGCGTTGCTGCCGTTGTGCAAGGCTGGAATCAGGTACAGCATTCAATGGCCAACATCCCCCTCTTAAGACTTGTGCTGACGTCCTGGTTTGCTGGATGAAGACTGCGTCCAATGGAGCCAATCTGAACTGGCCAAGCCAGCTCGGTTTGACTAACGTCGATGGATGTGACCCTACAGGCACTGACGCCTGGATCTTCGCCATTGTCAACGCCATGCCGTACTTCTCCGCCAGTCTCGTGGGTTGCTGGATCTCTGATCCTATCAATGAGTACTTCTTCGGACGACGCCCAGCGATCTGCTTTTCAGGCGTCTTGATCTTAGCGTCTATGATTGGCAGCGCTTGTTCGCAGACATGGCGCCAGCTGCTGGCTTGCCGTGCCCTGCTGGGCATTGGAATGGGTTGCAAGGCCAGCGTGGTCCCAGTCTTCGCTGCTGAAGTTTCCCCTGCACAGTAGGTACCTCCCACTATCAGCACGACAACAGTCCTAACATTTTGCGTCTGCAGCATCCGAGGCTCCTTGACAATGAACTGGCAGCTCATGGATGCCTTCGGAATCTTCTTGGGATTCACAGCGAATCTGGTCGTCTCAGGCGTTGGTCCGACGGCGTGGCGCTGGCAGACGGCATCGAGTGTATTTCCCTGCATCGTCTTGCTATCCCTCATCTACGTCTGTTCGGACTCTCCCCGCTTACTCATGAAAAGAGGCCCTCGACGGTACAAAGACGCATACACCACCTTGCTGTCGCTTCGAGGCCAACCGATCCTGGCAGCCAAGGAGCTGCTTTACGTCCACTACCAAATGGAGGTGGAAAAGCGATACATATCCGGCACGAAACGAGACGCAGACATCGTCAGAGAAGAGCAGATCGTCGAAGCATCCAAGGGCAACACAACTTCCACAAGGACACTCCGCTCTCGCTTCGGAAACACGAGCTCCATCAACTACTTCCAGAAATTCGGCCAGCTCTTCACGAACAAACGGATCCGCAGGGCGACCGTCGCCGCAGTCGTTGTCATGGTCAGCCAGCAACTTTGTGGAGTCAATGTCCTGGCTTTGTACTCCTCCAATATCTTCTGCGAGTCGGGGGAGCAATTGAATGGTAATCTGGCCGATCCGAACTACCTGGAACCCCTTTTCTTGAGCTGGGGGATCGGATTGACGAACTTCCTGTTTGCGTTTCCGGCTTACTGGCTAATTGATAAGCGTGGACGACGATGGTTGCTGCTTGTTGCACTGCCGTTTGTGAGTATACAATGTCAATATTGGTCTTCGGTGTGCTGACGCATGTTCTAGATGGCACTCAGCATGTTGGCGGCGGCCCTGAGCTATCAGATTCCTGGTAACAGTCCTGCACACTCGCCTGTGATTGGACTTTTCACTTACACGTATGTTCACAGCTGGCAGAGGGCTGGGTGGATTTACGCTGATATGACCACTAGCTTCATGGTATTCTACTCGTTCAGTATGGGCCCAGTACCATTCACGATGTCAGCCGAGGTCTTCCCTCTCGAAAACAGAGTTGTGGGCATGAGCTTCGCCGTTTTCTCTAACATGCTCGGTCTCGCACTCTTGACGCTCTTGACGCCAATGTACGTCGATAACACTATAACGTCAGTGAACAAGCTGACTTGTCTCTGTAGAATCACGGTCAAGGTCAGCCACGGCGGCCTCTTAGGCATCTTCGCCGGCCTCAACCTCGTTGCCTTCGTCCTCATCTTCTTCTTCGTTCGCGAGACCTCGGGTGCTACACTCGGCCGCACAGCAGGTAGCATGACATTCATGTCCCTCGAGGAGCTGAACTATGTCTTCGGCGTCTCGACGAAAGCGCATGCCCTTTACCAAACGAAGAAGGTACTTCCTTGGATGTGGAAGTATTACATTCGCCGCGACAAGTCGTCCGATCGACCCGAACAACTATATACATGGGCGAATGCGAGGAAAGCGCAGAAACAGGAAGCGGTTGTGCAACATGAGGAATAAGACTGGTTATCATTGAGAAGGTCATTTTGGGACGTCAGCACGTCTCTATCATTCTATGCAGCCTTCCCGGATCCGATTGAACGCCTTGCAGATAGCAAAATTCGAGAATAGCAGAAAATCAATCTTTGTGGTCGACTCGAACTTCTGGTGTCGCTGTACCTGTCTCGCTCCGGCCTTGTGGGTGGCTTCCGTTGGTGCCGTTCGTTCGCGGTCGGTTCTCCATCAGGCGCAGCAGGTTCCTCATGAGGACCACGATGGTGACTTTGCCAATTGCGGGGACGTAGATGGAGGCTTTCTCTTTGATGTCCGGGTTGAAGTTCTATATGTTGTTAGTGCACGATACTGCCTGCTTGATTTACCCCTGACGTACCTTCTCGCTCGAGAAGTTGATGCAGATGGCACCGTCTCTGACAAGCTCTGTGGGTACCTTGTACTTATCGCCAGGGACGCCACTGATCACAACGTCGCTGATTCGAAGGACGTCCCTCAATGCTAGATCCGGCTTGTCGATGACTTCGTGCTTCTGCTTCTTGAGCCCAGAGCCACGGGTGAACTGCTGCACACCCGTAACATCGACACTGTAGACTTCAGCACCATCATTCGCAAGCAAAGCCGCAAGAGGCCTCCCCACAACCTCACTCCGGTTGATGATCACAATTCTTCGTCCGAAAAGCCGCTTGCCGTAGTCTAGAATGTTATTATAGACCTGCAAGTGCTCCAAGATCTTGATGATGGCGAGCGGCGTGCAAGGCAGGATGGACTTCATGGTGTTAGTCGGAGGGTCCAGGAAGCGGATGTTCTGGTACATGTTGCTGATGAGCTGAGGGGAGAGGCCTTCGATGTCCTTGTACAGGCTGACGGTCCATTGCAGGGTGCGGTCGCGCTGGGAGTTGAAGACGGGGTAGTACACGATGATGCCGTCGATTTCGTCGTCCTTGTTAGCTTGGCGAAGTGCTTCCTCGAGTTCTTCTGCGTTCACTTCGTGGAGGGTGAATTCGATGCCACTTTTGAAAATACAACCCATCAGTTCAGATTCACAAAATCTCACTTTGAGATCAATTTTCTGAGTTTGGATCGCTCACTTGTCCTTGCAAGTCTTCGCCGTCCAGTCTGCATACATGCGACCCGCGGGATCTCGATTCGCCAGAAATCCATGCAACTGAGGCGGTCGTTCCAGAGCCTTGATACCCGCCGCGACCTCCTGCAGCAAGTTCTTGGCGATGTTGTTGGCCAGCACGACTTTGCACAGAGGCTGCGGCGCGGCCATGTTGAATGGAGACTCGTAGGAGAAGGAGCGGGACTGGTGAAGAGGTCGACGGGGGACGGCGAGGGTGCTCTTTTTGCGGTTGGGGGTTGTGGACTGCATCTTGGGCGATTGTTCACTGCCGTCAAATATAGCGGTTTGCTAGTGTCGAAGCTAAAATTTTCTAGGTTCCTTCACGGGGAGTCACTTTGCTGGAAGGAAGGACGACGAAACTTGGGGGTTGCTCTTGCTATGTTCGCTGGTCTTATCACTGCGTGCTACATGCCTCTTGATCGTAGTACATTTGGAACGCTGTGAAGCATTGCGAGTTGATCTCTCCGCCGCATTGAAGCGAGGACATGCTCGGTCGTTGCTTGCCTCTACTTTTGAAGCTATGTCATTGCCACGTGGGAGCGCCACATCAACGCCACACCTCTCACAATCGTGATAATGCCCTCGATTCGCACATGGTGATGTGATGCGTGATAAGTATGTACATTCGTGTCTGTGGAGAGCACGGCGGGGCCGGCTTTGTTGCAGTCTCATGTGTTGGAGGGCAGCCATCGCATTGGTCTGCGAAAAAGTCCTGAAGCAGAGGCATTCAACACGTTCAATTCCGAACTCCGAATCCTCACCAAGTCTTCAGCTGCAGCGTATCCCACCAGCGCTTTGTCTGCGCCAGCATGCTCACTGGAGAACTTAGCCGATGATGGCACTATGAGCTAGACTTCATGTGCTGAGCGCACAGGAACTAGGCATCCTCCTTCGTAGAACGTTGCAATCTGCAACCGAGTGCCTCGACGCCGAAGCGGAGCTGATCTCGATGCTCTCGTCATGTGCATGTCGTCTATCTTGGGCCTGGAAAGTGACCAGGCTCGTCAATGAGTACCCTTCAGGCAGACAGCAGATGTCGGCGCTCGGTTGCGCTCGAATGTTACGTCGTCATAGCTATAAAGGACGCTCGCGAAGCCTTCTCGACACATTGAATGTTCTGGCAATTGCAAGATACCCGTCCACACTCTCGACGTCTGGTGGATCATTCTGCTGTGTAACAAGCCTTTGGGTCACCATGACTTCGCGATCCTCGAAAAACTCCATGGGCTCACTGGTCGAAGACCATCAAACTTCATCGAAGAGATGCGACTCTCGGACGCCCTGTGAGAGTAAGCAGAGGTCTCCACTCAGACAGATCATCGACAAGGCCAGAAGAAAAGCTTGGGGGGAAGAGATACTTGCTGGCGACGAGACAAAATTTGCGAGAATGAAAGCCAAAGAGGTTGAGAAACAGAAAAAGAGAGAAGAGTATGAAAGACTTGGTTTAGGGGACAGAACCAAATTGGGTACGAAAGTTGGTTTCTTATCGTGAGCATGTGAAAGACGGTCGTTGACAAGACTTGTGTTGCCAGGGATGCAAGGTGCTGGCCAGTGGAATGGTTGAAGAGGCGAATGGCGGCCAGTGAATTGGCGACAAGGCTGCAAAGGTTGGTGAAAGTCAGATAACAGATGAAACGAGGGTCACTGGTACCAACATCCAATAGACTCAAAAAGCATACGCGCTTCTCGTATGGCGCAAGTCGGGTCGCGGCAAGGTGAGAAGTCGTCCACAATGTCGGATGGTAGGCCTTTGAATGTGTACACAGCTGTTCCGTAATTTAGAGCGAAATACCAAACCCCCATTGGCATACGCACAGCATCTGATTGTAGCTCTGTTGAAGATCGTCCGAGTCTGCGATTCGGTCTCCGACTACGCGATAGCCAAGGGTCCTCAGTGCAGCCGAGAAGTTCTGACAGGGTTCTTATTATTGGTTGCTGACAGGGAGGATTCTGACGCAGGACGCAGGAAGCCTCGACACGTTGTTGTAGCTGCACTAATTGGCGCTCGTCGGAACTTCGTGAGAGCCGTCAGCTGCGGAAGTGCCGGCCAGCAAAGATTGACATGTTTTGACCTCCATTAGAGGTGGCTCAGAGCTGACGAACGATCCCTTATGATGTTCTTCGCGAGCCTTGGGGGACTGGGTCCAGGAAGCCGTGTACAGCCGTTTGCTCGAGCGTGATCAAGCAGATATGCGCTGTAGTCTGACCATCCGGAGAGCTCGCAGAGGTGGCAGCATGTTGCTTGACGCTTGTTGCTTGTCAACTAGGATGGCGTACGATGTCGCGCCACGGTTTCAAAACATGGTCGAAATGCTTGTTGTCCGTCATTGCGATGTCAACAAGTGCCAGTGACTCACTGCTGCGAGGCAATACGCATTGAGGACGACGTGCGCGCGTGTTGACGGTGCCGAGCGCCGAGATAAACAATGAAAAAGGTACACGTGTAGGCGATGCAGTGACAACAACAACGCGAGAGCAGCAGCTGGCGAGGTCTTTGTTAAACTTCAGAGTTCAAGGGTTCTTGTTCCGGTCCCGTTGCAAGGATCTAGCGGCACCAGATGCCACGACCCCACTCGCTTAGTAGGCCCTAGCAATTAGCGGGCTCACATCTACGCGCTTGCTTCACACCGTGCTGTCACTCACTCACTTCACCTTCGCTACCACCTCCACCTCGCCCACCGCTTCCACTCTCCGTTGCATGACCGCTTCCCACGACGCTGGCCGTACCCGTCGGTCACTTGTGCCTACCGCTTGTTGTCTTGTCGCCGACGACCGCTGAACCAGGAGACGTGCCGCTCGAGTTTGTGTGAACCTCCACTCGACCAGTCTACCTCCCATCTGGTCCGCGGTCACCATGGGCAAGTTGGCATAGTGGTCCACTGGGGTGCCGCTCGGCGTGCTCCCAACGCTCGCCAATTGAGCCACGAGACAAGACGAATTCGCCATGTCCGAGTCCACGGGAGGTCCACCTCCCCCGATGCTGGCTCCGCCGGCAGTGATGGCATTGAAAGATACGGCTACCGGCGACAATACCGATAAAGGGCAAATGTTGAGAACGATCAGTATGGATATTCGCGAGGAGCGTGAGGATCTCAAAAAGGCTGCAGAAGAGTCCTTGAACGCTATTCTGGAACTCGACCTCGAAGGCAATGTGAGATGGGTCAGTCCCTCGTGGCAGGACGTAGCCGGCAGCCCTGCGGACAGCGTGCTGGGCAAGCCGATTGCCGATTTTGTCGTCGACCAACCCACAGTCTTTGCCGATTGCGTTGAGGCTATGCGCAAGGACGACTCCAAGAGCCACTTCGTCCGCTTCACAATCAAGGCGGGTACAACCGTTGACTCTGAGGATGCCTTCTCTGCGGACGACAAGACGCCAGTGGAGCCTAAAGCGGGGTTGGAGACAATGCCAGAACCTGGACAGGAACAGACAGACAAATGTCAGCCGGCTGAAAGTGAGCAAACGGTTGATTTGGAGGGTCAAGGTATCATGGTGTACGATCGGACGACTGGGCAGGAGAGTCACACCATGTGGATGGTGAAGCCGGCAGTGTCGCGTGAGATCACCATCGATCTCCCGCAAGTGCTCGTGGACTCTCTTGGCATTGGCGCGGAGATGCTCGCCAACTATCTCACCTTGCTGGCCGACGTGGGAGTGTACGACCCCGGAAACCATCCACCACCGTTACCAGTCCTTTGTCGCATCTGCGAGCGCCAGATCACGCCTTGGTGGTTTGAGAAACATACGGAGCTGTGCTCACAGGAACATCGAGCCGAGATGGAAGTGCAAATGGCACAGGAATCTCTGAATGAGCAGCGCTCGGCACTCGTCAAGGTGCTTGACGTTTTGGAGTCGCAGGCAAATCTAGCGAAGAGGTCTGGATCGGACGCTGGGTCGCCAGCACCCTTCCCCAAGGCAGAGTACAAGGGATTACCAATCGGGCCGAACTCCGCACCCTCATCCAGTCCGTCTTCTGGACGTTCAACACCTTCTGCTCATGTGCCACGATCACGGGACTCATCAGCAAGTGGATTCAGCCATCAGAGGGCAAGATCATTCGCGGTTCGGCGACCTCTTGCGCGGATCGTGGAGCTGGTTCTCGACCTCTGCGATACAGCGATGGAGATCAGCACCCCATCCATCAAAGACACCCGGGGCTACGCTCCAGGGGAGTTGAGAACGCAGTCGCCTCAGTCTGAGGGTCGGATTCAGCAAGTCATGCAGTGGCAATCACCGAGTGCCGGATCGCTCGAGAACGAGACTGGTCTTTCCTTGCTCTGTGATGACACTTCATCGTTGGCCAGAACCAAAGTCGAGGCCGTTTTTCGCCATCGTCGGATCTTGGAATACTCTGAACGCATTCGTATCGAGTACGACATATTGGTTCAGGAATGCATCGAAGCAGCTCTGCAGAAAGCGGCAAGGATCGCAGCAGGTGACATGAGCGACTCCAGTTCAACTGAAGACTCGGCAAGTTACGAGGCGTCCGTACAGGAGCAGTCTCAAGAACACGCCACCGCGGCTATAACCGAGCAGACAGAGCAAGTCAGCGCAGAAGAAATGTTTAGCATGTCTTCTTTCAGATCCCATGGCAGTCCCTCTGCCATGGCGATGGCTCTACGCAACTCGTCTGATCCGCTTCAGCGCAGACCATCCTCGGCGGAATCATCTCGAGCGAGCAGTCCTCGCGGCGCGACCACACCAAAATCGTACACGGCTCCGACAGAACCGTTCCCACTCCACAAACGCGGATCGATTGCTCTCGAGAGTGATGCTGGAATGGAAAGTGATAGCAGTATGCGCTCGTCCATTGCCAGCGGCAGCCATCGACGTGCCGATTCTCCTGGCGCCGAGCTGAGTCTCAGTCGCGTTGCAAGTACCAGATCTCGCGACCGGAAACGGCAGAGTCTGGTTCTACCCAGCCTCACCAACAACGGACGACACCAGTCTCCGGGACGAGGACCACCTGCTCCATCGTCTCCCTTGCGCATGGCGAAGCCCAGGCTACCAAGCGGCACCGACAGTAATCCTTCCCCAGTCACGTCGCCTATTCTGACCCAGAGCGAGTTCAATTCACCGGTCATAAGGGCCCAACACCACCACAATCATCATCGACGACAGTCGTCTGCGGCACTGTCCGAAGCTCTGGGCCGGCCAGCATCCCCTCGCCTTAGCGCTGTCATCAGCAATCCACAGCCGAAAGCGGTGCAAACTTCCATCAAAGACTTTGAGATCATCAAGCCTATCAGCAAGGGCGCTTTCGGCAGTGTGTACCTCTCCAAGAAGAAGTCAACTGGCGACTACTACGCCATAAAGGTGCTCAAGAAGGCCGACATGGTCGCCAAGAATCAAGTCACCAACGTGAAAGCTGAGCGAGCAATCATGATGTGGCAAGGGGAGAGCGACTTTGTCGCGAAACTGTATTGGACTTTCTCGAGTAAGGAGTACCTGTACCTGGTCATGGAGTATTTGAACGGCGGCGATTGTGCGTCGTTGATCAAGGTGCTTGGAGCTCTTCCCGAGGACTGGACGAAGAAATACATTGGAGAGGTGGTGCTGTGTGTCCAGCATTTGCACAGCAGACAAATCATCCATCGTGACCTGAAACCCGACAACTTGCTTATTGATGCCAAAGGTCATCTCAAGCTCACCGATTTTGGACTATCTCGAATGGGTCTCATCGGACGCCAGAAGCGAGCCATCAATGCCAAGCCAGGAGATGTACCACCGGATCTCCTTCAGGCCGGTCCGTTTCGTCGTGCGCCTTCCGTCACGTCCTCACGCTCCACATCATTCGATTACCAAGGTCTCAACCATTCGCCAGCCCAGACCCCGGCCCTGACCCCGGCCATCATCAATAGCGACATGAACCAGCCGTCCTATTTCAGTCTGTATCGTGAGAGCTCCCGTGAGCCCTCGCGCCGTACGTCAGGACACCGCAGTGACAGCGGCGATAGCGATGCATTAGCGGCGATGTTCAGACGCTTTTCTGTGGCCGACGGTAGAACGCCAATCGAAGAAGAGACCGGCAGCGAGGAGGGAGGCGACTCACCCGATCCTTACGCGCTACAACCTATTGTGAGCCATGCAAGCACGACCAGAACAGAGACGCCACCTCAACCGTCAAACATGCCCCCGCCAATGATGGCGCTGTTCGACCCTGAGGATAACACCCGCCGCTTTGTAGGGACACCCGATTACCTTGCCCCCGAGACTATTAATGGCGCTGGTCAGGACGAGATGAGTGATTGGTGGTCACTTGGTTGTATTCTGTTCGAATGTCTTTACGGCAGGCCACCATTCAACGCGGATACGCCGGAGGAAGTCTTCCAGAACATCTTGGCGCGGAACATCCAATGGCCAACTGAAGACGAAGAAGACCCCGTCTCAGAGGAAGCCAAGGACCTTATGAACAAGCTAATGTGTCTCGACCCTCAAGAACGACTCGGTTCGAATCAAGATGGCACGTACGACAACGGTGGCGAGGAAATCAAAGCGCATCCGTGGTTTGCTGATATCAACTGGGAGACACTCCGCGAAGACGAGGCCTCTTTCATACCAGCCAGCGAGAACCCAGAAGACACGGAGTATTTTGACTCGCGAGGTGCAACGATGCAGAGCTTTGCTGCAGAGTTTGAAGACCAGTCTTCGTCGCCAGCACAGACTCCTGGCGCGGACTACCCAGACCGACCCCACGATGCACTGTCGCGGGTTAGAAACCAGGTCAACTCTGTCAAGCGCAATCTTATGCCCTTACACATCCCGCCTCATGTGCGTGATGGACGATCACGACGATTGAGTGAGCCCGTTGGTGGAGACGACTTTGGCAATTTTCAATTCAAGAATCTGCCGGTGTTGGAGAAGGCGAATAAAGACGTTATCCAAAAGCTGCGCGCGGATGCTATGCAAGCGCAGGCGAAGACAGCGACTGGACAATCTACGCCGCAATCTGCAGCTGTCTCCCCGTCTCCAGGGCCTTCGCTAGAGTCCAGTCCAGTGGTCTCGGGGTCTCTCAAGCGCACACTGTCGACCAACAAAGGTTCAACAAGGCCGCAGTCACCGTCTGTCCTCAGCCAAACCAACTCTTCACCAAGCCGTGGATCGCAGCCATCGTCTCCGCTTCTGGTTTCCTTTAGCACCGGACAGAATCAGGAACGCCGTAAGACTTCCAGCGGATCATCTAACTTGTCCCAAACGAACAGCAATTCTTTGCAACCTGGCAACTTCTTTGAACAAGCTCCGAAGTTGCCGGTGACTTTCAAAACATCGACGACCGCACCCTCTCCCGTGAAGCCGAGCAAGAGTGGATCCGTTCACATACCGATGCATCATGAGAGAGCAGCATCGACAAGTAGGCAAGCCAGCATCGGCTCCCCTAGGCAACGATCGCAGACCCTGGGTTCTACAGATCAAGACGGCGATCTTGTACCTGCGCTCATACCTGCTCAGCATCAAAAGCGTAGAAGCGGTGTGTTTGATGTGTCTCCCTCTTCTTCTGACAACGAAGAGAGCAGACATCAGGCGGCGCTTTTAAGAGTACAACGACGTCGGCAAAGCTCTCGCAGGTATTCTCAGATCAGTCTCACAGACGGGCCCAGCTTTCGCACATTGGATGTCCTCGTCTGCGAAGACCATCCTGTGTCGAGGCTCGTGATGGAGCGTCTGCTGGAGAAGTTGCGATGCCGCACGATCTCTGTCACTAACGGTTCCGAGGCGATGCGCTACGCAATGAGCGAAGTCAAGTTCGACATCATCATGATGGAGTACAAGCTGCCTCACGTGAACGGTGCTGATGTTGCCCGCATGATCCGAGATACCAAGAACGCCAACTCTCACACGCCGATTGTCGCAGTGACCGGCTATCTCAAAGAGCTTCAAGCGCCTCATCATTTCGATGCGCTTGTGGAAAAGCCGCCAACAAAGGAGAAGCTAGAAGAGGTGATGGGTCGCTTGTGCCAGTGGAGGACGCCCCCAGAAGGATGGAAGCCAACGCCGACGCCCCCTCAGACAATATCACAATCCAAGTTGCGAAAGGAGTCGACCACTACTGATGATAGCCCCACGACCACGTCATCGATGGGACCTTTCAGCAATAGTAGCCAACAGCCGAGCAGGGAAGACTCGCTCACTTCCGGGTCGATTGGCGAGACGGACAGCAGCATCTATGATCCTATTCCAGTGATAATCAGTCGGCAGCCCACGAATGAGAAGATGGAAGACCTCGAGCGCCATCTTGGAGGCTTGGGGATTTCCAACACTGTCAGTGCTGACCATGCAGGTGCCAAGCAACAAACCCTCTCAGTTGGCAGTCCACCACGTTTGGAACAGCATGAATCCGCACCAGCTGCGCTTGAGACTGAGCCAACGGGACCGCGAAAGCGCCCTTCGAATGAGGAAATCCAAGCCAAGCGTCGGTCATTGGAGAAAGGACGGCAAGAGTCGGCGGCTGAGAGTGGCGACGATGAAGACGAAGAGCTTGGACTGTTCAAAGGGCGACAGCGTTCTCCTAAGAGGCACGTGAAACGCAGTTCGAAACTTGGCACTGAGATGATGCGAACGAATAGCCAAGGAAGCGTGATCTCTACTGACGAGCTGGTGTCTCCTCGCATGCCATCCAACACCAGTGCCGCTGATTCGGAGAATGTCATTGTCGAAGAGTCTGCCCGAGAGGTCGAAGCCAGCGGCAAGTTGACACCGCCTGAAGTCTTCACGCAGCCCGGCGATCAGGTCGAGGTCATTGATATGGCGCTAGCCCCCGAGGACAGCGAAGCAACGCCAAAGCCTCATCATACAACCGACCCCGATCCTGACCCAACGCCGCGGCCAGCTTCACGGCAGGATTGATCCCATACCCAAGCAAGATTTTTGGATCGGGCGAGAGTTGCATACACCGCCGTCACAACAACTATCATTCCCTTTGTTTTGAAACAAGAAACACATCACTACCGACGCATTACGACCGCGACACGTACATCTTTTTTGGAATTTTTGCTTGCGTTGCTGCTTGTTTCCCCCGAAGCGATTGATTCTGAGCAAGGTGTTGGAGGAGTTTTTGAAAAATGTCGAAGGATGGATCCATCAGCGACAATCCAGGTGAAATTGTCGAAGGGCTTTTTTGTATTGTTTTCTTACTATGATGGGGCTGGATCATACGCAGGCAGACACACACTCTTCATTCACTTTTTGTTGTTTTTTGGATGGATGAAATTGATACTATGGTCTGTTTCCAAAATGAGGTGGGATGGATGGGGGCCTGTGGCTTCTTCGGGCAGACACGTGGGCAGGAGTGAAGATGAAGTGTTGAAGCACCTGTAGCAGGCCGGCCAGTGGATGGACCAAAAAAAGGGAAACAAATGGAGAGGCAATGTAGCATGTAGCGCATACGGGGTCAAATTCTGGTTGACTGAGACCATGCAACAACACGCACAAAGTCTTTTTTTCGTAGTCTTTGAATCTGCTTCATACTCATTCGTATGTCTGATGCTTGATATCTCAAGCTGTCTCAATCTTGCTTCCACGGACTAAACCAACCAACGCCTTCGCTAAAACCTTCATAAACTTTTTTTTTGTCGTGTCGAGTCATCTGCTCTGTGATGGACTGGATGAGGATTTCCATCCACGTTGCGCCTATGCTGCCCGAGTTGAGAGTCGCAATTCCAAGCCATAGTATCCCGAGAGATCGGGTCTGACAATGCAGCCTCGAGGCTCTTCCTGCAGAGCACACGGTCTGAACCACTTTCTCTTCATCAGCCATGCCACCCTCGAGATTCACTGACCGCAGCAGGAATACTCTACGAAGCCGACCGACTATTGGAAATCGCGCAGCGCGGATATGTGCTTCAGGACCTCTTCGAGTTCTTCATCGCCAATCTTGCCTTCGAGCGAGGGGATGAGAGTGCGGGCTTCTTCTGAGGTATCGCAGCAGAGAGTCGCTATTTCATCAATCACATGTCAGCTTTTTTGTCCCCCTCTATCCACGTGCATACCCCCAGCACGACCTACCTAGTTGTGCGCGCTCATACTGCGTAATGCCCAAATCCCTCTCCGTCAGCTCCGTGCTGATCTGGTTGACCTGCTGGATGGTGTTCGAGTCCTTGAAGCGCGCAAACTCGCGGCAGTAGTCCCGCGTCTTGTAGTAGATCTCGGTGTGGTTGGGGTTGCCGCGCGCTTTCTCGAGCTGGTCCAGCATCAGGGTGACTTCGGCCGGGGAGAGGGCTTGTTCGCCGGTCATGTCGCCGAGCTTGAGGCGGTTGGTGGCTTCTTCTTCGCCTTGGGGCGGTGGGCGGCGGCGCGAGGTGGGTGCAGGGAGGGTTTTTGTTGCGGGCGCGGAGGGGTTTTGGGGGCCGGCCATGGTTGCGGTTGGTGAGGGAGGCGATGTTGTGAGTGGTGTTGTTGATGATGGTGGAGTATGTTGTTGGAGAGTGAGGTGGTTGCGACTTGCGATGTGATTCGGCGGGTGGGTTAAGATTGTGGTAGATTGGATGGGGTGTGGTTTGGGTTCATGGAGATGGGGTCGCGTGCGCGCTTAAAGCTTAATCAAAATACGAGCGATGGATCATGGGACGGGGGAAGTGCCTGAGGTGCAGCAGCAGGAATACTAATCAACTGTTCAGTCTGCTGGTGAATATGGGCGACTGAAGGTGAAGTTGGTCAAAGGCTGGGTGGACGCTTTCGGTCACATGCGAGAGTTGAATCAATGAAATGGAATAATGAATGTTGTTGATTGACTTGATTGACTGCGCTAATGGTTAATTGGATGTGGAGTGCGGACAGCCAGAAAGATCGGAGAATTCGACGCCATCGTTGATTTGGGCCAGCAGTAGTACGGCGACGAGAGAGAGGCTCGCCGAGGAGAAGCGGCAGGAGAGAGGAGAGTGCGGTGCGGTGTCAAGGCTGAAGACGACCAGGCATCTCTGCGTGTTGCTGCTATTCTGCTCGCCAACACGAACGTCTTCGGGATGTGCACTGCCTGAATAGCACCCTGCCCTCTACCTCATAGCAACAGCTTGGCGCGCTGGTCAGTGAGCCGCCCATCGCATCGCATCGGCCACCAGCACCAACTCCCCAACCTACACCGCACCCATCGCCGACCGCTGCATTCCTGGGCCCGTCGCCGCCAACACATCACCCTCTGCGTTGTCGCCGCACTCGCAGGCCCGCCTCATCGGCAGCAGTGCGCGGCGGAGGAGGAGACGACGCTACTCCTGGGCCTCTGCAGCGAGGGAGGCGTTTCATATTGCCCGCTCGCGACCAGGGCGTCACCAACCCAGCCCATCGCGGCCTTGCGCTGCGCATCCAACTTGTCGTCGCCGCTGCTGTGGATGCCGCTTCCATTGCACCTCCGAGACGTAGGCTAGCCGTCCGCCACCACGCCCACTACCGCCACCGCAACACACACTCTCCCTCCATCTTCTCCCACAACCACCGACACGCTTTCCCGGCCGTGGCCCCGGTGCCGCTCTTTACCCGCCGAATCACCGCCCTGTCCAGCACCTCGCACCTCGCCCTGCACAACCCACACTGCGCGCGCCGACGACTGCATCTTGCGCGCGACACTCCCCTCAGAGCCAGCGCCGCCTAGCGGAGCCCTGGCATGGCTGTGCCATCGGACGACAGACCGCCCGGCGCGGTCAAGCAGACTTTCTACGACGACAGCCAGTCTGCTTCGCAGGACCCGGCACCTCTAGCTAATGGACAGGCCAATCTCTCCCTCAGACCGCACGACCAGGCCGAATCTTCAGCCCTGTCACCCACTTCATACGACCGATCACGGCCTTCGGTAGACAACCCAAATGAAGGGGGAAGCAAAGAGCGATCCAAGTCGAATGGGAGGAGGCCCAGCGGACAGCAGAGAGTATGCGGTAAGTGTCAGAGACATCTGACAGGACAGTTCGTGCGGGCGTTGGGGGATACATATCATCTGGAATGCTTCACGTGTCATGTAAGTGCTTCCCATTATCACTGTGTAGGCTGGGCGGCTCAAGAACTGACATGCGCCTAGGACTGTGGCAAGATTGTGGCCTCCAAGTTCTTCCCTGTACCCGACCAGCCGCCGAATCAATATCCCCTCTGCGAAACCGACTACTTCAAGAGACTGGACCTTCTCTGTTACGCTTGTGGAGGTGCATTGCGAGGATCATACATCACGGCGCTGGACCGCAAATACCATATCGAACACTTCACCTGTTCCGTTTGTCCGACCGTCTTCGGCGCGCAGGATTCATACTACGAACATGAAGGAAGTGTGTACTGTCATTTCCACTACTCCACCAAATTCGCGCAGAAATGCAACGGATGCCAGACCGCCATTCTAAAGCAGTTTGTGGAGATCTTCCGAAATGGCGTCAACCAACACTGGCATCCAGAATGCTACATGATTCACAAGTACTGGAACGTCCGTCTACACGCGTCGCCGCCAAAAGGGTCAGAAGAAGAAGCTGCGCTCGAGAGGCTGAGGTTGGAACAAGAGAAAAACGAAGGTGATGCCAGCGAAGACGAGCGAAGAGTTGTGCGGAATGAAGAAGAAGCAGTTGAATACAAGGTTCACTGGATATGGCACACACTCTCAACTTTTGAAGAACGATCAGCCACCTGCATCTCGGACATGTTGTTACACGTTAGTAATGGCGCATACATGGACGGGGTGGTGGCGGCTAAGAAGTTCATCACACACGTGGATCTGTTGTTTGGCGCTGCGGACGACCTCGACCACCGGTTGCAAGTACGGCCGAACAAGAATGCGGAAAAGGGTGTGAGGACGTTTGAAGCTATTGTGCACCCAGGCTTGAGCTACAGCAGAGAGGCGAAGCTGTTGTGCAAGAAGGTGGTTGCATTCTTCCAGCTGCTGGCAGAGAACCAAGATAATGGTGTTCGAAGGCTGGGTGTCACCCAAGAACTGCTATCTCTGGTTACTGGACTCGCACATTATCTCAAGCTCATGATTCGGATATGTCTTTCGGGCGCACTCAAGCTTGAGCGGGAGACGTCGAGCGCCGAAGGTCTGGAGAGTTTCCTTGAAGACATCAGCAAACTGGACGATCGCCTCGATGCCGAAAGCCAGCGAGACTCACGGGCCGAAGCGGATATCTACGTCGACAAGAGCGCAGATACGTGCGTAGTCTGCAGCAAGGCTGTGGAGGACAAGTGCTACCGACGCGAGAACCGAGTACTGCATACACAATGTATGTGCTGCGCGAAATGTGGCAGAGACTTCAGCGACGATCCAGGAGATGCACGGTGGAGTGAGCAAACCCAACGGGTGTGGTGCTCTACCCATGCGCCATCTGATGCCCGAGCTGGAGGCTTCATTCCAGTGACAAGACTGCAGCAATACGTTCACCTCTTACGCGTGGCCCATGCAAGACTGCTAGCTACGTTGAGGACCAGCGGCGCTTTACCACATACAAGTGACGACCCTAACTTGACCGGTTACAATTCACGAGAAGGCCACACATCGGGAAGCGAGGACCAGCCACCTCTACTGCGGTCGAACACGAGGTCAAGATCTTATGCTGGGAGGTCTGGAGCACAACGAGCACATGGCGACACAAGCTATGAGGACACGATGGGCGATATTCGTCGCTTGAGGAGCACGAGAATGGATAAGCACCTTTCTAATGCCACCCGAAAAGCACGTACGTCGAGGATAATTGATGGTCCAGAAGGGATGCGGCCTGGCTCCGCAGACGGCAAAGACCACAATCGCAGGAGGACGAGTACTTTCCAGATTGTTGAGGACCGAGATGCAAATGGTGAAGCCGTCACGCATCTGGCATTCGGTAAGAACGATGCCATGACGTTGGACGACATCCCCAGGATAGTTCAAGCACAGCAGACGCGAGAACAACGGCCGAATGCATCGCGGTTCGCCCGATCGCCAATGTTACCGCAAGAGCCAGTACCACGACTCGTCAATGGCCACATGCGAGATGCTTCAGGCGACGCGACAGACAAGTTGGAGGCTAGACCGCCTGGAACGAAGAAGTACTTCTCAGAGCTCACAGCACTTGAGTACTTCATCGTGAGGCATGTTGCCGTGCTTTCGATGGAGCCACTGCTAGAAGGCCACTTCAATCAAGAAGAACTCCTTGACTTGATTGAGACGAAGCGACCCACGTTCTGGAGCAAGTTCGGCAAGGCTTTCCAGGGCAACAAAGACAAGAAGGATAAGCGACCCAAGAACGCCATCTTCGGTATACCCCTCGAGCAGCTCATCGAACGCGACTACGAAGAGAGCACGGACGGCGTCGGCCCAGGATCACTCAAAATTCCGTCACTGGTGCAAGAATGTATCACGGCAATGAGGACTATGGACATGTCTGTCGAGGGTGTCTTCCGTAAGAACGGGAACATCAAGCGACTCAACGATGTGAAGGAGGAAATCGACACCAAGGGCGCTGTCGACGTCGACCTTTCCAAGGAGAATCCAGTCCAGGTTGCGGCGTTGCTGAAGAAGTTCCTCCGCGAGCTGCCCGATCCTCTGCTCACCCACAAGCTGCACAATTTGTGGGTGGCATCACAGAAGATTGAGGAGAGTGACCGAAGGCGGCGAGTATTGCACTTAACCTGCTGTCTCCTGCCTAAAGCACACCGAGATACCATGGAGGTGCTCTTCACATTCTTGAACTGGGTCTCCAGTTTCAGCCATGTCGATGAAGAAAGCGGCAGCAAGATGGACATTCACAACTTGGCTACCGTCATTACTCCCAACATTTTGCATCGTGGCAAGGAGAACGTGCCCGTGGACGACAGCTTCTTGGCCATTGAAGCCGTGCACAGCTTGATCGAGTGTAACGAGAGCATGTGCGAGGTATGTTGACTTCGTAGAACAGTTCAAGCGAGACTACTTTGCTAACTATTTGTGCAGGTACCTGAAGATCTAGCATTGATCCTCAACGACTCCTCGCTGTTCAGCAAGGACGCGGATATCACCACCAAGGAGATCCTCAAGCGATACGGTGACCGCGCAAAGGCTCCCACAGTCAACAACAGCCAAGGCCCCAACGTTGTGGCCGCCAACGGCACAACCTCACCCCAAGGTGCTGCGCCTGTCGTGACCAGAGTAGACACCGACCCGCACCAACAGACCGCCTGGCAAAACGAGAGTTCTGTCCGCCACGTGGGCGGCGATCCCATGACACCGCCAACGCTGCCCTATGTCAACCCCAGTGCAAACACAGAATCGCACGGCAGCCCGAACCGGGGCAGCATGCGCTCTGGAGTCTACGACAAGCAACGAGCCATGGGCATGACATGATAGACGAGGAAGAAGGCGACCTCCTCGCACATCAACCCGATACACTGTTCTTGGTTACACCAAGCTCTTGTTTTCTGTTTTTGCTGCTTTCGATATCCCGCGCAAGTACGACGAATGCTTTTTTGCGCTTGCTTGCTTGCTTGCATCTGAACCGCATGACGAAGGGAGCGGTACAAGGCGTTGTTGTTGTTCGGCGACGGGACTGCCACGGCAGATCTGCCCAGTCGCGACCGTTATTGTTAGGTCGACGGAGAACGGAGGGCGTGGAATATTGTGTTTTTCTTTTGTGTCAAGGCGCGAAAGGGAGTCGAGAAAGATGAATGGGATGGAAGGCAGCAGTCCTAGGACGGACGCTCACATCGTGGTGAAGAGGGGACGGGAAGTTTTCGATCTACGGATCTGACTAGTGACTGGAATGGGGTCCAAAAATCGGGCATAGGCGTCTTCAAAGGGAGATGGATGGATGGATGGATGGATAGTAGCCGGATGGAACCAGGTGTACTAGTGCGACGTCCAAGAAAGGGAACAATTGAAAAGGCTACATACCGTTCGTTCGTTCGTTCGTTCGTTCCCTGGCGAGGACGATGATGATACTGTCTCCAAGTCAAATTCACTCACTCACTTTCCTCCACGACTGTATAGTGTCACCATGCATGTCAACCTACATATCATATCATGTCGTGCCTGCTGTCTGGTCCAGACCCCATATGTCACAACAGATGTGGAGAGGAGCAGCATGTGGTGTACCTATCTGTACCTGCATATCTTTGACCGCCCCCATGAAAAAAGAAGCCCGTCCATGCATATCTATGTCATGCAAGATAAGATACACTGCAGGGACGAGATAGGCGATACGAAAAGTGAGTCACGACGTCACTTCATCCACCCAGCTATTTCTCCATCTCCATCAACTCACATATCATATGTGCTCTACATGCCAGTGAGAGTGAGGTTTTGGAGAGGGTCATCATTGTTGTTCGTGGTTCTGCTACCTGGGTGCTCCACCTCCACCTGTTCCCGTCTACCTTGTCTTGTGCTGGTTCCTTTGTCACAGCCTTGTGGATACCCGTCCACGCGTCGGTTTCTTCACACGGACGGACTGTCGAGGTCCTTTGACCATGGTGCGACAAGTCTCGAATGTTAATGGCGACTTCACGTTTTTGTTCTTCTTCTTCTTCTTCTTCCTCTTACCTCTCCCATCGACATCTTCAGTCAAGATTCCTTGATACGTACCGGCAACGAGTCAGCACTTACAAAAGACCGGTGAGACTGCAACATGTCGATGTTCAGAATCAGAACACGCAAATTAGATACAGCTACTTAATGTATCAAGAAGCAGTAAGTACCGTCTTGCCTGAACAAAACACAAGCACACTACTCACGGCCCGACCTTGGCAGGAACCGCAAGGAAGATATAAGTAAGAAGAACCATAAGCCATTGTCGCATTTGTCGTTGTTCTTTGTCGACCATGTGTAAATGCGCCCAACCTGACAACCTTTTTCCCACCCGAGCCGTCCCACCGATACAACGCCAACGCAGAAAATGCCAATCACATCGGATTCGATGACAATATACTTGTTGTTGGACATTTATGCGAAGACAGCGGCGGCGACGGCACCGAAGACGAGCGCGACAACGCTGCCACCGGTGGTCATCATGGCAGCACCGCCAGTGGACGAGGCAGCGGCGGAGCCGGTCTGCGAGCCCTGGAAGCCAGCGCCGGCGCCGGTGGACTGCGAGCCGCTGCCACCAGTGGCGGAAGCAGAAGACGAGGCAGCGGTGGTGCGGGACAGGGTTGGGCGGGACAGAGTGGTGTTACGGGTGATGGGGTAGCCAGTGCCAACAGAGCCGGTTCCAGTCAAGATGGTGGTAGCATTGTGCAGAGCAGAGGTGATGACAATGGAGGAGCTGTGGCTTGGGTAGCCGCTGGCAGAGTGCGAGGCAGAGCTGGTGACAGATGCGGAGGCAGATGAAGAAGAGGCAGAAGCAGAGCCACCGGTGAGGGTGAATGGGCCGTAGTAGTTGGTCTCAGAGCCCTGGGTGATCTCAAGGGCGTAGTCGGAGCCGCTGGCGAGGCTGGTGGATGGGGTCCAGGTGTACTTGCCGCCCGTCGCGGAGGCTGCAGCAGGTTAGTGATCGTTCACTTTGGATGCGAACGATCGATGTGCGACTTACAGGTCAGGGTAGAGACGGTCTGGAGGTTGCCACTCGCGCCCTTGCGGAGGGTGATGGTCACTGGCTGGGCAGATTGTAAGTGTGCGCTCTTCTCCCTCCGATCCTCTCTTGTAACATACCGAGTTCAGATCGGTGGCCTTGTATTCGATGGCCTCAGGCTGGCCAGCGGCGATGGTGCTAGGCACACTGGTGAAGCCGAGAGAGGCAGACTGAGCAGCAGCGAGCGCGGCGAGGCCGGCGGCGATGAGGGCTTTGGCGAACATTATTATTGCTGTTGGGTATATGTCGTGGTAGAGCGGATGAATGCGACAAAAATGGGGTCGACGAAGGGTAGCAGTTGGGTTGTGCAGCGAGCGACAGTGTCTGAGACGAGGGTGAGGATGAATGAGCGTGGTGGTGAGCGGAAGATGAAGAAGCGACGGACGGGCAACGAGGGTGGATGTGGAAGGACGCGCACGCCAGGAGAGGCCCATTTCGAGATGAACCGCTCTTCCTGGGACGCTGGGCCCAGCGAATGACCAGCATGTTACTGCAGGCACGACCGCCAAAATGCCCGACAGCCAATCAGCCGCCGCGCCGTTCCTGCCTTGTTGTGAGCGTGCCTGGATCCGCTGCAACAGCGACCCACTCCCGATGCGCACTGCACTTGCTGCTTGGGTTTTACAGTTGAGCCGCACTGCTTTCGTGCAGCTGACCGAACTCGTCCTTCGATAGCGCCGTCGCCATGGAAGCCCACCAGAAAGCGGGATGCCTCTTCGACAGCAACCTTCTCTGCGCCGCCTGAGGGAGGGCCGCGCAATCTGGGAGCCGGTGGCTTGCTGTCGCATCTATATTCGGGCGTTCTCAGCCCATCCACCACCACCATGCACCTGGCCAGGCCATCCAGACCTCGACGATGACTCCATGTTTTTCATGCTCTCCTCTCATCCTGCCCTTCCTCCTCCTCCATCTGTTCGTCGCCGGTACGATGCCCAGCAACGACGGCCATCAACACCGCCAGTCTGGACCGATGTCATCAGTCACCATGCCATGCCAGCTCTGTTGACAACACACTTTTGCACGCTCGCCACGAACGCCTGCCCTTTGCCTCAATTCTGGAGTACAGCGGAGCGCGCATGTACTGGTACAAGACGCCGCGCTAAGTCGCAATGGATGGATGCGCTACTTCGTGCTAAGCAGCTGGAGCTACCCATTCGCATCCCCTTCAGGAAATCAGGATGCGCCGAGCCCAGCGCTTCATGCAAAACTGCGTGTCGTCGTTGCCCATTTCCATCGCACGCGACATCTCAACGAGTTGTCATGACATCGGCGATAGACCTTCTCCGGCGCCAAATCGTCCTTCGCCTGCTCGGTCGCGCGCACGCTCGCGTCCCGCGCATCTGTGGCGAGTGCAATTTCACGTTTGAGTGCCCAAGATTCAACCGACGCGGCAGCAAGGCCGTAAGCACTTGGAATCTCTGGTCTTCGTATGTCTCATCACACCTAGTACTTCTCTCGCTCTCAACGAATTCATTATTTGCTCCGTCACGAGACTCTGCTGTACTTTCTTCCCCAGGCTGCAACAGACGTTCTTCGTGGCGAAGGATTTAAGTTTAGCTCAAGCTAACAAAGAGCTCGGGCTGTACGCAACGCCTTCGTCTCTTCGCAACCTCACTCATTGGCCACACTCACTTACCGGTCTAGCCTACGAGCTACCGCTATACAGATTGGCAGGGGGTCATGAGGTACCTGTGTAGATCTGCCTAACGCACATATCTTTCTCGCGTGGCCCGCGCAACGACCGTCGTTTTCCTTTCTCGCTGTTTCATCACACATCACTCTCGTTGTCAGCTCCCCACAGTTTCCCTCGTATCCAACTCAATCAGAAGATCCTTGTGCTACCTACCCTATACGGCAATCACTTTTTAATACAACAACACCATAATGTATATCCCACGATCGTTCATCGTCGCGCTCGCCAGCGCGCCCTTCCTGGCCTATGCGCAGAGCAGCAACCCCAACCCATTCAACAACCCATCGGGTGGATACCAGGTCACCGCTGGTCAGCCGTTGACCTTGTCATGGGATCCTACCACCGAGGGCACCGTCTCCCTGTCTCTTCGCATGGGTAACTCTGGCAACTTGGACGATGGAACCACCTTCGCCGGTGAGTCGCCCTGTCACCACACTTCTACTTCCACATCTAACGCGAACTCCAGAGAACATCCCCAACTCCGGCTCGTACACATGGCAAGTGCCAGCCGACACCCCACGGGGTTCGTCCTACACCATCGAGATCTCCTCCGACTCCAACGACAATGAGAACAACTATACTCCACCCTTCATCCTCGAATCCACCAACAACGCCGCTCCTTCGTCCAGCGGCAGCAGCGCCTCTACCGCTGCGTCCACTGTAACTCCTAGTGCGTTCCCTCTTCCTTCTGGTGTCACCATCGACACATCCTACCACCCATCCTCGGGTTTGTATAACGAACCATGACGAAAGACAGTTCCGACTGACCGCGCTTTCTAGGCTCCACCTCCACTGGCAGCAGCTCGGCTTCCGCGACCTCCTCTTCAGCGGCTTCCACCACCGCTTCGTCGTCCGCCTCTGACAGCGCTTCTTCCTCCACCGCCTCTGCCACCGACTCCTCCTCGTCCTCCGACTCCGCCTCCACGACCGCGACCTCCAGCGGCTCGTCCTCCTCCGCCTCTTCGTCCAGCGCCGCCTCTACCTCCAGCGCCGCCTCTACCAGCGACAGCGACCTCGTCGCCAGCCAGACCACCTCCAGCACCCAGTCCTCCAACGGCGGTGCTGCCCGCGCGACCGCCATGGCCGGCATGCTCGGAGTCGTCGCTCTCGGCGCGCTCGCCCTCTAAGCGACTGGGATCCTTTCCACTTCTTTCACGGCCGTATTTGCAGCTGTCTGTCTTTGTGTGTGTGATATCCTCCGACGCAGCGACTTTTGGTTGATGACTTTCTGAATTGTACATATTCTGCGGCATAGCGTTGACAATGGAGGGAACAAAAGATAGGGGGAGGTTTAATGTGGAGGAAGAGAGGAAAAGCTGGGGGTTGAGGACTGCGGAGATGAGATGGGGAGGACGAGTTGTACAGATGTTGCGATCGAACATTTCCGCTGGAAGGTCTCTAAAAAGCTCATAAAGATCTGTACAAATTCATCAGCCAACATTCCAATACCAAGCCTCCTCACTCCGGTCAAAGTGGAACGTATTGATGAACTGCCATCTCTCCGACTTTTCATCAGCGTCTGCATTGCTGATTGCCCTCCGAGCAGCTCGGACGGCTTGGGAGTTATCGGGACGAAAGTTCCACTTTGAGCAGAACATCGAGGTAAGATCTCAAGAAACTGCGCTCTACTCACCAGCCTCGCAGACGACGAATCTCCCCTCTCCATCTCCATCCCCACTCACTTCCCCACCGGCTCACAAACCGTAACAAAAGGCGCCACAACCCCAGCCAGAAACACCCTCCCCGTCCTCGCATCATGCACAACACTCGTCGCCCCAGGCAAAACCTCCCCATGCCGATCCTCCAACATCTTCTCCACCTCCCACCCTTTCCCATCCCCCTCCTCCTTACTCTTCCTCACCCTAAACACCGTCGTCGCCGCCGTAGACCCCAAAGGATCCGCGTACGCCTGCAACATCTCCAGGCCCTTCGGGAACGCCGGCACCCAGATGTCGCCGTCGCGGTCCTCGGAGAGGTTATCGATCGGGTAGGGGATGTCGATGGAGGAGATTTTTTGCAGGTCGTTGGTGTGTGCGTTGGGGGCGTAGATGGTTATGCCGCCCGAGTGGGCTGAGGGGACGAAGAGGTGGCCGTGGCGCGGGGAGAAGTGCAGGCCGTTGGGGAAGGCGTGCGAGGTGGAGACGGTTTTGCAGGTATTAGTGTGGGTGCAGTAGGTTACGTCGCCGTTGTGGAGGAAGGGGGCGAGGGTGAATTTCTGTTTTTTTGTTAGTTCTGGGACTGGACATATTCATGGATGGGATCGAGTTCTACTCACCAATCCGGCCTTCGCAGTCCCGTGGTCGTTAGTGATATAGAACCCATTCGTCGGGGCAAAGGCAACATTATTCGGCGTCTTGATCTCAGGGTGATGGTACGTTTCCTTGTGTCGCAGTTCCGTGGCATGGGCATCTGTCTCAAACAACTCGATCGTGAAATCGCCGCCTAGTTCGGACGCATCGAGGAACTCGCCCGTTTGGGAGTCCCTGGGTGGACGGCCATTGACAAGGGCAATGTCAATACTGAACGGCGGCTTGTTGGGGTCGTTTGCTGCTGGGATGTTATCTCGGCCAGTCAGACCGACGAGGTAGAGATGTCCGTCGCCGGTCTTGTAGGATGGTGTCTTTAGCACGCGGTAGTCGAAGCTGTCACCCTTCGGCTTGTCGATGTCCAGGGCAATGACGGCGTCGGTGCGGGAGCGGCCTGATATGTTGAAACGACTGAAGCTGAAGTCCCATCTGTCATTTCTTCTGACCACCAAACACATCGTCTGTTGTTCTTACTTGGGCATCCACTGTTGCCGAGCCAAGGGATCTGAGCAGGCCAGGAACAGCTGCCTGGTCTCTTCCGACAACCACATGTCCTCGCAAGCCTGCAGTCTCTCATCGTGAATCCGTCTGCATTGGTATGGGAAGTCCGAAATCGGTTGAACGTGCCTTCCAACACCGATGATTGTGAATATGAGGTTCTTGAGGGTAAGCTGGTAGAAGACAGCTACGGCAAGCGCCAGGATGGTGCCATACTTGAGGAATGCTGAGGCCATACCGCCAGTTGCAAGTCTCTTTCGAGTGTTGTCAGGGAATGTGACGATATAGCACTGGACGGTGAGCGGTGATATGAGCGAGATGTCTTGGGTGGGGTCCGAGCTACGTCGTCACAATCCTTTGTGCGAGCTGACGCATCGCGTTTCTCGCAATTTTGGTACGAGGTCTTTGGTAGCATCTTCGTGCCCTATGCTGACTGGAACGTCTTTGAAGTCAGTTGGGACTTGAATGGTGTGCTTCTAGCACAGTTACCATTTCCAGATTCCTCTGGATTCGCGCGAGTACGTTTGGGGCTCCACTCAAAAGTGGGCTGCATGTAAGGATCGTCTCTGTCGAATGTCGGAAATGATCAGGCTCGAGATCGTAGCACAAGTGCATCGTTAGCTGAGGCAGTATTCGGCATGCACGTTCCAGTTCGAGCGGAGTACCGAGGATAGACTCTAGCTCGTTGTCCGCGGATTCGTGACAGAAATGGACATTCGACTTCTAGGGGAGATCAACTACCAGTGCTCGCCACTCGTCATCAGGTAGGTTCGCCATGACGATGGAATGTAGTCGTGTAGCCGATCCTTTGGCGAACCAGTAGTGGTCTTCCAACCTCTTGGTCAACATCAGCCAGTGCGCAAAGATCACCAATGCTCCAGGCTGGGCTCCAGATAGCATGTGGATGTATTGATCGGGCAGGATCCTCAACCACCCTTCTATGCCGTCCCAGATGTTTCGTACCTGCATGGGCTATCAACATTGTTTGCTTCGTGGATGGTTGTGAGGGCAATCACTTACATCGTCGCTCGCGAAGCTCAGGCTTGCAGCAGTCGTCAATGCGTTGACGGCAGGCTGTAGGTCGTCCAGGCTGGCCTCTGGAAAAGGCTGTGCCGCTATCAAGGGCGCGACCTTGGCAGGAAGTGACGCAAATCGTTCCCGCATGTCGTTGGGTATGTTGGCTAACTGTGCGTCGCTGACCGTTTCATGATCCTCGAGCTCACGCAGACTGGCCACCACCTCTTGCGACAATATCAGATCCGAATGCCTTGGAAGGAGGTGTTGCAAAGTCAGGAGCATCTCGTGTCCACCTCGTAGTAGAAAGAAGAACTCCAGCAGCTTCGACATGTCGTTTTCGTCTGATGAAGTGGACATGGAGAGTAGCCACTCAAGCTGATGTTGCACACAGCGCTGGACGCCGAAGAATCGCCCGAATGCTGTCACACAGTCAGTGTACAAGTCCTCTAGTGTAGCACGACCGTGTCGTGACTGTCAGAGAGGCAGGACTCACCGATCAGTGCTGTACTGTTCTCGGCATCAGGCATTCGCATAGCTGAGCGAAAGTCAACCAGAGCTGCGTTTTGATACTGCATCGCCTCTTCGTAATGGGACTGGCAAGTTTGCAACTCGTCGATAGACTGCATTGCATGATGCATGGCGCTAAGCCCAAGTATCGCGTACATCAGGAAAGGGTATCGAAACGCTTGTCTCGGTATGTCTACCTTCCAGAAGGTTTCAGACTCTGTCATGCTTCGGCGCAGCGTCAAGCTAGTATTGACAGTATAATGGTGGAAGTACTGGAGCGTCTGCATGTCGAGCGTCAAGGGGATGACGGATTCGTCTATGAGTGGTGTAACCTCATCAGACGGGCTCTTCGAAATGGAAGAGACTGGCTCTGTCCCCGAAGGCGGGCTGAGGGAGGTGTTGGATGCATCGTTGTCCTTGCTGCTACTAGGCATTGCCAACGTTTCGCCTGGACCATTGACCTCGAAGTAGCGAATCTTGTTGCCTCTGAAGAACGTCTGGAGATACGCAGACCTTGCCTTGACATTCCTCGAGTCGTGTTCCTGCGCCCGTCGTCAGCGAGAGGTGCTTCACATATGTGTGTAATAGACATTACCCACATCGTGCTGCTCGCTCCAGTGCTGGCTCATTCGCTTGGAAGAGACACATGCATGCTCACATCCCAGCTGCTCGCACTTGAAGCCTCGGTGCACATTGAGATGAGGCAAGGGATCTGAATTGCTGTCAGGCAATGACACATTGTCAGGCTCTGGTAGCTTGAGCTTTGAAAGTCGTTGTAGCAGCTCGCGTCGTTCGTTGCGGTAGATTTGATGGCGAAGGAGATGGCTTGGAAGAGCACTAGGCTGGATGGCGAATTGACACTTCTTGCATATGGCGACTCCATACTCTTCTAGATGTGCAATGAGCTCGTCGGAGAACTTGGAGGACCGGTCCGCAGGCATGGCGTGCGGCGGGCGATTCTTGGTATGCTTGGACTGATGTGAGTGGCATCCCTGCTTTTATCAAGTCGAATCCATAGTGTCACCGCCACGTCGAATAGTGCTGGCGATTATGAAAGCTCATAGAGTCCTTAGGGCAGACAGGAGCGAAGGACGTTGTAGCAGGTAAGCGATGAGCTTGTTCGTTAGTCAGAAGGTGAAAGCTTCCATAGAGACAGCTAGTATCTTGACTGGTTGTTGACCGACCTCATCACAGCTAGTCAGTAGTATGCAAGCTCACTATCTTCAATAATGGACATGCCGCAGTCTCTTCTGGATGGCACTTCTCCTTGCGACTCCCGGCTACCACTCTTTCCGAGCCATGCGGCGTTTTGATCCCGTTCTCCGACCTGAAGGCTTGGCAGTCAAGGTCGCTGTGCTGACTCTCTACAACATTGCGTGGTCTGTCGGAATCTGCCATTCAATGTCAGTAACGATTTGCCTCTCGAACTCAAATAGAGCAAACGCACGAACGCGTACCTGGGCTTGGCGTAGTCGTATTCGTCAATGGCTCTCGACACTCGGCCATCGGCCGTGGAATTTCACCCACCGATAGGACGAGATCCTGGCTTAAGCACGTCAATTGAGCTTGAACCAAAAACCCATCATGCATGACTTACGCATGTTGCTCAGGCCATTGCATCCACAGCCACTTCCAGTACGTGGCGGACGTATTGCGGAACTTTGTGACAGCAAGGACTGGTGCGTTATTCGGGCGGCGTTCCTTGAAGCGCTCCGTTTTGCCAACTCCATCACTACCGATCTTCGGCATCATCGGGGAGATAAGAACAGCAATGCCGATGGCGCTGCAGCTATGCTGGAACGGCTTGGGCGAAGCAAGCAAGAGGCTCTCGTCGTCGCGTTGGGCAAGGCGAGTATTCGCGTCTTCTCGTTTCCGTATGTGCGTAGAAGGGGTACTTGATATGTAATGAGTCCCTCGCTCGTCCTGTAGTCGAGAGGGAACCGGTTCAGCAAGTCTTTCTTCACGGTATGTTGATGAGAAAGTCACAAGAATGAAAGAATAATCGCAGTCAAAGAGATCTTTTATGGAGACCATCCATCCTCGTTAAAGATCTTGAAGTCGCCCCAGATGGCAGGTGTCAGAACCTGGCATGCCGTTCAGTCCAGGATGAGTAGTTCGAGGCCGAGGGCAGTTCGACAGACCGCAACATTTGCGAGCCAAGGGTTCAGATCATGGTGCACAACGCAACATTCCAGTCTGGTGGCTGCTTTGCCTTCCTACTCACCGTCGTCCTCCAGGAGGCTCTGGGTGATGACTTGAGACGATCCAGCGTTCTCGTTCCGTTGGTGTCCAGCTCGTGAACGGAGACGGCTCCTTCATGGCGGTGCTTTCCAGTCTCCATCTTTCAGCGCCTGGATTGGTCGAAAGGACAGACTGGCCAGAACAGAGAAACATCACAGTTGAAAGCACTTCTTGGTGGTGAAGGCGCGTCGCGTCAGCGAAGTTGTCCGTGAGGGTTTCCAAGGTTGTCCCAGCGCTTTTTCCTGTGGGGCCAGAGCGACCCGACTTCACTCTCCCGCTTGGTATGCCTGTGGGATGAGAATAATGAGCAGATCTCATGTTTCCACGACTTGTTCCAGGTATTTTTCGGCGCCGAGAAGGCGACTGCAATCTCAATTCCCTCTTGATCCGGCGACAAGAGGCTCGCGCGGCTGGCTGACTGTTTCCCCTTCTCACTCCCATGGCTACGGAGGCAGCATGTTGTCAAATCGAAAGGCAGACCCGGTCCCGAAAATAATAGGCTCGGATATCTGATCTTGTTGACATGGAAAACACAAACATGCCAGAGTTCCGCTCCTACGATCTTTCTCAACCCCTGGGCAGACAACTGCCAAAAGCTTGCGAGCAGTGCCATGTCCGCAAAGTGAGGTGCATACCGAATGCTGAGGGCGAGGCTTGCCAACAATGCGTCAAGCATGGCACTGAGTGCCGACCGCGTATTAGAAAGCGGAGGCGAGCCCGGACGAGTGGGAATAACGACCCAAGTTCTGAGGCTATCGTCTCGCGCCACTATCCCGGGGCCACAAGTGCCAGTGTCTCCAATGAAGGCGGGCTCGATCACAGACACGGCCGACGACCGCCGCCTTTGCTCTTCGCAGAATCTGGCACGAGGGGATCCACGAACAGCTCTCCGGCCACCTCAAGCACCCTCGATCGCTTCCACAACTCATCATACCTATGCCGCACTGCTATACTCGGCCAAGACTTTCAAGACATCGACCACACACATGGAAGCAATGCCGATCGTCGTCATGCTCTGTCATCCACCGACCTGCAGATGCTCGAGCTTTATCAGGCGTTTGATCTCCCCGAGCAACCAGAGCGGCAAAGCTTGATAGATGCTTGCTTCGAAAGGTGTTGGACCTGCATGCCTGTGGTTGATCGAACAACACTGGTAGGGACGGCAGAGAGTGAGATCTCATATGTGGTTCTCCAGTCGATTTTACTTGCAGGATCGCTCATGCGACCAAATCGCTATTCAAGCGCGGTGGTAGAGACAATATACAGGCGGGTGAAAGCGCTGCTTGATTGTGGTCATGAACGAAATCCACTGAACGTCCTCGCAGCCTTGTGCTACATTCAGTGGTATCCTTCGCAAGCGCCAAAGGATATCTCTCTGGACTCGCCCAGGTTCTGGACTACGATGGCGATTGGAATAGCTCAGCAAATGGGCCTCCATCGCAAGTCTTTATCGCCTGGTCCAGAAGAAGGCCTCAGGAGGAGACTGTGGTGGTGTCTGCGAACGAAAGACAATCTTTCAGCCTCTGCCCATGGTAGGCCACGGCATGTGAACCCACTCGACTGCACTCAACCGCCATTGACCCTGGAAGACTTTCCTGACCCTTCGGACCGCAGAGCACACATCTCCATATCATATGTCACCATCATCGATATTTTAGGCGACCTATGCCAATTGATGGCGCGGAACGGCGATGCTACTCTTTCAGAGAAGAACGAAATCGCAAGACGACTACTAACATACCTAGACTCCCTGCCCGAAGACCAAAGACTCGTCGCCGCTGACGGCTCGGCCATGCCTTACGATCTGGACATAGCCCAGCTCCACATCCACATCCTGGCAACAATCTCCATCCTCTACCGCTCGAAATCCATGTTCTCCTTGACATCCGCCAACGCCGCCAGCATAGCAGCGGCAAACCTCAGCTTCCGCATATTCGAAGCCATCGAGCTACGAGAGCATACGCACTGCCTCAGCTCTGCTTTTGCGTGGTACATGCTGGTAACTGCCTCGCCTCCTTTGGCTTGCCTGCGTCTGCCAGAGTTGAGCGTCAATGCTGGCTTGGCGTTAGACTCTCTTGAGATTTCGTTGGAGACGCTGGCGAGGACGAGACCTTCCGCTAAAGCCAACCTCCGGAATGTCAGGGCGATACGCAAGGCGATGACGTCTTCAAGTGTCCCATCTATTGGTCGCGAGGCTGAGAACTGTGTGGTTGGATCGGAGGAAGGTTTCAGCTATCTGACAATGGCATCGACACTTCTTGCACGATACGGTTATGATGCAGTGAGGCATTACGAAGAGCTGGTTCAGGTCCTTGGACCGAGCCATACGATTGTCGGTGTAGAGAACAGCAATACAGTTGAACCAGGCACACAGCACATATCGATGCAGGAACAACAGAACTTCCTAGACAACCTTGGTATAGGTGCTGCAGATGACCAATTCAACTTTGACGACTTGTTCGGAGCAGGCCATTCGTGGATGATGAGAGACTGGATAGATGACCTTCAGCCAAATATGAATTGACGACAGTGGAACACGAGGCGAAGCTTCTTCTTATTTCGTTATATCTATATCTCGTCGATCTCGTTATCTGCCTCGCTGCATTATGAGGCTGCCATGAAACCAGGTCTCAGGCGAAGTCGTCGTCTTCCATAGTTCCTTCCCTTGACTCGAATTTCAAAAAGGATTCTTGGTCGGCTTCCGTGATTCGCTGCCACGCAGACTTCACGTTGTCCAACATGCTATCATCAAAAGCAAGGTCAGGGGAGAGAGGCTGCAGAGGAATGACATTACTATACGCCGGTGCTTCTTCTGTTTCCGCATAGTACTGCCGATAGTGCATACTCCAAAGCACTTGCGGTACTGTTTGCTCGCCAATACTTTGGAGTAAATTCGAGACAGCTTGCTTGAGAAGATCCGATCCTTGCGTATCAGCTCGCGAAACGGACGCATACAGGACACCTAGTATGGCGGTTAGCTGACGATCGACCATAGTTCTCCATGTTTGCAAAACGGTAGTGAGGTCGAAGTTTCAGGTTGTCAGAGATGTTTGTTCTTCAATGCAATTCAGGCAATGTAGATAAGTATTCGTAAGGTTGTTCATCCTTTCGATGATGTGTGAGGTGTATGTGGGCTGGGGAGGATGGTAGTACTTACATTGCTCTTTCGGGCACTCGCCAGATTCGCTCGAGTGTGCGAATACATGCACAGGAGGGTTGGCGCGGTCTGGCGGCTGGACCACGACGACCGCACCTGCTGGTGTCACGCCGCCTTCCGAGGTGGGCGGGAAGAGTGAGGCGAGTGGCGAGGATACTATCGAGATGCTCTTCGTTATCCAGGTATGCGACTCTTCGCTCGAGCTCGACTTTGAACTGCGAGGAAGGTCCTGTGCAACACCAGCGAGGGACTTTGTGGTCACTACCTCTCCATCTGTCAGGTGTACCTTCAGATCAGAGTCGCCGGAATGCTCGACATTGGTGATGCCTTTCCCGAGGACATAGACACCACCACCCACAGCACAGGCTCGACAAGCGACTTGCCCAATTTCTGCAAGACCGCCCCATTTGGGTAACACAACACCAAAGCCTGGGCCGAAAAGACCTATGCTGGTGAGGTATCTCGCGACTCGTGGTACGGCGAATCTTGAAAGAGTGTCTTCCTGTGACTCCGCACTCAAAGCAAGAGCAAGAATCGGCGGGTGTGAGGCCGGAACCAGACCGAACTTGTCTTGCAGAAGTGTGGAGAACGGCTTGTCTCGATAATCTTCCCAAGTATCACCCTGCTCTTCGTAGTCGACCACAAAGCGCAGAAACTTCATCAACGATCTCTTCGCTTTCAAATCAAGCGTCGCATCTTGGAAGATATCTTCACGCCCGCCAGGAACCCTCGTCAGCCTCGGTTGTGTTGAAGAGTCATCAAGAGGAGGGTTGACCAGAAACCAAGATCCAACAGCCTGGAACTCGAGCTGACTATGCGTTTTCGAAGAAACCAAAGCAGGAAGCAGTGCCGACTTCGAATGCAGAATATGTGGTGCGAGTGCCAGAGAGTATGCTCGAGAACCCCCAAGTTTGCCTTTGCTTTGCTCGTCATCCGTGGGAGCTTGTGTGATCGAAGCATGACTGAATGTGGTGGGTGGATCCGATGGCTCGCCAGCATGCTTCTTCGCCCACTCTTCCGCCTCCGAAAGACTCAGCGCAGCTTCATCACCACCGTAGTAGTCGTTTCGGTCGACGTGCAGGATTTTCTTGCCTGAGCGTGACAAGGCGCTTCACGAAGGGCTTTTGCGTTAGTTAGCCTGAGCCGTCGACGTGAAAGCGACAAGCACGTACAGCGCAAGCAGCGACGGTGGCAGGCCAGTGCCGGAGATGACAACATCCCACTGTGTATCGTTGAGGGTTTCCATGCTGTGCTTGAAGGTGCTCACATCGTTGCGTGGTGGGAGAAGAAGCAGAGAACACTTTGAAGAGCTCAGTCAAAGCGACCTCGTCAAAATTAAACTTTCTTGGCAAGCTAGTCCTGCAGACTTCTTCTCACGACTCTCCGTCTCCGTCTTCTCTCTTTCCTCTCTCATCGCGCCTTCGAACAAAGCAACTCGACCCATGATGCGGAGTATCTATTCAGGCCGCTTCACTGCGGCCCTGCGGGCGCGAGAGAACGAACTGCCGTCCATGTATCTCCTGCCTGGACATTTCTTGAAGGAGCAGGTCGTTTGAGACGCACATCACTTCACTTTTCAGAGCTGGTCAGGGTCGAAGACCTTGAACCCGACCAGGATGACAAGACTCGGTGGCCTTTACTTTTGTGAAATCGACATCATCGTCCCAGCATGCTCCTGACTGCGAGGTGGCCAAGCCAGCCAGGATCTCAATCATGCTCCTCTGAGATGTCTGTATCGAAGAGACGGCCATAGACATGACGAGCTGCTGCCGATACGCGAGGTCAGTTCTTCCTGTCTATGGCTCACTATTGCTTGGGTGCTTTGTCACGCTCATGGATACGGCGTGTTTGAATCCATGTCGCGGTTGAATGCCGTAACTTACGGACGGAGGCGGATGCCCAGGTTCAAGTGAAACCGACACTTTTATTAGGAACCAAGACCTTTCATGCTTCGGAGTAGCATGATATCCTTGAGCCTCCGCCATTCCACGTGCGTCACATCAATCTCGGCGTCTTGGAGTTCGCACGTACATAGGCATTACTGTAGGTTTGAAGTGGTCAGGACGTCCTCACTCCTGAGTTGACTTTCTCTCTGCGGACTTTACTTTGTGGAACGTCAAGCCACCAAAGATGCTGTTCTCATTCAAGCCCCTCGCAATCTCGCTCCTGGCCTCGAAAGCGCTCGGATGCCTCTACTTCAACGCCACACTTGAAGACAACAAGTTGAGCGTCCACAGCTGGGATGACGCCAACAACAACAACGCCACAAATCCTGAAGACATCATCTGCAAAGGGGACAACCTCGATCCCGTCGGGGACCACCAATGGAGCGTGGAATGCTCCAAGGCCGACAACGCCAAATCCGACACAGTCTTCGACCTCTTCCTTGAGCCCAACACTAAGCGATTCCTGGACATAATTTACCGCTACTCGAACCCGAACGCTGCGGGCCTGCAAACGGGCGAAGATGCGGACGAATTTCTTTTCAACTTCCGCGTGGCCAGCGTTGATGGCAGATTCTTCAAGTCGAGGGAGTTCTGCGCCCAGTACGACATTCTTCGACTCATCAACCCAGACGCTCTGAAGAACCCCTGCGATTCTTTGGATACTTGTTAGGTGGCGGCTACATTGTAACATATGTACTACAACCACGTACGGAGGAGTTCTGGTGCATATTTGGGGATCACATCATGCGATGGCATGGTCGCGCATGCACAGCTGTGTAGTAACGATGTAATTTAACGGAAGCGTGCATACGGCTTCGTTCCTTGTTTTCACTTCGGTATCGATTCTGGCATTAACTCTGGCTTCGTGTGGGTTTCACATCTGGCCCAGTTCTCTGGGGCCGCACTTACCCTTACGCTTGCCTTCATTTCTTTCACGTTCTGGAGCTTGACATTTCGTACACCGTTCGCTTAAGAAGTCTATGGTACACGCTCACATAACGATTCAATTCTCCCCAAAAAAAACACGCAGCAAAACAACCACTCTCAAACCACCGAGCCAATTGACAGCACTCGACCTCAAACGCCTTGTCGCCTAATGGCCAAACCAAGGGGCCCTTTCCCAACCAGATTCTCCGTATACTCAGTAACATCCCACCGCAGCGTGATCTTGTCGGCGAGGTGGCCCTTTCTGAGCTCAATGCTATCCTGCCTCATCCGAGCCATAGCCTCTGAATTCGACCGGAGAAACGTTCTTAGATTCTCAATTTTGAGATAGTAAGAGTCGATCTCTTTAGATACAGCCTCGTCGACCAAGGTGTTGGCAAGATTCAGCGCTTGCGTCAGTCTCTCGGATGTGAGTTGCATGTTGGCAATTTTCTCTTTGAGAGCCTCTTTTGACGCGAAGGCGGACCTTTTCGACTTGACAAGGGCGTCGATGTCGGCCCACTGCTGCTGGGAGTTCGTTAGTGGCGGTTGAGTTGACATAGTTGGAACTTTGGTTGGAGTTATGTGGATTCGTGGTTGGATTCGTAGTTGGAATTTTGATTAGGATCGTGGTGACGGTTGTGATGAGAGTCGTGGTTGATGTAGAGGGAGCACAGGAAGAGGAGGACGAGGTTTATATAAGCCCTGCCTTCTGTTTGCGACAACACACATGGTTCAATATGGTCACAGGAGAGGCACAATGGTCTGCGGCACGAGTGTCATTTCGTTGCTAAGAAGCAAATCTGTATCAGCAGTTCCATAAGAACGACCTTGGTCTCGAGACAGGGCCGTGTGCTTGCATTTGTTCCTCAGAAAGACATTTCAAACTCCACCTGTTCCTCTTCTTGCACACCTCAACTTCCCTTCAGTTCTCCTTCAGCATCTCCGCACGCTCTTCGCGCTCCCAGCGCTTTTCAATGAACATGCATATGTGGCCCTTCACCTGCAATTGGAAGGCCGCAAGGTTTTGATGCTGCGAGACCGTGATGTGTGGCAATTCTGCAAAAGTGGTTGTCTTTGCTTTCCGGAGTTCTTCCTTCAACAGCTCAATGTAGTCGTACTTGGCCTTCTTCAACTGATTTTGGACGTTGGATCGGGCTCCCAGTAGCTGATTCGGCGAGAGTTGGTCAAGTGAACAGACACTACTCTGCATTTCCGCAATATCGGTGAAGTCTGACTTTGGCGATTTCATGATTTTCTCGAGTTTCTGAGCTTCGAGCTTCTGACCGTCAGTCGTTGCGTTGAAGTGTGACATTGCTGTGATCGAGATACTGTTTTCCTCTGTTGTGGGCAAACAGAGGATGGTGGCACACTGCCAAAGATATAGTCGGCAAGTTGTTTGTTTGCAAAGAATAAATATGGTGGCCGCGTGAAGTCTGAGACATGTCTGGAGCATAGTGGAGCTTGCTAGAGCAGCAGAGGCGATGCCAGTCAACAATCTGCGACATTATTGTCCGTCCAAGTCCCGTGTTCTCACAAATACCTGAAGCGTTTGGCACTCAGCCTGAGACTAGGCCCTTTGGAAACTTGAGAGGCAAGGAGCTGCGTTATGGCATTCACTATTTTGTCTTCGACGGAATCTCCTAGGCAATCAGTAGGTAGCAGGAGAGCCTAGAGCTGATATAGGTCAATTCGACGATTGCTAAAATTCACACGTCTATATCTCTATCGTTAACGCATCGAAGCAACTTGATCGACTACATGCTCAAAGCTTCGAAAGGACGGACTCAGCGCCAGAGACCTAGATTATTTATCAGCTTGATTGAGCAACGAGGCCAGAATAACGTACCGTCACTTTGCCAGGTCCATCTTCTGCGTCTGCAACGGTAATCTTTCCGTCGTCGATGACAAAAACGTAGCGCCCGTTTCGGTCGCCCATTCCAGCATCCCATCCATAGTTCTTGCTAAAGAATGTCTTGGTATCTAGAGACCTCTTGTCAGAACCACTCCGACTAAAGCTTTCAGCAGTTCTTGTACGCACCGCTCATGAAACGGATCTTGGTATCCTCTTTCGCGCCATTGACCTTTCCCCAAGCCGCCATGACCCATGCGTCATTGGAGGCAATGACAATAACCAAGTCGACGCCTTTTTGAAGGAGCTTATCGAGGTTGCTGAAGTAAGGAGGGATGTGGTAAGCTTGGCAGCCTGGTGTGAAAGCCCCGGGAACCGAGACTAGCACCACCTTCTTGCCAGCAAACTCCTTGGATGCATCGTATGTTTGTGGTATACCGCAAGAAGTCGGCGATGGGTCGGTAATTGGAGCCCATTCAAACTTGACTCCCTTTCAATCAAGAGGTGTCAGCGAAGAACCAGGCTTACGACGTATCTGTACTGGGCTTACTTCTGGGAACTTGTCCCCGACTTTCAATGGCTTACTCATGGTTTCAGGTTGTGTATAGGACTGAACGATGTCAAGTACGGGAGGTAATGTGCTCTGATGTCCTCGTGGTTGAGGAAGTGAAGTCGTACTTCCACGAGCCAGGCCAGGAACGTGGAGCCCCAGCTGCCCCGCCATGACGCAGGTTTCCCGAGCTTGGCTCCAACTGCCGGTGCCCATGATTCAGGCTGTATAGCAAAAACCATTGCATTCTTCACACATGCCTTTACTAGCCTCGGACTGAATGGGCAGCCTGACTACACATCGAAACGTTGTGGAAGGACCGATGGATTGGTCTTTCCTTGTCGACGCGCGATGCCAAGACAATATGATAGGAGGGACGACCGTTGCGCACGGATCAGCCATCGCTCACCGAATTTCCGTCTCCTGCAAACTTGGCCCCGATTATTGTCGAGTCACGTTACCTCCAGGAGAAGCCAATGGACGCGTTAGGTCGCGTGATGCTGGACGCAAAATTCATAGCGACGGCGACATGTCTCGCTCTCGCTGGAATATTGTATCTCCTCTTGCGGACGGATCCTGAGAAGGCTGTCGATTTTTCTACGCCCGCGCCTGAGCAGTGCTCGCCCGGTTGGCGTGGGAAGGAGCTGGATCGGCCATCCATCAAGGTGCCTGGCTCGACGGCTATACAATGCTACGCACCCGCCACTGGTCACTACTTGGGTCTTCTCAATCCCTCGACGCCTGATCGCATTGACCGCACCATCGCGAAGGCTGCTGCCGCCCAGCAACAATGGAAGAAGTCAACCTTCGCCCAACGAAGAAGAGTGTTGAAGACTCTACTGAAGTTCATTCTGGACAACCAAGAAGAAATCATTCGGGCCGCATGCCTGGATAGCGGGAAAACGCGTACGGACGCCCTCTTTGGCGAAGTCCTTGTGACGGTGGAGAAGCTCAAATGGACCCTCGACCACGGCGAGAACGCTCTCCTTCCAGATCGACGACCAACCAACCTGCTCATGTTCTACAAGCGCAACGAAGTCCGCTATGAGCCGCTTGGTGTGGTCGCCGCCTGTGTGAGCTGGAAGTAAGTTGTCGTCGCGTCTGATCATCTCTGAGGGATCTTTGCACTGACCGCGTCTTTTCCAGTTACCCGTTTCACAATCTACTCGGCCCAATAATCAGCGCCATCTTCGCAGGGAACGCTATCGTCGTCAAGAACAGCGAACAAACAGCTTGGTCGTCCACGTACTTCGTTACGATCGTTCGAGACGCCCTCACCGCCTGCTCCTTCGATCCGAACATCGTCCACGCCTTCTCCTGTTGGCCTCAAACTGCCGACTATTTCACGTCGCATCCCGGTATCAGCCATCTCACATTCATTGGCAGTCGACCTGTCGCGCATGAGGTCGCGAAAAGCGCGTCGAAATCTTTGACCCACTTGTGCGTCGAACTCGGGGGCAAGGATGCTGCGATCGTTCTTGATGAGCCCGGTGGACGCGTCATGTCGAGAGGAGAGATGGAACGTATTGCAAGCATCATCATGAGAGGAGTTTTTCAATCGGGAGGTCAGAACTGTGTAGGCATCGAAAGAGTTGTCGCGATGCCTGAGACATATGATACTCTCATCAAAATGCTAGAGCCACGCATCAAGGCGCTACGGCTGGGGGATGACCTAGACCCCGAAAACGCTGGCGAAGGATCTGCCATCGACGTCGGCGCTTTGATATCACCCGCGTCGTTCGACCGCCTCGAACGCTTGATTGCGGAGGCAACAGCACAGGGCGCTCGGTTACTCGTGGGAGGACACCGCTACAGCCATCAACGTTACCCACTTGGCCATTACTTTACGCCCACTCTTCTTGTGGACGTATCCCCTCGAATGAGAATCGCGCAAGAAGAACTTTTCGCGCCAGTATGTGTCATGATGCGTGCCAACGATCTGGACGACATTGTCAACATCACGAACGGCACGGCCTACGGACTCGGATGCAGTGTATTTGGTCCTACTTCATCTTCGCTTTCGAATGCGAACCTTCAACACGTGACGAATAGTGTAAAATCAGGAATGGTGGCGGTGAATGACTTTGCAGTGAGGATTCCAAAGAAAGCCACAGATGGTCAGACCATTTTTTGCTGACGTTTCTCTATAACAGGCATACTATGTCGTCCAATTACCTTTTGGAGGTGTTGCTGGGTCTGGCTATGGGCGTTTCGCCGGGCGCGAGGGCCTACGAAACCTATGCAATGCCAAGTCAATCTGTTCCGATAAATGGCCGTCACTAATCAAGACGGCTATCCCGGCTAAATTGGATTACCCAATGCGGTCAAATGCGTGGCATGTGGCACGGGGTGTTGTTGAAGTGGGATATGGGGAGAGCCTTTCTCGGCGAGTGGAAGGCCTGCGCAAGCTGGTGGGATTCTGAGACCCGTGATCTCGTAACTGGAAGCCCGTCACGTTTCCACATGTCTCGTCCATGCAACATGTTACGGTACCATTTTTCTGGTACTGCGGCTGCGGTGTGGATTTTGTGAGTTGTGCTCGATCATCTGATAAGCGGTATTGACCACTCTGAGGCCTCGGCGAACCCGATCCCCCAATGGCAGGCTTATCCGCCGCAAACGCGTGCATGTTGGGTGTGCTGTTGGACGTGACCAAGTCTGCAAGGACAGCTCCTAGCTGCAGTCATCCTCCGACAGCTCCCACCAATCCCACCCTGCCACCTACCCACCTATCTATCCAAGCATCACGAGTCGCCGCCCGATGTCCACCACCGCGAGCTGTTGAAGATGGGTTCAGCCCACAAGACGTGGGATTCTGGACAATTGGATTCGCTGATTGTGCAAGTCGTACGGCATAGTCAAGCACCTAGAGCTCTTCAGACTTTGCGTGGCTCCATTCCACCCTCGATCTGAGTGGGCAGGACCGTGACCGGGGTGCTGCTCGAAGGCCTATATCTTCTCCCTTCTTCGTCCATTCTGCTCTCTTTCCGATCCAGACAGTCCATCAAGGTCCTTCCACTGCAAAGCTACTTTCACACAACAACACCAATCAACACCACCCACCACCACAAACAATAATCACAATGGCCGGCTGCGATTCTTGCTCCAACGCCAACTGCAACTGCGCTAGCGGCAGCTGCACCTGCGTGAGTCCCCAATGCCATCCTTGCTGTCCTTCATCTATCATCTCTACGCCACGACCCTATCGACTTTTGGCTGACAGTACGTGCGTTGTAGAAGTAAACACATCAACAACAATGTGCCCACCGGCATGAACGAGGGAATGTATGCATGGTCTACGTCCGCTCATCCCCGTTCGACAATGATTGCAAGCGGTGGTCGGTACGATGGCGGAGGAGAGGAGACGTGTTGCGTCGTCCGAGTTGAGTGGGTGATTTGAGGAGGAGTGTGCATGTTTCGAGACGCTCATTAGCTTATCAATCAAACTCGTCCCCGGGGAAGCATCTTTCTCTCTTCTTAAAACCTATGTCTTGTCGATGCGTGAAGACTCCGTCAAGTCAACTCGATGTTGGGCTGAACAAGATTGTGTGTCAACGTCGCCCGTGCTTCAGGCTTTGGTGAGGCTTGCATGTAGGAGTTGGTAGACGATGTGATCTACCATCTTGAAGTAGCGACGCTGTAAGTCTTCCCGAGTCAGCTCCTGCCCTTCTCAACTGATTGGCATCGCAGCATAGAGCCTCTCTTCAGGAGGACGTTATCGAAAAGCTGGGGACAGGCCCCTAGCAACACCCGCACGAGCAAGAGCAACCCCACATTCTCACGTGCGCATGATCAATCCCTGCACGTCATGCGAATGAACCCCACTAAATATGACGCGGGCTTTGATGATGAGCTGCCACATGAAAGCGGTTGCCTTGCAGTGAAACTTGGAAGACGTGGAACAGCAGATGCCGCCCAAACAATCCAACAACTCAGCCCCGAACAAAACCGAAGGTCCAAGCAAGAAGGAACTCGAAGCCATCAACGCCTACCTCGCGCAGAAACCAGACTTCGACCAGCTCCTCAAGAATTCTCCGAAGGATCAAACTCCTGCTAAGGTCGAAGAGTCAGCGTACCGTCGAAAGCTTCGAGAAGTAATTGCCGCCGCCGAAACCACGTAGGGAAAGTTGCAGCCATGCCTATCATTCCAGGAGATAAGGATCCAGGTGAGGACGATGCTGTAGGTATGTTAGTTGGACTTGGCTGACAATAAGGACAGAGATCAAGAACAATCTCGCAGAGGGCGCCAAAGGTGCTGAGCAGGCCAAGGCAGAGAGGACTGGCGGTGTTGCGTCGACAGAGCACCACAAGGCCAACCCGGGACCAGTGAGTCTCGGAGCTACGTGTACCCTCGACAACGCACAGCAGCTAACCACGCGCTAGGTGATCGCGGAAAACCTCCCGGAGGCTGCCAGCAAAGAAGAGCTCAAGAAGCGTGCAGAGGAGCTGAACAAGAAGTAGACCTCATGACAGATACGAGTTTCTAAGATCTTCCTATTACGGCGGAATCTCTTCTCCCTTCCAATCCCAGCACTTGCCTCTGTCGTTTAATGTCCGGCTGTTCACCACTTCCATCAGCTTTTCTGCGGCGAACTCTGGACTGAACAGCTTCTCTTCTTTCACATTCCCCCAAAAGTCTTTGCTCAGGTTTGTCTTGACGGTACCAGGATGCAACGCGATGCTCATGGCGTTGCCGCCAGAGCTAGGCTTGAGATAGTTGTCGAAGGACTTGGCGAGCTGGGTGACAGCTGCTTTCGAGCTTCGATAGCTATACCAGCCTCCCATCTGATTATCCGTAATGGAGCCCACTCGAGCAGACATCATCGCCCAAACCGCGCTCTTTGGCAGACCTTCCGCCTCTTCAACATTGACAGCTTTCTTTGGGAGGAATGGCGAGAAGTGCTTCATGAGCAGCATTGGGCCAAGCGTGTTTGTGCGGAAGGTAAGGAGGGCCTTGTCGTAGTCGATCTGAGCGGGCGACTTTTCGGGGAAGAGTAGGCCAGGGATGCACAGAGACAAGCATAGGTAGGACTCCTTCTCCGGAAATAGAGATGATACTTGCTTCGCTGCATCTGCAACAACATCCTCCTCTGGGAAGATGTCAGCCCAACGCACTACTCCTGACACATGAGACCATCTTACCAAGGACATCTAGCTTGACAACATGCAGCCTCCCTTCATCCACTCTACTGAGCCCCGAGAGCACATTCTCCTTCGTCTGATCGAGATCTTTCCGAGCAGTCGCAACGACTGGCACCTTGGATGTTTGCAGCAGTCGACGGGCGAGTTCAAGGCCAATGCCTCGAGACGCAGGGCTAACCAGCGCCCAAGGTTGCATCGTGGATGGTGAGTATAGGGGAAGGCGAATAGTGGAAGAACATGTTGTGCAGCGGCGACAATGGCTGCTTTGTTGACTGTGGAGTGATCTCCGAGAGGTTGTCAAGACTCGCAACCCAGATCGGAGGCGCAGATTGAGTTTCAAACTTTAGATCCAGCGAGCGGTAAGGTGGCCGTTAGTCGTGGCAAGGCATTGGGAATGCTCGAGCTATATGAGCAGTCAACAGCTCTAAAGGTGCTTTTGATCAGGCTGGTTATTGCTTTTCTTGATGGTTGTTCCAGGAAGGTACCAAGGGCATACGTGAAAGGCATTCGTTTGCAGCCCAGAAAACATGGCACACACCGACTCCACTACTTTTGACTCGTAGGCTGTCTCCTGTATTTACGGCTGTCACTTTGGTGAACTTTTTGCTCCTACCTTCGGCACCTGTCTCCAATCGAACATCCGCAGACGCCATCCGAGGAGGCCATGCAATGATGGCAGACCTTTTATTACAAGATTCTGGAAATGAAGCTTTTGACCCGGAAAGCGCTGCTCCAGCGTAACCTCGCGAAGCAAAAACAGCTCGATGCAGTCGTTACTACGCAGCCTCTCGTCGAAGGCACAGTTACGAAACGACGAGTGGTCCCTCCACCGGCTTATAGAGTTGCAAAATCTACAGCAGCTGCAGACGCTGGTAATAGAAATTTTTGTGAAGAATGTTGAACATGCCCCCTATCTAATCATTTCGCAGCTTCGCCACCTGAAGCAGACCAGCGGCCCCTGAAGAGGAGTACAGTCTCGAAAAACGGCGAGACATCGACATTCGTCAGGCTTCCTCCTAGTCAACGACCAATACAGAGACCTGTGTTGAAAGCATGGGAACCTCCTCTTCCAAAGCTTGTCCGACGCGGTGTGGGCAATCCATCACGCCGCCGCCCTTGGCTAGACTCTCTTTACCTGTTGAAGCTTGGCTATGGAGACCTCGATCAGCTGCAGTCCATCTTCAAGCAGGATGTCACATTTGTGGCTATAGACACCGAGTCGGAGCGCAGCGGTCTGCTGAGACATGTTGTTGAGATTGGAATATCAACGCTGGAAGCTCGAGATGTCTTTCCCTCCATTGAACCTGGTCCTCATGCTGATAATTGGGTCTCTTGCGTGAGGCACAGTGAGTCTATACAGGATTTGTGTCACTAGCTCGGGGAGCATGGCTAACTGTTGCTGTAGACCACATCGTTGTTGCGAATGCAACCATGCCTTATCAAAGAATGGGTCGTACCCAATTCGGATCGAGCACTTTGATCTCTAGTGACCAAGCTAAAGCTAAGTTGCTCGAGATCCTACAGACCATAAAGCCTCGCAACGGGAAACGACGCATTGCATTCGTGGGCCATTCGCTACAAGGGGATCTTGACGCGCTACGACGGAGCCCAAACCTGCAGTTGGACCTGCTGGACTCTGATGACATGGACCTGGAGATTGTCGCCAATTTCGATACACACCTTCTGGGAAGTCTTTGGAAGCAGAAAGGTGCTTTTGTGCCATCGCTTTCTCTCAGCGGTCTGGCGACTGCTGTTGGTGTCAACCCGAAGTACTTCTACAATGAGAAGCTGAGGGGTTGGCATAATGCGTCCAACGATGCAGCGTACACGATGATGGTGCTTCTGAAGCTCTTTGCCAGGGGACGTGATGGTAAACTCGACGACAGAAATGTCAAATCGGTCACCAAATCGTCAACAAGTGGCTGGACAGCACGGATTGTCGGTTTCCTTAGAAATTGGTTTTCAAAATAGCAATGGACGACATGCGGCTGGATGCAGTATCACTCACGCAACTCCATACGACAGTGGATGAAAACGAACAGTCCATGCAGCTCTGGGTCCAATCATTTGGTGTTCAAAAGGGGTATGTGAATGCTGGACAATTTACAAGGGGAGAAGTACCACATTGACAGCGAGGAGTAACTGACGTCACCTGCTCATCTTCAGCATATACAGCTACAGCTCCAAGGGACTGCTCTCCTTCAAAGGCGGCTTGTCCATTAAAAGACCTATAGCCCGCGCATGGTCAACGATGGCTGGCAGAATCCTGAAATTCAACTTCATGGGCGATGTCATGCTCGGACGACTGATCGACCAGCTATTTCCAGACCACGTTGATGAGCCAGAAGAAGCTGCAATTGTTCGGTCCTTTCAACATTCCAATCCAAAGCTCGCTAGCTACGGGCCAAAATCACCATGGGGCGATACCTTGACCGTGCTGGAGTCGAGCGACCTCAATTTCATCAATCTGGAGACGGCGGTGACCACTCATGCTCAGAAGTGGCCTGACAAGGTCTTCAACTACCGTATGCATCCAGCAAACATTCAAGCCTTGACAACAGCAAGGATCCACTACGCAGGTCTCGCCAACAACCACACCCTCGATTTCTCCCAAGAAGGCCTGCGAGAAACCGTTCAAACCGTTCGAAGAGCAGGCATAGCTTTCGCTGGAGCGGGTGATGACGAAGCAGGGGCAAGAAGACCTGCCATACTATCCCCCGCAGGTTCTGACCATCAAATCTGCATTTGGGCCGGCTCCGACCATCCTCGCGACTGGAAGACCGTCCCAGCATTCCACTCGATCGACTACTCCCAGAAAACCAAAGAGCGCCTCAGAGAACTCATCCAAAGCACCGCGCCCACCAACCCAGCCTTGAAGATCTGGTCATGCCACTGGGGCCCAAACTACGCATGGCAGCCCGCACAGCAGATCCAGGATCTCGCGCACTTCATGATCGACGAGTGTGGCATCGACATCGTGCACGGCCACTCCTCGCATCACGTCCAGGGCGTGGAAGTCTACCGGGGCAAGCTGATCATCTATGGCTGCGGCGACTTTGTGGATGACTACGCGCTGGTGGAGGAGTATCGGAATGATTTGAGTGGGATTTGGCAGGTTCATGTGGAAGAGCTGGGGGAGGAGTTGAGAGTGAAGAGGCTTGAGTTCTACCCGACCAAGATTGATCGGTTTATGGCGAGGAGGCTGGATCCTGGGGAGGCTGATTCGGCGTGGGTGAGGGAGAAGATTGTTCAGTTGAGCGCGGGGCTTGGGACGAGGGCGATTGATGATGATGATGTTGAGGGACGGGTTGTTGTTGATGTTGTCTAGCTCCGGATCTGGACGCTTTCCACATCTGAGATGGGGTGATGATAATTCCCCTGTATCCTACCTTGAGGCAAACGAGGAGGCTAAGGAGAGTCTTTTTCGCCAGACTTTACCGGGTTATGCGATGACGTTGGAGGAAGTGAGCCGTGGAGTAAGCGATATGGTAAGCTATACTCTATATGCTCCCTACTGCTTGACCTGTAAGCTCACTTGCTGTCTTTCCTTCCTCGTTCACTTTATGGCTCACTCTGGGGCTCCCTTGATCACCTTATCGGTATGTCCTTCATTTATTAGTTAACTCAAGTCTCGCTCAGCGCCTAACCCATCCTCTTACACCAACCACCAACCACCAATCCTCAACACCCGCGCCAACCCCAACCCGCTCATTTTTGATCATAAATCTCCCGCCACTCATCCTCCAACATACCCATCTCCACCAAATCCTGATACCGCCCATCATGCCAAAAGAAATCGCGCTTCCGCGCCTCGTGCACGAACCCCAACTTCTCATACAACCGCAGAGCATCCTGATTCCACGCAAACGCACCGATGCCGATCCGGTGCATGTTGGCGCGCTTGAAGCCCCATCGTAGGACCCACTTGATCGCCTCGGTGCCGTAGCCTTTGCCTTGGTATTCGCGGAGGACGTTGATGCCGATTTCGCCTGGCGTTGTTCAGTCAGCGTGGGAGGCTTTTCAGTGGACCATGGAGTTGGAGCTTACAGCGTCTGTGGTGTTGGTTGCGGATGTCTTCGCCTCGGAGGGTGATTTGGCCGATGGGGGTTGGTTTGGGCTTGTCTTTGTCTTTGGAGATTTCGATGGCCTTGTCGACTGTGCTGGCGGCGTCTTCGCCTGTTGGGGGGAGGCAGATGATTGCTGCGACCAGGAAGTCGGGGCTTTGGAGTTGTTCGCGGAGTCGGGCGGCGGTTTTCTTGCCTCGCGGTGCTGGATTGTGGTGGTCAGTGGTTTGATCTAATATTCTGGGTGTTTGAAGTCTTACATGGAACGTGAGGTGCGATGTTGAGGAAGGCAATTGGGTCGCTTGAGAGGCGTCCTAGAAATTCTTCATCTTCGTCGTCAACGCCACGATAGATCAAACGAGCAGAGCTCCAGAGATCGGCCATGGCTGTTCGAGTCTTGGGTTGCAAGGATGGGCAAGAAGAACAAAGCTGAACAGATAAAGTATTTCGTTGCCTTGCGGCCACTTACGCTCCTGCCGCATACGGAATAAGTCCTGGGAGACTCATCGCTCATACTTCTGGGAGTCATAACCCCATTCGGACAGTCCGATAGGCGAATGCTGACTGAAAGAAAGTACGGCTGATACATAGCTGCGAGAGGCCTCAACTTCGCCGGAAAAATCGAAGGTCGGAGTTCATTCGCGGTGATGAACGCGGTGTTCCTTCACCGCATCCTTCGACAGGTCCTTATCGGTGTGATGTCTTCACTTCCTATGCATCTGAGCTTGACCGGTGTGTGCACGCCACTCAATGTTATTTCACTCAGCACTCGCTGTCGAATGAGGCATTGTGGTCCGTTTCAGCTGCGGGGCAAGCTGCGTCTTCGAGCGAGGGGAGTTTCGAGGGTGGCTGGTTTGTCTGCGCGCCGCTGGGGCTGAAGGTGCTTGTCCACTGGATGGCCTGCATAGCAACTGTAGGATCGCCCGTCCGGGTTGAAGATTTAACAACATCGCTAGGGAAAGAAGAGGAGTGTTTGCTTCACAAGCTGCTAGATGATGAGGACACAAGAAGGATTGCAGGGTCCATGTGGAAGCTGGAAGCTGCTGGCCCAGCGAACGCGCAGCACTTCTTCGCCTCGCTCCTATTTTCGACCATTGGACTCGGGCAGATTCTCTTCGGCTGAGGATTTCTTCAGAAGGATTGTCTCGCTGTGTTATATCTGTGCGTGAGCTTTTTTGCTTGCGTTGAGAAACTGGAGTCTTCGGTTTCGGCGATTCTTCGTAGTGCATCCTACCACCTTGTAGTCTCGACTCCCGGCACGCTGGGTGGCATTTCGGGCTCGCATCGAAAACCTCTGCGAACACATGGGGGATCCTTGGAGCATGTACCACACCCCAGACCACCGAGCGTCGAATTCGCAACCACATGGCGTGTCTACCACCGGAGTGATTAGAAGAGTGTGGGAGATTGCAGGCTCTGAGACTCGTTTGGATCGGCGGTCCTCTGCTCCATGCCCAGGCTGCGACAAGCCCATTGGCGAAGGAGTCTGCTGGCCCTGGCAAGATCGGTGGTAATGGCTGACAATGGCAAAGACTGGCAAAGAACGGACCCCGCCTTGCCTGCGGTACAGGGCGTTGTTGTACTATTGAAAAGCTGCAGGTTATGCAAGTGGTGGTGCAGAAGACCCAGCAGCTCAGCCGGCCAAGGGGGCTGTCGGCAGAGCATTGCTGTTGAGCCAGCACCGGACGAGGTGACGGGAAATAGCATCAACCATGCTCGCCGCAATCATGGCCCGAGGAGGCGTTCCAGGGAGAGGAGAGGCGCAGAAGCGATGCCTCCTCACCATGCACCACGTTCAGGCCAGCAGCACATGGTGGAGCGTTGGTGGTGGGTCTGTTTCCCCAAGCATCTCCAGATCAAAGGACGAATCCTCCACCCCACTCTCCGCGCTCGGCAGCCTCCTTCGCGTGCGACCTTCAACTCCAGCATCCTGATGAGCACATCGTACACTTGACTCGAGGCGGCTTCACCATCATCAGCCAGTTGCCTACACAGGCAAAAGAGACCAGATTCCCCCGAGCGGCGTGAACGTCTGATTTCCAACGCCACCCCTCCCTGCCCCCATCGGCCCAGCGATCGCCGCCGAGACTACGACCTTCGGCTACCCTTTTAATTTGAGCCTCGATCCTGCCAGGAACAGTCGACGACAAGGTTCGCTCCTGCGCGTGATGCCACCCGGCCGCGGGGATTTCTGTCGTCCCTGCGAACCTGCGCGTGTTCTGCATGTGCCTGTCATAAACAGCTGCTGGTGAATACACCCCTCCGCAGCAGTTTTTCCGCCGTGCCACTTAAGTAGTAGGTTGTCGCTCCGTTACACTCAGCAGGGTTCCCTTCTGTTTCGCAGAGCAGTCTCCGAGAGCCTGCCATTCTTCTGCCAGTTTCCTTCCTCGACCACCAGTTGCGCGTCTTCCACGCGCGTCCACTGCTATCACAGCATGCTTCTTCTACATTCAGCGCTGCTCGCGGCGCTACCACTGGCTCTCGCCCAGACCGCGCCTTTCGCCAACACATCTACGCCCGATTCGCCATTGACGAATGCCACATCCCCGCCGAAATACCCTTCCCCGTGGGGCTCTGGGCTCGGCGACTGGGCCGAAGCCTACCAAAAGGCAGAAGCTTTCGTCAAGCAGCTCACTCTGCTCGAGAAAGTCAACTTGACCACCGGTGTCGGTTGGGAGAGTGAAAAGTGCGTCGGCAATGCTGGCAATCTTCCACGACTTGGGTTCAAGTCTCTCTGCCTTCAAGACTCGCCCCTTGGTATTCGATTCGCCGACTTTGCCTCTGCTTTCTCTTCCGGTAGAAAAACTCCCAAGCTACCCTCAGGATGTTTTCAGTCTGACTGGCGAAATAGGTGTGACCGTGGCTGCGACATGGGACCGCAAGCTGTTCTACCAGCGAGGATACGACATGGGCACGGAGCACAAGCTCAAGGGTATTGATGTCCAGCTCGGGCCTGCTATTGGGCCACTTGGTCGTACTGCGGCAGGCGGTAGGAATTGGGAAGGCTTCAGTCCTGAGTGCGTGCATTGCAAAGTGGTATTGGTGGACTCTGCTGATCTGTCACCAGTCCTTCACTTACCGGAATTGCTGTCTACGAAACCGTAAAGGGTATTCAAGATGCTGGTATCATTGCTTGCACCAAGCACTACATTGCAAACGAGCAGGAACACGTACGTATACCCAAAGGTAGAAGATTTTAGTATGTGAGGCAGGAGCTAACTTTCATTTCTTCTGTTTCAGTTCCGCCAAGGATCGCCTCCTAGCTACTTGACTGCCGCAATCTCTTCCAACCTCGATGATGTGACGATGCATGAGCTCTATCTCTGGCCGTTCGCCGATGCAGTCCGCGCCGGAACAGGCGCTGTTATGTGCTCATACAACCAGGTCAACAACTCCTACGCCTGCCAAAACTCATACTTGCAAAACTACCTCCTGAAGAATGAGCTTGGTTTCCAGGGATTCATCTTGTCAGATTGGAGCGCTCAACACAGCGGTGTCAGCAGTGCTCTTGCGGGACTTGACATGACCATGCCCGGTGATGTCTCCTTCGACAGCGGTACTTCGTACTGGGGACCCAACCTGACCATTGCCGTGCTCAATGGTACTGTCCCTCAATGGCGACTCGACGACATGGCAGTTCGCATTCTTGCATCGTGGTACTACGTCGATCGTCCTGGCAACCAGGTTGAAAATTCACCAACGTTCTCCTCCTGGACCCAGGACACCTTCGGTTTCCAGCACGCCTACGCCGAGGAGCGTTACACGCAAGTCAATTACCACGTCGATGTTCAGCGCGAGCATTACCTTGGAATTCGTGAAGTCGCCGCTAAGGGTACTGTTCTCCTGAAGAACACGGGTGCTCTGCCGTTGACTGGAAAGGAGAAGCTTACGACGGTCTTTGGATCGGATGCTGCCGAGAACCAATATGGACCCAATGGATGTGCTGATCGTGGATGTGACAACGGAACTCTTGCGATGGTAAGTGAAACGCACGGTGCCATCATCTCTCTGGTTCTTGAGACGCGACCACGCCTCTTTCACGTTTTGGTCATGTCAGATGGCCTGCAAGTAATGGGGGTTGATTTCCCCTTTTGGCGGAACACCGAACTACCTGAGACGGGCCGGGACAATGGCTGACATACTTCTTTATCGCAGGGCTGGGGCAGTGGAACCGCGAACTTCCCCTATCTAATCACCCCTCTCGAAGCCATCAAGGCAGAGGTGCGCAGCAACCGCGGAAACATCGAGTCGGTTATCGACGATTACGCCTACACTCAGATTGCAGCGTTGGCACGCCGTGCTGGCGACGTCGATGGCGTATGTCTTGTCTTTGCGAACTCTGACGCTGGAGAAGGCTACATTGTGGTCGACGGCAACGAAGGCGACCGCAACAACTTGACACTGTGGCACAATGGCGATACACTGATCCAGAACGTCACTTCTCAGTGCAACAACACCGTCGTGGTGTTGCACACTGTTGGGGCAGTGCTTGTGGATGAGTGGTACGAGAACCCAAATGTCACCGCCATCATCTGGGCTGGTCTTCCTGGTCAAGAGAGCGGCAACGCCATCGTCGACATCCTTTACGGCAAGGAGAACCCTGGCGGCAAGACTCCGTTCACTTGGGCTGCTGCGCGCGAAGACTACGGCACTGAAGTTCTCTACGAACCAAACAACGGCGTCAATGCTCCACAGGACGATTTCACAGAAGGCATCTTCATTGACTACCGCCACTTCGACAGAGCGAACATCACTCCCATTTATGAATTTGGCTTCGGACTGAGCTACACCACGTTTGAATATTCAGACATCCAGGTCCAGGCCCACCCCAGCAAGCCTTACACACCTACCTCAGGTATGTGACATGCGATGAGCACTCATAATCGTATATATGCTGACGTTTCACAGGCCGTACCTCTCGAGCACCGACATACGGTGCCATCAACAACGACACATCGGCCTATCTGTACCCTGACAACTTCACGCGGATCGAAGCTTACATCTACCCATACCTCAACTTCACCTCGCTCTCGCAGTCCAGCGGTGACCCACAGTACGGCATCAACTACACCTTCCCAGCAGGTGGATACGACAGTAGCCCGCAGCCTCTCGTTCCAGCAGGAAGTAAGGTCTCGCCTGGAGGTAACGAGGCTCTTTACGACGTTCTCTTCACCGTCACTGCGTCCGTGACAAACACCGGCAAGGTCATTGGCGATGAGGTAGCTCAGCTTTACGTCTCGCTTGGAGGACCTAACGACCCCAAGGTCGTTCTGAGAAAGTAAGTGAAATCTTAGGCGATGTTAAGGATGGGGTTGCTGACTTTTGGCCTTTAGCTTCGATCGCTTAACCATTGCCCCTGGCGAGACCGCTACATTCAAGGCAGACCTCACGAGGAGAGACTTGAGCAACTGGAACACCGCCGCCCAGGACTGGCTCGTCTCCAATTACACGAAGACCGCGCACGTCGGCAGCTCCAGCCGGAAGCTGCCTCTCAGCGCTCCTCTGAACATTGGCGGCGGAAGCAGCCCGAGTCCCTACTAGGAAGGAGACGTTTCGTGAGGTAAATTGTTGCGAAAAGTAGCGTTCATTTAAGCAGACCGAATGCATTGTCTTAGGATCGAGTCTGTTATGATCGGGATGTAGTACTTGAACAGAACCGATCATTTACTTCGAGTGAATTTACAGTTTCAAGCTCGACACAAGCTGTTGCGCTACGTTTCTGAAAGCCGCCGCTTGAGGTGAGTCGGGGCTCGCGACGACTGTAGGCTTTCCGGCGTCTGCGTCTGTGCAGATCTGAGCGTGTAGTGGGATGTCTCCCAAGAGTGGTAGGCCGAGCTCGTCGCACTTATTTCTGGCGCCTGAACAAACATTAGCACCGGTCTGCTAAGACGAAACCGTCCATTCGAACGTACCATCCAACCCAAAAATATCATGACTATGCCCACAATTCGAACAAGTAAAAGTACTCATATTCTGCACCATACCCAAAATCGGCACCCCGACCTTCTTGAACATCTCGACCCCTCGCGTCGCATCCCTCAACGCCAGATCCTGGGGCGTCGACACGATCACCGCGCCGTCCAACTCGATGCTCTGCGTGATGGTGAGCTGCACGTCGCCCGTGCCGGGCGGCAGGTCGAGGACCAGGAGGTCGAGTTTCGGCCAGGAGACTTCGAAGAGGAGTTGGTTCAGGGCTTTTTGGAGCATGAGGCCGCGCCAGGCGATGGGGCTGGTTTGGGGGACTAGGAAGCCCATGGACATTGCTTTGATGCCGTACGAGGTTAGGGGGAGGAGGCGGTTGTGTTGGTCGAGGTCGGGTTCCAGGCCTTCGAGCTGGGGGTTCATCGTCAGCACATATTCTTGGGGGATGGTCGGTGTTCTTACATTGAGTAAAGTCGGTATGCTAGGTCCGTAGATGTCCGTGTCTAGAATTCCTGTATGAAGGCCTTGCTGCGACATGGCGAGGGCGAGGTTCGTTGCTATGGTGCTTTTGCCCACGCCGCCTTTGGCGCTGCTGACGGCGATGACTTTGTTGACGTTTGGGATGGGTTTCTTTTCGGGGAGACCTGGATAAGGTTAGAAATTGCTTTCGAATACTTTGAGACAGACTTGTGAGAGCAAGTAGATTCAGAGTTGCTGGAAGATCGTCTAGACTCACCTCGTTTCATTCGGGCGGCGAGATTGGGAGGTGTGCCTGCTCGAGGCAGGCCCTATTGATGGAAAGATTCAGAAGTTGCATATTGATACGACGATTGTTCAATTTACCAATGGGTTCTCATGGCCAGCTGCTTGTGGCGAAGAGCTGGAGAAGGAGCATTTCTGTTGCCAAAGGGCAATCTTGAACACCTGTCGTCTCACCGCTGACGGCAAATGCAATATGGCACCAAACTGAGATGACATCGTCAATGCAGGAAAAGACACGTCAATGAGGTTGTGTTTCAAAGATCCAGGAGCGTTCGTTTTGAGTTTGATATACCGCGATTAAAGTTGTGGCTGGGGCCTTGGCGGATCGACCTCATCTTGCTCCGAGCTCTACACTTCACCTTCTTCTCCCAAACATCAACCATGCACGCCACCATCTTTGGATTTTCCTAGTGTACACGTTCAAAGGATATTCGCCAGCCGGTGACCATTGCTTGGGCCAATGCTGTACACCGCCAACTCCCGTACGCCCGATCCAGATACGCTCGCATCATCAGTCTGGCACTTGCCTTTCAATTCCTCGCCTCCCTTTGCACGACCTTCGGTCTGGGCTCTGAAAATGATGATGGATTCGCGTTTCGAAGCTCGCTGTAGCTGACGCCCATTCGACGAGCGTAAAGTCCGGGATCCAAGCCTTTCCCCTGCGACAGAAGTTCGCCGTGGATGATGCAGCGGTCGCAGTATCCTCGCCCAACGTCGAAGTAGGACCATTGGACATTGGTGCATCCTCCACGATGTCTTGCGGATTCGCAGCGAGTGAGTGTGCCACTCTCATGTACAGTCCCGCCGGCCTGCGTTCGGATCAGCATTCGGCTTGTTGTAGTCTTTCTGGAATTGTGCCCTACTTACGGCATGATGACACTCTGGATGTCTTGCAGCTCTTCGAATGCACATGATGGATGATGGCTGGCCGAGTTTTGATCGATTTCGCGAAGGAGATGACCGTCTTATATCTACCTGTCACTCCACCTTGAACATGGCGGCACCTTCAAGATATACGACCTTCTCGTGCATTCGCTTCGAATGCGAAGCTTGTAGGGCATCATGCTTCATCTTCCTGGTTGCTATGCTTGAAACCGATTAGGAAAACCTATCGAACCACATCGGGATGATACAACACGAAGACCCGAGCAATTCCTCGTTCACGGGAGACCTCTTCAGACTTCGGAACTCCATACCAGCTCGCTTCCCTCGAGTTACGTCGTTCAGCACCATCTCTGCCTCCCAAAAGCATTTCTTTGAAATCCTGCTAACCATAACCAACGAGGAAAGCGAAGATAGCTTTGCCTCAACCGAGCATGTCCATGCGCATGAGCATAACTACTGTCCGCGCAATCCGCGCAGCTCCCGCCGCTGATGAGGCCGTCATCCCATCCGATACGATACGGAAGGCTTGCCCTGGGAGGCGTCAGACTTCTATGTGCGTTTGACATAAAGGCTTACAACCGATTCCGCCACATCTTAAGCTTATCTCAGAAGTGAGACGTGTCCGAGGTGTACAGATTAACGAGATCTCGAAACCTTCCAACACCCAATACCAAGAGATTGGTCAACTGTCTGGTTTTTGAGATGTCCAACAAGGACAACACGGACTCCTGTTGTGGTACCTAGTAGACTGGGCACATCTTTCTCTGCTGAACTCGGTAGATCATTGCAACCGAGGCGAATTGGGTTCAATGATCTTGACAGTTACTCTTGCGGCCGAAGTACATGCTGTTACACAAGTGGCGTTCAGCCGGAGGCGGCTGGCAGACCTGGCGAGACCGCGACGCCACACTTGAGACACTAGTGGAGGACTGCACTTGTCACAGGCTCTAACAACTTCGCTACGCAAGCCCTCTCTGGTGAGAATGACTACATAAACGAAGCCAACTCCGCATGAGGCCGCTCTTAGCAGAATGCGGTCACCTTTTGGAGCAAACGCTGTCGCCTTGGCTAGCTGCGATGGCGCCGTCAAGTGTGGAGGTCGACGTCAGAAATGCAAGGCAAGAGGGCTCTTGTCGCGGACTACAGATCATACACGGCCAATCATGCCTCACATCGCAGTGTTTCAAGAGGAACCCTTCTCGGTCGCCAGACGAACTTCCTCCGCAAAGCCCTCTTTCCAAGCTTCAGCGCCTTTGACGGGACGCCAGCCCAACTTCCTCGCGATGGCGCTCTCCGTCCGGGAATTGCTTGAGAAGCCTTGCTCCATCAGCTGCTTGCCATGTCCAGCGCTGACGTCCCACCCTTTCAGGAAGATTTCAGCTCCGTCCTCAAGGCCGACCGACTTGACCTCGCGGGTCTTGATCTTGCCAGCCTCGTACGCAGCGTCGGCGGCACCTTGCACTGCCTCACCCCAAGAGAACCGACCATTTCCGGAGAAAATGATCCCCTTTCGTCCGAAGGGCACGCCGTCTCCGCCCTGATCGATGATGCGGAGCAACACGAGTTCGTACAGAAGAGCCAAATCACTCACGTGGACATTGACCATGTGTCAGCACGTGTTGGGAGCGAACAGAAAATGTGAGGCGACTTACGTGGTCCCATTCACCTTTACCCTCGCCCGCGACGATCGCTTGGCCTTGGGATAGAGCAACCTTCACGTACGTCGGGATCTGGATGCTACTCTTATTCCATTCGCCCGAGCCGACGCCGAAGATGGTCGGACTCATGATGACCAACGTCTTCACGCCCTCTTGCAGACCCGCGTCAACGACGCCGAGCTCAGTCGTCCGCTGTGGGTATGGTTCCTTCGCATCTGCGGCTTTCTCAAGCCCATACACATCGTCCTCGGTATCGTCGAACACCCTCTTCTCAACATAGCCTTCGGTGAAAGGACGATCCGCGAGATTCGACGTCCCAGACGTATGGATCATGAACACATCTTTCCCGGTCGTCTTCTTCCGTCTAGCGAGACCGTGGATGATGGCAATCGTACTATCTGGGTGCCAGCCTAAAGTCGTGTTGATGACAACGTCGTGCTGACTGGCGACCTCAATCGTGCGGTCGACGTCGTCCAGACCCGAGTAGAGTTCCGCCTTGACGCGATCGCCGTAGACGTCCTGCAACTTGGACACGCGGTCTTCGCCTCGGACGATGCAGGTGATGGTTTGGAGAGCTGGATGGTCGGATTCGATCAGTTGGGCGAGGATCGTGCCGCCGATGTAACCTGTCGCTCCGGTGAGGAGGACTTTGGACGAGGACATTGTTGCGGATTGTGAGGTTGGAGTCACTATGTCGGGTAGGTGGTAGGGTCTCTTCGCGAGCGGTGAGGAGACAAGATCAAAAGTGAATGTAGAAAGCAGTTTTCCTGACTAGCACCAACAGTATACGTGTACTCCGACGACACGGACTTTACCACGGCATCAAGACGCATTAACTCCTAGTTGCACAGAAGACTCTCTTGCGAAACCCAGCAGCACGTCCAATGTCATCCAAACGTTCGTTCCCTGAAATCTAGGGTTCGGAAAACCTAATGTCTCCGAGCGAAGCACAGCACGTAGCAGACTTTGGGCATGTAACATGAACTCAAGACACTCGAGAAAATTCATCTCTCCCAAGGCCAACCTATTCGAGCGATGTGGTCTTACAAATTGAAGCCTTAAAGTCGGAGTTGGGGCATTATATAGGGTGTGCATTGTGAAGATCTCATGGGAGTCGGTGGTATGAATCTATCCGGTTCTTCTTGTCGATCGATTTGGGAGGGCATACATGTATTTAGCTATGGCTGGTCTCATTCCGTGAGGAAGGGCTAGGAAGTTCAGAGTGTCCATCCATCTCGACGACTGCTTTGTTTTATTTGAAGAGTTATAGGCAAATCGAGGTCTGACCTGAGCTATGGACGCTTTTCGCGGATATTCAGCCTACCACTATCACGGGTCCAAGTGTTGGATGACAAGTGCTGGATATTTCAGCATGCTTGGATATCCTGCTCTGCTGGGTTGGGGTTCAGTCTTACAAAGGGGTCGATGGGACGACTGTAGATGGTGTCAATGGTGGCCACTTGAGCTGATGGTCTACGGACAAAGACTCACCATCTTCGGTTGTTGCTGTGATCCTCGACTCTGGTCTTGTTTCTGGTCTTGCTTCTGGTCTTGCTTCTTCTGTTCTTGTCTCTGTTCTTGCTTCACTTCACGCTTGCCTCTTCACCTGGGTCCTCGCTCTAATCGTCAATCCAATCCTCACCAGTTTTCTGACCCCAATTGTTCAACCAATGCCTGCAGCTGGGCACACCACTATCATCCAAAGTTTCGAATTGGAAGATCGTAACAAACTTTTTCGACTGCGACAAGTCCGTACAGGTTGGGTTCTGCTCCACGACGTCCTCGTCCGTGAGTGCGACCCACTGCGCAGATGAACTGGGTCGGATAGCCTCCCAGAGCGTTCTCACTGAGGCTTCCTTGTCCAAGGGAATACCCGGGAAAGAAGACATTTGTCGTCGGAGGTCGTGGAGACGTGTGATGCCGAGCAATTCGCGGGTGCATTTTGCGATGGCGAGGAAGCGGAGACCCAGAGCTGGTAGATACTGTCTGGAATTTTGGTAGCCGACAAGCGAGACCCATAACAGGCCAGCGAGACAGCCTTCTTCTTGCCACTCGGCGACGATTCCCGGACAGCTTTGGAGCGATGCGTCCAGCCTGACGAGAAGAGATGGCCACAGAGGTCTTGCCTGAGGGAGCCAGAATCTAGCGGCGGAGAGCCAGCACAATTGCATTGCTACGATCAGCACCCGAACATGTGGCTTGGCCGTGATGGAGAGTTGGCATAGCTGGAACGCTATGAGGTAGAGTAAATTGGACGGGGCCTGTGTGACGATATTCCTGTCTTCTGCGATGAAGCAGGCCTCGCTCAGCTTCGAAAGCAGTTCGAACGTCCCTTGGCTACCATACCCGGGGCCTAAGTCAGGTATGCTCTTGGACGCCTTGAGGGCATTTCTGCGAGCCTCTTGCAAACGTCCCGGGGTTGCACTTGTGTGCTTGTCGCCCGGCGACGGTAGTCGGTAGGGCAAAAAGGGAGGCCATGCGAACGCGGTAGCGATGAACAGGTCGATCCACGAGCACATGACCCAGCACGCAGCGCCTTGGAGAGAGTGGATTCGATTCAGGGCTTGCACAGCCGTCATGTGGGCTCTTGCAGTAGCATGGTCGCCCTCTCGAAGCGAAAACAGGGCGAGTCCACACATGGCAAGGGCGGCCTCTGGGTTGGCGGATGCGAAGCCATCGTTAACATTCTGCTGTAGCAACTTGATGACCCGACTTTGCATGAGATAAAAGTCCTTTAGATGAGTGCGGCCAGACAAGACGGTCCGCTTGTGCACGACCAGGAGCATGAGGAAGCTGAAGCTCACGTCCGACCTCGAGGCTACATTCCAGAAGTGTTCACCCCAGGCCTGGGAGGATGTAGTGACCCAGCGCCCAGAAGACTTGGGGTCGACTTGGCTGGCGAAGAACCATTGCGAGAGTTCGTGCAGATCGGCAATGCTGGAGCCGTCGATAACGCCATATGGGTCCTCCACGCGCAGGCGCGGCAGCCTTGCAACCAAGGCTAGGGAGGCCTGATGGCCTGAATCGTCGTCTTCATCGGTTGGTGGCAGCATGCCTGAGGCACGTGAGGTGCGGTGGAGGGACGCGGAGAAAGGGAGCGAGGATTCGAGGACGGGCGTGCTGCAGATGCCCGTTTGGGGTTGCCACTGCTCGGCATCTGCGAGGCCGAGAGGCTAACGCATGACATATCCGGCCTCAGGTGCGTGCGTGCGTGCGTGTGGTGTCATCCGAGGAGGGCTGTGCGCGACGTCACTGCAAAGTGTACTCGATGCCGTACGAAAGTATACTACGAGTGGTATTGCTTAGTAGCGGCAGCGTCTGCCTCGTCGATACTCCCGCCCACGGCGTTACCGGTCGGTCGCTAGCCCAGTCATCCTGCCCTCGTCGCGTAGCCACGGCGTACGGCTGTCCGATGGAGTGAGTGAGACGATACCATCGTAGTCCCAGGCCGCTCGTCACCGGTGCGTCGGCTGACTATTGCTACGGTACGAGAGAGACACAATACATCACCTGCCCGGCCCTGTCCTGTCGCCTTCCACCGTCTTCTCCCCCGCCGCCACGTCCATTTCCATTTCTTACTCGTCCGCTTCGTGACCACTGAAACATCTTCCTCGTCGACACGCCACACAACACAACAACAAGTCTCAATCCTCTCGTATCCGTCTTGAGCTAGAAAACAGCACCACAGACTCGCCAACATGGCCGCTGCGGACTACTACAACCCGGGCGGCCAGCAGCAGCCAGGTGGACATCCACCAGCCCCAGCCCCAGCATATCCGCAGCAACTGCATCCGTCGCAGCAGAACAACTCGCTGAACGTCAATCCTCCGTAAGCATCCCCAGTCTGCGAGCCCTGCTGCGAAACAACTGACATGTTCTGTAAGGTATCCCATGTCCGACGCTCCTCCCCCATACACAGCCTACGCCGAGCCTCCACGACCTCACTCGCAACCGCCGCCGCAGCATCGACCTCCCGTCAACGATCAGTATAGACCGCCGCAGCCTCCGAACGGTCATGCGCCAACCCATGCCTATCCTCCAGACAAAACACCTCGACCTGTACCGGGGGTGCACAATATGTACAAGCCGTCAGACTTTGGTGGTGGAGGATCACATACACCACAACCCTACCAACAACCCGCACCGCAGCCACATCCCCAGCAAGGTCAAGAATACTTCCCACTAGCAGGCACACCCGCCATGGCACAAGTATATGGAAACGGCAACAACAACGGCCGCAGACCATCCACAACACCAGGCTACAGACCCCCCCGCTCGCCCTTCCGCGACGACCACAAGCGCGACGGATCCAGATCCCGCAGCCGAAGTCGCAGCCGCAGCCGCCATCGAAAACAACACCACCACGACCGACCCCAGGGTCCGCGCAAGAAGTCCTCCGGCGTGAACACCTTTCTGGGCGCCGGCGGCGGTGCGCTCATCGGAGACGCCATCTTTCCCGGGCTCGGCACGCTGGGCGGTGCGATTCTGGGAGGACTCGGGGGACACGAGTACGGCAAGCGACGACCGCATAGTAACCCGAATCGATCGCGGGGGAGGAGTTATAGTAATGATTTTGACTATGGGGATGAGTATCGACGGGGGAGGAAGTACTGAAGTGCGGGCATCTATGAATGAATGATGAAGTGACGATTTTTCATGATTGAATTGTGTGAATAAAGGACTTCGACGCGGGCCGTTGAAGCAGTATGAGAAGAGATGAGTATTTTTTGAGGGTTTCGTTAGATATACCAATCTGGGTGGCGATTTTGTGAGATACCTTCAACAGCACTGTGTATGTACCATGAGATTTGCAGTGTGTACTGCCAAGACGCGAATACAGAAGCCAGTTGACAGTATGGCTCACAGTGAAGATCTGTCCTTCATTATTTAGATGTATGGAAGAAAGCTCTTCCAGCAAACAGCTCTGTCAACACCCTTTTTATTACCGATTCACCCACACTCAGCAAAGCCGAGCTGTTGGTATCGATCAACCCCTCCTTTTGCTTGCTGGAGGAGGAGGAGACGGCACACATGCACACGCATGCTTATTGAGCGGGCGGAAGGGAGAAAGGGTAAGATGTACATGTAATTGATCATCTCATCTCCATTCATTCAGAAACAGACAATAATTGAAAGCTTCCATATTTTCCCTATTGATTTCCTTTGCCATCTTTCAACGCTTCCTCCCTTCTAGATAGAACTTGAATTGAGAGTACTACAATGTCGCAGAATGGCATAGGAGGAGGTGATGAACAGCAATACGATGCCCTCATCGTCGGCGCCGGCTTCGCGGGCATCTACACGCTGAAGAGTCTGCGTGATGACCTCGGGCTTAAGTGTCTCTGTATCGATCAAGCGGGCGATGTAGGCGGGACGTGGTAAGTCCATCCACCCACCCACCCATCCATCCATCCTCCCAAGCTGACATTGTCAAAAAGGTACTGGAACCTCTACCCGGGCGCCATGTCCGACACAGAATCCTACGTCTACCGGTACTCCTGGGACAAGGACGACCTGGCGACGTATCCCTGGAAGGAACACTACGTCAAGCAGCCGGAGGTGTTGGCGTATCTGCGGCATGTGACGGAGAAGTTTGGATTGAGGCGGGATATGGAGTTTGAGACGATGTTGGTGGGGGCGGAGTGGGTTGGGGAGAAGGAGGGGTGGAGGGTCACGGTGAAGGGGAGGGAGGGCGAGAGGACTGTGCGGGCGAGGTATGTGGTTATGGGGTTGGGGTTGTTGTCGAGGCAGAATGTGCCGGATATTAGGGGGATGGATGGGTTTGAGGGGGAGGTGAGCTGGAGTGTTTTCCTCTTGGTGGGGTTTGGGTGCGTGGGTGTGCTGATGGGTGACATAGATGGCGCATACGGGGAAGTGGCCTGCGGGGCTTTCTGTTGATGGGAAGCGTGTGGGCGTTATTGGGTCTGGTTCTACGGGTATTCAGGTGGGTTGGGATCTCAAGTTGTTGAGAGAAAGTTGGCTGATTTTGCCGATTCTAGGTCATCTCAGAGGTAGGTCGATCATCATGGCCTGGGTGAGGGTTGGTGCTGAGATTGCTGGGTTTTTAGATCGCTCGCAAGGTCAAGACTTTGACGTGCTTCCAAAGGCATCCACAGTATAGTGAGTCAGGGAAACTGGAGACCGTGCAACGTTGTGTGCTGACGATGAGTAGGCGTTCCTTCTGGTGATAGAAAAGTGACTACAGAGTATCGACAGTGGGTAAATGAAAATTATGATGAGATTTGGAAAACAGTTAGAGATTCCACGACGGCGTTTGGATTCAAAGAGAGTACGTACCCGCTCCTGTCTATACCAACGAACAATACGCTGACTTACCCACATGCACGATATCGTACCATGAGGTCGGCCCAGAGGAGCGACAACGGATCTTCCAGGAAAATTGGGATAAGGGAAATGGATTCCGCTTCATGTTTGGAACTTTCAACGACATCTCGATCGATGCCGAGGCCAACGAAGGTGCTTGCGAGTTCATCCGGAGTAAGATTGATGAGATTGTGAAAGATCCAGAAAAGGCGCGCAAACTGAAGCCGTATGATCTGTACGCCCGACGGCCACTGTGTGATGGTAATGCTTCGAGTGGGCAGACGTACTTCGAGCAGTTCAACCGGCCGAATGTCGACATTGTTGATTTGAAGGAGACGCCGATCGATCAGATCGAGGCCAAGGGCATTCGGACCGGTGATGGCCATCTGCATGAACTGGATGTGATCATCCTGGCGACTGGATTCGATGCTGTGGAAGGTAATTACAACCGCATGAGGATCCATGGTCGAGGAGGCAAGACTCTCAAAGATGCGTGGGAGGAGGGTCCTACCAGCATGTTCGGCGTACACATTCCGGATTTCCCGAACTTCTTCATGATCAATGGTCCTTTAGGTCCATTCACCGACAATCCGCCGGCGATCGAGGCTCAAGTAGAATGGATCACATCGATCATCCAAGAAGCAGAGAAAGCATCAACCTCGTCTGCAGTAATCGAAGCGACTCGAGATGGCCAGAGACGGTGGTCCGAGGAATGTGAGAAACTGGCGGCGAACTCGCTGTTCTGGAAAGCAGAAGACAACTGGATCTTTGGCGCGAACATACCTGGCAAGAAGAGGTGTTTGCGGTTCTATTTTGGCGGGATGGGAGGATTCCACGAAGAATTGCGCAAGTGTGCTGCAAACCATTACCCCGGCTTTGAGCCTTTTGCGCAAGAGCAGGCAGTGAAAGCGTGATGGGGTACGGGGTACGGGGTGTTGTTGGCAATGTGTACTAGCAATGAGGTGATACGTCGAGCTTCTGTAGTGCAAACACTGATGGCGTGTGTCGTGAATTATCCGGGGTCGAAGCGCTGCGATTTGCTTGTGTTTGACACACCTGAGGATGGGTACTGTATGAGTCCCTAGAATTGTCAATGTGCAGGCGGCCTAATGCTCGTTGTTGCCCTGCCAATACGAGGCGTAGCACAACAACCTTGCGGGCGGCGTGCTGGCGGGAACGATGCCGAACCAACATGAAGCTTCACAGCTGCCAGTTCACGCTCACCGGCGCGTCCTCGCTGGAAGATGGCATTCGACGTATAGCATGCAGACGATAGTGAGCCTGTCGATGGTGCTGGCGGGATGTCGGAAGAGGCGGGGCGGTCAGAGTGATGATGGTGAGACGGCGATGGGGGACGACGGCGAGCAGTGAGGCGTGACTTGGTGGTTGCTGAAAGGAACGCGCATGTGCCAGTCCGGCTAGCGCCATCTGGGTGATCAGCCGGTGATTAGGTTAGTCCAGCCGGAGACGACGTCTTGACCGTGATGGCAGCAACAATGCAGTGCACTTCAACGGGGGAATACGAGTATTCTTGTGATGTAGTTGAAGAGGGAGGGGAAGGCGGATGATTCTTTGCTGTTGTGTTGTTTCGCTGTGTTGTTGTGGTGGTGTCTCGGCCGGACACGCACAGCTGCAGTAGCCGGTTTGAACCCTTTGCTTCCTGGCGCCGAGTCAGAGCAGCAACAGCTCGACGCTCGTGATCGCCCGCCCTCCAGCCCGCCCTCATCACAGGCCACTCCAGCAACTGCAACTGCACTCGGCCTCCAGTCGACTGGAAGCGCGCCGACTAGCTGCTCCCCATCCGACTCTCTTGTGCCACCCTCGCCTCTGCCAACCGCAGCGCTTGACATTGCTGCTGCTGCGTCGACACTGCCTTATCATCTCCACCTGCCAGGCAGCTGGACCGCTCGTGTGCTCTCATCTGGATGCCTCAGTCGTGACCATGGCCTCCCACAACTAGCCCCAGTCATCTGCCTGCTCATTACGTCCACTCTCTACGTATACCACACCTCAATACTTGCAGCATCGACAAGGCTGCCGTTGCCATGGAGCGATCCACAAGCCGCTCCGGCTCGACCACCACCCCGTCTTAGGAAAGGACCTCGATACACACGCACATAGCCCCATCCTCTCCCCACCGAAGAGACTCGATCGCGGCCCCGAGGCGCCGCATCGCCTCGTTCCCACAGCAATGCATCAACACCCACGCCCCTCGCCTCGGAGCGCTTCTGCTGCGAGCAACCCCACCACCAATCCAGAGAGAACAAACAATTCCAGAGAACAGCCGCCCCAACGAACACGATCAAGCGTGGACTTGGCCTCATACACAGAAAGAGCACATGCGGATACTTCTGAAGGCAGTCGAAGAGCCAATGCCGCTGTTGGCGATGATCGGGAAGCTACAAAGCTCAATCAGATCATACAGGTATATATGACTGCGTTCTATATCCATGGGACAGTGGCTAATTGGTTGGCTGCAGCACTTCCACTCCAAGGCTGCGTTGATGATATGCTCTTCCCGGGCAAACCTGCCACAGGTGTATACCCGGAGTGGGGATATCAAGCAGAACAGATGGGTGAGTTAATTCTTTTCTTTCTAAGTTCCGGGTGATTATTCCAGCTTTGCACTCCCCACCCTTCTCTGCCTTTGCTTTGGTCAAGCCAATGCATTTATGGTGGAGAATTCGCTGTGATTGGGGCAACGAGTTAAACCATTCGACTTCTTGGTGGACAACTCTATTGGTCTGACCTGCCAGTCTGGTCCTGCCAACAACACGCCATTGCACATCTGGACAGCCAAACTAAATGCACAAGCCATCGGCGAGAGTTCGCGCTGACTTTATATCACAGTTCAACAGTGTCCTCGATGAAACCGACGTCATTTCTGATGACCTTGAGCCATGGAGGAGACCCGATCTGGCCACGAGAAGGCCACCACCCCTTGTGATTGAGGTTTATCTCGACACTTCCCACCTGTCCCAAAATCAGGCTTTAATCATCGTTGACGAGGCCGGCAAGCGCCATGATGTGTCGGAGCGCCTGCAGTCTTCCGCCGACTCGAGTCCACGGCCCTCGAGGCATGGCGCGCAGCCCTGTGAGGTCGTGATAGAGCGCTGGACGATTGAATTGGGCGACGGTGAAGACTGCTCCACTGCTGAGTTGAACGACACTCTGCCGAATGTCTACAAGAAAGGCGTCTGTCTATTCAGATCACTGTTTGCCTTTGCGCGATTCCTGCCGGCGTGGAAGCTACACCGAAAACTCACGAGACAACCGGGCAAGCATCAGGCGCTGCGACTAAGATTCCGCATCAAGCAGGATCATCGCTTGCCACCTGGCCGACAGGACTCCCTTTACGCTCCACTTTGCTCTTCCCAGTCAGCATCAGATGCCATCACCGAAGCCTACGAGATTCCAGCATTGCCATGTCGCGCCGGCGCTTTGTCCATCAGCGTCCACTACCGGACTAACTGCGAGTTCGGCGTGGCTGACTCGGAATCACTCCTCTCCTCGCGCTTCCTTGGTTACGATGAAGGCGTACCCATCCTGGCCGCCGGCAGGTCTCTTCCCGCCGCTCGTGGCGAGCAGGCTCGTGTACAGAACAGTAGCTTAGCGAGAGCCACGGGCGACCAACGTGCTCGCGTCGGCGCATACGGCAGTCTTGGTACATTCCATGCGGCCGACAAACGTGGCTCGCCAGTCACGGAGCTGAAGCAGCGCGTGCTTGATGAGGATAGCGATGACGGCCAGCAGACCTCTTCCAACCAGAGGCAGACCCTCTCGCGTGAGCCTTCACAGAGCTTGAAGAACAATCCTCCGTTCAAGTCCGGCTCGTTGGCGTCGTCGCCACGGCCCTCGCCATCCCCGAGCACATCCGCTGGACGAGAATCGAGCTTTGCAAAATATGCGGGCACGTCGTCCGGCAAGCGTGTGTCTCTAAATACCTTGCCCCAACAAGCCTTGCGAGCGCCGCCATCTCAGAGCGAAACCGCAGTCGCATCTTCGGGCTCATCCTCCCCGAAGCCGGCACCCGTCCATCGGTATAGCAGCAGCTTCGCCAACCGAAATAGGCGATACACCCCTCAAAACAGTAAGACTGGTGAGAGTGGTGGAAGCTCCGGACGTGCCAGCAGTTCATCCAACAAGGACAGCAAGGAGAAACCCCTTGTTCCTGGATATGACGGTCCCATTGGCTCCCGATTGCCTGGCCCATCTCAGGACCACGACGACATTGCCGACTTCATCTTTCAAGTCGAAAAGTCTAAGGATGTACGCATTCACTCACGACCAGGTTCTCGTGACAACACGGTGAACCTGACCAAATACAGCAATATGAGAGACCCCAACACCCAACTCGCCGAAGAGATGAGCTCGTCATCCCTCATCCAAACGTCAGCCACACCGCCCAGCCGTCGCTTGTCGAACGTCCCGGGTCTCTCTACATCATCTTCTCCATCACGTGCCTTGACGCACGCACCGCATGTTCGCTCGCGACTTTCGACCCATAGCATTGCCGAGGAGATTACGAGCCGTTCAGGCGCCTCAGGCGAGGGCTCCGACAGCCCCAAGATTCATGAAGAGGACGAAGAAGAGGAGGACGAAGAGCCCTTCATCTTCCCTCAAGACAACGTCTAGTAATTGGACAATGTCTAATGTGACGATACAACTTTTTAGCAGCATGGCGTTTTGCGACGAGCGAGGCATTTTTTGGTTCGCCGACTATGAATACTGGTTCTGGGAGTGTGGATAATTGTCTTATCAAGCCAGGCGTTTGTTTGTTGCACTCAATGCATCATGGCATGTGCATACTACGCGATAGATGGCGAAGGAGGCTCTGAGATCGGAACTGCGTCTGTCTTACTACGAATCGATGCGCAACATCGACGTTTTTCGGCCCGTTGTTGGCTGGAGGGAACACAGAGATGGGAACGGATCGTCGGGGCGATGACTGCTCTGCTAGATGCATGAGAATGAGAATGAGAATCAATGGGTTCGAAATCTGTTTTCGCCTTTTCCTCGTGGTCTGTCTTGCATGTGATGGCTCTCACATCGAAGGCGCAACAAGAAGTGAGTCTAGTATCACTCGCTGCAACTGTACATATGGCATATGAAAGTCTCCTTTGGACTGAAAATGGCCTCACTGTCTTCCTCACGCCCTCCCCTCACACACACTCCCTCGCGCTCCATCGCCCCATCGTTCCACTCAACAACAACATCCACAACCGAACTCAACCCAATCATCAACCATCCATCGACCGATCAAACAGTCCACCAACATCCACCAACTAACCAACAATGCCCTACCTCTTCCGCGCCTACAGCGCCCAGTCCCAAGGCATAAACACACCCACGCTCTTCGCCCCCGCCGCAGCCACCACCCCCACCACCAACAACCACCACCTCCCCCTCACAACCTACACTCCCCCACCCCTCTCATCTCAAGACCTCGGCCCCACCCTCCAAAAAGCCCTCGCCTGGAACAAAACTCTCTCAAGCCCCTTCACCTTCTGGACCGCCTCCCTCCTCTTTGCGGTACAGGTCGCTAGGACCCGGCAGAAGAAAGGCGAGGACGATGTGCGCATCACCGCGCAGGAGGTGCAGTCTGTTAAGACTCCTGCTGGGAAGGACGTCACGTTCACGTCCGTGTCGAAAATGTTGGGGGAATGTGGGATTCGGCTGGAGAGGGCCAATGGCGAGGAGAAGGATTACAGGGAGGTTTTTGTTTCGATGGATGTGCTCGTTGTTCCTGCTGGTGGGGCGGGGAGTCGGACGGTGGGCATTGAGGGGTTGGAGGAGAGGGGGTTGTATCGGTCGTATCCTGTGTTGGAGTGGGGGTTTGAGAGGGAGGATGGAAGGACGAGGTTGAATCGGGGGACGGAGCGGGTGAGGAGGTGGCATTTTTGGGGGGAGCAGGGGTTGACGGTGGGGAGGTTGGGGATTGCGGTGGGGTTGGCGGCGATGTTTGTTCCGGTGGGGGGAGAGGGGGAGGGGGAGGATGTTGATTTGACTATTCTGGCCCATCTGTTGGCGTTTCGGAAGAGGTCTGTCGGGGATCCTGTTCTGCTGCAGTGGATTGAACAGAATACGGCCAAGGTCGTGCAGCTGGAAGATGACGACGAGGAGAGAGCGACGGCGTTTGACAAGGTGTTCGAAGCGGTCGATCTGGAAGAGGTCAAGCAGTTCTTCGAGCTGCAGAAGTTGTTCAAGAACAGGAAGATCTCGAGTCAAGCTCTTGACTTGACAGCGACTGGGGGCGTCGGTCAGAGTGAGATCGATGCTGAAATGGCAGACTGGAGGCGATGGGAAGACCAGCAAAGGCAGGAGTTTCGAGCGAAGAAGGAAGCTCGAGCGGGCTATGATCCCAATTCCACGCGTCGCGAACCAAGATTTTCGCAGAGCAGTCCAGACAGCCCCAGCGACAGCAGCACGCGAGATGCTGCATACGCGGCGCGGAGAGCATCCAGACCATGGATTCCTCGAGAGCAGTACATCGAACAGAGGAACAACCGAGCGCAGAAAGGCCGAAGAGAACACCTCGCAAACACTACCAGGGCTTCTGAAAGAGTTTGGCAGCCGAGAGGTGTGGACAAGACGAAGAGGTACGGCAGGGCGGACTCGAGGCGAACAAGACGATCACCAGCTCGTGGTGGTTGACTTCGAAAGCCGAACAGGTGCAGCGGTCTTGCTACCGGCATGGGAGAGGAGAGGCGGATTCGGATATAAGAAACGGTGGGCAGGCGAGCAAAGTCTTGTGACTGTGATTTCCCGGGTGTATCTAGCATTTCTATTCGTTCTATCATCAGTCATCAAGCAGTCATAACGGTGCCTTCTACTTCTCTTCCCCAACCATCAAGCTCAAATAAATCCCCCAGATGACCCCGGCGACGTTGCCGACCAGCATTCGATACTGCAGCGGTATCAGCGCAAAGCAGAGAATGCTGACCAGCGGCCAGAGTTTCTGTCCCGCAAAGATCATAGGCCAGAACTGCTCTTGAACGTCCTGCTGGATCAGAGCCAGCGATTGCCCTCGGATGAGACCGATCCCGGCTATGAACAGGACTGTGTTGAACGTAGCTCCTACGGTCTGATCCAGGGCGAATTTAATGGCGGTGTTCTTGATGCTGAGTTTGCGAGGAGACTTTTGTTTGTCTACCAAGGCGTTGTCCCGTGTGTGCTTACTGTCCACCTTGCCGTTGACGCCTTTTTTACTCGCTTGGCTGTCGCCGGTGACTACTTCGTCGACTAATGCTTCTTTTTCAGAGGGTGGGAGCTTGTCGCTGTATGCCGGGAACTGGCTTTCGAGCCATGCTTGCCAGATGAAGTTTGGAGGGCACGAGAGCACGGAAAAGAGGATGAATTGGAATAGGTCGGTCGTGTTGAGTTTGAATGGTGACTGTTTGGAGTGATCAGCGTTGAGACACGATGAGGCCTCGAGAAGTGAATGCACCAACACTCGTCTTCCAGCTCGTGAGGAACTGAGCGAGAATGTTGGAAAGGGCACTCAAGGCGCCTGCTTGCCAGGTGGCCGTGACGATGGGGGAGTCCATGCTGACGAGATGTCGTTTGCTTTGGTCATTCGCTGCTGGTCGCTTTAGTCCTTGTGTCTCAAAACCTGCAGTGTGGTGAAGCTGAGATGGAACCCGACGAGGAAGGAGATCCAGCACTTGGTATTAGTATTGTCCACACTTGCGAGCTGTCTCTTTGAGAGTCGGGCTGCTGCTGCTTCGGGAACACTCCGCCAGTGACGACATTCTTGCCCCTTACCTGCCCATCATATACAAGGTCTTGGCTCTTGACCCTTTGACGGAGAGGATTGAGAGACAGCTAGCGACAGAGGGCGTCCATCAAATAATGCAGTGAGGAAATGGATTGTGGTAGGTGAAGTCGCCGCGACAACTGCGACTTCGACGCCACTATGTGGCTTCTCGCTTGCCGGTAGTGGCGCCGAGAGCCAAAGTTTAAAAATATCAAACACATCAACCACCACGCGACTTCTCCAAACATTCCATGCACAGCGTGACCAAAGCAACGAACATGGCGAACGGCGCAGAGACTGGGCCAGGCCTTATATTGCCGCAAGACACATTCGCAAAGCTCACACCACGGCCATACCTTCTCGCACATCTCAAGCACAAGACTCCTGTTCGCCCGAACGGTCGACAGCAGAATGAATTCCGCCAGCCCACCATCAACACCGGCTCTCTGACCCACAGCAATGGCAGTGCAGTCGTCCGTGTTGGAGACACGGCTGTGGTCTGCGGTGTGCGTGGAGAGATCTTGCTGGCTTCTGATATTCCACATCCTCCAAGCGACGACCTCGACGATCAGGACTTGGTCGAGGAATTGGGGCTTGTTGTAGCCAATTTGGAACTCAGCACGGGCTGCTCGCCAGCACACATTCCCGGCAATCCACCAACATCGCTGGCACAGTCATTGTCTTACCGCATATCGTCTCTACTGAACGATTCCCACTGCATCAATGCCGCCGACCTGTGCATCACCTACACTCAGCCAAAGACCGAAGATGATCTGCCAGACGAGCCGCCCAAGGAAGTCACCAAGGCGTATTGGACGCTGTACATCGATATTCTATGCCTGGCCCTGGACGGCAATGCCTTCGACGCGGCATGGTTGGCGGTAACCGCAGCACTTCGAGACACAACTCTCCCCAAAGCATGGTGGGATCCAGACCGAGAGTCGATTCTCTGTTCACCGGTCGTCGATGACAGTACATCGTTGCGGCTGTCGGCGTTACCGCTGGCTTCTACTTTTGCCGTCTTCACCACAGCTTCGCCCCTTGAGAAGCGGGAAGAGGCTCAGAGCTGGATTCTTGCCGATCCTGACGGTTTTGAGGAGGACATTTGCGATGAGACGCTGACCGTGGTATTGAGCTCGGTCCCGAGCAGCGATTCTGGTGCCGAAACCATACTGAAAATTGAGAAGACGGGTGGTGCCTTCATTGGCAGGGACGTGACGGATCTTTGCGTTCGCCAGGCCGCAAAGCGCACGAGCGATCTCAACACCGCGCTTGACAATCGATGATAGCAACTACTCGTTTCGACTCCATCACAGCGTTCGAAGAATGCAGCATCGTATACGGAATCACGAATGTGGTCAATACATTGCCAACACTCTGCCAATGCTTCTTGGCTACGGTCTTTCGTACAATATGTCGTACGAAGAGCACCCATCGGGAAATCAGAGCGCGCTGGGCTATGGCGGCGGTGAAGCCGGCATAGATAAACAGCGATCTTTGCCAACGACCCGCCAATCATTCAGCTCTTCGACCTGGGACACCCCACAAATATTAGACATGTCCTTGAAACGAGTGTTGCCAACTCTGGCAAACCGTGTTGAGTACCTGCATTCGATTATGTATGCTGAGTGTTCGTACGTCGCAGATGCTCGCTTAAGAAGCGGCTCCAGGATCAAAACTCGCATGGCTGCGGTGGATATGCCACGAGGTGAAGGAAGAGGGTGTACATTCTGCCGCCGAACCCTTGCTCTGGAGGACAGAATAGTCTCCAACAGACGAGAACCAATCCTGACATGCACAAACGCATCCTTCTCCCCAGCATGCCCTACCAGCCTTACGGCCTGCAGCTTTGATCTTTTCCCAATGCATTGATAAGACTGCTGATCTCGAGCTGATCTACAAGCTCGGCTTCCCTCTTCTCTGATACCTTGCATGTTGTCGACACCGCCACGACAGTAATAAGAAGCCAATGGAATCATATCCAACGAGCCTCTACTAGAAATGAATAGCGGACAGGGAACGGAGCTGAGAAATACCCAAGCCGACTTGCATGGCTGGGTGCGTTTGCCTTCCGGATTTAGCGTCTTGTTCAGTCTGCGGTGTTGGAACCGACGACGCTGGCTTACGGAATGCTCGCCCTACACGCACACATCCCATATTCGGCCCCATTCTCGACAGTGACATCGCCGCACAAGCCAGTCAGTGTTACGATAGGGCAGCGTGTATGTTCCAGTATAAATGCGGTCAGAGTTTGGCGCCATGGCAGAAGTTGAGAAGAGCATCGACAGCGCCCGTTTGGCCCTTATCCCTCTCTTACGACCTTCACTTACATTATCGACTATGAGCAGTTCAAGCGCAGGTTCTAGCTCCAGCTCGGGCACACCATCCGGGAAGCCCCGCGGCCGTCGTGCTGGTGTGAGAGTCCCGTGCGATGAATGCATTCAACGAGCGAGCGCAAACAAGGACAGCAATCTCGAGCTTTGCGATAAGTGCACAGCAGTCCTCCATCGACCACGCCGAGGATCGCAAAAAGAGACGGCCAACACACGTCGAGTTCGACACCAAAGCCACGCTGTTATCGACACTGCTCTAGGCATACGGACTGAAAATCCAACTCTACCTTGGAGCAGTGACAAAAACGAGCAGCATGCTCTACAATTCTTCATCCGGCACAGCGCACCACAACTGGCGGGCTACTTCGATTCGCCGTTCTGGCAGAAGATGGTCCTTCAGGCGGCGAGACACGAGCCCTCGGTTCTGCATGCGATCGCGGCGATCGGGGCTCTCCACGAGAAGTTGTTGGCCGGTGCGGTAAACCCAGCAGAGAGCCAAGACCGAAGAACAAGGTTCGCGTTGGAGCAGTGCAACAAGAGCATACAGGTGAATGATTGCTTGCAGACGACAGCATGAGACCCGATGCTGACAGACATCACAGCATCTGATTCAACCAAATGTAGGGGGCGAGAAGCCAGACCTGAGGTTGATGCTTACCACTTGCGTACTGTTCACCTGTTTCGAAGCATTGCAAGGAAACTGTGAGCAGGCAATTATACATGCAGCGCAAGGCTACAATCTCCTCCAGCAGTATGCCGTTGATCCCGAAGACAAAAGGTGGGATGTCGGCGCATTCGCGGTGGAGCTTGATCAATTGTGCATCCTGATGCGAAGGTACGTGTCACGATACTATACTGGCCGTTGGCTGAATGTGGACAAGCAATCCTGACATACTGCAGATTGCAGACGCAAAGCAAAGGTCTGATGGGTAAGTTATGCGTCACAAATGGAAAGGAGAACTTGAACTGACGACTTTCATCAGGCAAGGACTTTAACATGGTCCCCAACCCAGAGCAGCTAATCCTGTCAAAGCCAACAGATTTCGAGAATATCCACCAAGCTCGGTCCAGTCTTGAACAAGTCTTGAACCAGCTGACCATCTTCTTCCTGGACCTGGAATTGGACGACAAGTACTACGACCTGGCCGTGACGAACGGCGAGAAGCACCTCCTGTTCCGCCCATGGGTTGAAGCATGGGAAGCTGCCTTCTCGAAGCTCCTCGCCAGGATTCAACCTCAAATGGGCCCTGACGATCGCAAAGCCGCCATGATCCTCAAGGCACATCACTTGGTGGCGGAAATTCTTGCGGACGTTGACCTCTCTCTTGGCGAGCTCGGTTGGGACGCTTTCCATGAGAAGTTTGCGGCCATCGTCAATCTCGCCGCAGCTGTGTTGGACGATACGAGAAGATCGGATAGGTCGGTCATAGAAGCAAGATGGAAGACTAGTGGCGTCTTCATCTCGTCGACTTCTGCAACACTATCGTTCAGCCTTGGCATCGTCGATCCTCTTTACGAAGTCGTCGCTCGCTGCAGAGATCCAAACTTGAGGAGAAAAGCCTTGGATCTATTGGGCACCCACCCACGGCAAGAGTGTATGTGGAGCTCATGGTCAGCATGGAAAGTAGGAAGTTTCCTGCTGAAGCTTGAGGAGGAGGGTGTCGAAGGTGTGACGACAAAGATGTCAGACATTCCAGGAGATGTTCGCATATCCGAGGCATGGCTTGATTTTACAGACAAGTCGGGCGAGCGTGTTAGCGGTCGACCGAAGATTGGTTACAAGAAGGCAGTACCTCGAGCGAGTGCACGATATGCTCTCAATCCCGGCCTCTTCGAATGGCAGACAGACGAACCTGGATTCATTCCTAGCCTCGACTTTGCGACCGTTGCGAGAACTGAGGATCCACTGGCGCATCGGGAGTATAGCAGTCACGCTGCTGATAGTTCCCGGTCTGGGTCTGCTCAAGGCTAAGGGGCGAGATCAACGTGCCTGGAGCCTCAATCTTGACAACCTCGACATGCAAGACGGCAAGCGAACGGCAACTTATCGTCCGAAGACACCGAAGACTTGAGCATCGATTGAAATAACGGCAGCGCTACTTCCGAAGCCCTAAGTCTTCTGGCAAGGATGATCCTGTGCTTCATATGGGGCACATGGTTGTCGAACCGCGCCAAACCCTCTGCCAGCAACCAACTCTCGCCTCACAGATACGACGTTGGATCATGACTGGAACACAGCACGAGCTTTTCTTTCGACGACAGCTGTCAACACTGCCGTGCCCAGAGACGCCCACGTTTCGAGCAAGGTCATCAATCATCTCGCGGTCCCACGGTACACCAAGGTCCACCTTCCGACTCGCTCGCTGTCGTGCATGACCGTGCAGTAGACTGGCATTGCATCAACCGCAATCATGCACACGAGGCTGGATGCAATGGACTTCGGGAGTGGCTTCCCAGAAGCGTGTGCATAGTGCTCTGCATCGCGGTTTCCTTCGGCCCTTCGGCAAGAAGTGGTCAGACGCAGGGACGCTGAGTACGTTGTAGCAGGAATTTCGGCACCTGAACAGCGAATACAACTGCTCAAATATCTGGACGTATTGGAGAGCAACCGCTACTGAGCAAACATAGTGATTGACTTGCTTGGTCATGGACGAGCGGTCCCATTGTGGCGAGTTGATGGGCTGGACACAGCAGAACACTGATCGGCCTTCGCCCACTCTTACACCACCCGCAGTGCGAAGAGCGCCGACCAGTACCAGTCAAGATACTGGCCATGAATAAGACTCAACCACTGCAAACGTGGACCCATGCGGAGATATGCGAGTGCCACGAGGGACGTACAAGGGTCCATGGGAACACAGACCCGGAAATCAACAGCACAGATCTCCACAGTTGCATCCGCGCAACATATGCGCTGGCCACGTTTGAGATCCATCAGATTTCTCGCTCATCCACAGACATCCTCGGCAGCGAACCGCCCAAGAATTCGCTCCGGGCTTCCCACCGGTCGAACATCTACGATGCCTTCGTTAACGGATGCGAAGATTGTGCAATATCAGCGCTAGCGTCATGCATCACGCCGAAAGATGCTTCCAAGACGCCCCTTGCATCTGTCTGTGTTCCAGATTGAACGAAGCTGCTCGCCTTACAGACGTCAGCCCGTTGTGTTGCACAGACGTTAGGAGGTAGGGGCTTTTCGATCTTGCACCGAACGCCACGGATGTGATTGTCCCACCTCGAAGACCTCCCTCTCGTTGCATCGCGGATAGACAGCCGGAAGTACTGATGTGCATCAAGTGCTCAGCAAAGGGATAACAGGTGAACTTTCCCGATGAGGACCTTCTTGCAGCACGGTTCGGTGTCGCTCCCTTCGCCCTGTGGCGACACTGGTCCTTCGGTGGTACAGACTATCGACCCTGGCTCGACATTCTACTCGTTTTCTGGACGAGTCCAAGGATTACCTGCCCTTTGACATGTGGGCAGCCGTTCGACTCCCATGGACGCTCTTGCCGCGTACCCTGCTACGGATGTGCGATGGTCTCCGCTCGCGGTGGATTGCAGTGTTGTTGCTACGCGAGTCTCTCGGGGGTGAATTGCTTGCGAGATAAGAAGTTTTTGTCTTTATTTTGTTCCATTCCTCCTCACACTTTTCAACCTAACGTGAATACCATACAGTCTCCCAATTCAATTCGTCCACCAGTCCAACGTATTCCGAAACAACATGGTAACAGAAGAACCCCAATCCAACGGCAAAGGTACCGCCACCACCGAACCGGCACCAGCAATTTCAGACTACCTCGCATCACCAAACGCAGTCTTCAAAGACGAAGGCGTCCAGTGGCGATACGGCCGAGCACCAGACTACTCCAAGACACGCAAAGTCTGGGAAGAAGGTGAGTTTGAATCTCCCAAACTACCACAGGTGATGTCAGAATACACCAACACAAAGACCCAATTGTCTGGGCTTGAAGAACCGCACAGGGTGCTACGACATTCAACTTTATCAGCTGCGTCGAGTTGCACCGACCAACGACTGCTCGATGAGGCTGACTTTGTGACGTTGACGATGATTACCACTCCAGCGATGCATTAAGGGAGCGAAGTCCGAGCATAGTAACGATGCTTCGCTAGCAGAAGGACGACATCATGCTAATGGATACTTTGTTTTTGGCAGGCAAACGCATGAACCACGCCGCCGGGAGTCTGGAGGAAATGGTCGAGAATCTGGTCAAGAACTGGGAAGTCGAGGCGTCGTTCAAGCCGAGGCTGTCGGATTGGAGGACGATTGATCATGAGAAGTATTCGTTTGCGATGGGGGGAGGGGAACCTCAGTGAGTTGGATAAAATCGTTAGGCTTTTGGGAAGGAGAGGCAAGGGCTGATTTGAATGATGTCTAGGTCTGCGGAGCATATGATTAAGGTTGGTACTGGACTGTGTGGATGTATTCCGTTGAGGGATGTTGCTGATAGGAGGGATGGGTAGGTTGGCACATACAACGGCATCATCGCCCCGAACGAGTACTACAGTCCTGAGAACTCGGACTTTGCGTCTAGTCACAAGACGTTCAAGCGCATGGTAAAGAGGCACAACGATATAGACATCGTTGATCTCACTAACATCTCTCTAGATGCCCACCTTCGCCTGGGAAGTCCTGGAAGTCTACAGCGGTCCCCCGCGAGTCGCCTTCCGCTGGCGCCACTGGGGCTACATGAAGAACGACTACGTCGGTTTCAACGAGTAAATCTCTCACCACCGTTTAGCCATACCGTTTACTAACACCTTCTCCAGCAAAGGCGAAAAAGTCATTGCCAAAGCCCACGGCGGCATCATCGACATCGAAGGCGTGACGGTCGCCGAGGTAGACGACAAAGTCCGTCTGCGAGCCATTCAGACTTGGATGGATCCGCTGGAGATGTTTCGGCAGATTGCGCCCAAGGGGGTGGTGAATCGGGTTGCTATGGATCGGAATGTGGAGAGGGAGGTTGCTTTGGATGATGCGACGAGTGTGAATGATGGGGAGGTGGTTGCGGAGCAGCGTAATGGGAAGGGGGAGCATGTTGGGGATGCTGCGCCGGGTGAGGTGGTAGAGAAGAATATCTCTGCTAGTACCGGGGTGGTCGCTGACGAGGTTGTTCCGCATCAGGGGACCTCCGAGCAGGATAATGGAAGCACTAATGGCACTGCAAAGGAACAGAACGCCAACGGCGCAAAAGCCATCATCGAGACCGCAGCAAGCCAAGGAGCCGCAATGGACATCGACACCCCACCGTCAAACTACCACGACACCACGCAGCACCTCTCAGCAGACCAAGTCCCCTCGAGCGAACACCAACCCACCGCCGACCCCCTCGACCCCCGCATGACCAAAGCTGCCAAGCTCGAACCCCCCACCGCCCACGACGCCATCGACGCTCACCTCGAGCAACCTGCCTCGCAGGTCCATCCTCAGCCTAAGGATGCTGAAGTGAATGTCTCACCGGCGGCGGGCGAGGCGGTGGTTGCGGCGACTGGGAGCGAGGAGACGCGGCTGACGCAGGAGGAGATGAGTAGGTTGTCGCCGGGTGAGTGTCCTTTCTTGATGAACCGTGAGTAGGCGGTGGGGATTGTTGAGGGAGGGAGGGTTGCACGTGAGGGGAGCGGGAGTGAGGGTGAGGGATTGCTGCTGCCTTCGTGTTGGTTTCGATTTCGGCGTTCGATTGCTAGTGCGTTGGTGCTTGCATGGTGAGGAGGAGGGTACGGATACGATCGAGTATGGCTTGTGATGAAGAAACGGTATGATAAGGGAGGTAGTCTTGCAATACACATGTTCACTGTCTAGTCCTGAGGTGGAAAGTCAATTCTATTAACCTACCGTACGAGCTCAAGAGACGCCGAACGTTCCATCTTCCATCGTTCCTGGCCGTAGGAAGAGCGTGCTGGGATTATCGTCCTCACTTCTACGTCGCATGCGTCGGACAGCAGGCAGCGATTTTACTACCGAGACTGATCAACCCGACGCTGAAACGAGGCGATGGATCTTGTCTGCGTTGTCTAGCCTGGCACAACACAACTTGCGAGGACCGCACTTCTTGCTGCAAGCTTGGCCATGGGACTGGAAGCGCTGTGAGAGTATCCATTCTTCGGGTCGCAAATTCAACATATCGCGTGAACGACCAAATCCTGACAGTCGCGTGGTCTTGTCACCGCGATGACTCTCTCAGCGCCTCTATTAACGATATACTGGATAGGTCTGATGTCGCGTGCTCAACAGTGCGACCGAATCGAGTTTAGCATCGCATCGATTCTTGCAGTCAGATGGTGGTGGCCTGCGCAAAATGGCGGTTGGTCATGTCGACGTCGCAGTCACACGTTCCTGAAGGACGTTTCTCCAGGAGCTTTAGCCGGACCAATCGTTGTGGGCGTAATGGTGCTCTCTAGGCGTCAGCACATTGGTGGCGAGGATAACAGGAAAAGATGTGCCCTCCAGCCAGGCAACAGACGGCGATCGGGCCTTGTTTTCTTCGGCAGTCGTGGATTTTCTGCAGTAGCACATGATCTGGGTAACGATGATGATGATGGAGATGGCCAAGTTTCTCAGCCTCCGCTGGTCTCGCTCGTGGCTCGCAAGACGAACAGTCATTACGAGCTTCTCCACACAGCCTCCATCGTTGTCATGCTGCGCTTGGCCGAGAGAATAGCCGGCGCTTTCGGTGTGGCGAAATCTGGGCTGCTCGAGCCACCGCTTGCGACACACCCGGCCCGCCCCGATCGACCGACCGCAAGTCATGACTCGTTTCGATGGCGACAGTTGTTGCGAGCGTTGGGGAGTTTTGTTGATTCACGGTGTGATTTACCAGGGAAAAGCTGTTGCGTCGCTTACGCTTGACGTACCAGCTAGTCACAGGAATGGCAGCTGCGATAGAGCAGTGGCGCGTTGGCAGTCGTCTGACCAGTAAAACAAGTCCAGGAAACAGCATCCTGCCCGCTTTCCGCAGCTCTTGGCAGGCTGCAACCGGTTTGGGCCATGCTCGATATACCGCCCAGATAGGCAGACAAGAGGCCGAGCCTTTCGCAGGCGCAGTGCGTGTCCAGGGCGAGACTGCTACACTGTAATGGGCGGAGTTTGCACGTGTCAAAGGGTGGAAAAGGCGAGCGATTTAGGCCAACAGGGTGGAAAGTTTGCAGCTGGATGCATGCAGCCCATGTCGAGGGATTTTGGGCACCGCCAGCTTGTGACGGACATGATGACAGCCGGTGCTAATACTGTGGTTGAGCGGCGTGTTGATCGAGAATAATGGCCGGAGCAATGAGTTGCGAGAGACGTCAGTAGTAGCAGTAGCATGATTGAATCACAGTCGGCGGCGATTGTGTGACGGATGGGGTGGTGGGCGGTGGCGACTCGAACGCCTCTGAGGTGTGTGCAGAGGGCGATTGCTAGCCCCCGTGTGTGTCCCGATCGTCCCGCTATGACTGTTCACTTCTCCGTACAAGCCTCCCGGCCAGCGCCAGCCAGCAGCCAGCCAGCATCCAGCCCTCTCAAAAGCAGCACCACCTGCGCAACACCTCTCCCACCACCACCACCACCACCACCACCACACGCAGCCATGGACTTCTCCCCAGTCGCCCCCGACGTGCCCATCTGGGTCTAATATCACCCAACACCACCGACCCGCAAACACGCCCGCCGAGTGTCGCCACGTCGATGCTTGAGACCGCCTACTCACGGGTCATCCAAGCGCGCTGTAGCCTTCTGCCTGTCTTTGTCTGAGCAGGAGTCATCGCCACTCGCCACGGCCCCCATTAGTCACTCGACGCTTCTTTCAACTACTCATTCTCACTCATACCATACATAACTCCACCACACTCCTTTCGGCTGCGAGGACGGACTGTACGCCGCTGGCTCCAACCACGTTACCGCCTGTGCAGCGCTCACTCCACGACGTCTGCGATACTATCCTGAGCCTGCCACCCCTCTTACTCACCACCGACCACGCCTAATCAACACCCTTTGGACTCAATCCGCCTCTGACTCTCCACTCAGCCACCGCGGCGACGACGACGACGTAGCAGCTTTCACTAGCCTCACTACTCGAACTCGAACCCGCATCAGCCAGAATGACTCTATCCATGATTTACACCAAGCTTTCAGTCAACGGCCCAGTCACTTCCAAGTCTACCGGTTTTCTTGTCGTCGAGGGTTTCATGCAGTAAACTCTTGAACCCGACCTCTCACCACAGATCCCTGGAATCGAACACGACTCTTCGAGACCTGCGCAACACATTTGAACAACACGAAAAGAGAAGACTACATACTACTTGGAATACTGGGTCGGTTGTGGCTGAAGGCTTTGAAGGAAAGTGAAGGTTGCACGAGCTATCAGAAGCGCGATCAACATTTACACAAAGACACCAACCACGACGACTTTGTTACAACTGTTTGCGTTGATACTGGCCTTTGATCACATGTCAACGCAATCGGCTTAATTTTCACGTCTTTCAGCATTGGAAGGCGCACCGGGAAACAACACACCCAACGGCTTTACTCTATTGGAACTCCCCCTTGCATTGCACGGCGCAGAATGACTTTGGAACTTGATGATCATACCTCTGACGGCTATGGGCTCACATCCGGGAGCTCTGGTCTGTACGAGCCATCGATCCATTCATCGGCGTCGTCGTCACAACCATCTGTGTTTTCAGATACCCTGTCAGCACAAAGCTCTATAGCTTCCTCCATCTCGGATGACTTTCGCAGTACCCAGGAGGATGCGCGCGAGCGTGACAGAATCTGCGCACAGGCGCAGCTGCATTTCCAGGCGCAGAATCATTCTCTGGTAGAGGATCACTCTGCAGTTGGAAAGCTGTTGAAAGCGAATGGACAATGTCCATCTTATGCGGACGTCACTTCCGTACCCGCTCCCCAGAGACAGCATCCACGACGATGCTCACTGTCGAGGAACCAGAAACCTCCACCTCTCGTTCGGCAACGCGATCGGAAGATCAACTTCGTCGACAACCTCGTTGGTAAGCACAAACACTCTCACCGTGATATAGTCTGGTCGCTAAGGATACTTCCGTTAAGACTCCGCAACGCAAATGGTGGAGGTCATTTGGCCCTTGTCAGTTGTTCCTTGCAGGAGCGAAGGCAACGGACGCGGTGTGCTGCCGCTCCGTACCTACATTGAAGAGACTCTACGCAGGTCTCGCACGAGCTACTCCACCCTGCAGGTTGCTCTCTACTACTTGATCCTCATCAGGCCTCATGTGCCAAAGAGCGACTTTACCATGGAGCAGACTCTGGATTGCCCAGCTGATCGCGCTCTCATGTGCGGTCGTCGCATGTTCCTTGCGGCTTTGATTCTGGCTTCCAAGTACTTGCAAGATCGAAACTATTCCGCGAAAGCCTGGAGTAAGATGTCAGGCCTCAAGGTTTGCGAGATCAACATGAACGAGAGGACCTTCCTGAGCAAGATCAACTGGCGGCTTCACATTGCCAAAGAAAAGTTCGAGAAGTGGCAAGAAGTTGTGCTGCGATACTCACCAAACCCACCATCATCACCAAGCGTCGGCATCGCATCGACTACTTCGACCTGGAAGAGGATGGTGCCGGTGTTGTCGCCTGAGTTGGACAATGTTCCTCTTGGCGAGTCAAGCCTGCAAAGCATGGTTCAAGCACCCGAGTCATGCGGCTTCCCGTCTCCGACGACACCCACACCTATGAGCTATATGCTCAAACCGGTGCAGCTCGATTCGACATCCCAAGAAGGAACACCAACCCCTACGACCGCCTTGCCACGATTCTTGGAACCAAAGCCAGACATCCAACCTCCGACGCCGGCTCTGGCTCGCATGGGTCCACTGCCGACGCCAAACTTGACGCCTTCGTCAGTGGCCTCGAACACTCCTGCAGTGAGTGTCTATGGCTCGCGTCGCCCATCCATTTGCTCTGCAATGGCGCTGGCACAGCGAAGCAGCCTCAACAGATGCATGCTTGATCAGCCCAATTTCGAGCCTCGACCTCAGATCTCTCGACGGCCATCAATGATGAGCGTATCGTCCGGCTCTAGCCCAGAGTCTCTCATGTCGGACAACTCGCGTTCTTCGCGAGCATCATCCATCTCCTCCATCTCCACAGTATCGACCAATTCGTCGGTGGCGCCACCCCGAGCTTGCTTGGCTCGACAGGCGACCTGCCGAAGCGGTCGAAACGCCGGATTGCCACCTCTTAAGCTGGTCAAGGAGGAGAAGGATGGTTCAGCGATGAAGCCAATCATTATTGACGACGATGTCGAGATGGTATCGAGCCCAGTCATGGCAGACTTCACGGTCAGCGACAAAGTGCTGCACGCACCTCATCGCCACAGCCGTGGGCCCAAACATGCACCTCAACCAACCTCCCATGCTTCCACGGAGAAGAGCAGGAAGCGCGGCCGATCCAACGGCAACCGACGCTCAGAGCTTCAAGAAGAAGTTCGCTACCTGCTGGGAGAAACACTTGACGAGATGGACCTGGATGATGATGAAATCGTCTCCTCGCCATCCGACGCGGCAGAGTATGCCTCGCGCATGCTCGCTCGCGACAACTCTATGACATATGATAAGAGGCCTCAGCCTCCAGCGATGCACTCTCGCAACGAATCGAGAAGGCTGCCGGTGCAGAAGAACGAGGGCAGGAAGCGCACTTGCTGCTCGTCAGTCGGCGCCATGTCCGTGTCGCCGGTGCCGCTCTACGGCGAGGTGCAGTAGCTTATTGACGTTTGCTGCCATGAATTGGCACGAGATGACAATGCGTCGTCCGAAAGTGCATATCACAGGGAAGTGGTGGCATTGCGGCGGCGCATCAGGGGATTTTGGTGTTTCGTGGCGTATTGTAGCTGTACTTGCTTCTTTTAGATATCCCGGGAATGAAATACTTGAAATGCGGTTTTTGGTGCATTGAGTGCTTGTGATCTGGTGAGTTTCATTGGTAGGTATGGTCTCGTAGTTCATTCGTCTGCCACACTTGATACGTCGCTCAATCGGATCCCCTTGCTCTACGTACAACGAATCGTACAGCACACTGTCAAAATTGACGCCCAGGCATCTCACTCGCCGTTTCTCGATCGAAGACCAGTCTTCGTCGATTCGAGGAGTATACCACGTAGCTGTGCTACCTGTGCTCGAACTTCGCTCGCTTCACAACAGGCACCTGCCCTTTTTGAGAGTGGGAACAGTTTTCGACCGTCGTTAAGTGCAAGCGAGTGTCCTCAGCAGCAGTGAGAAATGTGTTCTCGAGTTGGCTTGGTGTCCCTGCCGCTGTGGATGTTGGGAGAGAATAGTGATTAACGGGAGGATGATAGGGGCTGGGTTGGATTCTTGAGTTGCTCCACGAGACGTCGTGTAAGGAATACTTTGGTAGATCCGTATAACGAGTGTACTACGAATCTGAAGGAGACATTGTTGTTCTCCATACCTCAAGTCAGGAAGGTGATGTGGTCCAAGTGGAAGTTTGAGAATCGCTCTGGTATGTAGCAAAACTTCGACTTGCCTACTTCTAATTCCACCCCAACCCAAAAAGAGACTCCGGGAGCCACGTATACAACTCTCTGAAAGTCCTCTGACCGTCGAGTCTGCCGTATTGTCGTCGCCCGGCTTCACCTGTGCAAAAATGCCAAGCCTCAGGCCTCGCTTGCCAGCCTGACCCCCGGTATACCAAAAACAATGTTCGCACTATCAAAAAGCAACAAAAAATTCTCTCTGGCGGGGAATCGAACTGATGTTGCTATTAGGTATGCTCTGTAGACTCGGCAGATTGTTTAACTTACCCCCGGTCTCCCGCGACTTGCGATTTCGATAATGACAAGCGGAAATCATGACCACTGGATCACGTGTCAGACGATGAATTCGAACCGATTCAAGGCTTAATTGGACTAACCTAGACCACCAAAGAAAGATTGAGATCAATTCTGATCGTTCTGATTGGTTGAGGCCCAAAAGGTCAAATCACAATATATCCCTCCACAAAGTTTTACCGAGATCCGGCCATCCGGAGAGCAAAGATCTACCGGGAACCATTCGGAAATATTCCCTGCACAGTGCTACACTACCTCAGAGCACTCTGTCCATCCGATAGATCTATGGATAGGCAGGCTCGAGAATAGTGGATGGCGTAGTCGACCTATATGTTCGGGCTTCGGCGACGACACACATGCACCACGGCATCTTTTCGGACAGGAAACCACGTCACAACGGTATCTTCCTCCTTGCTCTGTCTTCGGTGTTCTTCGAGAGGCGGTTGGCAAACATTGTTGGTATTCAGGGGTAAGGCGGAAGAACACAACCACTATCTACACGACGCTCCCAAAGACCCTCTGGAACGTTTCTTCCACGCAGCTTTCGATCAGTCTGTGCTCGTTGAACGTCTTGAGGGCGATATGAGTATCAAATCGAAGTTAGAGTTTGTTTGTGAACTTTGAGGATTGTTTTCCCGAATCGGCCCTGTAGGAGATTGTTTTTTGCATTTGCTCAAGAATGGAAGGGACAGTCTTGCCGGACCAAGGCTGAACAGTACGAAGCGAAAAGATTGAACCAGTCCAGATATTCGGTATCGCACGCGGGAGTGTCTTCGCTCGCCCAAACCCAAAGACTGCTCTTTGTATTGTATACAAGACCGGCATTAACCAGCTTTGTTGACCTTGAAGGTGCAGGAAATGGATCTCATGCGGCTGCCCATGACACCAGGGCGAGAAGTGCGCTGAGCGTCTTCCAAGGGGGTTTGCTGATACAGCGGAAGGCAAACTTGGCGATCCACCAGGCCGTGACGACGGCCAATTCCCCCGTGAAGATCTGTGCTGCTTCCATGGCGTTGAATAGCTTGATGTCCGCACGAACATAACCGTCGTCCGGATCCGCCGGAAAGCACCCATGCTTCTGGAAATGCTTGAGTAGCCTGTCCTTTTCTGCTCCGCGTTGGAAAAGCCATCGATCGAACCTTTCCGAGTCATTGTAAGGGGTGCCCTTAATTGCAAAGCTAGTAAATTTGAGTGAGTGGGCCTTGAAGACCCTCGATGTACATATTCTTGAGGCCGTAAATGTCCTGGCCATACTCTCCTGGCCTAAGAGGGTTAGTTAAGCTCTAGTACTTGTCTCCGGAATTACTCACGGGACACCCTTATAGCCGATAGTAGAATTATACATCTAGTCGACCGTGTTACACAAACCTTGGAGACAGCATTGCAAGCCACGAGCCCTTGGCAGAAGGACAAGGTCGAGATCAGGAACACTAGTCTTGATCGCCCATTTCTTGGTGGCGCAAGGCGTTTTCTTTTTAGCAAAAGTCTGACCTGAAGGTAGCAAATTGTACTGATCAAGAAGCAACGAAGAACACAGTCGCACGAAGGCTTTGGATGACCGCAGTTCTGCGCGACCGTGGCCCTATGCTCTTAAGCTTGCTCCTCTCAGCCCCTGGGATTGCTGACGCTGGCCATTCGTGATGGCTTGCGTCCACTATGTCGTTGGCACCCTCGTCGGTTCGACGAGCAATGTTTATACTTAGCGTAGTAACGACTCGGCTTCAGCGCAGTATCTCACGAAAAAGTTCAGTGTGCGGCTGTTCGCAAGAGCAGGTTTGTCGCGTGGGGTCGTCAGACTTTATATAGACGAGCTAATAGGCACGAGCAAACAGGCACGAGCGAAAAGGCGGAAAAGGCAGACGTGCTGGATCTCGTAGCTGCGAGCGTTGCTGCTAGGTAACAAGGCAAACAGAGCCAGATCATAGTCGAACCGCGTAGCCGTGGCAGATGCTCGTGTTACAGGCAATGACCCGCTACGCGTCGTCCCTTTGAAATAGGATCTGTATACATCACAAGCTCGTAGTAGTGCATGCTATGGGCACGACGGCGTTCACAGATTTGTTCTTTTCCAGGGATCTAGGCCTCCGACTTCCAACTAAGTAAAAGCCACGGCGGCCTATTGTCGCAAAAGCCCGCTCCTTCCCCCTCCAGCCTAGCGTCCACGCTAAAGCCAGATTTCGCCGCAACTTCGGCAGAACCCATTCTTAGGCATATATGCCCCCTAAAGCAAGCCCCCTCGTCGAATCAGAATTCGACCGGCGTGGGGGTGGAGTGGTAAAGCGTAAAGCGGGTCATGGGTTTAAGTTGGACGAGGGTTCGAATCCGGGCGGCTACACGACTGCATGATGTAAGGATTGCGAACGGAGGAAACGAACCGAACGAAACGAATCCCCACGAAACGAACGTATCCCCCGAATGCCATTGCGAAGGCGGACCGGTGGCGGAAAAAAAAGTAAGACATGAAAACTTCGAAAGTGGGGTTTTCTGTCTTCTACCTGATACACCGAGTATTGGATCTTCTTGTTTTGCCAAATTTTTGGGGTGGTTGCTTTTGGTAGTAGTGTATGTAATGTTTCTAATGTGTTCGTTTCTTTTTGCTCTTTCGTTCGACTTTGAAGCTTTTTCGTTAGAGAAAGTGGGGGGCGGAGTCGAACAAACAGCTTAATTGGGAAGGAGCTAGCTCTCCAGCTACTGCAGCAACGACGCGAATTTTGGATTGAAAAGATGCGACCGCTGGTCTGGCGTTTTTCGAAGTTCATAGCGGTCTATGGTGAGGAGTTGACGCGTAGCGTAGCATGATTTGCGAAGCGCAACGAAGAGGAGTGGAATGAGTGAGGCATAAGACTGAGCAAACTGAAGGGAGCCAGCAAGAAGACACGTGCCTTACAGGTCACTCATGCCGATCAGGATGCAAATCAAATCAGGACACTGTCAGCTGGGAGTGAGGCTTGATCAGGTTTACGCGTGACGATTATCTATTCGCGTCGCATTGCAGTCCAGTTCGAATCGGCCGTGGAAGGCCCTTCGTCGCATTGGCACGCTCTCCGCAAGAACGACGAGATTCCCTGGCGGAGAACGCTCTTGCAGTGGCCCTGTGAGAGCCGCTAGGCTGTCTTCTTCGCCACTACTCGTTTGGTGGAGCAATACTTCCAGTTAGGGTTGAGGACTACAAGAGCGACTTCATGAATGAAGAGATTACGGGGAATCTCATGAACATCAGAGTTAACAGCACCGGTTCACTGTCAAAGACCATTGCTGCTATCGACCATGAAAGAATTAAGCGACGCACTGATATCTTGTTGCGTAGAGTTCAACGAAAGGCAAAGAGCAAAGCGCACGGAAAGGTTCACAAGAAGTACATTTTGGTCGAACTCACTAACATGTCGCATAAGTAAGCTTTTGTTCGGATGTCCGTGTTGTCAGTCACTCGTCTTGTCTTTTTCCCCCTGCTCTTGATAGTCTTTTACTTGTCAGATCTTCGTCTTTCTCTGTGATGGCGTCTCGCTTTCTTGGGCGACATGATGCGACGCTCTCTGTCCAGGAGGCTGCATTTTGTTCGACATTCGCTTTGTCCAGCTCTATAGCAGTTGCCAGCAGCGACAGGGAGTTGGACAGTAGCGGTGGCGCGTCGGAGGCCGTGAAACCTGCGGGGTGCTCTCTCGAAGCAACAGGTGAGGTGGACTGGAAAAGCCTTGGCAAGAAACATGGGGGTGGGTCGAATGCATGGTCATTTCATCGTGATGTTTTTGGGTCCATTGAAGGGAAGGTTCGACCGAGTCGCATAGCATTGGAGAAAGGAGTGTGTATCGCCGCAGTCGAATTTGTAGATATTTTGAACCACGAGCGCGGGAAAAGGTCAGCGTTGGGAGGGCGATGATTTCGCGTCGTCAAGAACAACATGCCCAAGATTTCCAAATTCTGACAATTTACGAGACTGCCTGGTTCGACGGGACATTTTGGAGGATCTGATCAGTTCTGGTTGCAACTCTCTCGCCATGTCTTTATCATGTCGATGCTGTCTGGCTGACTTGGAAAAAGTGGCCAGTTGTGGTGTGGTGGGAGGTGGTGTGAAAGCGCCCCGCCTCTCGTCTCGAGACTGGCAAGCGTGTGCCAACATGGACGCGCGCTGCTGCATGCACTGACATTGCAGAACCGGGCCAATGAACCCAAGCAGCCTCCTCGTGTGCCCGAATTGCCTTCTTTCTTCAGCTGCTCCATCACTGCTCTTCCTCCTTCTTCCAACCAACACCGCCTCCACCCCGACATCCACCACCGCCGACTACTCCACGCCGCGTCCCTGACTCGAGCTGCTTGCCGCGTCTGAGCTGCGACCTCAGACACCGAGACATTAGCCAGCTGCCTCCGCACCGCTCCACCACCCTCCAAACCCTTCGAAATAGAGCTGCTGCCACTGCCCATGCTCACCTGATCCAAACGCTACCTCTTCGCTCCTTATTCCGAGCTGTCGTTTTGAAAGCAGCAACAACTCCTCCGGCTGGGCGCCAGGAGCCAACAAAATGAAGGCCGCTCCGTTGCTCGTGGCCTGGCACGACAACAACGATCCCATCTACTCGGCTCATTTCGAACCACATGGGAAGGGCAGACTGGCCACTGCTGGTGGTGACTCCAACGTCCGAGTAGGCATTGCAATGACTTCTCTTCTTTCCGAGTAGCCGCTGACCCACGTGCAGCTCTGGAGCATCGAGACGACCGGAGACGAACGCAAGGTTAAGTATCTGTCAACACTAAAAAAGCACACACAAGCTGTCAATGTTGTGAGATGGTGTCCGAGAGGTAGGAAGAAAGAGCTCGTCTACTAGAACGTATCTAACAGCACCAGGCGAGCTACTGGCTTCGGCCGGCGACGATGGAAACGTGCTACTGTGGACACCTACCGAGAATCCCGCCTACACCTCCAGCCTCAACGAAGACGGCCTAGAAGATACGGAACATTGGAGGGTGAAGACAATGTGCAGATCGAGCAGTGGCTCAGAGATCTACGACCTTGCTTGGTCGCCTGATGGCATGTTCTTCATCACGGGCAGCATGGACAACGTAGCAAGGATATACAATGCTAATACCGGTAAGTTGTACAGACTTTCCGCGATAGACGCTGGCTGAATACCTGCAGGCCAAACTGTACGCCAAATCGCAGAACACAATCACTACGTTCAAGGCGTGGCTTGGGACCCGCTGAACGAGTATGTGGCTACTCAATCATCCGACCGTTCCGTACATATCTACAACCTCAAGACCAAGGATGGGCAGTTCTCCCTCAGCCAGCACAACAAGGTCACGAAGATGGATCTACCTGGACGAAGGATATCATCTAACAGCCCAGCTCCTCCTGACTTCGGGCTTGGAAATCATCGAGCTGCCTTCGTGCAGGACATCACATCAGAAGCCGTTGGTTCACCGAAACCGTCTGCTCCCGGAACACCACAGTCATTGGCACTTCCAATGAACCCTCCACCGACATCGCACAGCCGTCGTTCCTCCTTCGGCTCACAATCAGTACGAAGATCTGTCTCGCCCAGCCCTTCGATGCCGCTACCTGCCGTCATGCCATCTGCATCACCAAGTCTGGCCGGTGGCATTGGCTTGGGCGTTCGAAACACCAACATCTATGCCAACGAGACCTTCACCTCTTTCTTCAGACGCCTTACTTTCGCCCCAGATGGAAGTCTGTTGTTCACACCGGCTGGGCAATACAAAACGACGCATCCGGCTCCTGATGGTGGCAAGGGCACCGACGAGATCATCAACACTGTCTACATCTACACACGAGCTGGTCTGAATCGACCTCCAGTGGCCTACCTCCCCGGTCACAAGAAGCCCTCAATAGCTGTCAAATGCTCGCCAATCTACTACCAAATTCGATCTGCTCCTGTGGAAACCAAGGAAATCACGATAGACACCCGAACAGAAGAGGATATTGCGCCGCTCCCAGAACCCGTCATGCCTTCAAAGCCTGCTTCAAATGCGTCGATGGATCCTCCGCCTCTCTTCAACGCTCCCTCACCCTCGCCAAGTGTAGCAGCCATGGCTTCACCTCGACCTCGCACTGACTCCGAATCAAACCCACCGACGCCTGCACCGCCACCTGGACCAACACCTGCACTTGGACTGCCGTATCGAATGATCTATGCTGTTGCAACGCAAGACGCGGTCCATCTTTACGACACACAGCAGACCAAGCCTCTGTGTGTGGTGAGCAATTTGCACTATGCAACGTTCACTGACTTGAGCTGGTTTGTACACTCCTTGGTTGCGATTTGATCGACGCTGACGCTCATGATCACAGGTCCGCCGACGGTCTCACCTTGCTCATGACATCTTCAGATGGCTTTTGCTCAGCACTAACATTCTCATCTGGTGAGCTGGGCACTGTGTATCAAGGGCCTTTGGCAACCGCTTCACGACCCAGTCCTGCGCCGATCTCCGTTGCGAAGGCAAACTCTACAACATCCACACCGCAGCCTACGCCGACAGGTTCGGCAGCAGTGTCACAGGCAACCGCACCACCTGCACGACCCCCCTCTACTAGCAACCCACCAAGTGCCCACCCTACCCCAGCCCTTCAAGCGGCATCACCTTCACCATTCACAGCACAACCGGTGCCTTCAGGAGGACGTCCAGCCTCTCCGGCAAGAAGTATGTCACAATCGAGCATAGCCACCGAGGCCAGCTTCGCGAGAGTCCCAGATCAGAATCCACCACCTGTAATGAACAATCCGACGCCCTCCATGGGATCTGTACCAGGACTCGCCGCCACAGGGTCTTCGAACCCTTCAGGCTCGTCTGTACCGCTGTTCACTCCACCACAAACGCCAGGGCAAGGACATCTGAATGGCTCTGCGGCTGTTGCACCACCTCCTGCGGCCGGGATCAAGAGGGAGAGTGTCACAAGCAACACTGCGGAAGAAGAGCAAGGAAGAGAAAAAAGGAGACGAATAGCGCCTACACCAGTCACGGAGGGCGATGTGCCTGTGGTGCCGCCTGCTCCAGCAGACTCGAATGGAGACAGCAAGTAACAGCACGCATTCGGTCATTCCATTTGTATTATTGAGCAGTATTAGCCTGGCGTTGGAGGTCAGGCATCGTCGAACGGAAAGGCGATTTGGAGGAAGTCTTTAGCTGAATGGGAATGAGAGCCTCATATGGCCATTGGAACGGGATATAGATAATGCAAAATAATTTACCCACCAAGTCCTCTTGGACATCTTCTTGACGACCTCGCTACATGCATGGCAGAGGTTGATCCCTGTCCCAAACGATTGCCAGCTTCCTAGTTGAGCTTAACGCGGCTCCACCACGATCCTGTCGACTCGTACGTCCTGTCTTGACCTTCCGAATCTCATCCACGACTCGGTGGGGATCTACTGCATTCCAAGGTCACGATAGGCTGAATTCTTGATCGCAATGCATCTTGGACCATCCTGCAGCGAGTTTGAAAATGCGGACGGGCCGTGAAACATGGTTCATGGCGGGACAAGTGGCGACCGGAAGGTGTTTGCTCACGATCGCGGCTGTTATCTAGATCATGAACTGCGCTCGTCATACATATATACCTGGGAGCCACGATCGATCTTGAGAGAAGCCTAACTCTCATCATCCCGAGAGTATAGACTGCCAAAAATGCTTCTCCCACGGCTTGTAGTGCTGAGTGTTGCCTTCCAACTGAGCTCAGCACTCAACTCCCAATATCGCTTTCAAGCGGCAAAGCCAAGCTACTTTCCGTCTTTAATCGAAGCAGATCTCGAGCATGTCGTTACTGGATTGGAGAGCGGGCTCTTCACCAGTGTCGACTTGGTCAAAACATACATCGCTCGAATCAACGAAGTCAACGACACGCTGCACGCCGTGACAGAGCTCAACCCAGATGCTCTGTCTATCGCAGCTTCCTCGGACGACTTGCGTCGAAATGGGACTATCCTCGGTCCTCTTCATGGCGTCCCCATCATCATCAAGAACAATATCGCCACGGCCGACAAGATGAACAACACCGCTGGATCTTGGTCTCTGGTTGGAGCCAAGGTACCTCGAGACTCTACTATGGCGGCAAAGCTTCGCAAGGCTGGAGCTGTCATTCTTGGCAAGTCGAACCTTTCCCAATGGGCGAACTATCGATCGGACAATACGAGCAATGGATGGAGTGCCTACGGTGGGCAGACGTATGCAGCGTACTACCCCAAACAGGACCCTTCTGGCAGCTCATCTGGATCTGGTGTATCGAGCTCGCTGGGTCTTGCACTGGCTGCTTTGGGGTCGGAGACGTCGGGATCTATTCTGAGTCCTTCAGATGTGAATAATCTCGTGGGGATCAAGCCTACAGTCGGTTTGACGAGTCGATACTTGGTAAGTGAAACAAAAGTTTGAAGTACTGATCATAGTACTGACCTTGTGGGCGTAGGTCATCCCAATCTCTGAACATCAGGACACTGTTGGCCCCATGGCTCGATCTGTCAAGGACGCGGCGTATGTGCTGCAGGCTATAGCAGGACCAGATACGAATGACAACTACACCCTCGCCAATCCACACCAAGGAGTCCAGCCAGATTATGTCGCAGCTTGTGATTACACCGCTCTTGCCGGTGCCCGAATCGGCGTCGCCTGGAACGTCCTGGATATTTGGAGAAATTACACGGACCAGGTCGTCATTGATGCTTTCCACGAGGCTGTCGATCAGGTTCGAGCAGCAGGCGCGACAATTGTAGATGCCAACTTCACCGCTTTCGCTCAGTACAACAATTCGACCCTAGGCGACGCTGTCCTCAACGCTGATTTTCTTGTCGGCCTGCCGAATTACTTGAAAGAGCTTACGTACAATCCGAACAATATACAAAATCTGGCCGATGAGAGGAACTTCACGCACGGCTTCCCGCTTGAGGACTGGCCAGAGCGAGATACCGAGCTTTGGGACGAGGCGCTCAAACAGTATAACAACACCTCTCCCGAGTTCTGGAAAGTTTACCAGGAGTCTCTGTACTACGGTGACGAAGGTGGTATTCTAGGCGCCTTGAGACGTACCAACACCAGTGCTGTTCTCCTGCCTACACAGCTAAGTCCTTCGATACCTGCGTTAGTGGGTAGCCCAGTCGTGACAGTACCAATGGGGTTCTATCCATGGAACACAACGTTGGTTATGAACGGGTTTGGCAATCTGGTCGCTACAGCACCGAATGTTCCTTTTGGCTTGGTGAGTCCGACCAAAATTTTGCGAGGAGCATCGCTGACACCGTGGCGTTTTGCAGTCGTTCATGGGAGCCAAGTGGAGTGAGGCCGATCTGATCGGATTTGCGTATGCGTATGAGCAACGCACGATGCATCGCAACGACAAGCAGCCGTACTTGGTGCCTAATGTCGAGCTTGGAGATGTGTTGGGGTGGTAATTGATGTCGGCGTATCCGCGAGGCATGGCGAGGTTACGAATTCAGAGTGTCTTTCGCCGTGCAAGTGCTGCAGTGCCTGTTACTGTGGATGGACTTGGTAGCGAGGAGAGGGTGCTGGAGGGTGTGGGATACTCAGTATGCAGGACTGCTCAAGATACAGCGAGGGCCAACTAGCACTACGTGGAGTATATGGATTGAAGACGATTGCTGTGGCGATGAGTCTCACGTGGTTTCGGCCCGGGTTGTCTCGTGCCGTCGGCATCTGATTTGTGTCCCTCTCCAGACCAGCCTCGGCTGCAGCTTATGTCACCATCGAGTGCCACTCATATGCTCTGCTTGCTCACGAGGACTATTCGAGTTGTACATGTCAAGGATTGATACTCTCCTTTGAGTTGACCAGGTTCTACGTCCATGCTCACGACTCCTCTCCTCGACCCCACCTGAACTTCCAAACGACATCCGCTCTTCTCTCCACACCCAGATTTCGTCCGACTTCAAACACCCGAACATGGCCTTCCTCGGCGGGCCAGAGTGCAGTACGGGCTCGAACCCCCTTGCACAGTTTCAGAAGCAGACCTCCGCAGACACCTCGCTGCAACGCGACCGTCTGACTTCACGGACACCTCAACAACTCAACGGCTTCCGCAGCGGCCAACAGATACCAGACGATGCCGCCTTCCAAGACTTCGCCCAGCAGGGCCCTCACATGGGTGAGATGCTGCCGAACGAGGCTTTTCACCTGGAACAGATGAGACGGGAGGCGGAGAAGTTCGATCGAGCTGGCGGCGGAGGAGGAAATAATGGAAACTGGGCTGGCGAGTTCGCTCAACAAGGACCACACTTTGCGCCTGAGGAGTTTGCACAACAGCAGAGAGGGGGAGCATTTACACCACAAGATTTCGCGCAGTTTCGGCAAGCACAGATGAGCGGGCCTCAGAGGACATCGAGTCCGACGTTCTCGCAGCATTCGGGTTATCGATCACCGATGTATGGCTCTAACTTTGGCATGCAGAGGCCTATGATGGGCTTTCAATCGGGCATGTACAACAACAACTTTCCACAACAGCAGTATGAGGGGAAGGGCAAAGGACGAGTGCAAGAGCTGAGCGATACCGACTGGGAGAAGCAGTTTGAAGAGTTGTCAACTCAAGATAAAGAGGCCGACCAGCTTGACAAGGATGCTGAGGAGGCTGTTGAGAGGGAGCTGAATCAATTGGACAGGTAAGCAAGAAAGCCATCTCGAAATGAGCTTCCACGTCTGGCCTGCTCACGCTAGGAGCAGGTCAGAAGTCGGATGGGGCAATTTCGAGAATATCGTCGAAGGGTTTCAGCAGGAGACTAACGCGAGCAGGGACATGCTGGCTGATGAAGAGCTCGAGAACCATTTTGGCGACGAGTTCGATCAATGGAAAGACTTCGATGGACTTAACCACAACTTTGACAGTTTCCGGAATGAGTTCGGCGATTACAACACCGCGCCCAACCTTGGGAACTACATGTTCGAGGAGAACAACCTCTTCAAGGATATGCCGAATGCTTTTGAAGAGGGTATGAAGATTATGCGAGAGGGCGGCAACCTGAGTCTGGCGGCGCTGGCGTTTGAGGCTGCGGTACAGAAGCAGGAGGATCTCGCAGAGGCGTGGGTCGCTTTGGGTCAGGCTCAAGCACAGAATGAGAAGGAGTCGCCTGCTATTCGAGCGTTGGAGCAAGCTATTAAGTTGGACCCCAGCAATTTGGAAGCTCTCATGGGTCTTGCTGTGTCTTATACAAACGAGGGCTACGATTCACTCGCTTACCGCACGCTGGAACGATGGGTTGCGGCCAAGTATCCTCAGCTTGGTGTTACGCCTCGGGGTCTGGATGAAGAGGAAGAAATGGGCTTTACGGATCGTCACATTCTGCACGAAAAGGTGACGAACTACTTCCTGGAAGCTGCACAACTTAACCCCGAAGGCGGAGACGTTGATGTCGACGTCCAAGTCGGATTGGGAGTTCTCTTTTACGGCAGCGAGGACTACGACAAAGCTGTTGACTGTTTTACCGCAGCGCTGAATAGTCATCAACATGGCACTATGAAGCGGGAAGGCGAGGAGCATCTCCTGTGGAACAGACTAGGAGCTACGCTGGCCAACAGTTCTCGCTCTGAGGAAGCCATTGAAGCATACTCTCGCGCCCTCGAACTTCGCCCCAACTTCGTCCGAGCACGCTACAACCTTGGCGTATCTTGCATCAATCTGGGCGTTCTCGAAGAAGCTGCCGGCCATCTCTTAGGCGCCCTCTCCATGCATAAGGTGCTGGAGCAGGAAGGCAAAGCCAAGGCGGCCGAGCTTCTCAAGGATGGACACGGCAACGATGTGGACGAGAGGGCGGTCGATCAAGTCCTTCAGCAGAATCAGAGCACCAACCTGTACGATACCCTGCGGCGGGTGTTCACGCAAATGGGTCGGAGGGATCTCTCGAACATGGTGGGCCCGGATATGAATCTGGACGCTATGAGAGGGGAGTTTGACTTTTAGATAGGACTTGGAGGGTGGGATGTAGAGTATGTAAATCTGCGAAAATCCTGGCATAGGGTCTTGGTCTGCCTTCATATGCATTGCATCGTCGTAGAATCGTCTGCACGTGACTGTCTCCCAATCCAGGAGCTCGCTTGCCTTCCGAGCTTCTTCGTTAAGACTGTAGACGACACAACCCCCTCGCCTCGAGCACCACACACGCGCAGAAATGCCGTCGTCAGACTACAGCAACGCCGTCGGCGGCGGGCTGAAACTGAAAGGCGGCGGAGGTGGAGGCGTGGACAAGAAGAAAAAGAAGAAGAAGGCCAAAAAGCCCACGGAAGACGGGGAGAACGAGAAAGAGGCAGACATCCGCGACGAAGGTCAGGGGGAAGAAGACGGTGCAGGACAATCCACAGCCCTCCAAAAAGCCCTCGCCGAAGAAGAGAAGACGACTACTGGAAAGGATTCTGATGCGGCGGCGGAGACGGAGGTGAGGGAGTACGGCAAGACGGAGGCGCAGAGGCGGTTTGAGGAGAGGAGGAAGAAGAGGGTATGTATTCGCCTTCCATATACACACAGAGATGGGGGCGTTTTTGTTGATGTTTTGGTTAGTTGGACGAACGACTCAAGAAAGAGGGCGTGCAGACTCACAAGGAACGCGTGCAGCAGTTGAACAAGTACCTTTCGACGCTGAGCGAGCATAATGATATGCCGCGTATTGGACCTGGTTAAGAGTTGTTTGGCGCGGGAGGGACTTGTACTGTTGCACTGCTCGTGTTCTTACTGGTGTCGTCGACTGGTCCTCGTCGCCGTCCTCCTCGATTCTTCCAAAGGCCCACATATCATCGACGTTTAGAGGAAAGGGTAGAACGCCTCTTGCCTCTCGCTCAAGCACACTCCGCTTGCTTGAAAATTGGACTGGTTCTTGGGAAATGCATGGGGAAGAGGAGCTGGTATTTGCAATACGCATTGCCGATGCTTTTCATACATCCCAAGTCTGGTCCTCAGCTACCCGTGCCACGAAAGAAATACACAGCTTGCATCGAATAGCAATCACATCTTGGTCGAGTGATTCTGCTCCACGCTTTAAGGAAAAGAAACCATCGCCTCGCTCGCTTTCAAGCCGCATCACGCTCTGAGAATTCGAAATCGCTCTCTCGCCAAATGAAGGTCACCTCTGTCACCATCCGTTCTCTTGCTCAAAGGCCCCTCAAGACGCTCGAAGAAATCCTCGTGACAGTACCATCTTCTCCCAACTGGCCCGCTGAATGATATGACTGCTAGTCAGATCGGACGCTGTAGGCTCTGTCGACACGGATGCGGCCCATCTTTTGCATTTCGAGGTCGATGCTGTCGCGCTCTCCAGAGTCGGCATGGCCTGGCTTGCGAGGGCTTGGCTCGGACACGCTTGCTGAACGATCGTCGACGAGTGTGCAGTCGGTGTTGACGGTGGTGGGAAGGAGGCCCTTCTCGCTCGAATATGCTGGGGTACCGGGGTTGCGCAAGGTGCTCTTCTCACGGCGGTTGTGCCACTGATGAGGGGCAGCAATGTTATTATTGCCTTTCGTGCTGGTGGACGCCCAGATGCTTGAGAGCGGCAGGAAGGTGGCTACAACGACGGGCGTCATCGTGTAAAGTTGCGAGCCTGGTATGGCCCAGTATGAGATGATGCCGAAGAGTGCTGCGTCAAATGTCAGTTCAAGATTCCACAAATGCCGTGCTTGACCCAACTCACCTGGTACGATCATAGTCTGGCAACCCATGATGAAGATGATCTGAACTGCCCCGAAACTCTTCATACCCATGTCACGACGCTGACGGATGGCCACGAGGAGCTTGACGGAGAAGATGCCGCTGAAGAGGAAGATGCTGGCCATAAGGGTGGCAATCGAGACGTTCGAAAGCTTGGCGATCATGTTGAACTCGTTTTCGGTCGTGTTACCCACGTCCACAATGTTCCAGAGGATGTTGAGGATCATGCAAACGAAGCGAATCGCGAGTGTGGCGGTGACGGCCAGGATCGACAAGCAATCGAGGCAGCGACGCCAAAAGGTGGACAAGGTGCAGCACACGATGCGAACCTGCAGCATCAGAGACAGCTCAATGGCCATCACCATGATGAACGAGCAGACTTCGAGGACGACGGATTGCCGTGATGTGACGCTGTCGTCGGGGTAGTACTCGGCGGTCCAGTTGTAGAAGTTGTAGAGCGGACCTGCCGTTTGGACGCATTGGACGATGCCTCGGATGAAGATGAAGAGCAGTGCAGTCAGGTTGAAGATGAAGATGAGGCTGCGGCGCTTGTCGGCCTGGGTCATCAATGCCAGAACCGTCATGAGGACCGCGCTGAGACCAATCTGGACGGCGAAGACGGCTGTCTGCGTGACCGCCAGGTGTTGCAGCTCGAAGATGTTGTGGATGCTGGTCGCGAATTGCGTCTGGCCATCCGGCATGGTGATGATGATTTGCTGGTGGTACGGGTCGAACGAGCCATTGTTGGGCACGCTGTCGAGTGTGGAAGCCATCTTCGAGGAGCTGCTTGCTGGTATGCTTGCTGGTATGCTTGCTGGTATGCTTGCTGGCTGGCGTATGCAGTCGTGGTTTGCTGCGGGTTGGAGGTGAGGGTGATAAAGGGACGACGAAAGAGTGGGTGGAAGTTCTGGATCAGCTCAGACCATGCGTTCGGTGTGCATGAAAGAACGAGAAACACGTGCCGGAGAGCTGGAATAGTCTTCTTGAGGTGGGTGGAGACAATCTCAGGCGAGACAATAGCAACAAGGAGATTGTCTGTCGGAGGCCCGCTGCTATTGTTCGACGTCGCCCGTAGGAGAGAATGCCGAACAATATCAAGCGACAACACGATTCATCCGCGCGGATGCTGCGACGGCGTAAGTGAGGGAGAAATGAGTTCTGGTATGCTGTTGTTGAAGCGACGTGAAGAGGAAGGAGCTTCGGATTTGAAGGTGAAAGTGGGCAGACAAAGAAGGCACATGCTCGCTCTTTCCAGATTCGGCGCTACCACGCACACGGGCCACCGACCCCTGTCGACCCATCGATATCACACACTGCGCAAGGATGCGATTTCTAACATTGGCTCGCGACAGCCTTCGTGATGGGTGGCAACGGTGGAGACTCGCCTGGAAATTGAGAAGCGCAACATGGTGATGCGTGCGGAGCGGCATGTCTCAGGGCTTAGTATTGTTCTTTCCTGGGCTGGCACAAAGTCGTCAAACACGACAAGCTGCCCCGAGACTCGCATGGCGTTGCGATTGACCAAGGCGCTGATGACTGCTATTTGGTATCTGAGAATAGTGTTACGGCGGAGATTGGCGTAAGTATGCTGTTGCCGTTGCGGTAAGTGCGGTGTGTGACTGGAGCGTGTTCTTTCCCTTGACATTCACTTTCGCCTCGCTTCTCTTCTCCCATTTGTCGCGCACCCGTGCGTAGAAACACCACGCACCTCATGCTTCGCTGCATGAGCACTTCATGTCAGTACATTGCTGACCTGGTCCTGCCCGCCGCCGCGACACACCTGGTCCGTGAAAGCACTGGCCGGTTCTCGATTCGTCAGAACATCGCTGAACCAGAGAAGATCCTAGCTCGCATCGGTACGTGTCAATCCGCAACCACATCACTTGCACTGCTCGGCTAAGCCCAGCAGAGCAGCGACACCTGTCTCTATACCTCGAGACCGCCTTCGCCATCGTCTTGGAGCCTCGCCCTGGTGCCTACCTCACGCCAGCGAGCAGCACGACTCCGCAAGGCCACGTTCTCCTCAGCGACGGAGATTGTCTTCACTTCACCGAACACTATCTGAAAGTGCTGTACACTACACAGCAGCCGACAGTGAGTGCCCTTTGGCCAAACGCCACATCTAGCTCTATTGACGCCTGAGAAAGATGCCGCCTCTTCCTTCATCTCCTGTGGCAGAGGCGCGAGACTCCCCACCCGCGAAAGAGGACTCTGAGACTGAGGCGAGTGACGACGGCATAGCCACCTCACCGACTGCGGAGAAGGCGCTTGGAAACAGCAAGACGTCCACCACCAAGCACACCACAAATAGCGTTGAAGCAGATGATGTTGCCCCAGATGGTTCAGCATCTAAAGAGATTACGTTCCAGGTACGTGGCTGCGTTGTGGGGCCAAACAATCTATCGTTGAGGTGTAGTTCAAGCTGACATGTGCCAGGATACTGCCTCCGACTCAGAGGTTATGATGTCGACTCCCAAGCCTCACATCAAGTATGGCAAGAAAGACGCTAGCCGTCGTGCTAAGAGCGCGATTCCTTCAGACGCCACCGAGCCAACTTCTTCTGCTGTTGCTAAGCAGGCGGCGACGCTGTCGGTCAGAGGAAGTATCATTCCAGATGACGATGCCGACACTGACAGCAAGAGGTATACAAAGTCATCGAGGTTTCATAGAGCATTAAGCTAACATCTCTGCAGCATCACGTCCAACGGCAAGCTATCCGCAGTCAAGAGAGGCACGAAGCGCAAGGCCCCGCCACGACCAAAGAGCGCTGAAGACACTTATCGCGTGTCGACAGAGGATGACGATCCTCCGCCCAAGAAGGCTCGGTTGCCAAAAGCTGCGCGAGAGGAGACTCCAGGGGAAGAGATTGCTGTTGCAACCCGGTCCGTCCAGAAGACAGGCCCCCAGCGGTCCAGCGGTCGGGAAAGCAGGGCTACCTCTGGCAACGATTCACCAATTTCAACACCATCGTCACTGGTCGATACACCATCGAAGGTCCTCATCACCATGTGCAACCCCAATGGAAAGATCAGGGGGTGGTTCAAAAGAAAGATGACGGTGGTTGAGGAGATTCCCGGCAAGCGCACCAACTTCGTTTGCGTCACACGCCATAAGGACCTTCCAACTACTGCGAAGATCTTGAAGACGCTTGTTGCTGGAAAGCCTGTTCTGAGCGTCCAGTGGATCATCGACTCGCACAGAGAAGGCACCATCCTGGACCCTTCCAGCTACAAGCGTGAGTTTTCCTTTTCCAGAAATCCGACGCAGCGATGACACTAACAATACTATAGACTCTGAGGTGGAAGGCAGCGACGAAGCTAATGACGACCGACGCTCCCTCTTCAAGGGCAAGACCTTGTTCTTCACCAATGCGGTAAGTCGTGCATATACAACCACGCGTCAGACCTGCATGGACACCAGACTGACCCGACTGCAACGCTAGGCCGTCAACAGCTACAACCAAGGTTGGGACGCAATCAAGGAAGTGGCCCAAGAAGCTGGTGCAACAGCTATCCAAGACGGAACCGCTACAAAGGGAAACGAATTGACGCCAAAGCATAACGTGCTCCTCTTTGGAGATGGACCCGAGGACGGCCCAGCCCGCACACTCATCAAGGAGCATGGACGGACGGTGTACGACAAGGCCATGTTCGCGCAAGCGATCATTCGGGCGGAGCTGGACCTGGATGATGACGAGTTCAAGCTGAAGGGTAGCAGCAGCGACACGAAAGCTACTGCTAATGGCAGGAGGAAGAGATAGTGCTCGGGAGATCAGCTGGCGCTTGTTGGTCGGGAGGACAGGCAGCATAGGCAACAGGCCATTCAAGAGCTCGTAATCACTCGCATATGCAGTTGGAAGGCGAGGTCGCGAGACGGGAAAGGCATCGATTGCTCGGGGGATGATGCAGCAGCTCGCTGAAGGATCGCTGGTTGGGGGAAAAGCAAAGGGGAGATACTGCTGCGAGAAGCATTATGTACATCTGCCAACGCAAACTTTGCTCCATGAGACAACCGCTTTATCCATCTCGCAAAGGATCATGTTGGTTGTTGGCTACATCCCTCGTGGCACGTATCGGATGCTTCGAGGCACGAACTCCACGAGCGAAGTGATGCCTGCTGCCGCAGTCGGTGACTTTCCCTCGGGGGCATGCAGATCGGTGCTCGCAAGATGAGACAGGTAGCGATATTCATAGTCACCAGTGAGTGATGAGATTCCTCTCGGGTTGAGGGTAGACGCTCTTCTCCTTCGCTCTTCGATATCGGGCAGAGCCAAGAATAGCTTATGCAGCTTTGCGGCGAGCGAGTGCTCGCAGTGCCAATGCTCGAATCACTGGGGTCGGTACTACGTTGTCCCAATTCCTGCTTCCCTTCGCGATCGTCGATGGAGAGCGCCGGTGCTGCAGGTTAGTTCACACAACAGTCATGAGAAGATGGAGAAGTTGGTTCGGTGAATATCGGGGAACTGTTTCGAATTCCTTTTTATTTTTGAGTATTTGGGTAGTTTTTCATATGTCTCTGGGACGTCGCAGAAGCGGTGTACGCTTATCCATGACTGATGATTGGTGTTCGTGGCGAGCCCATTGATTTCGTCGTGTAGAGAGAGTCCTCCTTTTCTATAAGAGCGATCGTCCACGTGACGACAGCTCCAACCAGGGGCTTTGTGAAAACACGTCTCCGCATGTGACATGTTTGGATCGCAGTGTTACTCTCGCGAACAACGAGGCCGAGCCGAATATCATGGACTGAGCACTGGTAGCTGATGAGAGTCTGTTAAAATGTAAGTGATGGGAGTAAAAACTCTTGCTTGTGATCAACTCATACTTCTCTCCATGATCTAGTATAAAGACCCAACCGATCGGCACATTCATGTTGCAAATGTGCCCTGATCTAACTGGAAACCTGCGGCCGATCAAGACGACCTTTGCGCTGTTCTCCATATTGGAAATTGTGACGTGGCGTCGTCGAAATAGCGGATGAGTGCTTCGGCAGTAGGGTTTGCTCGTTGCATGGGCATTGATAGCTTGTGAGACGCGTTGCGTTGCTCGATAGCTGAGTGCTCGGGGTGGTTCAAGATTGGAGCGGACGTTGCTAAATGGGAATGGCGGTATAGCGATATAGTTGATCCAATCTCTCATTGCTTACACCAGAAGGACACTGGCAAGTCATTAGCGATGTACGACATCTGATAGACACGACGAAACCTACGCATTCACGCAGCCATCATTCTCCGGGTTGTTGGCGATCTGGGCCCAGCGACCTATGCGAATGTCAGCTTTACTGCTCTAGCATATACCACAACAGGATTCACTTACCCCAGACAACTTTCCCACCTGCTGTGACCAGACCAAGCTCGCTCACATTTACCTCAACGATCGTTCCCTTGGTAAGAACACCCAACTGCGTGTACATGGGATTCTGCGGGTTCTTCTTGACGCTGATGATCGGCAGTTGGACCGTAACTCCCAGCTCCGGATGTGTCACATTTGCCTTCTTGTATCGAAGACCCATGGGGCGAATGAAGCGCTCGTACTTGACTGGCCGCCGGGTGAAGTCAGGGCCGACAAATGTAGGCTTGGTGATCATACGCTTCCAACTCTTCTTGGCAGTCTTCTTTCCAGTCTTGACGACCTTGAACATCTCCGCCTCACTGATACCACGCACTTTCGGGAGCGGTACACTGAACTTGGCAGCTTTCTCAGCTCGCTTGTTCTTGATTGCAGAACTGAGTGCCTTGGCGTTTGTAGTGTTGCTGCGGTCAAGCAAATAGCTGGGAAGTGGAGTGCTCGAAGGTTGGGCGGGCTCTGCAGACTTGACGTTCTTCTCCTCTTGCTGTTTGATGGCCTTCTTCATCTGGATCTTCTCCTTGTGTCGCTTCTGCTGGTAAAGCTTTGCACGCAGACCACGCAGGTTCTGCGCCTTTTCTGAGGCATGATGGGCCTCTCGTGCGGCTCGTTTCCGGGTGCGCTCTTCATGGTCGAGGCGACGACCGTGCTGCTTTTGAAAGCGCTCGATATACTCGTTCTGCGGCATGGCGGTGGTGGTTTATCGTGCGCAGTATCCGGATCAGTAGTCGAGATGGCGGTGGATGGGCGCGAAGTTGGAGTCGGAATGAAAAAGTCGTGCCAAGATGGAGGGCAGTCTCAAAATCCCGTCCCTCTCTAGGTCCAATCAGAGGAGTCTAGCAGGGGGTCTGGATCTAAGACTATGTCCACTCCGCGGGAGTCTTCTCTTCTTGTCGACCGTCGCGTGCACTGAATCACATTCGACATCCAGCCATTGTGCTCCATCGCGAAGGACTGTGCCGAAGATGCTATCCAAGACGCTGAAGAGGACCTTGCTGGAGACGCCCTCACAGTGGCCGCCGACCTTCCTCCTCCCCTGGGCTGCGAATCTGCCCACGAGATCCTTCTCCCAAGTACCAGCACCGAAACGAGACGAATCTCCTACATCAGGTCCAGCCCCTGCCCACGGTCGACGAATGTCAACGGCGATCAGCGAGTCTCCCAGCGAGCCAAAGCCCCCACCACCCTCAAGGCCCTCAGCAAGCAAAGAGACCTCTTCTCAGCAGCCGTCTTCGTCGCTGAGCGAACTCTTACCTTTGCTGCGATCCCAGGGCCCGCACTACATCACACTTCACATACATGGCAAGCCGTACCTCGTGACTCAAGGCGATACAGTTCGCTTGCCATTTTTGATGCATGGGGTCGGACCTGGAGATGTTCTGCGCTTGAACCGAGCCATCAATCTCGGAAGCAGAGAGTACACCTTGAAGGCCCCTGCTGCATCGCCCAAATTGAAGAGCCCGACAACTAGCACTGTGTCGGTCCTCGACCCGACCACCGGCTCACTACCGAGCCATTCTCGCGTTATGCCCTCCGCCTCTTTGGCTTCGTCACCCGCAGCTGTCTACGCACCCCACTACATTCCGCATATCGCCAAAGGCAAGCATTCGTACCTCGACGAGAAGCTCTTCGTTTGCCGAGCCGTGGTCATGGGCGTTGAGAGTGAGCCAATGCGGACTAAGGAAAAGACGAAGCGGAGACAACGGCATATCAAGACCGTCAAGAGCAAGCATCGGTTCACGGTGCTTAAGATCAAGGAACTTCGAATAGAAAGCCCCGAGCAAAATTGAGTCATGACCGATTCGCGAAAATCATCCACCTCGCCGACGCACACCGCGTAGGACTTACTCAGTGCAATTTTTCCTGGCTGCCTGGGCATCGATGGCCTTCCGATATGGTCCGGTGTGAGAAGTATCCGCGCTCCAAGACGTTGTACGAAGAGTCCCCTCCTAGAGCCGAAGACGCGCTTGATATGGCCAGCCGGGACGCATATTAGTCTGGTCACGTGGTCTACCTCGGTCACCGAAGTGTTCTGCAAGCCGACGAAGTCCTTCAGCGAGTGTATCATACGAAAACGGACCTGTGCTATATCCGATACTCCGTTTATCAGCGGCTAGAATGCAGCAGAGGCGCCCGGAAGGGGCAAACCAGTGACGATGGCTTGGAGGTCGTGGCGTTGCATCGCCGATTTGGCGCCTGTGAATCTGGGGTTGGGGAGCACAAAATGGAGCAACATGAGACAGAATGAGGTAGAACGGATGACAGCGCTTCGTGCAGCTTCACATGTGCACTCAATTGATCCAACGCGGCAGCGTATTCAATCAACTCGCGGCTATCTGACGAAGACTGCCCGACATCACGTGTCTATGAACTCAATGTTCCGCTCGCAAACAGCCATCCTTCTCGAAGTTTTCTCGATCCACGGCTAAGTGATTGGCTCGATTGTACACCTCGCACAAGTCGACGCCGATGGATTCGCTGTCATCCTGTCTTGCGACCCGCCTGTCCTGTGAGTGGACAAAATCAGCAGCCGAGTCGATATCATCACCAAACGCCCAAGCCCGGCTTCGCTGCATATGACGATGACAGGTCGTTACAGGTAGTCCCTTGGAGCAAGAAGTGGGTCCCCCGTTCCCTTGCACACCGACATGCACCACTGAGGCACATGTCTTCTGGCCCTCTCGTCGGCCCCATCTCTCGTAAGTCGTGGCCCCGTCATGCCCTGCGACCGCACCGGGGCAATTAGGCACTGGTAAAGCGAGTCACGAGGCTGCCTCTTCTTCACGCCCAGTCCGGGCGGCTCGCCACGGCCGCTGCACATACAACACCTACTAGTCGGTCACCAACGCTCGTCGCACATGGTACGAACACCGAACGTTATTGACTCCAAGGATGAACGCCAACAACAATGCCGCCCAACCTGCAAATCAACCTGCTAACCAAGCTGCGAATCAACCCGCGAACCTCAACAACATCTTTAATAACCTTGGCGTCAACTTCCAGAGCCTCGTGGCTTCGACACTACGCCAATACCCCCGTCGGATGCCTGTCCAAAACCAAGGTTCTATCGCCTATCGTCGCTCGAGGTTCCCTTTCCCATCGGTGACCGATTTAGCCAACTGGGCGCTTGCGAATGCCATTAAGAGAGAACTCGTCGCCTTGCAGACCAGTGTCGTCGTCCTGCGTAGGACCGTCGACGTCGACGAAGAGACGTCAACTCAGGTCCATGCATCCCTCAAGCAAGCCGCAGAGAGTATCTTGAAACTCGAAAGACTGCTCCAGATCATCCTCGATGCCATCCCCATCGAAGCACGGCCAAACGCAGCGTCTGCGGTGAAGGCCCAGAAAGTTTTCGACGTCGCCGAGCTTTTGGAGAAGATCCTGTTGAACTGTGAATATCATGACTTCATTTCTGCAATGCAGGTCAATCGGACCTTTGCGCAAGCCTTTCGACGTTCGGCGCGGATCCAGCAGGTCATGGGTTTGAGAGCAATAACGGACGGGTCTCCATTTTCGCCAGTGGCAAATGCGTTTTTCGTATCGCGCGGGTGTATGATCAGATTGGAGGACCATCATCGATACGGCCACCAGGTCCAGGATAATGAGGTTGTGGTGTCTGCTATTTTCAACGGATCCAGTCCGTTCGAGGAACACCCGCTGCCACGGATCTCAGAGCGTTTTCGCGACACGTTGGTCTGCCAACCGCCTATCAAGCAAATGAGGGTACGAGCAGGTGAGAAGTTCGAAATATGATGGTGATATGATGGGAAATGCTGACTTGTCGATGGACAGGCTGCTGTGAAGACCCGCTCTTCCGAAGACGAAACGCCAACAATCTCCAACCACACCCACCATCGCTAACCTCGCTAGCCGACCGCGACGAAGAGATGCAGCAGCTCCATTCCATCGACTCAGAAACCGGCATCACCTTGGGCCAAGTGCTCGACGAGACGAGAAGACTGCGCGACGAGCATCGGTATTGTCCGGATGCGTATCCCGGTCTCCATCGCGATGACGGCACGGTGGATGTACACGTGCATTTCGAGGCGATCTTGCAATTGCCACGGGATGATCCAGTTTTGTTGGCAAACAGGCGCGCAAAGGCGTCGTTTGACTTTGAGCAGAAGGACTTCGCGGCGAAAGATCAGAAGATCCAGCAGTATATCGCCGCGAAGCAGTCTGGTGAGTGAGATCTTCTACACCCAGATCATTCGAGATCGGCTCTTGCTGACATTGTTTTTTTGATAGCTCGCGACAATGGCGAACCGATCCCAACGTTGCAGGAATTCGAAGCGCGATCTCTAGTTACCAACGTCGAAGACCACGATGACGCGGAGGCTTCCAACGACGACCAGCTAGAACAGTAGGAAGGTGAAAAGCATTAGCATAAGCATAAGTATCCAGGCCGGTTCCATTTCGATTAGCGGTGCATTCAATTCGGGGTGACGAGCGCGCTTCAGGAGAGACGGAGACGGACGACCAGCGGAAACCATCCATCACGACGACATCGACATCGACATCGACATCGACAACGACACGAGAGATGAGGTGAAGTCGGAAGAGGCCGTGGGGGGTGCCATTCGTAGAGTTTCTGGACATGAGGCTGTCCGTGTTGGGACACAAGACCGTTCGAACAGACGGCGCAGATACTGTAGTAGGGCAAGCGCATTCAGGGCGGCGGCAGTGGCATGTCTTTCCATCATCATCAGCAGCAGGCAGGCAGGCAGGCAAAAATGTAATAAGTCTTTTTGTTCATCATCATCATTCAGACATGCACAGGTGAAATACAGAAAGACAAGGTGGTGCTATTCTACAACTATAGATACGCAGCAGCGTGAAGAAGCATCGCGAGGCGACGACGGTGTAGACCCGCCATCACATCTAGACGTCCTCGTCGCTGTCTTCCCCAAGCAGCTCGCCCTCATCCGCATCAACAACAGCATAGTCCCCTCTTCCTCGCTGGAAGCTACTCCTCGTCGTGTACGGTCTCTGGTATCCTCCGCCCCTGCCAAACCTCGTCGACACCATCCTCCACAGGCTGCCAATGACCATCGGCACGGCGGCGAGGACGGCGACGAGCCCGGACACCAGCATGACGGGGTACTTGACCCACGGTGCGTCGCTGTCGAATGCTCCGCCATATCCTCCGCCTAGGCCATCGCCCAGCCGAATTCGGCCGAACTTGCCATCCCAATTCTTCCACACCCAATATCCGACTCCTGCTGCTGCCGCAATAGGCAGTACAATGGCAAAGAACAGTCCGATGCCTCCTATGCCAGGATGTTTTTCGTTGTAATCCGTCTCGTGTCCGGGGCAAGGGTGCGTCGCCGACGAGAGGTCGAGCTCGACTCCACCTTGACACGTCGTCAAAGGAATTCGTCGGTAACCGGTGATGTCGTAGTACTCAGTCAAGCCCGGATTAGCTTTGCACACTTCCAATGGATCTGGCTTCTCGAGGCCTGTGATCAAATCGCAGGATTGGTCCGATCGGCGTTCATAGTTGTAGTCACATTCAAAGTCCGCCCGTGTGCACGTGCAGTTTTTGGCAATGCTATGCAGGTGCTGGATCGCCCGACCATTGTAGCAAGCGTTTTCCCATTTCTTGCGATGGTACTGAGCCACGTGTCCAAAGAGGCAGTCGTCGTCCGAGAGTGGGTGTTTCGGGGTCCAGAAGTAGTAATCAGAGTCTTCGGTATCCGGGTGGTCCTCGTCTAGCTTGCACTGCTTGCTCCTCTCTTCGAGGCCGCTGAAGTCAAGATTGATTGTCGCGATCTTACCACCGATCTTGCCCCAGAGCAAGACGTTCCGACTGGTGTCGCTCGGCACTGTGGTGATGTCGTCCACGTTCATCGTCTCACCGAACTTGTACTCTTTCCAAGTGCGGCCCTCGTCGAGCGTGTATCGCACGAAATCTGTGGGCTCGTCCTCCTTGACGATGACGATGATGGACCCCTGGTCGCCATATTCCCACATCCAGTTGCCTTCCGCCGCGAAAAGCCAAGTGACTCCGCCATCCCTCGTGATGAATGTGTTGGCATCTTGTTTGTGACCAAGATATTCGCCGACGTTGCCAGTGGCGATCATTATCCCGACAGCACTCGGAGAACTGAACGTGTCCCGCGGGTCTTTTCGTTCGGTATACCCATGTAGGTGCAACCCACAGTCGCTACCTGGTTTGGGAGTGCACTCATACTTGAAGTTAGTATCTTTCGCCGACTCCACAGATTGGAGCAGGGCCCAGTCTGCACCATCGTTATGAGTGATCTTCGTTTGCAGTTTCTTCGTACTGCCGCTGTCCGTCTCCTTGACGTTAGAAACAACATTGATGATGGCCACGCCTTCCAATCCCTGCATCTTTTCGAAGTCGACGTAGCCTGCCGGGTTTCGATTGACGTGCGCCTGTGAGAGAACATATGAGGTTCCATTACTGTTGCTCTTGACAATGCTCCCGTACTCCTGGTCCTGTGCGTTGTTTACAGTGACATGCAGGAAGACGGCATGCGTACTAGAGTCCAGAACTGTGTAGGCCTGTTGGTGAGGGACATGGAAGTTGGCCGGGAATTGCGCATCTGCAAAGTTCACACCATCGATACTGGTGTCGACTTTGAGGGTCTCCTGATCGTCGTCTCGCACAGCAACCACAATGTACTCTTCCATTGTCGCGAAGTTGATGACATCGCGCTTCAGCTCCTTCTTGTGCTTGAACAGGTCCTCACTGCTTAGCAGTACGAGCGATTTCTCTTCGTCTTCATTCTCATACTGCTCGCAGTATGTCAACTGGTCTGATCGGCCTTGCTCTTCAACGTACACGAATTGGCATTTGCGGACAGCGCGGAGCAACGGTTCCCAATCGAGCCCGTTGTTTTGAGATGTCTCTGCCACGGCCTGGTCACCTGCCGCGCCGGTCCACAAGAGCCAGTCCGGTTGGGATGGGTGAAAAGACAAGACCTGATTGCCTTTCTGGTTGGGCTTAGATTTAGCACTGAAGTCGTGGAAGTTTTTGGCACCATTCGTGGAATAGAAGACCTTATTGCTTGGCGTAACCAGGTATACCCTTTCATTGATGTATTGGTGTGGATAGATCGCCAGGATTTCCTCGTCGTTCAGCTCTTTAGGCTGCGCCCACGTTTTACCGTGGTCATGTGTCTTCCAGATCTCTCGTCTGTCAGTGCGCAGAATAATCGTCTCGTCGTCGCCCGTATTGGTGTGAGTTCTTTCCATGTAGTAGTACTCCACGAACTTGTCGCCGGGGAATTTCGTGACCTCCTTGGAAATCTCGCCACTAACAGGATCTTCCTTGGTATCACTGCACTCGCGCTCGACTTCCTTGGCGAGGTCCTCGCCACCTTCGCAATCGTTTCCTGGGATCAGTCGGTATCCGGATGTGCCTTGGTAAGTCTTTTCGCTGCCTTTGCAAGCACCTTCAGGAGGCACAACCGGGCCGTTCTTGACACACTTGCCATCTTCAAGTTTGAAGTTGTAATCGCACTCGAAATCCTGTTTGGTGCACTTGCACGTCTCTCTGTCCTCTTCCGGGTCCTCGAAATCGTCAGACACAACCAAGCAATCAGCATCGGCTTTCCTTCGCTGAAAGTATTGCTTGTGGCCCATGATACAAGTTGCGTCGCCCTTGTCATCAACTCTGGCTGGCCACTTTTCGAAGTCTCCCTTTTTGCACTCTCGTTCATGCAAACCCTCGAAATCCAAGGCGAAAGTCTTGTGCTTCGTCCTTCCGCCGCCGCCCTGAGTAGCCACCAGTAGGAACTTCAGCGATGTCGAGTCAGGCGTCGTTGTGAGCGCCATTGGCTTGATCTTGTCCTCGAGCTTTACCTTCTCCCAGTCCTTGCCGTGATTGAGCGACCACTGTATGATGTCCGTTTCTCCGTCTTCGATCGCTACGAGGATTGACCCCTGTGCGCCAAACTCGTAGATGTGCGGCTTTTCCAAAGCCAACTTCCATGTCAGCCCGGCGTCGTCTGAGACATAAAGGTCGCCCTCGTCGTAGCCTTTGAGGTAGTCACCGGTGTTTCCAACCCCCATGACCAGTCCAGGCGCTGGACTACTGAAAATCCGCCCCAGATTGCGCTGCTTGGTGACAGAGTGCAGGTGAAGATCCTTCTTGCCCACTTTCAAAGGTTCCCAAGTCCTCCCATCGTCAAAAGAGATCGAGGATTTCACCTTCTTATCAGCCATCCACTTCCGCTCGACTTCCTCCCAGTTGTCCACGGTATTGACCAGTACAATGCCCTGAATGTTGGAAACCTTTTCAAAGTCAACAAATCCTCGCATGTTGCGATTGGTATGCTCGATGTTCTTCGTGAAGAATGTGCCATTGCTGTTCGACGTGAGGAGGACACCCATAGCACTCGTCGATGAAGTTGTCATGATGTCAACTTGCATGCTGTAATTCGTGCTCTCAAGCAGCGTGTAGGCATTCTCTTCCAACTTGTGCTCTCCAAACTCGGCGCGGTGCCAGGCCTTGGTGTCGTCGGTGACATACATGGCCATTTCAGTCGTCTTGTCGCCTTTGGCAGCAAAGACAATGTACTTCTTGACCCCTGCGATGTTGGTGATCCCCTCCACTGTCCTGCCATCGCTCACGGTGACTTCAGTCGTGTGGGACTTGAAGAAGTCGTCCGAGTATATGATCCTGTTATTCGCTGACAGACCCGAGAACTGTCCCTTGGCTATGCACAATATACGGTCCTTGTCGAGATCCTCATCACCAGTGGTGAAGATATCGCTGCTCTTGGCCCAGATGCAAGAAACCACATCTTCATCCAGACGCTCGGGTTTGCTCTCGAAGCCGTCGGTGGTGTAGTAGACTGAGGACTCGCAGAAGAAAATGTTCTTGCAGGTCTCGGCGTGGAACAGCATTCGCTTCGGGTCGGATGCGTGGAAAGCAATGCCTGGGCGTGCCATGGAGGGACTCTCTTTCGCTGTGAACTCCTTCCATGACTCGCCTCGATCATGTGTGATCCAGTGTGTTCTCTTCGACCCCAGAATGACTGCAGTCTTTTTGTCGTATGGATGCTTGAGCATCTCGAAGACCTCGCCCTCTTCCACATCGTCCAGCTTCTCCCATTCGAATCCGCCATCGTCGGACCGCCATGCAGTCCCGGTGTGTTCGATCGTGGTAATTATTACGTCGCTGTCCTCGAAGTACAGAATGTTGGAGGGTTGGTTCTCGAAAGTGTGGTCCTCGATGTCAGGCTTATCTTTCTTACCCAGCACCTGCAACGCCAGCAGGCTGCAGAGCACTGCGAGCACGAGACGGATGTGTCGCATGGTGTAAGTTACCGGTATGGCCGCAATATTGAGGTAGATGTGGCTGCGGACATTGGAGATGTAGGTGCAGCAGGCGAATGTTGGTCGTGGGGTGTTGGTGATGATGAGTTGGCGCCTTGTTGTCGTCAACTCAATCCAAGCTCGGTCGCCCAGCTGGCTTGTTTCGACATCCCTGCTCACAGCACGTGAGACTCCCGAGGTACCGCATCATCTGCTCTACTTTTAGCGCCGTCTTCAGCCAACAACACTTCCGTTCTATCCATCTACATTCCATTTCAGATCCATCTAGTTCTACTGATAGAGCAACTCATGAGATCTGACGCGATTTTTTGTGCACATCGAGGCCGACGCCGTTGTCATCACCACGCAGAACACCGCTGAAAAAGAACCGCTTGTGACACGATGTATCACTGAACAGCATTGACGTCGCCGTTGAGACATCTAAGCTAAAAAAACAGACAGCAGAGAATGTCTCGTGTACTTTTGTCCTAATCACCAATGTAGGTTTCTCCATGCTTCGTTGTGTCTCGAACTGAACATCTGACGTTGACCACTTCGCTCTTTCAGATGCTCGCGCGACTGCCATTGTCTGATCCTCTCCATCGCCTTGATCGTGCTCAAGCACATCCTGGTGCGTATGTACCCAGCACTGGGGCAAATGCTTCTCGTGCGTGGTTGCCGGGTACACTCAATCAGACATTTCCCTCTCTTCCAGTCCCTCGGTCACGGCTCTCTTAGTATCTGAACCGCCCACTGAGGTGCTTGAACAATCCCTGCAGCAAGAGGTTGTGCTTTGCCCTCCAGAGCGGAAAGATTTTGTCGTAGGCCCAGGAGTAGTCTCGCAGCTCGCGAAGCGTGGGGTGACGAGGGACGGCAAGGCCTTCATCTTTCGCCTCGATGAAGTCGTAGATGTTGACGAAGACGCGTCTCAAGTTCTGGCAGTACGTTAGCAACTCATATCGCCAGCCCTATTCGTCACATTGCTCACCTTCTTGCACTGCCAGATGTTATTTCCCATCGGCTTGTCCAGATCTCTGCAGAGGTTTTGCCACGCATCCAGTTTGGTTTCGTCACAGCCATAGTAGAACTCGAACGCATTTACGAGCTTCGTCAATTTGGCCTGATATTCCGCTCTGGTCATGCGCTTCGCCGTCTTCTTAGGCCCGTCCGCCGTCGTTGGCGGTGACGCCGGCTCTGATCTGTGCCATGTCAGCTGTGTTGATTACAATAACGGGCTCTTTAGCTCACTTCGCCATCGCTCGCAGTGCACGATCAGTTGCGTCTCAGACTTGGTGGGAAGGTTGTGGTGGAGCAGAGTCACGGTGTCTTTGGTGTCGCGACGCTAGCGTTAACGCAGCGCGACATCGCAAATCCACAAACGGAAGGCACGTCCTCGCTTGCAAGTCGAAATTGATTGCTCGTTCAAGAACCACTCAGTATCCTAGCCATGGAATGTAGAGAATAATCACCTCACGCTCATACTATCATGGACCTTTCCGGTCTTCGACAGGGTGATCGATCCACGCACATGTGATTGCCAAGCATATCTTGCGCCTTCCCCAATGGGAGACGCTGGAAGCTGAACCCAACAGAACCAGCAGTTATTACCAGATTCGCTCAAAATCGGGTCTCTACCCTAAGAGAACCCGAATACCGCCTCAAAGGAAGGAGAGAATGCGATTCTGTTCCGACCGCTAGCCACGGAAGAGCTGATATGCAGGAAAAACCCCCCCATCAATCGCTTTTCGTTGCTGTTGCTCAATTCGATTCTTTCCGTACAACGAGAACGGGAGAATACACTTCCTACACCAAAGCTATCGCAGTGCTCCTATACGGCACAACACTAACATTCCACACCAAACCATACTCCTGCTCCTTCGGCTCCGGCCCCAACCACAACGTCCCACTCGACTTAACATCCCTCCAAATCGTCCTCAACACATTACTCAACGTCGTCGCAACCACAATCTCAACCTCGTTCGTGCCATTGACCAAGAAACTCCCAATATCTGCCGTGGCATTGGTAGGATCGAAAGGCGGCACTTGATGGCCGTTGACCCACGCTCTTGCGGTATTGACGATGGGGCCCAAGTGTAGGACAGCGCCGTCTGCTCTGCCGTTGGCTGGTGGCCAGGTGAAAGAGGTGGAGTAGAAGCCTCGGCCGGAGACGTTCCGGAGGTCGTCTGAGATGGCGTTCCAAGGCTGTAGGGAGGTGATGTTGTATGTTGAGTTCGCAAGAGCGGGTTTCGTCTGATCGGCCTCCAGGTCGGCCGGCGGGTTCCAGGCTTCGACGATCAAGGTCCAGTTCGTGAGCTGGGCAGGAGGTGCTGGGATTGGCAACGAGAGCGCGGTTCCGTTGGACAGGAGTAGTGGCTGAGATGTGTTGCCCGCTTTGATGCTCCACACACCGCTATCACTGAGAGATGCTCCGAAAGTTTCGGGCGGCGTTGCTATTACGTGACTCGACGCATCACGAGTTTCATTGTGACGGAATGCAATAATCGTGCTCTGATTGCCCGCCAACGTCAAGGGTATCGTAGTCGCAGACTGGCTTTGTTGGTAAGCCGCGATGGGGTCGATAGCGCCAGTCCAAGCATCGCACTGGTAAGGAACACCGGTAGCCTCGAAGGTGATGGAGCCTGTTGACAAACCCTCGCCCAATTCGCTGTCCCAGGCATCGTTGTAGACGAAGACATAGGTGGTTGATGCGTTCTTGTCCTCTCGCCAGTACGTATACCATGTTCGGTCAGAGGCTACTTTGGTGCGAGGCGTTATGCCCAGTGCCGTCAAAGAAGCCGCCAGGTTATCGTAAGGAACGATGTGAACGTTTTCCAGACCGGTCATCGTAGCAAGGGTAGATCTCACGTACTCAGTACCGGTAGTGTTGTAGCCAGTGAGATTCTGCGGCACGCCCCCTGAGAAGACAATCGGCAAGCCTTGATGAGCATACTCAACCAGGCGTTGAACCCCTGGCACAGTCAATGTATCATTTGCTCGAAGGATCAACGCTTTGAAAGCCTGTCGTTCTGGCGCAAAAGTGCCATTGGCTACATAAGCTTCCGGTAGGTGGAAGTTGTCCGGACTGAGGTACTCGTACGAAAAACCGGCATCCTGGAGGTCGTTTGGCAGGTATTGTGAATCTACCTCGTAGTAGTCATTCTTCTTCGACCAGAAGACTAGGTCGATCTTGGGCACACCACTCTGCGCGACATATTGCACACGAGCAGTCCAGTTCATGAAGTCGTCGAAGTACTTCCAAGTTGGTTGACGGGGCCCATGCATGTTCGAGAATCGATAGGTGAATGTGGAATACCCTGGCCATGTGGTGTTCGGATACGAGCCAGTGTAAGGATAGCCGTGGTAGACGAATTGGTTGATAGAGCCGATGACGCTTCTCTTCACATCCCAGATGAGTTCAGGCATCGTCTGCTTGTACACTTCTTCTCTTTGCGCCCCAAGCTCGGACGACATGATCCGTTTGCCAGCCACTACAAAGCCATTAGCACTTTGCTACTCATGTGATCAGTATACTCACAATTTGCCGGACCTGCGAATTGCCGGTAAGCGTCAATGACATGGTTGAATCCCAGGGATTCGCACTCAGGACCATTTACGGAGGGCACATTCGCAAGCATGTCCATCGGTAGATTGTACGCAACCTGCGCAGAGAACTGTGACTCCAGGGCATCGATCGACCAATTGGTGAGCGTTTCCAAGTAGACTCGGTTGAGAAGAGTCAAGGCTCCCCAGTAATCGTTGATATGGCTTTGACCTTCGTCGTCCTCGTTGGTATAGTAACGATCAGGGGAAGCGAGAGGCCCATTCGCCTCTGTGTTGTACGAGTAGACGAGGGGAAGGTACTTGTTCAAATCGTAGCCCGTGCTGGCTTTGAATGTCTCAAGAAGGTTAGGCGTCCACCAGAGGAGTGTTCCAGCGCCAATCTCTATCGAGTCTTCCCAAGCGTAGTTTCCGACGTCCTTGAAGAGCTGGCGAGTATCTTCATCGAGCAGATACTGATCCCAGAAGTCGGTAATCAATTTCGCTCCTGCAGCTGAAAAGTGATCCACCACACGAGACCCATTTTGAACGAAATTCTCCACTGGAGATTGCGGCACCGTGGTGTTCAGGTCCAGTGGGGACGCCTGTTCCAAGTAGCTCGAGTGGGATTCGTAGAAAGCGAATACCTGATATTCAACACCCTCGACATCCGATGGAAAGCTTAAGTTCAAACGACCTTGTGAGTCCACCTTGCCAGTGACATCCTCCAGAGACGACGCGGACAGGGTGTTCCGCGATCCGTTGTAATAGACAGGGCCTATCCAGGCAGGCGAGGCCGAGTAGTTCGCAAACTCGGTAGCGGTAACAAGACCAGTAGAAGCAGACACGAACCTGCCCTTTCCCCAACCTGGCAAGACGTCGTCAAATGTACCGCCTATGGGGACAGAGACGTTGAATGGCCACAATGTCCACATGACACCCTCGTCGTCTGGCGCTGCAGGCACGCCTGCTCCTTGATTAGGCCCTAACGCAAAATCCATGATCATCCCCAGATCTTTAGTTGCTCGCAAAGCCACGTCCGTCAAGTTCTTCCAGGCGTCCAAGCCCCAGTCATAGACTCCCCAGTCCACAGGCACTGGACCGCCTTCAGCCACCTGTGATGGATAGTTTCCATACAGATAGTATCCGAGAAGCTCAAGGCCCCCAGCACCAACATCTTTAGCAATCTTGAAGTCGTTTCTCACGGTGTCCAGATCCACTGATGCATCCGGGATCCAGTACCGGAAGCGTGGCTGTGAAGATTCATTAGGATCTATCTATTCAAGTCGGATATGCGTAACTCCAATTCTGGTCACTTACCCGCACAAATGCGGAGGGGTCTTCGAACGTCCCATAGTCGATGTCCGCATTCACCTGGTCATCAGTATTAAGAGCAAGTCCACCGGCTGCCAGCAGAGCAGCAGGCAAACAGAGAGACGACTTGAAAAGCATGTTAAACCCAACGACAGGCAACGCCTTTTGCACGAGGTGACTCGTGCATCTCCATGGCGCTTGACTCTTTATACCAAGGCGGGTTGGTCCATCTGCTAAACTCGACCATTTGCCGGTGCTCTGATGCCTGTTGCGTCGGTGTAGACCATTATGCGGGGACCCCAAGAAAAAAGGTGGAGGAGCTTGCCAGGCACAGGATGGTTCCTGGAGATCGACTTGAGGAATGATGCCTCCTCCCCAGATGCTTCGACTACCTTCGCGTTTTCGGTGCAAAGACGAGCGAACGACGTTTTGCCGATTCGGTGGTTGAAACTTAGTTGAGGATGATATCTTCCAAAGGTTGAAAACATACCATGTCTTCGGGAAGACATCATTGCCTCGCCTGATCTCGTGCGACTATCCGTGATCATGTTGTGGTAATCCTTCAATGTCGCTCCAACATCTGCCGAGGCCGATGGACAAAGCAGCCGTGACAAGGCAGGGAATGGGTAAATTCTTTGCATGTTTCGGCGTGTTCAGTAATGTCTTCACTGTTGAAGCAATAGCGAATGACTTGCTGCTGCAAAATTTCTCTGCTGGACTATGGCATCTGATGGCACTGAAGTGCAATCAATGGTTATGATCGAGCACAAACGTACGGAAGATAGAAAGAATATCATCGAAGCTTGCTGCAATGGCAGACATACCTGGTGCTGACAGGTCAAATGTCTTTAACAAGGCTTTGAGCGGCGACATACCTTGAGATTGTAAGCCCGGAATGGAACATAGCCCAGGATAGGTCGACCTCTTCCGTGTATTGAACCGTTACGGTGAGGCTGTTCATGCTAGGGCGTTGCAAGTGGCAAGAACGTCTCGTGTTCGACTTGATGGGAAGGGCGATAGCTCTCTGTTGGGATTGTAACGGTCTCCTGGAGAGTCTCTTCCATCAGCTCGTCTCAGCATAGAGAAATGGTTTTCGCACAAAGTGCATTTGGACTGCCAATCGAAAAAGCAAGGATGACAGAAAAGAAGCCCTGCCGTGATAAAAACAGCGCCCGAGTCGTCGGTCCGTAAAGCGCTTGTTGCTCAGGCAAGAGTGGTAACTACATCTCCTGCCTGCTCGTCCATCGATTTCCGCTGCCAAATATTCGATGTACAGACCTGTACACCGCTCGAGTGATAGGTCTCGAGCTGCGCTGCAGAGCAACTCAACAGAAGTTCATGCAGTTGAGCTTGCCGATGCACCTCTCAGCCGGTTCAGGTCGAACTGATCATCTCGACCGGAAGGCAGATCCGGTGCTATTTCGATAGCATCACGGGCGATGTTTCTCAAAAGATAGAATCGAAAAACTCTGGATGTGTTTGCACATGAAAGACTTGATCCAGCATTTTCCACTCTGTATCGATCGACCATGGCTCTGCCGCAGTCACGTCTTGTGTTGATAAAATTGCGAGGACGATCACAGACTCCGGTCCAGACAGACAGAGAGGGGGAAATTAATGTGCCACAGCGCCAGCCACCAGACATGATCCATTGTCCAAGCAACGCGTTTGAGAAGCAGCGACCAGTTCGTATAGCGGTTTGTTGTGTTTTTCCCAGTCGCACGAAAAGCGACGACTGCATCTCGCAACACCTTTGTGCTGCGCGACAACAGAGGACATCCCGGGCGCGTTATGGCGTGGTCCTCGAATCAACAACCACGTTTCATCAATAGTACCCTGCGTTATGCAGATTCGGTGGAACCGAAGACAGGGGATGAGCGACGCTGTCCCGTGTAGATTGGCCGGATTTGGAGCAGAGGTTCCGGCATCGCCACATGTCCCGGAGTGATTGAAGGGGGACGGGAGAAGATGTTTGACCAGCGTGATAGGTGAAGGTATTCGCGACGAGCCGGTGTTCCTATGTGCTGGAAAGGGGAATTTGGAAGAGGTGAAGTGAGAAGGAGAGCCATCTTAACTTTTCTCGCGATCGGCCAGCACTGTTCTCATTGGGCGAGTGGTTCGCTTTGCCGGGATCTTGACCCCGTGCCGGGGTTTATGAAACATTAGCCTATTCTTGAGAGCGCAAGGAGAAGACGTCTCTGTGCCGTCGTGAACCACGAGTGACGACTTCAAAACCCTTCACGCCCGACTGCATTCCAGTGACCAACCTTCCCTTCACTTGCCAACCGGTCCAGCTTTTTGACAGCCACAGTCGTTACAAATCGCCTTGCTCCGTTCGCTCTCTCAGACCATCCATTGCGACAGTCTCCGACCAACACCAACTTCTTCTAATACCAACCACAAACACCGACAACATGCGCTCCGCTGTTCTCGTCCTCGCCGCCACCGGCAGCGCCTTGGCTGTCGCCGACAGCGCGGGCAACTTCAACCGCGACACCGTTCCCCAAGGCTATTCTTCCTACCCTGCCGGCGTCATCTCGCAGATCCCTGATGGTATGTGACGCCTCGACTTCATCCTCATGCGACCGATGCTGATAGAGAAAAAGGACAGGTGCAGGCACCGACAGGCTCGTACGCTCCGCCAGTCTACTCCGCCCCAGAGACCACGACACCAGTTGAGACCGCGCCCGTCGAGACCGCTCCAGTTGAGACCACGCCTGTCGCGACCACTCCCGTCGAGACTTCGCCAGTTGAGACCTCCCCGGTCGAGACTTCGCCAGTCGCCTACTCTCCACCATCTTACACCACGCCGACCGTCTACACCTCCGCACCAGTCAGCTCCGCACCAGAGTCTCCAGTCTCTACCGCCGAGGTCCCATCGGTCTCTACCGTCTCGACTCCACCAGCCCCTGTCGTCACCAACACGACCACCCCACCAGCTCCCCCAGTCTACACCACTCCCATCGCCAGCCCAGTCAACTCGACTGTTCCATACCCAACGACCGCTGGCAACAGCACGACTCTGGCGACCTCAACCCTTGGCACGACTTCGCTGACGACCACCGAGCTTCCCAGTTCGACTGAGGCTGGCGCCGTCGGCGGCTCTTCGACTACATCCAGTACCGCCTCTGCTGAGACTCAGTCCAGCGCAGCTGATGCGGTCCAGGTCGGCGCCGGCATGGCTGGCGCGGCGTTCGCGGGTCTCCTCGCTTTCCTCGTCTAAGGCTGCAGTGAGATGTACTGGAATCAAGGGGTTTCTGTATGTGCACCGGGTAGCACTGGAGTCGGGTTCTACTGCCTTCTTCGACAGTCGGTAATGAAAGCCTACAGGGCCAGGATACACACGGTTGCTTGTGAATTAGAGCATAGTAAATGAGAAATGATGATGCACACGTATTCAATACTTCTCAATGTGTTTGATGATAATCCTGTCTTCGTCGCCCTGGGGTGTTGTGCTTGGTTGAGAATGCTTCTGCCGGTGAGGGATGTTGTATCCATCATCGTCGGCTCTGGCCCTTGGAGTTGAACACTGGCCAGGAATCAGGAGGGAAAGGAGAAGAGGTGACCGCGCAGTGGAGTGCAACCACCCAGACTCCAGTCATCGAATGTCAGTGATCTCGCAGCACGCTCCGCCATCAGGAAGTGGCCTTGTCGGGAGATTTGAATGTCTGCTGCTCGTGAACTCTCGTCGGACGGTGGCATCGGGAGCAGGACCTAAAAAGCAAACTTCAGCTCAATGCCATTACATGTCGGGCGATGAAGCCTGGGGTGTCAGTCGGTCGCAGGGGTCTAGAGTAGAGGTTAGATTCAAAGCCGCTACTGGGACTCCTCGAGCGTAGCTGCGGAAAACTCTGCAGTTGAGATCGTGGTGAAGATCTGGATGAAGTCCTAAGTGGAGCGGATCTAGACAGTCTATATCGAAGCCCATGCTCTCCTCGTTTCCGTCAAAGTGGAACGTGTGGAACTGCCGTATCTCCGAATTTTCACAATGGACTGCGTTGCTGATTGCACTCCAGGCCGCTTGGAAGGCCTAGGAGTAATGGGGATGGATGTTCCATTTCAAGCGGAACGCTGAGGGCAGGCCTACGAGGACAGCAGACGAAACCAAGGCAGCTGGGGAGCGGTCTCGTTGCCGGAGGTCTGCCTGACCCGGCCCGGGACTAAGTACGAGGCACGTGTGGTGGTCCCATGTCCCACTTGTTCGCTCCACGCTGCAAGGACCCGAAATGTAGGGGAGTGGATATGCCTTCAAGGGCAAGTCGAAAGTCGTAATAAGACCACTCGATTCGCGAAGTGTGGACGAGCACACTCAGCGCAGTGGAGGCTCACCTGAGGAGAACTTCATCAGGTGCACATCTGAGCAACGTGTCAAGTGACTCTGGAAAGGCACAATGCGAAGAAGGCGGCCAGGCGACCCTGTTCGTCGAATGTTGCATTCGACGCGGAGTTTACGGGAGATAGCAGAACCTGAGGTGTGGGTAAGCATCCTTGCCATCAACACACGTGTCTTCGGGGGAACCAATCTACAGGCGAGCCTCGACCCTGCCTGCTGGAAGAAAACTCACACAATGCGCCCTTAGCTTTCAGGGCATTCGGAGCTGTTGCTGATGAAGGAGCCTCAACCTCAAGTCGGTCTTGGCAAGTGAAGCAACTGCAAGCTTACGCGGTCTGCTGGAAGGAAGAAGGGCAGCGTTGCGAGAACAGAGTGTGAGATAACGTGCGGTCGGCGTGAGATGGATGAGATTCTGTTAGTGAGCAAGCGCGCAGTCTCGCCACCATCCCACGCGGGTATTGCCAGGAAGGGAGGTAGTCCCGTTTCCCTTGTTCGTGTCGACAGGGCCAATGGCTCTTCGTAGGACGGACAACGTCGCTCTCGATGGGAGAAGGTGTTGGTGAAGGTCAAGGACAGACGTTGGAATAACATTATTGTTAGGTTCATATCCCAAGCCTGTATAAGCTTTCGTGTGTTCTGCATGGCCAAGGTTTCTTGACAGCCAAGCGAGCGGCATAATCTGTGGTGAGTGCGCCATACCGATGCCAAGCGTGCAAGGCTGACTACCGGGACTGTGGGTGAATGAATGTCCAACTGGCGGACGCTTCTCCCAAATTGCCCTCCTCGTCCGAATCACAAATATTTCGCGAGCGCATCCTGCATCAGCCGCTGCTCGCAAGCTGAAAAGATGGCTGTCAGGGCGGCGTCTCACGGATCGCAGCAGCTGCAGAGAGGTGTGGTGTGTGAAGCATCAACATCGAAGAGCAGCGCTCGGAGCGAGTCTCGGTGGATCAGCGCGATGTGAGGCACGGCCACCTGCAGCGGAAGGAACGCCCTGCAGTGGGCCGCAACTTGCTCTCGACGAATCCGAGACGCAAATTCCACAACGTGCCTGGATCCTGCGTTCTCGTTGGCAACCTCACTTCAACCCAGCAACAACACCATCTAACGCCAGCTCTTCTACCGCGTACGAGGCGGCCGCGAAATGATGGAGGCCAAGCGTGAAGCGAAGAGCCAAGTTGAAGCCACGGACGCGGCGCCTGCAAAGTGCAGCGGCTTGCGGAGTGATCTCATGGGTCGATGTTGCCGTTGCAGTGAGCTCTTCGGCCATCGGCAAGCACGTTGTGGACTCAGGAAAGTGTTCGCGTGGGCGTAGAGAAGCAGGCAAAGACTTTTTTATGGTGGTCCTCGCCGCGTTGATATAAATCGTCTCCTTATCCTTGGACCTGGTAACACCCGTACAGTACATTGGCTGCGCCGGAAAGCTAAAAAGCACTTTTCTGCTGACCAGCTCTTCCCATCCGCAGCCTGCTGTCTCCTCCCAACCAACGTCGAAGAAATCAGCCTCTCCAATTGGCGAACCACAGGTCGCAGCATTTCTTCGACTGATCCATTCGGAACCTTAACCTCGAGCCACCACCTGCGAGGCCTTCCGTCGCATTTGTCATTTCTGAGACTACTCGCCTGCGTCGGCCGTCCCGTCTTCAGTTGCATACTGTGCCTTTGAGCAGCGGCCATTCATCGCTGACCGGCGTGGAACGTGGACACTTCTTACCGGCACCAGCAATCCGATCGGCCTCCTCCCACGATACTCCCACGCGGCTTCAGCATTCTCTTCTGGGTTTAGGTACTCGTTGGATCTTTTAGCACCTCAGGCGCTTTAGCTTGTGAACTACAAAGCTTGAGCTTTTCCACTTGGACCTTTCTTCCTGGTCGACCACCTCCACCAAGCCTTGTACCTTTCCCTCGTTCCCTACTGCTGCATACCGTCTCGACCGAGTCAAGATGGGTGACAGTTCTATGCGCGACTATGGTGTCGCTGCACCTCACGGACCCAACATGGGCGGCCAACATGTAGCGACTGCTAACCTCGCCGACATGAACAACAACGAAGCCTCTGTCTTCCGCTCGCTTCTCCTGCCAGACGACTCCTACGACGAAAGCGGTACCTACTGGGCAGACATGAAGATTGGCCGCAAGTTCAAGTTCATCAGTAAAGTCGACAACGCCGAGACTGCAAGCGAACTCAGAGCGATTGGAAGGATGACCAAGGCCGATCCTCTCAGCCCGGTCAGCTATTACTTCAGGAACATGGTCATTCCCGGTATGGGACTGCTCCTCGAAGGGTGAGTCGCGAGCGAACCTCTGTATCATCTCAGAACTAAGACCACGCAGATACGTCCTTTTCTCCATCGGAAACGTCAAGCCGCTGTTCCAATCCGCTTTCCCTGGCTGCTGGACGCACTACACTGTCTGCAACAAGACCTGGATTCAAGCTATCGACTACCTCGAGATCTGTGGTATTATTGTTGGCCAAATCCTTGTCGGTATCATTGGTGACTGGCTCGGCCGTCGATGGGGTCTCATTCAAGATGCGACCATCATGTTCGTCGGTCTTCTCATGCTTACTGCTTCCTGGGGTGTCACTCTTAGTATGTTCGGCCTGATCCTCTAACTATATACGAACTCGCTAACGAACGAACTACAGACGGCTGGGTCATCTGCTATGTCTGGTCACTCTTCTTCTACGGTGTCGGTGTGGGTGGTGAGTACCCGATGACTGCAACCTCTGGTATGGAGAACGCAGTCGGATCGGGCAAGATCTCTACCCGCGACGATCGTCTTCACCGTGGCCGCAAAGTCACGTCCGCTTTCCTGATGCAAGGTTGGGGACAGTTCTTCAACCAGGTCATCCTCATCCTTCTGCTCCTCATCTTCCACGGCGGTACTTCCTCCCCACCATATGGCAGGACCCTCTCTCAGTGGACTTACCGTGTCTCGTTCGCCATCCCGGCCGCTGGAACTCTTTGGCTCGTCTACTACCGTATCTACAAGATGCGATCCGCGTCCAAGCAACTCCAGGCCGCGAAAAAGAAGCAGTCAGTCACGGGTTACGACGTCAAGTCCCTGAAACTCACCTTCACGTACTTTGGTGGACGTATCCTGGCTACGGCCGGTGCATGGTACGCCAACGACATCTTCTTCTACGGCAACAAGCTCTTCCAGGCCGAGTTTATCAAGACTATCACTCATTCTGATTCCGTCATGGTCAACTGGCTCTACAACCTGCTGAACTGCGGTGTCGAGCTTGTTGGCTACTATCTCGCCTCCTTCCTGATTGACAACAAGCTCTATGGGCGCAAGTGGATGCAGATTGTCGGTTTCCTGGGATGCTTCATCTGCTTCGTCATTCCCGCATTCGGCTACGATTACTACGCGCACGGTCCTGGTGTCAAGAAGTTCATGGCCATGTACTTCATCTCGTCCTTCTTTGGACAATTCGGCCCCAACTGTGTTACCTTCTTGGTCGCCGCCGAGGTCTTCCCTACCCCCGTACGTGCTTCCGCGCACGGTTTCTCCGCCGCCTGGGGCAAACTGGGTGCTCTCACCGCTGCTGTCCTGTACAACTACATCGACGTGCCAACCCGTTTCCTCGTAGTGCCATGGTTCGGTCTCGCAGGAGCCATCTTGACTTTGGTCTGGCTCCCTGACACCACTGGTCTTGACTTGAAGGAGCAAGAACGTCGCTGGGCATACATCCGCGCCGGCCGTGAGCACGAGTACCACGGTGTCGCCGTGCACCCTCAGCATCTGTCTCTCTGGGAACGACTCTTCGGCCTCGCCAAAGCATACGACGCCGAGGAGGACTACAAGCAGCGTGTCGAGGAGATGCGCGCTGACTGGGAAGCCGCCATGGCCCGCCGCGCGCAAGAAAAAGAGAATGCCATGGAGCAAGAAGAGGACGACGACTGGAGCTCCGAAGTCAGCACCTTCTTCGAGCGTACTCGTGGAAAGGGAGCCGCATCGCCTTTCAAGACTGGCAATGGCGCTGTCAACGGCAATGGTCATCCTGACATCCAAGAGGAGAAGGAGCATGAAGCTAACGGCCAGTAAATTTATGTGTTGAAGCGAACAGGTCGCTTTGTACCTCGAGAATGATTGGCGACGGCAGCATGCATGACCGATATGTGTATTGTAATGACAGGGCATATCCCACGTCCTCTGGTTTTGGAGTAGATACCTGGAATAGACTGTGTAGAGTTGAAATCTCTTGACATATTTCTACATCCGTCCAATATCATCGTTCTATTGTAGAACATGCATGTCGTTCGCCGTCTTGCCACCCATGTTATATACATATACACCCCCTCGAATATCAATGATGAAGGATCCCTCCACCCTTCCCCATCTCCCACCCCCGAATACTCTCCTCAATATTCACCCAATACCTCAACCTCACCGCCTCCCGCCTCGCCCTCTCCAAATCCCCCTCCGCAAAAGCCCCCTCCAGCACTCTCACACTCGCCTTAATCCGCTCATCATTCTCCCCCTTCAACCCCACCAACTCCTCCTCCCCCTCACACTCCTCCACCCTCTCCCGCGCCTCCATAACCTCCATCAACAACTCCCCATCCGCATCTTTTTCCAACTTCGCGCTCTCATCCTCCACCTCGATCCCCGCTTCCCGCAGGAGGTACTGCGCTCGCAGCAGCGGGGATTGGAGGGTTTTGTACGCTTCGTTGATCCGCGCGGAGAGGGCTTCGGCGCGGTGTTTCTGGTTTGAAGGGGCGAGGTCTGGGTGGGATTTTGCTTGTTGGCGGAGGAATTCGGACCGGAGGGCGCGGAGGTCCGGGGTGAAGGGGGAGGAGGGCGGGGGGCCTTGGGGGAAGGTTTGGGGGAAGAAGGTGTAGTGCGATGGGGGTGTGGCGGTGGTGGTGGTGGTGGGTTTGTTGTCTTCCTCTTGGAATCGGCGGGTGGTGGTTGTGAGGGCTCGTCGGTGTTGGGGGGTGTTGTGTTTAGGAGGGTTTGTTCGGAGGGAGGCTTGACAGTTTGCGCAGATGTAGGGTGTTCGCGACGCCCATGGTGAGGACGTTTCACGCGCTAGGAGCGTTATGGATTGTTTTAGTAGTCGTGTGGTGTTGCGGCGCATCTTGTGGGCGGCGGGATGGATTGTGGTGTGTAGAAGGTAACCTTGCTGCGTGCGAAGCCAGCTTTGAATTCCTTCCAATTCACTTCATCCGAAGTCGGTCTGAATTCTGACGTCATGATCCGCCACAGCGGCGCTCGCTCAACGCATGTGATATTCAAGCTGCACCGCTTTAGACACATCAGTGTCAATGTTACAGGTTCAAAGACTCAGTTCTGTTGTTTTGAATTAATTTCAGCAGGTTTGGGAGTATCATTTCATATTCTCCCCTCACTGGGATCTGTTTGCTAGGCTATTCGCACAACATCTCGGGCATATGAGGGTACTGTCCTTAAGATACGTTGTTTGCCGCATCATCCTGCCGTTCAATTCATATCGTGCACAAATCAAGCCTGAACCATGAAGTTGCTGTTATTGGAAGGTTAGCATCTCCTCACAGTGCTCATTCTGCCCAGAGAACTCACGAGCAGCCGCCGTTCTGGAGACAGTGCAACTTCCACTCTTGGAGCCACTCTTCCACAGCGAATTGCTCAAGTGACTGAGCGTCCCTGACGGCAAGAGGGGGCAGTTTTGAAGTCGTCTCGTTAGGCCACAAACCATTCTCATCCCAATGGTGCACAGCGGAATCGATCAATATGAACGGTTCTGATGCCTAAGAGATGATGGAAACAACTGGTCAGCAAACACACGGCTGCAGGTGGTGGTGTATATACGTACAGTACTGTTTCGATGCGGCGCACCAAATCTAGGACAAGTATTAGTCCTGTCCTCCAAATGAACCGTTGTTTCAACTCACTCGAAAGCATGTGGTGTTGCATCTTTCCAGGGATCCCAGTCGCCGTCTACGAATGCTAAGCGCGGGTACGAGATGTCGTATGCGCCGTACTTGTTGACGATCTCAACGTCTGGTGGGGTCGTGATGTTGAAGGCTGCTCGACAGATGTGGCTTTGGTACTCCAAATCAAGAGTGCGAGAGATTAATGGCAACACGTTTGGAGGAGTGTTTCCAGTCTGAAGGTAGCCCCATTCTAATTCGACATATTAGGTAGGTCTCACACGATCGTAAATTCCATGACATACCTGTGCAGTATTGGTACGGCCACGATCGCCAGTCTCCGTCCGCAATGGAGTCCAGGTCGTAGTAAGTCTGATTGTTCTGCCCAAAGCACGAGTCAAGCGTTCCATCACAGCCAGACAGCTGGGTGAGATTGTAGTAGCCTGTGGAAATCAGCAGCGGACAGCACTGATTCGGTATATTGTCGAAGACGCACCAATCATGTTCAGCATGCGGTTCTCGAGCGTTTTGTTCGCTCGGTAGCCACCTTCATTCAGCAAATGGGTGACATTCGCGCGCTTCTTCTCAGTCGCAGGATACAGCACCTTGTCGGAGGTGATGTTGTCACAATATCGGTAGACTTCGTCCGACGTGACAGCCGGATCCCAGTTGAGTGACTGCCAGTCTCCGATTCCTGAACAGAGACGTTAGAATCTGGAAGCGACCCCAAGACGGCACATAGAAGAGCCCGTTCTCTAGTCCAACATACCATTGTTTTCGAGGAGAAATGCAAAGTCTTGGTCTCGCGTGAGGTTGCCGAAGCCGAACGTGGTCTTCAGCTGCTGGGGCAAGGTAGTATGATTCTTTTTGAGCCAGATGTTATCCTATCAACTTGTTAGCATATCTGCAACAACATGCCACAAACTACTCAGGGCCGATAGTTCGTAGTTGACAGCTGATATCTTGGGGCTTTTGAGCTGCGAAGAACGGGGTTGGCTGTTGAACGTACCATCGCATGGATAAGAGTCTGCTGGGTCTTGATACAGTCTGGCGGCCCCTTCTCCGCGATCGTACGGAAGTATGCCCAGTAGTCGTAGATTGCCTTGGTGACACCACTACTGGAGATAGCTCCCCAGAATACATCGGGATACTGGACTCGAAGGAACGCTGAGAAGGCGCCTGCGTAAGAGCCACCATAACTGATCCATGCGGTGGTCTTGCTCGTAAGATCGCCATATTTTTCTAGACCAGGGAACTTGATGTTCTGGGCGAAGTATGCCTCATCTGCTAATGCTTGCTGCGTGGTCAAGAAGCGGAGATTCTTGGTCGAGAGATCTGGCGTGGGAAACGAAGTGCCGTAGTAGCGGTGCTCCAGAATGACTCCAATACCGTTAGTGGCCTTCGAAAGCTGGTAGACAATGCCTTTTTGGAGGTATGGGAGCCTGTCCGAGCCAGCCGTCTCTCCACCCTGAAGGATTATGACTGGGCCTCCAGGCTTGTAGTACGTCGCGTCAAACCAGTACGCCAGCGGAAAGGTGTCATTGACGTGTGGCTCGTATTTCGTCTCGTTGTGAAAGTGATCAATCGGCACGGAGAAATTGTGCCCTGGATACAACTTCGCCGGGTCCGTATCGTCGCGTTTGGCCAGAGTCGCTGCCTTGCGCTGCTCAGACTGTTCGGCACATGCTCAGTGTCTGATGATGATCGCGAGGCTACACTCAGATGCAGGTACCGACCTCTCGCCTAGCTTGCTGGATCGATCTTCTCTCGCCCAGGCGAATATCAAAGGCATTCACAGACGATGCGGCGCACAAGGCATACGCCACAAGCTGTAGAAATGGTGCCATTATGGTGGTGGTCGAGTCTCAGCAAGAGTGAAGAAACGCGATCATGGCAGTGGAAGGTCAAATACATGTAGGCTCCTCGTACAGCAGTGACGGCATCGTCCCAGCAGACCCATCCACGACTGCAACGGGAAGGTGCTTGTGGTGTAGCACTGCAACGTCCCAATGGGTTTGCGTCTATCAGTGGCAGGGCATGCGAGGCACTGGCTCTGTATCGAGCCTTCTCCACCTCCGGCCTGCAGGGTGGCTCGTGCTCCGTAGCATTGTGCGTCAGTTACTCCTCGAGATCGCGAGATGCAGTTCGCGAAGTCAATGGCCCATTCCGAGAGGACAGCATTGCGAGTCGAAGAGTGAGAGCATCAGGCGAAGAAAGACGGCGATTCCAGGTCTATATAACCGCCTTTGCGCGTTACATAATCGGGGGGCTGTCTGACAAGCAGCTGTGGCTGCCCGTGCCTGCGCCATCTCGAGCTCTCTAGCCCACACGTCGCCAACGACACTCCATACCGCACGGGCTGTGATCGCAGACACTCCACGATGATATGATAGCACATGCGACGGCACCATCATGGCGCGAGTAGGCAGCCCCGAGACTGCGTCCCTGCTCTCCGGCCATTCGCGACCCAGCACCCTCCAGTCCGTTCGCAACACCCCCGTCTTCACACTCGACACGTTCAGCAGTAAAGACTTCATAGTCAAGGACTTTGTGGAGTCGCTCTCAGATTCCACCGTCGGTACTCGAAGATCCGCGCCCACATCCGGAGCCTCCAGCGCACAATCGAGCCAGGCTTTCGACCCAAAGCCACTAATCCGAACGTTTGAACATGCGCTGAGCAGGCTAAAGACTTTGAGCGAGGACCTGCAGGAACGCGAGAATGAGCTGAGCGGGAGTGTCAGAAGGGCTGAGGGCCAGCACAATACCAACATCAAGTCTCGCGAGCAGGAGTTGGAGCGTACCATTGCCTCGTTCCACCGCCTGGAGCGGACACTGGATGGAGATGGAGACGAGGGCGGTAATGCTGCTATGCGGATAGGAGAGCGATTAGAAGAGCTGGACAGACAAAGGCAGCGGGCTCAGGATGCTAAGTTCATTCTTCAATGCTGGCTGGAAGTCAGCGAACGAGGAGATCTCTCAAGTCTGGATGATGTGCGGAAGATGGGTGGAGGGGAAGGCAAAGTTCGCTGCGCGCATATCGCTCGACAACTACTTAAAATATCACAACGTCTAGACGGCAGCTCGGAGACCCAGAACGGCACGCCGAAGACGAATGGTGTTCATTTCCCCAATGGCGTCAACGATCTTAATGGAACAGATTCGCCCACCGGCAGCCAACGACGAGCAAAGAACAACAAGCAACCGCGAGAGATCATCGAGAAGTTCTTGGAAATGCTCGAAAAAGACCTTTTAAAGTCGTTTGATGAGTTTTACCGAAGGCAGAACTTTGATGGTATGCGAGAGTGTGCTGTTGCTCTTCAGGATTTTGGCGACGGCAACTCCGTCATCTCGCTCTTCGTCAACCAGCATCAGTTCTTCATTGATCGCTCCCAGCTTGTTACAGACGAGCTGGTGGTAGACAGCGAGACCTGGGACCGACTGGCAGATCCAGATACCGAGCCTCCCGGCGTCGAGCCGAGTCTGCAGTCCTTGATTGACGAAGTGAAGGTCGTTGTCCAAGAAGAGAGCTTCATCATCAAACGTGCCTTCCCCTATCATGAGGAAGTTCTCGCCAGGTTCTTACAGCGCGTGTTCCAACAGTCGATCCAGCAGCGGTTGGAAATGGTCCTCAACAAAGCCGACAGCATTTCTTCTCTGGCCTTCCTCAGATCACTCCAAGCCTCAAGGGCTTACATTGCCGCATTGGTAGAGGATCTCAAAGCGCATGGCCTCACCGAGCACCCTGAATTCGTCTCGTCCGTAACGGCAGCAATGCTCGACCAGCAGCTCGACGAGCTGTTTGTGCCATACTTCATGGGCACGAGCTATATCGAGCGGGAGAAGCGTAACCTTGGTGTGCTGTTCGAAGGCCTACTCTTCAAATTCGCTATCTATCACTCTCGAAGACGCAAAGTCCACGTGCAGTCGAATACATATCTTGGGGCTATTTCGGCGCGCAGCAAGGAGTTTATCAGCAGCGCCCGAGACGCATACATGGAACGATTGGACAGTGCAGATCTGCAACCTGGCCAGAAAGCAATGCTGCTGCGTGTGGCTGGAATGCATCAGAACAAGGATCAAACCGGGCCTGCCGAGATTGACGTGACCGATGAAGATGGCCAACTCAGCTTACCTTTCACCAAGCGTATGCTGAAATGGCTTGCAGAAGGCGTTGGACGTGGAATAGAGCTGGCTGGCGGCGGGAGCGAAACACCAAAGGAGATACGCGAGCTCCTCCAGCTGCTCATCGCCAACATGGGGGAGGTCTATCTGGAGACTGCGTTGAACGCTGCCATCGACCACGCTGCGGCCGCCGAGGCGAATACGAAATCGGAACCAGACCTGAGCTATATCATCGATCTACGGACTGCGGTCAGCGTACTGCACCTGATGCTCACGACCATCCAAACGCTGTTGCTTCCATTGGCTGCAAGCAATCTCACGATCCGAAGAGATCTGGAGAAGCAAACCAGCAACTTCACTGATCGAATGGAAATCAAAGTCGATACTGTTCTGCAAAAGACTATCGATGCTGCTCTTGCCTGGACAGCGAAGCTGTTGTCCGCCCAGAAGAAGACGGATTTCAAGCCACGCGATGACCACAACCTCCAATTGGATCAGCTGCAGTCGTCCACCTGCCAATCCATCTTCACGTTTCTTGATCGCCTACATTCGCGTGCTAAGAACTCATTCTCCGGTCGTGTTCTTGAGTCATTCTCGCTGGAGCTGGCGGTTGGTCTCCGGACATTACTGCTGCAGCACTTCAAGTCTTACCAAGTGTCACTGACCGGAGCGCTTGTGGTGTCTAAAGACATTACTAAGTACATCGAACTCTTGCGATCTTGGGAGTTGCCTTCGACGTTTGACCCGAGCTTGGAGGTCCTCACAGAAATCGCGAATCTGTTCGTTATTGGACCCGAGGCACTCAGAGATCGACTCAGGAATTTTGGAACAGGCGCTGGTGGCCTCCAGGGAGTTGAGAAGACAGACCTTCGGCCCTATGTGCTCAGACGTGAGGACAGTGGAAGCGTTGGAGTCCAAGCTGTACTTAATGCCTTGTAAGCAGAACAGGGCCAAACCGGGACTTGAGTTGTCCATGTCGACGAAGGTGCTTGATTCGTCGTGCCCCGTCGTATGTACTCTATGTTGGTGTCTGAGCCTTTGATTCTTGGACTTCGCTAGAGGCTCTGAAATGATAACTTCATTGCATGGAATGAGACCATAAACTTTAGTCCATGTGCTTGACTCTTCTTGTGTAGATATGATCGGTCACTTTGCATGTACTGATGTGGTGGACGACGCTACGGAGGCGCTTTGACCTGCGGCTTGCGCCGAGGGGAGGTATTGAGCTTCAACTTCACCTGCTCTTGCCGCACCCGCACACTTGGAACAACAAAAATGCCAGCACTGCCATGAAATAACATTGACGCGCCGCCCTCGGACACACTGTCAGCTGCCTTTCGATCGTTGCCGATGCCACTTATCTCGCCCTGGAACACCTGGACGGCGCCTCCCTCGAACGCCGCTTGCCATTCCATGCGAGCGGACTCGACGATATCGCATGGGTGTCTAGAAAGTAGCTAACATGGCTATTCAACCCAGTACAAATGGCCATTCGATTCCCAGTATCAGCAACCTCAGCATCGATCAATCCAGCGACGCTGTTATTCAAACGATACTGCCACAAGTTTTGGAAGCAGTTGGCAATGGTCTGTACCTTACATTATCCGTCGATCTCCAGCTTGGACTAAGTTGCGCTAGGCTACAACCATGTCGAGGGTCGTCTTAATGAGGTCCAAAATAAGCGGCTGCCTTCCCTTGAGGCGCAGATCCGTGCATTCGAACAATCGCAAGGACAAATCACAGGCACCAAAACCCAACTGTCAGATCTAAAAGAACGTCTCGATGCTGCTGAGACGAAAGAAGCCTTCCTCGAGACTCTCAGCAACAAGTTCTCCGAGTCCATCAGGAAGCTCGAATCGAACAAGTCTACTTTAACTTCTGATGCTGCCCGTGTTCAAGCTATCTCCGCGAAGGTCGATCAGCTGCAGGCTGATAGCAATGCCAGCAAAAAGGCTTTGCAAGATGCTGCGAAGAAGCTCAAGAATCTACCATCGGATGGTACCATCGATTGGACCAGTGTCGCGACCGTTTTGGATCGTGTCAAGGAACTTTCTGAGACCGTCAAGAAGTTTCAGGGGGAGAAAGAAGCCGATGCAAGAAAAATCCAGACCCTTTCTGAGACCGTCAGCAGACTGCAAGCCGACAGACAAGCCGACGCAGATGGCATGCAAGCTCAATCGGAGCGTCTGGACAAGCTGCAGAAGCAGCAAACAGATGGCGAGCAAGCTACTAGACTGGACACACTCTCACATGATGTTGAGAAGCTCCAGAAAGACAGAACATCGGATGCCAGCCGTATCCAATCAACTGTGGAGAATCTCAATAGGCTGCAGTCACAGCAAGCTGAAAAGGCGAATCGAACGAGCCTCAACGTCCTCACTGAGAAAGTGGCGAAGCTCCAAGCAGATGACCAAAATCGAACATCTGATGCAGACATCGGCCGCAAGCAGTGCCGGAAACTTGATGAACGCATGGAGAAAATAGAAAAGCAGTTTAAGAATCTCGACGATCAACCTCGCAAGGTAGAGACTACACAATCCGACATAGCTACAATCAAGACCGCCACCTCAGCACTTGCGATGAAGGTTGCAAAGATTGAAAACCGCCAGTCTGATACATCCAACTCGAACACCACGAACTCGGTGTTCACGCGCCTGGATAAACTGGAGAACCGAGACGCCAGTGTGGCCAAAGTGAATGCAGACACTCAGGCTTTACTCAAGCGGGTGCAGAAACTCACGGGCGAACAGTCAGAGATGGCCAGCATGCGCGGCAACTTGCAAACACTTGCAAGTCGAGTGCTGAAGTTAGAGGGCCCCGAGTCTGATGCGGCTAAAGCAGTTGAGGACACAAAAGCCCTGCTCAAGCGGTTGGACGAACTGGGAGGCGACCAGTCAATCATGGCCAGGATAGACGACAGCTTACGAACACTCGTGGACCGAGTGAAGAAGTTAGAGGGGCCGGTGTCCGATGCGGACGGCGCAGCTGAGCATGTGAAGAATATGCTCCAGGAACATATCAAAGAAGAAGTCCGACGTCTGGGCGAAGTCACAAGCCAGTTGCGTGAACTGAAGGCGCACATGCAGGAGAAGACTCAACCGCCCTCACTTTCGATCGATGATCTCGCTCGTGCGCTGATCCAACGCTTGAGTGAAGGCGAGGTCTTCAACGAGGAGACGAAATCTTTGATTCGAGTTGCCACTGGAGATGCCGCGGCTCACAGAGGCACAAAAAGTTCTGACAACTCAGATCGCTCTGCTCGCAGTCTATCGACCACCTCTACCGACGTTCTCTCGGGCAATCTATCAATCGAGAAAACCACACTCCCTCGTCACGTCCAGAAGCAAGCAAAGGATGTTGGTGGCGAACGTCAACTATCTATACCTTCCATAGAGATTGACGAGGACCAACCATTCGGGCACCAACATTCTGCGGGTTTGGGGACCTCCAACAAGCCATCCACCAAGCGAAAATTCGACATAAGCAGTCAAGACAACAACGATATCGAGCAAGCAACGGCGGGATCCCGCAAGCGGTCAAAGAGCGCAGCGGGAACAGCGAGGTCAACGAGGAGAGCCACGGAAGAGCAGCAGTCGCGGTCTAAGCGGCAAAAGCCCAGCAGCCGCCATGCTGCCTCTTCGCCGGTTGACAAGTGGCGTCCTGCGAGCCGTCGGAAGCAGGCCACTCGAGACGCAGGAGCTACGGACGATGATGAGGATGAGGAGGAGTCGGATGAGGAGACTGCACCTCGACGCACTTCACGAACGGTCAGGCCCACGCAGAAGGGCTCGTATTTGACGTTTCTGGACGGCTCAACGAGGAGGAACTCGTGATGGGGAGGCTGGGGATTGGGGTGATGAGTACGAGAGATCGATCTTGGTGAGGGGAGAATGGCAGAGAGACGGGCAATGAAGACATGCTGAGAAACGCTCGAGCAGCTGGTGATTGATCGCTTACTTGGCTCGATTGGACTGCCATCACATAGGTGGCGGTCGTATGCAACAGGGCTTTCAGCATAGCTCTATGATAACGGCACCGTCAGCGGATTCATCACGCTGCTCCCACCATCCAGCACCAAGTTATGCCCATGCAAATAACTCGAGAATCCACTCGACAAGAACCCCACCGCCCTCGCGACCTCATTCGGCATGCCCGCCCTCTCCAACCCAATCATCTGCCGCTGCGCGTCCTTCGACTGCAGACTCGACGGCGGCAGCTGATGGCCATGTCCCCTCTTATCCAATTCCTGCAAATCCACACCAACGTCAATCTGTCCGGGACTTATGCAATTGATCCTCACCCCCGTCCCTTTCAAACTCGCAACGCCGGCTCTTACGACGCCTAATGCCGCGTGGTTGGACATGGTGAACGCCGGACCCCAGCAGCCTCCACTCGTGCTGGCTACGCTCGCCACGACAATAACGCTGCCGTAGGATTGGTCTTTCGGGGCGGCGTTGGGGTAGTTGCCCTTGGGGGTGGTCTTTTGCATGGCGGGCGGGGCGTATTTGAGGGCGAAGAAGGGCATCATGGCGTTGGCTTCGAAGAGCTTGTGGATGTCGGCCGGGGTGGTGTCGGCGATCGTGGGTGGACCTAGAAGGCCGGAGGACGTGACGAAGACGTCTAGTCTGTGTAGGGAATCGTTAGCTTTAGGTTCGTGGGTTTGTGAGACGTTCTACGCACCTTCCCCAGCTGTTCAGCACGTCGTCGATGAGTTGGAGAGTGTCTTCTTCGTTGGCGAGCTTGAACGGGTATCCAATGACCTTCGTACTGGGGAACTTTGCGTTGACGTCCGCTTCCAAGCTGGCGTAGTCGTCTTTCGGTGACGTTGAGCAGGCATAGACACAAGCAGCACCATGAGCAGCCAGTTCCGCAACAATGGCTCTTCCAACAGGCTGCGTGGCTCCCGTCACTACACACACGAACCCATAAAGCTTGCCATCTGAGCGGTAAGGCGAGAAGTGGTTATCTGGGTTTGCGTGGTGTCCATTTACGGCGGCCATAGTTCCTCTATAGCAGACTCGAGCTTCCAGAAAAGATGGGCGGATGTACTCGCAGGCCGCATGGTTGCAGATGAGCTACTATCCGATAGACCTCGAGCTGGGTTGCTTGCTTTGTACAAGTCCTCGGAGTGCAGTCCTGCAGCTGATAAGGGCGTTATCTTTAGTAAGCGTTAATGCAAGAGCAACGACTGCACGCATTGTTTTGGTCCACTGACAGGTAGTCTTGAGAGGTAGCTGTAGCCTCGCCCAGTCTCAGCGAGCTGGTGCATTCTTTGAACCTGCCGTGTATTTCTCGACTGTTGAAGACAAGCTTCTCTGTATTTTTGTCGTTCGCCAGCTCCCTTCGAAGCCCCTCCATGACTTCAGTGTTTCGCTCGTTGCTCGCCTTCACATTGAAGAACCAGCGTTGGAACTCTCACTCGCTGCTAGCACGCAGCCTTTGCATTTGGACGACTGCGTGGATGGGGTCATACCACGCGATCCGTGTCTCGCAGATTGGGCTTTTGCTATAGTTGTAGTCTCTCGAGACTTTCTTGTGGAATTCTTGTCGTTTCCACGGGATATTCACTTAGTTTGTTCTCGGTTGGCCATGAGAAGGGCTGACCTTAGAATACTTCTGCATTTGCAGGCCATCGGAACAATGAGTTTATCACCTCTTACAAGTCTGCACTGCTCTTCTTGTTGGCCTAGCGTATATCTATCGACAGCAAGAGTATGCCCGGGGCCTAGCGATGTGTGACTCGACAGAATCTTTCGAACTTCTTGTATCCATGGCTGCGTGTATTGAACCTATTGCCAATGGTAAAGCCGTCCTCGTTCCGTCGATGAGAGGCGGCGCATGTTTATTCCCACGAGCTCTTCAAATTCGACGGCGTGGAGGATTTATTGACTTCCTTGACGCGCTACACTTGAGGAGCGAAGGATTATGAGAGTGCCCAGTACGATAGTGTTCATGTGTTGGTAGTGAATGCAATGGCGAGGGGAGGATGGGTTGTGTCGCGCTTCGGAAGGTCTTTCGGAAAGTTGGGTGATCTGTGAACAACAGTGCAGTACCTGAGAACATTCAGAGTGGACGCGACTGGATGACAGGCTGTGGGAATCGACGATCGGAAGGCGTACACCGGCGAAGTAGAATGAAGAATCGAGCGTCTTGATCTATTGAGAAGTCGAATTGCAAGTCGTTTGGGCCTTCATCAGCTCTCGTCCCGATCGAGCAGTGCTGAAAGTTTCGCCTATAAGTCCCAAACATTCACCTATATCAGCAGCTGATAGGACCTCATGAACTCTCCTCCTCGCTCCTCCACGATGTCAAATACCACTTCGTCCAAACCTGGACACGCTCGACATGATACTGCACTGATCCACGGCCTCTCATCGACAGAGGTTCAGAGACTGTCAGAATCTAGCACTGAGGCGAAGGCGAAGGCGTATTGTGAGCAAACTATGCCCAAAAGTCCCTTCAAAGTATTACAGAGCTGACACTCCTGCCCAGGCCCATACTCGCACTTTCGAGTCGGATGTTCACTTCTCCTTGCGAACGGTGATATCGTCCAGGGAGCGAACGTGGAAAATGCGGCGTATCCTGTGGGCACCTGTGCTGAAAGAGTGACCATTGCCACCGCAGTCTGCCAAGTACGATGACCGTTGTCCTTTTCCGCGGTTGGTATCGCTAACACTGCCCAGGGAGCGAAGAAGGGCGACATTCGAGCTATTGCTGTCGCCACCGACATCAGCCCTCCAGCCTCTCCGTGCGGAATGTGCCGACAGTTCATCCGAGAGTTTTGTGAGGTATGGATCCATCTCTGAACTTCCCTTCATGCACGTGCTGATGTAGAATGTAGCTGAACATGCCCATCCTCATGGTAAGTATCAAGCTTGTCGAATGCATCCACCGTATGCTAATGGGGCTGGTCTCGCAGTACAACAAGGACGGCAAATCAGTCGTCATGACGCTTGAGCAGCTGCTGCCTATGTCGTTCGGGCCTGAGAAGCTACTGACTACAGAGGACATGTCCAACGGACTCGCGCAGTAGGATGGCAGGTTTGCGAGAGGCAACGGAGAGAAGATAAGACGTAGGGTATTGGACAAGCGGAAGTCGAGCAGTCCTGCAAATAGCGTGGTATCACGGCCCACAACAAGACCATTTCAGAGACTTGGATCCTCACCTTTAAGAGTGGTCGTTGCTTTTGACTCGGTCGATTTTATCGATTTGTTCATCAAGGTTCATCGCAACGAGGATGAATAAGGCTCGGTGCGGGCCGGCGCAAGAAGATCCAGGCACGCCACGTGCACGCGTAGCTCTGTGGCTTGGAAAGAGGCATTGTTAGTGAATGACGACGAAGCATACGTCTGTCTCTTGGACGAATGCCACAATATATGCCGTTCCGTGCCATCCAGCAAACCTCAACGAAATCCCTCCGTCACCCACACTGCAGTCTCCACTATTGCCCAGCGAATTGCGAAACACCCGAAAGCGCTACCGCCAAACACGAGCTGCAAGCGCAGTCAGCAAACAGGAAAACATGGTCGGGTTGCGGCAGTCGCACGCCTTTCACACCGACACCACCCGCCAAGGACAGCAATTGACGCCGTCAGAGCGAGAAAGGTTGCTCAAGCCGTACCTCCCTCGCGAGCCCATCCAGCCCGTACATTCCAACAGTCCCAAAAGCAATGGGCCTTTCCACCATCGCCAACGAGTACGACCGGCCATGCGCCACTTGATCCATTCATTGCTCTTCAGCATCATTCACATCGTCTTTTCGACCCTCATTCGGATTCGTCAGATCTACCATGCCCTGCTGGATAGGGTGTTTGCTGTGCTTTACTACCATCATCGAACGCCCGAGCTTATTCGACGGGATGTGAAGAATTTGAGCAGGATACCGAAGCATTTGAGCGTGATATTGGACCTACCGCCAGAGGGGGGGAAGAAAGATGCGTTGGAGACGTTGTTGAATGATGCCTGCGAGCTGGCGGCTTGGAGCGCCAGCGCTGGTGTGCCCATGCTTTCGATATACGAGCGAACAGGTAGGCATACACGTCCTCAATGCAGGTCGACATGGACTAACAATGTGACACAGGCATCCTGAAGTCTTCCCTCCCGCACCTCCACCGACGCATATCCCGCGCCATGATTTCCTACTACGGAGCAACATCGCCCTCGAAACCTACCATTTCCCTACGTTCGCCCAACCTCCCTTCTTACAGCCCACCGCACACGCCAGAGCTCACCAACGGCACGCATACCGCCGAAAGTCCACACCACCTCACAATCCTCCTCCTCGACGCAACAGATGGCCGCCAGACAATCGTGGATCTCACAAAAACCTTGGCGGAGATGTCACAGCATGGAAAACTTTCACCGTCGGACATCTCGCTGGACCTTATCGATGCGGAAATTAGCGAAAGTGTCATGGGCGAGCCAGACCTGCTTATTCTGTTTGGAGATCATGTGGTGCTAGAGGGATACCCGCCATGGCAGGTCCGTCTGAGCGAGATTTTTCACGTTCAAGACAACGCGGCAGGTGTTGGCTACCAGACCTTCCTGAGGGCGTTGTACAAGTTTGCGAAAGCAGAGTTTCGGTTGGGAAGGTAGAAGTTTTGTACGATAAGTGATTGTGGGTATTCAATTCTTCTAGAGTGCTAGAGTCTAACAAGACCATGTCTGCATGACGCCTTGCTATGCCGCGATGCATGCTTTCCCTCATGAGTCTGTTCAGTCCGTGGTATCACCAGAAACATGCCCAAATGCGTTGGCTGCCAGTGCTGTTCGTCTGCGCGCCAACCAATTACTTGAGCTCTGTCTTGCCCAAAGCATCGGCCAAATCGTCGACATCCTTGTCCTTCTTTCCAGCGACAGGCTCGTTTTCGGCGGCATCTGCATCCTTGAGGATCTGCTCTTCTTCAGCTTCCTCCTCGGCTTCACCCTCATCTTCCTCATCTTCATCCTCGTCATCCAGCTCATCCAGTTCGTCAAGACCCCACAGATCCTCGTCATCCTCGTCCACACCGGGGTACTTCTCCTCGCCGTCCTCTTTCCGCTTGTCGAGTAGTTCCCTGAGAGTCTCGATGCTGCCATCATCCTCGGCAAACTTGTTGCCGTTCAGTTCCACCCTTCGAAGTCGTGGCAGGGCGGAGCTTGAAGAAGCAGCGTCGGAGAGCGCTTTGAGTCCCTTGCTGTCGATCTCGTTGTACTGCAGTCGAAGCACTTCCAGCTTCTTGTTTCCCTTCTTCGCGAGAGCTTCCCCCAGATATCGGCCACCGCGAGCTGAGAGAAGACAATCGCCCACACCAAGATCACGCAGCTCTTTCCAGCTCGGCACCACGGTTGACAATGTCTTTGCGGCGGGGGCTGTGAAGGTGTTGTCTTGCAGGTCCAGAGTGTCCAGTTCGCTGCAGTTGGAAAGGCCATGCTGCAGCAGCGTAGCAATTCCTTCTTGTCGGATACCATTCTGCACCATCTTGACCGTCTTGACCTTGTCGTTCGCTGTGTATGCTTTTACCCAAGCCGCCATGCTACCTGTCTCCAATCTGTTTCGCCCACATACCACGGTCTCGAGATTTGGAACTTCCTTGCCCTCTTTTCGTGCCTTGGCCTTGTTGTCTGCGAGTTGAACGAGGGCTTCAGCGACCAGCGTTCCGGCTGCTGGGCCCAAGCCATTGTTGTTGAGGTAGAGGTGCTGCAGCGGCGTGTGCTGGCTGAGGAACGGACGGAGGGGTTCGACAGTATTCAGACCGAAAGCGTTGTCGTTGAGGTTGATCGTGTGCAGGTTTGGGCATTTGAGCAGTGCCTTCAGCAGGGAGTCGAGTGCTTGTGGGATTTCTGCGAGGAGACGACCGGTGAAGATGTCGGCGAGGTTGGCGTATTGGAGGGTTTTCTTGGTTTCGAGAACTTTGGCGAGAGCTTCTGAGGCTTCCACACCGATGGTGTTGCCCTCAAGGTGGACCTCCTCGACATCGGGGTTGTCCTCGAGGGGTTTGATGTGTTTGGCGATGTCGGCGGCGGTGTCGAGCTTGAGGGCTTGGCCCCGGAGACTGAAGACGTTTGCCATGGTCGTGTGAGCTGTCGTGTGGGAAAAGCTTGCTGGCAGTGTCAGGAGTGAGTGTTTGTTTGGTTCAGGTCGGCCGTTGGCGGGGCAGAAAAGATTCCCGCCTGTCACATGCGCTAGCGTTCATCCAGGCACAGGGTAAATTCGGCGCTCGGAATGATGACAAACGCCAGCGGCGATGCGCATGACGACTTTCTTCAGATTGAATCTTTGGGATCTCAAGCACGCGACTGTACTATACTCCCATCAAAATCGCTATTATGTCTGCTCAGGCGACGACGCCCAACATCTCCAGCGGTGCGCGACTTCCGGAACACCGTCAAAGCCTCCATCCGCTAACGTCTCCAACAGCAATGCAGCCAAACAACGCAGCGGCCGATCTGAAGCCCCAGGGTGAAGCTGCAGCCAAAGTCAAGGTTCGTTGCCCCAAAAACTTGCGCAATCCCACTCATCCATCCGGTCAAGTACTGACCGGTCGACCATGTAGCCCTGCTGCGTCTGCAAAGAGGAAAAGTCGGCCCGCGACGAATGCATGCTCTTCTCGAAATCCAGCGATCCACAGGACGCCTGCAAGGACCTTGTGGGCAAGTACCGGAGTTGTATGGCGAGCTTTGGGTTCAACATCGCGTAAAGACAAGAGACAGAGAGAGAAGAGCATGTGCATTGGAATGGCGTTTTGGGGATTGACAAGAGGAGACGAGATGCATTAGACCGGCCATTCAGACGGAGGCTGTTGTACGAGTACTGTACACTATACTTGTACATACAAGCAAGGAGCAATCCCAACTTCCACCCAGGGTATCACATATGCGTTTTGACAAGATCGACACTTATTGTGTCTTCTTCTCTTGGACCGCCGACTGCTTCTGCAGCCCGAAGATGCTCAGGAACCCGCTTTCGAGGGCGAGATTCCACAGACACCAGAGGTAGCAAAGACCAAATCCGCCTGCTCCCAAGCATACGTTCGCTACAATCCAGAGATCGGGTTTGTTGGTAGGTGGCAACACGAACAGCTCGAAACCGTGCCACGCGATTGCGGCAACAAATGTGCCCAGGTGAATCAACTTGGTCAAGATGTTGACTCCACCCTCGCTCGCTGGTTGCGTGTATGCGCTAATGTTGAATGGTGGGAAGCCCATCAAGTATGCCCAAAGAAGTGTAAGAACGGCATATGGCATCCTCAACTCGTCCTTGGCAAGAAGCGGGAACAAGGTCCAGTTCGCCAGGAGATTTGCGTATCCGACCCAGGCCCGAATCGCAGGTTTCATGCCACTTTCTGTCGACAAGAGGAGGGTCATTGGGAGGAGCGGTAGCAGTACATTCTTCTCGTGTACTTGGTATGAGCAGAGGAAGAAGCCCCAGGCGGTTGTCGCGAAGGCCAGCAGAACCAGTTCCCTTCTCGGCTTGAAGAAAATGATCACACAAGGCGGGAGAATGGAGAGCAAGGTTAGGCCAAGCGCTGCCTTGCTGAGGAGCCCTTGGTCGTAATTGTGCAGCTTGTGAAGACCAGACGCGTGCACTGCACACCAGATATTCGCCACTTTGTCTTCGAAGAGTCCTCGTGCGAATGGGAAGATTCGATGTATCGATTGAGTGAGCTGGACCAGATAAGGGAAGTACCAGGCTTTTTGCGGTATAGGAAATGGTATGGCGGAGAGCAGAGGCGGAAGTGTGACATCCGACGGTAATGGCACTTTCCGGTAAGTGTCGTAGAATGTACCAAGCAACAGTGGCACGAAAAGGAGGGCGAAGGATGCCAATGTGACGACAGCCACGCCGATGAATCGTACAATGTCGATTCGAGGAAAGATGCAGGCGCCGGCAAGATATGCGGCAACAGCAGGTGCGTAGAAGAGTGCCATCTGCTTGAAGCCTAGGGCCCCGACGAAGAACAGGCAGCTCCAGAGCGCTCGTCCTGCAAGCATGCTCGATATTGATGCCACAACAAGGCCCAACATGACAGTATTGTATTGGAAGTGTCCGTGATCAATCAGGATTGTTGCCGGCTGCATCAGGATTGCGGTCAGGGCGATCGAAGCCTCCCAGGAGTTGATGTTGTGAAGCCGTGCCAAATGGCGGGTGCAGATAATGACCGCAGGAATGTAGACCAGGTGCTCTGAGATGTAAACGGTCGCTCTCATAAACACTTTCAAATCTGGATCATCCAGCCCCTGTGAGAGGTAGAGCGCAAACCAGGATGGGTTGATAGAAGATCCGGCTTTCCCCAAGATCCAGGAATGGTATGCTGTCAAAGGAGGGTAATCAAGTCCCCACCACTGTAGGTTGTGGAAATACCAGTGTGTCACGGGCAGATTGATTGTAAGTTCCATCCAATGCCGCTGTGCTTCAAAGTCGCCATGCATGGGCGGTCTTTGGAATCCAGAGTAGGGCCATATCGCTGTGCACCATCTGAAAAGCCCGACTACCATCAAGATACAAGGCAGAACAATCCATTGGGAGACCGAACCCTTCGCCGGCCAGAAGAATGCCACGAGCGGAAAAGCTGGCGTTTCTCGATTCGTCGAAGCATCGGTGTTGACTGTCCCATTGGAGCTGGCGGAAGACACAAGCTCCTTTCTTTTCCTGCGCGGCCGATGAGATCCATGATGACTGGGAGCCATGGTAAAATGGGTTCAAGGTGGACTACCGGGGCATCTCCGATTTCAACTACCCTCACAGAAAAGCTTTAGGGCAATCCAGACCGAAGTGGCAAGTGAACAGTGAAGTGAAGTGAATGGTGGACTGCTGCAAGATCTGGCGGCTCTCGTTAATCTTCGCGCCAAGTGGAGCCACTTCGGCACGCGGCAGTGAACCCTTAAGCCCACTAGCGCCGAAAAGCTCACCTCGAGGATTTAGCATTTAAATTTTCGCGTCCTCGACCAGCCTCTTCCTCTTCTCTTCCTCGTCCGCATTTTCCACCATCCCCCAACTCAGAGTGTTGTTGCAACTGTCGGCTCTTACTCTCTATCAGCGTCGTTAGCTGTACCAGAGACATCACACACAACGCTTTGCGTTATCAAAATTATCGGTTCGTGGGCTCTCATCCTCCTTCACTTCGCTGCCGCAGCGCCGTGATCGAGCTTTCGCACTACGGTGCTCTTGTGGGCGTGGCATTTTAACGTCTGACTGCTTCGGCGGCGGACATTCAGTGGGCTGTCGGGCACCGGCTGTCGCATCATCGTCGTGGCCCTTGTGGGAACACACTGCCTCGACCCAGCGACCAGTACATCAAGAGCGGGCTTCCGCGCGTGGGCCAAGCATATCTCGCTCAGTGGGACACTCAACTTGAGGGCTTTATCAACGACTCCACCTTGCGTGGTTGTCACGTGGGCTTATCTGAGGGCTTCTCCATCAGCGACTCTGTCGCTCGAGGGACTTGCGGCTTCTTGTTACTGTGGGCTTTGGGATATCGAGCGCTTGCGTTCTCCCTGCTGGGTGTTTGAGACGAGACATTTCTGCTCCTGCGACGACTCCGACTTTGCTCGGTTTCGCACTCACTCATTTGACTTGACACTGACGTTCGTTGGCAGAAAAAACTTATCACAGACCCTTAGCAATGGCAAAGGAAAGCAAGAAGGCAAGCAAGGCTGTTGCCGCTGCGCCGCCATCTACCAAGACCACCAAGTCTAGCAAGCCCATCGAGAAGGTCAAGGCTGGTCGCGTGACCAAGCCTGCTGAGACGGCAAAGAACGTGGCCAAGGAGTCGGCAAAGAAGGCGGCCAAGGTCGTCGAGAAGTCCGGAAAGAAGTCGAAGAAGGCACCTACGCCAGAGCCATCCAGCGACAGTGACGAGGATGACGAGGACGACGACGACGACAAGGATACCAGCGCCAGCTCCGATAGCTCCGACAGCGAGGAAGAGGCGAAGCCACAAACCAAGGCCAACGGCGTGAAGAAGGCCGCGCCAAAGAAGGAAGAGACCTCCGACGATGATGACGAGGATGACTCCAGCGACGATGATAGCGACGAGGAGCCTGCACCCAAGAAGGATGTGGGCAAGAAGGTCGAGGCCCCAAAGACCAACGGCAAGGCCAAAGCCGACTCCAGCAGCGACGAGGACTCTGATGAAGACGACGACGACTCCTCAGACGACGAGAAGCCTGCCGTCAAGGCTGGCAAGGAGAAGGCCGCTGCTGCCACGAAGGACGATGATTCCTCCGAGGACTCTTCCGACGATGACGACTCGGATGACAAGGTCAAGGTTGAGGACAAGGAGGATGACTCTGACGACGACGACTCCGACGACTCCAGCGAGGACGATGAGGAGGAGGAAGAGAAGCCAAAGGACAACAAGAAGCGAAAGGCCGACAGCGAGCCAGCTGGCCAGGACACCAAGAAGGCTAAGACCGAGGACCCCAACGCGGTTGGCAACCTCTTCATCGGCAATCTTAGCTGGAACGTCGACGAGGATTGGCTCACGCGCGAGTTCGAGGAGTTTGGTGAGCTTCAGGGTGTCCGCATCATCACCGACCGTGACTCGGGCAGAAGCAAGGGTTTCGGCTACGTCGAGTTCACTGAGCCTGCCGATGCTGCCAAAGCCATGGAGGCCAAGAACGGCGCTCTCATCGACGGACGTGAGATTCGCATGGACTTCAGCACCCCACGTAGCAACAACGCCAACGGCACACCACAGCAGAAGAGCCAGGACCGCCGCAACAAGTTCGGCGACGTCCCCAACGAGCCCTCATCGACTTTGTTCGTCGGCAACATTAGCTTTGAGGCCGATCAGAATATGGTGACCGAGCTCTTCCAAGAGTACGGCAGCATCAACGGTGTTCGCCTTCCTACCGATCGCGATACTGGCGCACCAAAGGGCTTCGGCTACGTCGAGATGGGTTCCATCGATGACGCCAAGGCTGCCTTCGAGGCTCTTCAGGGTACGGACCTCGCTGGTCGTCCCATCCGTCTCGACTACGCCAAGGCTAGAGACGACTCCAACGGTGGCGGTCGCGGTGGATTCGGAGGTCGCGGCGGCTTCAACGATAGAGGCGGCCGTGGCGGTGGTCGCGGACGCGGTGGCTTCGGCGATCGCGGCGGACGTGGTGGTGGTCGTGGCCGTGGCGGCTTTGGTGATCGCGGCGGACGTGGCGGTACCACGAACAGAGGAGGCTTCGGTGACTTCGCTGGTACGTATCCATACTGGAGTGCGACTGAATAAATGCTAACCCATGTAATAGGCAAGAAGATGACTTTCTAGGACAAGTCTGATCAAGGCAAGAAGACGGACTCGAAGAAGAAGGGCTCTGGCAAGGCGCCGTCGATGCCGAAGGCCACGGGCAAGAAGATCACATTCTAGGGTGGTGTATCAAGACAACATGAACGTACAAAAGTGCTTTACGGTGTAGTAATAGGTGTTTGGTGTACACTGGCAATGCAAATGAGTTCTGGCTGCTGCTGTTATTCTTCCCTACAGATTCAGATCGTCTTCACGCACATTACTAACAGCATTCAATCTTCAACCTTGTTTCTGAGCACGTGCTGCGTGTGTCCTATGAGCCGAGATAAGACAGACGGGCGGTCGTATGCAGGGCGACGTGCCCTTGCATGTGTCGGGGCCCGATTGCTCGAGGCCCCTCATCGGCAGCGAATTGCGTATATCGGCTGTCCGCCTTGCTGCCATGAACAACCTGATATTGCGGACATCATGTGGTCTGGATTTATTGTATGTGTTTGCTGGGTTCACGTCGCCTGATGCCAGCGATCACAACACCACGTCAGCCATCATCCTTCCACTCGTCACGGCACCATACGATTCATCAGTGATGAGCAGACCCCGCCGAGTCGCTGACCCCCACGCCCAGGCAAGTTCAGGCTGAGATCGACAGCACGCCGCCTTCCTTCACCGACGTGAGCGACTGACCTGCACCCTCACGGCCCTCCTCTCCTCTCAACGCCTCCGCTCTCCAGCGCAGCAGCTACTGTCGCTTGCCGGCGCTGTTACTCTACCTTCATTCACTGTCCCTCGTCGGATATACTCTGGCCCTGCAAACAACGTACGACATCACTGCTGTCGTGGAGACCTTTTATGCCGACGTCGGCAGCCCCCAAGTGGACCGCCCGATTGCCAGATTAGCACCACCTTTGAGCACATTATCATCTACCTACGGGCGGTCAAGCTCAACGACGGCATTGAAGCACCTGGCACGATCCTCACCATCGACTCCTCCTTCCACTATTCGCCATCATGAACCACCAACGGCCGTCGTCGCATTCGACCGACCAGATCTGGCGCCGAGGTCACGCGTCAGCCATGGAATCACGTTCGGCCTCGTTCGACAGGCGCACACGCTCAGATGGTGAGTCCTCCTACCCGTGATGCCTTGTAGGCGGGAGAGTACAACTTTGCGTTTGAGGGCATCTTATTATTTCGCCGCCCGCAATAGACAGACCATGGCTTGGTACTTCGAATCCTACAGCGAATGCGCTGACTTCTATAATCTAGTTGACTCTTGGGTTGAGGTGTCTTCTCAGCCATCTTCCTCATCACTGTCGTCTATCGGCGACGACATCGTAACGACCGGCGGCCCCAACCGAGACGATCAAAGAACGAGGCGGCGAAGAAGGCTTGGAGCTCCAACACACTTGAACATCACCCGAACAGCAGAGGCGACCAGCAGTCAAGAGGAATACGAAGAGAGCGAGAGCGAATCAGACCGAATCATGACATCCTCGGGAGAAGGCCCGATGCTCGCTGCACCGGCTGCGAGGAACGCAGCTGCAGGCATGGTCGCAGCTCAACGATCATTGACATCAGAAAGCAGCGGTGCCCAGGCATCAGATGACGACGACGAGAACAAGACCGCCATCAATTATCCGATCAACAACGATACCTGCTTTACCCCCCTACCAAACGCCTTTTCGCACCCACCGAGTAGTCAGATGCGAGGTGCGAGCCAGCCTGTGCCAGGATCATATTTCCCACCGTCAAGGCCAGTGACCTCTTATCGATCGGCAACTCGAAACTCGTTACCCGAGACGAGGCGGCAGAGCCATCTTCCGCAGAACGTATTGTCACCATCCTTCAATGCTGCCGCAGAGCACGATGAAGCGCTAAGAGCAAGCCTTACCAGCCTGCTATCCGTGGCGGCTGCGGCTCGTGGCCTTCCCAAACCCGAATCGAAGCGGCCGCAACAGACAACGACTCCTCCACGAAGCAATCGAGTCGATCCGACATCATTTCGGCTTGTGCCTGAATCAGCTTTACAATCCAGCCCTCCTACCCAACTGCAAGTACAGGAACCGACGTTCAAACCGACGATTCGACGAACATCGACCAACTCGACATCAACAAACTCTGAGCGTGTCGAGAACAAGCGCAAGGCTGTCACTGCTCCTGGCCGCAGCACCAGTCGCGAGCGGCGTGCACTCAAAAAGGCTCGCCGCTCAGCTTCGAACGAAGACTTGCATGTTACGCCGACCCTACTTACGTGGGTAGTATCGGCAGGTGTCGTGGTCTTTCTGAGCGCACTCAGCTTCAGCGCTGGGTACAGCATGGGCAGGGAAGCGGGGATGTTGGAAGCCAGCAACTTCTCACCAGCAGACGAGTCGCTCAGATCTTGTGCACGGGAAGCGAGTCGTTCGAGCCTCGGCCTGAAGCGTTCTCTGGCCAGAAGCGCCATTCAGGTTTGACGAGACGATGTTCACGAAATGAATGCATAGCGACGGCGTCATGACGAATGAAGACAAGCATGAGACGATGAGCATGAAACGATTATAAGATATCCAACGAGCGTGCTAAGCAGCTGCGCTTATTGATGCGCCTGATGTACGCAAGATCTCGTAGCATTCTTGGTCTGGAACCGAATGTTCAGCATTTTCAAAGCCTTTGCGATATTTGGAGGGACTTACCGGAGCTGGCCCGGATATTGTTCGATCGGAATGGGTTGCCAGTGCTCGCTCTTACCATCAAGAAGGCATTATGATCATCTATCTCATTTGTGCTATACAGACCAGGCCAACCAATCTTCTTGAACAGGGGCTCGAGCTGGTCAACGAGCGTCTGATGTCGAGGATCCATCAAGGAGCGATTGAACTTTGCCACAGCCAACAGCAGACATCCATTCTGATAGCCATGCGGCAGGGGGACGTCTGGCGACATTGTCAGGGCGTGGATCAGAGCGAGGCCGGTGTTTCCACAAGCCAGATTCGCTGCTGAGCTTGCTTCCATGAGGTCCTGACATGCGTCTGGGTCCCGATCATTCAGGGCAGCAGGAAGACGATTGATCAAGGTCTCGAGCGCCTTCTCCGCCAGCGCGTCGGTGATCAACGTGCGTCTCCTGGACCAGAGACTCTCGCAAGCATGCGTGATGGCATCCAGAGCTGCATCGAGCATTGGCTTCTTGGGGCAGCTGAGGAGGACATTGCCATCGAGCAGAGCGACACGAGGTTCTGCGCCCATGGCTCTGACAATGACCTCCGTCGGCCTGCCATGTTCGTGCAACACCAGCACTCGGGATACCTCTGATCCAGAACCCGCAGTCGTCGGCACGCAAATCGTCGGAACGGGCAACTGCGACACAGAAAGATCAGACCAAACCCTCATTTCCCTTAAGAGTTTAACAGCACGGGGGCTTTTCCACTTTCTTACATTCACCATCTTCTCATTCCCCTCATACTCCAATATATCCCCAGGATTCACCAGACAAATTGCCACCGCCTTGCCGAGACAAATACTCGAGCCTCCCCCGACAATCACCACGCCATCACAATGCGCCTTCTTCGCGACCTCGATCCCCTTCCGCACGGATTCGAGATCCGGATTCATAGGCGCGAGGATTTTTGCGGGGAGGTTCGTGATCTCAGGGGGGAGCCATTTCTCCAAGAGGCCTGCGTTGGCGATGCCGGAGTCTACGACCAGGGCTGGGTTGGTGAGTTTGTAGTGTTGGAGTTCCGAGGCGAGTTGCGAGAGACATCCTAGGCCGGTGACGACGCGGGTTTCGCAGGCGTAGAAGCGGTTGGGGGAGGCCATGATGGGTTGTTTTGGGAGGAGGTGTTGTTGTTGTTGATATAAGCGGAGAGGAGAATAATGGACCACGTATTCCAATGCTGACGGCGAGACGAGAGGATATCTAGCTTCTTGGGAGCGGGAGGGGTAGCTGAGAGCATCGCATTTGGCGAATGCTGGTCGATCCAGGTCTTGCTTGCGAAGTCTGGTCTCTTTTGTTTCTATGACTGACTGGAGTTGAAGCGTGGTCAGCTGTTGAGACTTCACTTGCATGGATACCACTGGTGGAGCATATGGATGGCCTCTCGCTTGAGGGTCACGTAATTGGCGAGTGTCTACTCAGCTTAGTCGTGCCAGATGTCTATGCAATCTCACGTGTTTGATCAAGATACTTCACGATATTTCTCGATGGTCAATGTTTCGTGTTTGATAGATGGTATGGCAGCAGGTGTCTCGAGGCGTTGTTCGTCGTTCGTTGGTCGTACGCTGTTGGATCTGTGTAATCTATCTCTCTGGGTCATATACATTAACATGTCAAGCATTCTTCATCCATCCATTCTAGACCGTCCTGTATGATTCCTTCTCATATCCATTCATCCATCCTCCCCCCATCCCCATCTCCACATCACACTCATTCACTCCCTCACAACCCCCAAATACCCATGCGACATGCCGCCCCCAGCCTGATCCAACGGATTCCCCTTCTCCTTCAAATCCACAAAATGCGCCTCAGACAACCTCCGATTGAAAATCGCCGCGTCCACCTCCTCGGGATGCTCTCCCCACTCCGCCTTATTATCCTCCCACGCATCCTTGGACGAATCCACGACCTGGATATCCTCATCGGTGGCATCCCCCTGCCAGATCTTGAAATTCGGCGGCCGTTCCGAGATGCTCGCCATGCGCTGGCGGCCGCCGGAGTGCATCATGGGGACATCGAGGGTGGGCGGGTCGGCTTCGAGCGGGTTCGCGCAGCCGACGGGGGTGCGGCAGCGGCGTTGGCTGTTGGGGTCGACGGTGCGCCAGATGACCTCGCGGACTTCCTTGCCGACCTTCTCGATGGCGTCCATGGCCCAGATGACGTCGAGGTGTTCGTAGCCTTCGATGATCTTCTTGTGCACGATGCGGACGTCCGGTTCGCGGCCGCGGTCGAAGCGGCGCAGGAGGCGGCGGCCGTCGACGAGGTCGTCGGCGCCGCAGACCCAGAGGGCCAGGGGCGGGAATTGTTTGTCGTACCAGGCGAATTTGCCGCGCGTCGAGTCGTGGTGTTGGTGCGTGAGGGTTTGGCAGTGGAAGGAGGTGAGGTTGCGTTGGAGTTTGCGGCGTTCGGGGACGTGCGGTTCGCGGTCGATGTAGAATCTTCTTATGACTTCGTCGTCCTGTGATGTTGAGTGTTAGCTAAAAGGTTTGGAAGGGGTGGTTGGGTTCTGACTGACCTCCTCGTCCTCCTTGTCTTCCAGCCGGCCTTCTTCTCGCGTTGCCAGGATGCATTTATGTCTGGCGAAACACTCTCGCCCTAGCCACCATCTCATGCTCTCGGCGCTGACATACACAGGAGCCCACTGAAACATGCGGTCTCTCAATCCTCGATCCCACCTACTATCCGACCAGTTAAACAAGAACGAAAATACGTGGTAGCCCATCCAGGAAAACGGTTTCGCCGGCATGATCTTATGTGCCAACAACATCAGAGGGATGAACGCGTGGATCCCAAACACCAGCCTGAACATCGACGGTGTGATCAAGCGCATGACTTTGAAATAGATCTTGCCAATGAGTGGGCCGGCATAAGCAGCCGGCGCAAGAGCACAGAAGACGGAGATCTTCTCGCCGATTTCTGGCCTCTGCTCTTTGGCCAGTGCGACAAACGTCTCCGTTGTGCCTTGGCTGTGAGCTATAAGGGCAAGCTTGGGGAATCCAGTCTCGGAGAGTACCCGCGATACCAGAGCGGCCAAGTCCATGACACCCATCTGCCGGATATTCCACGCCCACATTCGAGGATCTTCGTACCTGAGCGAGGTATGTCTTGGCTCGAATCCGCAGCGATTATTGCCGAGCCATACATCATAACCAGATTTGGCCAGGTAGAATGCGAAGGAATCGTCGTCGTTGCAGATGAAGGCGCCTGAAGACTGCAGCAAGCCGTGGATCATGAGGACGGGATACTTCTTATTCCCGTCTGGGAATGCTTCCTGGGTTTGACCGTATCCTGGTGCGTCGGAACTCGTCCGGAAGCAGTCTGGAGAGCGGTATCGGTAGGATTCTGGGGGTGGTCGTTTGTATTCTCTTGGATTGAAGATGTGCCAAAGCTCGATGATGAAGCCGTCCTCGGTCTGGACTTCGAACGTTTCTGCGTCGAGTCCTACGCGCCTTGCATAGTAGCTTACATCGACGACCAAGGGATCTGGACCGCCTTCTGTAGGCACGAACTCGCCGTCTTGGGGTACGCTGCCATCACCCTTCTCACCAGAAGGAGTCTGTGATCCTTTTTGCCGCTGCTGCACCCACGTCTTCTCTGCCGCCCTACGTTCTTGCCGTCTCTTCATTTCCTCATCGTAGAACGGCCGCTGCTTCTTGGGATTCTGGAGCATGGCTCGCCGCCGAGTATTCTTCAAGATCCGCGGAATCGCGTCGAATATAGCACCAATTACAATCGCTATTAGGAAGCCTAGGGATAAGACAGCAGATGACATGCGAAAGAACCAGCATTGAAACGTTCTCAACCATGTCGGTGGTCCGTACAGAGGAAGTGGTGGGAATAAGGGATTCGTTCGAGAGGGAGGGACTGCCTCTCGTAAAGGAGCGTCCGTGTCATCGTTCTGCTGCGAAGAAGTAGGCCTAGAGCCGTATGCTCCATGTGTGGTTCCATCTCTACCTTCTCGCACCGCCCCATGAGGTGTCGTCCTCGGATTCCTCCCTTCCACCTCATCTTTCAGTTTATTGAGTGCCGCAGCCTCCTCGATGGGTATCGCAGGCAGTCTCTTCCCGTCTGTAGTTTCAATGACAGGATCCAAAGGCGTGACGAACTTGGCTTCGGCAGCTTGCGTGGATCCTGTGCTATCGTCCTCTTGATCGGGCGTGAGTTGCGCTAGCTTTTTCGCCTGGTGGGTATATTCGATCGCGGAGCTCTCTTTCTTGTGCACGCCATTGGCATGGCTACCGTCTATTCCGTTTTGAGGCGCGTGCGTGTGGTGTGGCATTGTGGCCGGGGCGTCGACGGGCGGTACGTGAGACTGCTACTGCTGTGGACGCGGATAGACGCGGATGAAGGACGCTGTGCACGCATTGGTTGGGTACAGCAGGCAATGGAGAGCAGGAGGCAATGCTTTGAGGGATCCTTGCGATTAGTAGTTATTGGAAGAAGCAGACGACCTGGTTGCATTTACATTGAAAGGTCGACTGCCGGCGTCCGCGGCGACCCGCGAGCGTGATGATCTTTCGTCAAGTCCAGCTCCCAACCACTACCACGGACTGACACATGCACTTGGATGAGCGTCGCAGAGCCGCCGATGACGCAGGCCTTTCCCTCAACCGCCTCGACTCTTCACGTGCTCTGCCAAGGCGGTCTACCATTGACGAGGGTTTCCTGGATTTGACACATTTGACAGCAATCAAATCCAATCCCTTCATCAAACCGCGCCATCAGCTACTGGTGAGTGAAGGAGGCCCGCGTATCCTGGCGCTCGGTTTCCCACAGCTGTTCCAGCGACTGTGCCGTTCGCGTGCCATGTCGAAGCCTTATAAACATGCTCCCAAACATGAGACCGCTTCACGCCTTGCCAGAGTGCCCCATCCAGCGCCGACATGTCTTCTTCCTCGCGCCTTTCCGATTGCTGTCCCTCGTCGTGCCGTCCCCCGCCTTGGAGCTCCTGGGAGGTGAGTGAAGGTTCGAACCTTTACATGCCTGCCCAAGCCGGCTGAGCAGCGAGAGTTTGCTCGCCTCACGCCGCAATGCAAGCTGTCACGGTACGTAGCGCGTGATGGAGGTCGGCGTAGTCGTGTGGTCTTGTTCTTCTTCGCCAACTCTCATCAATCCAAATCTCCTCCATCTCCAGACGCCTCAGCCAGTGCGCGGCTCTAGCTTTTCGTACCTCGGCCTCGGCAAAGTTAGCGTAGCTCACTTCGACAACACTCGCTCGTGTCTTGAGCCATGTAAAAACTGTGCCGACCCTGAGACTCCTCGAGGACACGTCTCGAAGCGACATAGACAATCATGGTCTATGACATACCCCGCCCGGGCTCGTTGAAGAGAAAGAGGAGAAGACGAGCGGACAAACCCGCGGTTTCGGCAAGAATCTACCTCGACAGCAACCTGAAGGGCGAGGTGGGCGTGCTGTCAGGCGACTTGGTTGAAGAGTTGTTTCCTGGAGAAGAGACGAGCGATGCAAACAAACCTCTCCACGCGGCCATCACACCTTGGACCCCAAATCCATCGCCTTCAGAGTCGAATTGGGCCATTCTTCCTTTGAGAGGACAGCTTCCAGAGGAGAAACCCCTTCCCGTCTCGACGATACGCTTCCCGGCGTCGGCGATTGGCACACAAAGCTTTATCAGGATAGTTCATGCTGTCTCGCCGACCAAGACCCTTCGTCAGAACACCTGGGTGGAAGTGAGGATTAGCGATGTAAACCCTCTCCAGCTGGACACCGTATTCATCTCGGTGGATACAGAGGCGATCCAGAAGCTTGAAGATGTGCACAAAAGATATGGCGGAGGGGTGGTGTCTGCAGGAAATAGGAGGTCAGGGAAAAGAGCCGTGACCGAGTCTCAAGAGAATGGTGCAGGTGTTGTGGTAGATGGAAAAGCAAAGTCGTTGGTTAACGACGTAGTTGCATACGCGCGGATACTTCACACGGAGGATGTTCTTCCATTGCCGTTTGCACACCCGGTCACTCACACCCCAGCGCCTCCAGCGAAGGTGTTGGCCTGTGAGCCAGTATCACAAGGATTGATTTCTTCGACTACCAACATCGTATTAGTACCTTCTTCGGATAAGAGACCGAATGTGCTTGGGTACCGGGCTCTGCTCTCTCCACGACTGGACGAAGACTCTGGGGAAGAGGACACAGCAAACGAGGCCTTCTTTTCTGCTACTGAAGAAAACTCCCCTGCCAAACCCGTCGTCACGTCCAAATCCGCCACCGATTTCTCTGCGTCTGATGATCTGTTAGATTCCAGTGCTGAGGAAAGCAACCTGTCCGACGATTCTGATGATATGATCTCACTGGCAAAACCTGGCTTAGCAGATGCACCATCTGGATTGAGCTCCGCTCTCACCTCCGCTACACCTCGCCCTTTTGGCGCTCGAACGCACGGTATCAGCACACCAGGTTCTGTCTTCTCTAACATGACCTCTACCACCATACGCGGTGGGCAGGCTACACGAAGTAAAGTATTTCGAGCGCAAGGTCTCGTGGAGCGGATCCCTAACGAGCTGCTACATCCTAAACCTGCCCCGGACGAAGACGAGGAAGCACGTGTCTACGTAGATCCTCAATCGCTGGCCCGCCTTGGATGCTTCTCTGGAGACTGGGTACGAATTGAGGCTGCGGAAAGCCACATACTCCCGCAACTGAGCGCTTTTGGTGATCTGGCTGCTCCGCAACAATGGCGTCCCGTCAAGGTCTACACTCTTCCCGAGAGCATGTCCAAGCGTCCTGCGCGGTATCAGATGAACTCAAGATATGGACGCAGGGATAGCATCTCATCCCTCGTCACAAACTCGAGCTCTGCCGCTACGATCTATCTATCACCTATCCTTCTAGCGAACCTTCAAGATCCGACAAACATCAGCATGCTGACTATGCCGTCACAAAAGAGAGCCAGCCTGAAGCGGCCCATGACACCAAGGCCAGCATCAGTATCGCAACGTCTTCCCCCGACAGCATCTGAAGTGACCCTTAGAAAGATCGTCACGCCTATCTCGACTGAGAGATCACTCAACAATGCTTTGTTCGCGAAGTTAAAACAGTATTTCGAAGAGAGACAGCGCATCGTCAAGCCGGGGGATATTATCGCAATCCAAGTCGACGAGACACTAGGTCGCTCAGTGTACGAAGGCGAGGCAGAGCAGGATGGCAGCAGTGCAGCGGCTCTGCTGTCCCATGCTGTGGTCGAAGGTGAAAATGGTGAAGGTCATCAACGTTTGAACGTTGCGTGGTTCGCCATCGAAGGCGTCAGTATTCCACCCCCAGAAGAGCCAGACGCATTGGACTCGGATCAATGGGGTGATGCTGCCTCAATCGACCCATCCAGGATCCAGATGCGTCAATTGGGCGACGATAAACGACGGCTGCCATCAGCATCAAGCAGTACATGGCAGTACTACCTTGGAGTCCGCAAACTGCCCGGAAAGACGAGCTCTGCCCAAGCGATGCCAGAAGTCGTTCAGCCATTCATCTCACCGCTCCAGCGACGGCTGCGCGAACTGATGTCGGTATCCATCAGTCCTCGTGCGGTCCATCTTGGCATGCCACCCCTGACCGTCCTTATCTACTCCACGCAACGCAACATCGGCAAAGCAAGCACAGTCCAACGAGCCTGCGCGGATCTTGGCATGCATTACTTCCATATCGACGCGAACGATATCGGATCGGAAGGCGGAGCAGGCGTCGAGGCGCAAGGACTGCTTGAGGCGCGATGTGAGCGAGCGATGGACTGCGGTCCACAGTTCACCGCGCTGTGCATCACACACTTGGAAGTACTTGGTGAAGATCGTGCGGCATCGTCTCTCAAGGATGTCTTGGAGACCGCTCGTGTGCTCATTGCCACCACGACCGACATCGACAAGGTATCCGATACCGTACGCGGATTGTTCACTCACGAACTGGAAATGTCTGCTCCCGATGAAGGAGAGCGAGAAGGCATTCTGCGGGATGCAATCACCGAATCTGGACTCCCGCTTGCTGTTGACGTTGACCTTGGTTCGATTGCTGTCAAGACTGCCGCACTTGTTGCAGGCGATCTCCTCGACGTTGTCGACCGTGCGGTCGTTGCCAAGGTAGAGCGGCTCGAGACGCTGGCCCTGGTCAAGTCAGATGCCACTGAGCGTGCCATTTCACTCAAGGATATACAGCTCTCTGGTGGCGCTCCTGCAAGCTCTATCGTGCCCGCTGATTTCGAAGCTGCTGTTGATCTCGCCAGAAAGAACTTCGCCGATGCGATTGGTGCGCCCAAGATACCAAACGTGCAGTGGTCCGATGTTGGTGGTTTGACGAACGTCAAAGATGCAGTCATTGAAACCATTCAGCTACCACTTTCTCGACCAGAGCTGTTCGCAAAGGGTCTCAAGAAGCGAAGTGGAATTCTCTTCTACGGGCCTCCAGGTACTGGCAAAACCCTCCTGGCAAAGGCAATCGCCACGGAGTTCAGTCTGAATTTCTTCTCTGTGAAAGGCCCTGAACTGCTCAACATGTATATTGGTGAGTCTGAAGCCAATGTCAGGAGGGTTTTCCAGAGAGCTCGAGACGCACGGCCCTGTGTAGTATTCTTCGACGAACTGGATTCAGTGGCTCCAAAGCGTGGCAATCAGGGGGATAGCGGTGGTGTGATGGACCGGATCGTCTCTCAGTTGCTAGCCGAACTTGATGGCATGAGCGATGGAGAAGAGAGTGGAGGAGGAGTCTTTGTCATTGGCGCAACCAATCGACCGGATCTTCTTGACCAGGCATTGCTACGTCCAGGCCGTTTCGACAAGATGCTTTATTTGGGCATCAGCGACACGCACGACAAACAGGCCACCATCATGCAAGCCTTGACGAGAAAGTAAGTTCGAGAAGTGCTTGTTGACGCTCGAAGGCTTGACTAACATGACCCTAGATTCACACTCGATCCATCCTTGTCGCTCACAAGAGTGGCCGAGACCCTCCCATTCACGTTCACTGGAGCTGATCTGTACGCTCTGTGCTCAGATGCCATGCTTAAAGCGGTGACAAGTTCTGCACGTGCTGTAGACCAGCGTGTCGCTGCGATCAACGCTGACCGTGCATCCCGCGGACAAAGCAAGATATCTGTAGCTTACTACTTCGACCACTACGGCACAGACCAGGACTCTGAGGTCACTGTGGTGGAGGAAGACTTCATGCGGGCCAGGGAAGAGCTGACTCCCAGTGTCAGTCTGGACGAGCTAAGACACTACGAACGAGTGCGAAGCACCTTCGAAGGTACAACGAAGAAAGACGATGCAAACGCAGAGCCCGGAACACTGGCGAACCCGAGCCAGAATGGCCAATCGATGCGATCCCGGGCTATGGATGCTATGAAGCGTGGAAGTAAGAACAAGCTTCCAACCATAAACGGGGGCCCGCATCCTACCCCCAGGGCAGATACGGGTGAAGCTGCCGCCGATGAAGCCGAAGACGATTATGTTATACGGACGGACAAGCTTACCTTGAACGACCACGCAAGCAAAGCTTATGTGGGCAAGGGAAAGGGCAAGGGCAAAAGTCAGGAGAGCGCGTATTCGCGTGTCGTTGGCGAGAGGCTGTCTGACGGCATCAATCCCACCAATAATGGCGATGTGGTGCAGCCTGATGGGGATGGGGAAGACCTGTATGATTGAGTTGACGGGAAAAAGTTAATGGAAGATACCGCACGTGAAGGGTCATGTTGGCTATGACCGTTGCGGTTGTGTCGACTATGGGAAGCACGAGACCGTCGACAATCTAGCGGTAGTTGTATCTAAGATATAGCTATCATGCTGTACAAAATTGAACAGATGGCACAACTCGTCCTTCGGCTCAATCGGTGTGATCATCAGGACCGAGCCTAGTGTATCTCATGCAGAGAGAGACGTAGTCGTGCTACTTATTGGAGGTAGTCCATGGAGGTGCGCTACCATCTGAGCGAGTCAACGAGCTAGGGGCAGGGCAGGTATAGATATAGCTCCCGCGACTGCTTTCCGTGGGCCAATCCAGCGAGACTTCACCGAGCTTACCTCCCCTTCTCCGAGCGAGGCCAGCCAAGCCTGGCGTTTTCGACTGCGGGGTGCGACACCAAACAGTAATGACGGCTGACTACATTCTAGGCCGCGTGAGGCATTTGGTCTGAGAGTGAGGGTACGGCTTGGTGGGACGGGTGGAACTCTAAACGCTTCGGAGGACGTACACGGGTTCTGGAATCGACGACGTCTCCTCCCCATGATGTGAGCTTGGACGCTTTGTATATATATTGCTTTTACGACCGCGCGGGTCTGTGGGTTCAGTCCAGCCGGCCCAAGCGAGTTGACACTTTCGCTGGACCTTTTCTTCGAACTTCCATTCCGTCACCACTTACGCTCACGACTACCCATTGAAGACTTCAGCAGGATGTTTCTCTCCTTCCTCTTCACGCCCTGGACGCTGCTGGCCGTCCCGGTGCTCTACTTCGTCCTGCCCTTCATCCGGAACTGGTCCATCCAAGATGTGCCCGGTCCCATTCTGGCCAAATTCTCCACGCTGTGGTACATGTACGAATGCCGGCGGTGCAGGAGGTACTTGACCGTGCACAAGCTGCACGAGAAGTACGGAAAATTCGTGCGGGTCCAGCCCGACCACGTCTCTGTCGCGGACCCGGACGCCATTCCCATCGTTTACGGCCATGGAACGGGGTTCCTCAAGTCGGAGTACTATGATGCTTTCGTGGCGATGAGGCGAGGACTTTTCAACACGCGTGACCGCGCGGAGCATACGCGGAAGCGCAAGACGGTGTCTCATACGTTCAGTGCGAAGAGCATTGGGCAGTTTGAGCAGTATATCCATCATAATCTGGAATTGCTGGCGCAGAGGTGGGATGAGATTAATAAGAAGACTGGGGCTGGGAAGTACACTGAGTTTGATGCTTTGCACTGGTTCAACTACGTGGCTTTCGATATCATTGGCGATTTGGCTTTTGGTGCGCCTTTCGGGATGCTGGAGAAAGGGGCGGATATCACGGAGATTCAGTTGACGCCTGATGCTCCTCCGACGTATGCGCCGGCGATTGAGGTGCTGAATCGACGGGGTGAGGTCTCGAATGCTGTGGGGTGTATGCCTTGGATCAAGCCGTACGCCAAGTACCTTCCGGATCCGTTCTTCAGCAAAGGCATGGCGGCGATTCAGAATCTCTCGGGCATTGCGGTGGCGAGGGTGGGTCAGAGGTTGGCGGCTGCTGAGAGGGGGGAGATTGATCGGGTGGATCTTTTGGCGAGGTTGATGGAGGGGAAGGATGAGAAGGGGGAGAAGTTGGGGCGAGAGGAGCTGACGGCTGAGGCTTTGACCCAGCTTATTGCTGGGTCGGACACTACGTCGAATACTTCCTGTGCGCTGCTGTTCCACTGCCTCGCCAACCCGCATGTGGTCAAGAAACTCCAGGCCGAACTGGATCAGGCTCTACCTAGCGATGATGTTCCTTCCTTCGAGCAGGTCAAGGACCTTCCATATCTCGACATGGTCATTCAGGAAACGCTCCGCATCCACAGCACATCCAGCCAAGGTCTCCCAAGAGTCGTCCCTCCAGGCTCAGGCGTTGATGTCTGTGGCCGCCACTTCCCCCAAGGCGTTGTGTTGAGTGTGCCAGCGTACACGATGCACCACAGCAAGGAGATCTGGGGTCCAGATGCGGACGAGTTCCGACCTGAGCGTTGGGAGAAGGTGACGGAGAGGCAGAAGGGTGCTTTTATCCCTTTCTCGTATGGTCCTCGTGCTTGTGTTGGTAGGAATGTGGTGAGTATCCTGCGGTTTGACCTGTTCCTCCTACTGTCGATGCTGATTTCTTTTGCAGGCCGAGATGGAACTGGCCCTCATCGTGGCTACCGTCTTCCGCCGTTACGAGTTCGAGCTCTACCAAGATCACCTGGAGACGCGCGAGGGATTCTTGAGGAAGCCGCTGGGACTCAAGGTGGGCATGAGGAAGCGGGCCTCCAAGTCGTAGGGAGAGGGAGGGAAAAGGGGCGAGTATGTGCCATGTCTTCACGTGCGGTTTCGATGTTTTGTCTTCACTTTACGTTTCATACCCCTCCGAAAAACGTTTCACACTTCCACCGCGCCTTCCTCATGTGAGGTTTCCGTTTGCTGGCCGGTCCGTGCTTTCGTTTTTGATTTTGAAAGCTCCAAGTCGCCGAAAGCTGGGCTTCTTTTTCTCACCACCACACCAACGACATCAACACCGACTGGCGACACCAACATCCGCACACCGTCACACCAACATGGACACGTCTGCCTTCGAGGCGACGGCGTCTGACGTCCCTGACCCACCACTGGCAGAAATCACCGACCTCATCCACGATGATCTACAATACGCGGTAAGTGGGCATTCCACCTCCTTCGAGCTTGACACTGACTTGACACCAACACACTAGATCGCCGGCGCCATTGCAGTCATCAAGCACATCGCCAAGCTAGTCGTCCTCGTCGTAGCACTCGCTACGTGCGTCGTCGTCTACTGCTTCCTGCTGAGCTGGCTTGCCCTCCTCTGGCTACAGACGCGTCTTTTCCTCATCACGTCTACTTTGTTGAGGGAGTGCATGGGTCAGCCGACTACGAGTCGTCCACGCGCCATCGACGCACCCGAGACTGCTCCGGAGGTCAAAGACCAGGAGACTATGGTTGCGCCAAAGGTGCATTCGCGCCCGGAGCTTTGGGAGGAGTGGCGTGATCCACCTCGCGAAGACAAAGGTAAGAAGCGTGAGAGTGATGCGGTGGCGGCGGCGGCGGTGGGAGGAGAGCGGAAGGGGGGTGTTGAGCAGGTGCACGTAACCCAGCAGGATGCACCAGAGCAGCAGCGATTGCAGCAGCAGCGAGCGGCAGCAGAGCAGATCGAGACCGCAGAGCATCGAGCGCCCGAGCAACGCGCAGCCGAGCACCGAACCCCAGAGCATCGAGCCGAAGAGCAGCAGAAGCGCTTACAATGGGCATCCTTCGCACATAATGCGTCTGGCGGACCAACTCAAAAGCCCAAGTCATGGCTTCCTCCTACTAATCAGCAGCAAAACCGACCATCGAGACCAGAAGCACCGAAGCTGTCGAAGGAGGAGACCAAGGCGCAAGAGCAGAGTTCGTGGCTTGATCAATTGACGTTCGATCCCCCCTCTGGCCCCAGGGCAATGCGTTCGCAAGCGAGTCGCCAACCGCCTGAAAAATCACCTGCTGGACCTGTCAATCCTTTCGGCGCCACTCCTGAGCAGCTTGCTGATGCAGCAAACTTTGCGGCGACCGCCACAAAGGGAGGCAGGAAGGGAAGAAACCCGGCAACATCAAACAGACCGGTCCCTTCGCCCTTTCAAGCTCCGAAGAAGTCCACGTCTGCACGGTCCCGGCCATCTCAGCCAGTCATGCTGCACGCTGGTAATGCGGGCATCACTTCAGCAAGACTCAACAGGCCTGCTGAGAGCGCTCCCATGGGCTCAGCCTCTCGACTGCCTTCGGACTATGTCGCACCTCACTTGAGATATGCCAAGGAAGCGCGGGCCAAGCGAGAGTCGTCAAAGGATAGTCCGACTGAGCCACAGCAAGCGCCTGCGCTACCACCGACTGCTCCAGCAAGTGAAGACACCCAGCCAGAGGTCGAAGCAGAAATCGAGGCAGAGACTCAACCAGAGGCAATCAGTGAAGACAAGGAGAGCGCCGCACCTGCAGAGGATGGCGACCGCACTGAGGATGATGAGATGGTTCAGCCTGAGCCTCAACTTCGCGAGTCAGACTTGATCGACATTTCCGCAGAGAGTCCACGCCCGCAGACTCCAGACTCTTTCCGCCAGCCTGTGACACCCGCCTTCTTTGAAGATACTCCACTTTCCAACGAGGCACCGCATGCGATGTCTCCAGAAATGCTCAAGCGTTTGGAAATGCTCAAGTCTTGGAACTCGTCCACGTCCGAGCAGTTGCAAGTGCAGGCAGCCCGTCTTCAGAACAGCGAAGGCGGTATGCTGGTCTTCCGATCACATGCCTCACAGGCCTTCTCAGGCTCGCCATTCTCTGAGCGTGCCAACAGTGATATGCCGGCTGCCCAACCTAGTTCGGATCAACTCGCCCAGAACCCTTTCATGACTCCACCACAGCCTCCAAGCAAGCCTCGACTTGGTCGAATGACATCCCAAGACGATCAAGACGATCAGGGGGCGGGCTCTTTGCAGCGACCGCTGCCAACTGCCGCTGAGTTTGAGGCCGCACTTTTCGCGTCCCATCAGGATCGTGAGGACCAGGAAGCTGTCCACTTGGGTGAAGTCGAAGAGAAGGCCAGAGATGAAGGCGAAGCTCCAAGGTATCATTATTCAGCATCTGTTATCAATTTCTACTGACTTATACCTTCAGTGGACAACCCAGCAAGGGAAAGGCGAGCACTGTTCAGCAGGCAGTGAACGCCGCACGAGAGCAGCTCCACGCAAAGCATGCGAGGTAAGATCCAAAATCTATCGCCCGAGCGTAGGTATCTGAGACTGACGGCCTCACAGTACCAGCACATATGCCACTGCGCGCGAGGATGGAACCCCAGCCCAGCAGGCCATCCAGCGAAGTGATTCAACCAGTCTACGCAACATCACATCTGTGGCAGAAGCCCCGGTCGTGGGACACACTGTTCAGCTGTATGGTAGCAAGTCCTCGCAGCTGACGCCCAGTGCTCCTTCTTTCTTCGCTTCTGCGCCGCAGTCGACTACATCGTCAAGCCTGCCACGGGCTCCAGCCGGACTACCAGCGAGACCACCACCTGGACTCCCATATCCCGGCACTATCGACATATCAGGATCTGATCATCAACATGGCGTCGGTGCGCAGCAATTCGCATCGACTCCATTCGCTGCCAATGTTCAGCAACCACCTACGTCTTTCGCACCGCATGCACCTCAGTATTTGCCAGGTCTAGGCCATGCTCCTGCTCCCACCGCATCGTTTTTCGCGCCTCAGCAAGAGTATACACCTGCGCCATACGCTCCTCTGCCTGGATTGGGTCGTTTTGCGCCTCCGGCGGGATTCCCAGGTCCTCCATCTACGTACGGACACGCGAGTGCACCAGACGTGCCTTTCTTCACGTCTCACGGGCCTCCCCATACCCAGCCGTACTCGACTGGATCCAGTATCATGACACCCTGGCTCGAAGAGGATGACAATGTCTCGCCTGCTATCGGTCCTCGTTATGTGCGCGGCTATGATGTCCCAACATCGCATCAATCAATCGCCGAAGATGCACCATACCAAGCTGCACCAGATCAGTACAGCAGGTACTCGTGGTCGTCGGGCAGCGCTACACCTGCGCAACCAGGTCTTGGTACCGCCATGACGGCTCCTGTTCGCCGCCCGTCTCGGGCTGTCCCAATCACGAGACCTTCGCAGACACTCGCTGCTGCGATCGATCTCAAGTCGGAGAATACATTCCCTCGACTTCCATCGGCTCCGATCGCTGCTTCGCCCTCTGTTCCAGTGCAATCCACTACACCACCAAAGCCACCAGGCCTAGGTGATCCGAAGCCGAGGCGACAGGCTGCTTTCGATGCGCTGCTGTCTGAGCCGTCTCCGGCAGGTGAGATACTGAAGTCGGCAAATCGAAGCATCCCCGTATCAGGAGGAATTGAGACTTTCTCGGAAGTGTCAGATCGCTCTCCAATCACGCCTGCTCCGAGTAAGGTCGTTCACAGAGACGAGCTGAAGCGCCGCCAGCTAGACAGCTTGAGGTCGTTCTCTGAGAGCTTCAGGATGCCTAGCTCAGGCTCAAAGCTGGCAGGAGATGACCAGCCATATACTCCACGCGATTCTATGGCCAGCAGCGGCGGAAGCGGAAAATCCGAGGCAACGAAAGAGGTGAATTCTGCAGAGGATGATGCGAAGGGCGTACCTGAAATGCAGAAGAAGCAATATCGGACGGCCACCGAAGGCTGCGAAGATGATGGCAATGACAAAGAGCCACTTGCATCGTCTTCAACCAAGCGAATCAAGAGGGAGGCAAAGAAGGCAGCTAGGGATGCTGTGACGGAGGCTTGGTTCGCACGGGAGACTATTCGCAAGAAGGTTGTTGGTTCCTACACCGTCGAGGGAGCCACTGAATTCCGAGAGAAGACGACAGCCTACCACGAGAGACGTGATGAGCTGATTGCGCTCATGGGCAACGGCAAGCTGAACGACGACGATGCAAAGGTCTTCCCAAGATTTTCGGATCTGGACCTGAGCGTTCGAAAGTCTCGTCCGGAAGGTGCTGCTGGAGGAAAGCACAAGGAAGACAAGACAGGCTCTCCTACGACTGAGGCTGGTCCGTCTTCACGTGTTGTGTCTGGAGATCCTGGTGAGCGGAGCAAGGCGAGAGTTAACAAGCCCGCGAAGAAAGCCACGCCATTGCCAGCCAACTTCAAGGAGCTCAAGGACATGCTGAGCAATGCGTTTGACCTGCTCATCGAGGCGCGCGGGTACAAGGACGAGCCTCGTCCTCAGACCAACATCTCGTACGCGACGTGGACTAAGAGAGGCGATGTGAAGATTGAGAGAGCCGTCAGCTACTACCGTACCAAGCGCAACGCTTTGGTGGCTGCTTTCCCTGACGGAGAGCTGCCTGACGACGTGGCTGAGGAGTTTCCTCTGATCTGATGAGCGTCTTGAGATCAGAGAGATGGATATCTCGCGTGCATGATGAGGAACTGAATGAGTGTTCGTTTGGTGCCTTTTAATAGTGAATTCAAGTGCTGAATTTGCTTGTAAATTGGTGGTCGTTTCCTTGTTTCTTTTTGCGCCATACCGACACAAGCGGACATGCTGATGCTGATGTCGTGTCGAAGAGGTGAGGTTGAGAATTGAAGTGAATGTGAGACGCCCCTGAGCCAATCAAGCGCAATCTAAAGCCGGTCACATAATCTTTCATGCCTCAGGCATACTATCAAACTCCCTTGAGGTCAAGATTGACACGCTCACATTCATCTCCGGTTTAGCATAAGAACACAAGATGCGGACATCGCGATTATCACGGGATACAGCACGTGTGGCGCACGCGTTGTCGCCTGCAAAGCGATCGACTCGCTCTCTACGATCATTCGCATACGAAGCCAACCCCGATGAACAAGGAGCCCAGCATGGCGGATCAGAAAGCGAGCTATCCTCACCACCTTCGAGTCGGAACGGCCAATTGCTAGGCAAACGAAAGAGAGGGACAACAGGAACACCAGCAACATCAATCGCATCGATCAGTGCCGAATCAAAAGAAGTACGACGATCTCCCCGTAAAACCATCGCTGGGGACGATGCACCGAAGAAACGCAAGGCCAAAAGACAACCTGCGAAGAGGATCAAGAATGAGAATGGAACAGATACAGTCGAACCTCCCGCGAACTGGGAGGAGGTCTACACCATCACCCAAGAGATGCGGAAACGAATACTAGCCCCAGTAGACACCATGGGCTGCGAATCGCTCGCCGAAGAAACCCGACCCCCACGAGACCAACGCCTGCAAACCCTCATCTCCCTCATGCTGAGCAGTCAAACCAAAGACCCCGTCACCGCCGCGGCGATCAAGAACCTCCAGGAGAACCTCCCCGGCGGACTCTGTCTCGAATCGCTCCTCGCCGTCGAACCGGCCCGGCTCAACGACCTCATCGTGAAAGTCGGGTTCCACAATAACAAGACCAAGTACATCAAAGCCACCGCGCTCATCCTCCGCGACCAATATAACGGCGACATCCCGGACACCATCGAAGGCCTCGTGTCCCTCCCCGGTGTAGGGCCGAAAATGGCGTACCTCTGCATGTCCGCCGCGTGGGGCCGCGACGAAGGTATCGGCGTTGATGTGCACGTTCATCGGATCACGAATCTTTGGGGCTGGCATAAGACTTCTACGCCGGAGCAGACGAGGGCGGAGCTGGAGAGTTGGTTGCCGAGGGAGAAGTGGCATGAGATTAATCATTTGCTGGTCGGGTTTGGGCAGATGGTTTGTTTGCCTGTCGGAAGGAGATGTGGGGAGTGTGAGTTGGGGGAGAGGGGGTTGTGTCCGAGTAGGGTTGCGGGTGGGTCGCCGAGGAAGAGGAAGGTCAAGCAGGAGGTTAAGGTTGAGGTTGAGGTTGGGGATGGGGAAGTCAAGAAGGAGGAGATTGTGGGGGAGGCGGATGATGTTGGTGTTGAGGTTGAGATCAAGAGGGAGGATTTGGGGGAGGTGGATGTTCAGGGGGGGATACCTGATATTGAGGACGCGGTTCCTGCGGTTTGATATAAAGTGATACCCCGATTGCGAAGCAATGATTCTGGTTTAAGATCGTGACATTTACAACCACTGAAGTTGCTGTCTAATTTCGACGAGCCCTTATACCAACGTTCTCCCACAGGCTTTGGGTTTCTCTAGAACGGGTCTGTGTCCCTTCACTTTCGCAAGTTGTATTTCTATGCCATTTCTCCTCCATCATCCCACTTCATGAACATATGCAAAGCACGCTCATACGCCCACATGGTGACAGCACTCGACGGCGCAGCTTTGATCAGACTGACCGTCAAGCCTCTATAAAGGCCCACCGCCCCTTCTTTCCTCAATATCATCTTCATCGTGCTCACCACACCTCGCTCGTAGACCGGAATGCGAGCCCCTCCCACATATTTGCTTCGCGTAGGTCCTTGAACCTGCAAGCGCTTCCTCACAGTATCGAGTGGGAAGACGGCCGTCTTGCTCAATATGCTGGCTGCAATACCTGCCACGGCATCGCCGGATCCAAAGGGCAGTTGGACTGTCGCGAGCGGTGGTTTGAAGCCCTCGTACAGAGCGAAGAAGAGTCCCATGTATGGCACGATCTGCCCGATTGCGGCGTTGAGTCCTCTGAAGAAACCTGCTGGTCCCTCGTGGCGGGTGATGTCGCGCACACTCCCTATGAGACCATCGTAGACTCTTTCCGTGCCCTGCGCGGCGAATCGTGTCCGTAGGAGATCGAGCGGGTATGTAGCGGTTGTGGCTGCTGTGCCCGCCACCGCACCGCTTATAAAACTCTTCGCCGTCCCTGGTATCGTCCAATCCCTCTGTTCACATATCTTATCCAGAAGCTGTGTCGTGCTGCGATAAGCCAGAAACTGCACAGCACCATAGCTCAAGTACAATCCTTCGGCGGGGATATTTCCTTTCCAAAACCCTGTGATGCCTTCATGGTGCCAGATGTCGCGCGCGACGATGTAGACTCCGGCGGGGGTTCGGCTCGCGGGACGGACGACGGCGAGGGGATCGCTGAGGGAGTGGTAATGGAGCTGGAGGCGGATCTTGACGACGTCGAGGGGTGCGATGCAGAAGCGGGAAATCAGGCCTGAGATGGCGCCGGCGACGACGACTTGTGCTCGTGTGCCCTGGGTTGCAGTGTGAGTATCGCCATGGAGGGAAGTTGGGAGTGGTTGCTGGCGTACCTCATCGCGAAGATGCTCTGGAGCCGGAGACATCCATCAGCGTTTTCACTCGCTCGACGACTGCTACCGTGGACGGAGCGCTTCGAATGGTATGTTCAAGACCTTGCGAAGGCCAGGCTAAGGTAATGTCTGCAGAAAGTTCAGATGCAAGTGCATGGACCGCGGTGTTTCGAAGCTTGCATCCGCGGCATTGAACCCTTGGAATCCTGGACATCTCCCTCTCTTCCCCCACACCATCTTCGTGACCCTTTTTTCTAAACGTCGCCAACATGGCGTTGCGGATAGCCTCCAGGGCGGCACCGCAAAGGTCGCAGTACCTCTTGAATGGCAGTCAGAAAGTATCACTACGCCAGCTCTCCTCTTCGAATCGGATGTTACAGCAGGAATCCAGCACCGCTCCCAAGGACCATTTCGAGGACTTTTTCGATCGGGCGAACGGTCCCGAGAAAGCCAACTTCGCGATCAAGCGCCCGTTAATCGCAGCGGCACGAAATGGAAGCGAAAAGGTCAGATCAAAACGAACGCCCAAACCTCTGCCAGAGCCAGAGCCCAATCCCGTCGAGATTGTGAGGTCTGGAGAACGGCGTCAATTCTCGCCACTTCTGCTACGGGATATGTGTCAGTGCAACCATTGTGTGGATCCTTCGACTCGTCAGAAGCATTTCGCGACTGTGGATATACCGCAGGCTATCGTTCCGAGGAGCGTGCAGCTGGACGAGACCCATGTGCACATTACCTGGTCTAACGATATACCCGGATTGGACGAGAGTCATACCACCTCGATCCCGCTGTCAACCATTGACAATATTATCGACACTGGCAGGCCAGTCGAGCCTAGACAGCCACTTCCCAGGTCGCTTTGGGATGCCCAGACATACACCGAGGAGACTCACGACTTTGATTACGAAGCCTACATGAAGGACGATTCGATACTACTCGCAGCTCTACAGCAACTAGAGACTCACGGTCTCATGTTCATTAACAACGTTCCTGAGAGCGCAGAGTCTGTGGAAACGTTGGCGCAACGGATCGGTCCTCTCAAGACCACCTTCTACGGGAAAACGTGGGACGTACGATCTGTGCCCGAAGCGAAGAATGTCGCATACACATCTCAAAATCTTGGATTTCATATGGACCTGATGTACATGAAGCAGCCGCCGCATTTACAACTCCTACACTGCATTCGATCGTCCGCCGCCGGCGGCGCCAGCTTGTTCAGCGATAGCTTCAGAGCAGCCGAGAACATGGCGCGCACGGACTTTGCCGACTTTTCGACCTTGTCCCGAATCCCAGTAACATATCACTACGACCATGCCGATCACTACTATCGTCAAAGACGGACGGTGATCGAGCAACGTTCCTTCCAGATCGGTCCAACGCAATTCAAGGACTTCACCGACTTCGCCAGATACAAGTCCAGATCCGAGACGAACAGCAAGCGTGTGCCCAATTTGGCGACGATGGATTTCGTCGAACACGTTGCTTGGAGCCCTCCCTTCCAAGGTCCATTCTCCTTGGCAAGCGAAGATACACGTCGATATGGCGCCCCGGAGAACTTTCTCAACGGTGCCGTCAGATCGTGGCATGCGGCTGCTCAGAAATTCAACGAGCTCATTCACCTTCCGGAGAATGTGTATGAGAGGACGATGAAGCCCGGAGAATGTGTGATCTTTGATAACAGGCGAGTGTTGCATGCGAGAAGGGCTTTTGAGGTTGGTGATGCAGGGAAGGAGCGGTGGTTGCGGGGGGCGTATATCGATAAGGATCCCTTTATGAGCAAGTTGAAGGTCATGGAGGAGGAGAAGTAGGGTACGCGGCAAGATATTGAGGCGTCCGCGTTCCAGGCTGAAGAGCAGGAGCCTGCTACAGCAGTAGCATGAGCATGAGGACAAGGACTTTGCGGTTTGAAGAAGAAAGACAGTCGATTCTCCATACAAAGCAAAATCAAAACATCGATCTCAGTTCGGTTGACACTCTGCTAGCTCCTCGTCATGGTCGAAGATGGGCACCGGCTGGTATCCTGGTCGCTGGAAGTACAGTGGTGGATGCTGTCGTATTGGGTAACGCTGTGCCCTCGGTGGGCGAGGAGCTGATGGCGTCGGAGAGCGGTAATCATTGGTGACCTCGAGACTGTCCCGCGATTTTCGTTTGGGGACCGGCTTTCGAGGCGGCACTGCATACAAGTTTAACAGGCTCTGCCGAGAAGCGGAAGGAGTTGGGAAGCTAGACTGTCCTGGCGGAACAGATGGCGGCCTCATCAAGATCTCGTCGGTCTGTATCCGTCGTCTTTGGCGGAAGATGTATCGTCGATTGGTCAAGGCTTGGGAGTGTTCGTTGTAGGCGTTGACGACTTCTCGGGCGGCGAGGCGTTGAGTGACGGTCAGTAGCACGATAGCAAGAAGGAGCATAGCGGTGAAGGCGATTATGCAAACTAGTGCGATTGGGTCGAGGTGGCCCCAGAAGTCGCGGATGTTCATGGCGGGGTTGAAAAGGCTTGGGTTGGATGTTTGTTCTCTGCTGGGAGAATAGCAATTCCGTGGATACAAACATTACCTCTTGATATACTGTTATTATTCAAGAACCACCGTGTTCTTCGTTGATCGACTCGGTCTCAGACAGCATCTCCTATCTGCAGCTGTACCAGACTTGACGCTTGTCTGAGCTGCAATGTGTGCCCAGATACGCTGATATCGTGATATCAAAGCCATCACGTGGACTTTATGCTGCTCTTGTGAAAGCTTGTCGGTTCTTGTTGCACATGTCAAGACGCGTGTGAGAGAGTGAGTTGAGAAGGTGTGAGGTCGGATGCCGCTCGGCAAACCTTCCATCTGCACTTCGGCACATCGCGTTGCTTGGGCAACGACGCGTCCTTCTCTGCCGGTATCGTCCTCGCCGATTCTCGCCAATCCGATCTGATGTCTCTCCTCCCACACTTCGGTACGCCAACATCCTCCACCAACACCACCACCGCCGGCCCCTGCTGTCGGCGCCGCGCATGTAGTTGCGATTTTGTCGCCGCTGCGCTCCCGGGATACGCCAGCATACTTAACGCTACGACATGGCAGACATCGACCGCATCACCGACACCCACCGAAAGACTGCGACAGCGATAGCACCGTTGGATTCCGCCCACATTCACTGACGAGGGAGGAGCATTTTGCTTTGTCTGGAATAGAACACCATCACAATACACAACACATCAAGAACTGCGTCAAGGGCACCGTCAAGCGCGTCATGGCTGCCGTCGCCCACCCGACTCGGCCGCATATCAGACGCAACTCGCCATTGTCTGCTTTCAACCCATCCAATGGCTTCTCCGCGGATCCGCCCATGATGAAACGAATAGATGTCGGCGATGACAGCGATTCGGACGACGAGCCGCCGCCGGCCATCAAATTCTCAAAGGTCACTCAAGCGCTTCTGGCTGACGAGGGAGTTCCATCTTCTCCACCCAAATATGACCATGCGAACGACGCACCGCGGTACAATCGATCTGCGAGCGCTGCAAAATCCGAGCTCGATACTCCTAGTAGGGCACCTGGCATTAGGATTGTGCGCCGAAGCTCGCCTTCCGCCAATGCGGTTTCAGGACAACAAGAAAGAGGGCATACACCACCACGCATCGTTCATCTAGGTGGCAGTGGAAGTGCCTCTGCAAAACGGTCAATCAGCATCTCAGGCCCATATCCTCAGCGACTAGCTACAAAGCGACAGCCCACGCCCGAGACTAGCCTCAATCCAGGGGTTGTTACGCCTGGACAAGCTCCTCGAGCGATCCGCGTTGTCACTCGATCCAGAGCTGGAAGTAATGCCTCGCAGGACGACCGTTCAAACCTGGCCTCCTCGATTAGCAGACCTAGCTCTCGCAATGTTACCAAAGCGGCACCCGATACTGGTGAACGCAAGACGCAACAAGCAGAACTAAGCCGCAGCAATTCTCAATACAATCTTGCAGAGACAGCATCACGATACGCGCCGTCGACTGTGGCACGTTCACGGAATCCATCTGCTGATGCAGCACCTCCTCCAGGATCGCAACGGATCAAGCGTGCACCTATTGGAACTGGTACTTTCCTCAGAAGTGGCCCTGTGCGACGAGGTTTCAGACGCAGAGACAGCGAAGAAAATGTTTCCAGCCAGGAGGAAGCCCAGCATGGTTCGGCATCACAACCCAGTGCAACGAGCTATACCCCACAGGATAGAAGTATGTCTCAACTTGATGGAAGTCGAAGCAGAAGTGGAAGTGTGAATACACGCGCGACATCTGTTGAGCCAGTCTCGGTACATGATTTTGCACCTCAAGGACATGCATCGCAGGAATCACGACCTGCATCACGTCAAGCACAGTCTTACCTTTCCAGGAGTCAGATGAGCAACGATTCACGACCAGCTTCACGACAAGGTAGCAGGGATATTCCACGCAGTCGGCAGCCCAGCGCTGAGCGGTATCAGCATCGCAGGCAGAATAGTGTTCCAGCAGTAGATACGTCTGCGCCTGTTCAGCCAGAGCAACAGCAGAGAAGGCCAAGCATCGAGTCCAGCCAACCGAGACCGGCTTTAAAACAACAGCCACCACAAAGAGTACCCTCTTATGGACGTGCCAGCTATAGATATACGGCGCCAAAAGTACATACCGATGCATCCGAGGATCAGGAGAACGTGCCGCCACCGACGTTCAGACGCAACAGGGAGCAGGAGTTCAAGTACTTGGGAAAGCCTTCAATGGTCGTGGCTTCGGACGACGAGAAGCCAAAGCAGATGCCGGTTGAGGAGACACCCGTACCAGTGCCACAACAAGAGCAGCGAAAGGCCCTTGGAACCATCAGTGGAAACACTCCGCACCGACCAGCCCCTGCGCCGCCGCCGAAGATGAGCGTCTTGGACGCAGCAACAACGACAGCAGGCGCTGGTACTACGAAGTCCAGAAAGAAGCGCCAGCACATGGTCGTCAACGGCAAGATCTTCACCCAAATGGGCAAAATTGGCAAGGGAGGCTCCAGCGATGTGTACTGTGTCATGGCCGAGAACTACAAGACATTCGCCTTGAAGCGCGTGAAACTCGAGGACTGCGATGAGCATGCTGTGCGTGGTTTCAAGGGCGAGATCGACCTCTTGAAGAAGTTGACCGAGGTGGAGAGAGTGGTTCGCCTTTTCGATTGGGAAATGAACGAGGAGAAACAGGAGCTTATTGTGCTCATGGAGAAGGGAGATACTGATCTCAACCGTCTTCTCACTCTTCGACTGAACGGTGTCGACGCCAAATTCGATCCCACGTTCACACGCTACCACTGGAAGGAGATGCTTGAGTGCGTTCAAGCTGTCCACGAATACGACATCGTGCATTCAGATCTGAAGCCTGCCAACTTCTTGCTGGTGCAAGGACGATTGAAGCTAATCGACTTTGGCATCGCCAACGCCATTGACACGGACAACACTGTCAATGTACACCGAGATTCCCACGTCGGCACACCCAATTACATGTCTCCCGAAAGTATCACGGACACGAATGCGAATAGCTCAGGACGAGATGAAGCAGGCAGGCCTTTGAAGAAGGATATGCGTATTGGCAAGTCATCAGATGTATGGAGTCTGGGCTGCATCCTGTACCAGATGACCTACGGCCGACCACCCTTCTCGCACATCTCGAACCAGATCTCCCGAATCATGGCCATCACAAACCCCAAGCACATCATCGAATATCCAGAAACCGGAGTCGGCGGCGCCCGCATCCCATCAACCCTCATCGGCACCTTGCGAAGATGCCTCAACCGCGACCCGGAACGTCGTCCCAAAATCCTTGACATGCTCTCCGAAACCGACCCGTACCTGAACCCCGAAGGCCCCCGCAACAGCATCGCCATGACCGATGAGGTCCTGTCCCAGATCATCCACAAGATCATCGAGCGCTGCAAAGATCCGAAGCGCGGGCCGCCGACTCCTGACGAGTCGAACTTATATGCTAAGACCTTCTTGGATAGGATCAGGGCGAAACATGAGGGGTTGTGAAGAGTATATGATAAAGGAAGTATTGATATCCTGTCTTTTCTAGAGGAAGG